CGAGGCTCGGCGGAGCATTGGCGCCAAGGGTGGCCCCAACTTCCGGGCCCCTCATGCCCCCATGCCCGCTTAACTAGACAAGCCAAGCCAACCACAGATTTACCATAATGGGAAACCAAGCCACATTTTTCTTAGTTCTTCTCGCCGAACCTTCCTTTCTTATCAATAATCTCAGTGTTCGATGCTTACACTCATGGAGTTGCAACCAATCATCATACATGCTTGGATATCCCTGATGATCGGGGAAGCATTTTACTCCGACGAGGCAGTCTTCACAGTAACATCGCTTCCACCCGCCTCACTCTTCGTCTTTTCGATTTTTAACTCACACCTCCACGCAAAAGTCATCTAGCACAACTTCCTTCGTGCTATGTGGTTTGCTTTCTCGAGACCAGAGTATTTGACTTGAGTGCAAGACCTCTTCTCTCATGACTTCATGGTTTACTAGACACGCGCCATTCATTCCGCGCCGAGCCCAGATCTTGGCCTCATGGCCAAGAAAATTACTAATTTGTCGAAATTCTGCGTCCAATCAGTCAGTCGCTTTTTGCGGCATATCACCAGCCTCTGACGCAAGCTAAGATATTGGCCCTCTCGTTATTCTTGGATGGGGTTCATGCGCAGAACGCTAACATCTTTTCAATCTCAGTTAACATTCTCCAATGTTGTCAAGACATGGGGCGGAGTCATACAACCCCAAGCTATGCCTCATTTTTACATACAACCGAGCCCCCACGTGTCTTTAGAATCTGGGGATATAAATACGGGGTACACCCGAGCAATTTGGATTTTGGATCTCTAAGTTCTTCATCTTGCACCGAATCTGCGCTGCTTCGAGCTCTTCCATGACACACAAAACTATCATACAATATTTTACAATATTTTACACCACTTCTGGAAATACTGGGGAAATAATTGGACAGTCAGCATGCCTGCTCCTCAGTTTGCCGGCTTGTCCGGGAAATGGCTTATGAGAGCCATTACCACCTGCGCTACCATGGGCTTCCTGTTGTTTGGCTATGACCGTATGTTCACCCACGAACTTTCACTCTGCAAGACACTCACATAAGACCAACTTATGCAGAGGGTGTTATGAGTAGCATCATCGATGCCGATCCTTTCAATGATATCTTTACCGCAACCAAAGACAATTCAACAATGCAGGGCGTGGTTACTGCCATCTATGAGCTAGGTAAAGTGACAAAGTCCAAACCCAGAATTGCAAGCCACATCACTAATTATCTCGCAGGATGCCTCGGCGGTGCTCTTTTTAGCTTAATATTCGGCGATTGGCTTGGACGACGCAAATCAATCATGCTCGGCGCAACAATCATGGTGATTGGTGTGGTAATACAGGTTACTGCGATGAAGGGTCATGTCCCTCTTGCTCAATTTTGCGTCGGTCGGGTTGTGACAGGTGTGGGAAATGGAATGAATACTTCGACTATCCCAACCTACCAAGCTGAGTGTTCAAGATCCACGAACCGCGGTCTTCTTATCTGTATCGAAGGAAGTACAGTCGCTATTGGCACACTCATTTCTTATTGGATTGACTTCGGGGCTTCTTACGGTTCTCCCGATCTTACCTGGCGTTTCCCAATCGCCTTCCAGATTTTCTTTGGCCTACTTATCATTTTCGGAATGTTCTTTCTTCCGGAATCACCACGGTGGCTCTTTATTCAGGAAAGATATGAGGAGGGCGAGACGATCATCGCCGCTCTTTCTGCCCAAGAGATCTCTCATCCTGATGTCCAACTTCAAAAAACTATTATTTTGGAGTCAATCAGAGCGTTGGTTTTACCCTTTATTCCTTCCAGGCTTTTAAAATTCCTTGCTAATTCCATCATTGTTATTCCTACAGTTCGGGTCAAGCAGCAAAATCTACACCTATGTCCGCTGTCTTCACGGGTGGAAAAACACAGCACTTCCGCCGTATGCTCCTCGGGTCTTCGTCTCAATTCTTCCAACAAATTGGCGGCTGCAATGCCGTTATTTATTATCTCCCAGTTCTATTCAAGAAATCACTCAACCAAACAGACTTCATGTCAATGATTCTCGGCGGCGTCAACATGATCGTGTACTCGATCTTCGCCTGTATGTCCTGGTTTTTGATTGAAAGGGTTGGGCGGCGCAAGTTGTTTCTCAGCGGCACAGTTGGGCAGTGCTTGTCAATGGTTCTGACATTTGCCTGCTTAATTCCCGGTACGCCAGGCCCCGCGAAGGGTGCCGCGCTTGGTCTGTTCGTGTACATCGCTTCATTCGGTGCCACCTGGCTACCTCTCCCCTGGCTTTATCCAGCGGAGATATCCCCCATCAAAACCCGTGCAAAAGCTAATGCTCTATCAACCTGCACCAACTGGACCTTCAATTTTCTTATTGTGATGGTCACACCAATCATGGTGCGCAATATTGGTTGGGGTACCTATCTATTTTTCGCGTGCGTCAACGCTTGCTTTTTCCCAGTGATCTACTTTTTCTACCCTGAAACTGCGGGTCGATCACTGGAAGAGATTGACTTGATCTTTGCGAAGGGCTATTCGGAAAACATGAGTTATGTGCGCGCTGCGAAGGAGCTACCATTCCTTTCTGACGAAGAGATTGAGCGAGCAGCTATGCAATACGGCTTTGGTCCAGCGGAGGGGAATGGAACTACAGTTGCGTCTTCAAGTAGTGAAGATATTGAAAAGAGTTGATTGAAATTTGGCTGGCCTCGGAATTGACTTTTTCAGTATATACTATTCACTGGTAACTACTGTAGTAAACGAGATTGCAGCAGGAATAACAAGTGTCCAGATTTGACAATTTATGCGAACAAATTAATAAGCAAAACCAATAAAAAGCCGGTCTCAAGATTCTCCGGTATAAAGACAGGAAAATCTCATTTTCTGGCATAAGATAATGTATTGACTCATTGAGCTTAGTGAACCTGCAGGCTACGGTGGAAAGTAGACGCCCGGAAAATCGGCATGTGTGATCCGAGGACCCCGCGTTCGCAGCTTCTTTACTAGTACTTATTTTCCTTCCATTCAGGCAATCATCCATATTTCAATATTACCTCTGTCGACCCCTTTTCTGTTCACGATGTGGGAACCAGTGGCTGTCCCCTTTGAGAACTCCCAGCCTCTGCCTTGTCTACCTACAACAGATGAAATTCGAGCTTGTACCAATGTTCTGTGGGAGACCTTGTGCTCCAAGGTTGTGGCGGTGAACGACGATATTGTTGTAAAATATGGGGGTATCATAAACACCTGGGAAGGCCAGGCTTTGGTTTACCTTGAACGACACGTCCCAGAAGTTCCGGCCCCTCGACTTTACGCGATGTACCATGATTCCAAACAACTTTTCTTAATCATGCAACGTGTTCCCGGGGTGCAGCTAGATTCCATTTGGCCATCATTAGCGGACTTTGAGAAGGATGACATTATCGCCAAACTCCAAGTCATATTCGACGCAATGCGAAAGGCCGAGTGTCCATGGCCTGGCTTTTTCGGAGGCCTAGACGGGAACGGTGTACATCACTACCTCTTCTACAGTCAACATGGCGATCATAAATTTCTCGGGCCTTTCTCCGGCGAACCTGCCTTTGTTGCGGGCCTTGTCGGCAACTATAGAGCCTTGATCGAACGCAATAATGCGCCAGACTATAAGGCTCGCTTTTACGAAACACACCTTGCTACCGTCCTTCAAGGTCACCGGCCAACATTAACACATGGGGATGTTCAGCAGAAGAATATTATGGTCGTAGAGAATACAAGTCGCCCAAACGATCAAGGTGGGCGATCATTTGACATCGTACTGGTCGATTGGGAGAATTCCGGTTGGTTTCCTGACTTCTGGGAATTCTTTTGTGCATCTTACCCTCTTCAGTTCCAGTGGGACGAAGACTGGTCCTGGCGAGTCCAAGAGTTTGTTAAAGTATGGCCCGCTGAGATGGCCATAATGCAACTGATTGACAGGGATCTGGGCTGGTGAAGTACGTTACTAAGTTTGAATAAAATCGATGTCTTTTCTTAGCCACAGAAAATAAATAAAGAAAGAAAAATAAATGACCAGTTATCCTCATTCTAATTCTACCTATCAATTCCCCTTGCCATATGTTACATTGACAAACATTGAACCGATGCTTCAAATTTATTTATATAAAATTCCTTGGTGTCGCAACTTCGGAATCGCATACTCTGGATGTGTCCATTCAGTACACTTCACGATTGGCCGTCGTTCTTCACCTGGCCCGTCAAGGTCCCCATTCTGCTTCGTCCAAGTAAGCTTATTCTGCTTAAGCGGATCCTTGCTCCAAAAGTCAATTCCCTGCTGTTTGGTCGGTGTGGGCACTTGAGGCTTCCAAGATACCCCTTATTCTTGGAAAATTAGATTTGCGAATCTTTCCAATTTCTGTGGTTTCAAAAAATGCCTGGAACCACCGGACCTTGACTATGCGAAATTAGAAGTATAATAAAAAATATATGGAGTAGCAGTAATTCGAATACTAGGCTTTTCTTATATAAAATTAGGGAAAAAGGTTTTTCAAAAAAAAAGATATGGAGCAGCGGCGATTTGAACGCCGGACCTTTCCTATGCAACTGAGAGGTGAAAGTTAGTGAGATGATCAAGGTAATTTTGGCAAGAGTAGAGAGACATACAAGGAATGTGATAACCCCTACACTACAGCCCCGTGGTGATAAAATTCGCAAAAAATATATTTATAACACTGCCTGACAACAGCAGAATCTCCATTATGTGCATCCACTGTTAACATCTATATGATAGCCAATTCCAATCCCAATCCCAATTCAATATCTCCACAATAAAAAGGCAAACTTTTTCCAGAATGTATACAAATTACCTCTCAACCGTCCAAGACCTCCCCTCTTCTACTTTTCCTAACAGACTTGTCTTCCTATATTATTCCATCTCCCGAACAATCGCTAACTTTCCTAATCCAATTTTCCTGGCTGCCCATTCTCCGACCCCGGATATGCCTTCCAAGTTGTGAACTATCTTCATTCGTCTTCGCTGATGGGCCCCCACTCACAATCGTATTCGCGAGTATACTCATCAGGGTCCCAAGCAAGAAGCCTCGAGTCCATCTCTTTGAATTTCAGCTTTACACATTGATCTATGTAGTCCTTTTCTTTGGGTGTTAGTAGATGAAGTCTCTCCTTCCAAACATCGTCGGCGTCAAAGCTTTGAGTTGGTCCAAAAAATCGCTGGTCAATTTTATGCCAATATATCGAGTCGAATGCAAAATTATTCCGAGCAGCATACACAATCCAGAAGTTGCCGCTCTTCCAGCTGTCTCGCATTGGGCCAGAGAGGCGCTGAGTTTCTTCAAGTTGACCAGCGCAGATTGCCTCATCCTCACAATCGTTCATGGCTTGAAGAAATGTTTCAAGTCGTTTATCATATTGTGCACACCAGTCGCCGAGGCCCATGGGCCAATATTCCGGCTTTTCAATAAGAAGCCACCAAGGCGGTGCATGGGAAAAACTCGAGAGGGGCGGCGTAAGTATATTCCCAGTCCACCACTCCGACAATATCCTCAGCTTCATCAACGAGAACATTCTCTGGTCGGAGGTCATCGCACCAGACTGGAAACGGGCCGTTCTCATGGCGCAACCATTTCTCTCTCAATTTCTGGTCTCGAATTAGTTTTCGGAAGAGAAGTCGCGCCACAAACTTTCGCCGGCAATCATCCTCTGAGTCAACCGCATCGTTCCTTTGACTGAAGAGGTGCGAAAGGTGCAGTTCCGCCAGGGCGTCAAAGTACGACGATGCTTCGGAGTATATGCTATTTGGTATTTTCGATCGGGGCACTGTTCCCAGTTGCACAACCTCGTTCATGGAATATGATAAAGGCCGACTCAAAACCTTCCACGTCATACTTTTTGGATCAAGCTCAATAGACCCTATCTTACTGAGTGTAAGAGTAGATAGCGAAAGAACGATTTTGGCCAGTTTTTTGTAGAGCCCTCCCAGCCTAACCGTATCGAGGTTGGGATTCAAAATTGCACGGACGCTTGGATCTGATTCTGGATTCTGCATAAGCCTGCAGATACTTTGTTGGTGCTCGATATATTCCATGATGATAAAAGGGCCTAGTTCTGCGGGGCTCTCTTTCTTCTGTCCCCAGCGAGAGATAGAAGGTACCGGAATCGGAATTTTGTGTAGTTCTTGGGTTTGTTCCAAAATGAACTGCATGACCCTGACTTCGTTGCGGACTTTCTCTTCGGGAAACATTACAATACCAGGGAATGGGAACCTGATAAGAGCGGTGAAGCCATCGGTAAATACGATTTGAAAGCAGACATTGAATGCACCCAAGGCAATGATATCGAACTCGCACCACTCCCGAGGATAAAAATGCGTGGCAAGAAAGCGACCAACTGCGTTGAAGGGGTCATGTTCATCGAGATATTTGAACCAGCGTTTGTAGATAATCGTTCCTCTTTCCCAGGCTTTATCGTCGTAAGCAAGGCGTGGTTTCATGGTGGGCAAGAGTTGAAAGGAGATAATTAGATACTTTCTGAATGGATTGTAATATTCCGGGGTTTATAAGGGGGAGCACGAATGTATCTTATATAATGAAGTCAATCACATGATGATAACAAAGCTTGGGTCTTTTGAAATCCGGAACACTTTTATTTTGATCTAATATTACAATTCAATCAATGAAAAAAGTGCCTTGGCTTTCTTACACGAGATATTTACGGAACTGGTCATTCAGTATGAAGTATGCTAAGTAATCAAATTCTTGTAGGACAATTCGATTCCACCTTCATTTATGCTGCTTTCAGGGGCATCTGACTTTTTCCACGGTGACAAGCCATGGTTGGCCTATTTTTTGAATAGCAAGAGATCGATGACACGTCAAATGTAGCAAGATTCGCATAACTAAGTTAGTTAAAACAAAGCTCCCAATAAAGCCAATTAATCATCAGCGGCAGCAGGGCCACACCGAAAAAACATAAACGTCTTTTGGCCGCCACAGTATCTATCTGCTTTAATGCGGCAAGACTGTTGCCTACTGCCGCCTAAGGCCCAAATAGCTCTAGGTGGGTCTAGTCCCTGTCAAGAGATCCACCCGAGCTTCTCCGCCGCGGAGCCATCTTGGCATCTTGTCCCAGGCACCAGGGAAGCTAACCCACGCCAATTTTCCAATGTCTTAAAAGCAAGGAACTTCCCACCAAGAAACCTCCTTCTTTTTAATTTCCGCGCTCTACCAATTACTTAAACTACTACATCTTCCTCCTCCTGGTTTTCGTCTACTTCGCCAAATATCACTTCCCACGCATGAATTCCATTCCGATGCCCGAACCCACCCCGACTATCCCGGCCAGCGACCCTAATAACCAAGCCAAGGAACTCGCCGAAGATGAATTCTACCATCACCCTGTCTGGTCGGAGCGGTGATCCAACCCCGAGTTCACAGACGAGGGTCGTGCAAAATGGAGAGATGAGCTGTGGTATGAAAGCGAAGCTATGTGTAGGAGCGATGCCCACCGCTTCATAACTCAAAATGCGTGGCCCTGTTCCTACCCATGGGGCTTTATCATCTACCGCACGGTATATACAACCGAGTCGGAAAGATTGTGGCCTCTTGCTATGGAAAAGCTTGCCTATGCGCTCAAGGTCGGAAATCAGGATAGGCAGGGCCGTCCTGAACAATTGATTCAGGCATCGCATAAGGACGCCATACTCTCTGATATGGCTCGCTGGGATGGTGCTAGCATTGAGCATGTTCGCAACCATTTTGCGGAGTATCTGCGCAAGACTGATCAGATGGCTTACCCGCGTGACCAGCGGTATGCTCTGTGTCTTGTTATTGATGAGAAGGCTTTAAAATCCATTACTGCACCGGGGGATGAAGTCGGCTGGGTTGGAGCCGTTGATGCAAGATTTGACCCCGCGATAAAATACGATTGGCCTGGTTATTGTGGGTTCATGAGGGTGAAGGTTCGTTCTTTGTGGGACATTTACCTGAATCTTCACTTCGATCAGATGTGGAATTTATGTCCGGAGGTACCAGAGGGGTGGATTCCTGTTTATGACGGTGGAAGTAGAGTGGGGCAAGATGAGAGTGGTGAAATTGAGAGAGATATTTCGCAGCAGCGGCCGGCGGGAGTGAAACCTGCACTAGGACGTGGGAGAGGCCTGCCGACATTTTAAGAAGGAATGGCCCACCCAGGTGCCTTCAATTGTTTGACTGATTCCGGTATAACAGTTACTATGCTGTAGACATACTTTGTTGAAGATTAGTGGCAATCCAGCTGACCGTCTGTCGGTCCATGTGGCTGGTTTGAACAATTGATTGATTTTTCTCTAACGTGTTCTATAATCTACTAAATACATATTACTAGTATAGTACGATTTCCTACGGAATACTACTTTCTGCCTTCTTAAATGACAGAACAGCCTAACTAGATCTTGTGGCTAATAAAAAGGCAGGCAAGTTTCTTTTGAAGAAGGAAAAAAGTGGACTAAAAAAGAAATGATCAGACTGGGGCTCGATCCCAGGACCTTATCGGTGTTAACGATACGTGATAACCAACTACACCATCCGACCATTGGATAGAAGACGTGGCAGTAGTTGGCTATATGAAGGAGAACATAAACAGGGTCAAAATTGAGTGGGCTAAGTCCAATGTACTTTAATTCCACATGAGGAAATATCGCAGGAAAACGAAGGGTGGGAGGCGCAGGCGGTCAGAATCTCAGACAAACATTAACCCTCGCCGCTAACAACAGCCAGCAACCCCATGACCCTAACCCCGTTGAGAACAAAACGGCTTGCTCTACAATCAGGATTCAAAGGGTGTATTTGATTTTCAAGTAAAGTAGAGGACTCGAGAGTGACTTCCTGTTTTCGGGGAACAAAAACCAATCTACAGTATCAACAAGACCTTATCTTTTTAAGCGAAGCGTAGTAACTATGCGGTATCGTTAATATGCCCCTTGAGCCCCAATGGAACATCCATTGATCCATTCAATGGTTCGCTGTTCAATATCGATTTTCTTCATCTAGGTAAGGAATTCAAGTATTCAAAATTCACACAAGAAACTTCCTTCAATGCTGAAGGTCCACACACACGGTCATTCAAGGGTTATCCTCCAACTCTGTACTTGATGCCTAATTCCACATAATTAGTATGTGCTTGGGTGTTGGCAACCATGGATGTCAGAAGAACTTCCAATAAAAAAAAATGATCAGACTGGGGCTCGATCCCAGGACCTTATCGGTGTTAACGATACGTGATAACCAACTACACCATCCGACCAATCGATATGTGGAGACCAAATAATATGCGCTAGGAAGGTAGCGTAAATAACCGGGACCTAAGTGGGTCTGGGAAACGGCCCATCAAGGCACCGACGTCTGCATGTAGTATCTAGTAGTTATGCAAAGGAGAACTCACACTCTTCAGCCTCAAGTGCTTGGAATCGTAGATATTATGCATCCTTTCAAATTTTAGCTGTTACTGATGATTCTCGAAAGACAGCAGAGATAATAAAAACAGATGCCTCACATCATCTTGCGAAAATCAATCGCTGATATATATGGTACTGGTTTAGAGGTGAGCACTTGAGTGAATAATTCTCTCCACATCATCTTTGCATCCACTCAAGTGCTTCGATGTTCGACGTACATAGTGCTAACATTTGAAACATTTAGGTGATGTGATGATCAAGACGAAGATACATTATTATAATTCATCAACCTCGAGTCAACGCATCTGCTCAACTACATATGCCATCCTTCAAATCAAACAAGCTTAAAGTATCCAGGCTGTAGCTTTTGGAAGACCTGAGCCGGGTCGTATTTTGCGCTGACAGCTTTTAATCTTGCCAGGTTTTTTTCTCCATAACCGGAGAAGACATTCTGTCCAGCAGCGGCATAGTTCTGGTACACATATTTATTGAGCAGACCCGCAGAAGACGCAGCGACCTGACATCCATCCAGTATGTTTTGTGCGGCAGTCAGAATCCGGTCGTCGTCAGCAATGTCAGACCAAGATATATCAATTTGCACCACTATTAAGAAGATAAGTACGATACACCAGAGGATATTGGGGGGCACATACGATTGAGAGGACCTTGATCATCCAGCCCAAGGGCATTGCCGCCGTTCTTTGAGAAGTGCGAAATCATGTCGGTGGTGATAGGCTGGAAAACAAGCGACGGGACAATGCCAGCAACGGTCTTGAGCGGCTCGATCTCATCCATGTAGATGGCAACCATGTCCGCCATCAACGTAGCATTGTTCCCAACCATCAGGGTCCAGTAAGTCTGTCTATAATCCAGAGTCAGTGAAGGCTTTTCGTTAGTGTCCCGACGGTTGGAAACATACCGGAAACCTCCCGGGTTGGTATTATTGAATTCAATTGTTAGATTGGCTTGATCCACGATGCGGAGGGTGCTGGCGATGGCACCCTGGACAGCTGTGAAGTTTTGCAGGATTGGCGGGTTTGCAACTGGTTTCCCATATTGTAAATCTGAGGCTATGATATAAGTATCCACTGATTGTGCATACGCGTAGGCGATGATGACCTGCGCGTAAGGATCAGACGGGGCGTTGACTCCAAGGTAATAAAAAGCTTCGTTGATGGCTGCTGCCGTCTCGGGGGTATATATGAAGGTTTCCGAACCAGCCCAGAGATCACCCTGGGGGAAGGTCATGAGGTCGAAACGGGTGACTATCCCGAAGTTATTCCCCCCACCACGGAGAGCCCAGTATAAATCAGAATATGGCGAAGAGAAGCTGACTTCTCGAATGGAACCGTCCGCGAGCACGACCTGGTAATTATTGACATTGTCGCAAGCCCATCCGTAGCGACCGGAAAAGAATGATATGCCCCCGCCTAGAGTCAGTCCGCCTACGCCGATGGCCGAGACTCGTCCACCAATCACAGTGAGCCCCATGGGCTGGAGCGTGGTGTAGACGTCGTACCAGATATTTCCAGCACCAACGGCTGTCTGGGCCCGGTCAGATCGCACGGTAATCTCGTTGAGATTGGCCAAATCAATTGTCATCCCACCCTGGATGTTCGACGCTCCCTCGAAAGCAGCATGGCCACCACTTTTCACGGCGAATTCGCACTGAGCCACCTGGAGGGCTAGCACTGCAAAGGAAACATCAAGCGCGGACTCGGGTGAGAAACGACAGGTCGGCTCCGTCAATGCTTGCTGCTGCGACCAGTACCCCGACTCCTCGAGCCTGTAGCTGGTGCTGTTCGGATACGAGATCTGTGATGGCAGCGCATACTCTAGAAAGCCACACTGGGATGGGTCAGCAGATGCGAGCGGTAAAAAGCGAAATGGTGGTTTCTGACCGCGCGCGTGCAGCCGAAGGGCAATTGGCCTCGGGTGCTCAGCCAGCCGTTCTCGGCGAGCTGAAGGTACGATGAGAACTGAGCCTCAACCTGATCTAAGGTATAGGCAACGATCTTGACACTCAATACTGCTAGCGAGAGGATGCGGAGAGCGAGAAGCCGCATCCTGAGGTACGACTACAGAACGCAGAGAGTGAATCGAGTAGGATGAAGGATGCAGCTCGCCCGTTTTACTGCCCGCGGAACGCTAGTTATGTCCATTGATTATTACAAATCTTAGGTACAGCGGCTATACCCAATTGGCAATAAGGTAGCATCACTATAGCCTAGCTAAGCGGCCTGAGCGGCCGCTGCGCGATTCCGAAGGCTTCTAACTTCTCACCCCCACTTCTCACCCTCCAGCTGTCTACTGCCCACTCACTGGCACCCTTGTCGCCCCCGGTCGCGCGACGCCGAAATGAGTCTCGCCCATTCCTCAACTAAAGTTCTGTGCGTCTCTAATGATCTTTGCTATATATCCTGCTCAAAGTGCATTTTCAGTACATACGGTCATAGGGCGTGGAGAACAGGGCTTCCCGTCCGCTCAGCCGGACTTAAGCCACACTTGAGTTACTTGATTTTGTAGATGAATTGGGGATACAAAAACTCCTCAAATGAAATAAGAGGCCCTTGGATGTAGGGTCATATACCATTTGTGCTTCGGTGAATCATGAATTTCCGTTGTATTCCATTCAAAATTCTATGTTGACACGTTTTGCTCACGAGGCCCGTCAAATCGATGGCTTAGCAACCTAATTGCGCACATAAACTGTGAGGATTTTTGTTACCAGAAGCCACCTCTTCAACCCACAGCCGAATTTGGCGACGCCCAAGCCAACAATTCAAAAAACCCACAGCTGCTCCATAATCCCTTTTAAGATCACTCGCATCGAATAGATCTGCCCACCCCGGGTCCAGTCTTCGTATCTCCTCCATGGAGACATCTCGCAGAATTGTTGCTTCATATTCATCCAAGTGCTCCCAGTAAGCAGTCCTGGGTTGTGGATTACCTGAATCGTAGTCTTCGATATCGGGTTTTGTATGACGTGGTTGTCCGAGCAAAAATTTGGGATAATAGCAAGTCTTCCATAATGGCATCGCTGAAACGAACTCCCAATCCAATACACCTGCTAGATCTCCTTTGTCGTCAACCATAATATTGTACAGCGAAAGGTCCTCGTGGAAGATCACACTGGGCTCAGCAACTTCGGTATCGACTGGGAAAACAATAGGGAATATGTTCTCTAGGCCCTCGATAACCTTGAGCATCTTCTCTGCGACTTCTATGTCTTCTTTGGTGTCGTTATCGAGATCTTCACGTCCGGCATACTCATCTAGAATTTGTTGGTAGTCGTTTCTGGAAAGGGCAAGACAAACATCTATCCAGTCTTTGGTACATGAAAATGGCCCTCGAGGCACATTCTGGCGACCGTGGGAGCCCGAGAAAAAATCGAGGGACACAACCTGACCCGTCTGAGTCCCTTCATTTTCCAGTCCTTCACTAGTCTCACTGGGCACGGTTTGCTCAGCCAGGGCCGATTTCCCATCTGTCGTTGCTGATGAGTAGAGGTTGCCGATACCCTTGAGTTGGTTCCTCCAAAGAGAAACAGAAAATTCCGCAAATTTTCTGGTCAATTTCGACTTGGCAGGAATGTCTAGTTGTCTCCAATGATCGGCTAAAGGCTTCCCATGAATTTCTGTCATGAGTATCCACTCAAATCCTATCTCACTGTCCCGAGTGGCATCATAAGCGATGATCCTGGGCGTGGGGATTTCTGTTACCCTTTGGATCCATTTCATAGTGGCCACTTCACTTTGCGTTTTTCGAATGGGTTCGACGGGGAGAGAAACGCGAAGGATTAGGAACTCGTCGTCGAGCTTGACACGGTAGATTTTGTTGAAGGTGCCCTCAGTGAGGTAGCTGACTTGGATCGCGTGCGACGGATAGAGCGATTGAAGTGTTCGCTCTATGGCGCTGATTTCGGGCTCATAAGTCCATCGAGGTTCTAGGCCGAATATGTTTTCGGTCCAAGTCAAGCCGTGATAAAGATCTGAAGTCATTTTGGGGAGACCTGAAACATTGGTTAGGTTGAAAAGATGCCAGATGGGCTACAATAAGATAATGGGATATTGTCGCGTGGAGTTAATGTTTATCCGCAGCCTGAATTGGCGGACTGTGGCGCACGTACACAAGTGACAGGGTGCGACAGGTTTAGAGGACCCAAATCCGCGCGGCAGTTAAACTCCAGTTAAAGAGCTCCCTGATTGATGGGAACGAATGCCTCCACATGCAGTTTGATAGATCATTCATTGTTTGCTCAGGTAAATAGATCATGTAAATCCTGCGAGTAAGGTCATGGTGACTCGGTGAGTGATGAGTTGAGGATACCACATGGCTGGGGGCGCCCGACCACGCCCCAAATATCTGCTGTGATATACGTTCTAGAATTTCCATAATCCATTCAATGTTTGTTTTTCCAGTAGATATGATCGTGCAGATATCTTTTTCATCATTTATTCCTTCCTATAATCTTATAAGGGTATTTCCTGTTTATGTGGAACAATCTTGTATTTTTTTTTTTTAAATGGTCGTTAACTGTCCAGATTTCTGTCCAGATTTCTGTTCAATTGCATGTATTCAGAATGATATATAAATTCGTATACATATTCAGAGAGGAGAGAGATTGTCAGATCTACACTGTAGAACTGGAGAAAACGAATGGAAATGAGGAGGAAGAAAAAGAAGGATCAACTGTGATATTCTTCTTCACTGAGCGGGATGGAGGGGAAAGGAAGGAGAGAAGGAGGAAAGGAGAGAGAAGCTCTCACTTCCCAGACTACTAATTACCAACACCAGAACCAGCACTCTAACACGAAACTAAAACGCGCTGCAGCATGACTAGGAGCAGACCATGTGACCAGAATGGGTCATATCATACATGGTTCACTTCTCCTAACAGAGATCTACCTAGACTGCTCTGCTACCATGTGGATCCTTCTCCTCTTTCCCTTTCTTCACACTCCTCCATCCAACTCCCCATGCGAAGACAAATTGCGCACAGGATAGTGCGGCATTCAAATAGAAAACCCGGTCTATACTCTGCGCATACGCTACCAACACTTCGGGAAGGTCCTGCGCCGACACAACTTGGCGGAATCCGGTCGCCCCGGCCTGGATGACTGTTTCGGCATTCACAGAGGGGGCGTACTCGGGAATCTTCGTCCTCAGGCCCTGAGCGAATATGACTTCTGCCACGGCCAGGAAGATGGACCCGCCAAAGGTCTGGGCACAGGTCATCATGGCCATAGCAGTGGATACGTCATCACCTTTGACCGCGTTTTGGATGGCGATCATTGGCTGGATGTGTATCAGTATATTGAGAAAGAAAAGAAGAAGAAGAAGAATAAGGAAGAATGCAAAACTCACAACCTGGGAGATGGCACCTCGACCGAATCCTACCAGTGATTCGTAACCGGCCCAGGTGGGCACCGAGGTAGTAGGTGACAATGTGGAGAGCAGGCCGTTTCCCACGGCATCTAGAATAGCTCCGAGAACAGCCCAAGGAAGATAGTAACCTAGCTTTGAGGCTATCGATACTGATGAGCTTTGCCAAAGAAGACGAGAGAGAATGGGAGACACTCACTCAGCACCCCGGATGCCACGGCCATGACTAGCTGGCATAGAATGGTTGGCAACAAGTTGACACCGCTTAACAAGGCGGACTTGCCTCGAACGGACTGGAAGTAGATGGGCAGGTAGTATGAGAGAGTCATCGTAAACCCAAAGATCATCATGGATAGTAGACTGCTGGAAAAAACAATTTTATCGCGGACTAGATGACCCGGAATCATTGCCTTGATGCCCATATGCCGTTCCCACAAGGCAAAAACCACGAAAGTCGCAACTGATCCACAGAACAGGCCAATGACTGTCGCACTGTCCCACGAGTAGCCATTCCCACCATACTGCAGCGCCAGAAGAAGCATGATTGAGGCCGGTGCGAACAGCACAAACCCAATTAAGTCAAACTTTTGCATGAAGACGGAACGCAGGATCTCTCGGGCAGGCTGTTTTGGCTTTTGGTCTGGGATCCGTGTGAATAGGAGCAGGGCACTAACTAATGCCCCGATGGGAAGGTTCATATAGAAGCCTAGAACAAAGTCAGTAGTGCCTTTCTGACGGGAGAATATCAGTATAGGTTGCGAAGCCTTACACCATCGCCAAGTCGAGTAAGTTGTAAAAGCACCACCAACTAGGGGCCCTCCAACCAAGCCCAGTTGGCCCACTGCGAGAAACGTCAGCCCTGCGGAAAGATCAATTTCTGTCGAGCGCCTTACCCCCCATGATGATCCCAATCATCGCCGGTCTCTTCTTGATCGGCACTGCACCGGCCAGAATATTTAACGCCCCGTTCATCATGCCCGATGAACCCATTCCTGCAACCGCGCGCCCGACGATGAGCATTTTGGAAGAGTTTGCTACCCCACAGATCAAGGAGCCCACTTCGAATATACTGAAAAAAGAGAGGAGTGTCCACTTCGAAGAGAAGTAAGTGTAGAATTTCCCGGTCAGCGGCTGGAGAGCGGCACTAGAGAGTGAGTGATGGCTGTCGTTAGCTATTTTTGTTATGCCTTTCTCTATATTGCATTACATTCAACCATACCTGGAGATTGTGTACGCACTCCCATACCATGCAACATCATCGAGCGACTTAAACTGATTGGTAATTTTTGGAATGGCCTGTTCACGTCAGTCTAAACTTTCAGCTCTCCAGCATTCAAATGCTCGTCGTACCGTCGAAACAATCGACATATCCAACAACATCAAAAACACGACAAGCGTGATACCTGCAATCACCATCACCAGCGCCTTTCCCTCCACCCATTCTGGCTCGTACTCATCGCTCTTATTGGAGTTCTCTGCATTCAGATCATGGTTCCACGGGGTGTGTTCGGATTTCAGAAGATGTGGCTGGCTGCCTTCGTTCATATTGGCGGCGCGATGGAGCTTGGATGGCCGTTTTCTGTCCCAATATATGTTGAAATTCCTTGAGACTTTCAATTGGTATTGCACTGAACGCTTTAGACCAAATTAAAGAGGTACTAGTAGGCTTTGGATTGTTTAAGTATGGGTATGGGAAGGGAAACACGGCGTTGGATGCTGTCATCCCCGAACGCCGTTCTTCCCGTTCCATCCCCGTTTGAACGCCGCACCTACCGTGCCAACTCGCCGGGTGCACAAGGAATTATGCTTGAATTCTATTAATTCAAATTGGTAGGAATAATTTAAATGAATATTCGTTTACATTTGAAACAATTGTATTCAATAGGAATGGATTGCTTCAAATGCCAATGATTGAGCTGGGGGTCTGTACTATAATCAACAATCAGCAACCCATGGATTTTTCAAATGTTGATATCCAAGATCCCAAACTTTTGTACATTGATCTGAGTAACAATCTACTATGTAAGTATTTACCAGCATTATATGAACCCCCCGGTCCCAACCCCCTCCATCAACCACGCCATCTCTGACCAGTTCATAAAGCTATCCAGATCACTCATCCCCATGCTCGATAAGAATGGCTCACCTGAGCTTTGATCGGCTACCACCTCCGGGCACTCTGGTAATAGTACTGCCCATTCACTCCGAAGCTTCTGCATCATCATACCCAACTTACTGAACGGATCGCCGTGCGCCCCCTCACTGCGCATCCCAACCGCATCCGCCACCTGGCCCATGCGCGTGGCAATCTGCTCTGCAATGACAAGTATGTCCACCGTGCTTCTCACCGCGCTCTTGTCCCATCCCGGGTAGTCCAAGGTCGATAGGCGGAAGAGGGTGACCAAGCAGTGCGACACCTGTGTAAGATAAGAGAGTGCCAGGGACGAGTATCCAGCTGGGGGAATTGTAAAAAATAGATCAAAAAACCGTTTCACCACGTGGAGACAGGCGTAGAGGTGATCGAGTCGCTGGGGGCTGAATTCTTCGTCTGCAAGGGGCTTTACTAGAGCGACCTCATAAAGACTAAGCTCAGTGTCGTACAAATGAAAGAGAATGGGTTCTAAGACCGGTTAAATAAGTAGCTATAAACGGAATATCTTCAATTGCCAGGGGATTTACATACTGTTATCAGCCAGTTGAATGGGGATCTCGGCCTTGATCGTCTCCAACCGTGACTGCAGTGCCTTGAGGTGGAATGCAGCTAGGTTTTGCGTCGCATTGAGGCCATACAGGCCCTCGCTCCAGGGACCTTGAAGAATTTGGTCCGCGAGAAGTCGGGTGCGCACGAGCTGGACTAGCACCCCATCACCAGGCGATTCTTCACTGTGCGCTAAGAGATCAAGACATTCCTTCATATGCGGGGTCCATCGCAATGGATCCATTCGACCCAGGAACTGAGCGATTCTGTACCAGGTCTGTCAATTTGATGTTCAATCCCTTGACTAGATATGAGTTCTTACATCGATGTCAGCACATAGCAGCTCAATACCGCCCGGCGTTCATTCATTGTGCGCAGAGTTGAAATCGATGCTTTCAAACCCGGCACATGGCCTACGGCATTGGAGTTTGAGACTGTCATGCTAAGATCCGGAGGCGCGGGCTTGTCGAGGCCGAGCTCAAAGACTAGCCCGATCGCCATTTGGGAATAGATACAGAGCGATGACTTTTGTGGCTGGCTGTGTAACGTGATCCTGGTCGATGGTAAGCGAGGAAGGGAGAGAATTTCAGCAAATCCCATGTCAATCAATCACCATGGGAGGTGAGCACACCATACCATGCAAGATAGACCAACACTCCCTGCAATAGATCCAGGGACTTATCGCAATCAACCAGCAGCCGCTTCCCCGCCAGCTCCCGGATCCTTACACACAAGGCTGCTTGACGTGCTGTATGCTTACTTTCCACAGTCATGATACAACGCCACAGAAATGGCGACTGCCGTTTCAGGTCACGAGCGGTTGTTGTGGCCGGTATGTGGATCAGGGGGAGGAACTGCAGCCGCTGAGTTCGAAAAGTGTGCAGAGACTCTTCTTCAATTGCTAATGTTTCTTCATCTTCCCTTTCTGATTCAAAATCAATTTGCCCTCGAATTGGAATTGGCAGATCTGTCCGAACGCCGGAGGAGGAGGTCAGCAGTGACATCAGGCCATCCATTTTCCGTTCCAGCTGAACCGACCTGGACAAGGTCTGGGGCTGGGTCTTGCGACGTCCCTCAGGAGCGCGGCACTCCTTGTTCAAACGGTGACATCTGTGAACAATATCAGACTATGATAAATCTCACAATGAGTTCCCATCCTACTGCGTTAATAATCTTCTTCCGCACGGAGTTGGTGCCCTCACCTTTCACAGCGGCTGCCCCCACCCCTCCGGGGGACGCAACGACACTTGGCACGAGCACAGCTGGCACAGGCATTTCCATAAGGCAGAGGCGAGCGCACGGTGGATTCCATCCTGGCCGCTCACCTGCTTAGTGATCTAAACCGAGTGGAAGCAGAAGACAAAAGGGGGGAATGGAACTGGAACAGGAAGAGCAACAGGGAGAAGGACAGGGATCGGAAACGGCATTCGACGAACGCCGCTCGAACGCCGCTCGCCCACCTAACCAGCCCCACTCACCCCTTTCAGTGAGGGGACGGTCCGGTCCGGTCGATTGGATCGGTTCCCAGGGTTTTGTGACGAACTACTGCTCTGCAGTTAACGCCGAAGGCAGTAAATATAATAACGCTCTACGGATTGCTCCTAACTAACCAAGGTTGCATGATCATCCATTGCGAGGAGCACCACTCAAATGTTTCTGGAAAATAACAAATTCAAGTTTTCATACCTAATAATGTACACGGGTCACAAGGTCCAAAAGAATATTACTCAGAAGCTAGCCATTTCAATCCAACTAGCCACAAATGCCAGCCGGCGCCCCTTATCGGCTGCCATTCGGCGGGCAAACTCATCATAATTGAGTCTGCCACCATTGCCACCGCGTTCCTTCGCTTCACGCTCCACTTGATTCAAGTATGCCCAACGGGCGAGAGTTCGCGACGAAGGTCGGCGAGGTGTGCTGATGGGCCGGGGCGGAGAGTGTTTTGGAGGGGGGAGCGGTTGCATGGGAGAGGGAGGAAGAGGAAGCTTGGGAGCTGTTTCTTCAGCCTGGGGGGAAGAGTGAGGTGATGGAGGAGCGGGGAGAGAAGTGGTTCCATGAGGCTCAAGACGAAGTCGTTCGGGCAGATCGGAGTGGGAACTGTGTGAGGACGTTTCAGTGCCAGGGCCATCGGTAATCACTTGTGGCTCATCACAGAAAGAGAGTCGAGGTCTGAGTGTCTCTGCATCTGGACGGAATTGTGGAAGGGTTGGATCGTAGTCCATATATTCTTCAATGACTGACTCGGGTTCATCGTCTGAAGATCCATTGTAGGAGGCGGCGTCGGAAATATGGACCTGGCCGTCCGGATATGTTGAGCTGGCGAGCGAAGCTGTATCGGAATCATCGTCAAAGGAAAGATCCTGACCGACCCCATATTCACTTTCCGGGTCGGAAAGATGTGTAGGTCGGACGTCATCATCAGATGATGCCACCGCACCAGTAAACGGAGGTGCTAAAACTGGCCCTGGCAGAGAGGTCTGAACAGTGTAACCGGAGCGATGAAGTAACTCATCGAGAGATCGGGATCTTTCGGACAATTCAGTTCTCATATCTTGAAGGTCTTGCTCCCTGGACCATTCAGGTTCCTTGAGAGGTGGCGGGGGTGGGGGAGACATTTGCACAAGCTGGATCTCATGGGCCCAGATCTTACGATCTGCGCGTGTTCGATATACCTCCATGAGCAGATCTTCCTTTTGTTTGAACAGAAGATCGAGGAGCTCATTGAAACCCTGCTGCGTGACTTGATACAGGATCTCCTTACCGGCGTCTCTTTCAACTTCTGGAATTTCAAAGCCACCCCATCGTTCACCAACAGGGATGCTTCGTGAAGAGGTCGACGGGTTGGATCGAACGTCATAATCATCGGCGATATCATCTTGGAATCGGACCTTAGAAGATGAACGTGAGCGGGGTGACGGCGGGTGTGAGTCAATTGGCGATTCAGCAATCGAGTCTTCATAGTCGTCAAAAGTCGGATCTCTTTGGTAGCCTTCCGGGATAGTGCCGCCGTCTTCCTCGTCGGTATAGAACGCACGACGTCGCCAGCGCTCGTCAATTCCATTTCGGCGGGTTTCGTTAATTCTTCTTTGATCTTCTTCACGCATTCTGTTGTACACGGCTGTCACGATTCGGGCCCTATCGGTCGCATGGTTGATTTGTTCGGGGGGTACATACGTTCCGAGGGCTTCAATAATATCCTCCTCGTGGATGTGCTCCGGGGGTGGCCAGCCACCTCCCATCGCAATGGACGAGCCTGATTCATCCGAGTCACTACCGTCGTCTTCTTCATCGTTGTCGCCGTCATCCAATTGTGCAGGTTCCACAACGGATCGACGACGGATGGACACAGTACCTGGAAGTTGTAGAGTAGATGGGAAGATTGGCCTTGTTCGACCGAATTGTTCTCGAGCAGCTGCGTCTCCAATCACCAAATGTCGATCTCCAGTGTCAGGACCGTCTCGTCGCAGGATTCCTCCATTATCAACAATTTCCATGTCGCCATCAACATTCACGCGCTTGCCTTCACCAGTTCGCGAAATCTCACTAGTGGGAATATTGCCAGGAAATGCGGAGCTGATGGGCTGGCTACCGAGGACAACGTCACGAGCTCCACCTTCAAGAAAGTCGTCTTCCAATCCGGCGACCATATCACGAGTAAGTTCTCTGCTGAGTGTATAGTAGGCTCTGAACACGCGTAGAAAGTCCTTTCGCTCGACGTAACCATCACCGTCAATATCATACCCACGGAAAACACGTCGCAGTCGTTCATCGTTGCTCTTATTGTTGAGACTAGCCAATCCCTTCAAAAACTCTTCAAATCCAATAAGATTATCTCCATTGGTGTCGTAGAATGCAAACATACGATCGTAGATCAGACTTGGAGGAGGGGGACGAATAGATGTGTTGGGCACAAAGCACCGATCAAAGGTTTTGCGATCAATAGCCATGTAAAGCTTGTTAGGATCATCTGCCCATTCATGACTTGCAAGACAACGGAACTGATCCCAGAGGGCATCGAGCTCTGTGTTTTCAAAGTTGGTCTCTCGACTTAAGCGCTTCGCCAATGGTCGTGGAAGGTTTCGTGGGAGCATTGCCGGTTTTCCGGGATACCATACAGGCTGGGATTGACGCGGATTTCCTAAAAATGGAGCTGGGATCCTGACCTTGTAAAACAGATGCGTTTTGATGTGCACTTGCATTGCCTCACAGGTCTCACATAGATCGTAGTCAATGCAGTTTGCACACCGATAGCGGATGCCCTGAATAGGCATGGCCCCGCAGCTATTGCAAGTCACTCCTCGGTGGATGTACCCATCCCTGCGCGATTGGTCCTCCGCAATGTGGTAAAGCAAGTTAAGCAAATTTTGGCCTTCTCGAGTAGGCGATCCATCATTGTTTCCCTCACGCCAAGAGAAAACGCTCTGGTCCTCTGGGGCGGGTTCTGCAGTTTCGGGGACCGGAGGAGCCACGTCGGGGAAAGTCGATGTTGAAAGGGTGACGCGTTCGCCATTCTGCCTTCGCCGGCGCAATTCATCGCCGTAATTATCATCAGCATTGAATCGGATGAGCGCCCGCTCGATTCCCGCACTGGAAATTCCTCGTCGCTGCAGCTGTTCTGTGAGGTATGTTCGCTCCACACTCTCTTCGGGGAGAGTGTGTGACGCGGGAAAATCAAGCGCAAGGAAGGATTCCAAGAATGTGTCCTCCATCATCTCGCGCATGCGCTCGGCGTGAGCTGGCGGTACGCCGACTTCCTCCATCAGTTGATCGCGGGTTGCGAGCAATGACGGTAATAGGCCACTTTCCACACGGCGACCATCTTCGGTCTCTATACGAAATGTTCCGTAAACTCCATTTTGGCGTTCAAGCTGCTCGAGGTGGGTGATTGCCCGATAAGAGGGGGTTTCTGTGATTGCTGACTCGTCGTCTTCGTTTCGTCTTGTGCGGCGGACGGCGCCTCGGCGGCGGAGGGAGGGTTGGGAGGTGGACGACGACACTACATTGTTATGGATGTAAAGAAGGGCATAAGCTGCTGCAACGCCGGTGAAGAGGTACAAAATAGGCCGGTATCGTGTCAGTGACACTGGCCCAGAACGCGACTCGGACATGGCGGAGCTTGAGCTGGTGAAAGCTGCAGGGGAGATGTCACGATGAAAGAACTGCCATAATTTGGTTTCGATCGAAATTCAATACCAAATAAATGTCAGAAGACGTGATGACTTGAGAGTTGAATGTCGAGTTCGAGGTTGGGGTTGTCATGAACTGCCTGAGGACTTGGTGAGGTGAAACGTCACGGGGGTGGAGCCCCAGAAATTAGGTGTCGGTAAGTCAATGCAATCTATTATGCAGACCGATACAAACGTTGATTATTTACTAGCTACATCACAAACTCATACCTTACGACTTCTTGGCCTTTAAAATGTTATTCATGAATCAAATTTGTTCTCTCAGTACATTTGTACATAAATGTGACGCTGAATGACCCCCAAAAATGGACCTGGGAATCTAAAGATTGGCTGTGGTATGTGGCGGTATAGAAACAATTTTAGGTCATCCGTCTAATGCAAAGTTTTGACCACGAACTACGCAACGCTAGATTCCGTGTTAAGTATGATTTGTAAGTAAAATCAGCTCGGCTCAAATGATTCATCACCGTTTCAGTTTAGCCTCATGTATGAAGCAGGCGCTGAAAAAGGCAAAGAACACCACTATAGCCAGAAGGCCAAAGCCCTTGTTAGTCGACCAGGCATAGCAGTTGCGGACGATCTTGGCAATATCGGGGTCCAATCGCTTGATATAGTTAAGACTCTCTCGTACTCCGTTAACAATTTCGTCAATGTTTTTGCTGTCATGCAGATCGGAACGAAGCCGCTCCCGCAGAAGCTGTTGGACCACACTGGACGATAATGAAACTCCAATTACGGATCCCAAGGATCGGAACAGGTATGAGCAGGCGGTGACTACTGCCTGGTCTTCAACACTGGAGTTCGATACTAATGACGTGGTTAGTAGCTGGAAGGGTCGCAGGACGTGAACAAGACTCACTCAATCCAATCAAAGTCGTCGTAACTCCTATTCCATTACCGAATGACGACATGACCATTCCAATGATCATGCACACAGTGCTTGTCATGATACCACCTGAAGAAAGGTAAATCAAGGTGCAGCCAGAGGTCAAGCATGCATATGCCGCAAGAGTGAGCCAATAATATTTCCCGGTCCATCGCATAATAAGACCAGCGAGAATTGATCCTGTAGCACCAGAAACAATACTGGGCAATAATCGCACTCCAGCAACGGTGGCCGATACGCCATCAACGGCTTGGAAATAGAGTGGAATATAGAAAAGGGCAGCAAGCCATCCCCCAAAGCTGAAGAAGTTACAGCAATAGAGAGAGAAAAAGGTGCGGTTGAAGATGATGTGGCTCGGTGCAAAAGGCTCGACTGCCAAATGGCGTTCCACCAGGATGAAGACAATGAAAAGGAAGGCCGACACGCTCAGCGAAATGATTGTTAATGGCATCGTCCATGAAACATTGCTGCCTCGATCCAAACCTATCAAGAAACCTAGGACGGCGCCGACGAGGACAACGGCGCCAAGGAAATCAACACGCTTAAGCTTTGTCTTCCAGTGTGTGTTTTCGCGGGCTGGAAGCTTGAGCACGAGAGATACAGCAATAATCGCCATTATGCAGAGGGGGAACTGTGATAAGAAAGCCCTGTATAATTTTTGTCAGAAAGTCCATACTTATTTTCAAAATCTGGTTAAACATACCAACGCCAGCCGATATAGTCTGCGAGGATCCCGCCTAGAGGTGCGCCAGCACTCGATCCAGTAGCGTAGGCAAGATTGAGAATCCCTTGCCAAAGACCTCGATCACGTAAGGGGACAAGGTCACTCATCAAAATACTGACAACAGTGGTCATACCACCACCTCCAATACCTTGGATCACCTAATTCCGGGTCAGTATTCGAATTTGAAGAGCCAGTGCTTTACATGAACATACGCGTGCCGCAATCAGTTCATTGATATTGCGTGCGAGTCCACAGCCTAGATTTCCCATTCCGAATATGACATAGGCAGTAAGGAGACATCCCTTCCGGCCAAAGATATCGCTTAATTTGCCAAAGAGCGGTTGAAAAGAGGTTAGAGTCAGGAAGTACGAAGTAGCAATCCAACTGGTCAAATTCAGAGCTTTCAAATCACTACCGATTTGACCATAACTGGCCATAATAATAGTTTGATCTGCAGCCGACATAAAAATCTAGATTTCCATTAGCCGAGGAATGCAAAAGCGGCGCGGAAAGGCAAGATGAATAAGGGATTCGTCTTACGCCTAATGAAACCGCCGGAACAAGATATTTGAGTTGATTATTCGCATCTTGAAATGGCTCCTTGGCCAAGTCATCATCCTCTTCACTTAATTCCGCCCGTTCCTCGTGGGGGATGTCAATTGCTCCGGTAGTTGCATCGCGGCTACCGGGCACCAGTAGCGGGGAGGTTTCGGAGGGATTCCGCTCGAGCGCCATGGCGATAGTGCTACTCCGTGTGTGTCAATAGATCAATTGACACGGGTATCCCACATTTAATATTGAAAGATGAATTTTTTCTGAGTCTCAGCTTTGAGTGAGTCAAGAAGAGGAAGCACGTCTTACCTTATTCAAAAGTCCTCACACTCACGTGGTGATAAGCGGCCTTCCCCCGCTCTGGAAACAGAGAAAATAGTGGACTCAACCAATGAGCGGTGGCAAGATTGGTTTTATTCTCCTCACTCGAGTGCTCAGATCCCGCGTCGGCAAAGCTGAGCCGTGATAAGATTAAGGCGACCGATAACGTGGTATTACAGTGGGCCATCGGCGGACGGGCCGCTTCCAGACGACAGTAAGCCTCGGTCAACATCTTACTGTTAGGCAAGACATCATAAACCCAAAGTGGAAGCATTTGAGGCTGAATGCGATGGATGCTTACCATGCTAGCCCCAAGGTCCTAACCTTGGAAATATGGCAGAAGATTGATTGAAATTGATTTGGACCGCAACTCCACCCGTGGACACCATCATAATGAGTTCTGGGGATTTCTAAAAATATGGAGTTTATTTCCGGAAAGAATCGAGGCTGGAGCTCGAAAATGCGCAGTTGAAGTTCTAGCTCTGGTTCACGTTCATAGTTCCCGTTGGTCATCAGTTGTGGGCACCTATAACTATCTGGATGTTGTATCTCATTCAAAGTTGATGCACTTGTGGATAAATTGGAAGTACTAGGCACATATCCGTATCGAATCTTGGAAGGGAGGCACCTGGTTGGTAGGCTAAAATATCAATTGTCAACCTGCACCTGTGAGCTTGTTGACAAAAAACACATTATAAGCCTCAATCATATCTTCTCGAATAGACTCGTCTTCTATGGTAAAAGGTCTGGAAATTCCAGGAACCTTGTCTTCCAACCGAGCTTGAAAATATTCAAAAGATTGGAAATATCTAATAGGTCCATAACGGAGAGAAATTTACCGTGAATGAATCTTGGAGGAATTTGAGCTCATGTGTTCTGCGTTCTAAGCAACAGAGATCTAATAAAATGCTCATTTGGCAATATATGACCCAACTTCACGTAAAAGAAAGTGAGAGAGGATGGGAAGTGTCACGTACTACTAGTGGTATACACCGGCGTTCCAAGGTGTGAGGTGTGAGGTCTTTATATAGTGAACTGGGGAGGGGAGCTGGCTACAACCTCTCGCGCTTCCCAACTTCATGATTCAAACCATGTCGCCTTCTCGCCTTCTCACCTTCACATCTTCACACCTTCTCACCTTCTCACCTTCTCACCCTTCCCCTACATCAAGCACGTGACAGTCTCTTCGCAACCATTGTAAACCAACAAGATGGCTCCTCCAAGTGGAGACCTGTTGAATGAGAATGACAAAATTATCATTGAATTCTTGAAATCCAAATCGGCAATCTTTACCAACCTTTTGCAAGTTCAGGATGAAGTAGGACATGCTCGATCTTTATACCTCATTCACGTGCATATCACACTGACATTACTACTCTTCCTGTTAGGTATGGAAGTCTGCCGAAGCCGATAAATACTATGAAGGACAAAAGGCACGTGCTGTTGTCACTGTTTCCGAAGCCCAGCGAACTGTCTTTTTCAACATGATGAAGGTACTTGGTGACAAGCTGCAAAAGATTTACAATTTGATCCCTCCCCCCGCCAAGAGAATGAGCTATGATGTTCTCGATCTATGCATGGCACCTGGAGGCTTCACTTACACTGTGTTGAAAAGCAACCGTTACGCAAAAGTGTGTGCTATCAGCCTGCCCCCGAGCGAAGGTGGAATTGAAATCTATCTCGACGACTGGCAGAACAACCCACGACTCAAAGTCGAGCTGACTGATCTCACTATGCTTGCCGGTGAGATTGGATTCTCAATCCCGGCATCGCAGGACAATCCTTCGCCTACTGCCAAGTTCTCAAACCGCACTCTGTTCCCTGGACAGCAGTTCGACCTCATCTTTTGCGACGGACACGTTCTTCCCGCTCCTGATTCGGAAGAGGAATCCGGATACATCGCTCGTCGTCTCTTTGACGCGCAGATTGCTATGGCTCTGCAGAAAATCAAGCCTGCTGGGACCTTCGTGATGCTCTTGCACCAGGCCTGGACTCAACGCAACCTGCGGCTTCTGGAAGCATTTAACCAATTTTCTCAGCTCAATCTCTTCAAGCCTTCTACCTGCCATGCGAAGCGTAGCTCGTTCTATCTCGTGGCGAAGAACGTGGAGCCCCAGCATAAAAGAGCACGCCGGTTGCTTCGGGAGGCAAGAGCTTCGTGGAGATTACGCACAGCCAATGCATTTGGTATTGACATCCCTGAGACCTCTCGTGAGGAGAGTGTTGAAGAAGAGCCCATCAAGGATATCGTGGAATCGTTTGGCGAGGAATTGGTCAATCTTGCTGAGCCTATTTGGACGATTCAGATAGACGGTATGACGAGGGCATTCCTGCGGGGAAAGGATGGTAATGGTGAACAGGCAGGCGTGTAAATCATGTTTTACGACATGAGATTGACTACCGTGTGTGTGCTGTGATCATCAAGTACTAGTATGTTTGTTATGATTTATTAAGTTTAGTTAGCCAAAGTGAACGCTCAAAACTCAATGATATTAGTCTTTTAATGAAGCGCTGCCCCATTGGCCCATCATCCATGGTTCCGTAGTGGCGATCCCTGCCTAATTAGTAATATACCATTAGCGTAGAGCCTCAGGCACGAGGCGCCGGTTAACTAAAAGGACCCGGCTGACTAATCTCCCCGGTCGATCAAATTGGAAAGAATCGCTCAATTAAGCAAAGGCCGATACCGCAGCACGTGACTGGGGTTTTTGCTCCGGGGTTCTCCAGTATCCAGGGACCTTGCACTGTTCTCATAGGATATTCCATATCCGGCTGCATCATGGCTGCTGTCACTCCTAAGCAGAAGGTGGTGGTTGTGGGCGCGGGACCAGTTGGATCCCTAGCGGCGCTGTACGCGGCTTCCCGCGGCGACGAAGTGGAGGTATATGAACTGCGTGGAGGTATGTACCAAATTCCAGTGATTTGAGTCATTTCCCATTGCGACGAGAGAGAAACCGAGGAAGAAAACAAACACAAAGCCAAGATGAACAATCAAGACCACCTACAACTTATTGATTTGTGATGCGGGCTACATTCCACCGATGGCAAGAAAAATAAAAATCATTGCCACTCAAATCGCAAGAGTCATCCCATTCAAGTTTCAACTGGCCTTTGAAAAAAAAAGCAAAGAGGCTCGAAACGGATGAAGTGGCCCTGCGTCCCCAATGCACTCTTGTGCCTCATTTCATGCATCCCTGTCGCGAAATTCTCCGAAGAAAAGTCAATAATTTTTTCCCTGTTGTGCCGCCTCCGTAGATCTCCGTGACCCGACAACTGTGCCCTTGAACTTCACCAAGTCGATCAATTTGGCTCTTTCAGAGCGCGGAATCAACTCTATCCAAGAAGCGCAACGACCCGGATTGGTCGAAAATGTCCTCCGCGATACGATCCCCATGTACGGGCGGATGATCCACGGCCGGGACAACGGCTCCCTGTGGGAAGCCGCTCAAGCCTATGACGTTCATGGCCGGGTATTTACATCCCTGCAACTCTCGTGCCTACAGCAGACAGGGGTTCCCATGTCACGCGAAGCGCGGCTAAATTCCAAATCCAATTGCTAACCAGCGTACAGGCCATCAACGCCGTTGACCGAGGCGCATTGAACAATGCCCTCCTCGACGAGCTGGAGCGCACACCCAACGTCAAGCTCTTCTTCAACCACAAACTAACAGGCGCAGACTTCACCACCAACAAAGCCTGGTTCGAGCGCCGCATCCCAGGCGACACGCCCCAAGCCGACGATCTCGGCATCGCAGGCCGAGTGCCCGAGATCGAGGTCTCCTTCGACTGCCTCATCGGCGCAGATGGCGCCCACTCCGCCACCCGCTTCCACATGATGAAGTTCGCCCGCGTCGACTACCAGCAAGAATACATCGACACGCTCTGGTGCGAATTCCGCATCCCCCCCACAAAAGATGCCCAGTTCGCCATCTCCCCCAACCACCTGCACATCTGGCCGGGTCGCGAATTCATGTTCATCGCCATCCCCTCCGCAGACAAGTCCTTCACATGCACCCTCTTCGCCCCAGCAGCACACTACGCCACCCTCGACAACTCACCCCAGGCCCTCCAGGCTTCCTTCCACGAACATTTCCCCGGCGTCTGCCCCGAGCTGATCGACCCACAGGCCCTGGTCGAGCAATTCGCCCTCAACCCCCACCTCCCGCTGATCAGCATCAAATGCAAACCGCACCACTATAGCTCTAGCGTCGTCATCATCGGCGATGCCGCGCACGCCGTCCTCCCATTCTACGGCCAAGGCCTGAACGCCGGGCTGGAGGATGTCCGCGTGCTATTCGAGCAGCTGGACCAGCATGGTGTTTACGATCCGGATACGAGCGTATACACCCGTAGCGTGCGTCGGCAGGCTGCGTTCCAGGCCTACACGAATCTGCGATGCGATGATACGCATGCTATCAATGATCTGTCGAAGCAGAATTATCTCGAGATGCGCTGGGGCGTCAAGTCGCCGCTGTACAAGCTGCGGAAAACTATCGAAGAGACGATCGATCAGCGGTTGCCCTTCCTGGGATGGAAGACGCAATATGCCCGCATCAGTTTTAGTAACCAGCGGTACTCGGATGTGGTCGCTGCTGTGCAGAGACAAAGTCAGATGCTGGGGCTGGGTCTTAGCTCCGCTTTGCTTGTTGGTGTGGGCGCCTTGGCTGTGCTGATTTGGAGATATCCGCGAGAGGTTTCGCCGGCGGGATTCGTGAGGTGCGGCTTGAGACAGCTGGCGAGATTTTGGAGAGGAATTGCGCATAGGTGAAAGCTTTGATTTATGCAAAAATAAGTGGCATTATTGGGACTTGAATTATTGAAAGTCGCCTTGATTATAGTGGTATCTGCAACTTGGCATTATAGACTTGCATTGTGTGCATTCAAACGTTCTGCAACAAAATGAAACTGATTCAACGCATTCTCGAAAATGATGCAAAGCTCTCTCTACCCTGTTCATGAAATTGACATATATCAGGTCTAAGAATAAATGCAGCAATGCGCTGAGGTAGTAAGACCAAGAAATAAGAAACAAGAAGAGGATACCACAAGTGGATTTTCAACGCCGCGAGGCTGGTATAAACGTCCGGAACTAAAACAAACAGAAGAAATATCCCTAATCCCAATACCTAATAATACCATCCAGACCACCAGTGACCACCTTACTTGTTTCTTGCGGATGCCAATCCAAGCATGTAATAGCACCACCCTCCTTTCCACCGGCAAGAATCTTATGATACATTTTTCCAGTCTTCCAATCCCAGAAACAAACATAGCCACCGCTATCACCAGATGCAAGGAATTGCCCATCAGGTGAGATCTTGATATCAATACCATATCCGGCATTGTTGTGGCCACGGAAACTCTTCTTCCGGTTCTGACGGAACTTATCAGTTGCTCCGTAGACGACGATCTGGTTATCACCAGATTGGAAAGCAACATATTTGCCGTTGGGATGGGGGGTAGCGCGATTCATGGCAAACATGTAAGGCTCTGCAATGAACTTAATGGGCACAGGGATACCATATTCCCATGCACGAAGCGACTTATCATCCGAAGTAGTGATGAAGCGACGATTATCGTCGACGAAAGTAATGGTGTTGACAGCAGCCAAGTGGTGATCGTATTCTTGGACCAACTCGCCAGAGCGGGTATCGAACTGCACAATCTTCTTGTCGGACATACCGGCCAGGAACTCATGCGAGTGCTCAGGGCTCGGGTTGAAGCGCACAACGTGGGGCGTCTTACCTGTTGTGTACCGGCCAATACACTTACCATACTCCGTATCCCACAGTTTCATCTGTCGATCATAAGAACCAGTAAGGAAAGTTTTGCCGGTCGGGTGGAAATCTGTGTCGGAGATGGCCTTCGAGTGACCTGAGAAAGTGCGCAGCAGTTCGCGCGAGTGGAACGCATCCCAGATCTTGGCCTTTCCGTCTGCAGCAGACGAAAGCAACAGATGGCCGGAGCCAGGGAAGAAACGGAGCGAGGTGATGGCCTTGGTGTGCGACTTCCAGGTCTGCACGAGCTTCTTGGGCACGTAGTTCTTGACACTGCCGGGCTCCTTGCGCAGATCGATATCCAAATCCTGGGGAACATGCATATATGTGCGGCCTTGGTAATCTCTTTCCTCTGAGCCGTGGAACTCGGTCGTTTCCTCCTTGGAATAGTCGCTCGCGTAGTCGGTGGCCTCTTTGCTCATAGGCGGCATGAGCGCTGTCGGAGCGGTAAGCTCCTCGCCTTCTTCCACGTATTCTTCATCACTTGCGAGCTCACGCTCCTCGTCTGATCCGACCTCGATTTCCTCGTATTCTTGATCATTTTTGTATTGCGCCCATGGGCCTAGGTACGCGCCTTCGCCCTCGACGATACTCGAATCGCCCTTCTTCTGTCGCTTTGCGCGCCACGCAGCAGAAGCCTCCTTGCTAACTTTCAGCTGAACGACATCCTTGCCACCGTACTTTGCGACATTCTCCATATCTCCGACGAACTCGTCCGGGCGAGATGGGTTGCGAGAGTACCCCAAGCTCTCGAAGGTGCGACGCTGCGTAGCAAAGGTAGCCTCGCTCATCGCGGTCTCCTCAGCATATCCAGTTGGAATATTTTTGCGCTTAATGCCATTCCCTGGGCCAGCAGTTTTGAACGGGTTGGCAGGCCCTTGAGAAGGTCGTGTCAGGTCATCGTAGGTGGCGTTGTAAGTGAGGGCTTGTGTGGTATTTGCGAGAGTCATCTGCATGTGTGCTTCATCCTATGAGATTGTTAGCATTATCTGTGCACCAAATGAAAGGATTCAAAACAATTTCAATAAGAAAAAGGGCTCATGGGGGAGGGTAGGGGACCAAACCTCTGTATTGACTTCTGGTGCAGCAACGACCCTGGTTGCGGTCGTCACCGAAGGTTTGGGCACACTGGTAGTGTCATCGTCGCTGGAGTCATAACCAGCACCTAATAAACCTGACATTTTGAATTTTCCTGAGCGAAGATTAAGTGAATCAACCTCGATCGCGACAAGATGTAAAGTTTAGGGTGGTAGTTTGGCGGTGGAAATTTACGGTTGTCGGCAGAACCGCGGAGCGAAGACCGCAATAGCTTATGACCTCAGTGTCTCAAAGCTTACTCAAGTCTACAACCTGCACATGCAGGTTTCACTTTTGTTTCTTACAAAGTTGCGACTATACATGATAAATTTCAAGTCATCCCATTTACGAGGCGACAGGAAAAGAGTTATACGGACCAAACTGGGTATCGTACGCTTTCATTGCCAGACCGCTTGGGAGGTATATACAACCCACAAGCCAAAAAGACATGATAGGACACAAAAGGATGGCAAGACATGATAATAAGATAAACAATTGAAATAAGAAAAGAAAGCACAGAGCGAGACGCTGAAGGGAGTACATGAGCCTCTTCCAAACGCCTCCTCGAGCAAACCCAACATCCACACCACCGGTAACTCTCTATCATCACCGCACCGGAGGTCCGACCCTCTATCTCAAGAATGGAAGCACAATTTCTCTCATATACGGCATTATTCCATTCCTCCTAGTAAGCCAAGGTAATAAATGAAATCGTCAAAATCGTGGCTGCCCAGAAAACCCGGTCGCATCGTATCTGACATGGACAAGTTCAGACCCGGACATCGGTTGGAAATGTTGATGCGGGTATATGTGAGAATGCGATCCCGGCGAACAATGTCTTGAGCTAGTTAGAACGACCATGGCGCATGGCAGAATCAGTCTTATCGCGAAGTCAGTGTCCCTCATCGCGGATGAGAGCCACAATCATGCTGTACAGGTAGAAGAAGAACATCAAGAGGCTGAATCCGAGCTTGATGAAAGATTCCTATAAATCATGTGGATTAGTTTCCACTCCAAAATTTGAGTCCTTAAAACAAGACAGAGTAGCTCCAAACTGACCTTCTTGTGCACATTCAGCTTGCGGAAGATCTCAGTCGCATCCAAGAGGTGCTGGTTCTCGTAGATCCTAATGAAGCCCTCAAATTAGCCTTTCTGAAGCATATACCAAGGGGGGGGGGGGCTCAGAGAGTGGTGGCAACACATACTTCTTGGCGTTGAAGGCCAGGAGAGGCAGGTTAAGGACGATGGCGAGCCAGTATCCGTTAATAACGAAGAGGAAGGTCAGGAAAGCGTGAACGGCAGCCTCGGGGATAATGTAGGCGTTAAGACGGTTGCACAGGTCGATAGGGTTGATGTAATCACTGTGGGAAAAGGGGAGGCGAGAATCAGCGAAGCCGAACGAAGAAAAAAAACCTCTTCCACCACATAACTGCGGGATGTCTGAGCTAGTGTTTTTGGGGAAACTCACCACTCCAGATCACTGTACATGATCGTGAAGAAAACCTGGAGGAACAGGTTGACGGCGTTGATCAACACCGCCAACAAGTAGAGCCACGCTTCACCAGACATTGTGGGCTAAGAAGTGGAATCGAGGAAGCGGAATAGGGGTTAAAGGCTATGGAGAATTCGTCAGAAGGTGGTCGACGCCAATCTAGCTGAGGTGGTGGATGCGAATGCTGGGGAGTGATTCAAGCGGAGCGGAGTGCAGAGCCGGAATTGGAGACGATTTTTGTGGGGTTTGAGACCCAGGGAACACAGAATTCCGCAGAGACATTCAGAGGGGGTTGAGTATACGTACAGATCAACACCTGCGTGATAGCTAAAGCTCTCGAGTGGGGACGCAGACGAGACGCAGGGCAGGGAAGTGAGGAGGCGGATCGGAGTCGTGATTATTGCAAAGTATCGGGTTCGTTGGATTAGCGAAATCGAGCCAACCTGAACGGGCGGCGGTGGACAGCAACTGGCGCGCGGGCATTAGCGTCATTGGATAAAGTGGAGGGGCTGGGACAAACCACCACCTCCAGCGTATACAACTTACGGGAAGACAACGCCGAGCTTGTCAAATTGTACTCCCTAGCTGTAGAAAACTACACTAGTAAAAAAATAAAAAGAAAGCTAACTTGGATTCGAAATATCTGCGGGAAAAAAGTGGAAAAGTGGAAGGGAAAAAATGGAAAAGGAAAGCTTAATGGGCGTGAGAGATGACGTCGCACACGTGTCCTCGGATACAACGTGCATTTAAGCTGCTTAGTAGTAAGATCTTGGTAGTACTTCTTAAATGCGAGATATTCAAGAGGAAAATGTAGAAATCAAATCGTATATGTAATAAAATTTGAAACCATCTGTGAAAACCGAAATCTATACACATGGTATCAGAGCTTCGCTTATGTACGGAAAATGATTTGTGATCTTGAAAGATTAGAGCAACAATACTCAAACCTCAGAAACAACCATAGCAGCTGAGGGTTGCCGGATATTCTAGTAAGCAACAATATCCTGGGAATATCAAAATTATATGCCCATAAACAATAAATCATAAGGAATAAGAAAAAACCAAAGGCAGCCGAGGCCTAACGTTTCTCAACAAGCAGGAAATGCATCGCTGCATATGCGATAACAATAAAAGCCCCAGAAATGGCAGCCAGTCCAATAACGTCGTGCCAATAGGCAAGAGTGTTGAAACCAAAGGCGCTTAGGATGGAAGCACCGGGGACTTCGATGTCCAAGCCGTATTTATGGTCGATCAAAGTGAGGAAGGTGACCTCGTTCACAATGAGGGCCTCGAATCCATAGTGGAAAATCGAGAGCTAGTTCAAAGTCAGTAAATTGCAGAGAAAGCAGGGTGCAACGATATGATTTGAATGACTTACACTTTGCAGCCACAGAGCCGATGACGGAATGGCGTCGTGATTCAAGAGGAGACCGGCGAACAACAAACTGAAGAGCATCACTAGACTACCAATCAGGTTGGCAACACCACCATCGCGGAAAACAATGCCAATGAACAAGCAAATGTTGGCGGCTGCAAGGTTGAACAGAACCAACACCAGCATGAACCGAAGGAATTCGGGCCAAGCGGGAATCAGCCCGGTCATTGGGTAGACAATGATACCCATTATAATAGGCGGGAGGAGCCGCAGGGGCACAATATCAAAAACAACCTTGGAGGCAAAGTAAGTGACTGGATGGTAGTAACCATTTGCTCGCTCCCGAACGAACAACAACCGCTCAGTTGAAAATACAGTGAGACTCGTCAAAGTGCTGAATCCAAAGAGAGCGAGAATGAAAAAGAACAGACCGAGACGGTTTTGGAAACCTTTAATATCGTCGGTCAGACCGTAGAAGAGGAAGCCAGAAAGTACAGCGAGAAGAATGGAGATTGCATAGTGGGTCAACATCAGCATCGGGTTGCGATAAAGGTTGCGCCATGTGCGCTGCGACAAAATGAGGAACTGTCGCCCCAGGCTGATACGGGCCAAGCTCTTGGGCGGAGCCGTGCCCTGAAGATGAGAATTCTGCGAACCATTGGCAGCCTCCGCAGATTGAACGGCTGTGACAATTTCATCGTGGACCGAGTGGAAAACGTCCGAATCCACGTAGCTAGCAACCAGAATATCAAGATCACTCTGACCAGGGGCTGGGGGTGGTAGCTGGTCTGGATCGTCAAGAAGAATCTGCGGGGGAACGCTGGCCGGTTGGCGAGAAAGACGGAGCCACTGTTGAGTATTCTCAGCCACGTCGAGTATGGGTTCTTCTTCATCAGTCTTAGGTGTAGTCGGAGGCTCAAGGTCCTTGTGATCCTTGCGTCGCGAGTAAAGCTGGCGATCTTGCTGTTGCTTCAGGGAAACTCGACGGCTATGCTTCGGTCGTCGACCTGCCTCGGTGTTGATGCTGGAATTTTCCTCAATGCTCACGTTGGACACGCTGGCAACGGATTTAATGGCTCTCAGGCTACTCGAGGCAGTCTTGGGGGGCCGTCCATCCACAGACGAACCAACTTCATCCGTGTAAGAGCGTGAAGAACCGGCATGCATAGTTAAGTCGACAAGATAGTCCGCAATATTGAAGCCCGGGGGGCAGGTATATCCAATTTGGTCGAAATATTGCTGGCATGTCGAGAACGGACCGGAATAAACGGTACGACCACTTGCAAGCAAGATAAGTCGGTCAAACAAGGCAACAATGTTTGAGCGCGGCTGATGAATGGTGAAAATGACGGTACGGTTGTACGTCTTGGCCAATGTCACCAAGCACTCAACGACGTTGAAGGCGTTGTAGGCATCCTATGGAATTCATCAGCTAAGATATCTCAGTTATGAACTGTTGATTAGTAACATACCAGTCCACTAGTGGGCTCGTCCAAGAAGAGGATACTTGGGCTGGTGACCAGTTCACAGGCGATGCCAACTCGGCGTTTCTCGCCGCCAGAAATGCCGCGCCCGCTTCCTTCTTCCGACCCAATCAACTGGTCCTTAATGTGGTAGATTCCCAGTTGCTTCTCGACCTCTAAAACTCTCTGCTCTTTAGCCGCCCTGCTCATATCACGAGGAAGTCTCAGAAGTGCACTGGTCTGGATGGTTTCGTGCACAGTCAAGGTAGGCAACATAGTGTCCTCCTGATCAACGAATCCAACCATGCTCTTGAAATCATGGTCACTAATCTTCTCTCCGTTAACAAAGAAGTTACCTTGAACTGCACCACGCTTGTTCTTGCGGGCTAGAATGTCAAGGAATGTGGTCTTTCCAGCACCAGACGCGCCCATGATTGCTGTAATCTGTCCGGGGGCCGAGGCACCTTGGATACCGGAAAGGATCTCCCTGCCATTCAGACAATATGAGACATTATCCCAGTAAAGAGCCGCGGGGCGTTGTTCTGCAAGCAGTCTTGCCGTGTCATCGTCCGAGTCGTCCGATAGGGACAGGCGCAGGTAGCCAAGATTTGCAGCCCGGCGGGACATGTACCATACAATTAAGATGACGGCGACAACAAAAAGTGCACAACCAGCGATTACGCTGGCAATCAGAGGGGTATTGATCTTCTTAATAGGACGTTGATAGCCTGGAAGATCAGTCTTGTAAAGACACTCTCCAGCATTGCAGGATAAAGAGATAGTCGGGTCGCCGAAGACTGCACTGATAAGACCGTTCATCTGCGGTTCCGAGAAGACACTTTTGCTTCCCTGCGAATCAAATATAGTTTGGAAAGTGGCTGGGCCTTTGATGACCTGGTCGAGGAAATCACCGAGATCGATGGATCCGTCCTGGCCGCAAAGAAACCGGCCCGGGACACACTTGCACTGCACATTTTCGCACTTGTAGCTGGTGGTATTGGTATCGTAATTCGTCTCCAAGCTGGAATCGCAGGTGTCTAAACCACAATAGAAGGACTCCTTTTGGTCTACCCAGAATTGAAAATTGCAGGTATGATCCGAAGCATCGCAAGAGAAGGTCACCTGTGGCTTCTGGCTACCCAGTTGATCCAAGATCTTGCGGTTTGTGACATCGCACATTTGGAAGTTTTGCTTGACGGTAACGCCTGACTTGTAGCACACTCCGTCCTGGCCTTCGGGCATCATGGCATTGCAAGCACTATCCTGAAGACAGACGTTGCAGTTGATGCCACCCCAGCCATCCTTGCAGTCACATGTATCACCAGTTCGCGGCGGCCGATTCACACCGTCAGCGAGTGAACCACAGGTAGGCACGGAGCAGTCATCACCTCCGAATCCAGCGGGACAGGAGCATTTGCCGTTGTATTTGTTGCAGGGAGCGGAATGGGTGCAGTTGTAAGAGTCTAATTGACAGTTGAAACATGGAGGGCAATCATCGGGTCGATTATCGAAGACGGATACGGATCGCGAGAAGAGGTTTGCGTCGGAGAAGTCCTCCCATGCGGTTGTAGGGATGGCCTGGAAGGCCAGCGCGATCCCCAAGAGGAAGGCTGGTGTTGACCGCATAGTGTATAGGGGATGGGTTACGTACCCCGTTCCAAGGATCTGAAGGACCGCGGGACCGGCGATCAGAGTAGGAATGTTAGGATCGCCGGGAGTAATTGATGGCGAACCGACTTGTCGAACATGGGGTTGGGGGAGGAGAAGGGTCAAGTGCGGAGTGGAGTTGTCAGATGGCGATGACGCGGGCGGAGAAGCTGGTTTGCCAGAAACCCGTTACCCGCCCAAGGAATGTGATGCCGAGCTGCTCTGTGATTGGAGTATTTGGGAATCTCGTGCAAGGTACCTGATCGACATGGTTTGAGCTACACGTTATCTTTCTTTCCCCATTTCTGACATGCTCAACTTTCGACTTGTTTTCTTTCCATGCTCTCAGGGCCTCAGCAAATCCGGGGACTCCACATCGTGGCCTTTGCGAGGATAAGGTGAGCTCGCTACGATAAGGACTGATAGCAACGAAGCAATCCTGAATTTGAATAACATTAATGAAATAATGCAACTCAACACTTGCAGGGAATAGGAAGTAAAAAGAAGAAGAAAAATCATAAAAAAAATCCCCTTCCATGTGGTTTCTTCAGGCCGTTATACCTAGGCTAGTCTGGGAATAAGAATTTCAATGTTCTTCCAAGCTTGGACATATGTGCCGAGTACTTGACTCCATAATATATAAGTGCTTGTAGCTGTAGGTAGTCCTTACTAGAGGCATATACTTGTGTGACAGGCCACTAAATACTAGAATTTCACTTCTCAACATTTGAAGACATCTGGAAGATGAGCGCCAATGTTGCCCTTTAATAGAAGTGGAAGGTTATGGATGTTTTAATTGATCCATTCAATGTTGCGGATACTTAGTAAACATTTGAAGGTCTATTAAAGGGAGTGGAGCTTCTTGCGTGGCCATATGAATTATTGAAGAAATCTGCACATGTGCATGCATGTGGAGTTTTATGTTTTTCCAAATTCAGGGTATCCAGTCCTTAGCCCAGAGCCGAGAAACCCGAATCCGACTACTGATCCGAGCGCGATCTTTTCAATGTTGCTAAGTTCTAACAGCCACCTACAGAGCTAGGCAGCAATGTACAAATACAACTCGCACAATGTTGACAATTAATGCGAGAGACAGAATGTAAGCATACCAGGATCCTGTGTGTTTCAAGTCCATTATTCACCTTTCAAGATCCTTTCAATCATAAGCTGTGCTGTAAATAGAACGGTGAAAATAGAATGAGTCTCGGCGGCTCAAATTGCAAAAGCCCATAACCACACCTGCAGGTCACTGAAGCCAATCAGGGGTAATCAAGTTCAATCATCTTCTCACCAATTGCAGGCTTTTGTAAGTCGTAAATGTGCCAAATATGTAATGCAAGGATGGTAGTAGGGAGTAAGTATTTTCAAGTCCAGTATACGGCATGTGCTCTATCGGGTGCGTATACGCCACAACTCGCACTCTAATATTGGGCATAACTCCAGCCACAATGAGGTTGAGTTAATGGATGTTCATTCAATGTTTGATGAATATGACTTTCTGTGTCAGCATTTGCAAAATCCCCCGGCCCCCAATAACCCCAAGTTCCTTCAAAGCTTCTGCCTTAAGACGCCACATATCTTTTTTTGTATCATTCATTTTACCATAAGGGCCCATGGAGTAGAGATTTCAACAAACATGCACATTCTGGCGGGGCTGTGGACGTATTCGTTTAATCTTCTTTTTCTTCCCTCGTTAGCTTCGGAAATTATAAAAATAACCCGAATCGTACTCGTATTGTGGCACATCCACTAAAGTGGGGCCGTAGCGATATACACTTGTACGCGGAACATCTCTGCCGGATTTTCAAAGAGATCTTTTTTGATTGTCCTCGAAATTTTATTAGGCCTCGTGAGATACTATCATGATACAATGCTCAAAGACTAGAGTATGTAGGTAGTACTGCTGATAAATGACCGGTTGAGTAAGATACTAGTAGAGGTGTGAAACCAAGCAGGTATCTATTGCAATCCAGACTCCAGAGCGACCTGTAAAATTTCTGGGGTCGTAGTTTCATGAACTGCTCAACCTAACCCTATACTGGATTTTTGTGGGTAGCTTGTGGAAGGTTCAGGCTGCCAATAAACAGAACAAGCCACATTCTATTGGGATATCGACTGTTGAAATTTTATCTTGTATATAACCTCTAGCATGAACCCACATTAGGGGGCCTGCTGGTATTCAAGATAAAAATCGGCAGATCAAAGCAGCTGGGTCAAACACGGACCATTCCGGCTCTTCCAAGATTTATATGCAATTGATTGAGGAATGTGTTGAAAAAAAAGCATCAACTACCTAATCGCCTCTGGACTACCTTACCATTGATTTCCAATTTCTTGTACCATTCGCCGTGAAAATGATCGGCTTAGTCGATATGACACGGGTGTCTTTCGATAAAATCGCCTCATATTCATTCTCTTCCAGCACGCAGCTACTGAGCTACAATACTGCCTGCAAATCTTCAATATCTCTATTCTACCTCTTTTGCACAGGCTCCTTATTTTTTGACATTGTCCATCACCTGCTCCACCGTTGCAACAAGTCATCACATCCTCTGTTTCAACGCCTTGCTCGTGTTCACCGTTACCACCACCTATATTTCACGCGGCACATGCAGTTTGACAAAAAATATCTTCGACAGAACCAATTTCAAGCACTTCCACTTGAACTGGTACTTCAAGTTATTGGTACTATACTGGGCTATATTTTTGCTGTTTTCGTGACGCCAAAAAGCCTGCATTGGATCACACGACACCATCTTTATTTTACCGTTACGGTTCAAGTTCTGAGAACCTCATTTGTCATTGCCACAAGTGGCCGGGACTCAAATCACCTGGTCTACGAAACTGCGCCAAAGGATCCTAATTGGATATTTGTGGGCCCGGAATTCCACTCGCTTCATCATGTCTACCCAGATCGCTATATCGGCTCATTCATCAAGATCTTGGACTGGATCTTCGGCACTGCATACTCATTCAGAAGCAAGCATTTTGTAATTACTGGCGCAGATACCGTGTTTGGCCAGGCAATGATGGCAGAACTCGAACGCGATGGTGTGAACCACATCCACAAGCTGAATATTGGTATTGATTGGGATCATGATCAGTTCGAAGAAGCGATTCCAGTGCTTTCCAAGTGCGATATCCTAATTCTAGCCCATGGCTCTTCACACCAGGATGAAGTCAAATCGGATTGCGAGTCAGCCATACAGCTTGTCAAGTTGTTCAAAAAACACAGGGCTACTAATCCCCTTGGTCCGACGCTTCCAGAAGTGTGGTACACCGACAATGGAATTGAGTCCCACACATCCTGGAAAGCTGAACAAACGCAACATGAATCTCAGTCAAAACAAGGATTCCTTCTCCATGCTCGTTCACTCTACAATGATGCCACAATACTTTACCGCCATATTGACCTATCGTCAGTTCACTCAGCCAAAGGATCTTCTGCCTCGGAAGCGTCCAGAACAGCAAAGTGTGCAATGTGGTGGATCCGGCGAGGAGCTAGATATGTCCCTAGCACATGCATATGGGTCGCGTGTCTCAATTATTTCAAGTTCATATTTTGTATTCCTGATGCACAGGATTTTGAATCTGTCAGCTAGACGTTGAATCGAACATATGTTTAAGAAGCCGAATGGACTAAGCGCCGTAAGAATTTGGGTCAAAGCGCGGTCTAAATAACGATTACTAAGCGCCCCAAGCCTCAAGCGCGATGCCAGCAGCCCGGAGAATCGGACCCCGCTTGATCCGAGGACCGACAGGTCGGTATCAGGCCCGAAATCAAGGCCATAATCGTTTTCTTGTCTGAATTACTTTCAAACCAAGCTAATTGGTAAGAGGGAATTGATCGGAGCAGATTGAGGAAATTCTTAGCTGGGATTAACGCCTCCAACCGACATTATGGTGAAGATTGAAGAATTCGCGGTTGAGCAGGTACCTTCCCCGCATTCCTGTATGACTGGCCATTTTTTTTTGTTTCTGCAGCCGACTCTGCGCACCTAGGACAATGCGAGTACTAATGACCTGATTAGTGGATGGACAAGTACGAGACTACGGCCAAATTCAACACTGCCGAGACTTGCTGTGCCTCCCTTTCCATCGATGACCTCCGAGAGCTTTCCGATGACAAGGAAACCAACCCTTTGACACAGCTCCAGTCAACCAAGCTTACTTATGGTGCGATCAGAGGCTCTGACAAGCTACGCGAAACCTTAGCCAACCTATATTCTGCAAAGACAACCAATCAGTTGCCGAAAGACAATGTGTTGATCACACCTGGTGCCATTCAGGCCAACTTCCTGGCTCTATATACCCTCGTTGGACCAGGGGACCATGTTATCTGCCACTATCCAACATATCAACAGCTTTACTCGGTTCCTGCGTCTCTGGGGGCTGAGGTGAGCCTGTGGAAATCCAAGGAATCTGACGGATGGAAGCTCGACATTGAGGAGTTGAAAGGACTCATTCGCCCCAACACAAAACTGATTATTATCAAGTATGCTCAAATTTGCCGACTGCAGTCATCTCACGAGTGGGGCTAGACTAACTCATCTTTCCGTAGCAACCCCCAGAATCCCACCGGAGCCATCGTCCCGCGCAACCATCTCGAAGATGTGGTCAAGATTGCCCGCGAGTCTTCCATCACCGTCTTGGCCGACGAGGTATACCGACCTCTTTTCCACAACATCAGCCCCATGGACCCGGAGTTTCCCCCTTCAATTCTCTCTCTCGGATACGAAAACACAATTGCTACCGGTTCCACCTCAAAGGCATACAGCTTAGCTGGACTACGCGTGGGATGGATCGCATCGCGAAACCGATCAATCATTGAAGCATGCGCCAGTTCTCGCGATTACACTACGATATCCGTTGGCCAGATCGATGATGCCGTGGCTAGCTTTGCTCTAGCGCCGGAATGTATTCACAATCTCCTTCGCCGAAACATTGATCTTGGCCGTACAAATCTTGAGATCTTGGAGAAATTCATTGAGAGTCACCGGTGGGCCTGTGACTGGGTGAAGCCTCGGGCTGGCACGACCGCGTTTGTTCGGTTCGCGAAGATGGGAAGGCCGATTGATGACGTTGCTTTCTGCGAGAAGCTGCAAGAAGAGTCAGGTGTGATGTTTGTGCCGGGTAGCCGGTGCTTTGGAGGAGGGGAGGATTTCCAGGGCTACGTCAGAATCGGATATGCTTGCGAAACTGATGTGCTCGAGAAGGGCCTCGAAGCGCTGCGTGAGTTCATGGAGGAAAGTTATGAAGATGTACCGGCGTTGAAAAAGAAGAAAGCACCGCAATAACTGTGGTTGTTTTAGCATAGATAGTAAATATTGCATAGACAGTTATGTGGTTATAAACCGAGCCTTTAACCTTGGGACAACACCGTGTTTGGCCAGTCGCTCTTATGAGCACTGTTCAATGTCCCTCCATCTGCTGGCCGTATAAAGACTGGCGAGGCCAGAAATACTCAAGGGTCCAACGTATCCGTAAGCCGTGCGGGGAATACTATAACGAAAATAAGCGAGGGCATGGAAACGGCCCATGTGCCCTGCAGATCTAAGCACTTGAGTCTTTCATATCAACCGAGCCATGTGACTGGTGAAAAGTGGCTTGCGAGTTTTGCTCCGAGGACCCCCTCTAAAGTGTCAGCTGAACTTTGGAACTTATTTTCCGACCACCACAGGGAATTATGCCTTTGTATAGAATAAAGCAATGTCGATATCCACTTAGTATCTATACTAAACGCACTAAAATTCAATTAGTCGTACGATTGATGTGGAGCGTGCCGTAAAGTGTGACGCGGTGTAGCCCACATCTCCCTCCGATCTAACCGGGATCGGCACAAACAAGCCGAGGCATCTTGGCAGTCCTAGTACCAACAACCAACTTAGGCTCCCCTTGCTTGTTTCATCACCTCACACGAGTCCCGTTGCATTTCATTCTTACCTTAAAGAAAGCCTTCTGCCGCTTAGGTTTTGATCTACAATCCGTACAACCTACCCACCACGTTTAAATCCCTTCGCCGGCCCCATAAGGGCGCGATCGTACCACGCAGATCTTATCATCTTCACGAAGAGCTTGAAGCTTTTCAACGCGCTGCACATTCACCTCATATTCGCCTCATAGCTGAAATTCATTATCCCAAACACAATGCCTCTACCTTTTCTATCAAGTAGGTATAAATTGGTCGCCGAATTCCAGAGTATTCAGATGCTGACGATGGCGCTCCGCTTCCAGATGTGCCTTTGAGCATTGCCCTTCCAGCGACCGCCACAGCTCTTGCCTACCTAAACGCGAAACACTCATTGTTCTACGATATACATCTTCTCAAGTCAATGTTTAAGATGCTCAAGAAGAAAAACTCAGCAGAGAAGACTGATCGCTTGAACCTCTTCTACGTTCTCGAAAACCATGCCCTCTCCCCCAATACCGCCGACAAAGAATTCATCGTCTTCAATGGCCGAACATGGAGTTACCGCGAGACCTATGATACAGCGCTTCGCTTCGGAAATTGGTTCCAGAACGTCCACAACGTGGGTCACAAGGAGATTGTCGCCATCGATAGCATGAATTCGGCCAACTTCTTGTTCATGATCCTTGGCTTATGGAGTATTGGGGCTATTCCTGCTCTCATTAACTACAATCTGGGTGGCAAGCCTTTGATCCATTCTCTTAAGGTGTCGACTGCCAAACTTGTCGTTGTGGACGATGAGGTTCGCCATAACTTCCCGCCGGAGATAATGGAGACGATTACTTCGTCGGAGTTCCGTGATGGCAAGGGCCCGACCGAGGTGCTGTTTTTAACCCCCGATGTAGAGGCTCAGATCTTGGAGATGGAGCCCCTGCGAGAGGAAGACAAGACACGCGCTGGTCTACTCTTGCGTGACATTGCCTTGTTGATCTACACCAGTGGTACTACAGGTCTTCCAAAGCCTGCAATTGTTAGCCTCCAGAAAGCGTGGACTAGCGCATGCTTCGTAGGAAACTGGACAAGCATGACCCCCGAGGATCGCTTTTTCACGGTATGCACCAACCCTCCCATTTTGAATGCAAGCCAATTACTAACTTGAAAAGTGCATGCCTTTGTACCATGCCTCGGCCGCCGTACTTGGTTTCATTCTTACTTTACATGTTGGCGCTACAGTGATCATCGGGCGCAAATTTTCAGCACGTAATTTCATGAACCAGGCTCGTGAGAACGATGCCACAATGGTACAGTATGTCGGCGAGACTCTTCGATACATTATGGGTGTACCGCCCAACATCGATCCGACCACAGGAGAGGATCTGGATAAGAAGCATAACATTCGAATCGCATTTGGCAACGGCCTCCGGCCCGATGTCTGGAACCGGTTTAAGAAGCGTTTCAACGTCCCCACCGTTGCCGAGTTCTACGCTGCCACCGAAGGTACGTCAGCGTCGTGGAATCTTTCGTCCAACGACTTCTCCGCAGGCGCCATTGGGCGAAATGGAGCCATCGGAAATTTCATTTTCTCCCGCAACTCAGCCATCGTCGACGTGGACTGGGAAACTCAAGAACCCTGGCGCGATCCAAAGACTGGCCTTTGCAAAAAGGTCCCTCGAGGTGATCCTGGCGAGCTTCTGTTCAGAATTGACCCCAACGACCCCAGCGCTGCGTTCCAGGGCTACTTTGGAAACTCGAAGGCTACCGAGAGTAAGATTGTGCGTGATGTCTTAACAAAGGGCGACGCATTCTTCCGCTCCGGCGATGTGGTCCGATGGGACAAGGACGGTCGTTGGTACTTTTCCGATCGATTGGGAGATACCTTCCGGTGGAAGAGCGAGAACGTCTCGACCAACGAGGTTGCGGAGGTCCTCGGTTCTCACCGGGCGGTGCACGAGGCCAACGTATACGGCGTGGCTCTTCCGAACCACGAGGGTCGCGCTGGATGCGCGGCGCTAGTCCTGAACGAACAGATAGCTAGCGGTAATACTTCAGGGTTGGCGTTGGAGCCTTCACGTGCTACCCTTGACAGCATCGCCGCGCAGATTCTGAACAACTTGCCTCGATATGCAGCCCCGCTCTTCCTTAGGTTCATGTCTGAGATGCAGTCTACCGGAAACAACAAGCAGCAAAAGCATATATTGCGTACCGAGGGTGTGGATCTGGCTCAAGTGTCGAAGAATGACCACGTATACTGGCTTCAGGGTGACACTTATGTTCGATTTGAACAGAAAGACTGGAACCGGTTGAACGGTGGCCAGGTTCGGCTGTGAGCGTGTCTCTGGCTGTTCCCTCTTCTCACTATTTTTCTAGCGCACCATTTTCGTAACTCTCGGTTTAAATGTTTAGATACCCTCCACACTGTCCTTCATGATTTCCATTATATGCAACGGCCTTTATATTACAATAGGCTTTGACAAGTTCACACCGGTTTAACCTTCGTATATCGAGGTCTTAGTAGTAGTCTCTGTCGTGCACAGGAACTTGCCCAGGTGGACATAGGAATTACTCACGAGTCATGATCTCAATGGAATGTTGAATCCCCAGAGATAAACCCCTATGTAGATACATGATTGGAAGAAAAACCAGATCTACTAGCATCAGCGAGCGAATCAATAAATACAAAACAATAAAATCCCTAAAAAGCACAACGGGCGTTGCCTCGTTCGAGCTAGTACCCACCAACAAAGAACTAGCAGGGATCATAAGCGCCCAAGCAAAGGGGCCCAAAGAAACCCGGCCCAAAGCAAACGAACAACAAAAATAAACAATCACGTCAAAGGGTGTTTGATAATATTTTGATGTTCGGGGGAATTTTCCGTCAGACATTTTGATATTCTTGCCCACAGCCAGCGACATATGTTTCACACCAGGACACAGGGCAGAACGAACCAAGAAAGCGGATTCCAAGACTGGGAGCGAACCCAGATCCAAGATTCCAGAGCCTCAGCAACAATCTACCCGGACCCATAGAAGAAGTCTTTATGGCATATATTGTCATCACTCGGAACGCAAACACCCCCGGTCAACGTAACTGCACAGACAATCCCGTTTCCATATAACTCCACCATGTGGCACTCGCCTCACTTGGCCACCGAGAAACACAAAGCTGGGAATCTGCAGAGAAGATACCAACCACCTCGAAGGGAGTGGTAAATTAATGACAGGAAAGTGCAGGACCAGGAGGCGCGTGTGGAGAGAGAGAGAGGGAGAGAGAGGAAAAGGTGGAATTTATACCTGAGAACAGACAACCAACTGTGTAACACATTCACCTTTCTACAAAGGGGAAAGTGGCTTTTCAATGTTTGCTTTTTGCTTTTGATTATCTTGGAAATTTTGTTTGCCATCTATGACGAAAGTACAGACATGGCTGGATTCATTCAAGCTTGGGGATTGAAGCTTCCCATGCCTGCCCTACACACCTGGGTATTGACAGTCAAGCCGAGCTACAGCCGACCTGGCTAGACCTGACATGGCGAAGACCCCGGATTTACAGGGTCTGAGCTGCAGTTCGTGCCACCTAGACCTGCTGTGCGGAATTACCATCGGACGCGTTCCGCTAATTCTTCTTCCCCCGCAGATCTGCCGATCCGAGATGGACTATATTTACTTCGATTCCACCCCTTGCTGTGTTTTAATCCGCTGACACCATCTTAAAATATACCTGGAGACTTAAAATAGAGACTTTCAAGCTCTTGGTTCATAATGAGCATCCATGAATCGAAGCTAGAAACTTCAGAGCACCATGATTTTCCTGCCGACCTGGAAGAACCCCAAGAAGATTCGCCAATGGTACGTATCTCCCAAGCTTTCAGCAAAGTCAGGTGCATGGATACTAACAAGCTTTCCTTAGACATGGCCCTGGCTCCGCAAACACGTTATCTTGATCCAATGCAGTCTCTTCGCTCTATGCCCAGGCTTCACAAGCGCCATTCTGATCCCAGGATTCAATGACGTCGCACAAGACTTAGCCATTGCCCCACAAACAGCAACCTATCTCGTCGCAGTCCATGTCCTATTCCTGGGACTGGGCCCGTTCATCTGGATCGTCTGCATGAACGCCTACGGGCGCAGGCCAACCCTCATCACAAGCATGTTACTGTCTTGTTTTGCTGCTCTCGGCGGAGGCTTCGCGCAGACATACGGAGGCCTCATGACAGCCCGAGTGTTCCAATCGATCGGTATCTCGGCAGGATTTGTCCTACCCGGCGTGATTGTGATTGATCTCTTTAATGCCGAGCAGCGAGGGCGTAAGAATGGCATCTGGGCGCAGATGGTGGCGATCGGGCCGCCGCTCGGTGGTGTGATCGGCGGGCCTGTCGTTCGGTATGCTGGGTGGAAGTGGGTGATGTGGCTGACCGCAATAATGAATGCCGTCCAGGCATTATGTTTTATCTTCACATGCCCCGAGACCTCGTACAGTCACTGGAAACAGGGCCGCGCCCCCCTTCGACTGCGATATGTCTTGGAGCCGTTTCTCATCCTTCAAGCGCCGCATATTTTTCTTGTTGCATTTGCGTACGGTGTGACATTTGCTATTGTTTCAGTGGGACTGTCAACTGTTGTGCCTATCGTTCTTGAAGATGTATACGGCTTTGGCGCGGTCGCACAGGGTCTTTTCTTCTTTGGGCCATTGGTTGGTGCTATTATTGGTGAACAGCTGGCCGGTCCTGGGAGCGATTGGATTATGAAGCGAGAGCGACAACGCGCTGCTGTGATCGTGGGCGATAGCCCGGTGTGGGTTGAGCGTCGTCTTATCGTTGGTCTCCCTGGGCCTGTGATGGCAGTCGCTGGAATCTTGATATTTGGCTTGACGTTGCAGTACCGAACTCACTGGATCGGGCCATGCATTGGGTATGGAGTAGCAAACTTTGGGTTGCAATTGGTTACAACTCCTTTGAAGACCTATTGTGTTGATTGTCTTCCTTCGCATTCTGGTTCGGTGCTTCAGCTCGTCAATGTTGTTCGCCAGATTCTCTCTTTCACAGTACCATTCTGGAGCCCCAAGCTGACAGGTCATCTTGGTTATGGGCTAGGATATGGAGTTGAAGCAATTATCTTGGTAACCGTTTTCATGGGCTGTATTTTGGTTTTGTTCTGGGGCGAGTCTTGGAGAAAGCTCTGTTCGTTCAAAGGCCTTGTGGATGACCGTTAGTTTCTACCAAGTCGCGATTATATTTATACCTGGATGTATCCAACCTTAAACATTGGCACCAATGTTGGGAGTGGCATGCTTAATACCTGGAATGGGCATATACTCAATACTCATGATAGTACGCCGTAGCTACAGCCGAGCACTATTTAAACATTCAAATGCTGAAGGTACCGATTGCAGTGGAGTAGATCGGCTAAAACAGAATTCCGGGCCCACTGGCAACGACCCCGCAAATTAATTAACCGCGCCAGAAAGCTGGGGATCCCGGCTTAATTCCGAGAGCATCGGACGAGAACGCACCGATGACGATGGGCGCGGGGTGCTGTTGCCCGACTTCAAGTGGATCCATACTCGACTATTAAAAAGCAAAAAACACGCCTCAAGAAAGAATTTACCATATTACACAGCTCACAAATCGCAAACATGTCTATGAACTTTGATGATTGCGCCGTTGTCCGAGACGGATTCCCCCGCCCGTTTCCCAACACGCCTTCAAATGTCTTGGAGCAACTTCGCATGGATGGAAAGGTAGTCGTTGTCACTGGAGCGGCCGATGGGATCGGATTTGCTGTGGCAGAGGCGATTGCTGAGGCTGGTGGCCATGTGGCTTTCTGGTATAACTCGTGAGTAATTGCATTGATGCATGCTTAGGTGTACAAGAACTGATAATTGCTAGAAATGATGTTGCAATCCAAAAAGCAAAGGACTTGGGCACATCGCATAATGTGAAGACAGCTGCTTACAAAGTCGATGGTTGGTTTATCTAGATGGACGAATACGAATGCTTTCTAAAGGGATGCGTGCTAATTCTAAGTATAGTCTCTGTCTCAACTGAAGTTCAAGAAACCATCGCCAAGGTAGTGCGGGATTTTGGCAAAATGGATGTTTTCATTGCCAACGCAGGTGAGTTGCAAAGCATGCCTCCAACGAAGATTCAAAAACTCAATCTCTCGATACCTAGGAATGGCAATCTCAAAGCCTATCCTCGAGCAGACCCTCGAAGAATATCGCAAGCAGATGTCTGTGAATGGTGAGAAAACTCAGCCCCCTTCCCCCAAATGGCAGAAACACCAGGAACCTTGGAATAGTTTGCTAATCCACGATCTAGTCGATGGTATCGTATACTGCGCAAAGTACGCAGGTGAGGTCTTCCACAAGCAAGGCTTCGGAAACCTGATCATCACATCGAGTATGAGTGCACACATTGTCAACGTGCCAACCGATCAGCCCGTGTACAATGCCACCAAGGCCTATGTTACCCACTTTGGCAAGTCCCTCGCGCGAGAGTGGCGCGAGTTTGCTCGAGTGAACATCGTTTCGCCGGGCTTTTTCGATACGAAAATGGGTGCCAGTGGCTTTGCTATCAATGAAGCCTACCGTATGTCCTCTGTGGGACGCCAGGGCCACACGAAGGAGATCAAGGGTCTTTACCTTTATCTCGCTAGCGATGCTTCTACCTACATGACGGGCAGCGATATCCTTATTGATGGAGGATATGTTTTACCTTGATTTTGGAACGCTTTTAATTTAGAAAACTTATAGACAATTCATTGGTTTAGTCAATTAATATAACAGGAACTGCAGGAGGTACCTGGGTGTTGCGATAAATGCCTTCATTGATGAGAAACTTAATCACTCCTGAAATTGGCATCTAAACACCCGCCTCGAGCCTCATCTGCGGACGATTGATGAATTCGCACCGTTCAAACAGCTTCTCCCACTTCACCGCGCTTTCTAATGTATTCTGTAGATCTTCAGACTCAGCACCACGATTAACGGTGACTGCCTCCCCAGACTCCTTGGAAATCCCACCGAAAACCCGAATTGAAATCGTTTCGGGAGTGGTCTTGCCCAACCGCAACTCCTCTTTGTTGAAAGCTGGCGGCCATGAATCTGCCGCAAACTGCTCAGGACGCCCATGGTATGCAAAGTCAATTACCCGACGGCTGAGTGCCCTCCCTAATTCCAATTGATCTGGCGAGTTATCTGCCCCTGCCTCTAACCCCTGATTGTTCAGCACATACGGGATATCGCTCAAATGTGCCACACCCCACATTGGAACACCCATATATTGGAAGATAGGTGAGTATCGCGTGGCATTATGCTCATATAGCCATACTCGTGAGTCGGTCGCCGAAGATTTTGATTCTTTTCCACCGTTTTGCTGCTTTTGAAGATAATGCCACGTAAAATCCAATACGGGGCAGGTAAACCATATGTCCCGGTTCATCTGCGCTGCACGGTAATACTGCGGTGAAATTGGTGACCCATCCTCTGAGTGTCGCTTGATATGTTCGAAATCCTTAATGGGATACAAGGCGAGAAGTTCGGTCTTTGTCGAGTCGGACAGATGAGAAAGCCAGAGACCGAAGCTCGCGAGGACATCGGTGTCCGTAGCTGTGGTTGGAGGCGCGTACCAGGCTCCATCGTTGGTGACCCAAGAGCCGATCAAAGGAATATTAGGCTCGAATTTACCGGCGCGGAGGAGCTCAGATGGACGCGCGGTAATCATGTCCCCGTCAATGGTTGGATAGAAGAATCCCTCCCCAAAGGGAGGACGGGCTGCACGGGAGGCCGTGACGGAAAGATTGGTTAGGAGTTCAAAAGGAGTACGTTGGAGGCACTCCAATGTTGCGAGAGACTGTGCATCTTCGCTAGGTTGAACACAGTTGACTTTTTCGGCGATGGAGGCGGTGTTTTCAGCTACCAGGGCCGGATCACTGTTAAAGTTGAGGCCTGGAGCACCGGACATCATCCTTTAGAGAGATACAAGTTAACATGGGCTCGAGTGTGAGTAAAAAATCACGGTAGATAGGAAGTACAAACATGGCTTGTTGAAATGGGACTCCTCGTGTACCATCGAATGAGATCAAGTGGAGACCAATATCACTGGCTCCAACGCTTTGACCGATCGCAGTCACTGAGCAGAAAGTAAGTCTTTGTTCATTGGTATGATAGAGTTGGACAACGCACCTCGATTCGAATCGCCTCCAAAGGCTTCGATATTATCTTTGACCCCTGTTTAAAATCATCGAGTGAGCTACTGAAAACTTCCTTTAGGAAATTGAAGGCTAACACACACTCCAATGCAGCACGCTGGTCCCGAAGTCCAGCATTTGTCTGCTTATTCTCTATCATCGCATGGCTGGTTGCAAATCCGAAAACTGGAAATTGAGATTAGCCTTGAGAGTCGCAATCTGCACCAAAAGAGAAGAAAGGGAAAACTTACAGCCTAGTCGATAATTGATTGCCACGTAGATCAATGGCTTCTCACTAATGGCAGCTTCTTGCACGAGCCCATCAGGATGATAGAGGATATCCGAGGCGGAACCCAACGCATGGCCACCTAGGTCAATCCTTAGCACAGCATCCAACGCTGGAACAGGAGTCTGCGTACACACCTCCATGAATATATACAACCACCGGTAATTTTTGACCTGCTAGTGCGCCCTTCGGACGGGCAATTCGTAAGCTCAGACAGTTTTCGCTGATGTTAGTGACTCGGCTAGTGAAAGGCAAAATATCTCCAGTACCCTGGGGACACCAAGCGCCGGCGCTGGTAGCATCAATCACTGAGCCTTTCGAGGGGCGCACGGGAACGGGAGGTGCAAATCGTCGAGGCCCAGAGGGCTCTTCGGCGTAAAAAATATTCTGGAAATGCTCGACATCCTCCAATGCACTCCCGATATATGTAATATCACGTAGTGGGTCGTGAACTGTCGGGGATAGAGCTGTTTGTGTAAAGGTGGAGGGATAAAAGTAGGTTCCGAGAAGAGAAATTGCAACAACTAATGCTGCTATTGCAAAGCTTCCGCGAGGAATTAACTGAATGGTCATAGCTGGAATTTTAGAAAGACACAATTAAGAGAACGCTTGAGTGAGGGAAACCAGAGAGATGCGTGCCTCATACATGGAGCTTTAGGTATTCTAGGGGAGTTCCAAAGATCGGCAGAGGGCCAGAACTCAGACCGACGATCCCTTGAGTGCCTTTCTTTGTTTGTCCTCCTGGGCCCAAGTGGATCCCAGTCTCGGGCGCTGGCAGACGCTCAGTGGCTTTACCCGAGTGACGATCCATGGGGCCCTTTCAACTTGTTTAGCATCCACGATGCAAGCAAGGGTCGTCGCCCACGGTCGCATGGCCAGGTGACGCACAAACGCGTCCCGCAGTTGGCTCTGTATTCCCATGCAAATGCGGGCCTTGGAATGAGGGGAATACTTGGGGTCCAATTTCCATTTTCCGTCTAAATATGGTGTAATCTACATACCTGGCAGAGGAAGCTTTTAATCAATTTTCGTGTGTAAATCGTACTAGGGATTAGATAAATTTGTAGTTTGTAACGCTTCTTAACGCAGGAATCAAAAATCATGAAACGAGGACTCTCAAGTATGTGATTGGTAATCTTGAGGTGATTTCCAAGTTTTGGAGATCTGAGTGCGAACAACAATGGCCGCGGGGGCTTCTAACTGCCTTTCAATATCGTCCAACTCCCAAGGATCTCGCGCGGCGATAGCAGTGCGACAGGTTCCCAGCTCACAAGAAGCGGTTGACCCGCCAAGACTTTTTGATCGAGAAGTCAAATGGTTCCCTTCCCTCATATCGTCGTATTTCGTGTGCTTGAGTCCCAAAACAGTGGTGAATCCGTCACGGATCTTGGCTGCTACAGGGCCACAGACAGGCATAGAACAGACGATCATGCCAACGTTTACTTCAATAGCTGACCAAAGCATAAAAAGCGTGAAATCAGCAATGAAGTCGGGGTTGTCTTGTTTGTCGTAGGAGGTAACAAGATATATGTACATTCGCGCAATACCGGCTCCGATCGTGCTAGATGAAACATTAGGATATCAGTGAACTGCCCTGGAGAAGAGGCCGAAGAATACGCACAAAAGACCCAACATGAACAATCCTGTCAAGCCAGCCTTTTTAGCGGTTGGTAGATGTAGTTTCCAAATGATAGGAACAGGCAGGACAATTATCACGATGTCAGTCGCAATATCAGTGGCGGTGAATACAGTGAGCATGTTTAGTGTGTTGCTACACTGTGTCAAGAACAAGGTGATGGGTGCCCAGTTCCAGCTCCAGTTAAGACCGCATTGGAAGACCGTGGCGAAGACAAACGCGATTGACCAGGCTATCACGACACCGATCATTACGTGACAGCACGTCTGGAATGAGCGGATAGGACTGATCATGCGTTTCCAAAGAAGCAGGATAGAAATCTTGATCAATCCAAATGTCATCTTCTCCATAATCTGGAAGGCATACTTGTATTTCTCTACCAGATGTTCCAAAGGGCTGGTGAGAGGCCAATCGTCTACAACTTCAGAGTGACCAGTGATTGCCCCTTGAATGGTAGCAGCCAGAAAGACGCTATTGAGGCCCAAAACAAGGATCTTGTTGTATTTGAGGTGCCTAATCAGCTTCAAATCATAGTTACTTGGACAAAGAGGACATCAACAGATCAAAGGTTTTTTTGTACTCACAAAAGAAATCAATGCAACCCAATCATCGGCGGCTAATGGCGCACCTTTCAACTTTCTGGCGTAGAAGCGGGATATAATGAACAGAATTTGGATGATATAAAACAGCGAGGCCATCACAATCAGGCCAGGACGGTCATCCACCAAAGCCAACTTTTTATGATAGGCCATGGTGCTTGTAGATAGGCCGTGTCCAGACCTTGTAAAGGTCAAGCAGACAAGCGCAGTGAGTATGAAGATTTAGATTTGAGGCGTGAATATTGGCGAGAAAAAGGGCGCGAATCAGCATCTCGTACCCACTGGGGTAGTATAATTCTAGTAACCCTGGAGGCTGATAACTCTGCACAAGATTGTAGAGTGGGGGAAGGGGGGGCGGAGGGGGGGTTGAATTTCGAACAATAGTTGCGACACCATATTGATCAACATTGCTTGTGGCTTGATCGACCCATGGATTTTCTAATCTCGGAATGCGACATAGAATATTGGGGGCCATTTTGGTTGATCAGTCTACACCTTGCACTTGGGCTGAGCCAGCCGTGCATGAGCTACTGCATCACCGAGTCACCGACTCACAAGATCAAGGCGATGTAACTTCATTTAGCCCATTTTGCCATCCCGCAAGCAATGGGCACTTGTTGATGCTTGAATAATAATTTTTGCGTCATGCGAGATCAGAACCCATTTTGCCTGGTTCGGCCTTGGTCTAGAAGATAGTAACCCGTGGGTCTTCACAAAATCCTTGAAATTCACCCGCTGGTGCATTAGCACTTGGGGGCGACAACACAAACATGACCATGTCGGAAAACCTCCATTCTCAAATATCTCATCTGTGCCTAGGGATACTGACCGATACGACGAATTCAGTTCAGGCTGACAACTGGAAACTATTTTTTGTTCCTTTTTTTTTTAAAGAAAAAAGAAAAAAAAAAGAAAAAAGCAAGTCGCAGGAGATTGCAAAGTATCCATCACTGCCATCGAAAACGGACTTGAAACACTATAACCCAATCTTCTACCATGAATCTCTTTTCAAACAGAGATGAAAGCGCCGGTCTTCTTGAGGCCGAGGATTACGCCGCAAAAAGCCCGGAGATAGAGAAGCAGTCAAGGTCACCCGCCAATCGGCGCTCCATACACTGCATTTGCATATGGGTCTTGTTATTCACCAACCTGGTGACTCTAGGAGTCGTTTTTCAACAAAACAGATTGGCACCCAACAACCTGATCGAGCAGCCTTCCCATTTCGCCGGACTTCAGCGAACCCGCGAGGAACCATTTGTCATGCAGACCAAATATGCCTCGGAGAACGAAACTCTCCGCAACGAATTGTGGTATAACATCAACATCGATGATGGCATGGTAGCACTTTCAGATGAATGGGCCGCCCAGCACGGCCTTCGTACGGCGCAGAGATTCCCCTGGGATAACAGCAAGGGCATCTACCTGCTTCATGGATTCCACAATCTACATTGCTTGAAAATCATTTACATCGCCTTGAATGAGTACCGGTCTGAAGAGTCGCAATCCCGCAACTGGCACCATATTGTCCATTGCATGGATGCTCTGCGCAGACAGATCTTGTGCGATGCCGACGACACCCCGAGAGCCACTGAGAGACGCGCTGAGGTGGTGACTGGGGTGAATCAACATCGAATGTGTCGGCAATGGGATGGGCTGGTGGATTTTGCCAGACAAAATACGGCATGTTACAAGCGCCCCGAGATGCCGGATGTTAACCCGGTTTTGGACCGATACAGGCATTGCCCTCCTGGTAGTGGCTATGTGACGACGGGAGATTATGTTCCTACTGATGAAATCGTGGTTGGTTTACCGGAGGAGTCCATTGAAGATTAATTTTAACAATGTTCTTTTCTTTGCCTCTACCTACCAACATCTATGGATATACTATGTGCCTCCGTTGAATAGCCAAAAACAAATTGGTCTGCTCAAGCGTTGCACATGTAGAAAGACCTCTTGGACGATAGATACGGATAGTGGTATACTATAATAACCTCGGAGGGCGTGTAAATACGTGAAGTATGAAAATCTGCTGTTTGTGATACTACAAAAATACCAAATCTTTTACTAGATACTAAGTATCACGTTGAGAATGGTACTGAGGCACTTGTTTGAGAGATGTGATATTATAAATAATAGTGTATCACATCTTGAATTTTCATAAATAAAATTTCCAACTTTTTTTTCCCCTCTCATTTCCCCCTTCCGTAGTCGACATCTCAAAATCCGCCCTGCATTGCGCATATCTTCCTTGTTTATTACCTTGCAGCGTTACATTCCTTTACGCTGATACTTCTTATCACGTCGATTAGTGATGTTGTTTGTTTCTTGTTATGTTCGAGTCTTTGAATATCAATCTGGAGATTTGGAACATTGAAAATAAATTGATCTTCGCCCTCAAGTGTAGAGTGATGGGTCAGATCAATCAGGGCCTAGATTGTCCAGACATCTGGATGTCGTGAAAATTGAACCTCGCATATATATTGAGCTCTAAAATCCATCCACACATGCAGGTATAAAGTTCGGCAGTCACAGCTTAGAAACCGTCTGCAACATCAACACTAGCTGGCTGTGCGTCCTCCCCACGGCGAGACTTCTTAAAGCCGTCGGCCACATCAACACTAGCTGTCTCATCCTCCCCACGGCGAGACTTCTTGAAACCGTCTGCCACGTCAACTTCGGCCGCCTCATCCTCTCCGCGACGAGAATTCTTGAAACCATCCGCAATCTCGATATTAGCGGGCTCTTCGATGCCTCGTCGGACCTTCAACTTGAAACCGTCTGCAACGTTCACTGTAGAAGCCGAGTTGGTTTCTTGCAAGTTGTGATTCAGCATATGCTTTCAACCGTCTATACAAATTTATTGAATACTCACCCTCAACGGTAGGAACAGGAGCTCCTAGAGCCAAAGCTCCCAGGAAGGTCAGGATCAGGAAGCTACTCCGCATGGTGATAGTATTGTTGCTTGAGGATGTAGATTGCAGTCGAGGACTGATGATTCTATGACTTCAGGGCAAAGGACTGGGTTTGCAAACGGATTTAAGCAAAAAAGCAGCTCTACTAGTAATTACTCGTAATCTCGCTAGTGCTGGATTGGACTTGGGTTGTTTGTGACAGTAAACTGGTATGGCCCCCAACTTTTAAAATATCCAGCCCCATTCATGAGCAGACTTTAATGCAACATTTTAGTGCCTTACAAGTCACTTGCTTCATTAGCAAACATTTTTTGGTCAAAGACGAGTCAGAACTGTTTAAATTATGCGGCTGGCCTAAAATAGGTTAGCATGGGTTTCTATTATGTTGTCGATCACCGAGAGTTACGTGTCATGCATGCCGAAGGAAGTGACGCTGCTCGAATCAAGATGAGTTCTCTTATGCGCCCAACAAGTGCCAACATTGAAAAGGTGATCTGATAGGAGGCAAGCGCTATCCGGTCATTCTCAGCTGCACAATTTTCAAAATTAGTACTCAACCTTACATAATTAGGCGGCCAAGGCTTTTCAATCATCCAGATGTCTCAAGCATATGCATCGCGTTGATCCCTGCTATCGTGAGGCAGACGCCGGTATTCTGAGTCTATCATCAAATATCCTTGATATCCAAAATGGCCCCCACCACATCAATTATGTGGCTTGAAGGCTGCATGAGCTAGCGGGGTAGCGAGCAGTATGTAATATGTAGGATATGTAGGATATCCACGTCTGGAACATCGGTCTGCAGTTTGACATCCAGCGGCAAGATTTTGGACATGATTCGCAGAAGATAACTCTAGTAGGTATCCACAATGATGCCGTACATGGTAGATCCCACAACAATTTAAAAATAGTTCAAACAAGGGTCGGACCTTATGAGAGTCATAGAATTTTTGCATTTGACGCGCGATGGTGGAAAATTAAATCGAAATGGGCATTTGAAGCTCCTTCCACTCAGCTTTTAGGATCTCCCTTGGAACACCAACCCTCTTCAATTTGATGTTTCAAAATTCTCGCGATGTTTTCCACGAAAACAAGAAAAGACATCAGGTACGCACCAATTCCGATAGATACCTGCAGACTTGACCAGATTCACCAAAATGAGGACTCAGAGGAATACCAATGCATTCCAAGAGTATGCCTAAAACCCACGATCTCAACAAGATCGGTTGTTGCATTTCTTAGCATTGCCCTCTTTGCATTTCTGGCTGGTGCATCCGCCGTCTACTTAGCGATGACAACAAACACGGGCCTACACAATGTCGCCCCTCGGATTCAACTTTCTCTGATTGCAAGAGAATTCATTCCCTGGTCACCATTCTCTGAAAAGCCTCCTTCATCAGGAGATATGCCTGAGCCCATTTGGGATTCTCTGATTCCAGGTACATATTAAGGCTACCCCCGCTCTTTATGGAACTATACCCCAAGTGCCATTCAAGAGCCTTTCTTTAATTCCTTTTATTGCAAAGCATTAATGTGCTATCGATTAGACGGGTTGGGGTATTTCAAAGATCTATCCCTTGCCCCGGACGCCGCAATCCCCACGGTTTTCCATCAACTCCATTGCCTGTATACCCTCAGACGAGCCTACTATGCCAAATCAGAGTCGCTAGAGTCGTTTGATCTTGGCAAAAATCGCTCGGTACATGTGGCGCACTGTTTCGACTACCTACAACAAGGCATCACCTGCTCTGCCGACACAACAGTAGAGCCAGCAGTCGACGAGCAGGGCGGGTTTCTTGGTACTGGGTTTAAGCGCCAGTGTCGAGACTTTGAGTACCTTAAAGAATTTGTAGCTGAACGACGGATCTTCGATAAGACCGGCTTTTTGGCTGTTTCGCACCATCACGATTAGGGATGAAGACCTATTATTTTAAGAATAATCAAGATCAATTCGAACCACTTGAATCCGCCTCTCCTTGGTTGTCTCCAAATATCTTATCCATTTGTTCAATGTTCAATGCCAACGCCTCTTGTCTCGGGCACAAAGAAGTATACATACTCAGCCAACAAGGAAAAGACAGAATGTTAGGCAAAAATAATGCATGCTCACTTTTTTTCAGCAACTGTTCATCCAGGCTTGCAATGATCAAGTGAAATCGCACTTTAATCCCTCAGGCCAATATCCAGCTTTTAGAATTCTTTAACTAATTGATGAACCGGGTGAACAACCACACTTGACTTTTTGATTTGCCCGAAATCATCGGACTCTTTCTCCGCGTCCCAGTCCCATCCATTAACGACAGCCAGCACCTTCACCTTGACCTTAGCCTCCTCCACCAGGCGGACCATTGATTTGATCAGCATTTTTCGATGATTGGCTTCCCTTCTTGCATGCTTGCCCCGATCCACACGATCAAGAATAATCCACACCGTTCTGCGCGAGTCAAACATGTCCAAAGCACGTAGAGCCACCTTCCGAAGCGCTTCTTCATTATGTACCAGGTCTTCCTGGGTCGAGTATTGGCTATAGGGCAATTCATGGAACCGCTGCACTGCCGCATACAGCTCATCGTATTGTACCTGGTTCTGTAATGACTGACGGTTTTGCCTTAGTAGCTGGATTATAATGGAGGATAAAACCTGAGGGAAACGATTCTCTGATCGCTGACCAAAAAGATAGAATGCAAAAGGATCTTTTTGACGGTCTTTGATCATGTCGTCAATCGTTTGTAGGGCAGCTGGAGACATCCAGCACATTTCATCGTTGTAGATGGACTCATTGTTATACCCTACTAAAATCAGGATTGAGGACTGCTCGGAATTTTGCCATCCCTGGAACTCTTGTCCCTGCTGGAATGCCTCTACTGCTTGTCCTTGCATCCTCTCAAAAATGGGTTGCCAGTTAAACTCAAAATGATGCTTGATCTCATCTTGGTAGATCTTCAGAAGCTTTTGCTCGGATTCTGCTGAATATGTTTCCAGGTTGAGCAAGGACTGGATTTTGCTTAAAGCGTCGTTATTGCGCCCTTCTTGCAGCTCTGAACAGGTACGCCTGTGCGTCAGCTATGGCACTACTAACCGAAATCGAGCACAATTGCTTTGACATGACCTACTTTCTATTTGCATCCTGAGATCTGTTTCTCGTTAACCACTGTTCCATATGCCAGATAAGCCTTCTGAAATGGCTACCCACCTTGAATAGTTTGTGCTTGGTCTGCCACCAGCTGTGTTAACAAAGAAAAGCAGTATCGAGGGAAAGAAAAGTATGACCTTTGCTTAGCTGCTTGATAATATCGACGTTCTTGTTCAGTAGTTCCTCACTACTGTGCCTGACTTCAACCATAGCTCTTTGAACCTTGCGTGATTCTTCCTCCAATGCCATTGATCCACACATAGCATCGATCGATCGTCCTGCATTACGGTGTTAGCGCAGGAAATATTGAAATTCTATCGAAGAAAGTAACTCACTGAATCCTCTCTTCGTGTAGTACTTCGTAGCTTCTATACAGAATCCCATAAAGCAATCGTAGGCATCCACAATCTTGGACTGTAAGCCTTGATCAAGCTCATGTTCATCGGAATAGATGTGACGATAGAGATTGAGACCTGGGACCCTGTCTTTGATCTCTAGAAGGGTCCTTGATATCAAATTCTCCGCTTGGGCTCTTCGATTGATAATCTGGGGGTGATTAGTCATTGTCTTCGGTGACGGTACGTAGCTTCCTAACCCTACCGTAAAAACAAAGGAGATTGTCCCGATGGCCATGCTGCCGTAGGGAGCTCCGAGATCCTTCACAAGCGCCACAATGGGGTCCAGACTTTTCATGATACCGCATGCTGAGCTCACAAAGCTCTGTATCTCAGATCTGACCTCGCTATTGTGAGCGGCTCCGAACTTCTCCTTTGCTTTCCAAGTCAAACCCCAGTAATCCTCGAAGGCCTCCACACTGTTGAAGTCTAAAGTGGATTTCTCTTCCTCTGAGAACGTATGCTTTTTGTGGATAAATTTGCGAAGCGCGTGTTGAGCCTCATCTGATCTTTTCACGACGTCCCTAGATTGCTGGTCAGCACTCACTCAAAATAACAATGTTGAAGAGAAAACCCAAGAACTACGACTTACAAGTCGTGAACACCAAGTGAGACCTTACCATCCATTGAGGGATTCTTCCCAGGCATGATGGGTTTTGTGATAATTGAGTGAAGATAATTGGTTGGCCTGTAGTTTTGACTCAGTGAGGGGGTTGGTAAAGGGTTGAGAACGAAATTCAATGTCGGAGCAAGTTTACATCGCATCTGAAGTGCAATAACTGTTTGAACCAATCAGCCTCCAAGCTATAAATACATAGGCGACGGTTTAATCAGTCGATGGGCTATCTATAATAAGTAACTCCATACATGAAGGGGCCGGCATGGAAGTTCGGAGATAACATAATGCCGATATCACCCCCAGTCCGCCACCAAAAGCACTTTGTGCAGGAGGCTGATGAAAGTTCACAAAACAACAGTACATGGAAGCACTAAATTATGCAACATTGCAGTCCCAATCCACTCTATCCGGTAGAATGCGTCGGCCCCAGAGATGTAGTCGCATGGTGAACTTTGATCTCTTTTATCAATACTATGCGACTCATTCTCTGAAAAAAATGCAATATGTCCAGAGTATCTGCTGGCCTTATTTCCCAGCGGAAAAGTCGACCCGAAGGATTTTTTATGCCAGCCTCTATATGTAGTAATGGTTGCAATCTCTTTGGGGTACGAGGTCCGGGCCGCAGCCTTGGAACCTTGAAGAGTACTGGATAATTTACCGGACCAGGGGCTCAAGTGTTGACCCCGCATGATGGGAGGTCTGAGGCCCGTCCCGTAGACATAGCACACACCCAAGGTGCTCCGGGGTCGGTGTTTTTCCTTCTCGCATTTAAACATGCAAGTTTCCTTATATCACAGCTGCACACACCTAGTTGTTCCCCTTAACACAACCCTCATCCATAGTATACAGTACGGAGTGAAATTTCAAGGTCATAGTTATCTAAGACCAGTGTGAGCTAAGCAGCTAATATTTGTGACAGGCATGTACAATGTATGTGATAGAAATATGCAGTGAGATGCACATGTGGTGTAGGCAGTGGAGATGAACTACCGTTATTGCCCCTTTTTACTGGCCCGCTGGCGTGGCCCCTGTCAGTCAGCTGCCATGCTTGCGGGATTTCCGGCATTAGGGCAAAGGCCCGAGGAGGCTCTTCTGGAGTCTTGGATTGAGAGGGCTTGATTCTTTTACAAGATTCAAAGGCAGGACCAAGATTCTCAGCGTTCACGAATCGAACACATTTCTGAAGAACTCCTTTATCTTGCGGCAAATTAAGACTATCGAAACGGGCTCGCGATGGCTCTAGATATAGAAGCTTCTACTGAGGCTTCTTTAACGGCTGTAAAAACCCCATTCCCAGATTGTCACACCAGCCACGAAGCGACTTCGGACTAATCTCTCCATCAGGCTTTAGGGGAAAGACTTGTTGCCCTGGAAAAGCAGTTTTCAGAGCTACAGGCGAAATATGCCCTGCTATCGGAGACTAAAGACAACTCGAATAAAACCAGTGACCAGCCTGCTGAAAAAAAGGAGTCTAATGTATGAAGTGTTTGCAATAGCGTGTTGGCGTGTGCTAAGCTAACATATGAAAGCCCCAGGTGAAATCAAATGATTCGAAAGCAACCGACGAGGTGGGTGCTCTGATATTTCACAAAAGAAGATTCCCAGGGCTAATCATTGGAGAAAGAGCAAGAGTGGCCCCAAATCCCGAGTCAAATTACTCAAGACGGTCAAAAACCCTGAGACCGGCGAACGCGAGGAGGTCGAGAGCGACACCCCGCAATCCAAAACTGAAGCTGACTCCGACATCGCGTTCGTTTTGAAGAAAACAGTTCCAGATAAATTTTCCGATCCATATGACCTGTCTGAAATAGACATCATCAACCTCGACTTGTGGGAACTCTTGAAAGAGCACTTGGGTGCCTATCCTTATCACATATTTCGCGGTTCACCAGTTACTCTTTTTTCACCATACGAGGCTCTCGTATTTGAATGGGATGTTCTCCGAGCTGCTTCCGTCGAAGAACCAAAGAATGAAGAAGATAAGCAAGCCAGAGAGGACTTGAAGCTACTTCTTGATCACTTGTCAAGCGGCTCATCGGGTGATTACAGACTGGACAAGTATTTCAAAGAACAGAAACCGACTCTGCGACCACAAAACATTCAGTTTGATGACCTGTGGACAATCTTCCCACCAGGAATGCTGGTTTACGGCAAGCCTTTCCAAAACCAACATCAGGTTTTCATCGTTCAAGATAACATGGGAGCATGGCCAGAAGACAATGGCAGTGTAAAGGGAGCCAAGCCCTGGAAAATGACCTGTTGGACTTACGATTGGAATGGATTTGAATTTGAGCGAACACCATTCATGATCGTGTTTGAACCATTTGAAGGATATAAGCCCCTGGCAGCGTTGCCTTACTTTCCATTTGAGCACCACCCTAACCACGAACAAGTGAAAGAAGAAATGATTTTGCGTGGCAAAGAGTTTCAAAAGCTGTGTGCTGCTGGAGGCTCGCCGCGCCTATTTGACTACAAAGGTGATGCCATATTTGGAAGAAAAGGCTTCAATGGAATGGCCCAAGGAGATAATGTATGTCGGGTCTCTGTCTGAAACACTCAAGGATAAACCTCTGACTCTTCAATAGGATGACAGCGACTCCAAATCTCACGATACATCGTGGCTCCGTCGCGCATTGGCGAGGTCAACCTCTATCGATCAAGTACCTCCCTCGACTGCAAAGCCATATAACGTGAGTATTGTGGCTCAAAAAGCTTTCAAAGTTTTGGAAGTTAACTCTCCTCTAGACAGATGGCAGGGTCATGGTTGATTACCTATCCTATTTTGAATACGGAAATTCGAATGCACGAAATGGAACCCTTGATCGAAGCTGGCTGGATCCACCTTGCACATGCTCAGATTGTCGATCCAATGATGAGTTGGCAACGAAATATCGAGAATATTTTGATTCCAAGCCGCAGAACAGAAAATTGGACGACGAACAATACCTGCTCTTCCCACCTCGCGTGTTAGGATATATTCTCAAGGAAAAACAATGGGCGCAGTTGCAAGTTTCTCTTATCAAAGATATCCCGAAGAATGATCCCAACGACGCTTGGTCCTCTCGCCTGCGACTTGCTGACGATGACACCAAAAGTCTACTTTATGATCTTGTGAAGAGCCACACCTCGTTGGGATCACAATCTGAGGACTCGAAACAAAAGAGGCTTGAAGTTGATGATATCATCCCAGGAAAGGGGAAGGGCCTAGTCATTCTTCTATACGGTATAGCTTTTTCTCTACTGCCCCCTATGGTGTTTTGTGTTACTGACTGTTAATCGAGGCCCTCCTGGTGTGGGAAAAACATCCACGGCTGAAACAATTGCTGTCGCAACACAAAAGCCTCTCTTCTCGGTCAGCGTCGCAGACGTTGGCACCCAGGCCAAGAACGTCGAATCCAATCTTTCTAGAATATTCAGTCTAGCCACTACATGGCAAGCTATTCTGTTGATGTAAGCATAATTTGTTCGTCCCTCTTGCTCTGCTCACCCTAATAAATCGTTCCAGTGACGAGGCCGATGTATTTCTTGAGAGCCGTGGAAGGGGCCCCGCGTCATCATCAACTGATAAGAACGCACTTGTTTCAGGTAAGACAATGATGCAAAAATCTTCCCAAGAACTTTCTTACTAAGAGTCAAAGTATTCCTTCGAGTTCTTGAGTACTACCAAGGTATTGTATTCCTCACGACGAACCAAATTGCTCAGTTTGACGTTGCCATCCCTTCACGTATTCATCTTGCCATTCAATACAAGAGTCTCACACAGAACCAAATGAGGGATATTTTCCAAGGCTTCCTTAAGCCCCTTGACGACAAAGGACTGGTAGATGATTTAGATGACATCCTTGACTGGCTCAAGGAAGATGTGTACAATACCGGATTTGACGGCCGTCAAATCAGAAATATTGTCACAACTGCCCTTGGCTCGGCACGAGCAGATTACGAGCGGGGCAAAGGCAAAGGAAAACTTTGCAAGAAGCATCTCAAACCGATTGTTCAGAATACGCGCCTTTTCAAGCTTGACTTCAATGTGCAGTATGATCGGTACATCAGATCCCAAGAGTCGATGATCAAATGATATTGAGGGGTCGGATTACGGGATGTAATTGGGTTTCTTTTTAGTACCAGATGTCTGTGTGACTGTGTCGTACGATTATGCTTAGGAATGACAGATATTTTTTTAAAAATGATCAAGTTAAGCAAGAGCTCTTGCAGTATCTTGCAGATCTGATTTTCGATTAAGAGTATCTGCGAAGGCTTCCATATTGAGATACTGTTCAAGCATGACATATGATCTAGGCATGCTCAATCTGTGAGACACTAGCTCCATCAAGGTCTTTAATATCAGACACTTCGTTCGCAATTCCAAGCCGCTGTCGAATGTTTGCCATTCGAACCAAATCCGCCTCTCCTTGGTTGCCTCCAAAGAGCTTATCCATCTGTTCAATGCCAACACCTCTTGTCTCGGGCACAAAGAAGTATACCCAGCCAATTAGGAAAAAGCAGAATGCTAGGCAATAATATGAGCTTTTGCTTGACTGATAAATCTGGATATTGAGAAGACACTTACCCTGAAAGAAGTAGAAAGTCCCAAATTTGATTGCAGCCAGCATTCTCGGGTAGATCAAAGCCACAATAAACTATTCTGTTGGTTATTGTTCCGTTCCTTAATTCAATTGCAGTTCACTCACGTTGCTAAGCCAGTTGGTACCGATTGCCAGTCCCACGGCCTGGGAACGAACACCAGGAGGAAAGATCTCGGAAGGAATAATCCAGTTAACACAGCCAATGCTAAAAGCAAAATTGGCAATGTAGGCCCACACAAATGCAGCACACGCCCATCCTGCGGCTGGGTGACTGCCCCAGGAGCCATCATACACAGCGTATATTGTAGCAACGAGAAGCTGAGAAATAGACATGCCAATGCCTCCCACGATGAGAACTTTCTTGCGACCCCATTTGTCCATGAATAGTATAGCTGGAATTGTGAAAACAAAGTCTATAATTCCTACCACTCCAGTTGCTAGTAGGTCAACTGACTCGCCGGTCATGCCGATGTTTTTGAAAATCGTGGGTGCGTAGTAAATTATCGCGTTGATGCCCGTGAACTGTTGAATAAATTGCATCAAACAGGCAATTATCAAGCGACGATTGAGATGCCGGACTGTTACCAGGGATTTGTATCGTTCCAATGTGACCTGCAGGGGCGTGGTTGCTTGTGGATAAAGGGCCGAGGTTGTCTCACGATCAAATTGCACAGCTGCCGTGATTTCGAGCAGCTCGAGTCTGATGCGTGGGTCTGTATCTGGAACGCGCCGGATACGAAGCAATGTTGCCTCCGCCTCCTCTTCCCGATCTATCATTCATGTGCTTAGCAAGAAGATATACTGATGTTATGAAAGAAGGAGGACAACCTCACCTTTCAAAAGCAGCCAGCGTGGGCTGTATGGCAAAAAGAATGTACCGACTGCAAGAACCAAAGACGGAATACACTGCAAGGCAAGTGGAAGCCTCCAGGCAATTGGGGACTGACCATCTCCCGTTCCCCCAATGTGCTGTGTACCGTAGTCGATCCAAAAAGCAACCATAATACCGAATGTTATACTTAGTTGCTGCAATGAGACCAAGCTGCCTCGCACGTTTGAAGGTGCCAGCTCACTGATGTAGAGTGGAATGACCATAGATAGCCCACCAATGGCGATACCGGCGATATAACGACCGACGAATATCATGGCGATGTCTTTTGCGGCAGCTTGAATGACAGAGCCGACGAGGAAAATACAATTGGCGAGCAGAATAGACCAACGCCTCGAGATACGGTCGGCGATAGGCCCATTTGCCAATGCACCAACCATAGCTCCCAAGGTCAAGACTGCCACCATCCATCCTTGGAGTGTTGAATTCGAAGCTAGAAGGGGGAATTGTTTTCCCTGGAAATGCAAAGTTGGATATTAGAGGTCTGTAATTCACAACACACAACTGGGTTTCAATGGCTCACAAAGTTGTTCATCACCAAGACACCGCTGATAACTCCTTGATCGTAACTAGAAAGACAATGGATTAGTAAAACATTGAACAGTCCAGGGTGCTATGTTAGATAGTGCGTACCCAAAGAGCATGCCGCCGATGCTAGCAAATACCGCCATACACAAGATATAGGGCTGCCGTAAGAGTCCTTTGACTCCTGGAAGTATTGAATGTTTGATCAGTATATATACAACATCTAGGTAGTTCAATTTTCTTGGGGTTTAAAATCTTACCCGTCTCGCCATAAGAGATGGCCATTGTCCCTATGCTTTCGGTAGTCATAGCAGAAACCATTCTAGCAACAGCTCGAGTTGAACGATCACGGACTCGAATGCAATGGCGAAAATGCGGGGGGCTGTCAATGTAAATATATGGGGCCCATCGGCTGCTTCCCCGACATAAAATCCGGGGAAGGCTAATGCAGTGCATGCATCAGAGCAAAGAATTATGTCGGAGTGTAGCCTGCCGATATTCAGTTCTCTCTGCGCAGACTGTTGACGCTACATAGTCGAATGATGGATTTCCCTGGAAACAGACAAAGAAATCAATTCACGGTAATTCATTACAGAACCAGTAGAGCCCTTTACTTTGAAATGCCATATATTTCCAGCCCACCTCACGATGTCCATGAACACTAGTCCATATAGACTGTATGTGATTCTGGAAAAAACGAGTAACGGTTGTTAATTCTTTCTGTAGTTTTCGGTCCATTTGCGGAGTATTGAATCGTCGGGCTGCAGTGGACCGACGAAAGTGGAGTATCCAGGGTCGGGAATCGGGATGACGCCGATGTATGCAGCATAATTCAACAAGTAGACGTCCACCAAGTACACTCGGGAAGACCGTACTCCGAGTCAGATGACAGGAAAGGGGAGGGGAAAGGACTAAAAAGCAAAGGTTGACTTATCAACCAACTTGGAAAGTCCAGTAGTATCGGCATTGTCTAGCTACATACAAGTCACCTTCTTTTTCACTTCTCAGCTTTCTCCCCCAGCTTTTCCCCGCACCCGAACTTGCTTTTATAAACAACAAAATCCTCAATCAGCGCAACACCATGGCCCCCTCAAAAGAAATCACAGAGCGCGCAGCTCTTACCTCCCGCGTTGTGCCCTCGATGGTGTTCAGCGATGGCAGCTCCTCATCGATGACACCTGCTCCCAGCCTTCCAATCGAGAGCAACCCTGCAGTTGGAGCCCAGAAGCGCTTTTCCGTGCGGGGCAACGCAGTCGTTACCGGGGGCGCCGGCACCCTTGGGCTCCGATCCTGCGACGCTCTCCTCGAGCACGGCCTTGAAGGCCTAATGATCTTCGACGTCAACCCTGCAAACGCACAAAAGGAAATCGCTCAAATGCAATCCAAGTTCCCAAACGTGAAGATTAGCACCCAGAAAGTCGACGTTACCGACGAAGAAGGCGTTCGCGTCGCGATGGAAGAAACTGTTAAGCAACTTGGTTCGATCGATACGCTGGTTTCTTTTGTTGGTGTGGTAGGATGTGTGGACAGTCTTGAGATGCCTATTGCGCAATGGCGAAGAATCCTCGATATCAATACTACGGGTTCGTTTATTTGCGCCCAGGCAGCGGCTCGGCAAATGGTGAAGCAAGGGACGGGCGGCTCAATTACATTTGTGGCGTCGATTTCTGCCCATCGCGTGAACTATCCTCAGCCTCAGGTTGCATACAATGTTAGCAAGTCTGCGCTTTTGATGCTCAAAAGTTGTCTGGCGGCCGAGTGGGCTCGGTACGGCATCCGCACGAACACCGTTAGTCCGGGGTATATGGATACGATTTTGAATGAAGGCGATGGAATTGCTGAGCATCGCCGCATTTGGGCTGAGCGAAATCCAAGTGGTAGAATGGGAAGTCCTTCGGAACTAACAGGAACCATTGTGCTACTTGCTAGCAGTGCTGGCTCTTATATAAATGGTTCAGATATTGTTGTTGATGGAGGCGCTGTTGTTTTATAGAGCAAGCTTTGGAAGCTGTGCATTCATCCCCATACAACTCTGGATCAAGTCTTATACACAAATGACCAATTAATGTGTCGCGTGGCACACAGGCCTATCTGGGAGCTTAGATTCTATACTTCGAATTTTCATTGTATCCACATGGTATGAATCTACATAGCACGAGCACAATAGACGATTCCTGACTTCGAAGAATCTCCAGGGCTTGGAGAGATTGAAATATGTACTATCCTTAGTATCAAGGTTAGAATGCCACATGATTCTCCGCTGATCAAACGTTTGAAGTCATTTTCCAGGACTCTGTTAAATATCCAAGTGTTGCCGACAACTACTAATTTTCGTCGGTCGACAGTGCTCCGACACTCCCGCAGCCCAATGACGTGAGACTCGAGGCATTTTACTATTATTCATGGAGAAAGATACAGATACATGTACGAGTTCAAAATGTCAAAGAACTTGAGAAAATCATTGAGTTCATCAGCACCGCGAGCATGTATCAACTGCCAAAAGAGAAAAACTCGATGTTTCCGAGCAGGATCCGAAACCGATCCTTGTTCCTACTGTGCTAGGAAAGGAAAGACATGCAGCTTCGAGAGTCCGCCAGATCGGACTCCGTTGACCAGAAGAAACCTAGATGCATCTGAAAGTCGGTGCGCTCAGCTCCGATCACTGTTGCGCTCACTAAAACCGGATTTTGACATCGAAGCTGCTTTGGAAAAGCTAAGCCCCGAGGAAGAAGTTACACGCTCGCCCACTTTGAGTGACAACATAGAAATCGCTCACGATAGCTACGAGTGGCACGAAGGGTCCTTGTCTCCAGAAGACGCGTTTCCAGATCAAGATAACGCCATTACCAGAGATGGGATGGCCACCCTTTCGACAAACGATTCGGGCTATTTGGGTATGCTCAGACAAGATCTCAAAAAAATATAACTTTTCTTATTCAAATGTTGAAAGCTAATCTCGTTCTCTAGGCAGTAGCTCAGGGTCACGAATCTTGGAAGAGATAGACCCCACAATCGTAAATGTGGCAAGGCAAAGAGGACGACGCAAGTCTCATCGAAGACTTTACCGATCAGGACTTCCACCGCTGGATCTACCTAGTTTGACTGTCTCACAAACTACGAGCCACCTGATCGATGCTTATTTCTTACTCTATAACAGCCACTTTCCCGTTTTGCACGAGAAGACCTTCCGCGATAGGGTTGCAGCAAACCAGCAACAAGCATCACATTTCTCTCCGTGGAAAGTCACATACTACATGGTTCTTGCCATTGGTCACTGGGCTTCGAGCAAAGAGTCAGACCATCTAGAATCGAACTATTACTCGGCTGCAAGATCCAGTCTCTCATTGCAGATGCTTGAATCCGGAACCGTGGAAACGGTGCAAGCATTCTTGCTCATGGGCAATTATCTTCAAAAGAGGGATCGGACAAATACAGGCTACAATTTCATTGGTCTTGCGTATAGAATGGCCATCGGACTTGGATTGCATCGAGAGCCTACCGGGACTGAAGATACTATTGGGCATGAAAGGCGACGGCAGCTTTTCTGGACCATATATTGTTTTGAGAGCGGGTTCAACATTACAACTGGTCGTCCACCTACAATTGTGGATGGCTTCATAGACATTCGACTTCCGCGGAACGTTGACGACAAGGTAACTACAGTCTCCATTCTCTGAAAGTGATGTATCTGATGCTGATAATATCTGGGAAGGCCTTGTCATTGACCTCACAGGTCCCGACAAATGTTGACTATCCAACAACATATTCCGCAATAATTGCCCATGCTCAGCTAGCCAAACTCGGCGATGCCATATATCATGAATTCCTTCTAGCAAAAACTGCTGGGTCTCGAATCGAATATAGACTGGCTGAATCTATGGAACGGGATCTCTTACGCTGGTGCAAGAGTTTACCGAGCTATTTCACCGCGACCGACGTTCCCTCTTGGTTTCGGGGCCCAAGGGCAGTGGTTCTCTGGAAGAAACAAAACCTCCGAATCTTACTCTGGCGTGGTAGTCAAACACACCACAGCTTCCTTTCAATAAAGGTGAATGCAGATGAAAAGTGCCTGAATATTGCCATGGATAGTATCCACGACATTGCTACCTTTTGCACCATGTATGAAAGCGACATGCACCAAAGCCTCACTTGGTACGCGACATATTTCCTACTGCAGGCCACGTTAGTCCTTGTGGCTGGATACCTTGACAACAATTCCCACACTCAGCCGGAGCCTTCGGAGCTGCATCACTCAGTCTTTCAATCTCGAAATTGTCTCAGAATGCTAGCTGCTGATAACAAGTCTGCGGCTCGCTATTTGGAAATGCTTGATGTTATTTGCAGCCAAGTCCCATCTCCAGCTCCAGATTTGGAGTTAGATCAATATGCCTACGGTCTTTCCGATATGCCGGTCGGTGGCGGGTTCGGTGCCCCAGTGGGCGATATTCCTGGTAATGCGTCGAACTTTGCTGGTCTACCGAGTGAGAACGATTTTATGATCCCCGATGAAAATCTGTTCGCGTTGAATGATGATAGCACCGCTGATCCAAACCTGCGCATGCTTATCAATCAAGTTTCTCAAGATTTTACTGGAAGCATGCCTCTGGATCTGCTTTTTAACGACTGGATGAACAGCTCCGCATAATATCGCTAGATTTTTCATAGTGAATGAAGAGCCAACATATTGAATCCAAAGACAGTTTCTTGTCTTCCTGCACATGTGCTGACTGTAATGCAAAATGACAGGGGATCCAAATGTTCAACGCGGAGATAAAAAAGGCGGAGGCCGAGCCTTGCGGGGGCTTCCATCCCTCATTCCAAAGTTTTGCTTGACGCTGCCCCTCCAACGCCGAGATTTACACCAAGTGGGCACTGTAATCCCAGTCTCTCGGTCTTAAGCCCGATTCTCGCCAATACTTTCTCCCTGTTACACAAACTGTTATCAGGTCGGCTGCCGGTTCATACATTCCATGTCCGAGTCTGCCAATAACCCGGACCCGCTTGCTGCGGAGACTGGGGCCAAGAAGCGTTCGCGGGTACAGCTGTCATGCACCGCGTGCCGATTTCGAAAGTATTGATTTATCTCTTATATGCACATATCATATTAGCCTATATGCTGATCACCTTCCAGACTGAAATGTTGTCGCACCTATCCATGCACGAACTGTAGAAAGCGTGGTGAGGCGGCAACATGTACTTACGTCGGTCGCGGGCCTCGAGCCAAAGCCCAGCATGAGCGCGCCAGTCCAACCCTCGTGCAGGATCGACTGCAGCATTTGGAAAATCTGGTTATGTCACTGGCTCATCAGAAGAAGCCCGGCGATCAGGTTACTGATTTCAATACCGGGGTATCGGAAGATACCCTGGGCTATGATACGCCTCCTTCGGTCAATGATCGTGAGACCAAGGCGTCACCGCGTGATACCGGCACTTTACTTGTTAGTAATGAAGGCACTAGTTATATTGACAGTGTGAACTGGCGTGCCATTTTAGAAGAGGTATGTTCTGATTATCTTTGACGGATAGGCGGAGGACTAACTTGTTCCTTCAGATTAATGGAGTGAAGGAGTATTTGGATGAACAGGAAGACAACTCCGACAACGATCTGACTGAGGAAGATCCTTATGGTGACTCTACGCCAGCTCTTTTGCTTGGAATGGCGAAAAAAGTGACCAAACAGGAAATGCTCGCCGACATACCGGCACGGTCGATTGCCGATCGTTTTATTTCTCGCTTCTTAACAACATTTGAGCCGTCAATAGGTATGCCGATTTCGCTTGGTTTCCAAAAGAAAATCCCCTCATAGTACATGCTAATATGGCTAATAGTCGTAATTCATGTACCAACATTTTGCAAAGAGTATGAGCAATTCTGGAAAAATCCCCACGAGATGTCATTCACTTGGATCGCGTTACTATATGCGATTTTGGCCTTGTCTATCTCTCTGTTTCATCGCAGCGAGGAGCCCTTCCCAATCAGCGTGATTGATCCAATGATGCTCTGGGATGTCTACCGGAGAAGATCTGCCCAGTGTCTTGTTCAGACAAATTACTTAGTCCCTGGCAAATACAAGGGCGAGGCTCTGTTGCTCTATACAATTTCCGAATTCCTCCGCGGCCAGGACGCTCAGATCGGGGTCTCATATCTCCTTGGCATCACCATTCGGCTTGCATTGCGCATGGGATACCACCGAGACCCAAGCCACTACCCCAACCTGTCGGCATTCGAGGGAGAAATGCGCCGGCGTCTTTGGGCTGTGATATGCCAACTCGACACTCTGGTCTCCTTCCAAAATGGTCTCCCACGAACCGTCCAAACTTACTATTCCGACTCTGAGATACCGTCCAATCTACAGGACACTGACTTTGACCAAAACTGCATACAGTTACCACCTAGTCGATCAGATGAAGAGAGAACAGCCTGCTCATATACACGAGCGAAGTCACGCCTCATGGCAGCGTTTGGACAAATCTGCGATTCAGCCTATGCGCGGGAGGCGGTGCCCTACGACGAAGTTATGGCCTTGAATCGTCGGCTCGAGGCGGCAAATGAACAGCTTCCTTCGTTTTTCCGCTCTCGGCCGTTATCCCAGTCTATGGGCGACCAAGGGGATCTCATACTGCGGCGGTACACTCTGAATCTGATTTATCAAAAATCACGTATCGTGTTGCACCGCCGGTACATCACCGAAACGCAAGGCAAACATGCCAGCTCACGAAGGATTTGCATCGAGGCCGCTAGTGCGACACTGGGGCATCATGCAGAAATCTGGGCCGAGTCACTGCCCGGCGGTCAATTGTTTTCAGACCGATTCCTACTCAATTCCCTTCAAAGTACTGATTTCATGCTCTCGGCCATGGTGCTCTGTCTGGTACTTTCGCATAACAAGGATAGCGGAGACCCAGCCCGAATGCAAACAAAGGAGCACAATGACATCTTGGTACTTTTGGAGAATACTCATTTGATTTTCAAGCAGACTATGCGGCGCTCTGCGGATACCCAGAGGGCTTTTGTCGCACTGAGCATCATGTTGAGTCGAGTCAGGGGCCGCAGCGTTGAAAGCTTCACATCAGATGTTAAGAACACAGGCGCGCTAGATAGTAAGTATCAGGATTTTTTTCTTATTTTATTTTACTTACTGATTCGGCAAATAGATGACAACCTGATCCAACCAATGCCCACGGTGGACCAACACCAGTACCCGACGGTTTCTCCAGAGGGCTTTGAGGCTGCTATGTATACTGACACTTCCGTGACTCCTTCATATTCTTCCCTTGGCGTGATTGATGACATGCTCACGGCCCCCGCTCAATTGGACTGGGTATGTTGCAACCCTCATGTGTGTGTGTTTTTTTCTTTTTCCGAAACAAGCTGATCGTTCGTTTTTAGCGTTTGTATGATGGCCAAATGTATGGGTTTGACTCAGTCAACCCAGAAAGCATGTGGTCAGCAGGGTCTTTTATTGACTCCAATGGTGTTGATTTCACTTTGCCTTCCGACTCTATGTAAAAAAGGACGGTTGCTTGCGGAATTATCCCAGGCTAATTGGGGGGGGGGGAATAGCACACAGACACCCACTACCTATCATATCCAACCATAATGAAAATTCAGAACCAGATATGCTGAGAATGGAACGAATCACTGGATCCAATGGGCTCGTAATAAGTGCACATGTACTATGCAAAGATACAAGCCGCATTCGGATGCCTTTATCCATACAAAAAACTTCATTTCGGTTGCGATGGTAGATCATCTTATCTCTCCACAGTCCATACTGATCCGACGCCGGTATCTGCCCAGTAGTGCTCGGCCTCGGCCGCAGATCCCGATCCGCGGGAACTTTTTTCAGCCCGTACCAACATTGAAGCTTCAACCCAGGCGCCCTTGAAACACGCGATTAAACATCTCACTCCCTCCTCCAAAACACTACCATGCAACACATCCGGGCCTTGCGACCTTCAAGTCGCACAATCACAACCCTAGCCCGGCCTCAATCCGGCTCTCTGCGAACCGCCCTGCCAATCAACACAATCGTCACAAGGGAATGCCCCTCACGACGCCAATTAACACCACCATGTACATCGCAACCCCAAAAAAGAGCCTTCAATCTCTCCTCACTCGCCTCCTTTCTACCCAACGGCAACAATAACGGCAACGACTCGCCAAAGCGCGTCCTGAACGCCTCCCGCATACTCCCCTACTCGCCGGCCCTCCTCTTCAAAGTGGTTTCCTCCGTCGAGGCGTACTCCGAGTTCCTGCCCTTCCTGGCCGCATCTACTGTCACGGCACGCGACCCGCAAACGGGCTACCCGACGCAGGCGTTCCTGACTATTGGCTACGGGCCGTTCAACGAGACGTTTACTTCGCTTGTGGATTGTGATCCTGCGAAGGGAATTGTGGAGGCGCGGAGTGGAGCTAAATTTGGGAAGCCTGAGGGTAGTGCCAGCAGCAGCAGCAGTGGCTCCTCTGGACTGAGTGGCTTCTTCCCTGGCGCTACTGAGGGAATCTTTGAGTACCTCTCTACGCGGTGGGAATTGGCGCCGGTTGATGTGAAGGGTGGGTCACCGCATACCAAGGTCAATTTGGAGGTGCAGTTTGAGTTCAAGAACCAGATGCATTCTGCACTTATGGGTGCGGTGGAGGGGCAGATGGCTGGAGTTATGATTGAGGCGTTTGAGAAGCGCATGAAGACGATGCATGTCGAGGGCCAGTAAATATACATAGAGGCCCGGGGTACGTGAGGGTGCCTCTTGTATATTAATTGCTTTTTGATTCGGATGTAAGATATACATAGAGTACACATACATATGCATACAGCTATTTATGAAAAGATATGGACCATGAGTGCCAAGTTTGATTTCTATGGAGATCCGCTATACAATTTTAAAGACAAGAGGTTGGAAATGAAGAAAGAAAATAAAACATGTTAGTATATAATACAGATTATCCAAACACCAAAGGGATTTTATCCGCTCAGGACATGCTCAGACTCCGACGGTTGTGGATCAATGAGGATTTGGATCGCATGGAGCTGACGGCATTGTAGTTGTCGAACACAACGTCCCAGTTAATGCGATTCCACCAGCGCTCGAGGTACTCCGCCTTGCCGGCAATACCGTAGTCCATCATCCAGGCGTGCTCCCAGGTGTTCACGCACAGAATGGGCTGCAGATCCATGCCACCGGGGGCCAGGGACTTCTGGTTCTGGGCATTGGCACCCATCTTACCGGCGTACTGGTTGCCCAGCTGGGTTTCCGAGGAGTGGGTGGCCAAGTCAGCGGGTTGCCGGCGGGAGTAGGCAGCCGGGTAAGGGGAGCCGGCGTTGTAAGTGCAGAAGATCTGCATCATTCCTTCGCGCTCGAGGTTCTTGGCGAGCCAGACGAAACCGGGGCCGAACATAGCGTTGGCGGTGGCCAGGAAGTCGAGCTTCAGGGACTCGACGGATGAGCAAGTGTCGACGATGTCCCGGGTGAACTGCTCGGGGATCTCGGTGGTTTGCGGAGACTGCGATGCGTTAGAATTTGGTATACAGCAGATGCGCGATCGGTGAAGCTGACCAGGCAGTTGAAGAAGAAGTGGTTGTTGTGAGCCATGGAGGCATAGTTGAAGACCGAGGCCATCTCCGCGCGCTTGGAGTACTTGACCAGCAACTCTCCAGGCTTGGCATCCGCGTCAACGGTGTCTGTGAAAAGATTCAAATCAAAATTAGTATTTCGTCCATGCCTATATCCAATTGAAGGAAGAACCCCCAGGCCATTCAATTGTTTGCAGGGTGAGCTCAAACTGACCTTGTGTCAACAGGTTGAGTTTGTCCACGAGGAGGGTCTGGTATTGGGTCCAGGCGAAGTCGAAACCCTCCGGAGACATGAAGTCCGGAACACCGTTCTCCTTGTAATATTTGTCATTCTGCAATTGAGGCACGCGGTGGAGTCCACGGATCTGGAAGCGTGAGAGGGCGGAGATAGGTGTCTGGAGGAGCAACGCGATCAGTTTCTATCCACGCGACACGAACGGCGGGAAAAGATATGGGCAAGCCGATCTTACCTGGACAGAAGCCGCGCGCAGAGCGCCGGGCCGGGCAAGTCGGCTAAACATGATGTGAGATAGTAACAAGAGTAGACTTGATCCATTGAGCTTTCCCAAATCTCGAAGAATTTCCCTCCCGACGCACTTCCCCATCGGGACTAGCGTGGCTTATATCATCGCCCAACTACCAACCAATCAGATCTCATGAAACTACATCTCGTTCCTACCAGTGTTTCTCTAAGCGCCCTCGATCATCCCTCGTCCAGCTATGGTGCTGCATCATGCGTTCTTCAGGGGGGAAGGATCTAAGTTTAGCGCCTGCTCCAGCATGTCATTTACAAACATGCAATCGAATCTGAAACTCATCTGCGAGCCCTAGCTTGGGCTCCCGGCGCGTGCCCGGAATAGATCAGTTGAATGCCCAGGCAAGTTGGAACCTGGGAAATGAATGCTACTGACGATGCCTCTTCTTTGTCACAAGTCGCCTGGTTTTGTTTTCTATTTTCTTTTTACTTTCTTTCAATTTTGGCCTATCATTAATCTCTTTGTCTCTCCGTCTGTCTCTATCACCCTCATTCAATCTTCGTCAACGTGACTGTTGCCTCTTGGCTTGCATTCCAACCAGGTATCGGTCCATAACCAACTTCTCTATACACTCATTTTTGGAAAATAAATCTTCAGAAGAACTGGTCAATATCTGGAGAACATCGACGTTCTGAGTCCACATTCGCGATATAAATATGTCGAGATCCACAACCAGTACCGCGGTCAAAGGGTCCCTAGTTCTCTTCCTCTTCACCATTCTGGTTTCCGTGGAACAGACAAATGCCTTTAATGGATTTGAGATCTTTCCGCGAAGTGATGCATGTCCCACTTCATACGACTCATGTGGAGGCAACGTTCCCTCAGACTTCTGCTGTCCATCAACCTCAACCTGTCTCGTTCTCGACAACGACACTACAGCCCTCTGCTGTCCATCCGGAAGCAGCTGTGACTACATTTCACCTATAACCTGCGATATCCAAGAGCAGAATGCCACTGCCTACCCCAAAGCCTCAGTCAAAACGACCCTCCTTGGTGACAGCCTCCCAACATGCGGCGACGAATGCTGCCCATTTGGATATACCTGTGAAAACGATAATCTCTGCCACATGACGAACACAACAACGACAAGCACAACCACGGCATCAAGCACTGCAACCTCAACAACTTCAACCTCCACATCCGCGTCCGCATCCGCATCCGCATCCGCATCCACTACCACAGACCTCTCTGCCTCCGGTGCAACCTTCACAGCCGTATCTTCAGGCTCATCCGTCTCCGCCGCATCTCTCAACGCAGACTCCACCTCATCCTCCAACTCAACAACCGCCACAGCCTGCCCAGCTTTCCCCAGCAAGGCAGTCGTAGCAGGCTTTTTCCCCGGCGTGCTCTTCGGCGCAATTGCCGCGCTCCTAATATCAACCTGCATCCGACACCGCGCCGAAAAGAAACACTTAGCAGAAATAGACCAGGACACCAAAGCTTCAGCGCACAACTGGTCCAGCCGCTCCTCATCTGGCGCCGTGCTCGGGATCTCAAGCCCCATAGCCTCAGAAGACGCATCCTACCGCACAGACTTCCTGCTCCGAAACCCAGATAGCAAGCGTTCCTCGATGAGCTCCCGATCCATGCGCTCCATGATGAACCGTTCTAGCTCTCGGGTCCGAAGTCTATTTTCGACGGGTATGCCTGGAATAGACAAAGATGTGCCCCCGCTGCCAACGACGGCGACGGAGCTCCCTGTGCAGGAAGCCCCTGTGACCCCGCCCAGGCAGCGTGAGCCCAGTACCGAAAGTATCAAGGTGTATTCGCCGCCAGCGGTCTTCATGCAGTCAAGAAGGTTTCTAGGGCCGGAGCCTTATCCTAGCCGGATTGCGAGGCCGTCAACTACGTTTACGGATTTGGTGCAGGCTGTTGGGTTTAATCCCGAGACAAAGGGGGATCAGTCTTTCAAAGTGCATGAGGTGCGCAAGATTACTTGATGTCGGTGCGGGCCTGTGGAGGTTCAGGCTTGGAGCTGGTCTTAAATATGATACGTTTTCGTCGGCATTTTGGTTGGTGTACAACATTTGCGATCATTCTAGATCCTTTGCTTTTTCCTTTGTTTATATACCTGTTCAACAAGTTTTAATTTAGCCAATATCCGTACGTGAATTCAAATTCGATACCAATTTTGCACCCATAGAACCTATTGGTCGGTAGCAAGGAATGCCATATGTATGCAAGAACTCTTAAGTCGTAATCAATGAACAACAGTCGCAAGAGAAAAAGGAAATTGGATGTTGTTGTGCTGCACATAGCTTCTAGAATATAGCTAATATAGAATACTTTATTTCGTCAAGGCTTTCCTCGCCTTCCATCCAGCTACTAGTCGCTTTATTTCCTTCAATAGCCCAACAACCAAAGGCACACCGATTGGGCCTAAGAGAGGCAAGTACACAGCGACCTTGTGCTCGTCTGGGAAATAGACCTGACCAACCATACTCTTCTCAAAAAAGCTACGCTCTGCCTCGGTCTCAGCCACGCGCGCGCTGGCAAGAGCAGCAGCGAAGCGACCATCCCGAAGATAAGAGCAAGTAGCAGAGAGGTGGGTCAGGGTAGTGGAGACCGAGGAGGCAACAGTAGCCGGGATTGGAATAGAGGGAAGGGATTCAGTGAGACGGGCCAGAGATCCCATGGTAGATGAAGCGGAAAGAAGGAGAGTAGCTGCTCGAACACGGATAAGGGTCTGGAGACGGAGTGGCAGGGATGACGGAGTGGTGGGGGTGCCCAAGAGAGTCAAGAGTTGATGAGAGAACGTCATGAACGCGGGGCGTAAAGAATCTTCTGTGAGGTGCGTTGGGTTGGACGAACCACTCTTATCTGCTAAGAGTGGTGGATTGAGAAGGAATACACCACCCCATTGCGGTACAATCCAGCTCGAGGCGCGGTTCTCCTTCACGACAAGCGGAGATTGAGACGGAGCGGGAACATAGAGAATGAAGTTGAGGGTGGGGCCGCTGCCAATGCTAGGGTTGAGAGGCCACTCGGCAGCATTGATGAATGCGCTCAAATCCTCCTTTTTCAGTGTCCAAGCAGCCTCGGTCTCATCATAGACCGGGGGTGGTGCCATTGGTGAAAAGGTTGCATAAAGCTGAACCTGAGTATCGATTGTAAAGTTGCTGATGGGAGCAAATGCGTGGAGAAGAGGGGATAGGTACTCCTTGACAGCCGCCTCGATGTCCCAAGAAGACGGCACAGAGCCCGGGGTGAAAAGTGAGAATGACAGGTGATAGGTGTCGGCGTATTTCATGGATCGGCGCAGTCGTCGACTGATGCTCTCTGAATCAAAACCGGCTGTCCCACCCGAGAGAATGTGAGCAATAGTGGCCTTCTCCTCGCTATATAGTCCTTGAAGTTCCTGTGCGATAAAAGCCGAGAGAGGCGGGTTCGAGGACGAGGGAAGAGGGACCTGGTTCGGTGGGTAGAATACATCCAGTTGTGTTGTGTCTGCGTGGAGTTCTGATCGAGGGGCTACCAAGTCATCCTGGGGGAGCACACGAACAACCAGAGCAACATCTGCACCCTCTTTAACTTGATCAATGGACAAAACGCTCTCTTCACCGTTAGAAGAGAATGCGCTGGTATCGTTCGCCAATTTAAGTCGCAAATGGTGAGCGGCGAATTCATTGAGATCGTCAAGGGTATGTTGGGTAGTGCGGAGGAGGTGCTGGGACTCGGAGATTTGCATTGCAGGTGCTGCAACATGGATTTCTAGTGGAAAGACAGGGCGACATATCTAGACAAGCAACTGTTAGCTATATGCTATCGCTCATGCCGGGGACCCGTTCAATGTTTGGGGCGCCGTACCTTGCCATCATCCCAGTCCACCATCTCCTGAATTGGCAAATGCGCCCGATAGATCGATGTTGTTTTCCACCATATTGGAAATCCGAGCAGTATAATAACGGCCCAAAAAGCAGCAATCACTCGGAATCGCGTCTGGCTGGCCTCGTTGGTCTCGGGGGGCGGAATGCGCTGCGCGATGGATTGAGGGTTCGAATCGGCCGAAGCCTTTGGAGACTCGCTGTCTCCTTTTTTGGCGGTCATGTCGGGGACATGCTTTGTGCTGTGAGCTAACACAACACTCAAGTAGTAAAGAGTGGACGAGTGTTGTTGTCGGGGAAAGCTGAACCTTGAAAGGCGGAGAAGGGACCAGGTGGCTCCGCTTAAACACTACGGAGTACATGATTATCTATTTACCAAGTAAATTGCACTGGAGGACTAATTGGTAACACCCAATTATTGCTCGTGAGAACAAGAAAACTGCGTGTCTTGTTTAGTTGTTGTTTGTCTGTTTCTTTCAATTTTGGCCATAAACCTTTGAATACATTCCTTTCTAGCTTCAGTGCCTAAGTAGGGGATCATACATAGTCAAGTTCAAGTATGGAGCTTCAATCGAGTAGTCTATAACTGTTCGGACTAAACATTATTCCGAAAAAAAAAATCACATATAGGGTATCTTATAATCATAAACGCCATTCTAATGTAGCGGTCAGGTATTTCAGCCTTGGACCTTGCAGCACACATCACCCCTAGTATTCCTTCTCGAAGATTTTCTGGATAGGTTTGGCAGCCTGCATTTTGAAAGTCAGCAAGGAAGAAAAGGTAAGACAGATGGGAATAACAAGCTCGAGCACATACATCAATGAACTTCTCGAGGTCCTGATCGAGGTTGGCCAGGTCATCCTTGCGTTTCTTGTTCTCCGCGATCAAGGCCTGCTTATGCTTCAATAACTCCTGGCGAGCCTGCTCAAGTTTCTCACGCTCCGCATGTTCATGGTTAATGCGCGCAATCATCAATTCATGTTCATCAGTTTCGCGGTGCTCGGGGAAGAGCTCGAGGAATTCTTCGACAGGGATCAATGGTAGAGAAAGGTATTTGTGGCTATCGACGCGAACAAAGCAGGTTAGTACAAATAAAATTAGAGAACAAAGACAAGAAGAGGCATTATGCAAGGCACCGGGCGTGTGTGCTTACTCGTAGGATTCACAAGCATAAATCTCGCCATTCAGGTGCTTCTGCTCGTAGTACAAGTTCTGCAGTTGGAGATGCAGTCGATCAATCTCCTGGCGGGCCTCGGCGGTAGATTGTTTGGTGTCGCGCACACGGAAGATTGCATCACGGTTCTGACCCCGCAGCTGGGCAAGGAGGGCAAAGAGGACCTTTTGCTGTTTCGAGGCGGCTAGCGATAATTCCTGAATGGAAGTTCCGGCGGGGATAGAGTCGGGGTTCAGTAGAGCAAGCAGCTGTTGGCACTGGGCGAGCGTCTCGGCGCTGGTGCCAAGCACGGGCAGCAATGACTGGTCGGTAATGATCTCACTGATAGCCATGATTTTTTTTTCTAATTCGTTCAGAGTCCAGTGGCGATTAAAGCAGGAAATCTATTCAAGAAAGTTTTGAGGGACCGATCGGAGGAGTCGAAGTGGAGAAGAAGAAAGAAGTGGGAACGAAACGGATCAATCAAATGACGGCACCGCTCAACCCATGTGAATGCTGGGCCGAGTGTGGTTGGGGAAGACTTTAACCCGAACTTTTGGCTCACTTGCCTTCTTTTAACTCTTCCCTTTTCCGTTCTCAAGTTCTCAACCCCCACCTTGCAGATATGTTGTGTACATAGGGGACTCGCCCTTTTTCTTTCCTTAATCTCCTCTCGGGTTCACTCACTTAACTTTCAGCTCTTCAGCCGCTCGGTCAAGCCACTCGGATAACTCCGGTTTCACTTCTCCCCCCGTTCCTGAATACAAATCCCCCCAAAAGACCCTGGAGGTTCTCGGATTGACGCTACACGAATAAACACCCCTGTCTCGCCATAGCGATGGCCTGTACATCATCCTCTATGACGGTGGAATCTTACGAGGACTTGCGGGCCGAAGAGGCTGTCTCGTCCGCCGTTGCAACCCCCAGCGAGACCAGTGGTCTCCTGCGAGATCGACACCGGAGACACTCTTATCACGCCCCAAGGAAACTTTCCTGTGACTATCAAGATGCAGACACTGTGTTTATCAGGGTGAGCACTGCTCCTTCGGCTTTCAGAAAAAGGTCTCCAGTATTTAACTTTCATATAGGTCGAACTCTTCCTCGCGGAACTCGAACGCCGCATGCATTGGATCGACCAATACCGAAAGTCTCACATGGATCAGGTCGATGCCAGTCTCAAACGCGGCTATGCAACCTTGGAAGCAGTCCGTGACCAATGCTCCGTCGCATCTGGAGAACTGATGGGCAGTGGCAAGAAACGAGCCAAAATCTTGGTCGAAACATTAGAAGATGGATACCATGAGGCACTAGCGACCAAAGAGACACTGGAGCAGAAGGCCCAGGCGGGCGTCCGGCTAATGGAGTCATTCTTGTCAGAGCTCGAGTCGCGAGCACACGCAGTTCGTGATCGAGGAATCTACGGAACCCTGGATGATGGTTGGAAAGTCATGGATTCCAAGTTGGTTCACGCCCGCGAGGTGGTTGATGAAGGAATGGAAGTCGCTCGCCGTGCCCGAGATGCGCTTCGAGAGAGTATTGAGGCCGCCCTTACTGTGGCGGAGCAAAAGCGCTTGATCGCCTACTCGGATCTACCCGACCCCTGGAGAGTCAACCCGCATATCCTGAGCGGATACCGTTTCACCACCTCCAAGTGCGAATGTGTGTCCTCGGTCTTCACCTTCTCAAACGAATGGGTCAATATCTGGTCCCATGTTATCGGTCTTATTATCGTTCTTGCTATCGCCTTCTACTTCTATCCACTACACACCAATTTCCACCTCAGCAGCAAATCTGATGTGTTGATTGCCGCGGCCTTCTTTGCGGCTGCATGCAAGTGTCTAGTCTGCAGTACTATCTGGCACACAATGAACAGCATTGCTTCGCAAACCTTGATGGAACGTTTCGCCTGCGTGGATTACACTGGCATTTCCATGCTGGTGGCGGCTTCAATCGTGACCACTGAGTATACTGCTTTCTACTGTGAGCCAGTTTCGCGATGGACTTACATTCTTCTGACCTTTTCTCTGGGCATCGGCGGTGTCATTCTACCTTGGCACCCGACTTTTAACCGTCACGACATGGCCTGGGCCCGCGTCGCCTTTTTTGTCACACTTGCCCTCACTGGATTCGCTCCGCTGGCGCAACTATCTTACACTCGTGGCATTGAATGGTGTCTCTACTTCTATGCCCCAGTCGTGAAGAGTATCACTGTGTACTTCGTCGGTGCCTGTGTCTATGCCTCCAAGGTCCCCGAGCGCTGGAAGCCCGGTCTTTTTGACTACGTTGGCGGCAGCCACAACATCTGGCATTTGGCTGTGTTGGGAGGCATTTTCTTCCACTACCATGCCATGCAAGATCTGTTCGCGAACGCCTTCCAGCGTGCCCAGGGAGAATGCCCCAATCTAACATCTTGATTCAGCTCTTCGACACACCCGGTAGACACGCACTTGCATTTTCTTTTTGTCTCTTCATGTTCATGATAAATCATGACAACTAAAACAGAGGGGTATACACGACTAAGCCCTTCAACGTTGCTTCTTAGACCTCGGTGTTTCTGGCGGTCTTGACGAGAGATCCCGTCGACATCTTATAGATATTCCTACATGCCTTCACAACTTGGCTTCCTTATGCATTGGTGGAGTTACTTGCACATCTCGCTCACTGTTTCTCATTTTGAAAGTATATATTATTCTTGCAGGGTTTTTGCTTACGCTCGATCGAGCTTTTTTATTTTGCTCATTGCATATTTTCTTCCAGTCTTTGTACCTATTTCACCGCGCTGGCTTACTATTCGTTTTCTTTTCTTTCTCTGGTGGTGAATGTTGACTCCTAGACCAAGTATTTGAAGTTTGGAACTTTTCTTTCTACCTCAAGTGCTGGGTATGTTAGAAAGATTCAACGTTTTACAAACCTTGGAAGGATCTTTTAATTGTTCTATCGAATAAGAAAATCGGAACAGTCTTGGATGATAATTTTGGATAAATGCAAATTCCAGTATATTTAGAATGTAAATGTATCAATGCAAATTCTATAGCAAACGTAATGCAATTTTTTCATCATCAAACTCGTAAATCCATGTCTCGTATACTTCCGGGCGATTTCCACGCCCAGGTAGTGTTGGAGTACCCGCGAGCGGTAGCGATTCCTCGTTCTTATCGGAGGATCAAAGCCTCAAGAGGCCTGTTGGTCTTATGGGGCAAAACACCAATGTCCAGCATTTATACATATACTGACAGTCGATCGCATGGCGGCAAGTAGTATGGCCTGTCCCGTCATTGAGACATCGGCTTCATTATTGGCAACAGCATCCAGTCCCCAGCCAAGTGTTGTTCAAAATGATGCAACGGGGCTCACACGACACCTCGCATTCACTCTGCATTCTCTGAACTGACAACAGCACCGCCACGCTTGACGAAATGACCCTGCATCCAGCAGCGGTACATCTTCTGCTTGGTAGAGCGGTTCACAATCAGACGGCGATCAGCATCCAAGTGCTTGACCTCGAATGTAGTGTTACCCTCCGCGAGCTGAGACTGCGAAACAGGGTTCTCCAAATCAACCTGCAGGCCTGTCTCCGGTGTCCACCGGCCCCAGATTTGAAGCAACTCATCGTGATCAAAGAAGTAAACTCGGGTACCATCTCCACGGACATAGAAGTTCTCCTGCATGTAGCGTCCCTTCTTGAAACGCACCTGCGCCAGATCTCCACGTCCATAGTCGCGGAACAGCACCTGACCACCGGGCTTCAAGAGACGGTAAATGTTGCGCAGCGCATTGTTCCACTGGTTCGGGTTGAGTGCGGAGAAGATAAAGATGAGGATAATGACGTCGACAGAGCCCTCGGTCAGACCAGGCGGCAAAGAGTCACCGTTCTCATCGGGCACAGCAGCCGCATCCCAAACATCCGCAACCATGAACTTCTGATCATATTGGTCACTCTCACGCATGACCTGCACAGCGGACTTCGAGAAGTCGCACGCATGCACCTTCAAGTGCTCATTCTCGTTGTTGCGCACCAAAGGGAACGCAGTGTTGCCCGCGCCGGCGCCAACTTCCAACACAACCTGGGGACCCGCATCCTTCTTGGTCACCTCCGCCAGCACCGGGAACTCCTGGCGCAACCACTTGCGATCCTTGAAGAAGTTGTCGGTGTTGTTCTTGTAGAAGAGATTCCACCACTTGGCGGGGTCGGTGTTGAAGCGGTTCTGGTCAAACTCGGAGACGGGGGCGGCGCGCTGCTTCTCATACTGGACTTCGGCGAAAGCTTTGAACTCGTCATCGGGCTGAACGTGGTCCCAGGCATTGAACTCAAAAACATTATCGCCATCTTCTAGGTATCGCGAGCCGAATTGGAATGGGTCCGCGCGCTTCTGGTTGTTGGAGGGGTCGTGAGAGCGAGAGGCGGGGTTTGTTGGTGGTTGGACATTCTCGGTGATGTTTTGGATATCTGTCTCAAGTACAGTCATCTTGAGCAAATTTGTATGTGTGCTAGTGAGTGTATTTAAAGAAATGACAGTTGGAAGAGACGAAATATTTTGGACAGTGGACTTGAGGGGCGCGGGGAAAGAAAATCTACAAAAAAATTAGAATTGATCGGCGGGTACCTGATTATGTCATCCTTATCTATGCTTATCGCCGTTATCGATAAGGTTTTTTCTAGTCCTCATAGATCGGGGTTTACATGTACAAGAGATGATATTAGAGTGTAGTAGGATAAGAGTGCTAGCAGAAACTAGGGGAAAAATCTGGTTTGCGCATGTCTGGCAAGACGTGGGAAGACGGTATACGACGCAAACTCAAGGATTTGGGACTGAAGCCATTCCCTGATGATCCCTGTATTCAGTCCTCTTTTGATGCCAAGGGCGTGTTCGGCATTTTGTTTATGATAAATGCCGAGGAAGTCATCGACAAAGATCATAATAATGAGCTTGTGATCACTGTAGATACAGGGATCATCGGGGAACGGCTTCAGTCCCAAATCCTTGAGTTTGCGTCGTACATCGTCTTCCCACGTCTTGCCAGACATGCGCAAACCATAGATTGCACGCTTCAAACGCCATGGAATGGTGCGAGCTGCATAGTAGTCGGCTTGATAATAAACTGATTACCGAATCTGGCGCTGTTGAACAAGCTCTTCATCATCATGGCCAAACCTATCACGCAGATACTGCCTGAACTCTTCCGATACAGAGATAACTTTCGTCAAATGCTCATATCGTAGGTGCTCTTCTTTGAACTGGGCCAGAAGTGTCGCTGTTTGTATCGTATTTCTGATCTCTCGTCCATTCAGCTCGTTGTCACTCAAGTCTCCAATACGCTCTTCTAGCTCTTCAATATTCATGCCCACGCCAGTGTTTCGAATATTATTGAAGAATTTGGACCATATACGCCACCGATCCTCCTTCTTAAGCTTCGGGTAATGAACAATGAGCTGTACACGCGACTTGAAGGCTTCATCAAACGTTCCGATGCGATTTGACGTCAGCACCAAGATTCCGTCGTAGTACTCAATCACCCGCAGGAAAACTGACACAAGCGCGTTGCGTCGTAGATCCTGGTGTGTTCGCTCTTCCAAAAACACATCTGCCTCATCCAGAAGGACCACACATCGCCATAACTTTCCTAGATGGAGAACAGATTCCAAATACTCCTCGACGTCATCTGCATTTGTCCCCACATCCCCGCAGGTGACCCGGTATAGAGGCCGGTGTGTTAGCTCTGCAACCGACTCGGCTGTAAGTGTTTTTCCTGTACCAGGGCCACCATGAAGTAGAAGTATGAGTCCATTTCCCTTGCCCTCGATGACGTCAGTCGACTCGTTAGTAGCATCATGCTTCTTGACAAGGGCTCGAATAAGCTCTTTCTTTGTTGAATGCAGCACAAGATGATCGAATGCTTGCTCATTCCATCTGATTTCATCAATATGCGAGACAAGGAGCAGACCTGACCACGAAATCTAATTTCAGCCAAGGTCAAGTGATATTTTGGGGAAGTCACTCACGCCACTTCTTATCTTGAAAGCCAAAGCCGTGAACTGTGGCGGGTAATAGGAGTAGAAAATTCTCATCGGGTGGGTCTTCAGCTTCCGTGCTCTCATCACTCAGATACTCGCGCTCTTCAGTTGGATCTTTTTCCGGATGCAGCTCCCGATAAGTAATCATATCAACCATATATCGTAGTTGGATCTGCAATACCAGTCAGAAAGGATGAGTCAGATTGGTCAAACTTGGTAAGACTTACATTCTGCCAATCTTTCTGTTTCTCATTAGAAGCGTAGGAAACGTATGATCGATGACGAACAGACCAGAATTGACGCCCACGGTTTGCAATCAAGCTCTGTACATCGGGCGTAGCGTACTTGAGGGGAAATATAGATAGGGTGGTGATGTCAATGGTACCATCTTGCACGTCATGCAATTTGATGTCGAAAGTTGTACGATATTTCCAGAACCTACCGTCAAATCTCCATGTCCAACAGGATAAAAGGCTGGAATCCTCTGGGGACTCATCCAAAACATAGGCCAAAGGTTGGCCTTGCTCCCTGGTAACGAGAATCTCTTTTGCAGCAAACAACTTGGGCAGATGAAACCTTGTCATCAATCCTTTCGAGAATAGAGAATCAGCCTCATCGTATTCGTGACGGAATATCCTTTCCATAAATTCAACAAAACAAACAGCAACTTCAAAGGATTTTTTCCCAATCTTCTCTAAAATGGTTGAATCGGTTTGAATCGCACGAAGGTGGTATACCCGTGAGATTAACTCCCGCATGAATTCTGGGTCATGGAGTTCAATTATAATTTCAGGGCTCAAGTCAGTCAATAGGGCAATCACATCTCGCAGGTGATCTGATGGGATGTGCATCGCCTGTTTGTGAGATGTCGCTGGGATCCCATCTTCGTCTAGTCGAAAGAAGTATGGTAATAACGACTTCGTTATTGGGTCATCTGGTTTTTCAAGCGGACGGAATCGAGGCTCCATCTCCTTATGATAAACTTCACAATCATAAATTTGGTAAAGTATGACCCCTATATGGGAATTTGAATCCATGAAGTCTTCAACATCGGCTATGTGACGCCTGCCACGGAGGGCACTCGCCTTAGAGTCGCCGGTGAACAATTGGGGTGCATCTTCAAAATAGGCAACTTCTGGATGGGAGTGATGATCTTTGATCTGAGTGCACTGTATGCGATGGATCGTGCGCGTCTCGAATATGGGCGAGGGGAGTAAGGGGCCTCTTTTTTTGGGCAGCATTTGGCGCTGTGAGTCACTATCGGAATCACTGTGGCTTGATGCGCCCTTTCTCTTCCGGCTTTCCAAGAAGTCCATCTTGATTCGACCCGGACACAAGTTATGGGTTTTAAGGAAGGTTGTGTTAATTTTATGATCAATAAACCCGAATACCGGAAATTCCAGCCAACTCACCCCATCCTAGGCAGATTGAATGACTCGCTTAGCCCTCTGCAGCCGATGCAGCCGCCAATAATATGAATCCGGCGCCTAATCAGGCAATGATCATCGGCTAGTATGTGTTGGTTGATCTGTCCAATTCTAATGTTCCCAGCCCCAAACATTTCATGTTTCTCAGGTGCCATGGTGCACCAGTTGAAAGAAGCTTGGTGCCCGACCCTATGTAGTCTAAATAGTAAAGCGTGTTTACCGCAACCAAAACGCTAACCCCCCCACAAAGGCTAAGCTCCCGCGCTATCTAGAGCCAGGTATCGGAATATGTCAACTGGTTGTTTTTCAATATACTACGCTTATTTCGATGTAGACTAAACATCTGGAAAAGCCTCGCACAGGCTCTGAGCACTTGAGAGTGCACATGTGGCTTGAATCGTCCGGCTTCAAAATATTTACTACAGAGCTTGTACCACGGGGGCGTCGAGTAGTCCGGGGCCATGGTACATATTGATCCTATCATTTGAAAAGCCTGGCTTCACAATCAATATAGAAATGATCAATTGATCAAATGAAGAATCTCTCTATTTATCCCACGGCCTTCTCTAAAGCATTGAATATGTACGGATATATCAATGAGATTCTGGCTATCTGAATTTTGGCCTTATGGAGTCCAAGCGGGCATCCCAGCCAGGCTTTGAGCCACGTAATCGAATAGATGGCATGGTAGCATTATGTACTGTGTTACCATGGGATTGTTTCCAAGGCATGTTATAAGCAACAATAACAGCCTTGAACTTTGCCTTAGAATCTTCGACGGCTCGCTGGAGAGTATCTTGAAATATTTCTGCGATGACTGCTTGCTTGATCTCAATGACAATGAAACATTCATCGAGACAACATAAGACACGGTATAAAAGATGAAATATTTGTTCTTCACTCAATTTCTCGTTTGATGACAAGTCCAGCCCGAATTCTTCCATAGCGTGGTTGGGAATGATCCTTGACGCCTGGAAAATCAAACTCTTCACTGAATCCATAGGTCGAACTTCCTGGGTAGCTGGCTGGAATATGTATATCACAGAAAGGGTCATCCTGTTCATAAGGAATTGATGAATATGACAGGCGAAACTCTCTGGGGCAGGAAGCTCAGTTAGTGACCGAGCATGCGCTCCCCGAATTGTCAGCAAGGGCCGATTTGGATCTGAAATCCAGCGATTAAGACTCTGAAAGAGTTGAGTAGACTCTCTGTCTTTCGGCCACGGGTTCCATGAAGGACCTCGCTTTGCAAATGACAGGTATTTTTGCAGAGCTTGCTCCGCATCTTTTCTAGGTTGAAAAGCTTGTAGGAAAGCTGTACGATTAAATGTAACCACACCAACTTTGTCGTGGGTCAAGCTAGGCTTGTTTTGTATGTTGGAATCTCGATTTGCATCAACGCAACCTCTCAAAACAGATAATAAAAGCCTTGCATATGCTGCTGCCGCCGCTGCGGCATATCCTTGCCAAGCCTTATTCTTATGGGAGTCGGCGTAGTCGCAAACGCCTCGTATAACTAAACACGGAATCAAGTTCATCACACCAGCAGCCTCCATTTCGAAGCAAAGTATCTTGTGCCTTGCTCGTAGAAGGTCCCGGCGCTTGGCGCTCTTCATCACCTGGTTTCCAGACCCAATAGGGCCATAAAATATTTCAGGTTGATCCGAATGACGCGCAGGTCTATTGATAACCTCTCCGTTGCAACTCTGGCAATTGTCATTGCTCGCGCTGTGTGGAGAATCTGCATCAAACAAAACGTCCGAGTCTCGACCTGGAAATTGATAGGCAGGCCTTGTGTCTCCGATTTTGTCGAGAAACATTTGTAAAGAGCTCGCTATTGGGCTCGGGTTGGACTTGAGATTGCTGATTGCTGCCATAAGGAGTCGGGGCGGCTCCTGTTGTCTCCCTGTACTCTCAAACTCGCCGTTTTCCAAAATCTTTCCCATATCGTATTGGACAACAGCGGGATTTGCTCCATTCGGGTGACTGACAACGACATCGCCAAGTCGAATATCATATTCTGACGAGGGCACACCTCCTCCAATCCCTACCAAGAGGCACAACTCGACTCGTGGGAAGCTTCGACGCATGTTCTGCATAACGGCGCTGGCGGCATTTGTGCCATACTCGGCAGATGGAAGGCACGTAGCAACCACAAAGTGCTGTCCCATTCGGCCCAATGCATAGTGGTTTGTGTCTTCTTGGACCGTCGGTAGACCCTTGTGTTCTTCTTCGAATAATGCCCGTACAGCAAGAAGCTCTACGCTGAGTGCACAGAGAATTGAAATGTTATAGTCTTTGGATGTGAAAGTGTTAGGCAAAGAATCTGCCATGGTCTTATTATTTTTCAACGTACGCTTTTCTCGTGGGTGACCAAAATGTTTACAGGTCCGAGTCAGCCCCACCCCGCATGTTTTCATAATGTTTGACCCAGATCTCAAAAATACTTCCTATCTGACAAGGTATCGCACCATACCTTCAGGTTAATAATACGGAAAATAATATAAAGCATCAGCATCTACCCCTCTACTACGCGCGAACCTGTGTTTTTTTGCAGCACCTGGTTGGCTGAGAGGTCCAAAGTGGGTCCAAAGACAATGCTACAGCTGGGGACTCGGATTGGCTTTAGGTTCAATCGCCGCGCGCAGCGCGGCGACAATACTTGTCACTCCATACTCCCCGATCCTTCATAATCACCTACGCAGCCTCCCCGAGAAATCAAGATTGATTTGAGACAATGAAGGTGGAGAGAAAAAGTGGCCGTATTAACTCTACACTCCATGCTAGTATTATAGAGCATTTGAATTTGAATCGTAGTAAGAAAGAAAAATACAAAATTCAACTCACTTCTCATAGATGAGGTACATTTGACTTCCTTCCATAAAACTAGGAGCTTTTAAGAGGAGCTGAGCTGTGACCTGGTCCCGAAATGCCCCTCTCCAGTCTGCACATGTGGTGCGGGGGAAATGTCATCACCCGGGCGTTTCGTGGATGAATTCAATTGGACATCTTGACACACTCGCCTAATTAATACGTGTCACCGCACCGCTAGGAGCATTTGGGCCTGTACTTGGGCCCGAGACTTACTAATTACTACTCATCATTGCATTTAGATCAGTTCACAACTTTTGAATACCAGTCCACAGCCACACCTGGGCTTGGGTCATCTGGTAAACGGGTTTGCTCCACGGATACCTGCGTATCAATATTATATGTATGCATATCTCACATACGAATGTTATCAGCATACGTACACACCAGTTGACGCTATTTTGAACGACCGCTTTCCAAACCGAAGCCTCTGTCTCTTTCAGATGCCGAGGTTCAAATCAAAGAATGTACACATCCCTCCACATCATCAACCCAAAAAGCCTTTTGCTGCCAAAAGGACGATCTCAGATGATGCTTCCTGTGAAAGCGAACAGAAAAAACGCAAGTTGTGCTCTTTGGTAATTCACCAACGCAGACATGAGAGGAAAGGTCTGAGAGCTGTGCGCGAATTTGGCGTATCAGCAACAAGTTCCTCGGGGCTCTCACTGAACAGCACGGCTTTACCTTCAACCTACGAGACGCGGATATCATATACACAGGACTTGTCTTATGACCAAGGAGTGCTCTCGGGCAGTCCAGAGTCCTACGGTAATGACGGTCCAACAACCTACCAAGAGGCGGGCGTTCCAGAGGAAATGACGGCGGATGGCAGCGCGGCTTATCGGGTTAATGAAAAGCAAACGATATTGCTTGAACAGGAGAGCAAGCACCGCTCAGTGGATTTTGGTGACAATCAGGAAGGATTTCGAAGCGCTATAAATGTCAAGGCTCAGGACATAGTACGTGGCATCACTGGCCGCACCCGACCTGCTTCTCCCCAACCCAGTGGCAAAGCGTCGTCCGCTCTCAATATTGATGGCCAGCCAGAACCCAATAGGAGGACGCCAAACAACATCGTATGCCTTGCTTCTACTATCAGTTCTTCCATTCGTTCCTCATTGCTAACTATTAAAAAGGATCCTAGTCTAGTCAAGGACCATAATAGCCAGGGCCAAGAGGCGACTCCTTCCCAAAAGACCTTTGAGCCGAACACGCATGCTCCACTTTTAGATCAGCTGCCAATGGCAACGACAATGCCGGGTGAACAAGGTCGAACACAGATTTCTTCGAACCTCTCGCAGGCGGTTCCGGAGCAAGTAGCTCAAATGACCAATGAGCAGGCTCAGGCATCTTTAATTGCCCAACAGCGAAATAAACGGATGACTCGAAATCTTACTCAGCAATCTGGCTCTGGTCAGCAGGCAGCAGTTCAAGGCGGCCAAGGTCAAACGATTTCCAACAGTCAGATCAATCAAATGAGAAACTCAATGAGTCTGCCCATTGGCGTGCATCCCATAGGGTCAATCCCGCCTCCGCAAGTCCCCGGTCAAAACCTGCCACCACAAGTACTTCCGAAGCAGCAGGAGGATAAGGCGATGACCCTAGAGCAAGTCAGGGAAATGAATCGTGCGGCCTTCCCACCACCTATCATCAATCACATCAAACCCTCTTCGCAGATGCCTAAGCATATCCGGACCTGGGGACAACTGAAGCATTGGATCACCAACAACCCACAGGCATCAAACGTAGTTGATATCTCCAAACTTAAGGCGCTGCAGAAATTCCATTTCAGGCAGATAATGGCCTTCCGCACAAAACATTCACAAGCGCAGCAACAACAGCATGAATTCGATGATTAAATTGTTTGATAGTGATCTTGAAAAGATTTCTCGACTGTTGTCCAGCATGGCGGTCCATACGATAGCAAAAGATATGGAGAGTATCAAGAAGAGTCCGTCAAATATGACGCCGGAGCGGCGCAAATACGTGGAGCGCTGGAAAATGAATCCAATGACATTTTTCTTCCACGCTCAAGCACTAAATCAGTTAAAACGCCATCGCAGGGCTCGTCTAAAAAAGGGACTGGCAACCCAAAGACAACGGTGTCGTTCTGTGAAGCGGTAGACTGGATCAACACGTCCATGACAAGCCGTAACTCAATCGAAATATCCCATGAATATCTTCATAGATAGCTTTCCTATCGCCGCGATTCCACTGCCGAATCTCATCACTCCATCTCAAATTGCAGCCAACCTGCAGGTGCAGGCACTATCCGACAGCGCATATGCCAAGTTGACGGGATTGAAGTTCAACTTTCCTGCAAACTGGGGCTACGATATTTTTGAGGAGGTGTACGATGAGGCAATGCGCAAGGCTGCAATCGCAGCTGAGCCGGCTAATAAAATCAGCTTTACTGTTTAGTATTTCGTTCAAAAGCTTGGAAGCCCTGGATATACGCTAGAAGATGTTGATAGAAAGGAAAATGCCATTTCATTCACTAGACAACACGGTTATTGTCTTATTCCATGGATTTTCAATCGTCAGATGAGTAGGTCTTCATTTAGCCTAAAAGGGCAATGCCCAGGAACCCTTAGCCCAGATTGGGCAACTTTCAAGAATTTCAAGATGGCTTTTGAGGGCAATGATCGACAACAGATATTCATCTCCAGAGCTTTTTACACTTTTCAAGGCCCTATTTCGCAATATAATCTCTAGCTTCATTTTTCACTTCAACTAAGGCACTTGGACCGCCGTGTCGTATTGGGCGATGTCTAATTTTGAACAAGAAATAATCTGACTTGGACAGTTCATTGTCCCAAGTTTGGCCCTGTGCGTTCTAGTTATCAAGGTTCCCTAGTATTGATCCCCAGGTGGTTAATCAGACTAGGTAGCTAGTAGATACACATGAATGCAAAGGGCTTTTCCAGGCTTTGCACTGCCGTTCTATTAGATGCCCTCTCATTGAAGGATATTTTGCAACGTTTTTCCGTCGTGAATTTTACCCGGAAGGGGTCCGTCCAACTGAAACGCCCTATGCCTAAATTGGCCTGCAGAACAAATTTCAAAACACTGTTTTCTTCTAGAACTTAGGGTGACATGGATCCAATCCTCCTACGTCTGTGGCTCGATTTGTGTCTACCGGTAGTTATGAAATCTAGTGGCACTTCTAGTGGCTTCAGCCACCCCACAGGCGTCTCATGACACTTGGCACTATCCACACAACCTGGCTGCATGGATGGACCTCGGACAATAAAAAAGTTCATCCACATTACCGAAAATGCGGGGGTGAAGGATTGGCGTAGAAGCTAGTCTATGAGCGATTCGAAGTCATCAGATTGGCGCAAACAGCAGCCATATTCGACACAACTAGACCGGAGAACCCTCCGCCGATGGTAGTATAGTGATTATCGAAATCACTGATCTTTATCATCCGCCCTGTTTCCACTTGAGACCCTGACAAGAGATTCATTGGGCTTGGCGATGATCCTTCCCATCCTGATCATGGAACAGGGTCCACATCCAAATCAATACCCGACACGGATGTCGCCCGATCTGGAAGCCGCCGTCCCTTTGATGAAGGGTGTGCCTTGTGCCTGTCTATACCAGTTCCGTGACGGCCTTGTGCTCCGTCGCGGTGGTGTCAAGAAATGTATCAGAACGACCTGGCGGTGTCTGATATGGCGAGATGGGAAAGGACCGGCTCTGCTGAAGAATGTTATATAAAGGTGTAACATCTTCATATCCTCGAAATTTGTTCTTCAACTGCAGGCCAGAACTTACATTGACCATACCTTTCCTTCCTTTCAATTCTTCCAAATATGGCTCAGCGGGCCCTCCTTTTTTCTGCCTTGATGGCAGCTGCTCGTGCCCAGCAGGCTGGCACCTATACTGCCGAGACCCATCCCTCTCTTACCTGGGAGAAGTGCACCTCCAGCAGCTGCACTGAGCAGTCTGGATCGGTCGTTATTGATTCCAATTGGCGTTGGATTCATGGAATCGATGACTACACGAACTGCTACACTGGAAACACGGTATGTGTTGGCACGAAGAAAGTATGATGCTTGACATACACTGACAATTTCTTCAAAATATAGTGGGATGCAACTCTCTGTCCCGATGACACTACCTGTGCCACGAACTGTGCCCTGGAAGGCGCAGAGTATGAGACCACCTATGGCGTGACAACCGATGCCGATGCGCTGACTCTGGGATTTGTCACTGGTTCCAACGTCGGCTCGCGTCTGTACTTGATGGAGGATGACAGCACCTACCAGATCTTCAAGCTTCTGAACAATGAGTTCACCTTTGATGTCGATGTTTCCAACCTCCCTTGCGGATTGAACGGAGCTTTGTACTTTGTCTCCATGGACTCGGACGGAGGGTTGTCTGAGTACACGAACAACACGGCCGGTGCCAAATACGGTACCGGATACTGCGATTCTCAGTGCCCTCGGGATCTGAAGTTCATCAATGGCCAGGTGAGTTCAGCTTGCCTCAAGAGAAGAAATAAATCCTCGTAAGCTGACTGGATAATACAGGGTAACGTCGATGGCTGGGAACCCTCGACTAGTGACGCCAACTCCGGAATCGGTAATCACGGCTCCTGCTGCCCGGAGATGGATATTTGGGAAGCAAACAGTATTTCCACTGCTCTGACTCCTCATCCTTGCGACTCAGCCACGCAGGTTATGTGTGAAGGGAACGACTGTGGTGGCACATACTCAACTAGCCGCTATGGTGGAACCTGTGATCCGGACGGATGTGACTTCAACCCCTACCGCATGGGCAACACCAGTTTCTTTGGACCCGACAAGATCGTTGATACCAGCTCAAAGATGACCGTCGTCACGCAATTCATCACAGACGACGGCACTGATACAGGTACTCTAAGCGAGATCAAGCGTATCTACGTACAGAACGGCGTCGTGATTGCCAACTCAGCATCCGATGTTAGCGGCGTCTCTGGAAACTCGATCACGTCAGACTTCTGCACAGCACAGAAGACCGCGTTCGGTGACGAAGATGTCTTTTCCCAGCATGGTGGCATGTCCGGCATGGGCGAGGGGCTGGCGCAGGGTATGGTGCTCGTTCTCAGTTTGTGGGATGACCACTATTCCGATATGCTCTGGTTGGATAGCGATTACCCGACCAATGATACCGCCTCGGACCCTGGTGTTGCTCGCGGTAGTTGTTCTACATCGTCTGGCGCGCCGAGCACTATTGAATCTGCATCTGCTTCCGCCAATGTGGTATTCTCGGCCATCAAATTTGGTCCCATTGGATCGACCTATTCTTCTTAAACGTTGGAAGTCGAGAGACATTACCCAGTATCAGGTCCCTAACTACCTCGGTGGGTGTCTGGGTAAACACATCTGAACTCAATCGATGTATGTGGCGCCAATGGGCTGGGGTCAACTGGTATCAAGAGGGAGTGCTGGGTCGGGACTTCGGGAAGTGGTAGAAGAGGACTCGAACCTTCCAGCATTGAAGCACGATTGGACGTGTAGATAAGGTGGATATTTCGGGGAAATAGTACTCAACAAGTGCTCAAGTTGTATGTATATACGCATTGGAGATATATGTATGCAAATTGTACAATGCTCCTCCGTGGGCTTTTTTTTTTCTTTGAATTGAATCTCTTATTGCCTTTGTCCTGCTCCATTTATGTATTCATTTGCGCCAGTTGACATACAGATTTAGAAACATCAAAAGCAGAACAAACAGTTTTGTGGTGTAACTGGTGTTGATGTCATTGAACCAATCAGAGCCCGTAAACGGAAGATCCTCGGCCCGCAAAAAAAGAAAAAACGGAAGCTTCAACTTGAAGCTTCGCCAACTTTAATTCCGCACTTTCACCTAATCTTAAAGGACATTGGTCTTTCCCAGTGACCCTGTGACTCTCCAATCAGTCACGTTTCACGCGCAATCATGTTCGACCCGGTCTGCACACTTCCGCTCTCCTCGGACCTATTCACTCAGGCCATCCACCCCGGACAGCCCGTAGTGTCCGTGGGTCTAGCCTCCGGCCATGTCCAGACCTTCCGACTGCCCACCGAAGAAGCCGCCGACGAAGATGACGCAGCTTCTAATTCCTCCATTCGCAGTGGCAAGGGACACATCGACACCATGTGGCGCACAAGACGACACAAGGGTAGCTGTCGTTCCTTGGGATTTAGCACCGATGGAGAGATGCTGTATTCGGCTGGTACCGATGGGCTCGTCAAGGCCGCAAAGTCCGAGACCGGACAAGTGGAAAACAAGATTGTTATTCCTCTAGAAAAGAAAGGGTAACCTCTTCTCCCCGAGAAAAGCGACAGCTATTTGGCGCCCATGTGGTTGACTTTGACGACTGAAACTAATTTGCGGCTTTGGCGCATTTAGCTCTATCGATGCCCCCACTATCATCCATGCCCTCTCCCCCCAGACTCTTTTACTTGCGACAGACTCCAGCGCTCTCCACCTGTACGACTTGCGCATTCCCTACTCCAAGGTCTCCGCGCGCCCAGAGCAGTCGCACCACCCGCACGATGACTACGTTTCTTCCTTGACCCCTCTTCCCGCCTCCGACACAAGCACTTCCGGATTCAGCAAGCAGTGGGTCACAACTGGTGGAACTACTTTGGCCGTAACGGATCTGCGGAGAGGTGTGCTCGTTCGCAGTGAAGACCAGGAAGAGGAATTGATTAGTTCTGCATTCATGGGTGGATTGCCTAACAGCGGAACCAGTCGCGGAGAGAAGGTGCTTGTGGGTGGCTCTAACGGTATTATCACGCTTTGGGAGAAGGGTGTATGGGACGACCAAGATGAGCGAATCTATGTGGAGCGAAGCAATGATGGTGGCGAATCTATTGACACATTGGCAGTCGCCCCGAGCGACTTGGGCTATGGCAAGCTTGTGGCGGCTGGTCTGGCCAATGGCTTGGTCAAGCTCGTTCGCATCGGAGCAAACAAGGTTGTTTCTGAGGTTGTGCATGACGAGACCGAGGGTGTTGTAGGACTGGGGTGGGACGTCGAGGGGCGCATGGTCTCTGGCGGAGGACAGCTTGTCAAGGTTTGGCACGAAGCAGCCGAAACCGATGGAGCCGGCGATGATATGGAGGGTGGAAAGCATATGCTTGGTGATAGCGACGATAGTGATGATTCTGATGATAGTGACCGGGGACCCAAGAGACCCAATGCACGGGAGCGCAAGAAGGCAAGAAAAGCCAACCGCAAGGAAAGCGGTGCTCACGTCATGGCTTTTGCCGATATGGACTGAGACTGATACTGCATTACCCGATACCCATCTGCAGATTACAATCCAAGAGCCCAAAAAAACAATTGGAAATTTTATATTTTAGGTTATGGGTCAATATTTGAATGACACCATTATGTTATTCCACGGTATATAGTTTAGTGAGAGGGAAACCCTTCACCCACGAAAAAGATTGATTTCTTTGCAGACTCGGAAAGAGTGTGAGGGGCGAGTTTCCAAGATCACTGCATGCAAGGTTGAAGTCAATGCACATGTGCGGATATCAAAAAGCAAAGGATAAAGTATATCCGAACATTTGAAGTTACTAAGTGCTTATTCATTCCGAACCTCGGGGGGATTTCCGCATTTCTTCCTATAGGCTTCGAGGCGTCAAGCCTCTATACAACCAATCTGGAACGAACTTGCGGGAATGAATCCCAGGTCTTCAAATTACCAACTATGGGCTTCAATCCGTTGACCTAGACCTAGAATATAACGTATAATCGTCCAAATCTCGGAACTAGACTCAGTTCGAACTGCCGGTAGTAGACCCCACGGCCCCACGGTAGCGCATGACGTTCATCGGATCACGGTGGGGTGTGGGGTGGATAGTCAAATTATAAGACTGCATTGGCTCGCCCTTGAATGGTCCCCGATGCTAAACTTGCAATTCACATACAGCTTGAATACCTTGCAATTTTCATAATGGACTCCTTCGAATACAACCCCAATCCCGGCCGGGTCGTGTTCGGCAGCGGTACACTGCAGAAACTCCCTGAGGAGATCGCCCGCCTGCAAGTTAAATCTCCATTGGTGCTGTCCACACCCCAGCAAATTAGCCAGGCCGAGACTGTGAAGGATGTTCTCAAGGGCCAAGTCGCTGGAATCTTCAGCGAGGCCACTATGCACACCCCAACCCATATCACCGATAAGGCACTCGAATATGCGAAGGCCCAGGGTGCTGATGCAGTGATTTCCATTGGCGGTGGAAGCACTATTGGTCTTGGAAAGGCGATCAGTATTCGCACCGGATTGCCTCACATCTGTATCCCGACCACTTATGCCGGTAGTGAGATGACTCCCATCTTGGGAGAAACAGCCGATGGATTGAAGAAGACGCGCTCTGATCCGAAGATCCTGCCTGGCACCGTCATCTACGATGTGGACTTGACTATGACCCTTCCGGCAGCTATGAGTGCCACCAGTGGAGTCAATGCCATTGCCCACGCCGGTAAGTAGCTCTGAACATCCCTCGATTCCAACACAGGGCCTCTCAGATCCTATACTAATCGCTTTAAACACAGTCGAGGCACTTTACGCTCGCAACACCAACCCTATTATCACCATGATGGCCATTGAAGGCACTCGGGCCCTTGCATCTGCCCTCCCTGAGATTGTTGAGAACCCATCTTCTCAATCCGCCCGCTCCAAGGCTCTCTACGGCGCTTGGCTCTGTGGTACCTGCCTCGGTAGCGTGGGCATGTCCATTCACCACAAGCTCTGTCACACTCTCGGTGGCAGCTTCAACCTCCCTCATGCAGAGACTCACACCGCTGTCTTGCCTCACGCCATTTCTTATAACGCGCCCAATATTCCCGACGCCATGAAGAAGCTTGCAGATGCACTGCCGGATAGCAATGGCGACGCAATCCATGGACTGAATGTCTTGTTGACTAAGCTGAAGGTTAAGCGTGGCCTGAAGGACTACGGTATGAAGGAGGAGGATATTGACAAGGCCGCTGACATTGCCGTGTCTAACCCTTACTGGAACCCACGAGCAATTGAGCGGACACCCATTCGTGAGCTGATTCGCAGGGTCTGGGAGGGTGAGCAGGCGAGCGCAAACCTGTAGACCAAAATTATTGTAATCTTATGATTCTCAATTCATTCCTATGTCATTTTTACTTTCTTTGCAATTCTGCTTAGTCTTTATTTCTAGAAGAATGTGGTATGTTGGGCATCTACCAATGGGCTGATCCATAATTATGGTTATCGGCGGCGGGGGGAAGTGGGGGACCGCATTTTTTTCTACAAAATTTTGGATTTTCCCGTCTTTACCCCTCCAACACCAACACCAAATATATCACTCGCAAATATGGGTACTCAAATGGAGGCAGCCCCGGTGCTGTCCACTCCGGACGACCGCATGTTCGAATTGACCGAGTCTGTCGCCCCGGCCCAGTCTCAGCAAGTGTCTGATGCCGAACTTTCCATCACCTACGATATCGAGCGCACCTTGAAGGAAATCCGCCAGGCCCGATACAAGCGCATCGCTCTCCAATTCCCCGATGATATGCTCCCGGATGCTCCGCGGGTCTTCCAGCTCCTCAGTCGCGGTCTCAATTCAGAGGAAATCGCCGGTGCGAATGGAACAAATGCGGGACAGTCGAATGGTCAAGCCGACACGGAAGGGAACATAACCGAGGGGGTGTCTCAGTTGTCTGTGGATGAGAAGGAGATTTGGTCGCCGCGATTGTACATTCTGGCTGACACCTCCTACGGCACATGCTGTGTTGACGAAGTTGCGGCGGAGCATGTGGAGGCTGACGTCGCGGTGCACTACGGACGGTCTTGCCTGTCACCAACCGCGAGACTGCCAGTGATCTATGTCTTCACAAACAAGGCTCTATCTATAGACCCTGTTGTTGAGGCTTTTAAGGCGACCTATACCGATCCAACCACCCACGTTATTATTGCAGCAGACGTCACCTATGCCGGTCATATCCCAGAAGTGTACAAGCGTCTTGTCGATGATGGATATACCAATTTGTTTGCTACGGAGGTAATCCATGAACCTTCGTCGGCCATTCCTAACCGCTCAGTGCCGGAGTCTGTCAGGGAAGCCCCCGATACCCTGTCCGATTGGCAGCTGTTCCACATCTCCGACCCACCAACTGCTCTTCTCTTGACCCTTGCTTCTCGTGTAGCTGCTATTCATATCTACCCCACCAATAATCCAGGAAACGGCCCTGTCAAGCCTTTGCCGGCATCGACTGGCGCATTATTATCCCGGCGATATGCCTTGACCACCCGGCTCACCACAGTCCCAATTTGGGGTATCCTGATCAACACTCTCAGTGTCAAGAATTACTTGGGCATCGTGGAACATGTGAAAGAAAAGATTGCCGCCGCCGGTAAAAAGAGCTACATGTTTGTGGTGGGCAAGCTTAACGCTGCCAAAGTCGCCAATTTTAGTGAGATTGGTGGCTGGGTGGTAATTGGCTGTTGGGAAAGTTCATTGGTGGATAGCAAGGAATTCTTTACACCCGTGATCACACCGTTTGAATTGGAGCTAGCGCTGAAGAGTGACGATGAACGGGTATGGACGGGATCCTGGCAGAGCAACTTCCAAACCATCCTCGACAAGCCGAATGGTGAGTTGGACGAAGCGGACCAGACATCAAACGGTGAAACCATGGATGATGAAGATGACATGTCGGAACCCGAGTCTGCACCGCCCGAGTTCGACCTTCGTACTGGGCGCTATGTTTCCCATTCGCGACCGATGCGGGATCCCGCACCCCGCGCTTCTACCGCGATCGATGGATCTTCTGGGCCTTCCGCTGCTAGGGCGCTGGCCCGGCGGGCTAAGGGCGATCTAGCGATGATCGGCGGTGCCGTCTCGCCAGGGGCCGAATTCTTACGGTCGCAACGGACCTGGAAGGGGTTGGGTAGTGACTTTGACATTCGATACGATGATGAGGAGTCAGACAGTACGCTGGTCAAGGAAGGGCGCAAGGGTATTGCCAGGGGGTACACCGTTGGCGAATCAGAACAGAAACATTAGCCGGATTTTTCAACTTTTTTGCCAATCTGTCAATCCTTTGAACATCAAGTGCGCATACACGGAGTACACGGGGGTATACACTATTTCACTAGTGAGGTATGATATATCTTCACAGGGGGTTTAAAGTTCCCTCTCTCTCTCTTGAGTGCTCTCTCTCTCTCTCTGTATCTCTCTCGCATGTATATAGCATTGAAGCAATATACCATTTGGCTACATAGAAACCACCTTGTTTAGAGATGACCAAGTTACTCCGTAAGCAGTGTTATATTGACCATCACATGACAGCTACGGGCGCATCCGTAAGAAAGTGGAAAGTTTGATCTTCACTTTTTTCCTCTTTGGTTTGATATTTTAAACATTCCCTTTCATTTTCTATTTTTCTTTTCTCCATTTCTGTGGAGGTTAGTCTCGCTTTAAAAGGAATCGTTGACTTTAATTCTCACTTCAATCAACTCCTCATTTCCGTCCTTCCCCTCTCCCCCCTCGCTCCCCCTTCGGATTCCCCCAATTCCGCCCTTGCGATCCCACATCTTTATCGATTATACTTCACCTCTGATGGCCTTGCATGGTGGCTTATCTTGAGATGTGATTTTCCTCTCTTTCTTTATCCATCAAGTGCATCCTATGATGTGCTGCGCCTTTACCCTACCGACTCGCGATCTCGCGTTCCTGGACCTTTCAACCTAAAGCCCGAGAACCCCAGCTTTATCACATTCCCGCGGCCCACACTATGGACCACAACGGCATCATGGCAGAGGATCCGGCCATCGATTCCCATAAAGAGCCACAACAACTCGTCGAAATGGCTCGACATAACTCAGTCCTTTCGGTGGAACGTCCTCTGTCTCTCTTTGAGCGCGTGATCACTACCAATGCCCCCATAATAGAGTCCCTACTACTTCAAATTCCGACCGACACAATCATCAAGCTATACCACACCTCCCATTACCTTCGAACGTTCCTTCGCTCCTATCCGATCGCATGGAGATCTCTCTCTTTTCGTTTACTTTACCCATCCGGCAGCTTGATGGGCAACCGGATTATCCTTCCGGGCATGTCGGATCACGAACCGCAACGACAGTCCGTCCCATACTCCATAGACCAGTTGTTGATGCATGTGGTGATGCCATTCAGCGGATGCCTCAAGAGCCTGGAGCTGGATAACACGGCCGTTCAAGGTCTGCATTTGATGTCGACGGTGTTGCAAGCGCGCAGGGAAACCCTAGAGCACCTTTCCGTTCGCGGTTGCAAGAATGTCTCTCTCAAGTATCACATCATCCCTTATCTGACGGTTTTCGCACTGCAATATGACGTGGATATGGAGAAGAAAATCGGCAGCTTTCCGGCGACACAAAAATTGGCGTTGAAGAGTCTGTACGCTTACAGATGTCGCCATCATCGCCGACGGCCTTACCTCACCGCTTCGTTGCTGCGCAAGGATTCCGATTCAGAGCCAACTCATGAACTAGTCACACTTTGCCATAAGCTTGGGATCTGGACGGATACTGCGTGGTGTACAACTCCTGCTGGCAGGTGTTATCGCAGGCGTGGATATGTTTCCATGCGTGTGCCGCAAGGTTCCCCTGAAGTCTGGGTGGTATTTGATCGACTCTGGAGATGCAAGAACTGGATCGGACCAGTTGACTCGTCTGTACATCGCCCGCGTGTTTATGATGGGAAGCTTTGGGAGAATTGTGACACGGGATGCAACGGAGAGCCGATTGGCACAGGCGAATGGCCTGAGATGGGTGAGGGTAAGATGACTCCCGCCCATCTTCGTCGGAGCCATACCCAATTCCTCGAGAATATCAAATGCGACGGTTGTATGGAGGACATTTCAGAAAGATGCGAACAATGCAGTATTCTGATGCACTGCGTGGGATGCCGCAGAACCCTGTGTGCCAGTTGCGCTTACGAGCGGCCCTACCTTCACCACGCAAACTCCGGGGCATCTGCTGGAACCCATGTCCACGGAGACAACGCACAGGCTCCTACCTCGTTTTGGTGGGCCCCGGGGGCTACACTTTCGCCTAGCTCCATGCACGACCCCATCGAAACTTCTTCCAACGACACCACCCCCTTGTTTCACGGGGGACCGCCCACATCACATCCTGCTATCAAGTTCCATTGGTGCTGCACAGAACCCATCTTTTCTGGAGGCGGGGGCATCAGCATCGGCACTCCGAGTCGCGATGTGGATCAGGTGCGCGCCGTACCTTTACCTCGCAACCGAGGGTGGGAGGACCTCGAGTACACCGTCAGCGAGTGGAGCAAGACTTTCCCAAAGTACGCTTACGGTGACCCTACCAAACCGGATTACTCCCTTGAAACCGGGCACCTTGCCATGATGAAGTGGTTGCTAGGGCCACCCAATCGGCAAGTATCACCTTGCCCCCGGAACCTATGCCAGGATTGCTACGACTCACCACAATGGAAGGTGCATTGCAAAAGCTGCTCCAAGCCTCTTTGCATCGAGCATGACCTCCGTGGTCTCCGCCTGCGCATTTGTGGCTACCGAGACCTCGCATTTGAGAAAATGACCATTCAGAACCGATCGGCGGTCAACGCTTCATCACCGGGTGCGTCGTTTAATCAACTTTCTGGATTTGACCTTCCCTTCCGCACCCAACGGCTAGTGGACTCCACCAACAGTAGTTTCATTGAGGACCAGCAGGGAGATCTCATTGTTGATGACAACCTATCGGATCCCCCTGCAGGCGACCCGTCCTTTTTTCCGCGCAATCCCACTCGTTCTTTCTCTGCCCCACCGTCTAATCATTCGGGATCGTCTTCCCCCTCTTCTTCTTGCTTTGAGTCCCCCTTCGAGGCCCCACGGTGGCAAGGCTGCCAGTCTTTCTTCTGTCCACAATATCGCGCCCACGGAGATCAGCGACAGCGCTGCCCAAGCCAACTGCGAGAATGCAAGGCCTGTGCGGTCTATGTCTGCCAGGATTGCGTGACAGCCAATCCACCCTGCAAGTGCACTTACTGCGAAGATAATTATCTGTGCCCAAACTGCATGAAAGTCCGTGCTCGTGATGGCACTTGCCGCCGTCGAGAGGAAGAAAAAGCTCGCAGAGAACGCAAGTGGAAAAAGGATATGCAGGTGCTGGAAGGCATCCTGGAACTCAAAGTTGCGAATGAAGTGGCCGAGTTTGCGGGTCAGTTCTTTGACTATGTCGAGAATGGCCCGGATGAGGAAGTTCCTATCACACCCATCGACATCCACGAATCCGATGATCTTTTGCCAAACAACCCTCAAGGGCTGCGTGTGGATCCCGATGTCGAAGTTGGAGCATCTCTATTCGTTGCGGGAACCAACTACATCACTCCACTCTATGACTTTGAATAGGAATTTCATCATCTCCCAATTCTTTCTATGAGACCCGATATTCTTTGGACACCGTCCATTCGACTTTATCTCATCCTTATTTACATATGTCTTGATCTCGGTTTCTTTAGCGAACTACCATATATCACGGCGCCAGCGGGGACTCATTCCTGATCTTTTTTGCTCTCTCTCTCTCTCTCTTTTTTTTTCAACGCTCTCGTTTCTTTTTACACTTTCCCATTGTGGAGCACGTTTCCCAAAGCGAATTATGCATGTCGGGCCAAGCGACTGAATATCACGGTGGATCAATCAACCAGGCGTTGCAACATGACCGGGCGCATTTTCGAGTTTCCTCTCCCCCCTTTCATAATCTTTATGTCTCTTTGATCCAACCCCTCCTTTCGAACCGGACTAGAGCTGCAGACGGATGCCCTGAGCGCTTTCTCTTCTTCGTTTTACGAGTTTGCAGGACCACAAACCGGTCTGACGACGTGGCTGGCCAATGGACGCAGGCACTGAGCCAATTTCCCGATGTGTCTTTTCTCTTTTCTTCTTTTGCATTTCCATCTCTGTCTTCGCTATGATCTTCATATCGCTTATCTTGTCCGGGGCTGGTTAACCCTGGCTGAATGCATGATCTAGAGGAAGCACGGTAGCTCAAATATCGGCCGTACTTTTTTTTTTCTTATTCATGATTACTACATACCATCCATTAACTAGTTACTGGGAGGCAGGATGTTTGGCTGTTGAATATATTCTTAGCATCATGGTATTTACTAGTGGAGTCTAACAATGACTGATCTTTCATACTAAGATGCCTATTGCATTCCTCACTAGACGGATGTGGACTCAAGTCCTCCGCTTCATGTAAACCCACCTTGAGAATCTGACCTTGATATTTCACGCTATAGCAACCTCCATCTCTTTGACTTTTGACTTTCTCTGCAGCGGTGAGGTGCTCAGACCCGCCACTAAGCGTCCATATTATTGGCCGACATCAATCAACCTCATGCACCGGTAAAATAAACTGACCTACCCGAAGGTTTGCCCCGTCGTGCCCCCGTCCCGAGGTCATAGCTCTATCCAGTGATCGGTTCAACATCGGCATATGATATCCCCGTCTAATAAAGACTGGGTAGGCACGTAGGTACGGTCCCACTAATCCAGATCGAGACACCCTCCACGGTCCCGGACCGCGGAAGTCCCGCCAAACTTCCGTAGCCCGGTTTGAACTTTGGACGTACTTCCTGCACGGAGCGAAGGGGGTTCGATCCCGGTCGATCAGTACTTTTGTCACTCCCTCCGTGAGCAGCGATTTGTCATTCCCACCTATGACGAATGTAGCAGGCCAAGGCAACACCCGACACCTACCTACATACTACCTACATACCCAACCCAACAAGGTTGTATGCACATGTGTATAGATTCCAATGTTGCCACGATATCTCCCACACCGATCTGATCTGGATTTCGGCAAATGTCCGTGGCCCGTGATGGTGAGCAAAACGCATCAAGTCTTGTGACGGAGGACATGACCGATCGCCCCAAACATTTGCAGTCATCCTATTTCCTGACGTGGCACCGCGAGAAACCGTTTCCCCCCCAGGAGATGTGTGCTCCGAATCCTCGCTTTTGAAACCCTTGAGGCTGAGCGCCCATACATGGTGCAGGTGGGTATTTACTCCGGACAGGGAATAAAGCACTTGGGCGCTTTAGAATTTGGCAGCGATGCAATTTCCACCCGGCACTGATCTGCTCCCGACTCACACCGCATCTGACCGACCTGGCACGCCATGTATCCATCTGGCACACTCGCTAGCTCGCTCGCTCTCTTTTCCCGACCACCTCATCTCCCTCCCTCTCTCTCTCTCCCTCTCTGCATAGGTCCCACTAGTGGGTACGCGGAAGTACAGTACTTCGTACCCGCCCCTAGTCCAGTCCACATACCTTAGTGTAGTACCTAGATCCGGATACTCCGTACAGTAAGTACATCCTCACCTACTTAGCCCATTGCCCGTTGCCTTCTGAAAGCCGGAGCCTGTGGTACTTTTGTTTCGCCCCCCTACCGCGGGCAGCGGGGCGTTGAGAATCTACCTATCCCGATTGAATCCCCAAATCCCACCGTACTCGATAATTTCTTTCCGTTGACAAAAGTACGTACTATTGTCCCATTGATGCCGGCATCTGGCAGACCTTCCGCGGGCGCAAGGTATTTTTGTTGATGGGTACACCCGCCCCATCCGCTCGAATGAATACTAGCACGGAGGGGAAATGAATAAAGAATAGATCACCCGGACACTAAGGTGTGCCCCGGGAGATGAGGCCCCTTGACTTGTTTTGGTGACCGCCTGTCGCTGCCGGGCGGTTGGGCCCGCAAGTGAGGTAAAATTGGAAAATGCAAAAATGTGGTGAATTCGGTGATCGAAGGTTCGATTGCCTTTACATCTATCGTATCGGGTGGGGGAGCGGGTGATAGATGGTACGTTGGTATTTGGATAATTATAGTAGTATGTAGGACTAAAAAAGTACTGATGGTGATGTATGGTGATAAGGTGTGAGGTACTTTGTAGTAGGTGGTAGTTATGTGCTATTTCATGACTACATAATTCTTACCTATGGTTGGTTGTATGGGATTACTCTACTGGTAGGTCTGTGGGTGATGAATTTCCAAGTTTTTTGTTCTATTCGCATGTTTTTTTTTTTTCTTTTCTTTTTTTTCAAAATTCAGGGCCTGCATATTGGACCGGGCTCCATGTACGTGGTCAACCGGTCGAAGGGGATAGGATTCAATAAACCGTTAAACCGGTCAGCAACTGACAGCCACGGCGCCTTCCCCGACAACCAAACCAAAGCAGGAAAAAAAAAAAAAAAAAAAAAAACAAGCAATATTCCAACACTCCATCATTCCACGATAGGAGAAGAAAAATGGAAATTGACTCTCGGAAACTTTATGCGCCATCGCTACTATCACTCAGCAACGTCGTTTCCAACCAGTTGTCGTGTTGGAAAGGTCCGACGCAAGCCACCCTGCATCATGAACTAGCGATAGTCGGAGGGAAAAGTGCATGTGTAATGCTGTCAAATTCCCAGGAGGCAGGTAAAGATCGGCTGTCAAAGCAACCTGAATCATGAAATCACGTACTTATGGCATCGGAGTCGGTCATCTGATTGAACTATGTACTTGGTAAGTCGTCAGTGATGAAAGTGATGGGCCCGTGCCATACATAACTAGTGAGGTGATCCAAGCCCTGGAGGTGACGGGGAAATTGGGAAAGATGCAGACCAATCAGCTACTTGCACTCGGACGTTCTCAAGCGTAAGTTCAGATGTTGACGATGCGGTCAAGGACTCAAAACGGTGACCATGCGTGTAACCACGTGGGTGACTCACGGAAGTGAGATGGAGAGTAGGATATTTTGGAATTATTGAAATTAAAATTAAAATAAGAAATAGAAGATGGAAGATGGAAGATGGAAGAGAAGAATTCTGATAAAAATAAATTCAAAAAAGGAAGGAGAGTGCCTGTCACCAGTTGACGGCGCTGTCTTATCGGTGAATCCATGCTGTGTGGCCAATAGACGCAGGGCGGTTGAGTATAAGCGAATAGGGATGACAGCGCCCCCTGACAGGCCAAAGCTTAGGAGCACATAGGATATGATTGTACTATACCATACATGTAGATTGTATCTTAGATGACAAGCGAAGCAACCGATCGGCTGGACCGCCGATCCTCTAACGGAACAGGATCAACCCAATCCGCTTCCCCGGGTACGGGTTGTACGGTGTCACTACGCTTTACGGAAGACCAAGCTGCAAGTGGGCTAGGATTGGACAGATTTCCTTTCCTTTTCTTTTCTTTTCTTTTTTTTCTTTGTCATTTGCGGCCCCTTCATCTTTATTCTTTTTCTTTTTCTTCTTTTCTTTTCACCCAACTTACACAGCCACCTATGTATATACAGCCAGACCCATGCCACATCCTTGCAAGCTGATCCACCATGATCCACTCGGAGCTGAACTAGATCTTCCCCCCTTTTTTTTGCCCTTAGGCTCCAGATATCAGATCGGTTGGCACGGATGTTAAGACCAAGCCCCCCGATTGGTACGGATTGACCGCGGTTCTCAGGAAGGTATCCTATAGGCGCCCTTGAAAGTGGTGGGCTTGGGCCGGCTAGCGTGGTTAAGACTTGGATTTGAGCCGGTAGAAATCTACCGATGCGGTAGTAGGTCGCTCTTAGGCATTGTCGACGCACAGTCCTTGCTCTGACATCACCATTGCTTTGCAAGTTGTCAGGGGTGTGTTGTGTGTTGGTTGTAAGTTGGCTTGTAACTTGTTAGGGGTTGGAGAAAGCAGGTGGGGGGAAACCCCGAAAAACACACCTGAGCATCTCTCATCTCCAGTCGGAGCGCCACATCTTTCTTGTTTATTTTATTATTTTTCTTCCTGGTTTTCTTTCCCTAGCTTCCTATTTGGGCGGTTTTCTTTTCTTTTCTTTTCTTTTCTTTTCTTTTCTTTTCTTTTCTTTTTTTTTTCCCTTTCCCATTCGAATCCATGTGCGATTATGTATATTACGCTTTGGTTATGGTTTGCGGAAAATGAGATCTCAGCTTGGACCTCTGTGGGCTTTTCCTCTTTCCTCCCCACTCTCCGCGGCCCCTGCTTTTTTCTTAGCTATACTATGGAGTTACTCTTTTTTATTTTTTTTTTTTGAATGAAATCTCTCTGAATCCTTTTCCACCCCTTGCAACCAATCGCCATCAACTTGCGGCCCAATAATCTGCATCAACCGGGATTAAACCCGGGTTTCCCTCGAGGCTAGACGGACCGTTCTACCGTGGACGAATCCAGGGGCGAGGAGAGTCGGTGAGTCTTTTCTACAAGTGCTTCTGCCCTGACGATGGCGTAGGATATCAGGTACAGCTGCGAAAAATAGAGAAACAGCCTAAAAAAGAAATAGATCAGATAGAATAAATGGAATAAATAGAATAAAGATAAAATATAAAATATAAAATATAAAATATAAAATATAAAATATAAAATAGAATAAAAATAAAAATAAAAATAAAAAATTCTTCTGCAACTCTCGTGACCGGTTTCTGTGCCGGAAGCAAACATTTGGGAATCGATTATCGACCCTGATTATTCTTGTTATTCTTTTTCTTTTTCTTTTTCTTTTTAGGATCGTCCTTCCTGATTCGATCCATCTAAATTAAATAGCATATGCGTCTTCCACGATATACTTGGGGCCGGATTCCACATGTGTATATAAAGGGGGGAACGCACCTCTTCACATTTTTTTGATTTCCAGCACAGCCTTGAAAAACCAGAACAACCTTGAGAACATTCTAAACCTGGAATCTTCATTTATCTACGCTGCCCAGCGTCTGTGAATCCCATTTCGCATACATATCACTTTACATATCCTCTGCAACATCAACATTTCAATACCCAAACTTCCGTTTCTATACATCTTCCCGCAATGGATCACACCAAGTCCGACATCCCCAAGAGGCATCCAGTCGACAAATATGGAAGACCACTGCAAAGTGTCGAGTCATACCAGGAATACTGGAACCAAATCTTAGAAGACACCAACGCGCAACTTCAAAAAATCCACGGTACGATCTCAGTGCTTGATCATGCAATCCAATCCAAAAGGGGTTTGACATATGACATGTCTCATGCAGGGAGCGTGAGCCATATAATCTGACAGTTGATTTATAGATGACGAGATCAGGCGGAATGAGATCAGGAGAGCGAGAGAAATTATTGAACAGGAAAGACAACTCGCTTTGGAACAGGCCGCTCGAAGAGAACAAGAGGCCAAGAAGATAAAGCAGGACCCCAGTGATCACCAGTCTGCCCCATGACTTCTATAATGACTCCCGATATATTCACGGTCGTTATGTCATACGAAACGGAGTTTTTTTGAGGGGGGGTTTTACACGTTCTTTTTTCATTTCTTGTCTATACATTTCGTTCTTTTCTGTTTTAGACTTGCGTCGCATACATATCCCGGGCCCTGAAGTGCTGCAATATGGGGGAAGCTTGTGAGGAGGGAGAAGCGAGGCCTCGGTTTGGAGGACCACATTCGTTTCTGGAGGAGTTTTGATGAGGATCAATGATTTGAGGATTTGAGGACTTGGGAACTTGGTGACTTGAAAGATTTGGAAATGTGGAAATGTGGACGTTTGAGATTTCTGGAGCAGTTGGAAGAGTTACTTCGGAAGATGGACTTGGTCCTTGGATATGAAACTCGCATGTTCATCATCACTATCTATGCATATGGATGCTTGATGGTTTTTTTACTGCCATTTTTGTTCTTCCTCTCAATTTTGTCTCACGTCATGTCAACGATTGATTTGAATTTTCTTGTTTGGATTCTGGAATGAAAGATCTTCTAGAAAGAAGGAGTCTTGCGGCGCGGCTTGCATATCCGAGGGTATATCCCTGGTCGATCGTTACGCACTAGCCAGGATTTGAATGGATCTTTTCTCATACATGAACCACGAACCAATCTACGATGGATCTACACGATCAATTTGAAGACCACTTGATCATCACGCAACATTGAACATTTGAGCCGTGGAACAATCGGAACCCAAGTGCTGCGTACACAGCAAGTATGACATTCCATTTTTGTGTTCGACTCCGCCACTCTTGCCTTGTTTTAAGGCAACCCTGTGCGACCATCCTGCAATCCCGACCCGAAGTCGGTCAACGGCGCATCAACTGCATCAACTGTTCGATAGCACCCGCAGTATGTACTCCGTACTTTGAATGATCGACCACGGTTGCAAGCCCCTCATTCGTCCACCCGTTCACTCGGGTCCTATTCTACGCATCCTTCAGCTACGTCGAGTCCCAACAATGCCTTAAACTTCAAGCGGTGTGGGAGTGTCACTTGCATTCAGGTGAAATCAGGCGATCGGCTAAACGTTTAATGTACGCTGTAAGCACAATCCTTCGGCATTTCCCATGATTAGCGGCAAAAAGAAAGAAAAAAAAAGCAAACGTGTGGAGGAAAAGGGAGTTCCGCAGATTGAGATTGGACAGAGTACAGTAGTTCGTGTCGTATTCTGTGTCGATCGGTTCTCCATCCCCCCTGCAGGCCATTTCCTTTTGACAGCATTCCGTACCGTTTGTCGATCAGTCGAATCGGATTTTCTTTTTTCTTTTTTTTCCTTGTCTTTTTCCTTTCCTTCCCCCCCCCTTTTACCGACTTTCAGAGAAGACTTGCCGTTCATTCTAGGATCTGTCAAAAAAACGGATCTCCAGTCTTGGACGTCTACGTCGATTCCCATGCAAGGAGGTGGGGGAATACGGGACGCGTATAGCGCGGCTATGTATGGCGTTGACCTACGCTCGGGGCATGTCCGGAAAAGGAGAATCTGGAATCTAAGTTCCACAATGCAAAAAATCCAGATCGCAAGTCCACATAGAGCCCGTATGACAGTTCGATTTTCTAAATTTGCCAGACGGAGATCGATGTCAAAGGGGAAAGGCTTGGGGAGTTAGTAGTATAAGCGGGTTCCATCCATCAGAATTCCATCCAATCACTCTTTAGGGTTAAGCTCCTCCCGATTCCCGCTCCCCACTCTGCAATCATCCCAAAGCTATCAGTTTTAACCTCACCTCTGTTTTCCCCACCAACAATTGAAATTGATTTCTACCCGTCCACACAATGTCCTCCGCCGACCCGGATCAGAACCTTTCCCCGGCCGAGCTGGCCCAGCGCGACCGCGAGGAGAAGGAACGCCAGGCTGCTGAAGCTGCCGAGCAGGCCCAGCTTCCCTACCAATGGACCCAGTCCATCCGCGACCTTGACCTGACGGCGCCGATCCCTGCCAATATCAAGGGTCGCGATATGGAGGTTATTCTGACCAAGTCGAAGATCCGCGTCGCTATTAAAGGCCAGGATCCTATCATCGAGGTGCGTTTCGCGTATCTGCTAGTTACCTACACCCCGCTCCCCCCCCACTACGCGTTACACGCTACACCTATCTACTACCCACCCTCCATCGCCTCTCTCGCACTCACACCCTTTCTTGGGATAAAAATACGAGTACGCGCACCATGAAATGACAGAAATGCTGACGTGTACTTTTTTTTTGCGGTGCATAGGGTGACTTCCCCCACCCCATTCTCGTCGACGAATCATCCTGGACTCTCGAAACAACCTCCAAGCCCCCCGGCAAGGAAGTCAGCATCCACCTCGACAAGGTCAACAAGGTGGAGTGGTGGCCGCATGTTGTCAAGGGTGCTCCCAAGATCGACGTTACCAAGATCACACCCGAGAACTCGAGCCTGAGTGACCTGGATGGCGAGACTCGCGCCATGGTGGAGAAGATGATGTATGATCAGCGCCAAAAGGAGGCCGGTGGCTTGACTAGCGACGAGCAGAAGAAAAAGGAGCTTTTGGAGAAGTTCAAGGCTGATCACCCGGGTAGGTTATTCGTGCTTGTGTTGGGGATTTGTGACGCGTGGAATTCGTGCGCTAACAGGCTTTCACAGAGATGGATTTCTCTAATGCTCAGATCAGTTAAGTGCGAGGCTGTAGTGCGTACATATAAGTTTACTAGCCGAAAGATATCTCTGAGTGTATGAATCATGAGTTATGTGCATCGAGCATGGCATCGTTTTCAATGATGCTTGCGAATCTGTCTCTTCACCTTATACCTTCTACCATCTCATCTGTACTAGTATATCCACGGCATTTCCACGGGTTTATAACCACGGCATTCATGTACGGACATTATTCCTATGAATATTAGTGTGCAGGCGACAGCCTTAACGCAAGTGACCCCTACACTAGTAGTACCAATAAGCCCATCCCCACTCAGATTCTCCACAGGCCTGGACTCGAAAGTTGAAGCCCAAGGTTGTCCTGGAAGCCAATTTCGACCTGCGGCACATCCATAGTACGTATAGTATAGCATACCCACCCACTCCCAGGTCCACCCAATGCGACAAACAACACAGCCATATCTACTAGTACTACGTAGCTGCAAAACTACCGATCCAGTCTCCGCAATTACCAGATACGGAAAGACTCCAATCCCGGGAGTGTTCTAGAACAACCAGAATCCAGCCCCACCCCTATTTGAAACAAGGTGACGACCCAGTCCTTGCAGCCACAAATGTGATGTGTATCCGGGACCCGCTGCGCAGTGCACCTGGGTTTGGTTTGGTTTCAGGGGAAAGGAATATCTTCCGAGTTCCGAATTCCAAATCGCCTCTTTTCCAAGGTTCCACCGAAACGAAGGATCGGGATTTCCTTCCAAAAATTCATCGGCAATCTCGGGGCGGGAGGGGATCGTGATCTGATTGATCGGCAACGCAGAATCAAAATATACTCGTCTTCAGGGGTTCTCCACAAACCGGTATTTTGCACGAGCTAACCTGTTTTTGAGGTGATCTGATCCTTTGGAAATCTGTGTGACCTGTGCGGTGAGGCGAGGTCTACATACTTCGTATACCTACGTGTTGGGAGTCATCCAATGTTTGATGGCGGAAACTTGGAATAGGTTGCAGGTGCATGTATGGTATGCGGCTCGTTCTTGGAAAGGGTTGAAGATCAACAAGTCGGAGCTTGGAATGTTGATCTTGAGGTATCCATGTAGAGTATCAAAGGTATCAAGGCACGGACAGTGAATAATGTTGGCAGGTGTGGACCCCGGGAGACTCCCGATGTCCCGCGAGGTTGCGATTGACTTTCTAATGTTGATCGATATGCAGTATACCCTCTTGGGCAGCAACCTTGAAATGGATACCCATTGCATATGCATCACTGATGAATGTTGGGATCTGGTGTATTCAAGTGTTCAGTCTTTGTTTTTCGAAGATTATTCCATTTGATTGAGGTTGGCATTGTTTATTAAGTTGTGGGCAGTATAGATTATGTACCCAGACATGTTCGCCAGTGCAATGCTGCCATGTCTATCATCGTTATTAAGTATCCCAAAGCGTCCCATATTCTCATTCATAATCAAAAGTAGATGTGCTCGTCGCGTCATATGCAGTCATTTGCCACCAAACAAAAATCATGAAACGAGCCAGCATAGCATAGCTAAGCAAAAATAGCAAGGCACGACTGTCGTGCCACGATACACAAGTCCAGCTCGAGTATCACATGCGGCTCAAGTCTCCATGATGACAAATATGCAAGATCAATAAAATCAAAGGAACGTGCGCAGTACGTAGTGCGCCGACAGGCATAATTGTACGCCTATCTTCTCTTCTCTTCTCTTCTCTCCTCTTTTCTTCTCATCAACGGCTCTCCCACGAGCCCCTCCGATGACGACGAATCGAGATATCATCCGCCTCAGACGAAGGCGCCGTTGTCCGGCCCCCATGCACCCTCGCCATCGGCGGAGCATTAAGAGTCACAGCCATCGCCGACGAGATAGAGATAGACCTCGATCTTGAAAGCATAGCCGAGTGACGAGGCGAGTAAGGCGGCGGCGGGGTCTCGCGTGTCGCAGTCGAAGTATTACCATAGCTACTGGGATACGAGAGAGTCGAAGCACTATCGGAGCTCACATCCTCATCGTAGAGATTGCGATTCTTCTCGTCGGCAAAATAAGCCTGGGAGTCTGACGAGATCGACGGATCACGCATATTCCCCTCAAGCGTCTTCTCGTGGATGCTTGTCGGGCGCAACGTGTACTGCGGAAGCGGGACCACGCTTGCATAGCCTCCGTTCGAGTCATCCGGCGGGGGTCCGTGCCCGTCTTGTTCGCTGGCACCTGCGGCTCGGATGAATTCCCCCTCGCCGGAGAGAATGAAACGGCCAGTCTGGATGCCGCTGTGGGAGTGAGTTTGGCTGTGGTGTTGTCTGGTGCTTTGCATCTCGGGTTGAGGCGAGTGCGGGGAAGCATGTTTGTGGGAGAAGCAGCCGCATAGGCTGGAGAGGAATGACATGGCCAGGCAGGGCGGGCCCGGGACGGAAGGGTATTTTCCGTTGTTTTTGGAGTGGTATATGAGGAGAAGGGGAAGGATTAGAGAGGAAAATTTTGAATAGGAAGTTTTGGAGCAAATCTGCAGAGAATAAGAGAGAAAGAAAGACTGAGGGGTCTAGGGCATGTCGCTTTGGGTGGGCGCAGTAAAGATCGGGGAGACAGTTGAGCCGCCTCAATGGATCAGTTGAGATAAGTCTAGTAGGTGAGGAAATCCCACGCTTAAACTGATCAAACTCCTGAACAGGAGCAAAAACAACGACAAATATTCACAGATAAAGTGATTTGGTCATAGAGACATGCTGAGAAGAAAGAAAGAAAAGTGAACAACAAAGCACCTGGATGAGGCTGCTGCAGGCATCCAGGTTTCTTAGAACGCTGATTGGCTGATGATGTCAGCACGGTCTTGCCTGAGGCCAGAAAAGTAATCAATCAATGGTTGGATCTATAAAACTACAAGTATGAGGCTAGTCATAATTTCAAGCTCAGAACGAAGACACCGTACTTGATTGGGCTCTGAGGCTTAGAAAAATAAAAAGTTCAAATGCTTCACCAGCGCCGGCAAGAAAAACAGTAGTCCACAGAAGAAGACGAGTCTACTAGTAGATTGAGGGTTTTCTTTCTCATAACTTGGAATCTCAGCTTTGGAGTGCCGGGTGACTTGGATATGACAATGTTTACAGAGTATGCCCATTTGATCCTCTTTCAAATTAAAGCAAGTGATATCAATATTTAAAATCCTAACTCTGAATTTATTCATAAAGCCATGTTGCAACACTACGGGGATCTTGAGTTTCCTTGTGAGTTCCTCGGACTAGTTTACTAGGCCCACGCTTCAAATACGCTCCGTCCCTTGGTTTGCCTTGAATCTCACCATTGCTCCAGATAACCTTACCTCGTAAGATGGTGTACCGAGGCCAATTGCAAAATTCCATTCCTTCATAGGGCGTATCTAAGAGAAATGTTTGGTTAGAATATGACATCATTGATCAAGCAGCCCGGATTGTCAACGAACAGTCAGCGTTATGGTGTAGCATGGAATTTGTCAAACGGAAATTCTTAAAAGAATCTTCTGGGTGCCACTGTATTCATATGCTTAGCAAGACAAAAAATACTCGAGATGAATGACGGGCACTTACGATGACCAAGTCGGCATCGGAACCAGGCATAATTGTACCCTTTCTAGGATAAAGACCGTACTTCGACAAGTCAGCTCGGGGGTTTTCGTTGTTCAAGCAAAGTACTGGCAGACTTACCAATTTCGCAGGATTAGTCGATGTTAGCTCCACGAATTTCTGGGGAGTGATACGGCCAGTAGCCAGTGCTCCAGTATACAAGAGCGGCAATCGAGTCTCGACTCCAGGAATACCATTGGGGATAAATCTGAAGGAGCCTTGTTTGCGTTTTAGAAGACTTTGCAACTCATCGCCCGTGCAGTGATGTTCGCCTTCCATGCTTGCTGCGTCTTCGAGCACGCCTGCCGGCTTTCCCCTTGGATCGTCATATCGAAATGGACAATGGTCCGATGAGTAGATGGTAAAAGTTCCGTTTTCAAGACCACTGTTACGCTTTAGCTGGAGGTTTCTCGATTTTGATGAGAGAAGTAGAGCATACGCAAACAGTTCCTCTTGATCCGATGTATCTGGAGGCGGAGGGGGTGAACAAATCATCTTGCTGTTTTCAAAGCAAGTGGGCGAATGGAAACGTTTCTATTATATCATTAGCGGTGAACTTCGGTGATTGATATCCAAGAATCTCACTAGATCTTCCCAGGTTAAATGGAAATACTGAGGGCATGTCTCTGCATACACAGGAAGACCCATTGTTTGCGCTCGGCGAACATTCCTGGCCCCAAGCTATAAAATGTGAGTATCTTACTTTTGTCGGCGTGGTATTGAAACTTACCGCCGATCCCACATGGACAAAGAGAATTGGATTTTGGATGAGCTGCGCCAGCGCAATTGCCCGGTTTGTTGCTTCGCCTTCAACAAGTGGAGGTCGCGACAGAGCATGGTAGTAAGGTGCTAAGATGAAATTAGAGACGTGTGATATTAGCTAGAAAAAGGGCAACCAACCAACCATTCCTTTCTTCTCCAGCTTATCTGCAAATTATCTCACGTCAGTATGTCACTTGAAGTTGCAGAAATTTGGATTCCATTTCTTACCAGTGAGCCACTGGATCATATCACCGTTCTCAGCGTGAACCATCTGCGATATGAGTCAAAGTTCGAAACATATTAAAAAGCAGGGAGTGCCCACCGTTGTCATGGAGTTCTTCTTGGCTGCAAACATCACATCCAATAGTTGAGAGTCTGTCATGCGCTGTGTTTCATAAGTCAAGAAAACTTTGCAGCTGCTAACGCCCCAATCGTTCATCAAAATAGGAATCTCTTTTTCCAACACGTCGGTATCGTTGCGAACGATGATTATGTGGAAGCCATAGTCAACATAGCTACCAGTAGCCTCGGCACGCGCGTTATACGCCTCGACGACATGAATAAGACTTTTGTCTTCTTCCGCACGAGTCTGAGTTGCGAAAGTGATGATTGTCGTGGTCCCGCCCGCCGCAGCGCTTTTTGAACCAGTCTCAAAGTTATCGGCACATTCTCCTCCTAGGGCATTAGGCCCCGTCTTCAGATCTTGGGAGAGATGGACATGAGCATCGATGCCACCGGGCATCACATAGGCACCTCTGTCGGCGAGTCAGGAATAGATAGTAAGCAATATTTCATCCAGACGAATACGTACTCGGCATCTATGACTCGGGCTCCTTCTAGCTCATCGGCCGTGAATTCTTCAGCCTGTGCTCGTATTTTTCCATCCTTGATTCCAATACAGTAGGTGCTATTGAGGTCAGGTGAGCGTTGTGGCATACAATCAGAATCAGATATCTTAATTTACCTGATGTCGGCGGCGGTGACCACCTTCCCGTTGGTGATAATCAGGTCGAACTTTGACATGTTGTTCGGTCAGCTGCGTCAACTCACGAAATGGACAGTTGATGCTGAATTTCTAAACCTGTTGCTCTGTTCCAGCTGTCTGCATCTTATCTCATTTGTATGATACTGCTTATCATATACATTGTTGAGTCGAGATAAGAAAGCGGGCCATGCGGCATCATTGCCGATCGAGCCGATGCAGCCCGATAACAACAGCCGACGTCTTATCTTTGATATTGAAGTCATGATAAGGATAATCGATGATAAGAATCTACTAGTAGACTTATAGGTATCGGAGTACATGGAACTCCAGGGCTGTGTATAGTGAATGCTGTCATTTCACTGCCAACTTGGTGCATGGTATATACCTCTTTGGCCGATTCCAGAGTTCCTTCCTTTTTCCCGTTCCCGGGCGATCTCTTTGAAAGAGACCTAATTTGGTATAGATGCTACTAATTATACAACATTTGATCACAAAGAGAATGTGGGACTGTACTTCTTAAGTGGTTGACTGGTCACTCAGGACAAAGTCTCAAGGTGACTTGGAAGAGTATTCAGTTCTTTGTTTCAACGTTACTTTTAAACCTTATATAGTCCTCCAGCAAGGCCTGCGTCTGCCATATTTTGTTACTTATAATTCTCGATAGTAGCATAACCTTCTCACCTATATTCCCATCAACACTGGCTCAATTCTACAATAATTTGACTTTTCCGACCCTTCCGACCCTCACACGACCATATCTTCGATGTCTCATTCCGATGTGATTTTTATATGCAAGCCGTGCTTTATAATAATGGGCGATCTATTCTTCTGTCGACCTGAGCCCTACTCCGATTACACATTGGGTCCAAGTACCTGTGCTTGCTGCAAAAGCCGCGAAAATGAAGCGATGCTGGTATTCACCCCATGCCTACAGCTTTGCAAATTCCCGAGTCAAATGTATCCACACATACTGACCAGTCCCTGGAAAGATTCATTCGAAGTTCAAAGAAATTCTACCTTTCGAGTACGAGGTCACCTCTGCTATCTTCGTGGATTTTTTCAAAGAGTCCCCAATCTGGCGCAAATCGTTCGGAGGCTGGAGAGTTCGGTTCCTGCAAGAACACTTATACAACCATTTCAAGGCCCACGTGAGGTGCTATTGGGCTCATTTGTCTGCGTTTAAAGAGATGCATGCAACTGGTATCCAGGGCTACCGATATCTGTTACGTTTAAATCCTGAGGTGCGGGCGGTGGCCACGATGTATGTGCAGAATCAAATCTGTTTGGAGTTGGCACATACAAAAGCTTTCTTGAAGCATCATGGCGCGGAGGATGGGAACAAGGCTGGATATTTAAATTTCCTACGTGAGCTATTTCCTGGGTACGTCCCATCTACTAGTAGTTGAACAAAGTACTAGTTCCTTTGGGCATTTCAATTTAGGCACGACTTTCTGCATAGTATCACATCAATTTGATACGATAGTTCAAATGTTCTGTTTACATACTGAAGGTTATGGAAGTACATCAGTTGTCAAAAGTTTCCGCGCGATTTGCACCTAATTGTGGAGCATATCGTATGGAAACTTTTGCTCTATGAATCTAATTAGTCCAACCCAGTCAGATGAAAGATGTCGACCATGAAAAAAAAGATGAAAAATTATTTCCAGATTATTGAATTGATTGAATTTGAAAAGCTTTTTTTGTTCTTATACCGTGGTTCTTGCATCTAAGTATGCGGCACTTTGGGCAGCAAGTTCTCCGCACACATTTCTCCGCATAAGCATTGCGGCTCCACCGAGCTCTGAACCCTTCGCAAATTCGACCTCCTACCGAGCACGTCATCTCCCAATCCCAACGGCAGGCGATCCACCGCGCCAAAACTTCCATTATCGCCATGTCTATTGACGGGGATGAGAGTGCGAGAGCTTCGGCTTCGGCGGCAACGGAGCACACCCCTCTGCTACGCGATGCTGATCCCGTCAATTCCGCCCCGCCAAATGAAGAGCAACCAACGACTGAAGAGGTCAGCACCAAGGAACTGATCATCATCCTGGGAAGTATCTGGGTCGGCGTGTTTCTAGCAGCACTTGGTATGTTTCCTTTTGTCTTTTCTTAATGATAATTTGACGCGTCTTTGTGCATACCAGGCTAACTGAGGTTTCTCGCACTGCAGACACAACAATTGTTGCGACACTCTCCGCTCCCATTTCCTCCTCCTTCAACTCGTTCTCTTTACTTTCATGGTTGGCCACCTCATACTTGATTTCAAATGCTGCTTGTCAACCACTCAGCGGTCGGCTGACTGATATTTATTCGCGTCGGTGGGGACTGGTCTTCTCAAACATCTTCTTCGCACTCGGGAACCTGATCTGTGGGTTGGCAAAGACCGAGAACACAATGATTCTTGGTCGCGTTGTTGCGGGAATTGGAGGAGGTGGCCTGACAGCTATCTCGACCTTTGTGACCTCGGACTTGGTTCCCCTTCGCAAACGAGGCATCTGGCAGGGTATCGGCAACATCTGCTATGGGGCCGGAAGCGGTCTCGGTGGTGTCTTTGGTGGTTGGATCAACGACACGCTAGGATGGCGATGGGCATTCTTGCTCCAAATCCCTTTCCTGGTGATCTCATGCATCTTGGTCGCGTTCAAGGTCAACATCCCAGTGAGGGAATCGGACCAGTCCCGCATCAGGCGTGTTGATTTCCTGGGTGCCATCACCCTCGTACTGACGCTGGTCACACTGCTGGTAGGCTTGAACACTGGCGGGAACCAGGTGCCATGGACACACCCAATTGTCCTCACATCCCTGCCGCTTTCCGCGGTGTTCCTGGGCTTATTCATTTATGTGGAAGCTCGGGTTGCGTCGGAGCCTGTCATTCCCGTGAAGCTCCTTTTGAACCGCACGGTCGCAGCAGCTTGCTTGACAAATTGGTTTACCACGATGGCAATCTTCGGTCTGCTGTTCTACCTTCCCTTGTATTTCCAAGTCCAGGGACTGTCAGCCACTGCCGCTGGAGTCCGCTTGATTCCTCAAGCGCTTGGCACGTCCATGGGCTCCCTGGGTTGTGGATTTATAATGCGATCCAGTGGTCAGTATAAATTGTTGAACTGTGGGGCTATGGCGTTGCAGGTGGCCGCGGGGGCACTGGTCTGTACTTTGAACTTTTCCACCCCGTCATGGCTGCCATTCCTCTACTTCTTCCTCCTTGGAGTTGCGTATGGCAGCATGCTCACCATCACGCTTGTTGCTCTTATCTCTGCTGTGGATCACGAGCACCACGCCGTGGTTACATCAGCATCCTATGCATTCCGCAGCACCGGTAGCACGGTCGGAATCACAATTGCATCGGCCGTGTTCCAGAACACATTGAAGGTCGGGCTGTGGTCTCGCTTTGGTGACCGCAAGCATGCAGCTGAGCTTATCTCAAAGCTGCGAGATAGCATCGATGAGATTCGCAAACTTCCTCAGGACTGGATTCCAGGCGTACTGGATGCATATATGAGCTCTCTGCGGGCAGTATTCTTGACGTTGTTAGGATTGGCGGTGTTGGGGGCCTTGTCTAGCATTGCCATGCGTGAGCATAAGTTGCACAACAACCTGTCTCGGCGCTGAAGAATTGAACCAGTCTGAGGAATAATATCATATAGATTCTAGACACTGCACAATATTGATAGATGTATAAAGCTTCAAGATTGATCAAATAAACGCAAGTTATAAAAGGTATAAAACTTATAGTTCTCTACATACAATGGCAGCAACCTTAATTCCTTTAATTCCATTAGTCATGGGTCATGAGTTGACCGCCTCCGCCTTGTAGTGTCCAATCGCCGTCATGCGATCCTGCACGGCTGCCCGCCTCTAACCGCCGATCGCTCTAGTCTTCTTGAGTCTCCTCTTCGTGCTGCATGTGATTGGTGGGAGACCTGATTCTCCCTGCAGGAAAAGGAGCATTCGGCCTGATTTATTTCTTGTGGTGCTAGCATCCACAGCTGAAACCACAACTGGAGCTAGCCAACAACTTTGTCCAAGTGGCAAGACGTGGCGACTGGGGATTGAGTCGAAAGCGATCGGGTTGCAGGATATCGATTGCACATAGCTACACCGCTGAATCTAAATTGACGAGAGCGATACGAAGGAAGTCAAGAGTGCAGGTTTTGTACAGATTCCCGTGCATATAGCATTTGTATGGGGCCCCAGTCACCGCTTCGATTGACTGATCTCCACCCCGAACCACAAAGTCTGCCGGATAAGCGTTTTGAGACCATTTCATCTGGCTTTTCGTCTCTTTTACTTGGAACTACTTCAAGAAATTATTTTCTACAGATCATTCACTTTCCTCGTCTTTCCCCCAACCTCCTCACCACCTTCGAATACGCTTCCTTTGTCTCGATCGACGAGTCTTCTCTCCGCATTTTGCGTGCAGACCCTCCTCCACTCTTATCGAACCACCCTGAACCGGCCCGGCATATCGCAGTCGACTTTTGATTCGACCAGAAATTTTACAACGTCCACGAAACAACGGCGAAGAAGAGTTGTGGACCGGTGAAATGGAAGTGGATGGCGAAGAAACAGTAATTCCGAACAAAGATGGTTACTGCATTAGCTACGACCCGCCTTTGTCTGGCGCGACAGCACCTGTGCCACGACGTCGACGGCTACTCTTATCGACTGACAGCGCCTTCGCTGATACCATACTCCCGTCGTTGGTGCAGAACCCCTACATCGAGCTGCGATTGATCACCGATGAACCTTCAGCTCTGCTGGCAGGCACGAACCGGATACCGCATTATATGGATACCGTGGATGGGCAGACATTTGACAAAAAGACCGGAGCACGAAAATGGCTCAAAGCAAAGACGGCAGAGCTTTGCGAGTGGGCCGATATGCTGCTTGTCGCCCCCATTGACGCTGGAGCTCTCGGATCCATGTTAGCGGGGTTGACCAACACCTTGACATTGGCGCTTTTGCGTGGCTGGATCTCAACCAAGCCTGTCATTCTCATACCTGGGATGACTGTTTCAGAATGGGAAAATCCGTTGACTCGCCGACAGCTCGATGAACTTCAACGTTATTGGACATGGGTGTACACAATAAAGCCCGTGCTTTGGAAGTCTAACGGACCCGAGGATCTCACAACCTTGCCATGGGGTGGGTTAAAGGATCTGCATGCCACAATTCAACTAGCGCTGCATATACCGTCGATGGCTGCATATAGGACTGCTGCAGATTCTACGAATGGCAAATCTGTAGCGACACAATCATCCACTAAAGGGGCCCAATCATTAAAATCTAGCAACCCCGCGGCATCCGCCTTGCGAACTATGCAGACCCACTGGCCGAATTCCAAAAAGAAAGACCAGTCTTTGCCGCTTGAATTATGGCTTAATATTTTTGAAGATCAGTTAGGGGATTGGGAAATTGCGAAAGCCGTTGGAATCCCAAACCGCCTTCCCGTGCCCAAGGAATGGCAGAGCCATCTCTTGAAAATGTCTACCCCTGCGTCTCTCGAATACACAATCCTGCGAGGTTCCTTTGCTGCTATCAAAAGGCGCATCGATGCCCTTCCTCGTTGGAAGCCCGTGTCAGATCTAGCATGCCACCTCATCGTGAAATTCTCACGAACTGATATATTGTCTTACCTAACCGAAAACCACATCGATCTTTTCTTTACGACGTCACGTCTCACCAACATTCCCTACCGTGTGTCTTCGATGTACGGCAACCCGACTGTTTTGACATGGTGGCGTGACGCCCCTGCGCTCCCCAACAAAGAATATGCGGTCGATGCTATGGACGGTGCATCTAGATCTGGATTTATTCAAGTGCTAGACTGGTGGCTCCATTCAGGGCTTGACCTGAAATACAGTGAACGTGCTCTCGAGTCCGCCAGTGCTGAGGGCCGGGTCGCAGTACTTGATTGGTGGAAATCAGCATCAGCAAATTCTCCACGCTCGAAACGTATTATGATGAAAGTTGGTAAATCCGTTCTTCTCGCCGCACAGTCCGGTCGTACAGCCTCTTTGGCCTGGTGGGATGCATCAGGAATTCCATACAGCCATGCGGAGAACGTTGCTCGCATCGCTAGTACGCACGGCCATATTCACGTCCTGGATTTCTGGTACCGTTTGAAGGGACCAAAGATGATCTTTGACAACCAAGTACTTGTCGGCCCAACCAAGAATGGTCATGACCATGTACTACAATGGTGGAAAGACTGCGGTCTGCGGGTCGAGTTCAAGACCTGTGACATTGAAGAAGCTCTCGAAGACGCAGCCCCAGGTGCTGATGTCCGCGTGCGTGCATGGTGGGAACGCAATGGCCTCAACCTGGGCCTCGGGACAAGAGAGTGGATGAAGCCCAAGGTTCTTTAATCTGCATTTTGAGTATTTTCTCCGGGGTTCGGGTTTTTGATCATGCATTTCCAGGCGATGGAGTGAATTCCCCGTTTACACTTCGGTTGTTTCTTTTTTACCCCCTTCTCTTTCTCTTCATTTCTCTTCAGTCGACTGATAAGTCATTCCTACTTTCCACTTATGACATCAAATGATGAGATGACCCGCAAATACCCATTTGAATATTTTCATTGATGTCATTCAATTCGTTGGCCGCCCACTTGGGCCCGAAACTCCTAAAGCATATCTTTTCTGACGACCTGTATTTATCAAGAATGAATCCATCATGAGCTCACTCACTCCCACGTCTCCGGCCGCATCTGCTTAATCTGAATGCACTTAAGCGAAGACTTGATCCCCTCGAACAAATCCTTAACGTGCTTAGCAGCGAATAGATGATAATCCCCCACTTCATTCCAACCAGTCAAGAACACGAATTCCTTATTCAGGCCTCTACCACCGATCCGCCATCCACCGGCGTAGGAGTAAGGAGCCTCGTTCGCCGCGTGCCGGGCAATCAAACTCTCATACGATGCATCAAACTCCTTCGTCTTGTCCGGCCGAACGAAGTACCGCGTGATCGCAACGACGGGTGCACTGAGCGGGATTCTAGCAGCACCACACTGAATCAAGCGTAAGCCCATCTGTTAGCCACGAGCACAAGGCCAGGTAGAAATAAACCCCATTGATACCCACCCACCCCTCTGTTTGGGAAGAAAAGGAAGAGGAAGAAGAAGAGGACAAAGCAACAAACTCACATCAAGTTCCAAATGAACCACCCAATCACCTTCCAGGTCATCTGTTCGCAGCTTCTCGCACGCCAGGTGGTCATGAGAAACAAACCACTTTGCGATGGGACTTCTGTTCTTTTCCCATCCTCCGATTATGTAGACCTTCTTCGGGTCTTCCACCTGTCTGAAGAAGAGGGTCGGGTGCTTTGAGAGGACGCATTGTTTTTCCTGGGCCTTGATGAAGTTTTGGATAGTCTCTGGGGCAAAGTCCGTGGTTCTGAAGTTTAGGAGGCCAACTTCCGTCATGTTTGCTGCGTGGAGGGGCAGATTTGAGAGATGATGATGTGGATGGATGAGTCTGGGTTTGGGAGTTGGGAGCTTTCATGCATTTTATGGCAGAGAAGAGAGTCTATGGGTGTATTCACGTTGGTATTCACTACTAGATTGGAATAAGGGAGGCCCGAGGCAGCGATCTTTTTGCGGGTCTGGGGTCCGGACTTGGCCTGAAGTTAGGGCTTCGAGTTACTTTCTTTGCCTACCTAGGAAACATTTGAACCATTGTTCCGCTGGATTCAATTCAAAGTTCTTTTGTATGAATTGTCCTCTGGAAGACTGTAGTTACGGCTGAGGCAGCCCTGAATCAATGTTGCGGGTCTGTTCCCGATTGGGCCTCAGATTAGGGCTTCGGGGTTATTTCATTCACTAGTACCTGGCAGGTACGTAGTATACTATTGTTCCCCATCCTGGGTGAAGGCTCATATCTAAGCTGCCGTCCCCTTTATACAGGCACCCAGAGTCAGGCTCAGTGAATAGATTCCAGTCCGTGTCCAGATCCAGTGGGCTGCTCATTGAATATTCCAAGACGCCCTTTGTAGAGGCATCTGTCGAGCACCCACTGGAGTGCTCAATTCACACTTATCCAAATCAGTTGATCCGAATGGGCACTCGGCCCCCACGATTAGGTCGTGTTTATGTGAACAACCTTTTGATGGCTCTAACCATGCCCTCCTCATTCCTGGAGATGTTTTCCATCCTCCAATTTTGCACGCCCACTACCACCCAACCTTAATTAACTTATTACAGCAAGAGAACAAAGAAACGGAAGGCTAGTTCTTTGCCTACCAAGTAGCATCAAAAAGGAGGAAAAGGTGTATTCAAAAATTGTTATATATACAGAGATTTTTATCTACACATATGAGCTTAAAGGTACTACATGTTATTGATGGGAATTGAGCATTAGAAGTTGTGGAATTGTTCGTTTAGCGACTTCGCGACAGGGTCTGTTTTGTATGAGCTATTTTGGAAGAAATAGCGTGGAAAGGTATCGACCCACTCACCACTTGAATATAATTGATAGTGAGAGCCCTGAAAATCTGGAGGTTTTCAAGCTGGAGCGAATACGAGTACTTCCCTGCGTGCGGAGAAAGATCGCTGAAAAACGCGTAACACCCCGGGGCCAAAACCTGACGACCAACCTTATTGGATAGACTCACGGGCCGCAGTGGATACTTGTATAATTTAAGTCTAAATATACTCTTCGTGCATTCCAAGGTTGCATATAGTTCTTACTTCGATATAATGCCCTGTGGATGCCTTTCCCACAAACCAAAACACTTGAGCAAGGCTTCCGTCGAGATTTCATATGCAGCCCACAATCAATGCGAGTGATCTGAAGAGCCATCCCGAGAATTGCGATAAAATCGGGAGACTAAATCCATCGATGGTAGCTAGCGCAAAGAGTGGAGTTAGTACTATCGACCCAGTCCAGGCCGTGGCTGGTATTTCACTACGCCAGATGCTATTTAAGCACTGATAACCCATACTATGCACACTAGTAAACAAACAAAATGGCCCCCGGGGCAGCAGGATCCATATTGCTACCCACCTATTGTCTACAACATCCAGCATGGTACTATCTATAGCCCTGAAGCCATCTTCAACCTCAGAATGAGTCTCAATTCGCGTGGAGAATAATCCACAGTTACCATCCACCCCAAATCCCTCAAAGAGCTAGGGAAGAAAGGATTCCCAAGGTTGGATAAGAGAATCCTTTCGCTTCAGAATCGGCAAATGCATCTTCCTGGATGGGTATAAGTAGAGGTACTATCCCCGAACATGAACAGCTCACCCAGCACAGCAAAACAATCAATCATCCTTATATACTCCGAGTCATCTTGCCACCAAGCCCAATCCAACAATGCGTTTCAACCTCCTGATGTTGGCGTCCCTCGCGGCAAGCACCGCCGCTGCCCTCCCCTCACCCGACGCCCTGGACCAAGAATTCATGCCAGTCCTCCGCCTGGAAGACTTCGAAGGCGGCGCCAACACCACCTCCACAACCAACGTCACCGACACCGACCTCGCCGGGCGCACCAATATCGAGATCTGCCAAGCCTACGTCACCACAACCTACTTCTGCGTGCTACTCGGGACGCAGGCCATCAACCTGGTCTCCAGTAGCATCGGGTCGGCTATCAAGCATCTGTCCAACGACAACGACTGCGGCCGTCACTCTGGCACGTCGGACGGCATTAAGTGGATCTACCACGCTACTGGCCGGAACTGCGACACCACTGCTGAGTTGGTGACTATCGAATCGGCAATTCGGCATGGGCTGTCGGCGTTTTATAATGATAAGCTGTGCAAGACTGTGTGCTGGAGGATGACGCACGGGGGTACTTGGGCTGGGTATATGAAGTTGGGTCCTGAGGATGGGTTCGAGAATGGTAAGGCTTGTGGACCGGGTGTGTCGTATACGGAGTGTGAGATTGGAGGTAGCTTGATTTATTAGAGGGGGAGGTGTCCTAGTTCTGGGGAGTTGTTTGTAAGGTCACATCCTGGATGAGATCGTGCACTGGTGTTGTCAAGTCATCATTGATAACTTGGTGTGGTTGGAAAGAACAAATCAACTTGGTGGAAGTTGAATACTCAATCTGGATCTTGAGGAGTCCTGGCTCATGAGGCGTATATAGACGCTTCAATCAATACAACATATGCGCCATTCCAACTTTTCAAGGGAAATAGACCTATTTGGACCAAGCTGGCTTAGAGAGACACTCACAGAAAAAACCAATCTAAAAGGCCCAATAGGATAAGACCGGAGGAGAGAGACCAGGGCATATTACATCTGAAAAACTGTAATTACTAGTGATATTGATGAAGGGCTTAGTCTATGGACATTACAGCCTATGCATTCAAACATTCCTGGTGCTGAAGTACAGCTATAAACCAGTAGATGGATTTCTTCCAGAGTGCTCCAACAGCGAATTCAAGCTAGGTCATGCTTCTGCTAATCGTGATTCGGATCGATAAAGTGCGTAGACACCTATACTTCTTTGCTGCAAGAGGTTAGCTTGAATGTTTCTAGCAATAAATGTAGTAGTGAAATGGGGAAAACATACTAAGTGAAGCCAGTCTTCTCAATTCCAGGGGTCTTGATCGCGTTACGATCGCCAAAGGGATTGTCCTCGTCATCCTCTTCTGATTCCTCACTTTCACTCTCCAAATCTTCCAAGGCTGTTGGACGAGGCGGCTTAGGAGGGTTAATACTCAGTCCACTGAAATTGTGATTAATCTCGTCATCTAATTCAGACTTGGACCGCCAGTTGCCACCCAGCACATCGTCATCACTGTCACTGTCATAGTCGACGCTCTTGTCCAACACCTCAAACGACATCAACGCCTCAACCAGCTCCTCATTGGCGTGGATCAACCCGCCCAAGAATTCCTCACTTTCAATATGCTGAATATAACGCAAAATCTGGTGTCGGAGTTTCTTGCACTTCTCAAATCGACTGATGCATTCCGCATCCTCGCTCACCCGTGTCGTCTCGCGGTTAACAAGCTTGAGCGCATTTAACAGATTCGTACTCGCTACAGAAGCCGATGCAAGCGTCTGCAAGATCTCCGGTCGTTCGCGTTCCAGATTGAAACTCCTGCCCGCACTAATCGACAGTTTCTTCTCCCTCTTGTCCTTCTTCGGTTTATTCTTGTGCTTCGGACTACTCAAAGGCGTGGACGGTCCATTCCCTGCTGACACGGAGACGGTATGGCCCATAGCCGGCTGATTTGACGACCCTTCCCGCAACACCTTTGCCTTGGCCTGCATGGCGGGCTGCTTTCGCGTGGGAAGCTGTCTGTATAGCGCAGCAATCTTAGCCATTCCAGGCGTATCCTTGTACGTGACAGCCCATTGTCCGAAGAGAACTTTGCATTTTTGTTTCACTTGTGGATCGGAAACGGAGTCTGTTCCTGCAATGCGCAGTCGCTCGAGAAGGGGTTCGTCGGCAAAGCCGCGCAGGAAACGCTCGCCTGCGTTCTGGATGAGAAAATCAAGGATCACGAGCGCCCGGAGTTGTCGGTGTAGATTTCCGTACTTTCTATAGTGGATGAGATCAGCCAAGGTTCGTGGTGGTGGTGTGCGGTTACTGGCTTACAGCTTCTTGCGCAGGGCGCGACTCGCCTCCGTTGGTCCGCTGGACTGGATGCGGATGACCTCGATTAAATCGACGATACCGCTAGAGTCCTCCACTTCGTATGTTTCGCTGGTGAGGACCTCGATTTGCACGGTCACGGCCGAATATGGTTTCTGTGGGGATCATGGGACGATGTGAGTTCTATGGTCACACGATGCACTTGTGGTGCGATTTCAAAATGGTACGCACCGAGGACTGAAACATGATGGGCGATATTGTAGGATATTCCAAGGTTGACTATAGATTCACACAGTTAGAATATTGGAAATGCCTCAGGGGGCTTTTGTGCCTGGGGCCCTGAGAAGTCCACTGACTCAAAAATTGGTCCCTTAACCCCGCGGGTATCAACACTTCGGGATCCGGTTCAACCCCGCACGGCTTGAAATGCACACTGAGAGTGGGATTGAAGAGATCCAGCCAAGGCTATAGGATATCACAGCGAGGTCAAAGTTAAGTCGTGAGGCGTCAGTATCTATATCAGCCAAATGTCTCTGGAGATCGTGATAAGGAAAGAGATTGGTGACGTCGGAGGGGGGTCTTGGCGTTCGGCCGATCAACGGGGAAGTTTGGATTGCGGGTTTTGCACTGAGTTAAGCTTGGAGATGATCGCTGCCCAATTTTGTCAAACCACACACTTGTCCTTTTCAATTTTTCAATATTCTTTCTTCATATTTATATAGGAACTTTCTTACGTGAACATCTTCCAAATGTCATTCCAATGATCTTCCAAGTAAATGTAGATAGTGATCATGGCTCAATGGGGTTAGGGCGGGGTTATAAGTTAAGAGAAAATAAGCTGTTATATAGTAAGCTCCGGTAATCGCCAGGGATACGAGTTTTCAAGGCAATACGAAACAATTGAGGAGGATTTAATTCTATCCTTGGCAATTACTGGCAATTACTCCCGACTTATGCTTCCAATATCTTCCTCGTCCCAATCCTATTTGGCGCGCGTCCTGTCCCGCTTTCTGATCTGCTCCACCCTCATCCTGGCTCTCAGCGTGGCCCTCAAGACCCGCTCCCGTCTCTCCCTCCTCTTCCCCTCCTTCGCTCAACCTTCTTCCTCCCATACCACCGCAATCATGTCCTACACACAAGAACGCTACATCGCCGAGCTGGCCGTCCAGCGTGCCTCCCTCCTCACCCAGAAAGTCTTCTTCGAGAAGGCCAAGGGCACCGTCTCCAAGGACGACAAGTCCCCCGTCACCATCGGCGACTTCGGCGCCCAAGCCCTGATCATCCAGGCCATTCGCAAGAACTTCCCCAACGACGAGATCGTCGCCGAAGAGGAGTCCAGCTCCCTGTACGAGGACAAGGCTTTGAGCGCCGAGATCTGGCGTCTGGTCAAGGACATCAAGCTCGATGACGCTGAGAGTGACGCCATCCTGGGCGGCCCTCTCTCCAGCGAGGAGGAGATGCTCAAGATCATCGATCAGGGCAACAGCGCCGGTGGCCCCTCCGGCCGTATCTGGGCTCTTGACCCCATCGACGGCACCAAGGGTTTCCTCCGCGGCGGCCAGTACGCTGTCTGCTTGGGCCTGATCGTTGACGGCGACGTCAAGGTCGGCGCCATTGGTACCCCCAACCTGCCCGTTGACGATGCCGCCACCATCGACGCTAGCACCGGTGCCCAGCAGGCCGATTCCTCCGCTAACGGTGTGCTCTTCTCCGCTATCCTGGGTGAGGGTGCTACCAGCCGTCCTCTCGCTAGCGGTGCTCTCGCTGCCAGCAAGTCCATCTCCATGCGTCCCGTCCCCGATATCGCTCAGGCTGTCTTCTGTGAGGGCGTTGAGGCTGCTCACTCCGCTCAGGGTGATAACGCCGCTGTTGCTGCCCTTCTGGGTATCACTGCCCCCAGTGTGCGTCTGGACTCGCAGGCCAAGTACTGCTCCATTGCCCGTGGTGCTGGTGACATCTACCTCCGTCTCCCCGTGAAGAAGGACTACCAGGAGAAGATCTGGGATCACGCTGCCGGTGACCTCATCGTCCGTGAGGCCGGTGGTCAGGTCTCTGATATCTACGGCAACCGCTTGGACTTCGGCAAGGGCAGGACCTTGGCCGCTAACAAGGGTGTTGTCGCCGCTCCCAAGGCCTCTCACGCCCAGGTCATTGATGCGGTCAAGTCTGTGTTGAAGCTGTAATGTTGTTGGATTTGAAAATGGAATGATTTGAGCTTTATGGCTAGGGTCGTTCATCTATGATACCACTTACGAATTGTGTGGAATGGGAACGGCAAATGGGAATGGGAATGTTTCTGGATCCAAAAAAGTACATATTGAAAATATAAGAACAGAGGATAGAGTATACGAATACAGGGGGAACCAAAAAATGCCATGTTCCAAAGAAAGAAAGAAACACAAATGCCACGTACGCCCACCGACTATTTGATCTTCTTAGCCTTGAGCTTGATAGTCTCACCGTTAACAAAGATACCCTTGCCCTTGTAAGGCTCCGGTCGTCTCCATTCACGGATCTCCGCTGCGAACTGGGTCACCTTGCGCTTGTCGACGCTCTCGAGCAGGATACGAGTCGGCTGCGGGGTGCTGGCCTGGACACCCTCGGGGATGCCCAGTTCAATGGGGTGAGAGAATCCGACCTTGAGGGAAACGAACTTCTGGCCCGGGTAGGTCGCGGAGACGGTGGTAGCGGTAGACTCGATAGTGGCACGGTAACCGACACCGACCATGGAAAGAATACAAATGTGGCCTTCTGAGACACCGATGATGTGATTCTGGAGCAAAGCGCGAGCAGTACCTATTCGCAAGAAACGAGGGTTGGTTAGAAGATGATACCGCGAGTCCGGATTGAAGGAAACGTACCCCACATAGCACGCTGCTGAGGAGCCTCGGGGTCCATCACAGACAGAGTAGCCTTCTGTGTCGTGGTATCGTGGTTGACGGTCAGGAAAGAAGGAATATCAAGGATCATCTCGCCTGCAACCAAATACTAGATTAGCAACATTGTTCCTTCCGCCCATTTAGCAATTGAAGCGCCAACATACCCTTGGGTCCCTTGATATGCGCAGCAAACTTAGGGACATCCTTTCCGCGGCCCCGGGTCAGGGACTTGGGCAGGTCAACGAGTGTCAATGAGACCTCGGGAGGAACGGAGATGGCTGAACCTCCGATACGGGATTGCGCCGGGGAGGTGGTCGAGAAGCATTGGGGTCGCGAGGGGGAGAACGCGGGTGTGAGGAAGAGAGGTAATGAGCGGCGCTGGAAGGGCTCACGGAGGAGCTGCCGGGCACAGCGTTGGGGTAGACACGACATGATGATTGGGTTGTTGATTTTCGGAGTCGCTGCGGACGATGATTTTGTTCGTAAAATGGGGGATCTCGATTGGGTTAGCGTGCACGTGATGTCCATCACAAGTCAGAACTTCGAAGTGCTACTAGTGGTAACTTGTTTACTCCATCTTTCCTCTGGTATTATATCTCATCGCGTATTGAATAGAACCTTCGTCTTCAAATATTGGAGTAGGGATTGAATACTAGTAATCTTTCAATAATTACACGATAACAACTTGGCTTTTCGCCTCATTCTCAAAGTCATGATTTCTTCCTCTCTCGAAACTGCCAATCCTCTTCAGTTGATCATTATCACTGCTATCCTCGGAATTCACAAGAATCAGCCCTGTCACTCCATCATCGGAGTCTCCCTTCATAGTAATGCCCAAGCATAACACTAAACAGGGCTCGCAGAGTACTGTCTCGTCAGATCTACCAAGCATGTTACGAAAGTATGTACCATGCAAGTAGGTAGCCTCTGGGTCTTCTGCAACAATCTCCGGATCGATACCTGCATCTCCAAAATCTTTTGCGTGTTTTTGCGAGGCTTCCTCAAAAGTGATCGGACAATCATCCACGGTCAGTGCTGCGGCCATTGAAGTGATAGGCCCAGGAAGGATAAAGATATTGGATGTGGCCGGGTTGAACCAGGCTCTTCTAATAGGGCCTTTTAGTGTAAGCTCGGCCGAAAGTATCTCTCCGAGCGGGTTCAGTTTAGGAAAGGTCGCTTTTGTTGAACAATCCATGATTTCACAGATAACATCGGGAGATTCCTCATCTTCATCATCGTAATAACAGTCGAAATGAACCACCCCACCATCAAGACTTGCCCAGGACCAAGACGGTGCACGGTATTTGATGGGCCGCCGGATGTTAAGACTTTCGTCTTCACCAAGTGACTTGTGCCAATCCGAGGTGTACCATGTAAGTTGCCTCGCAAGTTCATGCTGCCAGAGCCCGGCGAAGTATCCTGGCCCAAGTGCTGCAAAGAATGATAGATGAGAGGCGACACCGGCCAGTGCATTCAATCTATCCCGCTCAAGGCTTGTCGCTCGCAGTGAGTATTCCGTTACGATACGAAGCCAGCAACTCAATGCTTTGTCTTGGCTATTGCCAGCTTCATGCTCATTTAGAAGAAGTGAGTGCAGGTTGAGGCTTTCCTTTTCATCGTTGTCGTTGAATCCATTGCCAAGATAATGTGGAAAGTACAAGGAGTTTCCGAAGTTTTGCGCCCCATCGTGGCATTTCCACGTCATAGTTTTTGTAGTAAAGACTAGAGTGCGGTTGCTCAAGATCTGCTCTTGCAAAGGCCACGCCCTTTTAGCAATTGGTTCATTCCACTCTTCAGAACACGCGGCGTTCAACTCGTTGATAGACATGGAACCGAAGTTGTCAGGTCCCATCCGGAAGGGAATGGTGTGAAGGATCTCCTGGTGCGCACGAGGATGAATAAATCCTTGATAGACATCTTCAGAAGAAGCAGCAATTATAGTCAATGCGGAGGAGGAAAGAAGCTCTTTCATCTTCCCAGTGTGCCGGACTTTCTCTTCTTCGTCATCTTGAAAGATGCAGAGGGCGTCAATCCACAAGTACGGAATAGACAAAGTGCGAGTAATTTCTATAGCATCTCGAAAGGTGGGCGGCAGAGTCTCCACTTCCAAAGCCAGAGCGAACTGAGCATAGTTGGACTTGCTCAAGGTTGTAAAGGCCTTTTTACCCGAACAATAAGACAGTGTAGCATAAACACCGTACATGTCAGTAGTACACTCAACAATTCGCGGTTGCTGCTGTCCTTGCGGGCTTACTTCAATAAGCCTTGAGGGAAGAAAAGTCTTCTCTCGTGGGATGCTGCAAATCTTGTGCTTTTTGCATTCCTCCAACCACAATTGCATTTGCGTCCTTGCCATCTCACTATCAACATCCGTCCTCAATGGTCTTGCGGTAACATAGGCCGAGCCGGGATCTTCAGCTGGAGTGCAAGCATAAATAAAAAGGCTATAGCCGCCCTTCCATTTGCCATGTGGGGATTTGCAGTCAATGCTGAGGTAGAATAAGTTTTTCCCTGCAGGTACGAAGGAGGCAATGAACGTTGGTGAGATCGACATGGTGACTTGGTCCTCGGTCACCCATGAGTCATTAACGAATTCTCTCATATAGGCACACCAGTTGCATACTGCCTCCCGAATCTCGAGAACCGTGGCCACAGCCTCAACATTTGGGTATCCATAGTCTCCTTGGGAGCGATCGAGTGTGCAAACTTTCTCAAAGGCCTCGGTGTTGAAGAAGGTACTCCAACACCTGTCGCACACAAGGTTTTGAGAAAACATAGTAAGCTCTGGTGTCAACGGCCTTTTATGCTCAAGTCATGAATGAGAGGAGATTCACGTTCATTGACGTGTGACGTGTCGTTGTCCAGATACAGTCACGTGTAGCCTGGCCACGAGACTTGCAAGTTTCAGAAGTTACTCACCGCTAGTAGCTGTGATACCAGTCCGTATTGCAATCAATAGCTATCTGCTAGGTATCTATAATTTTGATTACGTACAAGTAGGGACTGAGTCGTTTTCAATTGCACATCAATTGATATTATATCGTTTCTCTGGGTTTGGGAAGTATAAAGCACCTTGAATGCCGGCTCAGTATTCACTTGTTTACCGGTCAGACCATCGAAGTATACATAAAGCTGCTTTGGGTATTTCGAGTTTCATCTTCTAATTGGCTATACTGTATGGCAGTTCTAAATTCTTTGTGTTGTGGTACAAGATCTATATGCATCGTTTTTTTTATTTGTATACATATCCGCACTGCGGTCTACTAGTAATCAAGCTTTTCAACATTGAATGTTCCCACGAGTGTGCAAGCTAACCTTGGACGCCATATAAAAATAACATGTGACTAGGAGCAGTCGCCTGAAGCACTGGAAACATGATTCGAAATTGTCCATGGCAAAAACCATCTCTCACTTCCCACCTACAACCCCATCGCTATAAAATAACCTCCAGATGTCAATTATCACCGGCTCGTCGTGAGCTTCCTCTTAAATTATATCTTCCAACCTTCTTCGAAGCTGGCAACTTCTCCCCTATGCCCAAACCCAGTCTACGTCTATACTGCCGAGCCCCATCATCTACGACCCCAACAAACGTCCAAGGTTGCCCCTCGACAAGTCTCGTCAGAACAGCAGCACTTTAAGATCAAGAGGATGAACTTCCCGGTGAGGCTGGTCTCAGCTTTACGAATCCTGTTCATCTTAACGAGTATCGTCAGTGTAAACTCGCTTGGTCTATCGGACACGGGTAAGTGAGATTCGACACGTTTTGATACGCGTTACTAACACTCGAAGGCGCCTTACCTGCTTTCGTCTCACTCCAAACCAGAAGCGACCCAGGCTCTCATCTCGACACAAACGACTCCCACAAAGATGGAATATTTACCCAGGCTGTCCAGATCCTGGACTCAATGAAGTCATCGCCATCTTGTCACCGTATCGCCGCAACGAAGCTGGTCACATCATGTCAAGAGATGGGAGGGAAGGAAGCCAAAGGTCGCGATGAATACGAGATGCTAGACCAAACGCGTTCAGTGTATGCTGCACGGCTTGCGATCTGCGAGCTCGAAGGCGCAGGCTCTTCAGCCCCGTCCCAATGCCGTCCTTTGACTGTACCACCCGTGGGGCAAAGGAATCGCCTCTTCTTCATGGGCAGATCGAAGCAGCCCGAGATAAGCTCGAGTGAGTATCCTAAAGAAGTCCTCGAGCTATGTCTCAAGACTCTTGAGTCACGACCCCAGTGGTGGATCTCTTACAGCAATAACCGACAAAACGCCATGGTCATATGCCAAGCTGCCAGGATGGAAAGTGAGAAAGATGAGCTACTCAATCTTCATCGTTCTATTGTGGACAGCAACATCAAGCTCAACGAAGGGCTACATATTGCACTTCAGAAAGCCGCAATGGAATCTGCGAGGAATGAAGAATTCTTCCAAGCAGTACAGGCATTGCAAGATAAGCTTCTGGTGGATCTTGAGAGAAACGATTCGGCCTTTCAGCGAATTTTTGCCAAGCTTCTACGTGATGTTGAAGCAGGCATTAATTCAGTGGCCGGAACAGCTACTTCTGCTATGAAGAGAGTTCAAAGCGAAACTACCAGTCTTGAAAAGGTTGTTCCATTTTATATTCGCTTACTTGGGTTCTGGCACTAACATCAATCTAGGACATCGAAGGTGTTTCTAGTCAAGTTACTGCTCTTCAGGAGGCTTTGAGCACAACACACGAAGACTCAATCTCACGAAATGATCAATCGCTCCGTGTTTTCGAAGAACATGCTGTGGTATATCAGAACCTTGCTTCGGACTTGCACTTTTCTCTGGAGTCTCTCATGGGTACAGACTTGCAACGAGTTTCCAAAAGAATGGTGGACCTTGACACTTCACTCGTAAGTCCGGACCACTTTGAAACCAATCCCAAACTAATAATATCAGGAATGGCTTACGAGTCGACTAATCCGCGTTCTTGAGCACGAAACCGAACTTGCCGAGGTAACTCTCACTTCCTACCATCATTTCTTTGACTTGCACCTTCTGACTATCAACAGCGACTCAAAACCATGGGAGACATAATCGATCAGTCAACTCACAAGGCAAACGAACTCCAGACAGCTCAGCAACAGCAAGCCGAAGCACTCGCCGCTCAATCTCAAGCACACCGAGAATTCCAACTCGCCATAGGATTGTCGCAAGCTTTGCTAGACAAAACAGCTATCACTGCAGCTAACCTGCAAGCAACTATTCAACAAGCGTCTGCTAGAGCGCAGCAGATTCCACAGCTGGGAGGCTTTAGTCTTTTGTCTCTCGGAGCGACCCTCGTTCTAGCCATCGGATCGCAGTATTCGAAAGTTGCAACTAGTTTACTTTTCCTAGTTTTCGGTATGTTTCCCTGATTATTCAAGCAATCTTACATTTCATACTAACTGCCCCGCTTCTCTTTTCAGGGCATAAACTGGCCGTATTCGCTCTTCAGCATCTTTGATTCTTTATATTCACTCTTTTCGGTTTCGGTACTCCGTTTCTGTGGGCATAAACCATAAACCGCCCTGTCCGCTCTTTGGAATCTCTGACTTTTTATATTCGCTCGTTTCGGCTTCGGTCTTTGTTTTTCGTCGCCCACGCTGCTCTTTTCGCTGAGTTGATGTCGCGTTTTATACCCAAAGTGCATTGAATATCTCGTTATTTTATTAGATCTAGAATAGATCTGACTGAGGTCGAACTTTTATCACGAATGGATCCTTTGAAACTCAGCATGAATTTCATTCTATGTCGTAAGTTTGCCTTCTTCTTAGATACCTTGAAATATCCCGAGGTTTAATGCACACACAACAAGATCCCCAATCTTGCAACATTGAAACAGAGTACCAGATGGATACACGAACTTTGGAATACCTTGACGTACTCATATCATGTAGGAAAGCGATGGATTCGAGTTCCAGCCTAGGCTTTGGTTGGCCTTTTTAAATTCCAGGTTATTGTAGCTAGAGGCTCCTAGCGGTCGTACTATTACTACAGCTGAACTCCACTTTTAATGGTTCCCGCCAATTTGAAAGTACATAAAAAGCTTGATTTGAATGAATCTTAGAAAATAGTCCTGTACTACTCCTTGCCCAGAAAGATTTCTCCTCGCACCGGCATGTCCTGCCTCCGACTCCATGCACGACATGCAAATTCCGAAGTGCCTCGAGAATAATTGGAAAATAAAGAAAAGCATTGAAAATAAGAACGTGATATCAGTGAAACGCCCGCTGCTCCCATTTCGATGGGAGGATGTGATCAAGAGTGGAGAGAATGCAGAATGCAATGTGCAGTTCCGGAGATGAATGGATAGCAGAAAGTCAGAGTCAGTTAGACGTCGTCCATTGCCCCAGCTGGTTCGTCCCCGTCGGATTCAAAGCTTCCGGCAGAGCTGAGCTCATCTTCAGACTCGGTATCTTCTCCTGCTTCGTCCACTGCTTCTTTGCTAGCATACTTGGAGACATATTCTGTGAAGTGTTAATAGGTTGGCAGCATCCAAGGCTTATGGGCACTTACCCTTTACTTTGGCCTCGTATGCCTTCGGCTCCCGCATCATCAACGCTGCTGCTTCGCCGTTGAGGGGGTCGGATGGGTTGGGGTACCGTAGGAGCTGGGGCAGGAAAACTTCGAAGATGTTGAGCATGTCGTACATGGGAGACCATGTTTGATTAATGACATCCAAGCAAACCGATCCGGATCTATTTTAAGCCGCGGTCAATGCAATTCCATCGATAAAGCTCAAATAAGATGAAACACTCACAGCTCATCGATGTTGGGGTGGAAAATCCGGTTGACAAATCCGATGCTAGGACTCTTGTAGGGGTATTGGTCGGGCAACTCGACGTGAATCTTCCAGTGGCCGCCGGTAAATGGTGCTAAGCTATGTTAATGGCAAAGATACGATCAGGAGCAAAGAGTTTCGTACTTTCTTCCGGGCCTTTGAAGCGAACATAGAACTCTTGCCTAGAAAAGAGAAATGTCAGAGGCTTCAATAAGCTGGTCCACGCTGCGTTTGACGTACACTAAACTCTGGTTAGTACTACTGTATGCGGCTAGGTCTTGTCTAACAGGGAAAAAAACATACTGTTGTCATTGACCAGCGTCACCTCGTAATCACTCATCAACCTATGAAACTCATTAGATTCATTGTCCAGCCCCAATTATCGCAGATCGGTATTCGAGAATCGTTTGCTAGGTTATGGGACGGGAGAGTGGGTTTTGTTCTCGTACATCCTAAAGTATGGTCAGTATTTCATAGATGCGATGGATTTGTCTTTCATATTCGTACTTCATGACCTGTAGCGTTCAGATTTCATGGGTCAGTCAATTGCGGGGACCTCGGTAGCTTCTCGACATCTCGTGAGGGGCACACTTACATCGGTCTCGATTCTCCTTTTCGGGCTGCTCATTGTGGCGGGTTTGATGATTAAGATTTGTGCTTTGCTGGATTCCGATATTTGGTTCTTGACTGGATAGAGAGTCTCTTGCAGCCGACGAGTTGCGCTGAATAATATTCGAGCTGTGTTGTGTTGGAGACGACTGCTGTTTGAAGCTGCTGATGAGGTCACCGGGCGAGCGATTACCCCCGGAGCGGGGAAGGAAATGGCGGGGTAGGATCTGGAAAGTCGAAGGGCTGAAGAAACGAGCTGGGGCCGACAAGTATCACTAGCAAGGACTTGGGAGGCTATTCGGAACCCAGGAAATCAATAACAGTACAAATGTTGGGGTCAGGAGCAAAGCAGGTCAAGAGGCCCCGAGAGGGGATCAGGACAATGATGGCCTGATGACTCAGCCATTATCGCAATCCGGAGACCGGAACCATGGATCCGGATGTCACGATTCTCTGGATGCATTTCAGCCCAACGTCGTTGAGAAAAGTCATTGTTTATGGGGAGAAAGAGAGGTGAAGAATTACACTTCTAGAAGACAGCGAATGGCAGTGAATGTTGAAACTAGCATTACTATCTTCAATACCACCAGACAAAGAAAACTTTAGGCATAGTGCGGCCCATAGGTGCTAGTAGCACTTTACTACAAAAGCAGTCGAAAAAATCAGACAGGGCTGCGTTAGTTACTGTGTACTAGTACTGAGTAGTAGGTACTGTAGGACCTACTAGTAGTACAGGATACGGATTTCAATAATAATTTTTATTTCATTCAGTAATTCAAAAGTCCTGCACGGCTAACAATCAAGCATCTCTGCCACGAAGGCGAGCATAAGCCCATTCAAAGAGGGCTTATGCGAACTTTATGAAAGCAATATAGCAGGAGAAAAGGTAGATGAACGAACAATTAGGCCCAAAGGCTTGCGTCGAGAAGATGTGACCATGTAAACAGAATGCAAAATGCAAGATGCGATGCGATGCCTCGCAATGCGATGAGATGAACCTCCCAAGCTTGTTTGCAGGGTTATTCCAGCTGTATTCAACAAACCGACAACCACTTAAGTTCCTCCAAAACAGGGATGAGAAAAAAAAAGAAAAGAAAAGCGGAATCATTCAAGGCATGAGGGGGCACGCTCCACTGGCTGTCGAACTCGAAAGAAAAATGGGTCGTTGAGAAAATGCCCTTGCCAGCTGACACATGGCACATAAACGGGGTGTGACATGGGTGCTGGTACAAATATGAGATACAAATACAATGAATCCAGAATGAAAAGTTGTCAGAAACGAGCGGACGACCTTCGATGAAGATCAAGCAGGTTACAAGATCGGCCCATTGTGCCATCAACTTGTTGCGCTGCAATGCGAAGAAAACAAAAAAGAAAACAAAACCATAAAAAAAACTCCACAGTATGCAGTGATGTCGATGCTGGGTATTGGTAGTCCTAACAAGCCATATGTATTTCGATGGCGAGACTTGGTTATCGACGAAATGGGGGTGTAACAGAAGACCATGAAGGCAAAGGCAAGAATGAAAATGAGGAGAGTCGGGACAAGATGAGATTCCGACCCCAGGCATGATGACGGTCATTATCATCTTCAATATCGGTACGGACCGTATGGATTTTTGAGTGGGCGTTCAAGCTCATAAAGCAGGTTGTCAAGGTCTTCCCAGTTCGAGGTGCTCTGGGCGAATTTGCGGTGCTTCCGTGTTAGAGTGTGCTCCTCAAAATCATCGAACTTGTCCCTGCAGTTTTCACAATAACCTGGCTTTGGGTCCCTGCGCCGTTCAGGTTTCTTCTGTTCATTTTCCCGACTATTGGCCCGACGGCGTTTGATCCCGGCCCCCTCTTGTTGATGAGAGTCCTGTTCGGGTGTAATGCGAGCTTCCGGGTTGGTATGACTGTCGTGAGTCTTGAGATGGATCGCTAATCCATTAGGACGCTGAGGAGCGGCCATAGTTCCATTGGCAATATTGCCTGTGCCCCTTTCCAAGACCTTTCTCTGCAAGCCATACACTTCTTTGCTCAGACCCGCTCGTGCGCCTGGTCCAGCAGCGGTGGATGAGATCATCTGCGATCGAATTGCAGATGTGACATTCGATGGTTGGACCCCGGATGCTGCAGGTTCACGACCAATGTAAAAGGGGCCAGACCTGGGGAAATTTGGTGGAATGAAGCTTTCCGAGCTCTTGCGTTCGCGGGTTTCTTCAACCGGGGGCTGCGTAGAGATTTCAGCTTTCCTTGAAGATTCTCTCTCCTCGTCCTCCATTCTTGTGGGATTTGCGTCAACATTGGGCTCTACTTTTGGTTGAATGCTGGTTTGAGTAGCTTTCGGAGGCTGGGCTACAGTTGTTGCTGGTTTCTTCTCCTTCTGGACTTGACGAATGCGTTGTCGATCAACTTCCTTTCGGCTTGGTGGTTCATCGACGAAAGGGCATTTGCCTAACGGGGCGCTTCTGAACTGCGGCCAAATTCCATCTTGGCGTCTGGCAACCCGGGGATATTCTTTAACCATGACTGGCTTTGTTTTTTCGTTCATGTCGTGAATGTAGAGGAAGGGGCCCTTGAATACAATCATTTCCATGGATGAAAACGGATCTCGATCCGAAGGTCCGTTCAAAAGCTCCTGTCGAAGGACACGTGAAAGGTCCTGGCTTGCACCTAAATTTTTGCTCCTGGAAGCAGAGTCATTCTGGACGCCGAATTCAGTATCATTGATCGTGGTGATCATGCGTTGCAGTTTCTCCAAAGCCCAAATCTTCATGCCCATCTGCCGAGCTCTCTGCAGGACATCCATGCTTCCCTGGTCCCGGCGAGGGTCATGCTTCAAAGTAAGGTGGTGTGTGTCGGTGTTCTTCTCGAGCAACGAAGGGTTGACAGTTTGTACGTGAGCATTACCGTTGGCCCCATCGGCGGCAGCCTCCAATTCGGTTGGGCTTGTTGTAGTAACTCCAGCAGGAATGGGACGGGATGTAACAACGTGGGTAACTAGACGAGAGAAGAATTTTTCCTCGCGCTTTTATGTACTAGTCAGCATCATCCAGCAAAAAAAACAGTCATAAATTGGTGACAAGGAGCCTCGGAGCACTGGAAACCGGAAGGAAATATCAATCAAACGGTGCAACTTACAGCTCCAAGGGCGGAGACCTGTCGACAAAACTTGCGGCGAACATCTTCTGGGATACTGTCGAAATAGAAAACGAATTGAGGGAATGCCTTGCGGTAGTGGCGTTGCCATATACGAATGGTGTCCAGGGTATCAGCAGACGGCTTCTCGCCCTTCACACCTTTAACAGCTGGGGGCTGGCGTTCCTTGTCACGAGCGGCAACCAACTTCTTCTCAAAAGCACTTGGGTTGGCATTGTTTGGACGTCTGGAGAAGAGCTTCGAGTCGGCACCTTGAACAGCCGAGGATCTGTTTTGTGCCGGGGACCGAACACCTTGTTCTGCTGCTTCCATCACCTGCTTCTTTTGTGGAGGTTGAGCGTACGACATCTCGACTTGATTGGACCGAACTCGCTTGGCCGGCACAAGTCCGGTCCTGTGGGGAGAATTGGTGGCATTCGGTACGTTGGCGAGTGGACGACGTGTCGACATGTTGTTCATAGAGGTCCGTGGTGACGGCGGTATGAAAACAGCAGCCATGTGATCAAACGCTTGCCGGTGTTAGACGCGTCAAGAGCTTGAGTTAGGATGAAATAACGGGTTCGTGGTGGAGGGGTATTCGAGGTCGAGCACGCGACGTGCTACACGTCTTTGTAGGGCTCGAATGAAGTCAGAGGGAAAGCATGGTAACACAAAGAAAGTATTAGGGTCAGGTTAAATTGAGAAAGCAAATCAAGCTCCCGGTGAAGTTGGGATGGTTAGTGGTGGTGGGAAAGCTTGGGGTATGAAGGAAAGGGACAACAGGATTGAAGGGCAAAGTCGTGTGGTGTGGAGCCTTCTTCCGTTTGTTTTGAGCGTGCGCCGGACAACCAACGGCGTCGCGCGAAGCATGAACATCAACAACTACATTCCTTTTCCAAACCGCGACGTGCCAGCATTGCTTCCACTTAATTATTTCTTATTTTTCCGATCACTCTCTGCTTATTGGATCCTTGTTTCAATCTTCCCTTTTCCTTCATCCCTTAACCAGTTCCAATTCTTGCGATCTATAGTTCCCAGCTTTTACGCCATTGCCAGCCACCTCCGACCAGCCACAACAAACTTTACAAGGTCAGGACTCTTGGGGGCCAACCACTCAATATTTTGGTAAAATATGGTGGAGATGTATTATACATGGATTTTTAGGGTATCTGTCAACTAGTTTACAAATGCTGGTTTTTTCTAATGACGAAGTGCCTCGATATCATCAACCTATGCGTACTAGTCAGGATATTGCTGTGCGAAAATAAGTGGTCATGGGATCTTACCTCCTTCACGGCTTCAGGGGACAAAACAATTGGATGTTCATCTCCCACACAGACACTGTCTTCGATACGAATTCCGATGCCACGGAAGTGAGCGGGCCATCTCTCATCATCGGGGACGTAGATACCACTGCGATCAGATTAGTTCAGGTCCAAGTTGGAGCTGCCAGAATAGGATAACCAACGGTTCAATGGTGATGCATTGGCCAGCCTTCAAGTTGTAACCTCGGGAATATCCAGGACAATCATGAACGTCCAGACCAATGTAATGGCCAAGGTGGTGGGGAAATAACACGTTCATTGCCTAGTACATGTTAGTAACGCTTTTTCACCGCTAAAAGGGGGAATGAGTGAAAGGGGAAACGTACACTTCCAGACAGATCAAAGCCAAGCTGCTTAAGTTGGTCCTTCAATCCGTTCTCGGCGATGTTGTGCAATTTATCAAGTGACAGGTTGGCATCTTCGCGGCAAAGCGCCAGGCAAGTTCGATGCACAGTCAGCACGGCATTGTACAGATCCCGCTGAGGATCTGAGAACTTGCCATTAACTGGCCAAGTTCTTGTAATATCGGATATGTAACCACCGAGTTCCTATTCCACTATAAGCCTCTGGATTTTGGTTTATGAAGACGAAAAATGGGGGAGAACTTACACCGCCGCCGTCCACAAGTACTAAATCTCCGTCTCTGTTGAAAGCCATCAGTTGCGATCCTCGTAGATACAGACGAATTGACTCACCTCAGAACATCATCGTTTCTAGTGTAATGAATGCTCAGTGCATTCTATGATTGTCAGCTTATGTCCTGAATGCGAAGAGATAGGATTGCTTACTTGACCACCTGCAACAACAGGGACAAAAGCACTGCCATCGCAGCCATTAACCTTGAACTGATACTCCAGGAATGAGCACAAGTCTTTCTCTTTGGTGAATGTTTGACGCATGGCGTCAGTAAATGCCCTCCCGGAGGCCTGTCCCAACTGGCGCAAGTGCATAACCTCCGCCTCGGTCTTGTTTACTCTCATCTCATTAAGCAGAGGCTTCAGAGATTTGACTTTCCGATGGTCGACAAATTTCTTCAGCTTCTCTGAAGCCACTGTAGGGCCATAAAGGTATCGGTGCAATGTCGATCTGGATCCATCGAAGGCGGGGATGTCTGAGTAGACCTCTGTGGCTTTGGCAATGATTTTGGGGAGAATGTTTCCGATATCTTCAATATTGCCTGTCTGTACATCAGATTGTCAGTCAGATTGTTCTTAAACCATGATGGTATAGTGATGACTCACTTCATCGGCATTGAAGACGTCCGCAGCGGCCTGAGTACCGGATCGTGCACCATCCCACAGTTCGGCCTTGGGGTCCTTTTCTCGGACATATAGATGGAAGATATGGTTGTCACCAGAGCCGTCATTCCCAATGACTGCCAGTGCGTTCGGTTCGTTGAAACCTGTCAAAGTTCAAAATCATATGATCAGCGGTTGTGCTCGCAAAAAGACAACTGCCGGTCAACTCACCTGTCAAGTAGAAGAAGTTGGACTCCTGTCGGTACTCATGGAAGATGCCAGGTGCACGGTATTTCACTTCGGAGGCGGCAAGTATAGCAACTGCTCCCTCGGGGAGCTTGTTGGCAAGTCGCGATCGGCGCAGGGCATATTCAAGGGCTGTGACTCCGGGGGTCACTATTCAACCAGCAATCAGTTTCCAGGGTAAAGATCAACGGTGTCAAATAAGATTGGCAACAATATTACGTACGCTCTCCCGGGCTCAGCAGGTGAGGATGCGTTTCATGCAGCGGTTGTCCGAATTTGAGCTCCGCGGCGCCGACGGAGGTGGCGTACGCCCTGCGGAGAGGGACATGGATGCGACCGAGTGTCTGGTAGGAGGAACGACTAAAGCGAGGAGTGCGACGCAGCTGAAGAGCGCATTGTCGGGCGAGCGACCTGCAAGTGGCCATACTCAAAGCTATTGAGAATTTACAACTCATGTGTATATATCCTTGTTACCTCGGAACGGGGATGCACCCTTTGGAGAAATTGCGGGCGGTGTGGGCCAATCACCTCTAACGGGTTTGGCATCGCCGCATCGCCAGTGGATCCCTTGGCCTTGACTTGAGCATATCGAAGATGATTTTCGGTATGAAAGGGAACCAAAATCATTGATACTTTCACAAAGAAGGATTCTTTGTCACTGCCAAATTCCAAAATTACGCACTTTTAGGGTTCATTGCCAACTTTGGGGGGATTTCAAAGCCCTAGAGGGCATCTGACTGGTATATATTTCGCTCGTAGACATCTGGATAGGTGAGCCACCAAACATTCAAGGTTTGAAGTAGTAGGAATCTTGAAAAAAATCAACATTTGAGGCTCAATTAGTCTGAAAATCAAATTACCCGGTTGGGGTAGATTTTTATCAACCGAGAAGATAAAAATACATGTACACATGGATATTTCTTTCAACATTTCTGAATATTACAGAGACGACATCTGGAGTGTCGATGTGTATTGAAAGGCGTTGCAACCATGGTTTAATTGGGCACCTTTCACAGCCCTTGAGTAATCCAGATGTCCAGATGTCGTGTACTACCTATAGTAGGTAATCGGGGTCTCCGCATACCCCCGCTTTCAATACGTGGACTAGATTGGACTAAAAACAGTTAAACAAAGAACTTTGAGCGTCAGTTGCAGTTGCAGTTTATTTCATTCCACAATCTTCGAGTTTCTCTCTTGTCACCCATCACCATTCGAGGAACTAAGTATTCATCTTCAAGATTCTTAACAGAAAATGACGGAAGAAGCAGGTCTGCCAGAAGGCGTTTCTCCCGAGGATCTTAAGTCTTTTACTGAGCATCTGAAAGGCTCTCGGCGAATCCTAGCCTTGGTTGGAGCTGGACTCTCTGCATCCTCGGGGCTACCCACTTTTCGTGGTGCTGGTGGACTCTGGCGATCATATTATTCGGCTGCGCTGGCCACCCCAGAGGCTTTCGAGGAAAATCCTGGACTCGTCTGGCAATTCTACAGCTATCGCCGGCATATGGCTCTTGGTGTAGAACCAAACAAGGCACACTACGCTCTCGCTGCATTGGCTCGCGAAAATGTGAACTTTCTTACGGTATCCCAGAATGTCGATGGTAGGTGCCCACTCCTTATTCAAGGTCTCCAAGTTCTCAGACCATCCAAAGCTAACATTCGCCCCCTTGTGTTTGGCTAGGACTGTGTGAGAGAGCGCAACACCTTGGCAGAAGCCTGCATCTAGTGCATGGATCTCTTTTCGAAGTCAAATGCCATGAATCTGAATGTGATTACTGGCGTGCAGACGACTTTCACGACCCTATTGTGCCTGCTCTCGAAATCCCGACGCTGGGGCTGAACTTACCTGCCTCGCGCGACAATGAAGTCGATATTTCAGATGTTGCCAATCCTGTCCCTGATTTGACTCTCGCTGAACTGCCACAGTGCCCCCAGTGTGATGGGCTTCTACGCCCAGGCGTGGTTTGGTTTGGAGAACCCCTTGATGAGCAAACTCTGGAATCCATTAGCCGATGGATTAAGAAAGCTCCAGTTGATCTCATGCTGGTCATTGGTACAAGCTCTAATATCTACCCTGCTGCCGGGTATACTGAGGAAGCTCGCAAAGCCGGTGCTCGTGTGGCAGTTATCAATATGGATCCAGATGACAGGGCTGTTCAAAACCTGCAAGAGGGTGACTGGTTTTTTCAAGGTGATGCTGCGGTCATCATCCCCGAGATTCTGAAGAGCGTCATCGGAGAAGTTGAAGAAGATCCCCTTCAGATGCCAATTTCCAATCAAGCCTAGACAAGGTAACATTTGAAACACATGTCACATGTGGTGCAGGCTGTAGGGACACCGAAATATTTGATCTTGGGACTGCTTCCACGGGTCTATTGATGTTTTCTAATTATTGAAATATTCAAATTCAAATGTTGAATTCGACAATTGCTCGCCCAGTTTTTGACACTTCCAAACATGCATAAAGATCAATAGTCGTACATAGTATGTAACATTCAAATGTTTGAAAGACACATGGATACATGTCGAACATCAATAGTTGACATACGTAAGTCGTAGCTTCAATCAGTACATCAATTGTCAACTGGTAGTAGGATGTCCTAATTTGAAGTGAGCACTCGTTGGCTGGCATCAATATATATGCATACTCAAAATTTGCAAGTATGTAGTATATGTGTGCATATAACACTACATAGTCAACTAGTAGCTATCAGCACACGTGCACTCAATTCTAGATCTTGATAAATTACAGTATTGAATAATTTATTCTGTATGATCTGTCAAGACCTTCTCCTTCACAAAAAGAAGACCGAGATTTACTCTAGTATTGACTGCAATGTTTTGAGCTGCAATAATGCCTGAGGCAGCCATCGTTGCTAGGCAATCAACCAAAACAAATCCCATATCGATAACGTTGTTCCATCCCACTTGTTTTTGTCAACTCCACCCCTCAATCGGTTTTCAAAAGGGCCTAACGTACTAACCTCGGCTTTAATGCTGGGCTAACAGTGAGCTTTGAACTTAAACCTCCACTGGTGAGTTTTTTATATCCCACTGGCATGCATGAATGATGAATCCATGACAACTTGAAAGTTGTCTACCCCGCGCCCGCGAAGAGATAAATTCCAACAGACCGTGAAAAGCTTACAATTACGCGTTCCCAGTTCCCACCTCAGCAATCACAGTTGGAAAAGATAGTACAGCGAGACTAAGCCAAACAGTGGAATCGTAACAGTCCCATCCCTCGGTCTCTACACACCAGACTCCACACGACAGAGCGCCCGCGATCGTTAGTTTACCAACACCTTCACCCCACCATGGCCAGAGAAAGTGATGCTCCTAAGGAGCCCCAAACCCCGGCACGCCCGAAGGAAACGACAAAGCATTCGATATCTCAGGAGCCAGAGTTTGGCAAACCCTCACCTCTTGGTCAACCGGCGCAAAGGTCCAATACCAATCACCTTTTCAATATCCCCAAGCAAAACCGGGCGCGACCAGAGCACCATCGGGCTTATCAACAGCAGTCGCAACCGCCACACCCTACTCAGCAGAACAGACCTCAACATGGAGCTCCTCCAGCTCCCCGACCCCCAGGAGTATCCGGCGGCACTTCAGCCACACCCTCCGCAAACCGACGTGGGCCATTTGACCCGTTCCAGCCCGTTAGACCATCTGCATACAATGATTATCGTTCAGCAATGCCTCCGGGTGCGACTCCGATCAAACGCCCCGAGAATGTGACGTATGCAACCCCTCGAGCCCCGAGAGCACTTTTCACATCAAAGCCATCAGCAGTAAAGCCGTCCTTCGCTTCAAAGAACCTTCAAGCTTTTATCGATCTTACACAACAGGATGAGCCTTCTACTTCTTCTCAGAAATATAGTCAACCAAGCACTTTTGGGTCCGCAGACGTTCATGGCTATGTTGATTCTGCCAAAGCGAATGAGAATATCAAGGCTTTGCTTGAGGGTGCCTTCGAAGAGGAAGAAGAAGCAAAGGCAAAGTCCAAGGGCAAAAAGAAGAAGAAGACAAAAAAGAGTCATTCCAAGAATGCTGAAAAGAAAGAGCCCATTCCACCAGCGGCAAACGACATTGACCTCGATGACTTAGCTGCTCAACTCCAAGGAGTTTCTGTCAACGACGCGAAAGATAACGCAACAGACTCTACCGAAGAAGGCATCGATGCGAAGAAAGCCAAACCGACCAAAAAGGACACGAAAGAAGCACTCGACAAAGGTGAAGACTTGGATGATGAGGATGACGAGGACCACGAGGCTGAAGCAGAGGAGGATGACGAAGAGGATTCGGATGATGAAGAAGATCTTATCGTCGAAGGGCTGAAGGTCACGTTGATGCCCCATCAAGTTGATGGTGTACGCTGGATGTGTGACAAGGAATCTGGCCGACACTCAACAAAAGGAATTGTGCCCAAGGGTGGAATTCTCGCGGACGACATGGGGCTAGGCAAAACCGTTCAAGCCATATCTCTAATGCTCAAAAACCGAAAGACCGACGACGAACACAGCGACGATACCGCAACCAAGAATAAAGATGACGAAGATGCACCACCATTATCTAAGCTTAGCAGCACCACGCTTGTAGTTGCACCGCTAGCACTAATCAAGCAATGGGAAGCCGAGATTGATGACAAAATTGAGAAATCTCACAAGCTTCGTGTCTGTCTATATCACGGGACAAACCGCGCAAAGACTGCCAGGTCACTGGGAGACTACGACGTTGTCATTACCACCTACGGAACTCTTACTTCCGAGTCAAGCACAGCAGCTGCAGACAAGGCTAAGAAGTCAGGAATCTTTTCCGTTTACTGGTACCGAATTATTCTTGATGAGGCCCACACCATCAAAAACCGGAATGCCAAGGCTACACAGGCTGCATGTGCTTTGGATTCCATGTATCGCTGGTGCTTGACCGGAACACCCATGCAGAATAACCTAGATGAGTTGCAGAGCTTAATCAAGTTCCTCCGTATCAAACCTTTTGATGAACTTGCCACATGGCGTGATCAGATCAGCAAACCACTCGCAAACGGACGGGGTGGCCTTGCTATTCAACGCCTCCAAGTCTACTTGAAAGCTTTCATGAAGCGGCGGACCAAGGATGTCTTAAGAGAAAATGAGAACGACACATCTGGAGTGGATGGCAAACCCAAAAAGTCCAATGGCTTCAAGATTGTCAAGCGTGAAGTCATCAAGGTGGAGGCGGAGTTCATGGAAGGAGAAATGAACTTTTACAAACGAATGGAAAAACGCACCGAAAATCGTCTTGAGGAGATGATGGGTGGAGCAAAGGTTGACTATGCTGGTGCGTTGGTCTTGCTCTTGCGACTTCGTCAAGCGTGTAACCACCCCGAATTGGTCAAGAGTGATTTGGCCGTGGACAAAGATGTTCTTTTGCAGAATGGCAACCCGGGAAGCCAGTCCTCCGACTCAAAGAAGGACGAATTGGACGATATGGCTGATCTCTTTGGCGGGTTAAGTGTCATGACCAAGAAGTGTGATATTTGTCAAGCCGTACTTAGCCAAGTTGAAGCGAAGAGCGGGGCCAGTCACTGCAGCGAGTGTGAGACCGACCTGAACACCAACTTCATGACCAAAGACAGCAAGAAGAAGCCAAAGAAAACACACAAACACCATGAGGTTACTACAATTACGAGCCCTGTTTCTCAGGCCCGTTCCCGCAAGAACCGCAGGGTGATTCTTGATAGTGACGATGAAGATGAGGAAGATGAAGCCGAGTGGATTGTCCCTGAGCACCAGCGCAAGATGCCCAGCCTTGGGAAAGCCGGTGGATCTGAAGATGAAGACGCTGAAGGTGGCGGGGAGTGGATTGGCTCCGGCGACTCTGACCTGGACTCACCCTCGGCGAAGAAAACCCAGACTATTGTTTTGAGCAGCTCCGATGACGAATCCGACTCCGATGAAGACATTCCTTACGAAGGGGAGAACGGAGAGCTCCCGTCGACCAAGATTCGTCACTTGATGAAACTTCTCAACAAGGAATCCGCAGACTACAAATTCATTGTCTTTTCCGTTTTTACCTCGATGCTCAACAAAATTGAGCCATTCTTGAACAGTGCAAACATTGGATTTGCGCGTTACGATGGTAGCATGAGAAATGATCATCGCGAAGCCAGTCTCAACAAGTTGAGAAATCACAGTGGCACTCGTGTATTGCTCTGCAGTCTGCGGGCCGGCGCATTGGGCCTGAACCTGACAGCTGCCAGTCGTGTTGTCATCCTGGAACCATTTTGGAACCCCGTAAGTCAAATTTCACGGAAAGTCCCCGCGTCTTTATTTGTTTCTAACGCGTTTAAAACTAGTTCGTGGAAGAACAAGCCATTGACCGTGTCCACCGTCTTAATCAAACAGTCGACGTCAAGATTTACCGAATGATTATCAAGGGCAGCGTGGAGGAGAGAATCGTTGCCCTGCAAGATCGCAAACGAGAGCTGGCCAATATGACTATCGAGGGCAAATCTGCGGCCGGCAAACTGACCATGAACGACATGATGGCTCTGTTCGGTCGTGATGCTGAATCCAAATACACCCCGACCGACGATCAGGGGAAATTAGACTTCAAGCAGTCAACTCGACTACTTGACTCCTCGGAAGACATTCACCCTCCCACACCTTCTCAGTCTTCCACACGAACCGACTCTCATAACCGAGACCGTCGGCAGCAATCTAACAGGCCAACACCTGAAGACTCCGTCTATGGTCGACGCTGGTAAATTACGTGATACGAGGACGAAACTGCATGGAAAGGCGATTGATTGATAGATAGACATTGTCTACAGGCGCTTTTATGGATGAAATGTGTATGGGGATTGTGATGATCAGATGGTGGGATCGCAAATGGAAATTTCTTGTCTACTACTTCATGTTTTTATTGTTTATGAACATTTCTGAACATTGTCTATTTATCGGATTGTGTTGCGTATGAGGCCGTTTGCATCTCAAGGTTGTTTCTGCACTGGAGAATCCAGGCATAGACCCAAGGTTTACTACAAGAAGATTTACGGTTGCCCAATCTCTGGCCGCAACTACGGCGACAACGCCCACGAGTGAGATTCTGGAGGCAACTTATGAAAAAATGAGTGGCTGGAACTGAGCTCCGAGGTAACGATAACCTCGCCGAGGGGGATTGACCGAGATTTTTCTATTTTTCCATTTGACTGGTTTTTTCAAAAAAAAATTAGTGAGATGAAAGCCCTCGTTTTCCAATTCGTACGCAAATTTTGACAGACTGATGGCGCAACCCCATTCATGCTTAGAAACTAACTAAAGCAGAGCTTTATTGTCCCTCGTCAAGTGGATTGTATAAGATCCGACACCCGGTTGATCCGCACCAGAGCCATGGAAGCGACATGATAGCTGTCTAGACCATCAACAACCAGGGGTTGATTCACTTTCAACGGGTCCAGTGTGGATCGAGGGTTTTATCTTTAATGTCAGTGGAGAATCACCTCACCCCCACACTGCAACAGCTGTTACCTCGGACAATCCCTTAGTATGGAAGAAATCGGCATTTTCGGGGAATTGAGGATTCTGGTGAACTTGGACTTGTCTTGATGCCGATCAAGGATCTTTTTTGAGGTTCTAGAGAACTTTTGTGAGGCTTTTTTTTATTTATTTCTACTATGAAGTGATTCTGAGGTTCCTCGGTAAGTCTCTCTTTATCGAATCGATGAGGATGATGCACTAAATTAGTTTATCTAGTGTTACATATCAGACGTCTCAATTAATACTAGTAGTAATATGAAGGCTCAGATATCATGATCTCGGATTCTCAGCTCAATCCGAAGTGTTCGGACTATGCGGGCTCTGCGATGTCGGACTCCTGGCAATATACCGATTTGAATCAGATCCACGGTACATACGCGTTGGTGCACGTATTGCGAGCATTGCTCGGTGGGAGTCCCTGACGAACCGGACGAGGGAACCGAAAATCCATAATGAGTGGAAAACTTAGTTGTCATGACCACTCGCTTCTGATAGGTCTGTCGCCCAGGACAAGGGATGAGAAGAATTAGTGGGCTGTTTGGTACGCAGAGGCGAGATCACAGATCTTAGATACTCCAGGGCTTTTGGCCAAACTCCGGGGAAATCTTTGACACTCGCTAGTCTTTCCCCTGTCTTTTAAACTCTTTCTTACCCCCTGTTCTATGGCATAATTGCTTTTTACATTCCAGTGGCGTTAAGTTTGTATACTTCCTATTCAAGGAAGAGATGCTGAATTGACGTTGCAAGCCTCATTTTCAAATGAGAACTTCAGTAGCTGGAAATCTGCTACCGCTGATGGCATAAACCAGACTATCATCAAGCCCACACCCCAATGTGTCGGATTACTCGAAACAAAATGGACTCCCCCGACTTGCCTACCAACAACAACGAATGGAAGGTCACATACGGTGAAAAAGACAATCCGCAAGAGCAAGTCGCAGACGGTAGAAGGATACTAGCTCGAACCCTCTCAATACCAAAAACCATGTGCATCTTATCCGACAAGGAAACCGAAATATCAACGGTTACCGAGCTCACATCTCCAAAGATGAAGCTCCCACGACTCGGGAGTGATACTGTCGAAAGAGTATTTCCTGTGCGATCCGTCGTCTCGTTCGATCCTACTCCCTCTCCAGTTCCTCAAACACCGTCCCTTGATAAGCTTGAGAGTCCATTCCCTGCATTTCCATTTGGAGATACCTTTCGAACAAACGAAGTGGCCGATGATGGATCTGGTAGTATTCTCGAATCATTTCCGAGCGATACCAGTGATCAAGAGAGAGCACCGAAAAGGCCCAATCACCTAGCGCAGATGCACGACCAACTCAGCCTTCCAAACGTCTCGCCATCGCTACCAAGAATATCCGCAAACAATGGTGATTCAAATTCCACCAACAAGCCATCTTCAACCCCTGCCGTCCAGTTACAAGATATGATTTGTGAGGGAGCGGAGGTTTTGACTAAAAATGAGTTAAGACCGGGATTGGAATACTTTGAGGACGAGATCGGATTTTCAGTCCAGCCATTTGGAGCGCTACTGGTTCTCTCAGAGTTGGATGGCAACATTATGGTTCAGGCTGCTAGCACCAACTCCGAAGCTATCTTGGGCTATTCACCCGACCATCTCTTTGGGCTGAGATCTATACAAACTATATTGCCAACATCTCAACAAACCATGTTTCTTTCCCACGTGAAATGCGTTTCAGATGACAGATATGATATGGAGACCTGTGGCCCAGAAGTATTCTTACTTTATATCTCAGTTGATGAAGGTGCTCTTTCCAAACGTCTTTGGTGCACTATGCACACAAGCAAAGCATATCAAGACTATATCATATGTGAGCTGGAGCTTGAGATCGAGGGCGTCCAAGACAGCTCGAATGCAGGGTGCACTGGCGAAGTCCAAACTGCTTTGACAGCAGGCCACACTACCGGTCTTTCAAGACCATGTCATGCAGAGAGAGCCGAGTGTCGAGAGTCGGAGCTTCTGAATGGACTCCCGCGCATTATACAGCAAATATCTAATGCACAGACACTCGAAGAACTTGTCCAGCACTCTATGAGTAGCGTGCAGCGGTTGATACGCTTCCATCGCTTTACAATGTATCACTTCGATAGTGATCGGAATGGCATCGTCGTCGCAGACTCGGCTGATGCATCACTGGGTATGAACTCGTTTGAGGGACTGGAGTTCTCGGAATCAACTTTCACCCCCCAATTGAAGAAGCAATATCTACGCAAGAAGGTTTCTTTCGCTTATCGAAAAAGCAAACATAGCGCAGATTTGGCCTACCGGGCCTCCACAGTGAAAGCTGGATTGGACCTATCGCACTGCTATCTTCTTGCAGCCTCGAGCTGCTCTGAATCTCATACAGCCCCTCTTGTACAAGCTTGTGCCTCGATTGGCATTTATGTTTTTGGCAAAGCGTGGGGGCTCATATCCTGTCAATCATATAGCAAAAGCGCTCGGCTTCATCCCCTTATTCAAAAGACATGTTGGTTGTTAAGTGAAACGTTTTCCAGCAATATTGAACGTCTCTCATACACTTTGCCTTTCCAAGTCAACCCTTCATTTGATCGTTCTGGTGAGACAGACACACAGCAACATATTCAGTCACCTTGCGGCGATCTTCTTGACATTTTTGGCGCCAATTACGCCGCAGCGTCTATTTTGGGCGAAACAAAGATTTTTGGGAAGCCCCCGGATTCACAGGAGGCTTTAGCTTTACTGGAGTATCTTCGCGCAAAGGAATTAGGGACTGTTCTGTGGTCGACAGACATACTTTCCGACTTCGAAGATCTCGACTATGCTCCCGGCTTTCGTTACCTTTCCAGCCTAATCTATATTCCACTGTCTGCCGATGGGCAGGATTTCATTACCCTCTTCCGTGGGGACTCGGAGAACGGCAGAGGCCCGAAAGAGTGGTCGGCAGGGGAACTTGGAAAAGCATCAATCCTGTCTTTGTTATACCGAACCTTCCCCGAGATCTGGCATGAGAAGGAGGCTACCATGCAAGACAACCAGCTCATGCGACTTCTTCTCGCCAACGCCGCTCATGAATTCCGGACACCTCTTAACGCCATCATAAATTATCTCGAAATCGCTTTGGACGGAAGCATCAACCAGGAAACTCGGGAGAATCTGTCCAGGTCGCACTCGGCTTCAAAGTCTTTGGTTTACATTATCAATGATCTACTGGACCTCACCAACGCAGGGAATGGTCAAAATCTGATCAAGGATGAAATCTTCAGTCTCTCAGAGACTCTATGCGAAGCGACCAATATCTTTTGGGAAGAAGCAAGGCAAAAGCATGTCAATCTTCAAGTCGTGCAACATGCATCATTGCCCGACGTCCTCGGCGATCAGCGGAGAGTACGTCAAGTAATCACTAACCTAATCAGCAATGCAGTTCAGCACACCTCAACCGGCGCAGTAACCATTGAATCGTGCATTCCGACCGAGCCATGCGATGACGGACAAATCGCCATAGAAGTTGCAATCCACGACACTGGCTCCGGAATGTCCCAGGACGCAGTCGAGACATTATTCTGCGAGCTAGAGCAGGTTTCCAACAAGGAAAACGCACAGAGCCCCAATCCCTACACCAACAAGGACTCGAGCACAACTACCACCAGCACCACAAGCGCACCGGGAACAAAAAGCGTCCTCGGACTAGGCCTTGCTTTGGTCGCCCGGATCGTCCGCAACATGAATGGCCAGCTCAGCCTCAAATCCGAAGAAGGAAAAGGCAGCTGCTTCAAAATCCGGCTTAACTTCTCATTGCCGTCGAAGGACCTACCGCAATCCGCCACCCAATCTATCGCGAATGCAGATCTCCAGTGCAATAGGCAAGGATGTGATACCGGGAAATCAAATGAAGCCCCGTGTGACAGAAGACCGACAAGTAATACCGGTGCGGAGCGGGAAGGGGAGATCCAGCCACCGGACGAGAAAGGCGGGGTTCCTTGTCGCTGTGGTTCGCCGTTTATGTCAGATTCAGCCATCGGGAGAGTGGACAACCCACTCGTAGATGCCGACATTTCACTGAAGAATGGAGAATCGCGAAACCTGACCATCCTTGCTTCTGGTGCGAAGGTTGAAGACGTAAGCGTGCGTGAAACACACCATTTATTCCCAAATTATTTCAAAATTGACGCTGACAACTTGGCTTGTAGAAGGTACCTTTGCGATCTGGCAAAGCCGAAGAAGCCCGGGAGCAGCGCTCCGCTATGAATTCGTCTTCCACTGCTTCTGCTTCTGGCTCTTCTTTTCAGACATCCGAGATAGGCAGGGGAACGAAACCCAATCCTATGACGACTGGCCGTACGCTTCGAATCCTTATTGCTGAGGATGATCCCATCAATAGCTCGATCGTTAAGAAGCGGCTGGAGAAATTCGGTTATTCTATTTGCATGACTGGTAATGGCAAGGAGTGTGCCTCTGTTCATCGCGAAAGTCCAGTCCCGTTTGATGTGATTCTTATGGATCTTCAGGTAAGAACTTCATCCCAGTCGCAAGCCGCTACATCCATAGGATAGGCTAATTGTTTTATCTTCTTTTATTAAACTAATGTAGATGCCTATTGTGGATGGATTGAGTGCTACAAAGATGATTCGCAAGCATGAGCAGCAAAACTCGCACCATAGATCTACTGTTTTCGCGGTTTCGGCGTCCTTGGTCGAGAAGGATCGAGATGTCTACTTGGATGCTGGTTTTGATGGCTGGATTATGAAGCCCATTGATTTTCAACGGGTGCATGTACTACTTGGTGGGGTTTTGTCTGGAGAAAGGCGTGAGGATGCGCTATATCAGCCTGGAATGTGGGAACGAGGGGGTTGGTTTGGAAGATACTAGTGTATAATCGGACGCTTGAGACGCAAGGGTGTGGATTTGAATAAATATACATGATCAATTTCTGGTTGTTTTCTTCTCACGCAGTTTTTGCGCCTCACTTAGTGGAAGCCGAATGTCTGGTTAAAATAGAAAAAAAAGATCAAAAATAGAATCGGAACTTGGAATATGTTGAACTTGTCATCATCCGGGAATAGTGGAATGGGAATTTAGCGGAGCCTCTTGGATGACTTGGATCTGTACTAGTAGGCTCTGCACCAAGTTCTGCCTAGATCGTGCAGGTACTATCATTGATGCACATGTGTACTAGTTGGCTTTCCTACTTTTACCGAAGTAAGGGTACATGATAAACATTGAAGTTTTGATTAATTTTTAATTCAATTTACATCCCATCTTGGGGAAACACCGAGTGCGCAAAAAAGACATGAAATACACCTAATCCGCTGCCGATCCACGTAGGGCAGCAAGCTCCAGTCCGTTCTAGTGTAATGTTTGATGAGAGGGGGCAAAGAAAAACGAAGACGAGAAAGGAGAAGTCGTGTCCATAATGAAAACAGGGTATGAGAAACTCCAATGAAAACAATAAACATAATTGAAAACACAGCGGCGGAATTAAAATACCTGTCGAGACAGCCTACCACGGGTAATTGAATGCATCATCTGTACAACTTGACAAAAGAAAGAAAGAAACAAGAAAGATAGATTATCGCTGAGTCAGGGGAATCTAGAAGAATGAAACTGGGGTGGTGCCACAGGCAACTCATCCTTTCTGCAACTCATTGCAGAATGAAATGCAGGGAAATATCCATAAAATAAAAGCCCAGAAGAACCTCATGGTCTTCCATTGGGGGTCGTGGAAGCAGACTGAATCATGCGAGTGGCATGCAGGCCGGCTGGTTGGGGGATCACGGAGAGGAAGTCAGAGAGACTGGTCTTTCTGCCAAGCGAAGCCAGACTGGTGGTTCCAGCTACAGGATATAGTCGTTCGGTATACCCAAGTAGGTGAAGGAAACATCCAATGGCACAAGTTTGAACGCAACCAAAGGTCTGATTGCCAAATTAAAAGATCACGCGGAAATAAAGGTCTCGCCGGAATCCCAATAGGGGAGTCTTATGAGCTGATGATTTGCCGAGCTCCTTCTTTGCCCAGAACACCTGGCTCTGTGGGCTTGGGACTGCGGTCACGACCCTTCTTACGACTGAGGAACGAGAGCATTCCACTGTTTGTGCCCTTTCCTTTGCCTGGATCACCCTCCAAGCCTTCTGCAGGGAGAGTAGAGCTGTGATTGGCTAGCTCGCTCCAGCTCCCAGCTTCCTCCAAGACCATTTGTACACCTCCTCCCTTGCTCATTTTTCGGGTCGCCCCGCCGGCGCCCCGCCGAGGAGGTGGTGGTAAAGGACGGTGGAAAGAGGGAGGTTGGCGCGGAGGAGAGGCGGATGCGAGAGTTGAAGGTGAAGGTGGCTGGCCAATTGATGCCGAGTCATTTGGGTCTAGATTTTCACTAGCCGGTGTAGTCGCCTCGCTTTGAGGTACCCGGTAAGCCGGTCCCTCGTTGAGTGGTGAATTGCGAACGATCGGTTCATGTTGAGAGTGTTGTCGGACATGGGATGTGTTTATTTTGGTGGCCACGTTGGTGGTAGTTGCGGTAGGGAGGCATTCTTCGGGGTTTCTAAAAAGGCTGTTAGAATGGCAACCGGGTATAGATTGATCAGATATACTTACATTACCGCGGCAATGGCTTCGGCGGCACTGCCTTGGTAATCGACGGTGGTGTAGTCAAATGGTTCAAACATAGTCTCGATTAGGCGATGAAGCTCGTCCTCTCGGATTTCCTTGGCCGTGGCATCGTCGCGTAGTTCTGCACGCGGCTTCTGTCGACGGGCTCGGGCTTCCAAGGGTGCCTCCTCCAATAAGAGTTCCTCCAGGTCGTATGTTGCATCGAAGTTTGTCTTCTCGCTAGAAGGTCGGAAAACGGGGGGATCTCTTTGCGTTCCAGAGCTTCAAAGTCGATTTCCGCGAAGAATTCGTGAGACGTAAAGGTCTCCCATCCAATAGCACCGATTCGGCGACTGCGGTCACGCTCCATCAATGCCATCAAAGCTCGTAGACAGGGGACCGACACCGCGGGGTTGGTGACATAGTACTTGGGTGATGCCTTCTTGATATTCTCACTTAGGGTATCCTGGCTGCGACCTTCGAATGGACGCTGAATATCCTTGTCAGCTCAATCCATTGGACCTGTAGAAGTCCGACGTACCTTGTTGTAAATGCATTCGTAAAAAGTAACTCCCAAAGACCACCAGTCAACTTCAAAGAAATATCCACCGCCTTCATACACTTCTGGAGCCAAATAAGCTAATGTTCCCGACTTGCTTGTGAGGGGCTTTCCTGGTCGGAAATCGGATGCCACATTCTAGATCGTTGTTAGTGGCTAATATTGGAAAGGATAAGTTAAGTCACGTACGAAATCTGCCAAGTGAACGTGGCCCTCTGAATCCAGTAGCACGTTATCGGGTTTTACATCTCGATGAATGATGCCTTGGGAGTGGATATATCTCAGGGCACACGCAAGTTCCGCGGCCCAAAAGCGCACTGCATCTTCGGTAAAACATTTGCGGGAGATGTGGAATCGGAGATCACCTCCATTCATTAGATCAACAACGATGTAGCTGGCGAATAGTCAGTACACCAAGCGTGTAACAAGCGATATGCTGAAACCCACATGTATTCGATATCCTGAAAACTGTAGCGCAGATTGCAAAGGAAAGGGTGGTTCAAGTGCTCGAGCATTCTCCGCTCACGAATGATATTCCGTACACTTTCCGAACGCACGACTAACAAGCAATATTAGCAATGATAAGAGGTGCGAGGCTTATACAATGCCAAACCTACCTTCTTCTTTTCGAATGTATTTGAGGGCGAACGTTAGCCCAGTATCCTTCCTCTCAACGATGCGAACCTTGCCAAAGGCACCCTTTCCGACTACCCGAAGGAGGCGGAAGTGATTGAGGTTAACTAGATACAGATTAGCATCCCGGTATATAGTCCCACTGAAGAGCCATACGCCTTCAGCACATCATCCAAGATCGACACCTACCTGCATCATTGCAAGAAATGGGCTTTCCTTGTGTGTTTCCCATTCTGGCGGATATAAACGAAAACGTAGGTTTTTGAGGACTAGAATCTGCCCAGCAACATCACTTGTCCTAAGAAACCTCGGGTCGTATAGTAAATCACGTGGCGCAAGTTGGAAAATCCAAGAAACCGCGAAATAAATTAAGTAGATCCAAATCTCATAGCACTCTGGCCATGGGGTTTAAATGCGGCAGAATCGCGGGAGCGGGGGTGTTGCAATGGAACGCGGCGGGCGAAGACCGGAAAGTGTCGCAACGATATCGGGGGGTAAGAGCGATGAGGAAGGAAGTAGCTGCGGTTGAGCAAGTTGACTCAATTCACTCAAACCGAGGGAATTTATTGCTGGCAAGCCGGGTATGTATATTCACGATTGGCGAAAACAGGTGAGGTCCGGGTTTCGGGGGCCAAAACGAGGCAGGATGAGCCTAAAGCGCGCACTCGCAGATGAACCGAATCACAAGAGGCGGCGAAGCAGCGAAACGAATGTCTTGCAGCCTGAGGATTGACTGAATTGGATCAAGACGTTCGGGAATTTCTCGTGAATCCGTGCAAGATTGAAAGAAAGGGGAGAATGGAGGGTGAGCGGTCAAAAAGGATGGCAGTAAAGGTAGAGCCAATCACATCCGCGCCTTGACAACGGGGAAAGGGGGGCGCCTCGTACACTTTGCAGGACCCTATTGCAACTAGGGGGAAAACTTGCGGAGTTTTGGGCTGGTAGATGGCGTTTCTTTTTTTTTTTGGTGGAAATGATACAACTTGCAATCTTAGAATGAATCCATACATGAGACTATGTAAAACATGATCTGTCCCTACAAAGCATTCTTCAAGAATGACTGTACATACATTTTCGATGTGATTCTCTAGAAAAGCTAGACCCACGGGGGGCGGGAAAAATAGGAAATAGGGCGAAGAAAAAAAAAGACCACTGCAGACGGAAGTTGTCCTATCGTCACAGAATCAATCGATCCAAGGAAGATTTTCACCCGGGGGGGGAGAAGTCCAGGTGCATCTGTTGCTCATGTTGCTCAGGCGAGACCGATCCACTCCCAATACCTGCAGAACTGATCTCTTCTGCAAAACCTCCCTTGTACCACTCTGACCTGTCAAATATCAAATCAACCCTACCTGGTATAAATGATTAGTAGTAGGTTCTGTAAGTCATTGAGGGGAATATTTGGGGTCCGCGACAAGTTCATTTGCTCGCTGAAAATGGTCTTACACAGCGAACAAGGAACTTTTCGATGCTTTTTTTCGCCCCCTAATCGAGCCAACCAGAGAGCAGATCATGCAGCTGCATCGCATCAGACTGGTCACCTTGTCGCCACGCGACATCTTCACGACACGTCTCATCTCTCGTGGCAGCCACGTTATTGACCGCCCTTGCTAGGAGAAATGCAGGTCTCGGCTTTCCCGTCGCACAGAAACGGCCGTGGAACGCCTGCAGAACATTCGAATATTCGAACTTTCGAAAAAGCTGAAGTTGACCTGTTCAACGGCCCTTGCAGGTCCGTACTCCACTAGTTAGAACTTAGCAAACATAAGATCCCTGGTCTCACCGGGCGCAAATCTGTCTTTTCATGATCGGCGCCATGTCAATTCCAAAACTGTCGGGAATGAACATCAAGCTGCATGGATTGTAGACAGTTTTCTTTGTAGGGGTGGAAGAAAAGCTCATGTTTCTTCTTGCTGGCACATTTGGCACAGAAGTAGTGGGTCTTTGCAAGGTTAGACCGGGGCTTATTGGCCCCACTGCAGAAGCACTAGACACCATCCTAGTCACGGTAGGCGTTTCAGCTGCACCATAACAAAGAACACTAACTAGGAGGTCCTCCGTACCCGAGACCGAGACTATCCGTTTCAGATCTGTAGTTGTAATTTGATTTTGGGGATCACTTAGGATACAGTCATGCTTGTATCCAGCCGTCGGGTTTCTTGCATTTCCCCATGAGCACATCTTTAGCCTGGCCTGTGAGCGATTCGGTGAGCTCGGGCGCAGAATTAGTGGCTCTTTGGGCATCACCAACTGCGGGTCTAAGTGTGTCTAACTTTTCAAGTTAGAACCTTCTCGCGAAGTCAGAAAATTGCCCAGGTCAACTGGTGGGGGGAATGGCCTAGCCAGCAGTCATACCTAGATGAAGAAACCCAGCGAACGTCTCCCAAAAAAAATCCATGGATGGAAAGCACTGCTGGAGATGCTTTTGGAAGAGTTTTCCGAATGATTTATCGACATACGGTCTCATGCGCATGCACACCATCGCTGCATTGATATATAGATAGGTAGAAACCTTATAAACCATCCATAATATCACCTGGAATCAAAATTTGCAAGATTGCATTGGATAGAGGGCTCCCCAGGGATGGGATCAATTGATGAATAAAGTACTAGTAGTAATTAGGGGAATACTAGTAGGTCAACATTGCTTTTGAACGGTGATGATGGCCTGAAGTTTGAACATTGGAACCTTGGAAGTCACGGGAGTACGCACCTGCCCTTTTCATTGCAATGTTCAAGAACTTCCCTTCCAATCTTGTGCATTTCGGCAATTCCAACTCGCTTTTACTTTTTTTTCTACGTACTAGTACACTTAACAGCCCGCCTGCTTAGTTGATTCCTTTTTTTTCTTTTTCACGATGGGGGACAGTAGCCTTATTCCTTCACATGAGTGGTCCCCTGGCTTGCACCCTCAGAATCGATCAGAACTGGTACCACATCCCCAAACGGGGACTCACTCTCCATGGTTCATGCAGCCGCCTCAGAAGTTTGGCATTGATACAACTGCTTTTTCTTTTTCCAAACCAGCTATTAATCGACAAAACTTTTCGTTACGCAAACCGCCCAAGTACCCCTCTGCCAACGTTACACCTCAAGAGAGCTCTCTTCCTTTGGAGACTCCGAAGAAACCTGAAGCACCAAGTCAATGCCGACAAAAGGCACCAATACCGTCTGCGTGGGTGTACATGCTACTTTTTCGAGAATGATTTACTGATATTTGTCCTTGGTAGTTGTCTCCCATCCATTGCAGATCCTGAGCCTCACCACCTTGATGATGAAATCCCAGATGAGGACTTGCTCAGTGTACGAGATGTGGAGCTCTTGATAGTTAAGGAGCCTGACCGAGAAGTGTTACCTCCCGTGGAAGTCGAGGACATAATCGTTCAATCAAAGCCTTCCAAATCGCAGGTTACTGCAACTGTGGATTCCGTCCGTGAAACACCTATAGCGCAATCTTGCAATGAAAATACGAAGACCAAAGTATGTTAGAACCAACTAAACTTCCTCTGGTCAACTGACATTTCAGAAAAAGAAAACCGCTCCGCTCTCAACGTCATTCGTGCCAACAAAGATTCCTCAGGAAGGGATGACTACAGCGGACCGTGTCCGCTCTCCATTTCACGATGAAGTTCCACCGATGAACGAGCTACCAACCTCGAAGGGCTCAACTCAGGTGCGAAAAAGAAAGTCGAACAGAAGACAAAGGTCAATTTCTGTCAGCAAAGCTGACCCCCAAAACTTGAACGAAGTCACTTTATTTGAGTTGCTCATTGCGAAGATCAAACAACGCGAGGAAAACGAAGCTGCCGAAAATGCCATGCATCATGAAGTGGAAACCCAGAACACTTTGTTGAGCAAGCAAAATCAAGACCTGCGACAGCAGATTCACCTCGCTCAGTTACGCCTACAGAAGACTGTTGAAGAATCCAAAGCAAATCGCTCTCTTCTAAGCGAATGGAAATCAAAGATACGCAGTTTCAAACAAGTTGTCAACGAGTTAGGGCGGGGATACGATGATCTTCGCAACGAAGCTAACGAACAACGTGAGAGGGCCTTGTCTCTCGAAAAGGAAGGGAGTGATCTTACCACAGATATTTGTCAAACCAAGGTCCGTATTTCGCAAGCTGAGGAGATGATTGACAGCCAGCAGAAGAGAATATTTGAGGATGATAAGGCTATAGCCGTTTTGGAACAAGCCTTGTCCGGCTCCCGGAAGGGAGAGGAGAACGCAAAACTGCAATTGTCTGAGCAGAAGAAGCGGGTTGTGATGCTGGAAGCGTACATTCAAAACTTCGCTATGGCCCACACAAAACAGATTGGTCTGATGAAGGAGGGTCAGGAGATTTTGATTGAAAGATTCACGAAAGGCTTGGATGCTGTGACTCACGATTCCTCCAGCGTCAAAGATGCCGTCTTGCTGGCCATCGCAGACGCCTTTGGAACTTGCCAGTCCACAATTATGTCCTTGACCAACAAGTTTTCAGAAGAGCAGATAAATGTCGAAGAGTTCACGCGCGAAGCTCACGATGTGGTTTCTCGGTAATCAACCCCATACATGCAGATATTCGGAGCCAAGTACTAATCGATGGATCTAGAATTGGCTCTCTTTCGTCTCAATTTTCTGAGAACATTGAAGGAAGCATCAGAGTGAACAATGGGGTAGCCAAGACTCTTCGGGCCAAAATTGAAGAGATCCAATGTCTCCTGGGCCCAAAGTCTTCAATGATGACGCGCCTTGATCAGTGTGACAGCTCATGCGCGGCCCTGAAGACAAATCTTGACACCATTGAGCCAAAAATAAATGCGCTTGGTAACTCGGCCAAGGCATTAACTGCGACGGAAAGTTCTCTTGTTCAGGACCTTGAAAGCTTTAGCAAGAAGCTCGCAGATGCCCAGCTTCAAACAAACAATCCCGTTCTCGAAAAAGAGCTGGCGGGAAAGTTTGCGGAAAACACCCATCTGCAGATTCAACTTCATGACTTAGGCTCTAAGGTTGATACCCTCCAGCAAGCCCTGTCTGACAAAGGAAGATTGATTCAAGACTCTCAAAACTCATTGGCTGAGATCACTGCAAAACAGCAAATGGCTGAGTCTCAGAACAGACAACTGGAAGCCGGAAAAGCGGCTTTGCGACTGGAATTCGAGACAGCAGAAAAGAATATGCGACAAGAATTCAGCAAAAGAAATGCTGAGCTTATCGACCAATTGAGGAATGAGCATGAAGCAGAACTTCGTGTTTTTCAAAAGGAAAAAGACGACATTGAGGAAGTGTCTCAGACACTCATAGTTCAACTTGAAGGGATTCAAAATTCTTTGGTTTGTATCCGATAGATAGAAGAAGACATCCATTTGCTAACAACTTGTAGATCGAAGCAAAGACGCTCGTAGATGAGCATGGCAAAGAGCGCAAAGCGTTGGTATGTAACCCATAATGCTGGTAAGCGTCGCTGATTTGAGAAGCTCGAGGATACAGGACAGCAGATACAAGATCTCAAGAAATCCGACGAGGAGTCCAAAGCTCAACTAGAAGCCCAGCGTGCAGAAATAGAAAAGTTCCAGGAGCTGGACGCCATCTCTCGGGTTGAGAACAGCGAATTACGAGATCACCTGGAACAAGCCCAACAGAAGATCAAAGATCTTGAACAGAAGTCAACATTCATCACAAATGCAGAAGAAATTAAGGCACCGCAGCCGACTCATATAGTGCCTTTTGCAGCTATTGAAAACCAACTCCTAGGGCGGCCAGGAACTTCACAATATGGCGAATCTTGCGACTTTGCGATGCTCTTCATGTCAGATGACCAGTCAGCTCCAACGCCAATAGACAAATCAACGCTCCAAGATCCTCCATTGGACAACTCCAAAAATGCTGGAAAAGATGGTGGGCCCCAAAAGCCTGTCTCAAAATCTGCAGATCCTGTTGTCACTCCCGTGAAGTTAAACCAGTCTACGAACAAGAAGCGCAAAGGAGTCAACTTTGAGCCTGTCAAGGATACAAGCAAAGCAACGGACTCCATGGATGTGCAGCCGGCTGCCAGTCAGCCACAGAAAGAACCAGAAGAACATCCCAACAAAGTATCCAAGCACATTCACAAATGGACTTACAGTCGTATCCAAAGCTCTACTTCAGAGGTCAAACAGGAGCAGATTAGCATGCCTTCTCGTGGCGCCACATCTGATCGGCGAAGTAGCCCAAAGGCTCTTGTTTCCGCCAGCAGTGCGCCGGCTTTGACACAGCCCAGGACCAGGAATACTAGGGGCCGCCGCAAGGGCCGAGGTAAGTGATCGATCAGTCTTACTCTCTTTGCTGCTAATGGGGCTTACAGGCCAACAATATGATGCCCGCTTCCAGGATGGTTGAACCGTTTCAGCTCAGCTGAGGAATATCTTCCAAGGTCAACTCGTGTCGTTTGTTTGTTGGTCCAATTATGATTCCAATTATTCCTTGATCATTTCTTTATACACGCACTTTGAATGGTTGGTACCTTGATATCCGATTGATAAAACGTCCACCAGAGCGCCAAATATCTTTTGCCGGATGCCTTGCTGAATTTCCCTTTTCCACCAGCCATGACTTACCCTTGATTTATTCTAACCCAACCGAAGCAATCGTCCCTTTTAATGTGTCCGAGATATATATTACCCAGCTAGAGATATGAAGGAATCAGAATTCTTTTTATTTTCAATTCAGAACCCAAAGCTGTAATGCTCTTGAACGCCAAACACAATGCTCCATCAAAAGGAAGTAACCGACGGAGCAGCCAACAGAAGCGTAACACTCCGTCGCTTTAAATCAAACTTCCCAGGATATAATGTACACAAAAAAAAGTTACAAGCCCACCGTCCTTCTCAAGCTCGTCCATCGATCCTCACACCAGGCACTTGTCATGATCCCAATCAACAATCAGTTCTTCCAAGGTTGGCGATAGAGATTCTCCCTAGTCCCGAAATATCCGCATCGAATCGAGATTGCCGGCGAATGGCATGGTAGGTAGTATGTTGAGGGGTGAAGAGAGGGAGAGAGATAGAGAGAGGAGATCGGACCAAAGTCGCAGCCATCCGAAACCGAAACCGAGATCGAAATCGAATCTATTTCGCCTTTCCGCCCTTGGTCGCCTCAAGGAAAAGCACAGTCTTCTTAACGACAGGGTCGTACTTGAGCATGCTCAGCGGACGGTGAACACGCGGCCGGATCATAGTGCGGTAGTAACCCGTCATGGCCATCGAGATGAGGCGCACGGAAATGGTACGTGACTTCGCTGTAGAGTAAAAAAGACAAGATTAGCCCGACTGTTCAGCATCTGCATTCTGCATCTTGTGTGCGTTCTTGTTTCCGTTCTCATTCAATGCTTTCATAGCTTGGCTGGCTGGCTGGCTGAGCCCGGGCAGCTTTTCAAGAACAGGGCCGGGGGCGCACCGCGCGATTCATGCTTTGTGCTGGGAGTCGAATCGATGGGTTCGGGATGGGGGGTGTGTAGCTAGCGGCGTAGACTCACCTTTCTTGGCCATTTTTGCTCGAGGTCCCGAGGGGTCTGGATCGGTGTTCGATGTGATGGAAATTCGAGGCGGAGTCGGACAAGCCGCAAAAGCGATGTGCACGTGATGGGATTAGTCAGGGGGTTGTGCGTGCTCTGATTGGTTGGCTGGTCGGTTCAATCGACTGGTCAGTAGAGACGGAAAAATTGACCTCAGTTTTTTTAAAAAAGATTATCGGCGATGGTTATTTTTTTGACTCTGGTGGCGCCCGTATTCGATTGCAGCTTACTCACGCCAGGATTTAGGCGTGTTTGTCGGCTTCCCGGTGGCGTGTTGTGGTGAGAGTTGGATTTCGGGGAGGTTTCGGGCGTACCCGGACCGGGATGGTATGGACCATGGGTGGTCATGGGGGAAAGTAGATTCATGTTCAGAGGTTGATAAATTGCTTATTTTGGTTTGGATTTTTTATGTCCGGTATGGTTTTGGGGACGTGGATCCTTCTGGGCAAACTTGCGCTGGCTTCAAATGTTGCTTACGCGACCGTATGTATGCACCTTTGTCAAGTGAATACGGGTGGTTGGAACGAAGACTTGAAAGCAAGTGTGTATAGTATGTAAACATGTGAATAACATTGAATCGATGGACGGATGTTTTGCCTAGTACCTCTAGGGCAGGCTTATCGAAAGAGATGACGTCTTCAGGGCTCAGGGTCATCAATGGATTTAAAGTTGAAAAACCAACTTTGGAATGGAATATACATAGTTCTTATATAACATTGATTATTATTTGTCGTCGGAGCTTGATACATTAATGATGAATGGGGAGTAACATGAATGATGAAATATGTAGTATCATGTATTTATCTCCAAGAGATCTGGATACATACTACATAGTCAATGGATATCTTATAGCATGTGTTCATCTTGGAACTTGAAAGTGCGCTTGAAAGGTGGAATCACTCAATCACGATCAAAAAAAAAGAATATAAAGCGCATTCAATCATTGTTGATGAACGTCCCTTACTCATTGTCCTGGACGTCGATGACGGTGGACTTGAACTTGCGGGCTGAGATCTTACGGTTGAACAGAATATCGCTCTCACGGTAAGAACGGTGCTTCAACTCGGGAAGGAAGAAGTAGGCCATGACCCAGCAGACACAAGCGGTACCTCCCCAAACGTAACCACACTTACCAGCAAGGTTCCATCCGGTGGTGTTGAGCATCTGTGAGGCCAAGTAGATCATGGGGATCTCGGCAACGTAGTAGGCAGCACGACCAACGGCGGTGCTAAGAGCACGGAGGCGGACGGAGGAGGTCTCGGAAATGATGGTGTATGAGATGGGACCCATGGCACCGGCGAACACGAAGGAGATAACGACACCAAGACAGGCCTGCGCGTAGTTGGTTCCGTGCGTGGTTGGGACGGAGGCAACAATTCCGAGAATGAAGAGGAGAGTAATATTGATGGCTGTGCCCCAGAGATAGATGGTTCGACGACCAAACCAAGATGTCAGGACCCAAGACAAGGCGTTGGCAACGAGCTGAAGACACGAGTTGATCAAGTTGAGCTTGAAAGCCATGGTTGTTGCGATTCCGGCCTCTAATTAGGATATCAGTGATTCGTTTCTCTAAAGTTTGAAGGGCTGTCGGGAATTGCAGCTACTTACGCTCGAAGAAGTATGTCGCCTGGTTGGCAATCAGGTTACCAGCAAAGTTCTGGGAAGCGTACATCAAGCAAGTGATGATTGTTCGGCGCAAATCGGTACCCTTGAGCAGGTCGAGGAGAGTAGGAGAACCACCGATCTGTGCCTCAATCTCAACCGTTCGTTCCATCATGGCAAGCTTCTTTTCCGCATCCTCGGGTTTACTTCCAAGGCGAACAATAGATTTGAGGGCCTGCTCTTTGCGCCCACGGCGAATAAGCCACCATGGGGATTCGGGGGCGAAGAAGAGGATAATGAGGAGGGGAGTCTAGAGAGGTTAGCCTTTGGAGACATAATTTTTGAGTTAAAGGGAAACTTACAGGGAAGATCCATTGCAGGGCAGTGGGTAAGCGCCAGGACCATTGATCATTGCGGCTGTTGAAACCCAAAGTGGCGGCGGCGACGATGATTGATCCAATAGACCAACTCATTTGCAGGGTGGCTGTACAGGCACCACGAAGACCGAGAGGGACAATCTCACTGGCATAGGCGGGGGAGTTGGCAATGAACATGCCCCAGGGGATACCTTCAAATGCCTGGCCAATGACCATGACCTCGAGAGAGTTGGCCTGGTAATTCGGTTAGAGGAGATGGTCTGGCGGTGATGAGTAAGTTTACGAGAAGGTTACTCACAAAGAAGGAAATGAAAATAGTAGCATTCATCAAGATCAGAGCCACGATGGTTGTCCAGCGGTAGCCGATACGGTTAGTGATGGGACCGGCCAAGAAGACACCGACAAAAGCACCACACTGGCCAGACTGGAAGAGGGCACTTTGCCATCTGGTTGGAATGGAACGGGAGCCATCGGCGGTCATGACACCGTAAGTGTTCTTGAAGTAGGTGAGTGCAACGAAGTTTGTGTTGAGAAACATATCAAAAGATTCCATGACCTTGATGGAGAATTAGCGGGTGCCCATGAAGCTGTGAAGCACACAATCGACTCACGATAGTAAAGCACATGGTGAAAGCCCAGAGACAGGCCCAAGGGTGAGCCTTGACATTCTCCCAGACTCCCATCTCATGCTCTCGGTTCTCAGCCTCGAAGGCATCCTTCAGCAGATCGGCATTGCCCAAGACCTCGGCATGGAGGACGTCGATCTGTTGAGCTTCGGCCTTTGGCTCGATCTCCGACTTTTGGTCGAAGCTACCGGCAGACATTGTGGGTTGGTTCACTGTTCACTAGTTGTCGATAAGTGAGGAGGAATGAAGAAACAAAACCACAACCTAAAAAAGAAGAAAGAGAGAAAGGTGGGGAAGGAGCAGGTGAGGATCTTATAGAAAGAAAGATCAAGTCACGTTTTTTTTCTTTTCAGTTGCTTCCCCCGTAGTTTCCCCTTTCATTGTGGAACGCGTGTCACACGTGGTTTTCTTGAGGGTACGTGAAAAATTCACTGTGCAAGTGAATTAGCGGTTGACTGATCCCGGTATCCCCAGACCATCTTCCCTTCTCGGCCCCGTACCCGGGGAAAGCTGGGGTGGCGTACTCCACTCTGGAGTAATCCCACCAGTTACCGGAGCGGGTTTAGCATTCGGGGCCAAATTGCAACTTCAACCGGTAACCCTACTGGACGGACGAAGCCGAGTCCAAGTCACACGGGCCCTTTAGTACGCATAGAATTGATTCACGCTTGAACCAGTTGGGAAATTATCCGTGAGATCACAGGCTGCAGCCCCGAATTATTAACGAATTGAACCCTTGTCCCGAACCATCCCATACGACCGAAAAGTCCTTGCTTTTGGGCTTTTGGGCTTTTGGGATTTTACTTTTGGGCTGGTCTAAGCTTTAAGATTTGGAGGGGGGCGTTAACTCTTTCCCAGATTGAAGCTTGTGTTTTTTTTTTTTTTTTTTCTTTATTTTTTTCTTTCTTTCAGGTAGAAAAAGTTCTCTTTGTTGATGCGAATACTCTCTCCACATGTTTCCAGGGTTCCTAGTTAACCTTGGTTAAATCGACCTAATTTTTTGGATTTTCTGGGGCCCCGGGAAACCAAGCCAAGCTAATTCTTATCTCCCTCAGGGGCTACCAGCTACTTTGGTAACACCAACCGTCTAAAGAAGACATGAGATCCCGGTCTGTACCGGAGAATTGCTAGAAATGTCTTGAATCGGTTACCTTTTTGGACCTTTTGGACTTTTTCCTTATTATATTTTTGAAAATCGGGTGAACCTGGAAATCCCGAGGTTGGTAAAGTAACGCCAATGCCAGCGCCACCAATGTAACTCGGAGTCCGTAACCGGGTAACGACTCCTAACTTCGGCTAAAACTTTTAGAACCGATGCTCGCTTAAACCTTGGAAATCCCGATCAATACCTTGAAGCTTTCTGACTGGACAACTACAGTTATGGAGATGGGCTGACTTTTTTTCTTGTGTCCGTTGAGACAAAGCGTATGCATCAAGCATGCTGGCCTGGCTTGGCTCCAGGGCTGACTTGGCTGATCAGGTGGTAAGCGCCAGATCAGCTTTGGATGACTGTTGTTCGGAATCTCGCCCCTCGCTAAACCAGATCTCTGTCTCTTTGAGGAAAATAAGGCCGAGATTGCGAAGCGAGCTCTTTGGGCTGTTTCTATAAATTAATTGACCGGCTCCTCTTGCACACCGGTTGTTCTCCGGCGGGGGGAAAAGCAGGAGTGGGGAGGTCGATTAGCGACCAGGATGCCGACCAAGATGGGCTCGAGGCCAGTATCGAGGTGGGGACGCGTAGTCCAGTTGAACTGGTTCCAAGTTTGATCTTTGTTCTCTCCGGGGATCCTTGTAAGGTTTGAGCTCATGATTTGCGCACGGGGATTTTTGCGGGGTTGGAAATAAGCACCTGAGGCCGAGCTCACGGGCGCCTGCCAAGGGAAATCATCTGTGCAACACGTACGAGGTTACACATTTCATGGCATGATAAGCTTTGTGGTCATGCGGGTAACTTGGAATGTGGGAAGTGATCAAGCCATGACACATGGCCATCGCTCTAAGGTTTCATTGAACCGTTATAAGCACTCTTGACCCCTGCCAGAACTCACGGGCCACTCTCGAGTACTCGGCCGAACCCGTTCGCGAGCAAAGGTAGGCAGCACGTGTGAAAATATTGTACCTTGATATTGTTTTCGCGGATAAAAACTCGAAGGTAGCCTTCAAATTTCAAAGTTCACTCCTAGGTATGCAAAAGTTCTTTCAAACCTCCAAACTGCTGCCCTCATTCTGAACTCTCGGGGCTCCCGAGTCCATCGGTCCGGGCCGATCTTGAAATCATCGGTAACGAAATGCGGAGATGAGCTTGGAAGAGAAGGGCATGGAATGTGACTCGAGTTCGACAGTCAAAGTACTCAATTGAGGAGAAGATATCACGATTTGCGACAGGAGAAGCTGGTTCTACAAGCTTGACAAAGTAAAGGGGTAATTCCGGTCATGTTGCACTGATGGCGTGATTATGGGAAAAGCGCTGTCAAATAACCATTACGAACCGGAGATTGGCGTTCCTGATATATGACCTGCACTTCGTGAGGTACTACTTCAAAAAGTTGTATGTTCTATATAATGTTTTCTGAATGTATCCACTCTGGGGCTTGTGGGTGAGGCAAAAAGATCCCTGGTTGGCCAAATTTCCAAGTGGGTAGTGGAGTGGATCAAGCTTTGGCCCAGCCGCCCAGGGTCCAGGGTCCAGTGTATATCAGGTATACTAAGTCATAAATTTGGCTTGATAAACTAGAAATAAGGAGTGATGAAAATAAGAAGCAAGAAGAATAATAGGATATGGTAGGGATAATTGATGTGTAGTGTAGTAAGAAATAAAAATCGATGATGAGGAAAGCAAGACTGCAGAAGTGGCAGAGAAAATAAAAGACGGAACCAACTTGAAGGAAGCTTAAGACTGGAAAGAATCTCGATGAGAATGATACTAGATCAGGACTCTAGTGTGGGATCAGTGGCAAGACAGACAGGGAAGGAGGCACCTATAGTCAAAGTGACTAGGGGCTCCCTTATATTTAACAATTTGAGGATAAATTCCATCCTGGCACCCACGTAGTCCAACTGGTTCCACCCTTCGGGACCTCAGCCAGCTCTGGATTTGCGGCCCCCACTTCAGGTACACTGGGCCCATCCACGATGGGGATACTGAGTAGTACGGCGAGCCTAAGAGTCGAAGCCTAAGTTGAGTGACAGCGAGAAAGTGCGCCGCGGACCTACTACAAAGTATCTGCCCTCTTTTTTTTCTTTTTTTTAAATTATGAAAGTATTTGATTTTTATCTTTTTTATTTGATTTGATTTGGATTTTTGAAGTTTGGAGGGAAGTTGTTAGTATGAAGCCGTGATGCATCGATGGTGGGAGCGAGTGACTTCTTTCTTGGGAAATCTTTAAGTATTTGTGCTTTTTGACTCCTTGAAGGCTGCAGGTTCGATTCCAGGACTGATCGGTTCAAATGTTCTTTTCTTTTACATCCTGCTACTACCATCTCTCTCTCTCCATCCTTATGGGATTTGATATCTTGGATCCCTACCATGATGATCTCTAGTCTTGCTTATTTCAATTATATTTCCATTCACTCATATCATATACAGTATACTAATCATTAGATGAACTCATTTCTGCTGCAAAAAGGTCAAGGCACCCAAAGCCAAAGCATCTATCCCAGTCCGCAAAGTCGGCTCAATAACAGGAGCAAACAAAGGAGAGTGGTTCATCGGCAACTCCTGCACAGTCCCATTCTCAACAGCCTCATCCCACACCTTCTCATCAATCCCACCAAACATCCACATCACATACGGCGCCCCAGCCTCCGTCGCCAACAACGAAAAGTCCTCACTAGCACTCGGCCTCTCCATATCAACCAGGCCATCCCCAAACCTCGCCCGAAACGTCTCCCGAATCGCCTCCACCGACCGCTCATCATTAACCGTCGCCGGACAAGACGACGTAAGCCTCACAGAAGGCTTCTCAACCGCCCCACCAGCCAAACACTCCGCCTCCACAATACGATGAATAGCAGCATGCACACGCCTCCTCACCTCGCCATCAAAAGTCCGCACACTAAACTCCAAATCCAAATGATCCGGAATCACATTCGACGAATTCCCCGCATGAATACTCCCACAACTAACAACAGCCAACTCCCCCGGCCTCACCTCCCTCGACACAATAGTCTGCAGCTTAACCACAATCGACGCCCCAATCACAATCGGATCGATCGTCGTCTGCGGCGCAGACCCGTGCCCTCCCCGCCCGAAGATCCGCACCTCAAATGCATCAGCAGCCGTAAGCAGCCTGCCCGCCCGCACATTCACGCTCCCGGCCCGCATCCGCATGACGTGCTGCGCAAGCACAAGGTCCGGCAAGGGCACCTTCGCGTATAGCCCGTCGTCGAGCATGGCGCGCGCGCCGTCCAGCGCCTCCTCCGCTGGCTGGAAGAGGCTGATTAGGGTCCCGCGCCAGTGGGCGCGCGCGGCATGCAGGAGCGTCGAGGCGCCCATCAGGCTTGTGACGTGGGTGTCGTGGCCGCAGGCGTGCATGACTGGTTTGCTGTTGCCTTGGTCGTCTTTGGCTGTGCGGGTGCTTGCGTAGGGCAGGCCGGTCTTCTCTTCCAGTGGGAGGGCGTCCATGTCTGCGCGGAGGAGGATGGTGGGGCCATCGCCGTTGCGGAGGACGCCGGCGACGCCGTGGCCGCCTATTTTAGAGTGGACTTCGAAGCCGAGGGTTTGGAGGTGGTCGGAGGCGATTTTTGCCGTTTGCTCTTCTTGGCCTGAGAGTTCGGGGTTCTGGTGGATGTGCCGGTAGATTTCTTCGTAGGGTTTCAGGTCTGGTCGGTATTTGTCTAGGAGGTCGCTTAAGTGGCTGTTGTCTTTGTCGACGGTGTCTGTGTGTATGTAGGTACAGTCAGTATAAGCGCTAGATGAAACAAACGATGGATCGACTGGTGACCAGGAGTATCCGTCTTCAAATGTTTGTGGGGACCTGAGATATATTTACCCAGCAAGGTGAGTTTCATGTTCATGACGGGCGAATTTTGGTTGAATAGTGCAATTATTCGTTGGAAACGGGGGGACTAAGACTCCTTTAACTGTTTGCCGAGCGGGTATAGATTGTAGAGGCTAGCGGGACGCAGTCCTTTGCTCAGATCTGGAATCGACATATTTATGCTCGATGTTCTCTTCATAAGCGCTAAACTTTGTTCACAACGCGTAATAGGGACGTGATAAGTGGACTAGAGTCCACCGTGCTCCAATGACAATAGAGGGAAATTATCAGGCTACACTAGTCCGTCGAGGCTTTTATTTCCGAGTCGGCTTCGCCGTGAAATGGATTATCTAGATCGATGCTGATCTCGAAAAATGCGAAATGGGCGAGGTTGATCTTGGAATTCCCGAATTCCCCACTTTCCCCATGCACGAAATATTTCCCGGTTAGTGCTGATTGGCTGCTGCTTTTACGTAGTAAGTAGAGCTCTACACATGCACTCACAATATTTGAATCGCTCAGTGCTTGTTGCAAGGAACGGAAATCTAGTATGTGCTCAGTATTCCACTTCGAAGGGAGACGCCAATACTATCATTAATTGGGTGCCCTCCTTTGTTAGTAGTAGCTTTCTTCCTCTTCAAATGTTCCTCCCTCCTCTTGCTTTCTTTACTCAATCATTTTCTACCTGTCCCTCCTCTCCCCTCTCTCTATAAATCGCCTCTCACCGCATTCTTCTCTACAGTCCGCTTGCTATCGAGCTTGCATGACAGCAGAGTCTCTGCTTACCAGACGATATTCCAACAGGGGAGCGACTTTCCTCTTTTCAAAGCGACACATCACTGGGAAACCGTCCAAAGGGGCATTTCTGCCGAAAATCGACATCGAAGAAACTACAAAATTGGTTCATTCAATTAAAGAAAGCTTATCCATCCATGTGCGGCTACTGTGACGAACAGCTCGAGAGCTCGCAAGCATGGAAAGGCCTAATTGGTCCGAGAGCATCTGACAAGGGTCAAGTTGGTGGAAGACCTAACGTTGCACGAAAGCGGGAGTTGTTGAGCGAATGGGAATAGCAGGACACGCACCCCGGGCCGATCGACAAAGGAATGTATATCCGAAGGGCAGGGTTGTCCGCGACTCTGCGAGCAAGACTTGCGATGGCCGGCGTTGGGCGTGAATTGGATAAGGATAATTCGCGTCAGCAACAAATGGCTTCTGGGGCACACTAACCACACGACACAATACAAAGGATAGCCAATGCGTCGAGAACAAAGTGGAACCAGCCTTGAAGAATCACAATTCCATCGGATCGATCGCTCTGCCAGAGGGTACCACGATGGGGAAGATCCATGCATCGTGGAGGATATTTCTCTGCTGATCGGCATTGTTAGGGACCGTGTCAGCTGACCCAACCTAAGTAAATTCTTTACCAGATACTCATTACGAATACCATGCAGTCTTATCACATGTACCATCGATCCATACCAGGTATAACCGGGAAGGAAAGGCGGAAGCCAAATCCTCGAAGCATAGCATTATGCACAGCTGGGCACCTGGGCGTTCAAAGCCTTGGAAGAGTTCAAATTATGGAAGAGAAATGAAGAGTTGCTAGCTTTGAAATCCGAAAAAAAATATTGAATCGGTCAAGCTTGCCAGGATCGTCATTTTCCATGTCCGCGTGCCTGGTATACATGACCTCGCGGGGACCCGATTCACCCTACAACCCGCCAAGCTTTCTAGGGTTCAAAGATGAGACCCTCAATGATGTTGACTCAGGTGGCAAATATCACTCCAAGACAAGAGACTGATGCCTATTCTGATTCTAAAAGATAGACTTCAGCTGACGATCAGAATTTTCAACTCCGATCGCGAACAACGTTTTCTGCCTTGCGCTTGGACCAAGTATATCAGCCACAAACTAGAAAAAAAAGGGTCTATTCACCACACACCAAGCCATTCTACAGGCTACACTGCAGATGCTTGACTGGGGTCAAACTCAGTTTTGTCCTTTCCGTCTGACATTGATTTTTCTTTGTTGCCAATGGTGTCACGGGTTCATGTAGCAGTTCTCAGATCTCTCCTACGGGCCGGTCCCCACTAGTGGAGCCCACGATATGCCTCAGCCACTCACGGCCTGCGATCCACACGAGAAAAAAAAATTCAACAACCAGCAAAAAGAGAAGGCCAGATTGTCTGGATTAGAACCGAACGCGGGGGTCGAACCCGCAACCTTGAGATTAAGAGTCTCACGCTCTACCGATTGAGCTAGCCCGGCTGGGCTTGGAGAAGGGCTGGGAGGATGGCTCTATGAAGTGCTGGGTAGATACCAGATATGAAAGATACAAAATGAGCAAAAAGAGAATCCAGATTTCTCTGATTTGAACCGAACGCGGGGGTCGAACCCGCAACCTTGAGATTAAGAGTCTCACGCTCTACCGATTGAGCTAGCCCGGCTGGGCTTGTAGACGGGCTGGAGAGATGGCGTTTTGAAGCCCACGAGGGTACCGGATAGGAAAGAGGCAAAAAGAGAAGGTCAGATTACTCTGGATTTGAACCGAACGCGGGGGTCGAACCCGCAACCTTGAGATTAAGAGTCTCACGCTCTACCGATTGAGCTAGCCCGGCCGGGCTTGAAGACGGGCTCGAAAGATGGCTTCATGAAGCCTGGCAATGTATCAAATGGGACAAGAAGCAAAAAAGGAATCCAGATGTCTGAATTCATGGTTAGAACCGAACGCGGGGGTCGAACCCGCAACCTTGAGATTAAGAGTCTCACGCTCTACCGATTGAGCTAGCCCGGCGGGCTTGTTGAAGACGCAGGCCAAAAAATGACTCAGATTGGACATCGGGATCGGTATTCCTGGTCCAAGAGTGAGTATCTAGTCCGGTCGGGGGCCGCCCGGCGACAGACCGCGAATGGCAGCTCGGAGCAGAATGGACAGGAACACCCGGGTTCATCGCGCAAGACATTTCGTATTGACTTATACGATCGGCACCGATTGTCCAGTAGCGTCGCGGGCGGTGATTTTAGAGTTCGGGTGTGGTGTTGACACTGTTGAGGGTTTGACCCGGGTGATGTTGGGTTCAAGTCAGAAATATAGATTGGCGGATGCCTCGTAGGCAACCAAGGACATGGATGGCCAGAAGAGCCAGAAGAGCCAGGAAGCGATGTCGTCGGTGTTTAGTCGCTTCGACATGACCTGCAGCCATGCTCGTCATTATTTTCATGCAACTCTACCGACACACTCGCATTTGTGGCGGTGTATTCAGGAACAAGGGCCAGGTGTCAGCATGGGAGCGATACGAGCTCCGACGTGGGTGGCTGGTGTGACGAATCACGACAAAGCGTCAGTGGCATATCGTGATTGAGGCTGTGTGTACTTGGCTTGTAATGGCCTCATCAGCCTCTTTGTGGCTCAAGGTCATGGAGGGGAAAAAAGAGGATTGTTTTGTGTTTGTGATCTTTGGGGTCCGCAACATTGTTCCCCCCCTTTTCCCTTCCCGACTGGCCTATTCTTAGCGGGAAGGGCTAATAATAATGATCGTAGTTTTGAAAGCCCCCAGCACTTTTGTATCACCATAAATGGAAATTACCAGAAAAGGAATGCGATCTATAATGGGAAATTTCAGATGAAACTTGACAATGGTTTTGGTTCGCTGTTGGTGTTCAAGGGGTGTCTCAGGAGACGCTTGTCTGGGGCAAGCGGTAGCAGAGCAAATGATGTCAACGGTGAATGAAAGCTAGAGCCTCAGGTCCATGACGATGTGGATCATGAATGGTGATGGATGCAAGTTGAGACAGATTGCAGTAATTTTTTTTCCGATTTAATCGGCAATCCTGGTGACTCGGGGCATTTTCGCAAGTGACTTAATGCACGAGACGCCCCCTTGGCGGGCGCAGGAACACGAGAGAGGCTCAAGCCACTGAAGAGGAAACCTTTCTCAATGGAGTAAGGTAAGAAGAGCGATCAAGGATCATCAAATGAGGAACGAAGTCAAAAACGAAAAACGAAAAACAATAAAAATAGAAAAGTCGAGAAATCGAAAAATAGCAGTGTTTGAGGTTCCGTTGAAAGAGGAAGATGCAAGTTCGGAGTCTACATTCAGTAAGTAAAAGGTGGCATTCACACCATCTTTAGACCCCGCGCATTTGGAAATCCACCTGCGCATGAATTGACCTTGATCTCGGCCAATCAAAGTAGACTTGTTCATTGACTGAGCCACATGCTAGCGCCCATGTACAAAGATAGTACGAGTACATTGGTTTTGTAGTGTAGATTGGTGGGGCCAGCGGGTCCCTCTGGTTATGACTATACTTGCACCTGGATTTTAACCTTGCAGGTTGATCCTTGACCCCAGGCTACAATCACTCGATTCCGCCTTGTGAATCAGTCAGAAAAAAAAAACTATATAACTTTCCCTCCACCCCCACCTTATACTTATTTCTTTCCCATCGTTATTTGTATCCAAAGTTCCAGACTTCCAAAGCTGTTTATCATACATCATACACCATCTGCCATCTGACACTTGATCATACTTCCAACACATTATCTATATTATCTAACACGGTCTTCAAAAACCGTCTCTACGCGTGACCCCAGGAAATCCATCATCGTGTCTCCCTCACGCTCAACTACATACATGGTCGACCCAAACACTTTCCTCACTACAGAAAGACCATCGCGATCACCATCGCGCCGCCAAAGCATCCACCGCTCCATAACAATGCCTACCACCGTGAGTTTCGAGCCCATCGTCGTGCGTAACCTGCACGACGATGAGAACCTTGTCCTGGGCGACTTCGAAAGCCACGTTGCCCGCTGCAACCACTGTGCCTTGGCCATCGAAACCAGCGAGAACTACCACTGCGAGCGTGGCTATCTCCTCGCCCTCGACGTCACCAAGTACCTGTATACCGAAGGTGGAAAGACATTCGCAGCTGTGGACAGAGATAATGGCAAGCCGCGCCGAGTCAAGCTGCCCCGAGACTCGAGTGCCACTCGCAGCCTCCTGGTTTCCATCGAGAAGGGAGTTCGACTACAGTCTCCTCGTCGGGGCCGCGCTCCTGCTGTCCAACGCCTCAGCCCTGTGATCTCCCACACCCGGCCCATGCCCGTCATCGAACAGTCTTTGCCTCGCGCCCTCACACCAGAGCCCCAGAGCCCACCGCTTCAGATCATTGAGCGCTCGCCATCCATTACCAAGCGCCATGTTATCGTTTACCCTCGCTCTTCTCGCCAATCTTCTCGCTCTTCCAACGCTTCCAGCCGCAGCTCGTCTAACCGGGGCTCGCTGTACATCCCCGACCACCTGGACCGTGAAGACCGCCGCTATGAAACCCGCGGCCACCGATACCACCGTTGAACACATTGCCCTCAAAGACAACAAGTTACAAAAAAATAACAACAACAACAACAACAACAATTACCCCCATTTTGATTATGATGTTGATCATTTGTCACCGTTGACGGTCCACACTCATTACCATTCATCACTCTACTACACGAGTATGAATGGCCCAGACTAGTCAGTCCAAGAGCTAGTCATTCGCAACAGAAGGGGAAACAGTGGCTTGCCTGGAGCGCCCACCCCAACTGAAATCTGTTCAATTCGGTCATTGAACTCGACATTGGAAGCGGAATCCCAGATCGGAAACGATCTTGTGTCCATTGACGTGCCCCACGCATCCTTTGACGGGTCCTATACTTCGGTTTTGCGGTCTAGGCCATTACTGGCGAATGCGACCCCTCTTTTAGTTCCGACTGTGTGGCGGCCGGCCAATAAGAGGGGCGCAGAGTTGCCTGATTTATGCATGCCTAGAATTTTGATGCATGTTTTTACTGGTTGCTCATATGTACTGTGTGACTCACTTGTGGACTATGCATAGTTCTACGCAAGATGAACTTGCTTTGAAGGAGATTGGAAAGGTGGCTCTCCTGTGGATGTTTTTTTCCCTTTGTTTCTTCATTTACTATGATGTTTGATGATAGTTATGATTTGTGCTTTGCTTATGAAGATTGAGGAATACGTCATGAAATGAGAAACTACTTACGCCACTGTGAAATCCAATCCATATTCCTCTTTTGAAATAAGAACTTGAAAGTATTTAATTTTAAGAATTGAGGCTGTTGGGAATCGGCCGCTAGGCCAAGTTGGAAACCCGATCTCCAAGGTTTTTGCCACCAGGTCACAGGTGTGAATTTCCCACCTGTTTGACTCACTGCGGGGTTGTGGGCCTGGACAGTGGAGGCTGATTTCGCGTGGGGCAAGGCACCCTTGTCCACCTGGCTATTATTCCATACCCCACCAGCACCTCGAAACACCTCTTTTGATGTTCTTTTAAGACCTTTTCTTCCAAATATGACGGACAGGATTCAAGTATGACGTGAATGCAGGTGGAGTAGAGTTAAGATCGGTTCAATAACGAAGGTGCCGAATACCTACTTGTTAAATGGCCTAGAGTGAATCATGCTCCGCCTCAGTCATGAGATATGGACTTGTGGGATCAATTGTCTTGCGAACGATTTGTGGAGGCCACGTCTTCTGCTGATCCGCGCTTCTTCGCGTCTAGGGGCGGTAACAAGTTAAAGCTGCATAATAAATCACTCGAGACCGTCATAATCCCGCCCCAGTTGTCGAATTCGCCACAATACTAGAAATAGTTAGCTGTGGGTGTCATTATATCACAACAGAATGAAACCAGAAATATCAAAACTAGATGGGTACTTACATTCGGGGCAGAGAAGAGTGTCACTAGAATCCGGTCCTGGTAGAACTCGTACCCATCTTCAACCACCATATGAGCCCGGCAAACAAGGTCAAGGTCATGGCGCTGGAGAAAATCTGTAATCACCCTCTTCCCAAAGCAATAACTCACGCCCCGCTCATTGGGCTCCCAGTCCTCCTCCATGTCCGCGGGATCACTCCAAAGGAGATCATTCAGGAGACCGTAATCCGGCACATCAGTCGGACGAGCGATGTTTCGAATATCATCAAAGTGCGCCAAGGCAGGCGAGAGCCCGCCATGAACGCAGAAAATCTTCTTAGCAATTATCGCGGCGATGGGCATGCAGTTGAAGACATCGATAAAAGTCTTCCACGTTTTGATGGTTGTTCGCCGTTTGCACTCGTCGTAGAACCCGTATACCCGAGTCACGTTGGCGCATTCGTGGTTGCCCCGTAGAAGGAAGAATGTTTGGGGATATCTCAGCTTGTAGCATAGTAGCAGGAGGATGGTTTCCAGACTCTGTTTGCCTCGGTCCACGTAGTCGCCCAGGAAAAGGTAGTTGGTTGTGGATGGATAGCCGCAGAGATTGAACACGCGGATCAGGTCAGTGTACTGGCCGTGGATGTCTCCTACTACCTTTACAGGGGCGTTCAGCTCTAGGAACACGGGCTGTGAGAGGAACAGCTCGCGAGAGGCATCGCATATCATATTGATCTCTGCGGTCTTCAGGCAAACACGCTTCGGGACACTGGAAAGACCAAGCAGGCGTGAGAATCTGCCTCCCGAGGTCCGGACCGTAATGAGCAGGCGTGAGATCATATCATCCAGAATTGAGTCATTGACAACAGGCTTGCTTTCCAAGCGACCTGAAGGGGATTGGTCAAGTGATTCTGCCATGTTTTCTGGCCGGAAGTTAAGAATCGGTCCTATTGGTGTGTTTTCAACAAGAATAGGCTCGAGAGGCCGAGCTGACCCCCGTATACTAGATTCTGGCTGCGGCCAGGACCTAGGGGATTCAGAGGCACCGCTGAGCTCCCTAGAGCCCTGTTTAAAGAAAGCCTTCAACTGGGACATAGATGCCTCGTTTCCTTTTGGTACTTCCGTCGTAGGCAGCGGTGAACTAGATGAGCCACGCGAATCCTCCTCAAGAACAGAGTCTAGTACTGAGGGCTCCAAAGACTTTTCACTACTTGATCTAAGATGCTCCCGAGTGTCGCTGCTTTCTTGATGGGTCATGGGTATATGAGAATCAACCTGAACAGGGTCCAGAAGACGAGGATAATTCGTTTGTGCCAACAGTTGTTGGGGTGTTTCTTTCGTCGGAACGATTTTTTTGTCATCTTCGATATCACGCACTCGAGTACTATATCCAGAAATATCTGCATGATCCATTCCAATCTTCGTATCGGTCTGTGCCAAGGATTTTTGAGGTGTTTCTTTCGTCAGAACGGATTTTTTAAAAATGTCGTCTTGGTTAGCACGAGTTTTATACCCAAGATAGTCGTCTATATCATTGATTCTGCCCATTCTCGAAGCTTTTCTTGGGACGCAAACTGGCTGCTGCTGCTTGTGAGATAAATCTTGAAGTACTGGGTCATCAAAATTCTTATCTGCTTCCGGATCGACAGTCGCAAATCCCCACTCAAAGTCTCGGCACTCCCATATGGGAATATAAACACCAGAGGGAGGAATGTCAACAAAGTTGCCCCATTCTTCTATCGGACTGGAGCCCTCGAGGCTGGGTAACGATCTCTTGTTGTATGTTTTTGAGAGGCCATCTTCGCCCTTTGAAAAATTGTTGCGCAGTTCTTCCTCTGGGGCATTGATTTCTATGCCGAGAAACTCTCTGGCTGAGATGGATCCAGTATCTTCAAAGTTCAAAATTGTGGTTCTATCCGGATCGTTGTCTATGGTGCTCCTCTTGTAAGTTTTTGCCGCAGGTGAACTAGCACTCCCAACATCCGATGCCTCCGAAACTTCGTCATGATAAGGCGGGAAAGACTTAAGAGCAAGAAATCTCAAGTGCCCAACAATATGTTCTGTAATTGTACCTCCCTGCGGAGTGTCGTCGAAGCCACAAAGTGGACATGACTCAAACAATGGCTCGACCGCTCGGGCATTCCTGTCAGCTAGCACACGCAGCTGGGCTTCACTGAATGACCCTTGGTGAGCCTGTTGCATATGGTCTATGTAGCCATTTCGTGTCTGAAAAATCAACAATCCGTGTGATTTCGAGTTGCAGCGCCACCGCAATGCATGGCCTTGCATATGTTTCAGCCATTGTTCATTGTGACCGTATAGTTGATTCGGGGTTTCGCATTCGTCAAAAAGACAAACGTACGCATCCAAATCATTTTTTATATGAGCCCTGGGTTTTCAGTTAGATTCAATTTGATTTCAAATATTGAAAAATACCGTAGAGAATCGCTGGTGGTATGTACTTCCACTTTGCTTCATTCTGTGCCTCTCGTGCCGGAATGGCGTAAAAGCAAAATGGGCATGTTATTTCTCCAATCGCGTCGATACAGATGTCCCAATACGTTTCCAAGTCTTGCTTAAGATCTGCCTTTGCATTATTTCTCAACGTATTGATGGTTGATGGTGACTCGGTGACAGCTTTTTCGAACAAGGACTGGAGGAATAGCCTATATTCCTCCTCTCGTCCCCTTTTCATTCTTCTATGCTTTTTTCTCACACGACCGAGAGGTGCTGGTGGGAATGGTAATGCTTCATGGCTATCCAGGGCTACAGTCTTAGCAGCAGAGAATGTAGAAGGAGCTGATGCTTTCTTGAAATCTTCAGCGGCTAGAGTTGTTGCGGTGAATCCAGCCTGTGATTTTACAGGCAAATCATCAGCTACCGGTGGCGATGCCGACGGGATCTCAGGACTGCTGACAGCTGCCTTTTGTTGAGAATTCATCGGCAGCGCTGTCAACTCCGGTCGCGTTTTTGTTGGTAATACTTTCAATGCTTTATGACCAAAACGAGCTCTCTTGTAGAGAATCCGCTTTCGGCGAAGTATCATAGCCGAGACCAATCGTTGCAAGAGGTTATTATCAACGCTGCGGAATTTATCGCGGATATAATTCGTAAACACGAGCTCCAAGCACGGCTCCACGTCGTTCTTTTCCTCGTCACGAATTGTAAATAAAGTGGAAATCTTTTCATTCTGAGCCACGGTGCTCGCTCTTCGAATTGTGTTCGACAGTCGATGTAGGAGTGCTATTTGATTGGAAACTGCGCGCCTCGAGGGGGCTATCGACTCGGGTTCGGATCTAGGACCGGTTTCCAATACCCGAGGTCTTAGCATAGACTCCAAGAAATGGGACCCTACCATATCATTCAGTCTTTTTAATGTATCTTATCGCTTCATGATATCTGAATCACTCACAGCTTTCGACTTGGTCATCCAGCGTTTCCAAAAGCCCGATAATGACTTCATGTACCTCTTGTGCTTCTCTTAGGCGGTGATCCAATGAGGCGCGCCCTCCAAAGAAAACACCAATGCTGGCAGTCCAAAGAGAAAATCTTCCAAGTTGGTCTTCTACCAAGGCCATCTCCTGGGATGAAATCGATGCCGACTGCTCCAGGCATTTCTGGAAACGAGCCAAGCACCGGCCCGCTGCTTCTGCAATTGTCGGGGTGATGTCCAGCTTTGCTGCCATTTTGATCAACCAGGATCGCTCTGAAAAGCAAATTCAGCATGGATGGAAGAATAATTTAGTGGGGAGATGATGCCGCTTATGCGAGCAGCGAGGCTGAGGAGGGGAAGGCCCGGGCCGCTTGACCAAAACTGGCCTGGTGGCTTGGTATTGATTCTCGAACCCCAAGAGACACCGATAAGACAACACCCACAGTCTCTCTCTCTTTACCACTTTATCATCCCTGGGAATAAAAGCCACTGATTCATCCAAGGGAGAACCATGGCAGTTGTTAGAAATGTGGGGTTGTTGCTCCAGGTGTCGGAGATGTTCCGTCAGATTGCAAAACACCTCCGCAGTCATGGTGGTACAGGCGATTCCAAGCATTTTTACAGCAGCGTAATGGCCCATTGCCTAATGATTCACGACCACATTAGCCGCATCAAAACTCTCATAGCGGATGACAACAAGTTGATTACGAACATTTTGCTTCGATTTGAGGCGACAGTCGCCCCTGATATTCTGGAAACACGATCTGTGCTTCCAATCTCTGCTTACCCCCGGCTTGCAACTCTAAACGACGCGTGGGCTGATTGTCGAACTGAGAGCGGCGCGATTAATTTGGCGCTAATAATACGGTTTATTGACTTTAGAGAGGATCCCGAGCAACCGGAGAAGTTGATTGAATTTTTTGAAAACTGGGAAGATGGCTTCAGGAATCAATATCCCGACGACCCAGCACTGTGGGCTCGGGGTGATATGGAACGACCGAAGAAGAACCGAGGACAGCCTTCATACGCGATATTGAATGCCTCTCAATCACTCTTCCAAGCCCTAGTAGAGTCGAAGGATTGTACATGCCAGCCTGTGCATGACTTTAATGTTCGACTCTGTCTGGGTACATTCCAAAATACTCGAGAAACTGAGAAGGAGCGAGATCACAACTGTGGATTTGAGATGTTTCTATCTATGCAACAAAAATGGCACGAGGCAGATGTGTGTTTCGCCAAAAGCGCCGGAATCAATTTTGGGCAAGCAGAAAAGCCAGCGTCAAGTCCGAAGATCCCTGCTATGAAGATCAAAAATCTATGTGAACCTATCAGAAGAAGAAATCCCTTTGATCGCCTCAAGTTGCGAGTCGGAGAAGATGGAAGACTTTGGAAGCTGCGATCTGAAAGGTGTTGCTTCGCAGTGGATGAGACAAAAGCGCCGGTATCATTGCAGCACTTGATTCAGGGCCAGTATAGGTCGCTGACAGATAAAACAAAACGTATTCTGGCTGTGATGCTTGGGTATGCTGTTCTTTATCTCCACGAGACTCCCTGGCTTGCACCCTCCTGGGGCCCTTCGAGTATTTTGTTCTTTCACACCACTTCTTCAGCTATTCCTCTCAAACCCTTTATCCAAACTCAGCTAGCGAAGGATCTTTCGTCTAGTTCTCAGGAGAATGTCGTCCTAGACCCGGATGACTTTGATCCGGATGATCTAGACCCTGATGATATTATGATGCACCAGTGCCCACATCTAGTGACGCTGGGTATTGTCTTAATGGAGTTATATCTCGCAACACCATTCGAAGACTTAGCTAAGAAGTACGATGTGCCCCTGGACGATCGGACGAGATCTATCGATGCAGACCTGGTGTTTGAAAAGTGCAAAAATGAGATCCCGGAGAATTCACAGTTTCACTACGCTGTGAAAAAATGCCTCGACCCGAAAATTTGGGAGGATAACAATGGATGTCGGCTGGGTGATGATATATTGAAGGCGACTATATACCAAGAGATTGTCAGCCCTCTGGAAGATGAATTGAGCCAGGCGTTTAGCTATATCTCACTTGATCATCTCGATCGCATTGCACAAACTCTAGATCTTGCCAGTTGGGGGCAGGCCTTTCAGAGTTATCAGGCCTCTTCTCATACTGCTGAAATTCCCGTCAAAATACCGTTACGGCCGTCACACGGGGTCTTATCGATGCAAGATCTGAAGAATCAGCAGAAACCTTTGACTTTTTTTCAGGGGGCCTTCATATCTCCAGTGATGCCCAATTTTCAGCCCATGTATTCTATGATGTCCATGCCCCAACCGGAGAATTCGGTCCAGTCTCATTACCCAATGATGAAATTTTTTGATGATGAGACAATCGCCGAAGAGCATTCCGCAGAAGCGTAAGTCTTGCATTGACCTGTTTCCTGCTGCTTATTCAACTAATAGCCGATATGAACAAACTAGTAGGATCCAATATCACAACTGGCGCCAAAGATTCAAAAGTGTATACCAAAAGTATATCTCACGGACACCAGCGATACCGGTTAGAATCGCCATTTTCGATACGGGAGTGGATCAAACACACCCAGACGTGGATGCATGCGTTGAGCAGATTAAGGGTCGATACAATTGGACAAATGAGAAATTTCCCCAGCTGGTTGACGACTACGATGGACACGGAACTTTTACGACCAGCTTACTACTAGAATTTTGCCCTGATGCAGAGATCTATATTGCCAAAATCTCTGACGGAAAGCCAGTCAGCCCCAGTATTATCGCCAAGGTCAGATCGGACACTTTGCTTTGATGAGACATTACTGACGTGCACAGGCCCTCGACCACGCAGTCAAGGAATGGAAAATCGACATTATATCTATGTCTTTTGGTTTTCACTCACGAGATATCGAAGGCTACGATGAGTTAGAGCGTGCAATTCACAACGCATACTCCGCTCGTGTCCTTGTCTTTGCTGCCGCTTCGAATAGCGGCGCCAACTTGGACAGGGCCTACCCGGCCCGCGATGAAAATGTGATTTGCATTAACTCGACCGATGCTAACGGAAACCGATCATCTTTTAGCCCTACTGCTCTTGCAGACGCACTGAATTTGGCGACAGTAGGAGAAGCCGTGGAATCTGCATGGCCCATGCGTCTCTGCGATCCCCTGTCCGATACCCATACCAAACATAAATCGGGGACATCCTATGCCACCCCCATCGCAGCTACCATTGCGGGCTTTCTGCTGCAGTACACCAGGCTACATATTCCAGAGCATGCGCATCAATTGAACACACAGTCGAAAATGAAGGCCGTTCTGCGAAAAATCGCGGAGAAGAGCCTTGACTCGCGAACTCGCGATGACTACCATTTTATCGCTTTGAGTCTATTTCCTGATAATCTATTTGGAAAGGACCCGGAATTCATAAACTATACACTGCGCGATATACTCAACCGATAGCCATTGGAGACTATGCTGCACTGTCTGACGGAGGGACACCGATCGTAATCAGGTCGTCCCCTTCCGTCACTTGCAACTCTGTCCACCCGCCATCACTACCACCCACGACTACGAGCTCTTCATCCTCAAGAACTACAATCGCTTGGGGCTCTTCCAGCACCACAGGTTCGTTTCCGAGCATAGCGCCCTTCCTATAGTCCGCTGCTTCGCGCACCTCGTTCGTCTTCCGCGCCACTTTGACTTTCTTGACCCGGAATGCTAGAACAAAATCCCCACCATCTTCCCAATCAACACCAGACTTTTTGGATTGTTTGAGATCCACCTTCGGCCCTCCCGACACAGGAACCATGCCACCACTCCACACCGTCCCATCCACAGTGGCTTCAAGGTTGCCGTTGACCTCACGCCCGACTTGCGACCGGCCCTTCTTCGCCCCGTGAACAATTTTCAACCCCACGATCACGTACAAAGGTTTTCTGTATCGCGATCGGTCCAGCCACCGGCGCACTGCCGGAGACGCATCGACGATTTTCTCCTGTATGTAGACGGGCCGGGGCACGAACTGCGTGGTGGTGATGCTCTCGAAGCTCAAGGTCTCCTCGTGACTGCCGCGAGTCAGAACCTTCTCTCCCTACATGTAAATTCCAGACTGTATATTTATGAATCAAGGAATCACACCTTCTTTCCCACCCTCCCTCAAGATCAATCCCCAACCCCAAGAAAGAGAGGAACTGAGTCAGGATCCCGAATTTTCCCTCTCGTGTTTTCTCGCGTGAGAAGGTGACATTTTTTTTATCGGTGGAAAAAATCTCGGATTCGGTGGGCAAGGGTGCAGTGAAGAGGGGTTGCTCGGGTTTCTGTAGCGAAGTGATCACATTTCCCAGTTGAATGGGCCCGGTGGGCGGCGGCGGGTAGTCCCATGTGGGAGCGAAGAAAAAGCATGGGGTTTGATTAGCCATCGCAACTGAATTGATGATTTTTTCCCCGGTCTCCTAGTCTTTCGGCGCTTCAAAGACGCCTCCTAGAGTGGGACAAATATGTGGCCGCCAACATCATGAGGGGTACTATTGGTAGGTGCAAAGTGTTGCTGACAGTCTAAATGCGGGGTTCTCGCGCGTCTCCCTATCGTGAGGCCTTGATGTACTTACACTCACATGATTATTTACGGAATTGTTGTATCGCTCAAAATCCACCATCAGGATATTACATTCGACAATGCAGTCGCCCGTCCTCGCTGCTATTTTCAAAATGTTTCCCCTGGGAGCGAATTGAAGCATTTGGCGGAACAACTGAACAAGACTCCTTTATGACCCATTTCCAAGGTCCTACCCATTTATGGCCGTATTGAAGCCATGGTCGATAACCACATGCCAATCCTGACTGTTGTATTTTTTCGGTCCTTTTCCAAGAGTTTTCTCTTATTCTTTCTTCTTCAGCCCACTACTTCCAATCAGACTGGAGAAATCTGAAATGATTCTTAAAACTCAGAGCTGCTAAGGAGTCATTTTAGAAAATTGAATTCTTTTGCTAATGCATTATACAGTATTTCGTGGATCCTACAGCGGTAATTAAGTACTCATCACCCATGGAGCGGAGTGACTAAAATGGCTCCCAAGACTGTAGCCTCGTAAAGTGTCATTACCTACATGTATTTTCTCCTCTCTTATTTTTGGAATAGTCTAGAGAATCTACATCAATCAATAGTAGGACCTGGCCACCTGGCCCCGATCCTTAGAGGTCAAATTGGATATATAGAAGTCTACATATACATACTTTAAATCGTTTGAATGGTTCATCTTATTCCGCGTTCTCTAAACACAGTGGTATGTATTCAATATTCTTTTAAAGGCTACCTTCTAGTATTCAAACTTCAAAGGTTTTAACACTCAGTTACACTCTATAGAAATTTTTTTTTTTTTTTAAAAAAAACCCAATATTGTCATTACTCCAGACTCTACGAGTGTTCCTTGTGTGCTACAGGCCTAGAATATCCCATTCGTCCTTTCATACAGTTGCAATCAATTCGTGAAGTTTTACGTTCGCTCTATCTGACGGTGTCAGCCACAATGCTAAGATTTGAAAACGCATACCCGCCATTTTCAATTGCACCCGAAAGGAAGTTTTTAACTGCATCGATTCTATTTGGATGTAATTCTGTTTTATGTTGATTGCAAAATGAATCGAACATTACGAGGGCTGGATGAAGTAGAAGGAAGATAGGGTACCAAAAATTGTGGGATAGAAGGGGTGGATTATGGATATGGCTGGTCTGTAATCAACGCCTGACTGGACGTACTTTTCAGAATGCTTTGAGCTCTTATATAGAGAAAAGATCACGTGATCACGTTGAAACGGATTGGTCAGCAGTCAGAGAGTCAAGAGTGGAGACCTTTTTTATTTGACAATAGTCACACTACGGAACATGGCAGCATGGCTTACGGAACATTATGAGACTCTATCGGCCCTGAATTTACTTAAAGGGCGTTTAGGAATATTTTAATGTTGGAATATAACGTTTTGACTTAAACTCACCATTATCATACCAATAAATGTTTCTGTCATCTGATTAAATTCTTTCTGTACACACCACATTCACCACCCCTTTACCACCAGCTTGCTCTAAAAGCTTGCCCTTGAATAATTTGTTTGAGATACCAGTGGAAGCCCCGACATGATTTTGTTGTTTGCGGTGTGTATTGACTGAGTCGCAGATGCACTTGTGGTCTGGCCCGGGGCGACAGTATATGCCGAAGCTGAAGTAGCGGCTGCGGAATCGACCGATGGATCTCCTTTTTTCCGTAAAGGCTGTGACTAAATTCAGTCATGAGTGGATTGTCTTTGATAATACCTCGCGTAACCGTGATGGAGAAATCTTGAGTACCAGATAATCATATTTGTGCCTCTGCTGGCTGTGAAAACCTGCCAGTGACCCACTTGTGCGCCAGATCCCAAATTTGACCTTGTAGCGTTCACGAATTTGTTCCCAATTCAAGCCCTGTTCCAGTAGGTTTTGAACAAAAGGCACCGCTTGAGTTCTCTCCATCTCGTTTCTCTTGATTTGTCTTGCTCTCGTTGACATAGGAGTGGTTAATCTTCGTGATGTTGAGCCCGAAGAGTTTCTGTCGTGTGAGGACACCGTATTGGAATTCTCAGGTTCCGGGGGAGAGTTTGAGATGATCGGATTGTCATTCGTGATTGGATTTGACATCGGGATATCTTGGCCTTCGTTCTCGACAGGCCCCGGGGTTGATTGACGGCCATAGTCCACATTTATCTCTGGCTGTGGAGTATCCTCTGGACTTGTAGAATAACCAAAGTCACGAAACAACCGTGACCAATGGGGACGAGTAGGTTGGTCGTCTTGCCTGTCTGCAAACAATGGCTTGGATGTTTCTTCCTCGGTCAAGTCAAGCGCTTCGTTCTTAAGGGTCGATCCTTCACCACGCTCTTGAGGAAACCGTGGACTCGATGGTACAGCATTTGCGGGATCAGATTGATGTTCCTGAATTTGTATGTCATGTTCGAGGTCTTTGCAGCTTTCTTTCAAGGCTTTGTTGAACCTGATTAAACCGGCAAAGACATCTGTCATCATCAGTTAAGAAGTCCTTTCCGGTGAAGCACGAGCCGGGATGATTGTTTACCTGTTAGCTGGCGCGCTAGTTGAAGCGAGGACTCCAGCAACGCTTGCCTGAGCTCAAGCTCCTTTTTCTCGTCTCTAATCGTAGGAATACTGGTGATTCCAATAGAGAAAGTACGTAGAAAACTCATTTCTTCCTCTGAGATCTCAACCTGGAAGCCTTTCAACTCTCCTCGGTATACAGAATCCCCACCGTCTCTTCTGCAAGGCTGAATCAAACCAGCCTTCAAACCCTGGATTGCTTTAATCCAATCAGGAAAGGTGGGATGTTGGAGTTCTTCCGTTGGGCCGACTATCCGAGGGCCCTTTCGGTTCAGAGTTGTGCTAATGCATTTATTTGCCAGACTCCCCCAAATATGATGCTTGTTCTCGGGACTTTGAAGGGCAAGGCTTTTCTGGCCTTGTACAACATCTTGAAAATCCCCTAGGTAGTTCGTAAAAACGTCTAAAGATTCCTTCACAGTCTCGAAATCTCGAAGTTTGTCTGAACGAGCAGTCACCCAGTCCCAGTCTTGCACCTTGGAGATTTGGTATGGAGTCTGAGAGGCTAAGCTATCAGTTGGAGAGTCCAAATCCATTCTCACAGGAAGATCCGACATATGGTAGACACCAAATGGATCGCTTAGGGTAATTGATTGGGAAAAAGTGCAAGGTGTCTCCGCACGAAAGGTTGAAGGAAGGAAATATCAATAGCAATATCCAAGGAGAAATTATAACAGCGAGCGAGAACCAAACATTGAAGATAAACCACCCAAGTCATCTGAAAACTGGCAACTAGGTACTACACCATTCAAATTTTCATTACGTATCTCCCCCTTTTCCTTTCTTTTGTTGAGAACGGAGTAGTAGGCTTGGACCAGGAACAAAAGTACCATAAAAACGGCCCCCTTCCTCCCATCTTTCCTCCCATCCTCCCTCACTGGTATTAGTGTCATGTAGGCAACCCTGGTCTCATCACACCGCCGCCCGGGTATCTTCTGAGACCGTGGGTGTTAACACGGCAACTGCCCCGTACACACAGATGATACAGAAAATTCTTCCATACCGTAATGAATGATATTAAATTCAATGGTTCCAGGGCCCATTCATTGGTCACGACCGAAAGGCCTAGCCATCTGACTATTTCAAACCAGGCTGACTAGCTTTGCAAGCGTGCGTGCTCGGTTAACTACTCCAACGCATCTATCAAGCCTCAGATGTGAATCTGATACGTCGATTCAGCTACGTAGCCCCGAGCTTGCCGGCGGGAATTATGTATAGCGGCTAGCCCGCGAGTGGATTCTTTGTTCTTTGTTGACGCACCACGTGCATCCATGGATAGTTTCAGACTTGCTTTCTTGTTTGCCTGTTAATTTAGAATCCGTCACAGTCGGAAGAAACCCCCGAGAACCGCAAAAAATAAAGAGAAAAAGGTGAAGAATTGTTTGGACAGGGGGCTCCAAGGCCAAGGACCAAGGGGGACTGGCACGGAAATCATAATAAGAAATTCCGCCACGCGGCGCCGCTAGTATACCTAAAACGGCCCCCATTGATCTTGAAGATCATTTCCCTGTATATATTTGAAATTTTAAGAATCAGATGCCCTCTTTCCATGACTACTATCAATTAAATTCAATCTGCCGGCACGGAGTGGAGATTCCAATTTTGGAATATGTATTTTAAAGAAAAGCAGGGCTGAGAGGGTCCGAGTTCCTTTGAAGACCGGCATACCAAAACAGTCTTAGTGAGATGCGAATTGTCCGAGCGATCTTAGTATATAAGAAGGATTTCCGCGTAATCTCACGCGAACTAGTGAAATGAAGTACACGAGAGAGACCAAAGTCCTGTAAGTGGGTTCCACTGGTCTTCTCAAGCGGCTCTGGACCCAGCTGATGTGGAGTATCTAGGTTCCCCAACCTAACCCAAATTACATGAAATTCGCCCGGGGTAGCAGATCCCTGGACGGTCCTGGAAAGGTCCATCCAAGCTCTATTTTCCGTTTATGATAGTGGCGTTGAAATCATATGTGATGACCACACATTAATTTCTTCTTTTCCTCTTGTTTCTAGAATTTTAGGATACCAAACAACCTACTAGACGTGGAAATCCCCGTTTCTCAAAACAATATCAATACTGAGGCATTGATAACACTGAAAATTTATAATATCTTATAGGCTATAAAAAGATTTATTTCCCGCGGGTTTCTTGACTTAAAACTCATCCTTCTTCTTACGACTCTCAAGGACTTCTTTCTTTTCAACAGTGGTTGGCATTATTGCTTTACTTGTTCGATGTTTATGAAGACCGGGAGTAATATGCTGGACTCGAAGTCTGAGGCCTGGGAAACGATGTTATATACCCCGATGGCCGGATATCCTGCGGATATGGGGAAAGAGTATATCGATTCTGTTATGTGAGTGATTAAACACATCTTGGCTTCAATTTGTCTAATTTATAGTAGGGAATCTCAAGGCAACCTCACGTCGTTCCAGCCAACTTGGACCAAATCCGCGAACGGTTCGAACCATGACACCAGCAGTCATGGGCAAAACACAAAGAACGGCGAAGCTTCCTCGAGTGGAAGACTCAATCCCACCACCCGCGCACGCGATCCAAAGCCGAAATCAAGTTTGCCTATCTCGAAGAAAGTGATTTGGAAGTGTGAATGGAATGGAACTTGTCGGGTTATCGCTTCCAGCAAACCTGAACTGAGAATGCATGTGGAGAGTCACTTATCGCCCGATAGTTATTGGAAATGCCCTCATCCCGGATGCACAGTTTCTTATACCCAGGGGAAAAGGAAGAAGGAGCATCTGAAGACACACCCGGAGATATTTGATACTCAAATTGAGTGATAGCCTGCTTCCTGGCCGATGGTCATTGGTGGAATGATAATTAGTATCATTTGGTATGTGACATGTCTTTTTCGGCATCTGCGTTGTAACTTTGTTCGTGTCATTAACATCAAATGTTTTGAATCAGTACATACTGATATGTAGGCAGTATGGGGTCCCAGTCCCCCAAAGCTCTTGTACTTCACCACCTTGGTCTAGGGTTCTATCGCTTTGAGGCTGTTTCCATGTCAATCGAGTGAATCGCAACACTCCATCTTGTCTATTCTGTATGGAAGGTGATCCTGGGGGGTTTTGGAGGCTTGATTTACCAGTCTACACATGTGGTTATGCTATTAAATTTACCACGATCAATTGATCATGCGCATATACATAAACATACATGTACTCATTAGAGGGAACCATTATTCAAATATGCTTAGGAACGAGCAGCAGAAATCAATGCGATCTATCCTCACATGCAGTATCGTATCCATGGATCCATATGCTTTCCGCCAGCGGAGCTATACATAACTTGGGAATCATAGAAATCAATTGACATCAATTGCACATGTGATATATACAGATCAATTATTGATGTGTTGGGGTCACCTCAAGTCCTGGTGGTGCACATACATAGGGTGACAAAACTGTTCAAATGTTTGTACACTTCTATATTTACCCGCAAAAAATAGCAAAACGCACCAACTTTGATATTCCATATCTCTATAAATTTATATGTAGACTTTTTTTCTGATTATACCTAGGTTATATTATATAAATAATTGGTAAATAAGTACTTCCTACAGTTAGAACCTCTGGTATGATTTATCCTGGTAGAGTTGCATGACTTTAAAGTTGAGGATAAGAAAAATTGTTGAAATTTGTTAGCAAACAGGCCGGTACTACTGGCGGAAATAGCGGCCATCCGGAAAATAACATTACCGCCTAACACACCACCCTCTCCAAACGTATAGGTTTTATGATTTTCGAATTATAATCCTTTTGAATGAAGTATAACCCGCTTTTTAGTAAAGTAAATAGACTTCAAGGATTCAATATATAAGGAATTACAAGGATTTAGTGTATAATACAGCATATAGTATAGCATATAATGTAGCACTTTATATAATAGAGTTTAAGAATTCAATATATAAGGAATTAATTACAGCAATCAATTGATTCAACATATCATACAGCATATAATACAGTATACAACATTCACAGTATATATATTATATTATCTACCCTCTACTAAACACAAACCTGTGTTTTTTTGCAGCACCTGATTGGCTGAGAGGCCCAAAGTAGGTCCAAAGAAAATGCCACAGCTAGGGACTCTAATTGACTATGAAGTTTAACCTAAGGTCCTAAGTAACTATTCCAGTAAGCCCGTAAAGGCGGTAGAGAGGGGCAGAAGTTCTCGCACTTCTCACTCGCACCTCTCACTCGCACCTCTCCCTCGCACTTCTCCCTCACACCTCTCACTCATAGGCTATTATAGCTATCCCTCTTAAAGATAGCTACTAAAGATTGTATATCCTATTAATACCTTTTATTAGCAGAATATATCTCCCTCTACTTTAATTACCCTAAAAAGTGTATAATGAATAGAGAAAGCGCATAATTCAAATTTCAAACTACACTAAATCTTATACAAATGCGACCATGGGAAGCGCGATAAAGTATAGAAAACTAAAAGAAGTACTGGCCGAACTCTGAGATTTGATGGGGTAATTTGGTAATTTCAATTTTCAATTTTCAATTCTGCTAATTTGATTATGTCAACTACCCTATTTTCCGGATGGACGCTATTTCCGCCAGTACGCATCCCCATAGTAAAAGTTCAGAAAAATGCCATATCCATTTTCTAGGCCAAACATGTCCACAATACACATGTGCAAGCATTTAAACCGTACTCCTAATTATACAGATCAATTATCAATCGTTTATGCTTGATCACTTTGTCATGTGATCCGTACTCTCACTCCATCTCTTGTAGATAGCTTGTTCTCTTCCTTCTCTTCTTCTTTCTTTCCTTCCTTGCAGCCTCCAATACTACCATATTGTGCTCGGCCTCCTTTCCTTCCTTGTAGACCTTGTGTGTCTCTTCAGTTTATTTAGAGTCAAAGCGGTTTAAAAATCTTCTTTTACATATAAAGTTGTGAGAATAATTGTAACCAAACAGGGCGAGTTTTGCTATTTTTTGCGGGGAAAAATGGAAGTGTACAAACACTTTTGTCACCATATGAAGTCTCGTATGTGGGGGAAATATACATTTTCAACCGCACCAACTTCAAATGTTTGATGATCTGCATCTAATATCTCCTAATCAGGAAGCCTCATAGAAGTATGTATTATAACCTAATTAGGGAATGTTCTAGAAGGAATCGTCGGGGTTCAACCCCCTAATTAGGCCACTTTTCCATCAATAATTATCCTATGCTGGCCCATGCATGTGGGCTTTGCACATCTCTACTTGTATAGTAATAGCTTCCTCCGACTTTCGCTTGCACTGGCTCAGGGTGGCGTCTCGGCATTCCGAGAGAATACCCGAGAAGATGCCAAACATGTAAACCCAGAACTTACTAGGGGAGGTACTAGTGAAAGAAAAAAATGAGTACTTACTCGTGCGAGATATTAGTAGGCGTTGAGCTCTACTTAGTATCGCGAGATCCTTACTTTCGAACCCATCACATGTGAACTGGGGAGGTTTTGCGCAAGTACAGGAGTAAGAAGGGGGGACATTAGAATTTAGGAATGGTATTTGAGAATAAATATGGTATTTCTAGATACTTTCAAAAAGACACAGTGAGCACAAGCTGTATAATGTATTCAATGTTATGTTGACTACTTAATAGTATAGATAAATCAGGCAGATGACTATTCTGTGAAGGGACATTCCCCCACCGGCAAGGTTGCGAAAAACGCTCTGGTGCGATCTCCTGTCTCTTTCAGTAGAGCCAGCTTCTCCTCTGCTTTCAAACCCAAGGACTGTGATCGACGCAGGACATGTATCAACGACTTGTCCAGACAAGAACTGCTAGTTTCTCTATCCGTCACGTATCTCACCGCGTTGAGCAACAGCCTCTCTCGTCGCTTGTCGTCTTCCGAGGCAATCTGATAATCTTGCTTCGGGCCAAAATCAAGGAACGCTTTCTGGAAATCGTCATGGTATCCGTCCAAACCAGCCTTCAACGCGAGCCAGTCCGCCCGCATGTAATCACGTTGACTGAACATGTGGTAATCATCCTCTGGCAAAGTGAAGACCATCTCGGGAATGATAATTTCATCATCGTGCTCTGGTGGGGAGTAAGAGGACCACCAGTTGCTGAGACGAGTGGTGTAAGGTGTATCATCATATTTCACGCCCTTGATTTCCTTCCTCCAATACCAGCCTTCCTTTCTCGTGACTTTTCCTTCGGAGTTTCTGATTTCGGGGAGTCTGTCTCTCTTATAGCCTTCGAGAGCGGCGGGCTTGTAGTGCAATATCTTACCATCCACATTGGCTTCGCGGTACCCCTTGCTCATTGCATAGGCTACCACGGGATGGATGCACTCATTTGTTACTCCCTGCTGGTAGTATCCTGGAGTGCGAACCACAGAGCCGCTGTAACCCGTCATGGACTCGATGCTATCTGGTCGGTAGCCCATGCCCCATCCGCCATATGCGGTAGGATTCTTGGGATCAGGCTTATCATCCGTATGTCTAGGCTTTTTAGCTTTCTTGTCGGCCTTCTTCGCATAGTTGTGCTCAGAATCATTTAGCTTGAAGGAGCGCTGCGAGAGGTCCACGATGGTGCAGGTGTAGTGGTGGTAAAACTTTGCCAGCGCGTATCTATCAAAGACCAGATTGGTATGTTCGCGGACCTGGTCAATCATCCAAACCAGTGAGAGATTGGCCATGGATTCCATATCGCCATAATGATCCATAGTGTCATTGCTGCCACCACCGATGTTGATGTGGTAGCCCGGGAACCAGCATTGTCTCAACTTAGTAGAAACGCCCTCAGGAAGGGTCCACAGAGTAGGAGGGAATGCCTTTCGGTGTTCGTCTAGAGCCAGGGCATGGAATGCGTGTTTGACATTCTCGTGCAGGTCGGTGTCGTGAAAGCCATACTTTGCATCATTGGTCTGCTCAACCGACATAACAACGTTGGATGGCCATCCCAGGGCACCCACGGTATCGAACACGCCAACGACCTGAATTGGAACCGGCTTGTAGAAGCGCTCCCTCCAGTTTTTCTTAGTTTCGACACTAGGGGGCAATGATTCTCGTGCGACCTGATAGTGCATATGCACAGCATCGTTGGCGACCGCATTGTTGGGAGGCTTGGTCACCTTTTTCGGAAGCTCTCTGTTCTTGTACTCGTCGTAGGTCACCCACCAGTCATCCATCATGTCCGGAAAGCAGATTCCCAGGTTGCAGACCAATCCTGCAACTGCGCGAGCCGTATACGCGCCGCGGGAAAAGCCGAAGATGTAGATTTCGTCACCGGGAAGCCAATTGCTGACCTGTGTGATATATGTGAGTAGGTCATGGATTTAAAAGGAATGTCAAAAGTTCAACTTGAGCGTACCAAGAAATTGTAGGCCTCGCACACATTCTCTTCTACTCCTCTTCCGAATGTGCCTTCGAAAATTTTCTGTGTCATGGCCAGAAGCTTGGCAGTCTTTGACGCATCTTCATTCGGGGCGCTATTCCCAGTCCCTACACCCGCATCGTAGTAGACGATCTGCTGAATCTCCTTGCCATCTTCGCCGTATTTATCGCAGCTGGCGATGGCACGGCTCAACTTTGCAATGTTGGAAGCGATGTTCTTCTCTCCGTGGTTGGAAGATTGCCATGAGCCATCAAGACAAAGAATCAATCTTCTCTGATCACGGAGCGGTTTGGTTTTTTCAACAGGTATAAATTTATTCGCTGCATCTGAGAACAAGTTGTCATTTTCCAGGTCCAGCTCATATCTGTATGGAGGCTTCACCATGGTGCTTAGCGGTGGTGGAATGAATATGTAATGAATGATAAGTGAAAAGAAAGATAGGAAGAGAACAAGAAAGAAAAAGAGAGGTCGAGGATGGCCTTTTATCTTTTTCGCCTACTTCGTACCCCTTTACCTTGAATACAGTGGACATTTCTTGGAAGACCATACTTTCCAGGTGAAGGGTGCGATTTTGCTTTGGCCTCCTGAGTGAGGATTTCTGTCAGTCATTCTTGCCGACAGGATACGATTGTATTGCCACGCAACCTTAGAAAGTTGGCGCATGATGCTATACTCATGGTCTGGCCCAATCTTCAGCTGAAGAAACAAAATCCGCCACCATTCGCTAGTCAAATCTCGGCCCACTCAAATAGAGTCAACATAGCCGACAATTGTCTTTTTTTCCCGATCCCATTCAACACCCCCTCTTCCCTGCATAGTAATTCCATCATAATTAAGATTCGGTCCGGCCCGGCGAAATCCATGGATTACCAAATTCTTTCCAAGGTTCCCGAGTGGGTTGCCATGCACTGAAGACGGCCTCAAACACCCCCATTTCCCGTTCACATCGAGCATTGATGCAAGATCATGCACATTTAGGATGGATCCACGCAGAATCCTTACCCCAGTTTTACGGGCAACCGGCAGTGGCTCCAAGGTCGCGGTTGGCTTTTGCCCTGAATATGACAGCCAAAAATATATGCACCTGTTCAAAACATTATTTTACTTTGAATGCGTAACGCGGGGAACAAATCAATTGATGCCATCAAGGCAGCAACCCAAGGTGATTGACAGTTTGATCCTCCAAAATTCAAAATTCAAGTCCATGCATGGGATTATTGTGGGCTGGCTGAGATCCGTATCGAGATGTGATGGAACGAGTAAATCGACCTCTTCTACGGAGTACTCCGTACCATCATAGCCACACGTTGCGATCCCTCACGTGACACCTTATTTTTGACCACCTTTTAGAATTCAGAAACAAAAATAACTTCGTGGCTGGGACTATACGGCGAAAATGACCCGCCGGGGAACATCCAAGGTTGTTTGATGGAGCTTTGTGTCGCGTGCGAACGGGAACGCCGAAGGCGTTCCATTTTCGCTAGCGTACAGCAATACCCAATCGTGAGCTTAGTAGCTGCATGATTATGAAGAACTTAATGTGGGGCTTGGAGTTCGGGGTAATTTAGGCAGCTCGAAGCTCGCATTTTTCTCCCATTTGTTCTGCACCTAGCCCAATATAACGTGAAGCGGAGTCTCCGTAAGGAGTAATACTCACCACGAGTGGGGAATACCACCCCCTTTTTCCAACAGTATCGAAATTCTTTAGTTGAACCCACGGGCACAGTTCACCAAGCACACGCGATCGGGACGACCGACCGGCAACCGAGATAACGAATTGTTAAAGAACAAATAAATCATGCACATCGCATAATAAGCTCCTATTTAGAATTGAAAGAACGAGTCTACAGAGGAAGGAGGGTGAGAACGCAATGTTGTGGTATTGATTGCTGCGAGGAAGAAAGAAGAAGAGAAAGAGAACAAGCTACTAATCTAGTACACGAAGATAAGTAAGGGTACAGGTCACATGACCAAGCAAGAAGTATATAATGGGCATATTTTATAGGCGCCTGAGAAGTCTCTTCAAGCAACCTACAAGCGATTGCGAGACAATACTGCCAAATACCTACAGAAGGCTCCGCAGCCACTCGTGACAGACGTACACTCATGGCAAGAGCTTCTCGCACTAACCGACGACCGTTTTAAAGACTGTATCGCAGACGGTGATTATCTTGATGACGTTGGAACACTTTACATGAAGATGACCTAGACGAACGCTTCGCTGAAATCGTTAGCTGGATGGGAATCTGCCGGTTTGATAAATATCTTTTGGGTGCTGCAGGGCAAGCCACTAGTAGCGAAATGCCAGGTGCGGGTTTTTATGCTAGAATTAGAAACAATGGTAGTGGGCACATCGAGTTGTTCCAACAAGGAGGCATGCGGAGGCGATGCTTGTGTTGGCGACGGCCGGCATTTGCAGAATCGAAGCAAATAACCTTCAATGATTGGCGTGTATAGACCATAGAGCCCATGCTTAATGTCTTGTGATTTTCTAGGAAAGAATTCATGAAAGCCCTTGGGCTAAGCGTTGAACGCTCAAAGTCCCGTGTGAAGATAAACAGCAGATGGAATCCCAAGTTCCCAACACAACATTATCTGCCATCGAGACCTCGCTCCCGCTACAGTCGACAAGTACGAAGACATCATATTAATGACCAATGTTTGGTCAATGTCCGCTTGTATTTATTTCATAAGTGGTTTGATTAATGAGAGTTATGGCGCGTTAGTTCAATGGCGTCAAAACATTGAAAACATTCATAAATAAATTCCTCAACACCATACGCGTCACCAGCCTACTATTATCTTTCAGCTGACGGCTTCCGCTTGGCAATGCGACGCTTTACGCGAATCTTCGGCCGATACTTACAACCATCACCCAGGACGATCTCATCTATGAGTGGTAGTCCTGATCTGTTCGAGTACACATCCGGGCGCTTTTTGTGAGTGGTGACGATTAATTACTAGTAACTGTTGAACACATCATTTACGATAGGCTGACTTTCTGCATTTGAATTTCCATAGGTTTAATGGAGATCTCCGCCGCACCGAACGCCGTATTCAATTCGACGTGGATGCTCTCGCCAGAGTTGCCTGCCAAGCTGTCGGCCGACCCCTTGATGGTGTTTCGATCACAAAACTCGCCGAGGGGGGCTTCAATCGTGTCTTACAAATCACCTTCAATGATGGATACACAGTTCTTGCAAGACTGCCTTACAAGTCGACCGTTCCAAGGCACTATGCAGTGGCCAGCGAAGCTGCCACACTTGCAGTTCTGCGTGCTCATGGGGTCCCAGTTCCTAAAGTCCTTGCGTACTCTCCGGATCAGAACGCCATTGGAACTGAGTATCTTCTCCTTGAACGACTTGAAGGAACACCACTGAGTGACCAGTGGTTCTCTATGGATACCAAAACTCGGGTTAAAATAATGAGACAGATTGTTGATATGGAAAGACGGTTCATGAGTATTCACTTCCCAGCAAGCGGAAGTCTTTACCACTCCCGTGATATTGACAGTTCACGACAATTCTCTATTCCACTCTCAGACGACATAGTAATTGGTCCAACTGCACAGCATGAATGGTGGTATCAGGAACGAGCCTCTCTGGATATTGACCGTGGCCCATGTAAGTCTCAAGTACTTTATCTAGGAGCCTCCTCCTCCCCCTCCCCCTTTCTTTTTATATATCTATCTCTTCTACTAATAATTATAATCTAGGGAACAACTTCTCTACATGCTTCCAAGCACCTGCTAAGCGCGAGATTGAATTTTGCGAAAAATTTGGCAAGCCACGCCCACACGTCGAAAGATACCTACGAGAACTGCACCAGTTTAAAAACCTATCACCTATTCCTTACCAACATCTCCTTGCCAGTTATTTGAAATTAGCGCCCTACCTCGACATTCCCTCCGACCACCGTATGTCTCGCCCTACTCTTCGTCATCCGGACTTTTCACCTAATAATATCCTTGTAAATTCCTCCAACGACGTGGTAGGGATTATCGACTGGCAGCACGCAGTCATTCTGCCTCTATGTCTATGCGCTGGAATTCCCAGTCATTTTCAAAATTGGGGGGATCCACTATCGGAGACCTTGTCTAAGCCCGAGGTTAAATTGCCAGATAATTTTGATCGACTTAGCCATGAAGAACAAGAAACTGTTCAAGAGACGATGAGGAGACGGATTGTTCACTTTTACTATGCTGCGCTGACCATGAAGTACCTACCGGATCATTTCGACGCCATCAGAACAGAAAATTATATGCTTCGAGCAAAGTTCTTTCATCAAGCACAGGCTCCCTGGGAAGGAGACTCTGTCTCGTTGAAATACGCTATGTTACAGGTCCTGAAGAAGTGGCCTATGTCGCTGGATGAAGGTGCAAGATTTGTTGAGTGTCCAGTTCACCTTACTGAGGCAGAGATACAGGAATGCTTAGAGAGCCATTGCCAAGAACAAGAGAAACTACAGGAACTTGAAGAGATGAGAGATCTTATCGGGACAGATGCCCTTGGCTGGGTTTCAGATGATGATGAGCTTAAACGGTGCAGAGCTGTCATCCAGAGCATCAAGAGTGGTTTGATGCAGCATTCAAGCACCGAGATGGAGAAAACTGCGATCGTTTCTCATTTCCCTTTCGATGATCATGACGAACATTGAAAATGCGTGGTATCATTTCATAGGTCTCATCTCTTATTAATAAAATACCAGTAGACATGCCACTCATGAGCTCAACCTATCTATTTCCGTTTCATTTGTTTTTTCCGACACAGCACCTATCAACAGATGCCTGTCGTCTTTAAATAGTTATGGAATATTCAGCCCCAGTAACACGGTAAGTCTTCAACATTTGAATGTTTCGTTACTCACTACTAGGCATTGCGTGAAAACTCCAAAGTAGGATGATAGCATGCTTGCTGGGGAACTTGGAATGAATGATGACCTGCTGGCATTGGTTGAACCTGCTATTTGAGGAAATAATTTATTTAATTCATAGTATGCTTCTCTTGTGTTGCATTCATTAGGCACCACTTAGATGCGCAACGCATATGCTTCAAGTCAAGGGTCCCATTAACACCATTTGCCAACTGGGATAAGGATGTACAGGTAAATGGCCCCCAACCTTGCAACCGCGCTCCTTACGACAGCCAACAACAATGCCCAGATAGATGAAAGTCAAAAATTGACGTATAGAACTTTCACAGTCGGCTAGAGTATACTTGCAGATACTGGTAACACTGTCCGTGGCTGCAATAAGGCTGAATAAAATAACCTAGATAAGGCGAGCAGAAACACATGGCTAGAGATTATTGGTCAACAGGGACAAGGATTTTTACTACCACCTTAACCGATTGGAAGATACACAGCCTCAGAACCCTGCTCTTATAAAAAAAAGAATCACCCAACCTTAGCTAAGCACTTTACTCTGTAGGTAAGCGCCCTCTGGTTTAACCTGCGCTTTGGTGTACCCTCAGACCCCTAAAGGCTTTCTGCGATCCTAACTACATCACTTTCATCCTAGGCATATTAATCTGCTAAGAATAATGAGTGAATATTCTTCCACAATATTAAACATCACATTTAGTGCTTAAAGCAAAAGGAGTCACATAAATACTACCTGGAAACTCCAACTATTTTTGGCACTAAATTTAACGAAAACCTTCTATCATGGACACGCCAAAGAAATATCTTAACGCAAAGGATTTTGAAGATGGTAAGATTCCATGAACACTCCATCCTCTACTAGGAGACCATAGAGGTCTCGAAACCAAAATCACCGCGCAAAATCAACAACGCTAATAATTACTTATGCGACAAGGCCTTATAGTACTCGATGATAAGATAGGCCACAATCCTTAGCTCATTACATTCGCCCCTATCAGAATCGTCTCTGCGGGTAGATTTGTTACAGTATCGTATCTCAAGAACCGCGAAAGTACAGGCGATCTCTTTGCTGGGGACAAGGACATTGAAGGTGCATTTAAGAGTATTGTGCTCTCAGTGGCATCGCAGCTGAATTACAATGAAGAATGGGTTAACGGCGAAATAGGTATCTTCATTACCAAAAAGACTCGCCAGGCCCTATTTAAACAAGCCATCGAACAGGGCATCACACTTTTCAAAGGAGAAAATCTAGAGGTCCTAGCCGCTCCGATAGAATGGGCTCTTAAGCATAAGCTGAGGAGAATCAATACCGGGGATCAGGACCGGAAGGTGGAATCGGATATAATAGATGTAATTGCTCTGTTGAAATATATAAAGGAGCACAACAATGGCCCTCTAGATCTAGAGAAGATTCAGACAATAAAAATGAACAGATTCAATGTGATTCCTTATCACAGGACCATGCAACGAGTGGCTGAGGTATACCGTCAGAACTATAATAAGGACATTTTCGAATAGGCTAGCCTGATAGGTGATTGAAGACACAGAAACATAGCAGAGTATGAGGCCAAGGCTATATATATCTATTTAAGAGATAGAAAGAGGGAGTACTAGGAAGGGATAAGATAAAGTACTTAAGGATAGATATCTTACATCTATCAGATAGTATAAAACCAGCCTATATTAGTAATAATATTACACCAGAGGAAGTTAGGACCTTTACCCCCCTCCTCAAGCACTAGATTCCCATCTATATCCAGCAATTCAGGTAGCACAGAAAGCTTAAGAAGATCTTTATTAATAGGGGCTACCTTCCTTATCCAGGCAGGTAGTTCCTCTACAGTAAAAGGGGGCCATGGATCTCCGTCTTCTTCTCGGTAAATATACTCTCCATTTCTCCGCAGACCCAGACTCAATCTCTAATTAACTACCTTATATAATTCCTCAGCAATAGAAGTGATGATCGCATAACGAAGCAGATCAGGGTCTTTGGGGTCCGGTATAGATTACAGCTTCCAGTATAGCCGTTTAAAAAAATATTCCACTTCCCATCCCATGAGTTCATAATGGTCAGCAAGATAGAGCTCATAGAGCCGATAAATTGATCGCAGGGGCGTATCACGTATACGCCAGGTAGGAATAGCACAGAGGTTATGAATATCGCCGAAATGGGATGCGATTATGCGTGTGTTATTGTTCGTATCTTCGAAGAGCGTACGGAGGGGAAATAATTCGGGGATGGGGAAGAACAAGGACGGATAGGGGATGAACATGGCCAGAAGTGTAAGCAATGGATACTTGTTTTGATGGCGGAGTCGGTAGAAACTATGATGTAGGGCGAGGGGTGAGTGTGCGTAGTGAAGCTATGCTCGAAAACGGGCCCAGAGAGGTGGCTTCGGGCGGCGGCGACGGGGTGGTGGCATTGTGGGTAAGTTCTGTAGTGATGAGAGGATTGTAACTTGAACAGTCGGTGGTAGTAGTCTAAGAAGCATTAATGCCGGTGATCACCGGTATTGGTTAGCTTAGTCATTCCAGTCTGCGTGTGTAGTAGATTGCCAGTTATTAGCCCGCTCACTCACGCTTCCTCTATGCCTGCCTGAGCCTTTCCCTGTGATCTGACAGCTTGGAGGTAGAGGCAAGCCCTTTGGAACCACCTGGCAGTGTCCTAGCCGAGTTCTGTGGCCAAATCGGGCTTACCGTCTGACAGACTCCTTTTGCCCAAACAATCCCTGACGGTTGACCGCTTCCTCAGCGAGACTATACCGAGAGACAGTGAGAGTCATAGAAATATGAGTTAAATGCAAGTTCGTCACCTAACCTATCAGCACTTGAGTAGATACAATTGACTTAGAGACAATGTAACCTATGATTCTCTGGAGTCTGGATCTCCGCTATATGACTTGGAAAACAGCCAAAATCCCTAGGCAGAAATACACAGCAATAGAACTCAGGAATATTTCAGCGGTCATTTTCCAGGGACAAAATTGGGCGTAATTTCACTTATGCTTTTTGTCATCTAACCCAACCATAGTGGAAGCAACTCCGGCAAATATTGACTGGGAAGCCCATGATGCCGGCCAGGCAAAATTTGCATCAATATCCTGATGATCCTCACTTGACACAAGTTGATCAATGACCGCAATAAAAGTATAGGCGCCGATACCGGTGAAGAGGTGCCACCTGTATATAGAATAAGTCTCTCCGCCCACGAAAATCAATCGTAGAAGTACAGATACTTGGTACAACTTACCATCCGTGAAGTTCTAGCAGCCATGCCCAAGGAAGCCCAATTGCCGCTCGTGCACTCGTAAGCCACTCACAGGCCCAGCTATCCACAAGCCAGACAATATATCCAAGATGAAAGATGCCTTGATTTGGAATTAGTTTGGCTGCCTATAAAGAGATATCAAATACTTATAAATTGACTTACCAGCCCCAAATACAACCATACCCCAAATCTGTCGCCGAGCTGTTGAATTTTCAGTGGTGCGTTGTTTGAGTAGCTGAATAGTCCGAATACCGATGATAGTGATGCTGCTAACAAAAAACGAAGCGTGAATAATTAATTCATCCGTTGTGACGTGGTAAATCACAAGTAGCGAGAGAGCTACATAAATAACTGCACCCGCGATAATTGAGTCTTTGCGATTGGCGTTTACTGTCAAAACTCTATGCAGCAGTGGGGTGGTTGTGAAAAGCATAGATAGGTCGTCCAGCATCTGAGTGTGGTATTGTAGACTGATGTGGTAGATTGCAGAGCAAAGTCCAACTGCCATCAAGCCCCCGTAGGGGAGGACGCGAGAGAAACCAATACTGCCAGTCTGCTGTAATCGGCGTAGGCCGTAGATCGCATAGAAGACTAAATGGCTATGTCAGAGCTCACACATTTCCCTAAGATTCCTGTACGTACTATAACATAGGTTGGTCAAGCTGTTGATGAATTCCGCGACATATCTTGTCACAACATAATCCTGAAAATGAAAAAAAAGTTTCAAGTCAGCTGCATGGATAATACGAGTCGAAGTCGGGCTGCTACCTGCTCGCAAAAGCTAGTCTATATTAGCTAATGACCTATACGAGATATAAGGTAACTGACTTAGCTTTAGAGCTTGGTGGGCCCCAAAAGGCATCGGTAGGGGTGTTGATTCGCATTATGGTTTCGCTATGTGAGAAATTGAAATTATAGCCAGAGGCACAGAGAAATAGGTGGACGGATAAAAAGAGAGATCCACGGTAGATGTGTTATGAAAGAAAGATCCTGACATAAGGCAACAGAATATAAAAGCCGACAAAGTAGACAGCAAACAAGCAAGGTAAGAGAATTTTGCGACGTCCTGGGTCAATCATGTAAATAGGTTAAGAAGCCACGTCGAGACTAGGGATCAGGGTGCGGAAGCCGACGGGGCGGACTGTTATGGTCCGAAGCATCCCTGCATTTCTTTCTCGTCCACCGCCTCCTAACGCCGATATTCTCCTGTCTTGATCTTTGCCCGACCTCTGCTCAACACGCTAAGACCTGAGTGTGTTTGTTATGCAAGTCATCCGCCCGAAGAAAAGTATTCTTTTCTATCTTGCCTTTCTATCAATATCCCTCTGTACCTTCTCGGTTGCTTTAGAGACTAGTATTTTCCCGATTGAACTTCCGGTGCGAAATGATGCCCTGAATGAAAATACCTAGGTCAATGGAGAAAGCAGATTTTTATTGAGACAACACCCAATAAAGGAAACAGCAGTTAAATACTTCAGACAGTTTGCAAATGATTTACACCTAGAAGCCCATATTTCTTTGCCTTGAGCAACGACGATATGAAACATATCGGAAGTATCATGGCTTGTGGAACAACCCCTACGGCCCACGGGTTGACGTGCTTCTCATTTTCTTGATGCTAATAATCGACAAACTCATCATACGACAGATGCTGTTCAATGCGATTTTCACTTGCTTGCTGCATCATCATTGGAACAAGCTTCTCCAGCTCCTCTAACTCCTCCATCGACAGAAGCGAAAGCCTGTCATCAAGAGAGCCAGTTCCGAAGTACTTTTGATCAAGAAAAGTCCAGTAGATATCATCGAACATGTAACTTTTCCGGGCGGCAAGACAAAACCAAAAGAGCCCATTTTCCATAGACTGCGCCATCTTCTTTGATAGTCGCTGAGAATCCTCCATCCCCTTCAGCTTTATTTGTTCGTCTTCGCAGTCCCGGAGTATATTAAGAAAGAGTTGTAGACGGGGAGTGTATCGATGAAGGAACTCATTCAAATCTGACTCCCAAGCCTCCGGGCTCTCAAAGAGAAGCCACCAGGGTGCAGTATAGGTGAATTCAGCAGGCGCCACATACGTATACTCCCAATCAATGATACTTGTTACTGTGGAATCTGTTGCTGAAACCAGTACGTTCGATGGGCGTAGGTCATCACAGTAAAGATGGAAAGGACCCAGCTGCTCTACTGGAATAATACCAGCAATCTTTTTAAAAAGACAGCGAGCAATGTATCGTTTGCGGCAATCTTGTTCGCCATCCATAGCATCATTGCGTTGGTATCGAAGATGGAGAAGCTGTTGTGCTGCAACTTCCTGGAAATATTCGCCAGCGGTAGAAAAACTTCCTTCTGCAAACACACCAGGAGGTAGGTTTCCAACGCGTACAAGTTCGTTCATATTGAGAGTCAATGGTCGTTTCGCCACTTTCCAGACTCCCGACTCTTGAGTTAGAGCCCCGATACGTGGAAAGACTGGTTTTGATAGCTCTAGTAACACGTGGGCCATCTCACGTAAAGCAAGTTCAATACCAGTCCCTGAAATACCCGGAGACAGGCTAGACGAGCCTTGAAGTTGGTTGGATAACAAAGTCCCTTCAACAAAGGTCATAACAATATAAGGTCCGCACCCCCATCGGCCTGCTCCAAGAATCAAGGGAATGGGAACTTTGGTGTGCTCATGAAGAAATCTCATTACTGAGATTTCATTTCTAGTTTTCTCGGTGCGAAACCGACTCCGACCCAGGATAGGAAATCGAACAAGTACACGAAATCCATCTTCAAACGTGACCGTACAGCAAATGTTATAGGAACCAGTGATGAAATTCGTCACATTTATCGCGCGTGCATCCCCGCTGCGATGCTCGCTTGCAAGTCTCAAAGGCAAAGCAGGCGACTCCTGAGACAGCAGTTGAAGCCAGGCGGAGAAAAATCGCTGGCCCTGTTCCTCAGCCAGGTGATCCCAGTCCATAGCATGATTTGGTTTGCAGTTGATGGTAGTAGTAGAAGTAGTCAATCGCTCTGGGATTTCAGGGTCCAGGGATAATTGAGCAAGGCAGAGTGAGGGCGGGATGAGGAGATCACGTAATCTTTTAGGTACTCCGTCTATAGTAGCGAACATAAAACCAAAAGGAAAGATCGATGTTCCAGGATAAGAACGTGGCATGCGGGGAACAAGTCGCAGTCCGTTTCAGTTCACGGTCCGCCAGTACTATCATGTATGTATACGGTATACCGTACTGAATGTGGGGCGCGGGACTTCGTTTTTTGGCCTATTACTTAGCGCCTGCGGCGAGCGAGAGGGGCCAGAATGTGCACGCTAAAGCGCGGCGCGCCCCACAATCGTCGGTCACTTGAAACCGCAATGGACTACTATATCTCACATGTGCAAAATATGAGCTTGACACGCACTTTAATGAGTCGATAATTTTTGGGTGGTCTATACTATCTTGGTGCCCATTCTTGCAGATTGAAACCATTCTGTCAACGGCTTTCAATCAATATTCCTCGCAAATCACCCTACCCCGCCTGCGCCGCTAGCTTCCAATCTAAGAATAATGTCCGGTGAGAGGGAGTCGCCTTTTCCCGAGTACTACTATTGTGGGAACACCGGTGAGTTTAAAATAGACTTTGATGAATGTTCCGGAAATGAACCCCGTGGAGAGTTCGACTTTCTTGACCACGCGCCTGCAACTTCACACGGGACCTATCTGGATGGAGTTAATGAAGGCCTTGAGCCTTTGGAGGATTATCAACCTGGTGGCTTTCACCCAGTTCATCTTGGTGACACACTCGGCCCATCGCAAAGGTACCGTGTCATTCATAAACTAGGCCATGGTGGCTTCGGAACTGTGTGGCTCTGCCGAGATACGCAGGATTCGGGATATGTCGCTGTCAAAGTCATGGTTGAGGAGGCAAAACAACATGATGTTCAAGATCTGCTCATAAAAAACCTTGATCGGTCGGTTCCTGGGGCAGATAACATTGCCATTCCTCTGGATTCCTTCTCAATGGACGGACCGAATGGCTCCCACCAATGTATCGTGCTGCCAGTTCTCGGCCCGTGTGTCTCGCCTAATTTATGGCTACAGCTAGAGAAGGATCCTGGGCCTATACTTCGAAAAATGTCGTACCAGGCTGTTCTTGCCATGAAATGGCTACATACAAATGGCTTTTGCCACGGAGGTATGTACTTACCATTCCCTCCAAAACCACTGGGACCACTTTTTTAATAACAACAACCATAGATTTTCGACCTTCTAATATTCTTGTTAAGCTGAATGACCTCAACCATTTATCTGAAGAGCAGTTGCTCTCACTATTAGGTCATCCTGAAAAGGCCTACGTGCGTACAGAGTCAGGTGAAGACCTTCCAGCTTCTTCGCCACAGTATCTGATACTTCCAGCGGATATCTCCCGACTGGGTAGCAAGTACCTAAGTGAAGAAATTTGCATCATTGATTTCGGCGAAGTGTTCCCAATCTTATCGCCCCCAGAGGATCTAGGAATACCTGAGAATTATCTTCCACCTGAGGTCCTATTGGAGCAAGAGAATGCTATCGGCCCGGCCTGTGATATTTGGGCGCTTGAATGCACGCTTTTCGAAATTCGCCAACAAGTCCCGCTTTTCTACATGATTTATGACATCGATGAACTCCTGGCAGAAATGATACGCTTATTTGGTAAACCTCTACCAGCCTGGTGGGACAAATGGGAGGCACGAGAGGATTTCTTTGACGATCAGGGGAAGTGGCTTCGTGGTCGTGCTGACACGCAAGAATTATCACTAGAGGTGGTATTGAACAATCTCGTTGAAATTGTCGCTCCCGAGATGAAGAAATTGATTACATCAAAGAAAGAGCAGGGTTTGATGGCAGACCTCCTGCACAAGATATTGGCCTATGACCCTGAGCAACGTCTAAGTGTTGATGGTGTACTGAATCACGAATGGTTTAAGATGGAATGAAGAAATTTCCAGATTTTCGAATCTCCAAAAAAACAAAATATAAAAAATATAAATATACGCTTAGAATATACAACATATGTACCCTTTGAAAACATTTATGGTACATGCGTTATGACATGTGTTTCATTTGGTCCCTTTGGGAAAATACACAGAGCCAGTATGGTCATGTTGGATTGAAAAGTAATTTCCCAGAAATATGCTGAAAGATCGAATGATGAACGGGGAGCGGGTGATTTTTTCTCCCCTGGAGATCGCCCTAGAATTTCCCCAGATTATATTTTCCGTCCCGCTTAATCTAACATCGAACATCCTAACGAGCTTGATCTTACTAGCATGCTTGCAAGGTTACTCCTGAGCCCCTAGGCATGGTTCAGAGGCGTTCATGGGGAGCCCGGAGAGTCAATACCCCGTTATCCCGCCATTGGCCGCGCCGGAAACTAGGACAATCGCTACCCCGCTGCCAGGGGAATTGATGCACTGCAATGCAGACCACTTGACCTTTCCTGGGGAAGGGAAATAGGCTAAGCTCCAACTGGGTATTGATGTGGGGTAATTTTCGCCGAGCGACAACATTTGAAGATGAGCTTGCTGCTGCTGGAGGCATGCCCTCTTGAAAATTAGTACGAGTGGCTTTTCAACTCGCTACCAGGCCCTGTCAGGATAAAGAGCGATCAATTTCCTCAGCCGAATTTCTTTTGGGCTATTATTTCTCTATCAAAGCCAAGCATCATTCATCGCCCAAACGCTGGCTGAAAGTGAATTTCTCAGAAATTCTTCCCTCATACATCGACATAATGTTCCGCGTCGACAAATCTGGTGTCCGCGGCGTCGATGGCGTGACGTTGCGGCATACAGACCAGCGGACGCGACTCTGGTGGAGCTATCCCGGTTTACGTTCCCTCAATCTTTTGTTGCTAGGTTGTATCGTTTGCGACATGACCAATGGCTACGATGGCTCCATGCTTAGCGGTCTGCAGATTATCGATGCCTGGCAGGTTGCGCTGGGTAAACCTAAGGGGACACGCCTAGGTACTATCACGAACGGCACTCGCTATGGGCAACTCGCGGCTCTCCTTATTGCAGCACCACTCATGCAGCGTCTGGGCCGCCGGGTGCCTATCATGATGGGATCGTGCATCCTGCTGGTCGGCGTGGCACTACAGGCCGCCTCGGTCAATTACGACATGTTTGTTATCTCGCGCCTGCTCATTGGATTTGGAAACACAATCCAACAAACGGCTTGCCCCATTTTGGCCGCTGAGCTTGCCCATCCCTCTCAGCGTACCCAGATCATTGGTATCCAGAACACAACCGGCTCGCTTGGTCAGATCATGGCCGCCTGGATCACCTACGGGACCTCATTCATGCTTTCATCTTGGTCATGGCGCTTGCCGTCGTTACTGCAGGCTGTATCGTCCGTTTTCCAGCTCGTGATGATGATACTTACACCCGAGAGCCCACGTTGGCTGGTGCACAAGGGCCGTCGCGAAGAGGCGTATCGTATTCTGACCAAGTACCACGCAGAGGGTGACGAATCATCACAGCTATTGCAATTCGAAATGGCAGAGATCGAAGCAGCTATCGAGGTGGAGCGGGAGCAAGCGTTGACCTCGTGGATGGAGTGGGTGCGCACTTCTGCCAATCGGTACCGTCTCTTCATCATCATGACATCTGGCTTCATTATCCAGTGGTGCGGCAATGCTCTCATTACATACTATATTCACCTGGTCTTTGAGTCAATTGGCATTAAAAGCTCCAAGGAGCAGTTGCTTATCAATGGCGGCATGACAATCAGCGGCTTTGTGTGGGGCAACGTATGGTCTCAGCTTATCGACAAGATGGGCCGGCGGCCAATGTTCCTGATTGGCATGGCTGGCATGTTCGTCTCCTTTTTGATGATCACGGTCTTCACCGGCGTCAACGCGGGCATTGACTACAGCAATGGAGGCCTGGGTAACGCCACCATTTTTGCTATCTTCTTGTTCGGCTGCTTCTATAAAATGCCCGGCTGTATGGTTCCTTCATACGTTGCTGAAGTGTCACCATTCAACCTTCGCGCTAAAGCGTTTGTCCTCAATGGTTTTGCGGATGCCGCGGCGAATATTTTCAGTGGTTATACCAACCCCGTAGGCCTCGCAGCCATCGGATGGAAATACTACATTGTATGGTGTTGTGTTTTGGTCAGCAACTTCACCATCATCTTTTTCTTTTATCCGGAGACCAAGAATCTCAGTCTTGAAGAGGTTGGCCAGCTATTCGATGGGCCGCCGAAGAACTCAGAGTCCAAAGTTGTTGCGCAAGACGAGGACAAAGAGCATGAACCTCATGTGACAATGATAGAGTGAAAGCTCGACCATTACGGATTCCAATGTTAGGAAGGTATTGTTGTTGTCAGAGGTTACTCATCCAGAATGTATACCTAATTCGATTCTCATTGAAAATCCGGAGTTTTAATGCGGGATGGTTCAAATGACTGGCGGAATCGTGATCGAGTTGATTATAGGCATGTGTTATGACAGAATCAATCCGACATATATTCAAAGTTTCAATCCTGAAACCTCCCGAGGTCTCTAACGCACTTAAAGTTGACCATTTGGAAATAGTAACCTAATTTAAATCCAATTCATATCGAGGTGACTGATGTCCACTCGAAAATTTAAACCCCTCTGGATATCACAAATGTTTTTAACAAAATTTGAGTGAATCACTAGAAACACTATGGTGAAAAAATGCATTGTTCAAATTCCAAGGTTCTTGAAGCGTGAAGATGAAGGTCGGTGTAAGATACATATGACAATACAATGACAATACAGTACCCAGAGTGGAGCTCATCAGTGTGGAGAAATCATATCGCCCAATCAGGGTTGGTAACAGTGGCTTTTATTGTACATCCATCTATCGGCTTCCGTATCTGCCAAAACATGCAGATCGGCAATTGATCGACGGCTATCGACTCAAGATCTGAAATGCGGGGAAATGACAGGGACAGCTTGGCCTTTGAGCCTCGGCCAATAACTACCCCGGCCCCCCCAGTCGACACCTACACACTCGATTGATTATCCCGTTGTCCGGTCTACCTTGCTTGTTGTATTATTCTCCACAGTTACCCGGAACTTAATATTGCGAGAGAAGGGGGCAATGGTGGATCTGCTTGGACCTGACGTGGCCAGCGCGGGCGCTGGCGAGGGGGAATTCACGACTGGGAGCGATCTCCCTTCTTGTCAGTCCTGTCGGCGTAGGAAGCTCAAGTGCTCGAGACAAAGTCCATCTTGTTCACAATGCCAAAGACTAGGTAAGATCAAATATTGAGAGCCGCGGCAGTTACACTTACCGGTGTGTTTAAATCCAGCATGCGAGTGCATCTACGTGAGCAAACAGAAACCTGGTCTCAAGGCTGGTGCGATAGACAGCCTCAGTCGGCGCTTAGGTAAGGATTACCTGAGCTGTAGATGGGGTTTTCTTTGCCTAGAACCCACCTGACTAACGAAAAATTCCGATTGTCTCTGTAGAAGTCTTGGAAGAGATCTTACTAGATGAATCTGGCGCACGAAAACCGCAAATGGCCTTTCTGGACGACCATTCAGACCTCCAGAACAACATTCCACCTTTTGAGGACCAGATTCAAAATGAACACCTCAATCACACCTTGCGCCCAAGGCCTCTAGATTTTGATGACGGAGCGTTGGTGTCGGACTCGGCGACATCCCCGCCCTTGGCCAGTAACAGCGGCCATAAGAGGCGCCGAACTAATTATATGAACTTCGATCTGGGGAACGAGGAAGATGGACCACCTCCACCACCTCCACTACACTTGATAGATCCAATTGTTGATATTCACTTCCGTACAGTGCATCACTGGATACCTATCCTCCACGAAGGGCGGTTTTTAGCCAAGCTTGCGGATTCTAGTGAGAGGAACCGATTAACTATACTTCTTCACTCACTCGTCGCTGTCTCAATCAAATACCTTGATTTGGATAAGATTGACCTCAGCCATATTGATGTCGAAAGGCAGATCAAGTTGTCGAGAAACATTGTCATGCTTCACGCGATGCAATCCGTGTCGGTCGAGAACATGCAGGCACTGATCTTTCTCGCCTTTGACTATGTAAGCTGCTTCATTATCTACTCCCTATTTTCTGCAAGCTTCACTATCCATTGCTTAACCCCGACTCTTTCTATTGCAGATGGGATGCGGGCATCCCTCCAAGGCGTGGCCTATTATTGGGTCTTTAACAAGAACAGTCGAATACCTTCAATTGACCGTCGAATCACCGGATCTATCCTCAATGGAACAACCACTTCTTCGTCCCTTGATCCTTCTACCAAGAGCGCGCGATTGGACAGAGTCAGAAGAGCGGAGAAGATTGTTTTGGAATATTTTCCTTCTTGATAGGTAATCATCAATCCGGGACAATATTTGATTCGAAATGGATGACTGATACCTGTATTGAAGAGTCTGTCAAGTCACTTGTGGGTGCGTATTCCGATCGCTGAGTGGCTGAACCTTTATTTTCTAACATAACATGCAGCTGGAACACAAGCCTGAGCTCAGACCATGTCCAACGACGGCTTCCCTGCAGTGGAGCGCCATGGGCGCGCCAGGAAGCCGTCTCGACGCCCTTCTTTGGTATATGGAACAAGGCTGCGGCCAAGATCGGTAAATCGATAGCCAATGTTCCAACCCTATACGAGTCACCTTCCAAGACCAATTACTACAGCCCTAGTGGAGATACCGGTGTTGGAGGCGACCAGGTTGACATCTCGAACCTGGGAGCATTCGCGTATTGTATCGAGGCCACCGAAAACCTGAGCCAGGTTACTTCCTTCTTTCTGCAACAAAGCATCGACTTTGGAGATAAAGCCCAGGTCAAGAACTGGTTGACAAGGTTTAAAGAACTCGACCTGCGACTTGTCCAGTGAGTTGAATTCCATGTTCCTGTCCATGCCCAAAAAACCAACGCGACTTTCAATCAGCTGGAAAATGTTTCTTCCCCACCAGTGGCACGACTCGGACGTCTCACGCGATGTGTCAATTGTCAAAATGGATCCGAACCTGACTTTGGCGCACCTTACGCACAACGCCGCAACGATCCTGCTACATCAACATATCGCCTACCCGCCCGCAACCTGGTGCGATCTCGTGAGACTGCCAAGCTCCTGTAGTGCTGAGACGTGCCAGCTTGCCGCCGTTGAGATCGCTTCCATTGCCGACAAGTACCTGAATTACATGGGCGGTCTCGTCAACAGCCAGTTTGCCTTTTGCGCGTTCGTCGCTGCGCGCATCTTGTTGGTGCATTGGCTTTCGGTTTCACGGCAGACAGATGAACCCTTGGCCCCCGAATTCTCTAGTCTCGGGGATAGTCTGCGGGAAATGTCCCGTAGGTGGAGGGGGAACAACAGTGACAAAGGCACAGACAACATGGGACAGTCCGGTGTGCCAGACCTGATGACAAAGTATGCAACACAACTGCAGTTGATGTACTCCCGATACATCACTGGCTCACATACATATTCCTCTGTTGGCGACATGCTGTCCGATGCCAGCCTGGATGGCCTTCTAGATGTGCAGCAACAACCCACAGCAAACAGTAATCCGCCTCCCCAAAATAGCACACCTCCACCGATACCTGGAATGGATCCAACAGGGACGAGGGCCGGGGGTATGACACCTTTCACCCATCTGGCAAACCCTCTCCCTCGTCCACCAGACCGCTGGCACCCGCCAATCGCGTACGATCCCCGTGGCACGCCCGTTCGGCACGACTTTGTCAGTCTATCGCAGCGAGAACGTTATGGTTCATACGGACAGCTTAATCTCAGTACAAACACGAGCAGGGCAGTCCTTCCCAATATAGCTAGAGGCAATCCACCTTCGACAGCAAATGTGACGGGATACTTGGGGTTGAGCATGGAGAACAGGAGCAGACACAGCAACAGCAGTGGGTTTGGTGGCGAGGACGAGGAAGATCTATTTGGCCAGCAGTTTCTCGAATTGGATCGTGTTATTACGCTGAATGGGACCGACTTCTTTGGGGGGTACTAGGGTCGAATGCTACTTTTGAATCTAATTGACGGTTCGTCAATCGCCGCGACAGAGCTCCATGACGAGTATTCTTTACGCAGCACTACCAGCACTACTGTTCTCAACACTACTAGGCACATCTAGCTCTCAATTTCCATCTCCTCCTCCCCAAAATAGCCAAATTTTAAAAGTCTCGAACGATATTTCAATACTTTAATAGGGTCACATGTGCAATTTGCAGTTTGTCTCTTCACCAGCTAGGGACCAAGCAGCTCATATAAGCCCCATGCGCAGCAATTTGTTCCCAAACTCAAGGAAGTAGTAGTCCGCATAGACCAGCCCATGGTCCTTATACCTCACCAGCGCATCGGGGTTGTTATTGGCCGTCGAATGCCTCAATATCGCGTCCCAGCTGCCCGCTGGAACCTTCACCTTTCCATTCTCATCAACCTCCAGCCGCGCATTATCCCCCTTGTCCACCGCATACTGAATAGTATCGCTCGCAATATTGAGTGCCGCATCGAGGTATCTCCTCCCGTCATATCTTACGTTATCTGCACCATTTCTCCGCACCAGCAGCGCCTGGTGCAGGAGCAGCATTCCGTTGGCGGCAATCATGCCTGCCGACGCGTCCCGCAGCCTGTCCCCAGTTGAATCTACCTCCCCACTTCTGTCAGAAAAGTCCCACAGGGGTACCCAAGGACACTTCTGGGCAGGGGAGTCTTTCAGTCGCGCGAGGAAATATTCCGTCAGGCGCAAACAGGCGGCGAGGAACTCAAAGTCGCCTGTCCACATGTAGGTCTGCGCGAACCCGAGCACTACCCAGGCCTGACCGCGAGACCAGGTCGAGTCGTCGGCAAGTCCTTGGTGGGTCATGCGATACTTGACAGTGCATTTCTGGGGTGCGTGCTGGTCGAGGTTGGCTACGTGCCAAGTGGAATCATCCGGGCGAATGAGCGTTTTCATGACTGTTCGGGCATGCTGTTTAGCGATGACAGCCAGTTGCTGATTGTGGCTGTGGTGAGCGGAGTAGAAGAGCAGATCCATGTCTAGCATGAGGCATGCGTTGTCAGTCGGTGTTCAAGTCCTGTTCCGGAGACGGGGTACAAAGCAAGGGGAGAATGGGAAGAGGCGATACGTACTGCACATACTGTCCACAATAATCAGAAAATTGTTTTCTTTGTCATGGACCTCGAAATTGAGCCTCTTCATCTGGTCCCAGCTACGGATCGCCCCGACTCGCTCGTCGAACCGGCTTGCCAAGCTGTTGGCGGCTGTGATGTAGGCTTTCAGGCTGGAAGAGTCACCAGTGAGCTCCCAGTCCATGCGCAGGGGATGCATCATGAATCCCAAGTCATGAGTATCGGTTCGCGATGCCTGAGCACGTAGTGGTGTAGACCAGGCGCGGCAGAGGGCCAAGAGCTGGGCGTGGTAGGACGAATCCGGTGGGATTATATTTTCTGATGGCAAGGCGGAAAATGGGGTGCGATTGGGGAATTTGGTGTATCGCTCAAGCACACAGTATAGACTCGATGGGAAAAAACCGCAGGTCCAAAATTTGGCTGGCTTTGTCTCGTATGTTCCTGCACTAGGACCTGATTCGGGAACATGTTCTGGGTACGCATCGAAAGATGGCTGCATTGAATATTCATAGTAAGTTTTCTGTCCAACTAGTCACCCACATTAGTATAGTATGATAGACGCACATGTTTACTGATAAATGAATCTGCAACTCTCCAAATTTTCGCGACAACATTCTCGCTGTATAGCTCCATAAGCTCGGTAGCCTCCACAATGGGTAGAGAAGCCATGATCGATGACGCAGTTGCTTTGGTATCGGCAGTTCGGCGGTTATTTGTCCATGTTAGGGGGTATTCGACTGGAGGAATCATCATCTTCTCATCAAAGACAATTTCTTTGATGGATTGAGAGGGGGAGGTGAGCACTGGCATTATCGAGACTTTGCTTATCGGATTTTTTGAATCGTGCTGCGCGGTGATTCGTGGTATATCTTAGACCAGATAAACGCCAGATTAGATGTCGAGAATGGCAGAATAATTATCTACTACTAGTATGTGATATTTTAATTGATCGCCCAGCCGGATTGTTCGGAATTGCACAGAGCAGTCTGGATGATCCGTCGGGCTAGAAATGCCCCGTCGTCGGTTGTCACGGACATCCGGGGTATCTGCGCTCCGAAGTCGCGGAGCTTCACGAATCACGATACAATGGATAATGTCGAAACGAGCTAGTACTACTTCGATCGTCTCGCTCATACCTGGGTGTCTAAATCATAATTTTCTTTCATATTACGACAGTAACTACTTGAATCAAAATGTTCAAACATCCCCAGACAGTGGTTATAGATGGCTTCAGGCTCGAGGAAGGTCGGCAGCGACTACAAGACGGAAATGATGTCGAACTCCAGGCAGGACTGGCTATTCTCACGCGACAGGCTGATGAATGGCTGACACAAGGCCCGTGGTCTGTTACTATGAAAAAGAAACTTCCGCCCAGCGGTGACCTACACGATTATACCAGCCAGGCGCCTTATTGGTGGCCATCGGCGGACTCGCCAGATGGAAAGCCTTACATCAATCGCGACGGGAAGAAAAACCCCGAAGTTCTGGACTACACGGACCGCGTCTACTGGGAAAAAGTCTGGACTTCATGCCCAATCTTGGCGCTGGCCTGGTTCTATACGGGGAACGAAGCTTACGCGCGACACGCAGGCAATATCCTGCGTACCTGGTTCATTACACCCGAGACCCGAATGAACCCCAACCTCAATCATGCCCAGCTGATCCCGCATGCCGAGACAGGCAGGTCTATCGGCATCATCGATTTCTCCCAGGCCTATACCAGCGTACTCGATGCCGCCGCCATCCTAGCCACTGGGCCCAGTTCTATCTCCTCACCGGAATCATTCTGGTCTAAAAGCGATGTGGAGGGATTCCGGGCCTGGAACATTAGCTTCTTGGAATGGCTGAGCACCAGCCCATTTGGGAGAGAAGAACGAGCCCGGCGCAACAATCATGGCAGCTTTGCCATTATGCAGATAGCTGCCATTGCCCTCTTTGTCGGCGATACGGCTCGGGCCCACGACGAGGTTCTCGGAACTCGTGCCCACCTGGCTGCAACAATTGCCCCGGATGGGTCTCAGCCCGAAGAGCTGAAACGGACACGCAGCTGGCACTACTCAACCTTCAACCTTCTCGCACTCACGCGTCTCGGCTGTGTGGGGCGAAAGGTCGGGGTCGACCTGTGGAAATTTGAAGGGCCGGAAGGGGAAGGGAGTATCGCTCGCGCGATCGATTTCGTGATACCGGCTGCGACAGGTAGCGAAGTATGGGCCTTCCCGGAATTGGGCTTTAAAGCTTATGCGGCGGCAGATCTTGTCCGGGTGGCGGCGGACATGGGTCATGAGAGGGCAAGGAAGGTCGTACACTTGATATATCCACCACCCGAGGGGGACCTATGGGCATTGAGGCCAGCACCAGAGCAGCTTGATGCAGTTAAGGTGGATGAACATTCGAAAGGAAAATACTAGGTGAACCGCTGGAAGCTTGATTGATGGGGGTTACATGAACGGAATGCATATCAGTCGGCCCCTTCACCGCTTTATAGTAAACGGAACTATCTGATTGTTTTTGAAGCTATTTAGTATTCAGGTGCAAAATAGTGGTGCTTAGGGCGCTCGGGTGAAGGGCTTGAAGGCCCAGAACAGTAGAGCGGCAAGAAATGTTTGACAGACGAATGAAAAGACAAGAAAAAAACAAAAAACATACAACAGTCAGGATTCGCATGTGGTCACCCACCATACTACTAACTGACCGGCGTGTGGCTTAAGTACGGCTGAGCGGACGGGAAGCCCTGTTCTCCACACCCTATGGTCGTATGTACTGATAATGCGTTCAGAGTAGGTTATATTGTACGAGTGAAGCAGCTAGTAGTAAATACCGGTACACTTAGGATGAGCACATTGCTTTGTGGTGGGATTTGCTGGTTGTTAGAAGAAGTTAATCGTGTGACTCCCAGAATTTGGCTCTCATGGTCTGCTCCTGATCATGCTGCAGCGCGTGTTGTTAGCTAGTCTGGGGAAGTGAGAGCTTCTCTCTACTTTCCTCCTTCCTTCCTTTCCTCCCCATCCCCCTCGTTATGTCCAGAAATACAATCACAGTTTGGATTCTTCCCACCTCTTTTCCCAGATCTACACTGTAGTTCTGCAAACGGTTCGTATTATCGCCATGCATCGAGGTTCGCGACCACGGCTTTCGCTTGGCATATGTGCAGTCGAGCCGCATCTTACTGCATCGATCACATTCCCCTCCCTCTACTGGTTGACATTTCACTTTTCGTCGGGCGCAGCCTTGGATACACACGTTGGAACCCATCAACATAGCCAGAAAGTCTTCGTGATGGTCGTCGCTTATCCATAATGTGATGCCGAGGTGATTGAGTGTTGAAGGACGGATATTGGAAAGGCGGGGAGAGCGCAGCATTTGGGGTTGTCTCCTTTTGACTTCTCCCTGTATTTATGCGGGTAAGTGGAAGTGCTTTCTGTGGGGAGTTTTGATTCATTGGCAGCATAAGAGAGATTATTTTCATAAATGAGTATGCCATTGCCACTGGCTAGCGAGCCCCAGGGCTGAGAGTTGAGCTCTCAACCTAAGAATACATATAGCTATTGACTACTCAGGTCATCATTCCGAGAAACCAAATCCAAAATAAAAATACAGACGCAATTAGCCAGTAGGCTATAGCTAATACAAGAAATCTTCGGCATACTCCTCGTACTGCTGCATGAAGTCCACCATGTTGAACTTGTTAGTGAGGTGCTTGGCCGATAGGATGGCATTTCCAGCGTCAATGTACCCCTTCTTGAAAGATGCGAATAATGTTGGGCTTTTTGAGTAATGTGGGATAAAAAGCTGGTTGTCTCCGGTTACCAAAGCTCCTTTGAAAGCTTGGTACACATCATCGCTGTTTTTCGCCAAATCAACTGCCTCACATTGCCCGAAATCCAAAAGATAGAAGCCGATGGCGCGATGCTGAAAATCTGGGAAGTTGTTGTGGGCACTCCGTTCATCGGAGACTGATGTCCCAAGGACAAACTCCACATCATCCCCATTGGTAGCGGCGCCCCAGTGCAAGGTTGCATATGACTTCCCCATTTCAAGAGCAAGCGTGAATGTATCGATACCGAGCTCATTGAGGATACCAAGATGGAGAGGGATGTTTCGAAGTAAATCTGTTTTATTGTGACTCATGGAACCATTGGCTTTACCTAAATAAACCCGTGCAAGACAGTGTTTGTTAGCAGGACTGTGGAGAATAGAATCGATGTCCGTGGTGCTCAAATTCCTCTCACGACCATATACGTGAGTGATAAGAGCTTTTCGTACAACCTTCGGTAATGGAAGGATTCGCTCCATAGTCACGACATTTCCACGTTGGCGAAAGGCCTGAGGCATTTTCGGCATGATTTCATTCCAGAATGAATCCTCTTCAGTCTTCCAGATGAAAGTATGTGGGGTTGGAACATGTACCACATTCTGAGTGACGCTTTGGTACTGTTGAAAAGCGGCTGACACATCGCAATGGGTTTGATACTCGCGGCGAAGGTTTGAAGATCGCATTTCGTTTCCTGGGGTTTCCTTTTTGATCACAGGAAGCTTTCCAACAATCTCAAAGATAGCGCCTTGAAGGCCAATACCGATTTGGTTGATTTCTTGGAGATCTGTTCTGAACCGCGCACTCTGGAAGCGGCAACTGAAAGAAGATATTGTTGAAATCACAGATTTCAAGTTGAGGGACCTGTGCAGAATTACCGAGTCACTCTGGAGTGCGAGCTCAGTGGAGTCAAGAAAACTGCGAGCCACTTCGGCATCTCGGGCGATAGAAGATGCTCCTGAAGCCGCTGACTCTTCGCTGCTGTTATTATTGCGTCGTGAAGCCATTTTTGGGGATAAATGATTGGTGGAAGGTTAGTGATCCAGCTGGAGAAGAATTTGGGAAAGACTGATCGGCGGTGAGTCGCCGGTGACCGAAATGTCGCACTCGCACTAGAGGAGGAGTCAGGTTTTGACTTTGCTGATTGGCGGGTGTTCGTTGGGCCTAGCTTCAAATGTTGGTATTGAATCATTGATTGTTGCGGTTGAATGACGGAAGGGGTACGGCGGCCGATAAGGGCCACCCTACTGCCAACTCCCAATGGAGCTGAGGGATTCAACGTATAATAGACATCAGTACAGCGATTCAACATTGGAGTGCAGAGATTCAACGTACAATGCAGCGTACAATGCAGCGTATAATGCAGCGTGCAATACCGCGTAAAATACCGCGTAAATACCGCGTAAAATACCACTCACAATACCGCGTACAATACCGCGTACAATACCGCGTACAATACCGCGTACAATATAGCGTACAATATAGCGTACAATATAGCGTACAATATAGCGTATAATACTGCTCTTTGTATAATTCCAAGTTAAAATAGGGCCTGCTCAAAACAGACTTTTAACTATGTGAATCATAATACAAAGTAGGATTCAGCGATCGCGCGGTAAGCTGAGCAGACTTAGAAGTTTGATGAAAAAAAAACAATATGAATTTGAAATTACTCGTAATTTGCTTTCTGGCGGTCGGAAAGTTGAAATTGGGTTATGGCAGGGTGCCCTTATCGGCCACCATAGAAGCGGTCAATCCGGGTAGGATTTGCCCGTTCTTGTTGTTCTTTCTTAGTCCTAAACCTACTGTCATCAAGCTGCCAAGCATCCTTTATTCAAACTTACATATTATCTGATCCACATTCGTTTCCATCAATTATTCCTTTGCTCTCATCTATACCGTATTCAGTTTGCTTCAGTATTCAATGTTTTGGGGTTTGTTGGTTTCTATGGACCAGTGCTGAGAAAATAAACCTCCGCTGTGCTGTTTATGACAGAACCGTACGTGCTTGTAGTTATTGGCGTACGGATATTTTCTAAGCTTCAACGGAAGAAGCGCCTACATTACCACAGCGATAACTAGCTAGGTAGCATTAGGCTAATAGAATATCCCAATCATCATCATATGTGCAAGCCAAAATGGTGATGAAAACCATTTAGGACTGTCCACGGAATTTATCAGACCATATCAGATGGCCTCTCGCACGAGTTCCTCTCTAGTACTCCGTAATAGCACACTTCTCCCTGCGCGGCTTATAAAAGCAATTATTACTAGATGACAAAAACAAAAACAAAAACATACAACAGTCAGGATTCGCATGTGGTCACCCACCATACTACTAACTGACCGGCGTGTGGCTTAAGTACGGCTGAGCGGACGGGAAGCCCTGTTTTCCACACCCTATGGTCGTATGTGCTTGGAACTGTACTGATGAAGGCTATATGGTGCAAAGTCAAAATGTGTTACCATTTTATTTTCAGTGTGCGCTCTTTGGCAGCCCACTCGAAGATACGCGGGTCGTGACAGCAGCACATAACAACAGCCCAGATCACCAAAGGCTATACTAGAGATCTAGGAAGCCACCCGGAGGCATTAAATGAGAGAGATGTGTAGAAGCCTGTCATTTAAAACAATCTTCGAGGTGCTAAATATGCGTACTGAAAACCAGTGTTTTGATACAGGCCCGAAAAACCTATTCCAGGCAGTACCGTACTGTGGAGTCGTAATGTGGAGCGAAAGGATATTTCATGAGGGATTTCAAACAATTGAACTTGATGACTTGTTCGATTCTCCATCCCATTTCACTCTCACGTCTGTTTGTACATGCACCGGGCCCATGTGATCCATGCTGTAACTCGAACCACGGCATGTATTATCAGTCGAGGTCTGTTCTCTTTCGGCACCACCTGAAAATGCTGTAGAGTTTCCCATACCAGGTGAGCCACCGTTGTTGAGCGGCTTTTTGTAGTCGTTGTCTTCGGACCTCTCATAAGGCCTCAACACACTACAAGGGCCGTTGCGCAAGTGGCTGATCAGAGTTGGAAATGTTGGAAGGCAAGTGACAATGATACTCAAGTTCAATTCGACATTTTCCCAAATTCCAGCGATGCTTTGGGTCCCTATTGCAGTAGTACAAGTTAGCTACATTGAACAGTGGGCCAATAAACGAGAGCGCCGAACGCTTTCTTGGAACCATAGCACACCTGTGGGATTATTGAGGTCAATCTCTTGGATATAGATGATATGCATCAAGTCCGCGAGGCAGATACTGGATTTCACTATGTCAGCCTCAAGTGCTCGCAGTTCCAACCTAAGAACACAAGCTTGGGTTCAATACTCACAGTATACCAATGCAAAAGAGCCCAGACAGAAGCACCTTCTTTTTGCGACTCATCTTAAGTCTCCACAAAACTGGCTGCGGAAGACAGAGAATTAAAAAGTCCACCACCATGTTGATGCTGCTCATTACTATCCAGCTGTCGATTACATTGAAGTTGGCAGAGTGTGGCAGCCATGGCTTCCATTGCGCTTCAATCGGGTTATATGCAAAAATTAAGAGGCATTCACTGGTGATGAAATAACTGCCGATCAGGAAGCCGACAATCCACGATGAAACGCGGAAAGACTTTTGAATTTTGAAGATACGATTGTAGAGGAGAAGGACTGCAGCTTTTGAAAACGAGATACTCGCAGCGTACAATACGTTTTCGGCTAGTGTAATCTGAATAAGGCAAGATCGCATCAGCACCATGACCGTCTTTAGGTATCAGAATCGATATTGTACTTTGAGGAATAGTTCCAATGTAGCCGCATCGAAATATTCGACATTATATCCACCGTGGGCAATAGTCGCGTCAAGGAGTGTGACTATGAAGCATCCACATGCGAATATGAGGGCGATCAGGCTAAACCAATCATCCCATTTCACTGACATGGATATTCTTCGAGAGACAAATCGCAGTATAACGGCAACTATTGCGAGGAATGTGGAAACTGTTGTAATGACCACAAGGACAACATTTTCGTGTTGGATCCCGCTAGGCATCCAATCGACAGGTGACATCATTGAAGCCATTTTGAAAATAGGTCTTTGTCGGAGCAGGACTTATCATCTGAAAAGCCAAAAAACGCCGAGAAAGGTTGAGAAGGAGGAGGTATTTCTAGTGACGAAGCATAAAAAGACCTGGGGGTCAGATGCGATCCTGCTCATCGCATTCTAACGGGAACCGAGTTGACTGCGGGGGCTAAAAAGTGGCACCTTTTATGCAATCCAAATCAATTTCTCTCTGCTTCGTCACATGTGTGTTGTTGGCTCTGATCTATTAAAAGATATGTTTGACATATTATAGAAAAGTTCCATGCAGGAGGACGTCGATTGAAGGCGGGGTAACAAGTGATAGAATATGATTTCACAATTCTTCAGGATCAGCCAGCCGCCCCATGAGAATGTTCCATCTTAAATGAAGTAAGGATACATGCTTAACGCGCTTGAGTATGAATCTCTAGAACAAGTAGAAGAGCCGTGCACAGATTCGCCCCGCGGGCTGCCGTGGGTCACGGATCTTTGAATTCCGCGAAATATGGATTTAGATACCTTGAAAGGGCTTGCAACTAGCTTAAGGCTTGAAGTGTACCAGAATATTGGCCCCCATTATGAAAGGAACGGGGTTCACTTTTTGCTTTTTCCTTCCAGTTCACCTGGGCAACCTATGCACCGGTACTCGAGCCCCACGAGGTCTTAAGCATGATGCAATCATTACTCTAAGAATGGTGGGGCCAAGAATGGCGCGTTCGTGCGGCGATGGGACCCTCAGAGGGGGCCGCATCATCGGCCATGTTCAAATGTTGATACTCAATAAGTATGTTGCCGCAAGCTTAGACTTATATATTCGCTATTTTATGTGTGATCTCACAACACGGTTATTTTCTACTTGACGGGATAATCGTAATCAATATAGGAAGATTAGAGTCAGACCCAAAGAAAGTGACTATCCCCACCGATTTTTCCAGCGAGAACTGGGTCGTGGAGGAAATATGCGAAATGTGCCAATTCAGCCCAGTGGGGTAGATTCTCAGATCTCTTATCAATAAAAATGATTTTGGACACGGTGGGGTTAGTAGTCCCATCGACTCTAAAACGCATTCGACATCTTGGCGCAAACTAATTTTCATCGATGAACCATAGTCTAGTACCAATTCCAACTTCAATCTCGTTTCAGAATGGGGCAGGATGATCTTGGGGGTAAATCCCGACCGGGGGTCAATCGTGATTCAACAAGATCCACCGCTAGTTATCCCTTGTTTGGTTGCTCATGACTCATGAGTGAACCACCCCCCTCGCGCTGTTTTCCAGATGTGGTGTCCCTGCGACACAGAATTCTTGTCTACGTACGGGTCCTGGACCAATTCTTTATCTATTACCCCGTCGAACGCGCAGTGGAAGAAGAGGCTTGCATTCGCCCAATCATCGAATTTTGCTGCGGTAGTACCCGTCCCGGCTCAAGTGACTACATATCATCAATCCCGAATCGCACCGATTGGCCTATTACAAGTTACCCTTGTCCATACCGATACGAGCCATACGCATGCACGCGCAATACTTCAAAAATTACCCCGTAAGCGCCAAAACGGAGATAGAAGATGGATATCGACGCGAGTATTTCGAGGGCCAAAAATGGTAATACCCCAAAGGCTCAACATGTATGATCTCTTGAGCTATTGTGATGGGCCGTACTGAATAGGCATGCGTAAGCTCGCCCATGCGCGGATTCCTGACTGGGCACCCCTGCCTGCCCGGTCTCAGGCCGGCCTATTGGGCTTCAAGTTGTGGAAATATTGTTTCTTTGTATTCAGCTGAGAGTCGGCTAAAAGTACTAGGATTTGCAGCCCAGCCTCAGTTTAGTCAGCTGGCCCCCACCGCCCAAGAGCTGGGAAAGGGACCTCGAACTGAATCTTTTCTCTTTCGATTCGAATATCTCTGACTGAAATTTCTCTTCCTGGTTTCTAATATAATCGTCACCAGAAACACCTGCACTGTGAACGAAACCCGATTAACAGGGGCACCGAGCTCATTTCTTCTTTTCCACACGAGCCAAATCAAAATGGACCTGAGTTACGACCCAGCTCGTATTAAAGGTAAAACCATACTTATCACCGGCGGCGCTTCTGGCTTTGGCGCTGCATATAGTGCTCGCTGGGCAGCTGCTGGAGCAAACGTGATACTCGGCGACATCAATCCATCCGGCGAAGAAGTCGCGGCGCAAATCCGCCAGGACACGCAAAACGAAAATGTTCATTTCATCCAGCTAGATGTCACATCTTGGACATCTCAGGTGAATTTTTTTCGTGAATCTCTAAGATTGAGTCCACATGGTGGAATCGACACCGTCGTTGCGAATGCCGGCATCAACAACAGCGAGGAATCTCGAGCCTTCGAAAATCCAGAGGTCGACTATCTGAACTGTCCCAACCCGCCGGCTCCGAATTTCAAGACATTAGATGTCAATCTCACCGGCGTTATGTACACAGTGCACTTGGCCTTATTCTTTCTACCAAGGAATCCGGGATCGAAGCCGTGTGAGCAGGAATCGATTGCATCGGAATCGGGGCGAGACAGACATATCCTGCTGATGGGGTCCGTTGCCAGCTTACACCCGCTGATTACGCAGGCGCCGTATACCGTTTCGAAGCATGGGGTGCTAGGCTTGTTTCGGTGTTTACGCGTGACAGCTCCCATCAGCGCTGGTGTTCGAGTCAATATTATCTGCCCATACTATACCGACTCCACTTTCATGCAAACGCCCGTTCGGGTACTATTAGCGGGGGTGCCGCTCGGGCAAAGTGAGGATGTCATCGATGCGGCGTCATATTTGGTTGCAGATACATCGTGTATTGGTCGCTCGCTGGTTACGGGACCCAAACTGAAACTCAATTATTCGACGGGAGACTTGGAAGCTCTTCATGATGGAAACGATAAAGAGGGAGCTGTTTGGGAGTGCTATTTGCATGACTCGGATCCGGCAGATATTTTTACTCAACGAATGCTCACGGTTGTTAATGCTGCTGTGAAGGCAAAAGGATGGGCTGGCTGGGTGTCTGGTATGGCTGGTGCATTGACTTGGCCTGTCCGGCAATGGTGGACTTCAAGTTGAGCACTTGAGCCTTCATGCGTGAAGCAACGGTGTTTTTGGCTACCACGCAATTCGAAATCGGGTTTGAATAGAATTGAGCTTGTTTGCAATGAAATGCCTTGGTCCTTGTCCTGGCCATGCTACCAATTTCTTTGATTCAAAGTTAAACATTGCATATCCACCAGCAATCAGAATTGCTCCAAATAAAAGAAAAATGCAAATAATTGCTATTCGTACTCCCTGGATTCATATATCATCCATCATACATGTTCTCGAAATGTGGTATCTCGTGTCTCGAGGCCGCAGAACTACTTTCACGTGGTTGTTATTCGCCTCATTGCCACACTACCTTTTTGGCCAATAATATAAAACTTATGATCAATTAATTGATGAATCAGATTTTTGACACCGCTTGAGTATTTTGCCCTGCGAGTTTCGTCTTCTGTCCTTAACTAGACCAATGATAGGTCTCCTGAAGTGACAAACAGTCATGATGATACTACATGTGGAGGAAGGGTTCATTTACAGTAGCTAGCCTCTAACACTACGGATAGCAGTGATATCATATGAACCTCCTCCGATCGTACAATTCCTACTGCCACCGTCGTGCAGTACTGTACACCCCCGACCAAGGCCCCAGGTGCCTTGTAATCTTAAATCCTGACACATTAGAATGTCATGTAGCTATCAATAAGTAAAAGCAATGAGAAGTGCCAATATGTGGAGGTGGACTCTAGCTCATCAAAATCTTTAGAAGGTCGAATAGTATATTAGTAGCTAGCACCTTAGATTGACACATCCAGCTTTGTTCAAAAATAGGGACTTGAAGTTTACAAAAAGACAAAAAGAAACTCCGATAGGGGGAATCGAACCCCCGGCTGTCGTGTGAGAGACGACGATGTTAGCCACTACACCATATCGGAGGGGGACAACGAATTACTCCGTTAGGTTTAGCCTTATCATTTTTGGTTTAGCGTCAAGTGTCCTTACGCCTCTCTGTGCGTGGTGGTATATAGTCCCCAGTTCCCCCAAGCCCAGCATCCCTTGTTCTCTAACCTGTTATTTTTCTCCTCCGTGTGAGGTATTTTTGCTATTGATCCGGAGCACTGAGCTCCTGAGCTCCTGAGCTCCGCCACCCCTTTGCCCTGTGTGACTCGTCATCACCTCTACACAAATTTCTTTCGCCCCTCCTGCTTTCTTGGGCTCACCTTGGCCTTACCATGTTCCTGATCAGATACCTTCTCTAAGGTTCTGACGCTGGCCCCCGAATCTTTAAAACGTAACTACCCATCAGTCATTCGTAAATCCCATTATTAATGTATATTTCGCTACCGCACAGCCTGAATCATTCTACGAAAGCATCTCAGGATGGAATCTGACGAAGGATCACTTCAAAGGCTTTCAGCTCAGGATGCCGTTCTAGTTTTGGTTGCTTGTTGGTATGGTGGTAATCAATGCTACCAATCAGGTGATGAACTCAATTTTGTAGGGAATGATTGGGCTTTGTAAATGAGGGGAACTACAAATTAGTCGCAAAAGTTCACCTTAATAATACAATTATAAGCTTCTAAGCATGCTGACTGCAGCTTCTCCACTTTATCATGCGTAGGCCTGGGCGCGTAGCAGTTGGCCCAACAAGCGTTACCCATCTTGAGTCTGCAATAGTTTTTTCGCTTTGAAATAAAAGGCATCCAAGTTATTCCGCTGAACTCGATATAACTCGCTATTTATAAAGGGAACAACTTCAAAATCAAGTACGTCTAACCATGAACTTGTTATTGGCAACTTACTTAAACTCGTTTTAGCATGTGTACCGTTGACGTCTCAACAAAAATTTACGAGTGTGGCGATAGGATTACAGAAGATATCAAGTTCAAGACTTGCCCCAGCGTCGGTACTCCCGCTTGCCCCGGTCGCAAGGAAAACCCCTTGGGTTCAAGCCGGGTGAAAGGAAAATGTGGAAGCCACGGTTGTAGAAACCCCTAATTTGATGAGGCTGCTTTTGCGTTGATGAGACTTGGAAACGTTGATGATACCTGGAGACGTTGAAGATGCTTGGAGAAGGAAGGGCGAGGGATATTGCATGAATCGAATTTAAGGCCAGGTAACCGCGAGGCTAGGTTACCCAGCCGTCGTTGGAGCCCTTCCCGTTATTGAAAGAAAAGCTTCATCGTGGAGAAGTGCCCGCACATCACGATATTGTTCTGTCCAACATCTTTGTATCACAGTGCCACCAGGTAGACAATCGATCGGAGGGTATTTTTGAGACGCAAAAAGTTCATCTACCATTTCTGCGTAGTCGCTCTTCTCTGCCACGGATCTGAATGGCCCAGGTGTTTTATAGGGCCAATGTCCGGTCATGATCGTGTAGAAAATTGACCCAAGGCTAAATATGTCCACTTCCTCTGTTGAGACCCATGGCCTGCATGGATTGAAAAAGCCCGAGTCAGGAAGATGTCCACCATCGATGTCACCACTTGTTGATCCTCCAAAGTCGCAGAGCAGAAGATCGAGTTTGCTTTTGGAGTCAGAATGTAATAAAAAATTCTCTGGCCGCAGGTCAGAATGAATGACGCCTTTTTGGTGAATATAGTGGATAGCTTCCGCTGCCTGAAGACACCACTTTAATCGAAGAGGTAGATCGATATTGTCATTGTGTTGGTCAATGTAAGCCTGTAAATTACCATCGCTAGCTTCTCGGAAGAGCAATCCACGAGGTTCCTCCGAGATACCGATATATCTGTAGGATTTAAATTAGCATTGGCCAATCGCATGACTTCGGCCTGATATACCGTGTTACCCTAGGGTGTGCCCCTAATATTTCCAAAATTCGTTCTTCAACCTCAAAGCTTCGTTTGATGTCCTTCACAAAGGGGTGGACATTCGATACTCCAGCGTGCCACCACGAATACCTAGGGCATTTCAGGACGACACCTGGTCTCTTTCTTGCTATCAACGAAGTAGAGCCTTGCCCTAGAATTTCATCAAAATGAGGCTCATAAGGGACCGGATCTGCTGGTTCGCCGGGCAAAATGATTTGATCTTTCTTCTCGGCGATGCCATTGCTTGCTGAGGGTTGTCTGCACCGCTCAAGATCATCAGGCTCTTCACGTCTGGACGGAATTACCAGATGATGAATGTAGCTGAATATACCATGAAGAGTGTAATTTAATACTCTCCGCATAACCGAGCAACACCTCCACAGGTATAACAACATGTTGGAGAGCTGTGAGGAATATGAAACAGCGACTGGGATGCTCCAAAGGGGTTCGTTTGTCACGTTACATGATTGATAAAACAAACACATCAAACAAGTCACGTGATTAACAGGCCGCATGACTAGACATGCCCATCCAGGACAGGACCCAATGGGACCTTAGGAATGTCCAAGTTAGTCCTGTGGAATTCCCGCTTACTAAGTCCCATGGGATCGACCCACTGGGACTTGGTCATGTGGTCTGGTCCCATGGGAACCAGTTTGGGCATGTCTACGCATGACTGCTCTACCTAACTAGTCATGGCTCATGACCAAACCGCTCGATCTTTTCAGGCGGGGGCCGCCAGGCAAGCTTTCTAAGCTCCACCGGTAAGCGATCTTTTATTTTAGGCTATATTGAAATATGAGTTGCCAATAGATTATATAAATCGTGTGTCGAAGTCACATGACTAGGACATGTCGGCAGTCGGCAATACAAGACGCCGATCTCCCTGATAACTTGCTTCGGATTCAGTAATTAGATGGTATTTTTCTAACTTACACCATGAGCAATTGAAACGAGCTCCTGAGAGACTATATACCCGAAAAAAAACCGTATACAAAACTATTTAGGTAAGAGGGTTGCCAATGATAAATAGATACAATAGCAAGTCTCAAATCATGCGACGTAGCTGCTTCGATCATCTCAGCTTAAAAGGGAAGACTTCGGGTGAGGATATGTGCTTTGGTGTTCGTGAGGACTGTGGCATGCCTTTCCCGTGAGCAATAGTCTCACTGGTTGCTAGAGCCTTAGCATGTATGATCTCCTTGGATTCTACAGGAATTAGTACAAGGAAGTAATAATCACCTATCGTCTAGAATTTACCCGTTTGGCATTTTACACCCTCTATATCCTTTATAATATCATAACTAGAGCCAAGTTGTAGCAAGTCCGAAGGAGCCTTTGTCGCTTGATCATTCGAGTGAGTGTCGCTTTCCTGTAGGCCTCTAAATTGTGAAAATCAACTTTCACACTCTGACTAATCTCTATGCGGGCTGTGGAAGGGGATCCCTTGATAATCGCCCAGAATTAGGGCGAGGTCATGATCTCGGTGTCGACATCTGAATCGCACTTATCTGCCTCTGTTTCGACATGGATCACGATTGGATTGGGAGCCGAGCCCGAGGGACTAGTGTCCCTCTCAAACACTTTGGGATGAGACTCCGTGTACAACTCGGAAGAATGAGCGTCACGTTCGACCAATTCACAGGCTGGAGATCCAAATGTCACAGGCGGGCTATCAATTGCCCAGTAAGGGAGGCCGAGATAGTCCGGCGTGATCTGAATACCTGCTTCGGAATCACGCTGATTCGTGCTGCAGTCTTCATCGATATAGATCATAATAGGATTGGAGGTAGAGCCTAGTGGGCTTGACCGCTCATTGGCTCTCGTACCTAGACCACAAGGATGAGCGTTTAACAAGGCGAATATGGAGCAAAATGACTCACTTTGGTCATAGTTCCTTTCAGCTTCTTGGCAAAAGCATTTATCCAAGGAGAGTGCAAGAGCGTTTGGTATATCTGCCTCTTGCCCGCTCGGGGCAGGCCAGGCTGTGTCATAAGTCAACTCCTCCAACAGCTCACCAAATTTAATGGCTGGGCCAGATTCATCATCAATCACAATATAATTTCTCTTCGTGCTCCCAGGTTCGGGCTTCGTGCTCGATTCATCATCAATCATGATGGGATCTGTCTTCATGCTACTAGGCTCGGTGTACCAGGGCTTCGTGCTAGATGCTTCATATACTTAGTCAGTGAGATTGTAGGAAGATTGAACACGCTTCAAGGCTCTTACCAATGGCTTCTGGCAGTTTCTCGAAATAACTCATGGTGACTGGTGTGTGCGGGTGAGATAGTGAACCTTGGAACTTCGAAGAGTGATGGTGAGTGTTTTCATTAATGTACGAGATGCAGGGCTTTATATCTTTCAAATATTAAGGTCAGGCGGGCGACATGGTTCTATTCTTATCCATAGACAGTGAAAGCCTCGGCAGCGTCGCATGCAGATGGAGATGTAGCCATGACACTAGACCTGTCTGTAGGACAACTCAAACCAATCTTACACTGCCTCCTCATCAAATAAATCTAGTTGGTGTTGGTGTTGGTAGCTAGTCTGGAGAGAGTGAGAGCTTCTCTCTCCTTTCCTCCTTCTCTCCTTCCTTTCCTGCCCACCCCCACTGAAGAAGAATACCACACAGTTGATCCTTCTCCACCTTATTTCCATCGGTCTTCTCCAGACCTACGTTGTAGATCTGTCACTCTCGTCTTCAGAATTAGCGATCGCCCAGTCCTTCATGCTGGCTGAGTATAGTGGGACCTCTAGCCCGTGTCCTGATATTGAATCTTGGGCCTACGAAAACACTTTTTGTCGCCCTCCGTCCCATTGTTCTGAATGCGGTCAATACCGTAATGGCACTTTTATCGCTTCTCGCCCGAACCGAGGTTCCTTCCGCTGACTGAAACGGATGCTCTCTGCGAAAAGATTGTTGGCCTCTGTAGTGACATCAGTGACCTTAAAGCTCAGTGAGCGATGATATTGATAATTGATAAGCTTTAATTTTATTTTCTAACCTGACAGTTGACTAGACTATGTGCGCATCCACATCTGCTGTCTAATATATCGAGGTTCCTTCTATAAGATTTAAATCCGTGGCTAGCCGGAGTGGAGCAAGCTCTTGGGGACTTTCAAGGTCCGCCATCTTCGTGAAAGCCGTTTTTAATTTAGAAGTTTAGAAATCTATTGGTAAAATTACTCTCTTTACCATATTGGTAAAGAAAGACCACCTAGCAGCTGACTAGCTATATGCATCCTGGGAGCGCACGAATTCCTTGCTAAATACATCGAAGAGCAGTGAGGAGATAATAACTTACCCCAGGATTTAGCATAAGCTTTATGGTCTCAGCAATACCAATGTTTGCTTATTAACTTTGTCTAGAAGGACAAACTAACCTCTTGAGTCTTGAGACTAGGATGGTCACGTGAGGAGGGGTCGTCGGATAATTAGGCAGCAAACCGTCAGAACCCATCATGCCACTTCTTCATTAAGCAAGCCCAATGTCCAATATGTATGTCAGATCAGACTTTATATGACTCAGAAACATCGCCTAACGGATATCCCCCTCTTAGATATGCTTAGGTGCTCGCAAGCGATACGATTCTACAATGCCCTCCGAAACACCGAGTCCCCTCATCAACGAAGATCGCCGGGAACAATTCTCAAAATGGCTACAGACGGCTTCCTTTGAAAAGTTTGCAAGTGGAATACATTCATGCAACGATAAAGAACTTGGCCGCCGGGTTTGGGATCTACTGGTCGAGGGTGGTATATACAAAGAGGTATTTCTTCCCGACAGTGTTGGAAATATACCTAAGCTGATTACAAAGGGATTCGAATATTCTGCTTGGAGGACCGAGTCATCTTCACAATTCAAGAGTAAGGCAGGGTCTGGTGATCTGATTGTTATCTCAGGTACACCACGACTGGGATCGAGTCCTGTCCTTGCACCGGGATCGATTTCTCGAGTGAGCAACGAAGACGTTGTCTACCCACCTATGGACTGTATCTATGTCTCAAATGCACAGAGAAAGGATTAAACTTGAACCTGCAAAGCATTTACTGGGGGCCTGGGTAGACAGGCGGTCCCAGTTGGTGAAGGCATTGGGTCTGGCGCATCCTGAAATATACCGTCGATCAACCCTTGGGTAATCTGCTGCTGGATCCGATCATGCAGCATGTAATCAGACCTTAGGGATGTGTCAATAGCCTGCGGATGAAGGCCCATGAATGACCCAGCGCTTTCAGGTTGGAATAGCGTTGAAGTCGACATATAGTTAGAGCAAAGAGATGTATCGATAATTTGTGGTTCGCCACTAGCTATGGTTGGGCTGACCATAAGATAGTTCGAAGCCTGCTGCCATGTATATGGTGTCAATTCATGATCGGTAATTGCCGAATTGGCATGTGTTGTTTCGGACTGAGTAAAATTTTGAAAGGAGCTTTGGAAGGGTTGTAAATGGACTGAATGATCGGTAATGTTCTCCAACGGCTGGATGCTAGGAGGGTGATTGAACTGCTGTGATTCGCGAATTGAACACAAATCTCCTCCAATTACATCATTTGATTCCGCTGTTGGTGGACATTGCGGTGGCCGATGAATTCTGTCTTCTGGTATGCCGATCTCCGGCCCTCGTTTCCTTTTGCGGGAAAACTCACGCCATTGCAATTGGTGAGCCTTCCAGGTTTTAATCGCATCTAGCTGGGTTAACACAGACTATACCAGATGCCGGGGCAAAACTTACTGTCGTAGCTTTCTTGACATTTCACCAGCCAGGTTGTCTGTCTTTCCGCTAGCTTTCTCCATGTAAGGCTGTTGATATCCGACTCCTGCTGCTCTTCCTCCGCATTCGTATTCTGCTGCTCTTCCTCAGTATCCCTATCCTGTTTTTCAAACCGATCCTCCAGATCTGAGAAAAAAGAATATTTGACGGAGCGAAAAGAGCGGTATAGGAAGATGAGAATGGCCGAGATTCCAGCGACGCCATAAATGGACTCAAAAACAAGAAGTCTCAGGCCATGTTTGATTCCGTGCATTGCAGTGTTTTCGTCTTTAAATTGGTGGGCCTTCACAAAGTCACTGATATGGCCGCTGCGACGAGACTTGCAGAAATGTTTTGGATCCTCGGAAATCTCGTCAAGTCGGGATGTCTTAAACTTCTCCTTTTCCCATTGGTCATACTCTATAGCCAATGATCTTTGACTCAAACCTCGTCGTAGCTTACCCTCAGGATTGCTAGTCGGAGTGGCAAGAGAAATATCAATGATACGAGGATCTTCATCAAACCAGCCATTTGCGAAATCGTATTCAGGACCTCTAAAGGAACTCAATATAGTTTCCTTTTCACGAGACAAAGCTTCAAATAATTGATCGATCGCTTTGCAACATGATGGTGGATTGCTTTCGGCGCGTGAGTTGCTTTGTTGTGAATTGCTATCGGCGGGTGGGTTGCCTTCGGCGGGTGGGTTGCCTTCGGCGGGTGGGTTGCCTTCGGCGGGTGGGTTGCCTTCGGCGGGTGAGGTACTGTAAGAAGACGGGTTGTGGTCGTCAGGTGGGTTGCGAGAAATTGCGGTGGGGAGTTGAATAGCTCGTGCAGCATCCACTTGTTCTTGCAGGACGCGTAGAGCGTCCTCTAGCTTGTCTCGATGAGGGAGCAATTCTTGGACATTTATTAGTCGTAATGTCGCCAGGACGTGGGCTGCATTCAGAATTTCTTCAATCGTAGGCATTTTAGTCGTGATGGCAAAGAAAGAGAAGGGCATGAATACCTGATGCATTTCTTACATGGATCCCATCACATGAGCCAGGGCGCAGCATCCCTATCTTTCTGGCACCGGTGCCAGAAAGACAGGGATGCTGCAGACGAGGCGGTATTTCCTCCAATCATATTACAGCGGTGAGCGGCCAGGCCCTGAACTTTCTGGCCCGGGTGCCAGAAAGACAGGGATGCTGCAGATAAGGCGGTATTTCCTCCAATTATATTACAGCAGGGAGCGCTCAGGTCCTGAGTTTTCTGGCACCGGTGCCAGAAAGACAAGGATGTTCTTCGGATGATCATTAAGTGGTGTTGCAAAAGGGAGCTTAAAGTCTTGTCTTTCTGGCACCGGTGCCAGAAAGACCGGGATACTGCAGATGAGGCGGTATTTCATCCAGTTATCCTACAGCAGGGAGTGGTCAGGCCCTATATTTTCTGGCACCGGTGCTAGAATGACAAGGGTGCTACGTAATCAATTAGCTACTCGCATGTCAATAGTCTATAATAATGATGAGATGAATCCTACTTATTCATATTCCCATTAACCGCTAAAAGCGATCTTGTATAGGGAGCGCACCAACAGACGGAAAATGATACAGGATAGGGCTAGCGGTCAAGTGGCTAAAATGGCTAGTTCTTAGTCTGGCCGGCGAGAGACACAGGTACAGCTAGGTTTGCAATTTTCTTTCTTTCTTTATGATAGAGAGAAACCCCAAGCCTACGGGTGAACGTATCGTTTTAGAACCGCAATAAAGCATACAAGACATTGAAAGCAGAGGATGCAGCTCTACCCCATGGCATAGCAGCCTTATCCCTACACTCAAAAACCTCAACATTAAATATCTTTCATTCATCACTTGAGATTTTAATGCATCCACAGATTCTATGTTCAAACCCCAATTCTTTCATCCGGATTTTGCTCGAAAACAGTTAAATTATAAAAAGATCGAATGCCCTAGTGATTTGAATGGACTTTTTTATTACAAGTCATCATACTACATACTATATTGATGGATAAGATGGAATTCTTCGACTTATCCGTGAGTCATAGGAAACTAGTCCGGTACCCAAGAAGTAAGCTATCAAAGATTGAACTCATACTCGTTCGAAGAAGATTAACACTGTTTAAGTCTTCACGTTGACCGACGACGGCTATGCCATTGTGCCAACTTCACCCACTCTCATATCTTATTGTGAAAAAATATTCGGCGGACAGAGATGGTATAATCTCGCCCAAATATACATTGTCATGATGGAGATATCGCCGGTGGCCACTTTGCAATTGCAGGGAGCCAGCGCTGCTATTCTAGACACAATGCGTCTGCTTCTTCATCAGAAGACCCCTTTTAACGAGACACCCGAGGGTCAAATGACCCGAATTACCATTTTTCTTCAGAAATGTGTTTTGGTAAAACCGGAATTTGCACCCGAGGAATTAGAAGGTCGCCCATGTGTCTTAGAGCGTTTAATTCCCGGTTATAACTCTGATCGACAAATCAGTGACGATTCGTGGTGTGCCGTGTTTACGATCTTGACTGACTGGATGCAATTCCAGATAACAGGGACATTAGAGTACATCTCTTCAACGTTTGACTTGTTTCAACCTCTTGTTATAGATAAAGTTTGAGTGATATAAACAAAAAGTATCAAAACCCTCAATCAAAGTTCTTCGGAAGTAATATTCTTCAAGGCCAACTAGAAAAACTTGAAATGAGTAGCTGCTATGCCACTAGGAATATAAGATTATATTACGATGCTTTCTTTTAATAAAAATAGTAATAAAGTGAGTTAGAGTAGGGCTTTATGTAAGAACTTACTCTATCGCTTGATATGGTGAAAGAAAAGTGAAAAACAAATGCGATACATGCCGTCTTATGTGCTATATTTGGCAAGACTCTCCACCCGAAAGCAGATATGAGGATATACGTCGTGATCTAGAACACTGAAATTCCGGCTTGGTGATCTATTATGGTGTGATGGGGAGAAACAGCTAATCTGCCAACCACCTGGGTCGGGATTTCTAATGACTGCTGGTTCAAAAGAGGAATTTTTCCTGAGAGCCACTACAGGATTAATGGCCGATTAATTTCCGAATTCTAAATTATAAATACTAACCAACACAGTCATCCGATTCCATGTCCAGTAAACTTCACCTTTTGAGACCTCCAATTGACACCATGCCACCATTTCCAGGTAAAATCTCTCGCAGCGTATATTGTGCAGAAGCTTTTGATATTTTGAACCAGTATCCATCAGGCTTGACCTCCTCCGAGCTACACAAAAGAATGATGCAACGTGGATATGAAATTTCATCTAACCACAATCGCACTCTATGTAGCAGTTTGGTTACACCGTTTTTCAAGTGCATATACATGCACGGCCATACTCGTGTTTGGAGCTTGACTACAGAACCTCTTCCTTTGATACAACAAAGACAGGCAGTTTTAGCATCTCCAGAAGCCATTTACAACGTCTTTAGAGGTCTTGAAGGATTATTCCTATCAACAAAATTTATCAAGAGTCAGATCGAACAAAATGATGCGTCAAAGAACCTAGATCCCGTGTTTCTCAGAATCCAACTCAGAAAGTCAGAGGTATGAAGAGAGAATGGATAATCTTCGGCCATTTATATATTTACTGAAATCTTTTCTTCTTTTTTCTAGGGACTCAAACGTCATCAAAGGAGAGAGGCTTGGGCTCTTAAACAACAGAATATTAAGAAGAGCACCAATCTTCATCCTCAGCAGGCACTCCAACTAGGCCAGCCATCACCGATCGATCATTTCCAAATTCTACGCCTACCATCATCATCACCGATCCAAGATCATTCCAAAATTGAGGATACTCTTGAGAATCTTGATATTGGAGATTACTCCTCTCTGATAGAGGCTTTGATTGGAGTGGCTTGGGAGCATGGCCCTTGTGTCTACACGTTTAAATCATTCCAAGAATCAAAGCAACCAAATTGGTGGCCGGAAGACACTCCTTTTATCCCGCCCGTACGACTATTTAGATGTGGTATGTCTTCTAATTTCGGGTCGAAGTTAGTGGGGAGGCTAATAACAACGGAAATAGAACAAACCAAGCTACTAGGGGCCATTTTTAACAGGAATCTAGCAAAAGTCACCCTTCACAACCTTCAGTCTATACTCAAAGATACGATCGAGAAGAAAGAACATCAACAGATAATCTTGAAAACTTTTACGAATCTTAAGGAAGCAAAACCTTATATTGTAAAGCAGATTCCATTTCGCTCCTTCCTCATTGAGATCAGGGAATTCCGAGAATCGCATCAACAGCCATTGTAAGTTTCCCGACCCAGGATTTGAGCGTTCCAGCCCTGATAGAAGCCTGATAGAAGCCAAAAGACACATACAGCTCATGTCGAATTTGACCGCGGAGGAAATCTTCATCATATTAGGCGTTCTGGGCCCGAGGACCAACTTCACCCCTCCCTTCTGGATCCCAAGTTAGCCGAAGCCATTTTGAAAGGTGGGGTCGGCACCTGCATTCAAATTAGGGCCATTTGTGACGGTGCTCAAGTTTCTATGTAAGTTGATGGATGTAAAGGTGTATTAAATCGGGTCTGTTACTGATTCCCAGCAGTGTCATTACAGTAAGGGGTATCTTTGCCCCAGAAAAGTCAGCTATTCCGAACTTGATCCCTCATATCGAGTCGCCTGTATAAGTTGACCTTTCAAACCTTGTAACTACCCAAAACCGCCTTTGGCACTTTATCATGTAATATACATATGTACTAGCGAGTAGAATTCATGCCTAAAAGCAGGGCATGTTTTTCGCTCGTTGTTAAATACCATTCATCCTCTTCCAATAATTGTATCAATATGTGCACGGAAATAAAATAATGAATTTGCTTGATTCTATCCAACAGGTCTTGCAGGGCCTTTACTGCAGGATTCGTAAAGCCTTTTCTTCACTTTTTAAGAGCGGCCTAGAAGAAGGCATTACGGTATGAACATTCATTAAATTTCTAAAAGTTATTTGAGATTAACGATTCTCCAGCCAGCCAAGAGAAGTGATGTTATCAACCTCGAAGCCACTATAGCAATGCATAGAAGACAGGCTTGGTGTACAGAGGAACAGACTCAACAAGTTCCTCTGCAAAACACCCAAGCGACAATTCCAACAATATGATGCTTGATACGGCGAAATAAGCACCTGAATAATAAACATGACATGTGCTGTCTATCTTGCCGACGACGGCATTTTCTGCATGACTCAGTGGAAAATATTTGAACCTTGTGCGCAAACTTTGTCCAAATCCAATACTGTATATAACATTGAAGGGAGTCCCTCTCTATGTATCTTTTCAATGTCACAACTCACCTCCTCCCTCCTCCATTCTTGTTCTTCCAGTCAAGCCTCTGTTCCTATGATTTGCTACGATTATATCTTCCTCATTCTACGACGACACCCAACTGGTCTAAAAGTGGAGGAAATCGATGAAAAGATTAAAGCCAATGGCAAGGATTTTGCGCACAGCACTATCATGCAGGCCTTAAAAGTAAGTTATCGATTTCTAAATACAATCTATGAACATTTTATAATGCTGATTTAGTCTAAAGAGTTCAGATGCCGGGAGGAATTATGGAAACTGACAGAGGAGGCCGGTCGGATCCGTATCTTGCCACGAGCGGAGGATTACATGACTTGCAAGGCGACTTTGATCAAAGCTCTTGAACTTTATGGACCGGGGTCCATAGAGCATATTCGGGAATCATGCTTACAGAAAGCGTGCTTACTTACTGAGTACCAAATTTTGCACCTTCTTTTGACATACCCGGTACATTTACTCCCAGTGATACTTATATTCGAAGATCTGGCATAATAATACATACAATACAGAATTTTAGATGCATGGGCCATATTTGGGATCTCAACTTCAAGCTCAACCCTATACTCAATATTCCCGAGCGACCCGACCAAATTCTGCCATCCTTCAAAGAGATGTTCCCTGTGAAGATTCTAAGAGTTGTTCCCTCCCAAAAAATGATCCAATTAACCCCCTGACCCTTGGATCCTTTCTGCCTTGATCTTGCTTTCCTGCTTTCCGGATTTGTTCCAAGTTGGTACGATTTTCGAATTCTGTTTAATCACTTACCATATGACCTGTACTCTTACTCTTCTTCCTATAGTTAGTTCTTCCTTCTCTCTCTTCTTCTTTCTTCCTTCCTTGCAGCACTCAATACTACTGTATTACGTTCTCACCCTTCTTCCTAGTAGACTCGTTCTTTTTGATCTCTTAGATTCAATGTAATCTTTCTGGATTTCGCCGGATTAAGAGGATTCATTTAGTATTTGATATTGGTGTTTCATTAGCTAGCATTGCCTAGGCCTAGATCTCCCTCCACGGGTATCATTGGTCCGGGTAATCACATTAAGTGCTGGCCTAGTGCCCTATATGAACCAGCCCGCCGGGGCTACAGGGTATATGCAGTTGGTTGGTTATCATACTAAATCAATCAATCAATTGATCAATCATGTATATATTTATATCAGACCAACCCCCAAAGAGACTCTACATATGTATCACAGATATTCCTCCAACCTTTTCAAAATATCATAAAACATCTCCACAGCTTCACTCAAATCATCAAATTTCTCAACATTGAAGTTTAAATCGCTATGGGACCAAAACCAAAAGAGTTCAAAGTTCCAATCAAAGTTTGCTCAAATTTTCGATGGTCAATTCGAAATTTTTTGGACGAGTACCCGTTATGTAAGGAGATAATATTTGGTATTTCGATGTTTACTTTCAACGACAATCATGAACTGTGTATCCGCATGGTTAAGCCAGATGGGGTGTGGGAGCAAGGGCTCATCAAGGGAGTGACAAGCAAATATCCTTCTGGCACTAAATTAATTGGTGCGGCGAAAGAAGAGTTCCAACAACAAACCAGTCGTGAACTGAAGGATGTGGCCGACAATTCAACTTTCGAAATGACTCTTGACTCTGATGGGTCTGTGAGGGGCCATTTGAAATACGTCGTGATTGATGAACAATTACCAGCTTCGCCGTTATGGCCTACCGGCCTATCAACTGATGGTTTCAATCACTGCTGGTTTACAAAAGCCCAAATCAAAGACTCTAGCCTTCTATGTGATGAAACGAGAGCTAGCTGCCTTCTTTGTTTCGGAATCTTTGAGCAACAGAATAATCTGTTAGAAATTTCATAATTTCTATTACAAGAGCGCCTACTATAGTCAACAGCTACTCAACTACCTGTCTACTATCAACTTCAATGAACAAGTACTGGACTGGGGAACCTCCCTGGTAAGTTAATATTCATGATATCTTCTAGTCTTCTATTTTATACAATTATAATTAATCTAAGTATACTCTTCCACTCTAGTTTGGACTTTTCCCCCAAAACATCACCTACCAAGTCAGATAAGGAATCAAAGTTCGGCAAAGATCCTGATACCTAATGCTCTCTTATCTTGTTTTCTCTTCAGACATAGATCCTTTTGTCCTGTTTTTTTTTTGTATTTACCGCAACCTTTGATTACAATCTAAAGTATGTTGATAATAGGTAATTTATGCCACCAAATGAGTACGAACTAAGGGCAAGACTTGAATAACAGGCATAAGATATAGATGGATCATGAGAGTTCGGCAGTAGGAGATAGAAATTCACAAATCAAGCAAGAGTAAATGCCTCTTTTTCGAACCCAGAGCAAGTAGCATTGATGTTTTTGAGATCGGTGACAGGGTGATCATTCACCCATCTATGCCCATGATAATTTTCTGATAATTTGAGCCATATCTTATCGCTAGGGATGGCCGGTTTCCATGACAGGCCAGCTGGATTTCGATGGTATTCCTCACGAATCGATGCATCAAATTGGTAAATGCCTATCGACCCTTCGCAGGCTTCGCAGGCTTCGCATTTTGTTATGCGTAGGTCTGAAAGCTTATCAATGGAGGCCAATCTCAGACCTGTTGCTGCCAGAACATTCAACCATATGGTATCCGCGACTGATCGCGATAGATCCCACTTCAAATCGACATGCAGCTGTGGCAGCATCCATAGGGATGAAGGAGTTTGTTGTAAGAATAACGTGCCATGTTTGGTCATGATCCGCACCAGAAAGATAAACTGGTGGAGCTCAGGTCTAGCATCGGCAAATGATCTTGGAGGGAGCTCGAGACATGAAAGATTCGGCCCAAAAGAGTATTCGTCCGTCATATTGAGTGATGGGTAGTTATAGATATTCTTTTTAGATTACAAGTATTTCATCCGATATTTAACAAGTAAAGGGAAAGCTGGGGTGGGCATGCTATCCGCGACCTACTCCAGTAATCTACTGGCCTTAGGCCTAGAGCCACATGGGGGGGTGGGGGGGTCTGATCCTAATCCTCTCACCAATAAAAACACTCTATCTACTATACATGAGCTCTGGGCACACTGGTATCTACTTAACATCAAGATATTTTTATAACCACACAGTTCCAAGGTTCAGACAACCAACCATCTTGATAATTGTTGGTAATGCACCGGAAAATGCGGGTTTACTTGATGTGTCCTATTTCCTATTTCCTTTGCTCCGGTTATATTCTAGTATAAAGCTTGACTACCGGCCTAGATTTAAATTATGCTATACCCAGCAAGAATTCAAGTCATTCCCTCCCTCGATATCAACCCATGCTATGAAAGGAACCACATATAGTCCTGACTGGAATGAAAGACAGGAGTCTATATGTACTGATGCTACTACCCACACAATGGCTGACGCCGAGGTGAAAGATAAGTCACTGGTGCATCTTACTCTACGTATGATATACAACCCGGCCTTTGGAGTTGATTATAACCTAACCTTCTATAGATCAGACTATAATACCTGTGATGACTTTGAAAGACACCGTGTGCTTCATCCCTCTTCACTCACCATTAATGAATGAGTGCCGAAGATTTTGGGGAGATAAAGGAACGACATACTACCATGCATACGAGATCGCTATTGCTATGCATAAGATTGCACCAATGGACTTGATAAAGACAAACGATGGATGCTTAGTTCGGACTGCTTTATCCCAAGATCTTCAGAACCACAGCTTTATGAGTTCGTGGCCTGGGGCTATGACTCGTCTCGCCAACCTCCTTTCGTTCGATATCTATATCACAATTTTTGTTGAAGGTGACTATACTATGGTGAAAGGCTACTTGAAATGTATTATGCCCGCAGCAGACAACATTGGCCATAGATTGGACCAGAACTGGGTAATTGAATGTTTTACATATGGAGGCCAAGGCATGGTTTGTTTCCTTGGGAATATTTATAGTCTGTGCCAACAGTTGGGTTGCTGAATTTCTCAACCATATTTACAGAGTGATGCTGATACAATAATTGTATTTTATTTGAACGACCAGATCTAATCAATTGATCAATTCTGAAAATCGGAGTGGGGACTGAATATGTAGTAGAAATAACTATTCTCCATCTTCATCATCACTAATCACGATAATGACTTCTTGGAAGGTAAGGGCCATTGGATAGCGAGATTCCCTTGAGGTTGCGGAGGTTGCGGAGGTTGCGGAGGTTGCGGAGGTTGCGGAGGTTGCGGAATTTGTGGAGGTTATAGTATCTTTGGTGGTAGTAGACGTTGTCGAGTAAGTAAGTATTCGGAACGAAAGAATGAACGCATTTGTTTACCTTTCAAATCCCTGATTCGCTTCTCCAACAAATCCCGTTGGAAAACTTTCATGATTATGTGTCTGCAATCTGTATCATCGGGCGTGGGGCTGTTTCTTAAGTAATTTTAGATAGGCACGATTTCCGAAGGCCACGATTTTCGAAGGCCACGATTTTTGAAGGCCACGATTTTCGAAGGCCACGATTTTTGAAGGCCACGATTTTCGAAGGCCACGATTTTCGAAGGCCACGATTTTTGAAGGCCACGATTTTCGAAGGCCACGATTTTCGAAGGCCACGATTTTTGAAGGCCACGATTTTCGAAGGCCACGATTTTTGAAGGCCACGATTTTTGAAGGCCACGATTTTCGAAGGCCACGATTTTTGAAGGCCACGATTTTTGAAGGCCACGATTTTCGAAGGCCACGATTTTTGAAGGCCACGATTTTCGAAGGCCACAGTTTAAGATGGGCCCGATTTTCATTATGAAAATCGTACTGGGTTCCCTTTGAGTTAGTCTAGTCAAGAGGGTATAGCGAGTTACCGGGCATATAGTGAAGTTGAACGTAGGTTCGGATCCCTTATGGAAAACAGCAATCCTTTTTTTAGATAAAAAACTCCTGATAGGTCTGAAGAGGTAAGAGGTGTAGTAGTATATCATTCCAATCTAGTACTTTTTCTACTTGTAACCTCTACTAGTCTGACTCCCTACTATCTGTGCATATTATTCTGTCACTGCGCCTGCGCCTTGGTTTGTAGCAAAAGTGCTTGATCCTGAGCCTGCCCCTGGGACTGTGAACACATCTGCTACGTCATTTTCAGTGGGTACTGGACGCCAGGGGACATAGCTTGCGGCTAAGTCTGGAATGGACTTCGGAACTATTGCGACAGTCCTTGTGGGTACTGGACACCAGGGGGCTGAGCTTGCAGCTGGGTGTGGAAGTTACTTTGGAACTGTTGCGGCAGTTCGTACTGGGCACCAGGAGACTGGACTTGCGGCTGGCTCTGGAATGAACTTCGGAACTGTTGCGATAGTCCTTGTGGGTACTGGACACCAGGGGGTTGGGCTTGCGGCTGGGTGTGGAAGTTACTTTGGAACTGTTGCGGCAGTTCGTACTGGGCACCAGGAGACTGGACTTGCGGCTGAGTCGTGAATAATTGTTGTGGCTGTTGGTACTGGAGCTGTTGCGGGACATGCAGCTGAGGGTGCTGAGCCACTGGTTGCAGCTGTGACTGAGACTGGTGCAGCGGCTCAGGTGGAGCTGCTGGTTGGGGGTGCTGGGGTAGCTGAGGGTATTGAACCATCGGCTGTAGGTGTGACTGAGGCTGGTGCAGCGGCTCAGACTGAGCTGCTGGCTCCGCCTGTGGCTGGAGCTGAAGCTGTAGTGGCTGCGCCTGTGGCTGGAGCTGAAGCTGTAGCAGCTGCGTCTGTAATTGTTGGATCTGCTGCTCAATTTCTTGCTGCGGATTAGGAGACGAAAGAAGAGCTTTTTGTGTTTCGCCAGGAAACATAACTTCCAGCGCCTCTTTAATTGTGGACGTAGACTGCTGCATGGTCATGTATTGGGCAATTAGTCGTTCTCCTTCTGCTGCGGACAATATCCTCTTGAGGGTTGATCGCGACATAGCCACCTCTATGTTATCAAGCCCCTTACCATAATGGTAGAAGCCCACTGCAATGAATGGCAAGTTCATTTTAGATGGTTTCCATTCCCCCAATGCCACAAATGAGAGCCCAGAAACGCCTTGACATGATGAGACTCGCCTTCGAAGCTCTCGAATTTCCTCCTCGCCTTGCAAAAAGCTAGGAACTCCAGCATCGGTAGCCCCCTTCAATACTGGTAGACCACCGGCGGCGCCACTCGAAATGAGTCGCACCATACCCTGAGTGTTCCTGGTCACCAAGCGAGCACCATTGAATCCAAGACGCTGTATTGCCATGATTTCCTCGCCGTTTGATGTGAAACCAGGCCGAAAACAACGAGATACCATTCTTTGTGAGAGAGTGATGGTCCTTATTTGGTTGCCAGTCGCATTCCAAAGCTGCAGTGAGTTAGACTGCGGCAATGGATGAGACTGTAGTGAATTAGGCCCCTGTGTCGGCTGAGGAGTTGCTATAGTTGATGACCTCCCCGGCTGTGCTGATTTAAGCCACTCCAGAGGCTTGGCCCATTCTTCTGGGTAATGGAAACTTCGGCATAAAGCCTCAGCGCGGATTCCGCTGTCCTGCACCTTTTTGAGGATACACCTCCATTGGCCAGTCAACTCCTCAAGTCGGATTTTTCCAGTATCAACCTCAATATTCCCATTTGCATTTTCTTTCTTCATCTTTGCGTTCAGAAGCTGAATCTTATTTGTAGCGTGACGATAATCTTTATTATTTTCCTTGAGTTGAAGCGATGGGGCATCCGGGGCAGCCAGCATAGCATTAAAAATGATTTTTAGGTATGCTGTGGCTTGTTGATGTGCCTCTTCGTGGTATGATGAAAGCCCTTGCTCAACATGGATCGGCAGTCCTTTTCCAATCCAGAAATTACAGTTTTTGTTGCCTCCAAGAATTTCTCGCCATGAGTTTAAGTCTAGATAATGATTAGTGATTGGCGATTGTTTAGATGGGGCTCTAAACATCAACAAACATTTGAAGACTTACATTTTGAGGCTCGCTCACTATCTGATAAATTTTCTTTTCCATATTTCTGTTTATCAGGATGAAACCAAAGCTGCAATGTTTTGAATCGCACAGGGATTGGAAGAGATTGTTCGAGGATAGACTGAAAGTTGTTTGATTGAGTAGGGTCGCAGCCTGCCACGGCCTTCATAATAGACAGTTCCTCTTCACCAGAAAGTATTCTGTCCTCGTCATCGTCGAGGCTTTTTTGAGATGGATCGCAAGCCTGTGTGGAGCTTCCATGACTATTTTCAGGAGGTAGGGGGGCCTCAGATGGCTCGATGTTTTTTTGTTGAGGGGCAGGTATAAGATTTGCGGTAGAGCTTTCGCTATCGCCTTTAGTGAGCGGATCTAAAGGTTTGCTGGTGGCTTCGAAAGGTTGCTTTATCACTTCATCTTCCACGGTTGGAGCGGGCCGTTTCGAAGGCACAGCAGACATTGTTCAAATGCTTCAAGGTTGGTTATGGAGGTACTAGTGATTTCGACGTTTCAGCAACATCCATAGATTGGGTATGTAAGTAGCTTATATAGATCCATGTAGGTGGATAAATTCACCACAATTATCTTATACCATGGTTTTCTCATACCACCGTTTTCTTACTTATACCACGATTTTCTTATACCACAATTGTCTTACACCGTATGCCACGGGTTTCCCAGACACTACCATACTTTTTGACTGCCTCCCTGAGGGTTGAAAATGTATGGCTGTTGTTTTTTTGTTTTTATGATTCGTGTGTAAGTGGAAGAAAGGGAGGGTAGGGAGCGATATAGCAGCTTGGTGGGATTTGATGATCTGATTTCGGAGGAGTGAGGATGGCAATATCACCAATTTTGACCAAAATGAGACCGTAGGAAGTTGAACAGACATATGTATGGCTTTGAGTGTATAGTGTATCGACAAGAGTAGGTCTGATTCCCGACCGAAAGAGAAAAAGCTTCAGTGACCGCCTTGAGCGGCAATACAGGACTCCTAGTCCCTACTAGGTTTCGACCCGACCGTACTTGAACACATTATAACCCCTTGACCGACACAATGGATGGACTCCCAGATATAGGCCAGCTTCTGCAAGCTACACGGAGTACCACATTTACCGAATTCCTCCATACCTGCCACAATCTATTTTCACGCCCATTAGTACGATCACCATCGCGCTCCACCACCGGCAAGATTCCATCTCCACAAGGAAAATACTGCCCAAGACAGCTCCGCTCATGGGATGACTGCGCATCTACTCAACAAAGAATATATACTGCTGTCCGAGGATATCTGAACGACTTCGCAAGTGGACAGGCGCATCGATTATTCTTAAACATAGCTGGACTTGAAGGCATCGCCAGCCGACTAAACCAGCCTTTACACAGTGAGAGGGCATTGGAAACATATGAAGAATTAGCCGTCAATGGAAATGTACAGAATATCATTGAGGAGCTTTGCAAGGTGCCACTGGCTCGGCAGGAGTTTCAACTTGGTGAAGGTGTATCTTTTGAAAGTCACACCAACTCTTTAGAGAACAGCATCTCTGGCCCTGAACTCCCAAGGTCTGACAACTACTGCATTCACCGGATTGGCGGTGAAAATACACTACTCACAATGGTAGAATATAAACCACCACATAAGCTGACTCTGGCTCACCTTAGAGAAGGTTTACGGGATATGGAATTCTGGCAAGAGGTGGCGAAAAGGGAAACAATCCCAACAGAAAGAGCAGAAAAACAGCAATACGATGCAGAGCGTACAGTTGGTGCTGTACTTACACAGCTCTACCATGCAATGATCTGTGAAGGACTTGAGTATTCTTGGATTAGCAACGGCCTGGCTCTTATCCTTCTGCATATACCATCCGAAGATCCTGATATCCTAGAATATTTCTTCTGCGAGCCTCACAAGGATATTAGCGAGGATGAGGACTTCCTACAGCCAAAGACAGCTATTGCTCGTATACTATGCCTGGCGCTAATGGGCTCCTGCTCTACTATCCGTGATAATATGTGGCGCCAAAGTGTCAAGTCTCGGCTTCCTAAATGGACGTCGAACTTTGCTCGAACGGACATCCAAAGCTCGGAAGATGAACAAGAAACTCCAACAGAATCAGTATATACTAGTTCTAGTTTCCAACCCTCTTCTTCACCGGTATCATCAGGTCGCCAAACCAGGATACAGCGTCAAACTGGCTGTGCACCACCACAAGATATCCAGCAGGATTCAGACCCAGACAACTCCGACTCTGATCCAAACCAATACCCGGCTAATCGAAAACGTAATCTAAGCCAAATCGGATCTTCACCTCCTGGTCACTCATCACAATCAAAGCACCACCAGCATCGGCGCAATACTCCCCAGCAGTATAAATCAAGACCGTTTTGTTCTCAAAATTGTTTACTTGGACTTCAAAGAAACACTGCCCTGGATCCATGTTGCCCCAACTTTCATCAACATAAAGGAGTGAAAACAGACCATCAGGTCACAGTCAAAGAGTTTATTCAACAGCTTGAGCAGCGATTGGATGAGGACATTGATCAATACTGCTCACCGCTAGGATGGTGTGGCGCGTCCGGGGCACCGTTCAAAATCACATGCCCTACTTATGGTTATACAATAGTTGGGAAAGGGACAACTGCCCAACTTTGGCCACAGGTTTCTCGTGAAGCTGAGGTTTACCATGTGCTTAGGAAGATTCAGGGGTCATCTGTTCCTGTTTTCCTTGGAGCAATCGATCTGGGCATACCATTCTTCCTTCATGGGGCTGGTGAGATTCGACATATGTTGCTTATGGCATGGGGTGGGGAACATATGGATTGTATAGGACCTCCAGAGAAGAGACAGATCCGGCGCTCCCGACAAGATTTGAAGTCTCTGGGTATACGCCACGGTGACATTCGCCTAGAAAATTTGCTATGGAATGCTGAAGCACAACGAGTGATGATCATTGATTTCCACTTATCCAGTCTCCAACCTATGCTTCAAAGTGCACCAAAGAAGAGGGATCTGCTATCAGATGCTTCGCCCGCTCGAAAACGCATGCGGGTTAAATAAAGTTCAATGAGATATCAGGTGTGGATGTTCTCCGACGGTGGTAGTTCCACCCATGTTAAAGGATATTTGAAATAAAGACAAAGCGCGGTTACTTTTTCTTGACAGTTATTTCCGTTTGTTATACCGCTCCTCCATATATCCGCAAACATTTGCCATTTTATCGTGTGGTGCATTTTATGAGCGAGCAGTTCGTTGCTTTTCTCAAGCTCCTGAATCGCATTCTGCACGGTTGGGCTGATCTCCGCATCAAAAGCAAGATATGGTCTATTCTTTATATGGAAATAGATTGCACGTAAATGTTGTGTCGCTTGAAGGTACTCCTTGGGCCATAGGGTCACACAAAGAGACGCATTTGATAGCTCGTGGTTGATAGTAGAAGGCGGCGTTCGATTTGCTTTATGTAACAAAAGATGAACATGAGGTTGCGAGGGCCGAGGGGCGAAGGGGTCGATTGCGATAGGTAAAGATGGCCCTTCGAAAGTAATGGCTTGAGGAGCCAAGGGTATGGATCCGAATGGGCGATTGGTATCAGGTGTCAAGGCCCTCGGTGCCACCGTGCTACCATTTGGCGGGCCAGTTGATAAAACCCACCGGTCGGGCCCATCAGATACTATATTAGCCTGGGCAAACATGAAGTATGTGTTTGAAGGACGAGATGTATTGATTTCGAGGTACCTCCAGATGTTTAAAAAGCATTGCATAATGCCACGGACTTACTCAAGATGCCACAGTTTTGCTTAACATATGGTTTTGCTTAAGGTGCCACGGTTTTCCCAATCAATGCCACGGTTTTCCCAATCAATGCCACGGTTTTCCCATTCAATGCCACGGTCTTCCCAATCGATGCCACGGTTTTCCCGATCGATGCCATGATTTTCCAAGTTTCTGATCGATGCCGCAGCTAGATTATTCCGGCATTAAAAATAATTAGTAGTTAGTACTGTTACAAGTTATCCAGGGCGTATACTCCGCGCACGCCTATATCTTTATCCAGTTGGTAATGACGTACTTTGAATACTTAGAACCTCAGGCATCTTTATCTGATCACATAATCTAAAAAAAAGGCTACCTCAGGCATCCTTCTCTGATCATATAATCCAAAAAAAGGCTACCTTAGGCATACCGGAGAAAATAGCCAGATGATTTCAAGTTATTAGTTAGAATAGGTAGAAAGTGGGTCGAACCACTAAGGAGAATATCAAAACAAAGATTCATAGTAGGAGCTAGTTATATTATAATAAAATGATATTCAAATTGAACAACCAAAAAAAATCAGCAGCTCTCATCAACTAACAAATAAGCCTGGAGGCGGCTGAGCGAGCGAAGATTTGTTGTCTCAAAACTAATACAGAATCCCAAAATTCAAGCAAGTATTCAAATATTTTCACCAAACTCAATCTCCTTTGCTCCTGCCTCCCTCGCGAAACGAATATATGGCTTGAGGCAAGAAGAGCCTGGAGACTTGTTCAGAAAATCATGCTAAATATAATTAGCTAGATAAACGCAGAGAATGTGGCCAGTCAATACCTTTAATAATCTCTGCGCAGATTGTATTTTTGTGAATTCCACAAACTCAGATATATCCTGAGGCCATGTTTCTGACAATGAGCCACCTTGTAAGAAGGCCCGTGGCTCTAAGCATTCGACGATAATTTGACCTATAGCCCGAACATCATCTTGTGAATAGCTATCATCCTTATTATCCAGCATTGAGGTTCCTATATTAGCTATATACTGTTAGCATAATATATGCCATCTTTGTGTTGTCTCTATCTTACCTATTTTGATTTGACCGTTGACCGACAAGAGAATATTGCCGGACTCAATGTTGCCATGGGAAATCTTGAGTGTTTGGTGAATATACTCAAGACCGGTAAGTATCTCTTTTGAAAAAGCTGCAACTTCAAAGAGTTTAAGGCGTCCGAGAGGAGAACCAAAGATTTGGCCCAAGGAAACGTCTAGTAGCTCATAAAGGAAAAACATTTGCCCTTCGTGATAGAAAGCCTCCTGTATATGCACTATATTTCTTTGGTGATGCTTGGCTATAATCTTCGAAAGCTCACTTCGTGGTGTCTTGGTTGATTTGATGATTCCCTCCTGGAAAGTCGGGTTTGTCGCGTGCACAACATAGCCAGACCCAGCCTGATTTATCTTGAAGCTTTTAATGTACCGCTTCCAAGGATTGGTGGCTTCTTTTGAAAGTGGTTTGAAGATGGTCGGTATTTTGGATGGACTTTCTTTTTGACTAGGTGAGTCAAGATGGTCCAATCCTCTCTTGCGCACTTCGCTGTCTTTGGTTCCAGGAAATCGTGATAAGCGGTTATTCCGTTCTTTGCTGGGAACTTCCATCTTTGCACTGGTAAAAGTACTAAGCTCACAGAGCTGGGTATTTGAAAAGCGGATTGAACTGACTCTTAAAACCAAAGCTTTTTCTGAAAACGATGGCTAAATCTTAAAACCATAGCTAGATCTCAAAACCATGGCCAAACCTGGAAACCATGATTTGGTCTTAAATCATAATTGATCATGGCTAGATCATGGTCATAGGCAGACCAAAATGTTTTCTGAGATGAAAACCGACATATGATACTTCAGCTCGGGATAAGTAATTACAGTGCCCCATGGATGCTAGGCAGCACAGCTACGGAGAAATTCAAGAAGTTTACATATGTGTGTACAGTAGTATTCGAAATCAGATTTACCTCTATACCCTTGGACTTTCATTCCCGAACCCTATTTTGAAACGCGCTAGTCTCAATTTAGCCAGCCCCTAGTAATACCTGTCAGGCTGTATTGTATTCTCTGGTAACGATTTATGGGTCATTGTAATAATACCGTAAGTTGCCTTGGAATTTAATAGAATCTTTTAGCAAAGAAAGAGGAAATCCTAACAATCTGGCAGGATCTCCATTTCACTCCCTTAGTGTACGACTTGATTATTCTGTCACACGCAGTCTTCGCTTACACTCATTTGACATTCAATAGAAGGCCGCAGTGGCTAATAGTGAACTAACCCTGGTAGGCAAAGGTTGCTTTTTCTTTCTATCACTTTTGTTATCCAATGCGATTTCATTTTGTGCCGTTGTTGATCGAAATCCGGTACCTCTGAGAAGCTGACATGGACCCCTCAAGCACTGCCGTTGTGTGTGGAAATGACACAAAGCCCAGATCATGACGATTCGATCTCTCAGCCCGACGCGCCCGAACCATGGGAAAACGACTCGCAGTACGCTCCAACCCCTGGATACTTCCAATTCATGAAGAGCCATTCCCGCTTGATTTTAAGCCGCGAGCGCAGCCTGTTCTTCTCTAATTGAGCTGTGCTTCTCGATCCTCAACCTGTGCTTCTCGACCCACCAGAGCCTGTTCTCCTCTACCCGCAAGCTGTGCTTCTCGATCCGCAACCTGTGCTTCTCGATCCGCAACCTGTGCTTCTCGATCCGCAACCTGTGCTTCTCGACGCGCAAGCTGTTCTTCTCGACTCAACTCATCTTCAATGTTTTCATCTTCACTTAATTCTTCATCGTTCCTAACCGGTACCTCATCTGGAATATGTGTAGGAAGTTCCACATTCTCCTCGCCCAGGGCTTTCCGAACTTCATTAACCCTTAGCATGAGCCCTCGGAGTCCTGAGGCTAAGTTAGCTATGAAGGTAAATATGCTTTCTATGAAGGTATATGTACCTGGTGGCGGTCTAGCGGCCGGAGTACTTGCTATTTTCTGACGGATACCTTTCTACAGAGCAATTAGATTCAAGGGATACCATCCTGATCAGGCTCTGAGCACTTACTTTGGATATCCTTTGTTTCTCTACACAGTCACTTAGTCGCTCAGACGCATGTTTGACTTGACCAAGGAAATACTTAAATTCGGCTTTCTTCATGTTGCTGAATTTCCAAGGGAACTTCCATGAGGGTCTGTTGGCGGGACCACCTTCTGAATTTGTAAGCCTGATATGCTTACTAGCAAGCCATTCCGCAAGAACGGTGAGTTCTGCATAAAGATTCAGAGCACGAGATTGGCAGTGGTCAACATGTAAACCCCACTCAATGAAAAGCAGGTCCTGTTTCAGCTGGTAATGGTAAGTCTGCAAAAGTGCCTTTAGAACTGATTTTCCAGTAACATGATGCCCAATAGCTCCATATATGTCGCCAACCAAACCAGCAAGTGCGGCAATTTCTCCAACTGCGGCAGCAGCAGTCATAATGCGGCAAAAAAAGAAATATAAGATTCACGGCAAATGAAGGAGACTGAGCTCGTTGATATAGGTATGCCAGTAAGCAGTCTTTTCCTTTATATTGGAGTTTAAGTTTGCTCGTGATTTTCACTGACACCAAGATGACATGTTACGAAACTAATATTATAAAGGCTACGCTCAATTTTTGTAAGTATATGCTGCAAACGGCCGTTTTGTTACTGTACTATTGAGTCATGGATGCTCGAATGCGGTCTGGAGACTGATGCTGCCATGGTCGAAAACTCGTAAACTGCTACCCTAACCCTGTCGTGAAACGCACTGATATGTATTTGGTGTAGCGGTAGCCCTTCTGTTCTCTATGAGTAGGGAAGCAATTACGCTGGCCGCAGTTACAAGGAGAAGTATGTCTAGTCTCAACTTAAATATGGAAGGTGGTGAATATTACCAAGTTTATCAAACAGTATTCTATACATCTGAGGAATCTTTCGTGGCAGTTCGCCCACTGAATATTCCAACGTGCTTCTGATCGCCTGATCTAGATTTTGCATTTCCGTAGATCAGGAAGTCATAGAACATAAGGTCAGCAGATTCAAATATACGAACCATATGGCCGGATGTTGGTTGAAGCGTGAAACCGATGACCTCATGAAGCTCTTCCGCTTTAGGACATTCTCAGCGGGGCCGGGACAAAACCAGACCAATAAGCAAGAGGGTGCATGATTCTTATAGAGACTATTGTTTGGCAAACATACCTACACTAACTAATATAGTACTAGCCTTTGATTACTCGTCTAATGTCAACAGGCTGAAGATTAGATCGCTTGGTTCTTGGCTCTTAAGCCAAGAACTAACGCCATAAACGTATTCCCTAGTATTGAGACACTTACTCAGAGATCCAGACTGGGCTATTCAAATCGTTCCACATGTCTCATAAAGGGGAAGATTCTTTATATCATAATCAACCATCATAAAGTTTTACCGCAAGTCGGACAAGTGTTACGACCACATGGTTCATATGTACACTATGAAGCTCCCTACACCACTGGTCTTTATACCTCTCCCTGCCGACCACCACCCCATCAGATGTACCCGAGTTCTATGCAGGAGATATGTCGATTCGGTTAAGGAGAAACCACAATGATTCTGTATAATACCCACGCTGAGCCCTTACAGGGAAGATCAGCGATTGGTCTGAATATCACCGTACGAATACCTTTATGCCTGGAAAATCTTGCGTTCATCACTCGTACTTCGACCATCACAGGGACTACCGCACAGGAATCCTAACAACAAGATACTACTCTACTAGAGCTATCTCATCGAGGTATAGACCCAGTTTTTCCGATAAGTAGCCGCAGAGCATGCCAATCATTAGCGGCGTTACGGTTAGTTTCCGTCCTTTCAAGTTAGGGGTGCGAGGACGCTGCGGAACTACTGCAAATTCGGCGAATATTTATGATCGTGACCTTGCTGCATTCAGGCTTTGGCCATTTAAGTCGTGGTTAGTGACTGGCTCTCCACCATATCACGGATTAGATGCAGCTTTGAGGGGACAAGTCTCGGGGCCATATTACAAGCCTAATGTAGGGTGGTGTCGGTCAATAGTCAACTACAGGGGAAGAAGCCTGTTGTTGAGGGAAGAGAAGAAGGGGTTGAGTGGTATTATGTGTATTGAAGTTTCGTGTAAATTACAAAAAGAGAGGTTCCGCCGCGTCATGTAAAATACAGCATCTATTTTGAGAACCGGCGTATCGACGGAAATACTATATTTGGACTAGCGTGTTTCAGGCTAGGGTTCGGGAATGAAAATCGAAGAGTGTAGAGGTAAATCTGATTTCGAATACTACTGTAGTGAAAAAGTAACATTGCGGTCGTTCTCTTAACTCAATAGTAGTACTAATCAGACAGTATATATACTCCTGTTAACTGCAACTCGCGATCTCTCACTTTTTTCAAACGGTTGAAATTCTGTTTCAAATAAATCAATACGCCTCTTCTGCCCAATCGTAATATCTCGACACTCGTCTCGGGTTTTATGGTCAGCGGAAACTAAGCGATCGTCAGAAATATCCACTCGTTAAACAATTCAATAGAACCTACCGGTAAGCAGAAGACGCCTCTGGCATAGCTTCAATTCTTTGTTCACAATATCATTCAAATCGGGCTTGCCGTAATATTGTTTACCTCTTCGACCATTGTTATACTCTTTATCAAGTTCAAGTGTCCTTATGTCTTCATCTGTCGGTTTCGAATTGATAAAAAAAGCCCATCGGAATACCTTTCACATTAAGCTTCATCATAGAGATAGAAAGATTGATCAAAGACTTACCAGCTCCGTTCTATCCATATCAAGTAGTTCATTAACATGGTCGCATATCCACTCATTGTGAGCTGTCGAGTATCATTAGCCATGATTTATTTTGCTTGCTCTTCAACAAGTACCTTTCTCTTCCACTTCCCAAATGAGACAGATCCTTCTCAGACGAAATCCTTGATCTTGTCTGGCTATCAGTTGCTTGAGGTAAGGAAGCTGTGAGGTGATTCCAATACCAGTCGAAACAAAGATGAAGCTATCGTAGAGATCCATATTTTTCGGAGCGCCATATGGACCATCGATAATCACGTGGAACGTGGTATCCTTCGAAAGCGCTTGTAATCTTCTGCTGAATCCGGACTCGGTTTTTGCAATCACTGTAATGGAGATTGCCCTCTGATCTTCATCGTTTTCCTCCCACCACATGATGTTGAACGGGTGGGACTCTGCGAATGAAAAACGGCTAACAGAAGGAATCTTCAAATAAAGATATTGACCTGCAAGCACTTTCCATGGCCGAGTTGGCTTAAATGTGAGTCTTGTCGCTCCATTGAGCGTTGTTCCTTCCCCATTCGTAAGTCCCTTTCCATTTCGGTATATAAGAAACAATAATTGTGTAGCTATATTGAGGATTAAGAGTCCGGTGCTTCCCATCAGAAGGTAACCATCAAGGTTAAACCTGATTTTTAAATGCATCCATACAAGCACTATGGTCGCTATTCCAAGTATAATGTGAAGTTTAATGCAAACCTCATAGATACGGTGACGGATCCATGGCAGCACAGCGAGGGATAGGAAGCTAGCTCCGATTATTGCCTGGAGATTGGTTCAGAATTTTAGAGTGAGATTGAAATGAAATGAAAAATCATCAACTTACCGAAAGGCCATAGCGTTGGAAATTGAGGCGCAAATCAAATGCTACTGTGCGAAGTGCGAGGCTCACATGGAGCAAACTTTGCATGACACCCATAATTCCGAAAGCGATATGAATCCCGCGGTATATTTTGAGAGAGAGATTGAAAACCAATGCCGCTGTACTCAGTTGAGGAAAAAGCGCCAAGGATGCCAGATGCACGATCGCGAGCGATCCGGCCCGAGACCTAGCTATATCCAAACTTGTCACACCTATTATGTTGAATGGTATAGTGGCAGCAAAATGGATGATATGCATGATAAACCGCAGTCTGGTCATGGGTCCCCACAGTCTTCCTCTTCGAAGAAGATAAGGCAATAAAATATATCTTGAGGCAAGGTCGTATAAACTTCCCGACGGATGGAGGATGAACTTCAGCATCACGACAAGAAAGCGCCTGATAAGGAAGAAAGTAGCCAGGGCAGCCAGGATCCAGATATATAAAAGCATTATTGGAACCATATTGGTGGAGAGATTTTTCGAGTCAACTTCATTTTCCCAAAATCTATGGGTATTATATTTACTATTTAAATACTAGTACCTAATTATAATAGGTACAAGTGGGGTAGGCCATGGTTTAAGAAGAAGGATTTTCGTGGCCTTAATTCTTGCTCAGAAGTTAAAAACAGGGCCCTTTCCCTTTCCCTCAAACCATGAAATCACCAACCTTACAATAAACCTTGATGAAATTCACTATGATGCAAATTCTTTCCAAAATCGCAAAAAAGCTAGGCCTTGTTGCCGTCCATATTATCGTTGTTCGACAACGCCAAGGCTCAATGCGCATAATCGAGTCTTCCTTTCCTGATGACAATATGATCGATGTATGCCAAGTCAACCATTCGATTTATTTTTTATTCTCATCAGCTAATAAAATATGCAGATTGATGTTCATCTATCTATGCCCTACAGAGAAAAGAATCTTGAAGAAGAAGTTTAAGATGTCACATGTGTATTCTAGGGCTGGTTAAGCTTCACAGAACGAAACAATTGGTTCCTCCCAATCCATACCTCCCAATCCATATCTCCCAATCCATATCCATATTCTGAAACTAGAAAAGCTTCACGGAGCTTCACGGAGCTTCACGGAGCTTCACGGAGTCTTTTAGATTTAAATAAAGAGTTAGAGTTCATAAAGAGTACATATGAATCAGGGGCTGCTTACATTGATGATACCATCACAGTCGTATTTGGTCAGAGTCAAAAGCTGCCTTAGTTGGGCATGATCTAGCTTGAAGGTACTGATATGCTCAGTGACTTTGGCCAAGTCCCACCCGGATTCTTTCGACCAAAGGTTGGAATTATTGCGAATCAATTGTAGTTTATTATCGACGGCTGATATTGATCGCTGGTGCTGTATGCCTTGTCGTATTACGGGGCTTCGATTGGTCAACAATTGGGAGATGATTTTGTGTTCGTAGCCCCACATGTCGAAGAGGATCAACAGTGCTGTTTCTTCAAGTGTCCAAGGCACTCCTCCCATTATGAAAGCAGTGAAAAAGTATTTGTAGAACTCATACAGCCAGAATGGCCCTGTGCTGTATTTATATGTATACACCCTGAAAGTATTGCGCATTTGCGCAGTATGAGCCTCGGAGATCGGGCGCAGTCTTGCGAATGGGATGAGATTGTGATCTGGGATCGCTGAGTTGTTGACTTGCGGCGCAGCGCGTTACTGATTTAAGGGGGCCCCGTACCCAATCAATTACACCAATGATTTCAGATGGCGCCTACACCCCTGGCTAGCCGCGAACTCAGAGACTGCTACAAGTAATTATTCCGCGCTCGGACAAAGAATCATGAATTCTAACTCTCAAGTGCTGTGCATACAAAGAAAACAATCACCACGTCGCCACAATACCCCCTCTTGTTTTCCCGCCCCATCCCGGAATTACCCCGCCTCAAGGCTGAATCGGGATATTAATATCAAATTCGCCATCGGTTGCGGAAGCTGGTGTTTCCTCGTGCATACATCCCAGTTTGTGAAGGGCTGCTGTGACAGACTCGACCCAGGGATTCAAACATTCGACATGATACTTTCTGACTTTTTCGAATGTTCTGTACTATAGTCAGCAGCTATAGTATTCCTAAGGTGCTTAGCTACATACGCTCTCATTGCGTTAAGGCTGGAAAGGTACATCAGTACTAGTGATCATCAAATTGGAGGAGATAAAACCCACTCTTGCTCCATTGCCTCTTGTTTCGCTATCTGTTGGTCAAGTCTAAATTGAGTCCACCGGGCTAGCGCCATTGCTTCGTCTCTTTCTCGTTCTGGTACCGAGGTCGCGATCGAGTGGATAGATAGATTGTCATAATCATAATCAAGACGCGGGAGATCGGACATCTGGGCGATCTCATCCTCTAGGATTGGAGGAAGCGGGGGAAAGAAGTGGAAATCCCCCCCATCCGGAGCAGAGAATAAATTTGCATCAACAAACGGGCCAAACGGCTCGAAGTCAGGAGGACACGCTGTATCAAAATCGGAAAGAAAACTCTGCAACTGGGCGTCGGTAATATGCTCCATTGTGAATAGGTGATGATGGATTTGGGGAAAAATTGTACTTAGGGCTCTTTTAAGGCTAAAATCTGGAAGCTGGAAAAATTCGAAACCATGGCTTAGTGGGTGTGAATCGTGATCAACAGAAAACCGTGGTAATTAAAAAATCGTGGCGTATCTCGAGGCTGCCCACGAGCGGCTAGATCATGAGTCTATCGTGCATTATCACATACCAGCAATGGATCCACTACGTAGCATTCGATAGGCTATCACAATTTAGTGCCTATGAACCATAACAGGGTATACTATAGGCCAGCTTCTGATAGGAAGACTAAGGGCCTGGAGGCTACATGCAGCATGGCACAGGGCGATAGGCAGCAGGCTAACTCTAAGTTAAAGTCATGTGACCTCTCAACAGGCTTTTCTTTTTGCTTCTTAAAAAAAATTGGGACACTGCGCGAACTTGAAATACGCATATGGTAAATAGAAAGAAATGCATTGGTCTATAGCCAAAAAATGAATAAAACTTCAAAATGAATTCGCCATCATATATCAATATATTTCCTTTTCTTAGGTCGTCCAGCACCTTGACCTTCACATACAGGACAGCCAGCTTTTGGAAAGACCTTATGGTTTGCCAGCCCAAAGGTACCAGCAATTCCCTGCTGCTCAACAAACCATTGCATGTTATTAGGGAAAGCACTAATATGGTGGGACTTTCCACCAAAACTCAGATATAGCCCAATATTTTCTTTCAAATCACGCACCATAAACCGTATTGGTCGGCAGTACCTGGTGCAGTGGTCGCATATATCATCTGTTGAAAGATGCAGACCCAGATTTATTGCATCTTTGTGAAAGTCCTTCCTAGATTGATCGAGTCTATTGATCCAATTGATGACATAACGGGCGGGGGCGCGACAGCGTATTGAGCCGGTGCACTGCAAGAGCCCGGAATAGTATTCGGGTTTAGTATCCAACTGGAAAAAGAAGGTCGATGCAAGAAGGGCAGCAATTGCTTCCTTATGTTTTTGTTCACCAGAAGCTGAGTGAACCAGTTTCGATAGCCCATCCATGCACTCAGTGTTATCCATTCGGGGTAGTCCACCGGGGACCGCCACGTCGAATCTGAAGCAATTGCCACGGCTTTTATCATCCAATGAGCCAAGGAACTCTCTCCAGGTGCATTGTCCCTCAAAAGATGACGAAAATGAGCGATAGACTCGAGGTATCCATCCATCGATAAGGACGTTACGGAAGCGCGAAACTGATACAGATTCGACCTTACTGGATCCTGTCCCTAACGAGATAAAAACATCTGGGCTCGGTGAGTTTGGCCAAAGATGCTTGGCTTCTGAGAGGGCGAGATTGACAGGGTTATTATGTCTTCTCATTCCTCCGTCTTGGAAGGTACCAATGCCTGGTATATCAATTGTGGAAAATAGTGATGGTGCTGCTGATGTAGCTCGTGCCCTGCGAGGTATTAGAAGTTGAACGTGGATGATATGATGATTGATAATTTCACTGACACTTGCCAAATATAGGGTTCTGCGTCACTATCTGGGCGTAGCCTTCCGTATGCTTCAATATTATTAATAAAGGTTATTAGCTCTGTTCAAGTTTAAGGTACATACCTGGCTCTGCCCTGTGGGGCGCCGCTCCATTATAGTTGGCGAATATGAAAGGAGCTCCATCTTTTATCTCACTTGCAATCACCGCGACTTTGTTTGAGGACATACTCGCCTGGGGTGTATCAAACATCCTTTGTGTGGGTGTATAATGCTCTTGAAGAGCACCCTCGAGGTCTTTCACGTCATATTGGCCATCCGACAGCCATGAACGTAGAAACCGCTTCTTCAGGCTTGGCGCCAGGACTTTCTTTGCCAAGTCTTGAAACAATGCCTTGCAGCTCTGGACTTCCATCCGAAGCATAAAGCTTGATAAAGCAATCAATCCACCGGAGCTGCACCCAACAGTCAGATCTATCAGTTCAGACAGTGGAAGCTCGGGGCCAAGGTGATTTTGGAGGATTTCCAGGTTCTCAAGAGGAATGATTCCTCGTGGGCCACCCCCATCGATGCTTAGGATGCGAGATGAAGATGTAGAAGGCTTCAGTCGGACAGTCAACTTCTTGGATATTCCGCAGAGAGGGCAACACTGAAGAGTATATTCTTCCTCTCGAAGCAGCGAAAGCTCCCCAAATATTTGAGTACAAATGTCGCAAACTGAATGGCCGCAAGGTAGGCTGTGCTCAGGGCTACGTCTCACACAGACTAGACATGTCCGGTTTGACTTTAACCACCCCCAATATTCACCCTGGCTCTTAATATTTTCCTCATGAACTGTTGACGATGGGTAAGAAGAAAGTCTCATATATTCAAAGAGAGCATAAAGCCGATTTTCAATCCTATCGCATTGGAGCTTTGTCAGCTCATCTGTGCTGAAAACTTCGCGATGTGCTATAAAACAAGTATTGTAGTATAGGCTGCGAAAGACGGCACGAGGGCAGAATACTGGAGTGGTAAGTATCAAGTTTTACTTGGAGAAAAGGAGCTGTACTCACAATGCATTCCAGGTGGATATGCATCCATTAGAATAGCAGATGCGATATGGGACGAGACTCCTTCATATGGAAGTCTACTCTTGCCGGCTAGAATAATGAAATCTTTTAAATGAGACGTGAATGAGCCATCCAAAGGATTTTGAGCTCTGGCAGCGGCAATGAAGTTGAATTCGGTCAATGCAGACGGAGATTGACACAGACTTTCGGCGGCTGACTTGAATAAATCGCAAAGATGTGTTGCAGAGAATAGAACATTCTCCTTCACCCGTGCGAAGCTAGCCTCATGTAGCTGTCGTGTGATATCTGCACCAAGAGACAGGAATCGACCAGATTTGAGTTCATCGGATGGTAAGCGGCTAAATCGGATATCTGCAAATGAGAGGCTAAGCGCAGGCTCTTTCATGTAGAGATCATAAAGGAAGTTCTTCTCGTCTAAGATATCATGCGTGATACTTTGAGCATGATTGACCACCACAATGACTCTTGGACGAATAGCCGGGGTTGTCGAGGATCCGGAGCTAATATGCCCCCAATCCAGGATCATGTCCTCCACTGCACCTAGCCCCCCTAAGTCATCCGCAAAGATGCAGATAACATCAACAAACATAAATATCAAGCGACAAAAGACAAGATCATGAACTTCATAAGGTAGGGAGCGAAATGAGAGCGTGTGGTCCTGATGGCAGGTTTGAGGAACGACGCAAGCTCTTTCTAGGCCTTTTGATGTCGGGTCGCAGTCAGCAAACAGTTTTGGCTTTGCGGAATGCAAAGAGCGGTTGTCAGCTCTGATATTGATGGCACTCTTTCGTCTCTGTCCTTTGTAGTTACTGTCACAGAGTTTTCGCAAGGCCTTTTCTTTAAGACGGCGACCCATAAAAAGAGTTATTTGGGGATTTTGGTTTGAAGGGTTAGGAAAGTCTTGGATAATCTGAGGTAGCCGCCAGCCATGAGTGAGGATTGGCCCTGCCTCGCCTTGCAGAACTTCCAGCCATGCAGGATGGTCGCACTTGGTCATATTGAGAATTTGGAGAATGTTGGTGTAATAATTAGTTTTATCAGAAACTTCAAATCCGCTAGATACGTCCTATTTATCTAATTTTTCTAGAGTTTATATTTAGAAATAGTTTTGTTTTGTGGCTGAGAAAAATAGAAAAAAATCCGAATGCGTGGAGACGGGTGAATTCATGCCATCCGTAGAATATCGTGTCTATAAGGACAACCGTGGTCTGTCCTCTCAACACTCGAACCCATAGAACCATGCCCAGGTGGCTCATTATTGCCTTATTATTCCGTGATTATGCGTACATTTTTAATGGAAGTTGCGCAAGATCCAGTAACTGTTACACGCATCCAGTTCAGATCTTTTGGCGCTAACGTAGCTCGAACTTTGATAGTTGTATACTTTGCGTAGCACGACGCATATGAGGTACCCTCAGTCACTCATTCGACAGATTCAATTATCTTCTACCAGCAGGTCTCGTGGATTGATTTCTTTATTTACCTCAAATATATCAGTAGTTGTTAGCGCGGCCGCGGAATAAGTATTCAACTTGTTCTTGAAACTTGGAAGAAGAGACGATATACCACTAGTTCTATGAGATAAAGTAGGGTGCAAGAATCATCAAACGCGTGGCCGTAGGTATGTAAGTAGATATTGACTTGGAAACACGCATAGTGGGTGCTGGTGCTTGGCTATGTAAATATTTCAATATTTTTCCAGGCCACTGCCTCACTAAGACCCAATGTCTAGGTAGATATACCTATTAGCTGGTGGAATTATAAAGAGCTGGAAAATTAGAACAAACCTTCATTCCAGAGATATCGCTCATTCGAAGTAAGTCCTTCAACATTATGGGGCAAGAAAAGTGACCTAATCCGGAAATTAGAACTTGGAAATAATAGAGCGAACTGCGGGGAGGAGCAATTACCCGACATCCACCACGTGTTGAAGGTGGATTTGACCTGCTTTCTTCTTCACTGCCTGTACAGATCTTTGACTATCACTTGGGAGGCCGAAATTATAATGGACAGATAATTCTTCCCAGGTGCAGTCTGGATAGAGCTCCCGCAATTGCAGCAAGCGGTAAACTTCATCAAATGCCCAAGCACGTCGTCTCCCCATTTTGTGGAAGTAATGATAGCAAGGAAGGAAGGAATGCGAGACATCAGCTTATAGCTTGCTTGCATATGTCGAATGGTTGCTATTCCATATTTGGCAAGGTACCAAGAGTCAGGGCTCGCCACATGTTTTATCAGTGATATCGAGCGCATACCGCGCTAGGTGATCTTACTAATTTACTAACTAGAAGTAGTAAGGTATAAAGATTCTACCCATTGAGGCTCCTACACAGCGCTCGGGCCTAATCCATGACTCGTGAGTCATGTTGTATCCATTCGGCGGATCCTTCTACCGCGGCCCCCAAATCCCACTAGGCGATAAGAGGAATAGCACCAAGAGCTCGGCTACATGGGGGGTAGTAACTACTAACGGAGTACTCCGTAAGAGTGGAAGTTAAGTGCCGCCGGGTAAAAGACGTCGAGGGGCTAGAATTACCAGAGGGGCTAGACAGCGAAGGTTTTACTAGATTGACTCCGAGGAATGATTCCTGGCAAAAAAATAGTTTGAAACATAAAAACTTCCACAGGTCTTAAATATGTAACAAGGGTGCAGGGGGGATATAAACGGTCTTTCGAACGGACTTCCGGGGTTGTTCACGCGGGATGCTGGACTTTGTCCCTTCAGTAAATGAAGATGGATCCCACTCCTCCGTCTGCGGCCAATGTTCTGTCTGGATATTTTCATCAGAATAAAATCAACCCTCGCCTCTTTTCCGAAACTTACCACATCTTCAGCTGTGGGCACCCATTCAAAGTCTGGGTGTGAGTTGTATGTGGTGTACCGATGACCGGACTTTGTCTTGTCCATTATAAGAACATAAACATGACGATCTCGCCCGGTATCTTTACCATCGATAAAGATATTATTGGCTTTCCTGAAAGCCCCTAGCTTCTGTCGGCGAAATCTCTCGCGATTTGCTTTTACGGTCTTCTTATTATCCGTATTGCAGGGGCCTCTTTCCGTTCTTTTCTGACGCCAAGATGAGGTTGGAGTAGGATTTTTTCTGGGCATGATGAATTGGGTTTGAAGATTCAATCATGTCAGAAGTAAATATTGAAAGGAAGTTATAGATCTTATAAATAATCAAAACTATCTTTAGTAGAAGCTTCAGGGCGCTTATGCCATTGATTATCACAACATGGTCTGCCAATAGTATTTATGTTATTACTCGCGCGCTACCTGTAACAAGACCATGGTTTTTGAAAACCATGGCTTCCCATAATCTTGGTTGGTATTAAATACCTAGGTCTATCCATATAGGCCGGAAATCTACAAAGTATCCAAGATGAGTGATCATATTGGTCCGTTTATTGTTGAGCGATGGCCGGATAGACAGGCTATGGGCGAAGGTAAGCCTCTTAATCGTGCTATTGAATACTATATTAACTGCTTTTAAACAGGATATCACTGTGAGACGTTAGAAAAAGTGATTCTAAAGTCAAGCAACACTTCACCAGATTTGAGTTCAGAGGCCAAGGTTTTGCGATCTTTATCTGGTGGTGCTGGCATCCCTGCTCTTCACTGGTTCGGGAAGTCCCACGGGCAGATGATGATGATAACGGAAATGGCCGGAGTTCCGCTTGAGCATATCTTTAATCAAGGTGGTCGGTACTTCGAGTTGCAAATTCTCTTAGAATTTGCGCATCAGCTTATCTGTCGACTTGAATGGATACACTCTCGCTCGGTTTCCCATGGAAATCTCAATCCAGCTATACTTACGCTTGGAGCTCCATCATGGCAAGCACCTCAAGTCACCATCTCAAACTTCGGAACCGCTGAGTTCTCTCAGTTTTCACCAAGGAAAGATCTTGAAGATATAGGCGATATCATTATATACTTTGCTACTGCATATACCTCCTGGGATAGCTTCAAAGCATCCAAGCGCCATGAGCAAGAAGTCCCATCTATTCTTATGGCTTATTTTGCTATAATACGGTCCCAGGATCTCAACCTTGCTGACTATTCGACCATTCGGAACCATTTCGATGGCGCCCGCCAACTTCTCAATCGAACACTATTTGGCGGGATTTCCGACCCCGAGCAACAACATTTGAGCCTGAAGAATCTCTCTCTAAAGAGTACAGGTGATCTTTTTGAGGATCTTGGAGTGAATCTGGTAGCAGTTGGAAAAATGGCTTCATGGGACCAGTCCTTATGGGCGCCAACGCAAGCTGGCTCTATCGCCCAATCCCTAGATGGGATTATGGCAATATATTTGGTTCTTCTAATGCGTGATAGACCATCACAAACTAGACAGCGCTATGTGATGGGGGCATTCCATCTCCCTAATCGGCTGTGGAGAGACCTCCGCTGGTACCTCTGTATGGCAAGCCATGGCTCTATATCATTCCAACGCCTTATCGGAGTTCGAATATATAAATTCATCTGCGTGTTGCTTGAGGTTATCCCAATGTACAACAAGTTCTGGACAGTGTACTTATCGGAATTGGCATGCGCACAGATGGCGTTGGATAGAGATTCTTGTATTTCGTGGAAGCAAGCTTGGGTGTATTGGAAGGACTGTGCTAGCTTCTTGAAGAGAAGATGTGACTGAATGCACAGCAAGTATTAGTTTTGTTTCATAGTCTAGTTATATGATTTATTATGAGTTCAATCACTGATTAGGTTCTTGAATCTTGTATCTACGTACATTACTTTTGCGTTGTTATGCGTTCGCAGATCTGCTATCTTTCTTCAGTTGTTCAAACGGTAACGGAGCTTGAGGGGTCTTCTGTCTTTGCCACTCTTGCCTTTATAATTGACATCATAACAGGCAAGCCACCCATGCATGGTCAAACCTATCGTACATTTACAGAATCTCCGAACTCTAAATCAGTCGTCTGCTCCATGCTTAGCAGCAACGCAATATATCAATTCACTTTTTGTTGTCTCCTCTCTTGTTTTTCTGGGTCTTTCTGTGGGTTGACCTGCCTCGCTTGGCTCGGGCAAAAGACCACGCTTTCGTCATTTGTCTAATTCTTAGTCCATGCTTTTTCCCTCTTGGTCAAAAACCATGGCCCGGAATCCAGAAACCGTGGAGTAGAGAGATATATATGAACCATTAACCTTGACCCTTCTGATTCAAATGCTCAAATATTCCCTGGAGTATTCTATCTAAGTTACCATATACTATCTTTGAATATGCGTACTATTTACTTTTTGATGTGTCTGGTCCACATTACCCATTCCCAGTAAGATGTGAAGTATCTTTTATGTATAATTTACAACGCGCTAAATTATATTAGGGCTACGAAAACAGCTCCAGTTGCGCCGTCTGGTGGGATTTTTCATACGCCAACTGCGACACAAATTCAATCTAGCCAGTGGACAACACCGACTCTTCAGATGAGCTGCAACCCCAGCCAATGTACACCGGCCTTTCACTCTAGCCAGTGGATAACACCAAAACTTTGGACTTCTATCCCGTTGACCCCGAAGCCTCATGCGACCCAGACATCTATACATACTAGCCAAAAAGCTCGGATATCTTCTAGCAGCTTCTCCAGCGCAACTAGAAGCGTAATCGAATCAACCATATATGTTGTCCTTACCAAAACGGAAACCTTCACAAAGTGCAGCACACTCCCGATTACATACCAGTCTACTACTTTTCCAGAGAAGACTGGTACAGCTGTCTCGTCTTCTGATAGTAGCCATTCTATGCAGCTTATCATGTCGCTTTTTTTGATCACAATTTTGGCTATTTATTTTTTGATGTACGGACCGGGACTTGCTTGATTGAGCAGCATATACTGGAAGAATATAGATTACTCTTTAGTCTTGTTTGTTCTATTCTTAGCTAGACATATACATACTATTTTAACGCAAAGGTTGGCCTCTACTCTTCCTTAGTCTAATAAATAATACAGGCTGGATCTGATTTATTACGGGCCGGGACGACTCAAGCAGACTTCGTAGGGAAGCCGCGGTTTCCCGATACCTCAGGATGACAGGCTTCATAGGATCACGAGCTTCGTAGGAAACCCACGGTTTCCCAATATCTCAGGATCACAGGCTTCGTAGGATCACGAGCGTCGTAGGAAAGCCACGGTTTCCCAATATCTCAGGATCACAGGCTTCGTAGGATCACGAGCGTCGTAGGAAAGCCACGGTTTCCCAATATCTCAGGATCACAGGCTTCGTAGGATCACGAGCGTCGTAGGAAAGCCACGGTTTCCCAATATCTCAGGATCACAGGCTTCGTAGGATCACAGGCTTCGTAGGATCACGAGCGTCGTAGGAAAGCCACGGTTTCCCAATATCTCAGGATCACAGGCTTCGTAGGATCACAGGCTTCGTAGGATCACGAGCGTCGTAGGAAAGCCACGGTTTCCCAATATCTCAGGATCACAGGCTTCGTAGGATCACGGGCTTCGTAGGATCACGAGCGTCGTAGGAAAGCCACGGTTTCCCAATATCTCAGGATCACAGGCTTCGTAGGATCACAGGCTTCGTAGGATCACGAGCGTCGTAGGAAAGCCACGGTTTCCCAATATCTCAGGATCACAGGCTTCGTAGGATCACGAGCGTCGTAGGAAAGCCACGGTTTCCCAATATCTCAGGATCACAGGCTTCGTAGGATCACGAGCGTCGTAGGAAAGCCACGGTTTCCCAATATCTCAGGATCACAGGCTTCGTAGGATCACGGGCTTCGTAGGATCACGAGCGTCGTAGGAAAGCCACGGTTTCCCAATATCTCAGGATCACAGGCTTCGTAGGATCACAGGCTTCGTAGGATCACGAGCGTCGTAGGAAAGCCACGGTTTCCCAATATCTCAGGATCACAGGCTTCGTAGGATCACGGGCTTCGTAGGATCACGAGCGTCGTAGGAAAGCCACGGTTTCCCAATATCTCAGGATCACAGGCTTCGTAGGATCACAGGCTTCGTAGGATCACGAGCGTCGTAGGAAAGCCACGGTTTCCCAATATCTCAGGATCACAGGCTTCGTAGGATCACGAGCGTCGTAGGAAAGCCACGGTTTCCCAATATCTCAGGATCACAGGCTTCGTAGGATCACGAGCGTCGTAGGAAAGCCACGGTTTCCCAATATCTCAGGATCACAGGCTTCGTAGGATCACAGGCTTCGTAGGATCACGAGCGTCGTAGGAAAGCCACGGTTTCCCAATATCTCAGGATCACAGGCTTCGTAGGATCACGGGCTTCGTAGGATCACGAGCGTCGTAGGAAAGCCACGGTTTCCCAATATCTCAGGATCACAGGCTTCGTAGGATCACGGGCTTCGTAGGATCACGAGCGTCGTAGGAAAGCCACGGTTTCCCAATATCTCAGGATCACAGGCTTCGTAGGATCACGGGCTTCGTAGGATCACAGGCTTCGTAGGATCACGAGCGTCGTAGGAAAGCCACGGTTCCCAATATCTGAGGATAACAGGCTCCGTAGGAAAGCCACGGCTTCCCAATATCTCAGGATCACAGGTTTCGTAGGAAGGTCACAGTTTTTAGGTATATCAGGGGCCATCGCCCCATCCTCCAACCCCCATAAGGCTCCCGGTCTTCACTTCCAACATGAATGAAAACCTGCAGATCATTCGTAGGCTATCATCCGCACTCGTTGGCCATGTGAAGATCAAGCAACTCGATCAACTCCTCTTCGAAGATATCGATACTTTTGGCGCTCAGGCATACGATCAGTCGAAGACACAACAGCTCCTACATAGTTTTGAATATGAAGGCTGTCGCCGGCTAGATCCGCTTACCTGGATTCCTTGTGCTCTAAAGCAATCTGATATACAGCTTTTCAAAGACTTGAAGACTGACGACGATCCAAAAGTCATAAATCTACCCGAGGGCTTACAGGTTTGTTGCTTTCAAGGGCAACATCGAGTTGCCGCTGCAAAGCAATGGTTACCACCAACTGATATATGGTGGAATTTCTGTTTATATGATTTGGATAAGCTTGATGAGGGTTGCCGTAGACGGCTGCGGGAGTATGAAGCAAAGGTACGGACATTCAGTGATGGAGAGATATTTCGCAATATCCGCCACTATCAGCAAAAGGGTATCACTATGGCTGCCAATGAGTGGCTAGCACGGTGGTCTGTGACAAAATGCCGCGAGTTCCGCCGGATCTATGAGCCAAAAGCAAATCAAAAAGAGCTTCGCCATCTAGGTCAAAGGCTTGATAAGCTTTTATGTTTCCCAGCCTTATGGACCTCGTGGTATATGGGAACCCATCTACCGAGCCTAAATTGCCCCGAAGTCAGTATCCTTTCTTGACATCATCGTTTGTAGAATAATTAGCTAACACTGTCAGGAACTCACATATGCCTTGCAAGGAATCTATGACGCATGGCAGATTCTCACATCCAATACTCCTTACATCCTTGACCCAGGTACACTAGAGATGCTGGAGGGGCGATGTCCTTGCTTTTCATTAGCTGATCGCCGATATATCAACGAGATATTTCAAAATGGAGCGGCATTTCCTCTTGCCAAAAGCCTTGAACTACGATCGAGGTTATTAGATGCAGCTCTGAACTATCCCAGAGTCATTCCGTCTCTTAGAACCTTTCTGGAGAGTACGAAGTATATCAAGGCAATGACAGATGTTGTGAAAAAGATCCTTCCGAAGAACTCCAAAGGCTCGATTCTCCGGACACTACATCAGTACTATATGCCTCCCCAAGGGAGCAAATTTCAAATCCAGTGCTCAGACAATAGCTTTATACAAAGACAGCAGTCGGAAGAGTATGGCTTCTGGTCAGCATACCGCCAGCTATTTCTCTTTGCAATGCGTCACTTCTGCGGTTTGACCGGTGCACAGCCTTTGGGGTTCAGTCAAGCTTCTAGGTCTCGATGTCCGCAGCAATTGGAGCTGACACAAAAGCTCCTCAATCTTGTCCACACGCTTGGGTTTAGACTTCCGGGCTATCGGGATACACCTCGAGCAGATCACTCAGACTTAATAGCAATCCGTGGTCTCCTAACACGCCTACGGCCGCCTGAATCATTCATTTATACAGAAGGTGATGTCTCCATGTTTAGTAGCAAAGTTAATTCCATACTTGCTTCGATTGTCGCTCCACGCAATAACGAGGAGATACCTTCACATAGCTGGGATAATGTTGAGGATTGGTCTTTTCAACTCCGCTGCGGAATGACAGATACAGAGACATTCTTTTCTGATGGAAAATATTTATTCTTGGACAACATCTACTCATCTGATCAGTCTGCACGAGAAAACATGACGTCTTTCGCAGTGAAAAGAAATACCTTCCGCCTATTCTTCTGTGACTTTAAAGAAGACTCAGGCCTACATAGCGGCGAGACTATTGAAGAAGATTATCAACAGCCCCTCCAACTTCCAGTTGATGGAGATGAAGATATGGGTGGAGGTGGTGATATGCTTGGAGAGGGAGATATAATGGAAGATGAAGATATGATTGGAGATGAAGATATTGTTGTCAGCAAAATTTGCCAAATCACCGCTCCAGAAGACACTGCACAAGACAATCCCCAGAGACTGCACTTGGATTCTCCTCCAGATAACACTCCCGAGAAACTGCTCTTGGACTCTCCGCCGATTGTTATAACCAGGCAATCCACTCAATCGTGCGAGTGCACAGTTCACTTGACACCCGAAGACCTTTACAAATCCATTCCGGCATCATATGAAGCGATCATATTTTATGAAATGGAATCTCAGAAAGCGCTATTTTTTCGACATGAAGATACTAGACATTTCCTTAACTTGGCTGAGGGTCTAAGCGAGAGATGGTTTGCTATAGTTGAGTCTTTTGAAGATGGATGTTGTCTAAAAAACAGTTCTCTGGTCCATCTGTTTGAATATGTGAAAGGAAAGCAACTTGCTTTCTTTTGTCACGGATTAGCAGGAACTAAGTTTACAAGCCCTGTGTTTCCAAAGATGAAAAAGCCTGGGCTTGAGCTACCTCGCTTCAATCTTGAAACCAGGATGTGGGAGTTATGGCAAGGGCCTGGACAAGATGTTTTAATGGATGATAATCCTTATTGAAACAGTTGTAAATGCAAAGAGAGCATATTTATAAAGAGGAAATATAAAAACAGTATATAAAACAGACCAAACAAAGCACAGCAAATAAAATAGACCGAATAGAATAGAGCTAATGAAACAGAGCGAACAAAACAGAGCGAATAGAATAGAGCGAATGAAACAGAGCGAACAAAACAGAGCGAACAGAACAGAGCGAATGAAACAGAGCGAATGAAACAGAGTGAACAAAACAGAGCGAACAAAACAGAGCGAACAAAACAGAGCGAACAAAACAGAGCGAACAAAACAGAGCGAACAAAACAGAGCGAAAAAAACAGAGTAAACAAGACAGAGCGAATACAAAAGACTTATATCTCACTCATACAGATGGTGGGTCATAAATATCTCCAAGCGACCGTTCTACGCTTGACATCCACGGATTAAAATCATATAAAAGGAAATTCGATATATGAGAAATGTGGCTTTTCATCGAGAAAAGACTGTTAAGAATTTGGAGTTAGATGATTTGTAAGTCATCATGCTTGAGATTACTTACTGCCAGTGCAGATTGCGAATTTCATCACGGAGCATTTCGAGCTCCTCAAAGACTGTAATAGGTCTATTTGCAAAGGAGAACCCCCCAGACTTATACTGAGTGACCTCAGCTGCCGATAAGGAGGGACAAAAGGTATTTCTGTTTGGTCCATTGGCGATAGGCTGAGGACTTATTCCCAGTCCCCGATAATCATCCTGATCCATTTCAGATGATGTGTTTTCAGAGGTTGATTTACTTTTGCCCTCCTTGTGATCATGAATGAACTCTTGAAAAGGACATGATTCATCATGCTGGGGAGTTTGTGCAGAAGGAGGACAAAATGTATGTTTGTTGGCCCAACACATACCACTTTCCTTTTCAGGCTCGGTAGCCGTAACTGGAGAGAGAGTGGGATGATTATACTCAGAAAGCATAAATGATTGGGCAGTCTTTATTTCTGGAGAAGAGAGAGAAAGAGCTTCTTGGGGGCCCCAGTATTCTGCTTCCTTAAAATCTTCCATCTTGATAAATTTGTTAAGAGAAAAACCAAAAATCCCACACGTAACATTTGAATTATTTATACGTATTTTTGGGATGGGTGGAGGTGATTCAATGTTAGTAGCATTAGTAATAATTTAGGTCAACTAGCACTGTAGAGCCGCCGAACACTTAAAGGTTCAATATTTCTAGCTGGAATAGGAATAGCACCAAGAGCCAAAGGAACATTTGAAAGTTAAACATTAAAAAATTTAAAATAGAAAAATATTTATATTATAGCCTAGCTATAAGAAGCATAGTATCAAGAGCTTACATATTTCCTGTATTGACTATTGATGTCTATATATATCTTCCCGACCGACCTCCCAGGCCAGTTCAAATGTTGATATTGATAGGTACATATGTATCAATTTTCAAGCAACCTTCAAATATTTGAATCATTCCAAGGCTAGCTAAAATGTGGTATATTCTTTATATTATCAGTACCTTTTACGCCATGGCAAATTCCCAACTACTAAGCTCTACTGAGCGTGAGCAATATGACCTTGTGACGCAAGAATCGGTTATCATGCGTATTGGGATGCCAACTGTTATTGAGGATTATCGAGATGCCGTTACGACTACGATTGATCGAAGGAAACTTGTTGATCTTGTATCTAAGCTCCACGCTTCCTCCGAATCACTACGATGGAGTTTGTTTTTCCTTGAGACGTGCAGCTCTAGTAAGTACCACGCGTTGCCGAGGTTTGGATTTCAGTTTCGCTAATGCTTGTAGGCGATTCTGTCAAGTGTAATACCGCTCGTCGACTGGCTGCTCAAAATGTACACGAATTTGTTGTTCACCTTGACCGTACTGTGAACCAAATTGAAGACTGGGTCTTAGGGGCAGAATAAAGCGAAGTAAGCCGCTGGGGACATCTGGAAGCTGCTACCACGGTCTAAGCCGGACAACCTTAGCAGGAAGCTACTTCCAAGGTTGGGGTCAGGAGTGTGGTAAAATTGTGGCATATAACTGCATCGAATAAATACAGAGACTCAATCCAAAGATACAGTATTACTTTGTAATAGCCAGATGCTTCGAAAGTGTAGCCAGACGCGCCGACCGGCGAGGTTGAACATTTTCAGATAGTTTGCGCTTCGACCGGCGAGGTTGAACGTTCTCGGATAGTTTGCGCTTCGGCGGTATATGAATTTCCAGGCTATCATATTTTCTTTCGGATGCTTTGGATGAATTAGTCAAAATTGACAGGTAGAGAGGCGCCTTGATTATAAGCTTACCTGTTTTATCCTCACAACTAGAAAAAAGACTGATATCTTTGGAAGAAGAAGTCACCGTTGCCCCCGGTTCCTGATCATAAATTTCCTGAACATTGGGGTGCAAGGTATTTGTTTGTTCCCAAGATTCTTGTCCGAATGTTGCAGCCGTGTACGTCTCTGCATACTCGTGTCCCAAACTCGCCCAGAAATCAGGTGTATTCATGGCCTCAGTGTCATTATCAGAGACAGGGGTGGCTGTCGAATCGCACCATTCATCACGCGTGTGGGGTGGAAGATCCGAAGGCAAGCCTATCACTATAGGATTGGCCTGTGTGCCAGACCCGGAATAGTGGGCATAGGCTGAAACCAGTTCATAATCTTTTGGTTCAATCTTCGGTTGAATCATCGATGTGACAGGTGGGCTAAAGACCTCCGTAGGAGGACAGTCGAGATATCCTGCGTCATTCTTCGGAACTCCGGTATGCGCTTGGGAAGTGCATGGGGTAGAACACCAATCGTCATCAATATAGATTACAAAAGGGTTAGATTCCACACCTATGGGGGTAGAAGTAGAATCATCATAGGGGTCCTTGATAATGTCCAAGATAGGAGAACAGGTTCTTCGTCTAACGACAAGGAATCCAAGCTCATCTAATCGAGCTTCAGTAGCCGTCTGGGCAAAAGAAAAAAGAGTTACCATACTCACCAGTTGAGATGTCAGAATTCATCATTTCAGCTTGCTGAGTACCCCATTCACCCAGAGAAAGAAGAATATCCTCACTTAGCTCTTCCTCCACATTCGGGAGCGGCCAATTCGGAGAATCAATCAAGGCATTCACCTCCTTAGTACAGCAAATACAAGGGCCAACGGCGCTGTTGACTGATTCTTCTGAAATAATGGCTTCATCTTCAATCACAATAGGATTGGTCTTCGCACTACCTGGCTCAGAGTCCATGTGCATCGGATAAGTAACTATTTTAGAATTTTCAGTTAGTAAGAATTGAGGATCATTATTTAAGGATTCTCACAAAAGCATTCGGCCATTTGGTCAGATTGGACTGGAGACATCAGAATATGAGAGAATGGATGTTTGGCGTTTGAAGGAATAAAGATTCTGATCTTTCTGAAAGTGCGAGCCCATTGCTTTATCTATCTCTGGCTGACCGCCCCAGGAATTCTGACCAGCAACACTTGAGTCTCTCTAGGGGACCAAAGGCAGCAGTACATGACCACATCGCAAATCAGGGTTTCTATTCAACAACCATCCATGTAGCAGGCTATTTCAAGAAACTGCATTCCGGTCAGCCTTGATTTAGCGTCATCAATACCGGGCTCTACTTGCCAATCGTTCCGGTGCCCAGAAACGCCATAACCCAGCATCTGGACCATTCGCATCCACTCACACCACGGCGGATGCTGCAGGTCAGTCTGTAATTAGTTTCACTGCACTGCCGCTCATCACCAATTCAGCTCCATTTGCCAATCACTTAAAAGCCCAGAGGATAGTCTGAAACCCATAAGCAAGCTATCACGTCGGCAGATGCATCTATGGATCCACATGCCCTTCTAAGAATGTGTTTCTTCCATAGCCTGGCGAGCCCAAGGCAGACTATGATTTCTCGCAAACAAAACTGCATAAGCTGCATAATACATGGCCTAGCGTCTATTGAATCTGCCTTGGCTCCTGTGTACCTCGGAGATGGGGATGAAAGGGCATTCCCACACGACGTTAGTCAAATTAGCAAGTCAATTTTATAATAGTGACAAACAGCCAGGTCAGCAATAGTGGCAATGGGTCTCGACTCTCAGGCTACCAACCTATCCGGTGTATCTACCTTCCTTGCTATGTGGGGAGTTCCTCCTGTGGCTTCGCTAGTGGTATAACGGGACAGGAGATTGGCCAGATACAAGGATGTCTAGCTATGCCTAAGAATCTGGTACTGAAGCTTGTTTGATCACATGATCTGTACTCTTACTCCATCTCCCTGTAGATAGCTCTTCTCTTCCTTTTCTTCTTCTTTCTTTCCTTGCACCACTCAATACTACTGCATTGCGTTCATGCCCTCCTTTCCCTTGTAGACTCGATTCCTCGTGTCTGTTCAAAGCTGAAGGAAAAATTCTTAGATAGCAAATATCTATTCTTAGATCTAGAACATTTACTCAACTAATCACTGATCGTTATCCATGGGGAAACATGACAATTTGACAGTCAACCTCGAGGACCTTTATGCATTAAGCGGAACACCTATTCTGAAATTATATTTAAGGCCTCACAGGAAAGTTCAGCATTTTTGAATTTGCTGGCCAACCATACTTTAGCTATGCCAAATTTGAACTTCATGAAAGTACATTATAATGGATACTATGTAAGGTTCCAGGTTCTAGGCGTAATAAGTAGTATAGACTGTATAGTAAACATGCGGCTGGGGGCCTCGCAGACTCATCAGTATGCCAATTAAGGGTTGAGGGTATGAAAAAAGAAAAAGATATGACCAGACTAGGGTTCGATCCCAGGACCTTGTCGGAGATAAGCGAATGATAACAGGATGTGATCGTTGGGATTTAGTGGAATGTCTTTATGGTTCCTGGAAGTTGAACCGTGCCATCCACGTGACCTGTATGTCAGGCGAATTACGATTCGGTTGGGTCTCGTTGCTCCGCAGGGGTGCGATGTGGCGACCGGATGAGGGAAGCGGTGAACCCGGCTTGGATTACCCATTCTTCCTATTCTGACCCACTTTCCTATACTTCCCTAAGTTCCCTTTACCAAGCATCCTTTTACCAAATCCATCATCTATCCTATATTCATTTCCATTAAGTATTCCTTATTTTCTATCTCTATCTCATTGAGTCCAGTTCAGCGACCCTTGTATGTTTATAAAACACTGTTTTGTCAGCTTTTGTAATGTAAGATCAAATGATTCAAATCATCTGATTTACATTCAGGTTTCATATAAAAGACAGTCTTCTAACTAGATAATGATTGATGGAATCTTAAACCGGTCAAGTATATTATCAACAACAAAATTAAAAAATCTTATAAAGGAATCTTGTGGATGTTTGCAAGGTGAAGTTTATATCGCGCAAGTGTGAAAAAGACTTCAGGGCAACCTGGCCAATCGCATTTCCGACCGCGCTTTTCAAATATGAATGGTAGGCGATGAGTCTTGAAATGAGCCTGAAGTACATCCTTTCGTGAGTACTTGTAGCGCCTGGCATTGGGATCCAAGCCAGTGCTCCCCAGACACACAGGACATTCTAGCCCAGACGAGCTTTCTGTGGGGACCACTACTTCTTTCAATTCTCCCTTCAATCCATCCTTAAACACAACTCGGTTTTTCAAGGCCTTCGGCATATGAAGGCTGTTCAATTTCAGTCGTAGCTCAAGAGATCGAATGCGGTCTTCAATCAATTCCGTATCATCAATGGTATCGACATCCCTGTTCTTGAATTCAAGCTCGGCAAGGGCTATTCTTTCCGGTTGTATATGACTGACGTCTGGTGTGAAGGTAATCGGAGTACCATGGTGGTTTTGCTCAATGATTTGGTTCCCAATACTATCGAAGAATTCTTTCCGGGCAGCCTTTTGGGCCTGGCGTACTAATTTCTTTCTTCTCGTCCTGATTTCTTGCTGTAATCGCTTCAGTTCACGGAATCGCGGATCGGAGGCTTCCTCCGCTTTGTTTAATTTATGAAATTCCGATATGAGTTCATCTTTGCTCGACTTAGCCGCCCTTTTCAAGTCTTGTAGCTCGGTATCCATTTCGATAGACTCTTTTTGCTCATCGTTCAGGTGAAGTGGCGCTGATGCATCTCGTGTTAGATTTCCATGGCAAGCGAGATTCAACAAAGAATCCCTAGTCGGAGTTTGCATAAAAATCGATTGAGTGTCATTGAAGACGGACATGTAATTCGAGAAAGTTGCGCTTTTTCGATGACCCATAATTATATTACGGGAGTGCTCGTCAAGGTTCCCTATATTATTAGCATAGTTTCCATTCACTTTAGATTTCTCTAGACATACTTAAGTTTTCAGCTGCACCTTTCCGGTATTTATAGAGCGATCCCTCATCTGGGAACCCAGCCTGTGTACTAGCTTTTTTTTCGTATTCCTGCGCCTGAGTATATGAAAAGCCGACTTTACAGTCAGTAGTCCAAGCCCCGAGTTTTGTTTTTATAGCGCGCCTGAAAATAGGAATATTTTTTACACTATCCTTAAAATGAATAGGTGTGCTGTGGCGATGGTCTGGAACGGTTGTAAAGCGCCAAATATCTCGAGGGCATTTGATATGCTGGCTTGCAAATGCGTCATCAAGAAAGGCATACATAAGTATGTCCTGAATAACGCAAAGCCCGAGATTGTCATTTCTTTCGGTATAAGTGAATGTAGGCCTAGAGATGGTTAGAAAGAATTGTGAATGATTGCATAAGACCGGATCTCACGGAGCCCCTTGATTTCTCTTTCCTTTGTTGAGCCTGTGCCTAGCCCTCATAAGAAGAACTTGGGCATTAGAATATTCGGGGTGCTTCACCATGTAAAGATCAATATCTTTCCATTTCAGCGCATCATTTTCCTCCTTGTAACAGGAGGATAGCACAAGGGTCCCAGGTCGGGCTGAAGTAGATACCATCATTTTCCGGAGTGTATTTAATTGGAAAAGAACCCGGAACGTGGGAAATGCTATATCGCAAGCGGCCACTAAATGACGCGTGACAACGAACACCTCGTTGATACTAAATGGTGGTTGTTCCTTGGCAGTCTTGTCGAGCTCATATTCTATGGCCATTGATTGTGCCAGCTTATTAAGTTAGAAGGGAGTCTAGTTGGTTAGTGATTAGATCATAGAAATCATACCGAAGAAATATCTTTCCCAAGTTGGTAAGGAAGGCAAACGCCCCTTTCATCCATCCAGTATATTCTGAAAAAGCGCACAATTGTCATGAAGCTAGACCTGTAGTTTATGTTATGCTCATCTAGATACCATTCAAAGAACCCTTGGATGGCCCTCAGGGTGATGTTTTCGAGCCAATATTTGTAGTCTTTATTTGGAAGTTCTTGTACCCATCTATATTCTTTAGTTAGCTAAAGCATGTATACAGATTAGATAAAAGTATAATACTTCTGAAAGTTATGATGAATTCCCTTTATCCGTTCCTTTGTCGATCCGACTTTGTTAGTCGTGACTTTTGGATCCGGCTGGAGGAGAAACGCATTCCAGTCTCTTATCCGCTTCTCTGACCTTTGGGGGGCCATTTTGATTGTGGTGGGCTAAAAGTGAAGGGCAGAGCTTGATTGCCATATGAGTGAATGGGGAGTTCACGCTACTTAAACACAGCGAGGTAAAGTCAATTTCCAGCGGATATCTAAATTTGGCAATCAATTACTATTGATAAAGCCGCCGGGCTTATGTAGGAAGGGTCGAGAATCACGCGCTAAACCTATTTAGACATGTAGCACTGTTCCGACACTAGTCCTAATTAGATCCACAAAATCGACTATACGGAAACACCACGGTTATCCCTTATAGCACCACGCAGAACCATAGTCTTTCCGCTGTCCCCCTGGATTACACCATATCGGATGTTGTATGGAGAATGTAAGAATTTTTGCCTATATAAGCCCGTTTGGGCTTAGCGCCTCCGCTCTCCGTGCGTGCCTGTGCGTGGTTGTATATAGCCCCCCATCCCCCTCCCAACCGACGACAATCTTTTTTTTCCCTCGCCTTTCATCTCCCTGCACATTAGAGATAAGCCAATTTTACTACTTATCCGTATTGCCGAGTTCCTAAGCTCCGCCATCCTCCTTTCCCTGTGTGACTTATTATAATCACTACGCAAGTTTATATGCTACTATCACTAATATCCTCCCGAAAATAACATTCTCGGTGGCATGATCACGGCGAAAACATCTAATCACAATGACCCATGAATTCGAGTACGTTACCCCCCCCCCCCCCCCCCCCAACCCCGCAGTCTGGAGAACTCTAGAGGAGTATACTCATACTCATCGTTTTAGTTGTCCGTATACTGTTGGAAACGTGATCAAAATACACTTGAAGACAGCAGATGGTTTGGAGGCAACGGAAGATGCCAATATCATTAAAGCCTTCGAGCCGTTCACTCTTTCCTCTGTGGTGCTTATTCGGATGACCTGCTCCACTTTAGGATTGCAGGGCAATATGATTTTGAAGCTCTTCGATCGGCGATTTGCAACGCAGCTTCGAGAAGACGAAAAGATTCGGCCCTGGACCCTAGACACAGAGATGGAGTATCATCAATTTATCCTCGATGGCGGTGCATCGGATTTCGTTACTCAGATCAACGACGGTGAAACACCTGAAGGCAGTACATGGAGTGCGGCTATGGACGAAACTTATCTTCACGATCATATGTCAGATCTCTATAAGACAGAGGTTCAGGCATATAGCTACCTGAAGGAGATTCAAGGAACCGATATCCCGCAACTACTCGCATCCACTATTATGCCTGTTTCCCGCCCCGTTCAACTCAGGAGCGAATATATCGATATTCCTGGAATTCTTTTACAATATATCGAAGGCTTCCCATTAACCGATATTGCCAAATATACCCCAAGAGAAAGCTGGCAGGCCATCTGCGAAGATGCCATTCGAATTGTCAATCTTATCGGTGATCTGGGAATACTTGATGAGGATGTTAAGACAAGGAGCTTTATAGTGCGTGGGAACTTGAAGGATGGATTTGAGGTGATCATGATCGATTTCGCGCTATGCGAATTCCGTCAAGACTATTAAGACGTCTATGAATGGGATAAATGGAAATCGATACAAGATTGATGAAGAAGGGGCAGTGGGATATGTCATGCAAAAGTATTTAAAATGTGGGTTTTTTTACCATCGATCTGCTCGATATAAAAAGTTGGGCGAGGAATTCAGGAGGGGTGAATGAGTTGAGGCTTTAGGGAAACCAGAAATCAATATTATACCGATGGAATGTGCCCGTCTGTACATGTATGTAACGGTCGACCTGAAGGGTCCTGAACTGGCGTCGAAACCTCCCGCACGAGGTCGTCCTCGCAGTCATAGGCCTTCTTTACAAGGGCGAATCGCTTCCTTATATTAGATTCGAATCGTTCGACGGTATACATTTGAAACTTGAAAGGTGCGGTCCACCCAAGTAAATATAAAGCCAAGGATGGAGCCATGGTAGATTATATTAATTAAGAAAGGTGTGTATGGATGAGCCTCCTAATAGTAACATCCTGGTACTGCCACTAGGTTTATTGATGGGGATTTCTGTCCGATGCCATTGTGAAGCAAAATTCATGAAGACACAGAATTATAAACGACAATAAAGCAATTTACCAAGGGTTGCCAGGTGGCAGGGATTAACTACGCCAAGCCTTTTGTGGATTGTAAGGACTAAAACACCGATTATGTAATACCTTACAGCTTTGGTGCCTTAGAATTCTTGTTGATGATTCCCTGAGATTTCAGTGAGACCCAAGTCACCCAACTGAGCTGAGTTCTGCACAACGCTCGGTTCGTCACCAACAACTTCTCTACAAGTCACAAATACTTTCTGAGTTGTTTGAATTTCATTAAGATAAAGCAACATGAGGTCATTATAGGAAAAGGTTTTTTCTGAACTGCGATGCACCTTGGCCATTGAATGTTTAAGCTCAAAAAAATTACATATAGAACAACACTATGCCTATTTAAGTTACTCTGAACACCGGTAATGCTGTCCTTTTCTCTTTTTTTCTTGATCGATGATTCCCAACCCATAAAGGCCCGCCAGAGACCGGCCCCACCTATTGATTGTACAACCACTGCCTTGAGTATTTGAAATGTCCAACCCGGAGGACTACACCGTTGGCTGGATTTGTGGCACCTCAGCGGAATATACTGCCGGTCTGGTATTCCTCGATGAAATTCACGATCCGCCCCAGTGCCTGCCTCCCCACGATAAAAACGACTACACACTGGGAAAAATCAAACATCACAATGTGGTAATTACTTGTTGCCCATTTGGAGAAAATGGAACATCTTCAGCAGCAACAGTCGCAGAGGGGTTGGTGCATAGCTTCCCAAATGTGCGAATCGGCTTGCTGGTTGGTACTGGCGGGGGGAGTCCCAAGTCCAAGACATGATATCCGCCTTGGTGATGTTGTAGTCAGCATACCCTTGAATGGTACAGGTGGCGTATTGAAATACGATTTTGGCGAGAATAGACAAGGACAAAGCTTCCGAATTGACGGCTTCTTAGACCAACCGCCTAGTCTCCTTCGCTCAGCCGCTCATGGACTAAAGGTTGACTATGAAATCAATGGCCATCAACTCAGCCATAGAGTGCAGGAGGTTCTGGAAAAGAAACCAAGACTACGGAAGAAATATGAGCGACCGGACCCCGCAAGTGATCGGTTATACCACAGCCATATAATTCATCCATCGCAAGACAGTGTAACCGAATGTGCTTCAGTCTGTGGTAGTGGGCCGTCACATTTAGTCCAGCGAAAACCGCGACCCGAAGAGACTGATAGCCCGACAATACACTACGGGCTAATTGCATCTGCAAACACACTTATGGCTAATGCTCTGACCCGAGATATATTCGCAGCCGAGAAGGATGTTCTTTGCTTTGAAATGGAGGCTGCTGGGCTCATGAACAATTTCCCCTGCCTAGTAATTCGTGGGGTGTGCGATTATGCCGATTCTCACAGGAATGAGGATTGGCAAGGTTATGCAGCAATGGTCGCTGCAGCGTATACAAAGGAACTTTTATCTCGAATCGTTCCTCGATCGCTACACGAAGAGAAGAAGGTTTCTGAGATTCTTTACGCTGGTGAGCTCAGTTTGCTTTAAACAATCATTTTCGGCTTCTGACAATGTGAAGTGAAGAACACGCAGGAGACAACTCGGAATATTCAGTCCTCTGTCAAGGAGATACGACAGCTCGAAGATGATCAAGAAAGCCAAAGACTACTTGACTGGCTTAGCCCTGCTAGACCTTATGTTTCTCAACATACCGATGGAACTGGAAGTTGGTTTCTGGGATCAAGTCAGTTCCAACAGTGGTCCAGAGAAAGGAATCAGACTCTATTCTGTCAAGGTATACCAGGAGCGGGTAAGACAACCATGACAACGATTGTTATTCATCACCTCTACGAAAAGTTTAGGGAAAACCTTTCTGTCAGCATTGCTTATCTATTTTGTAACGCTGGCAAACAGGATGACAGACAGCTTGAGAATATTTTTGGGAATATTCTAAGGCAGATAATCCAGTATCAGCCATCTCAACTTCTTCGATTGAAGAAGCTTCACAATCATCATCGGCTCAGACAGAGTCGTCCATCTTTAAACGAGATTTTTGATATTATATATCATATCTTGAACTCGAATGAGCGAAATTTCATCCTGGTCGACGCCTTAGATGAATTTCGACATCCTCCTGGAGAGCGTGAGGCATTCTTGCAAAAGTTATTTGAGCTTCAGAGTCGGACAGGAACCAATGTTTTCCTGACTTCCCGTTACAGCAGAGACATTGAGTCTAGCTTCGAGGATAGCCTAAGGCTTGAGATCCGTGCCAGTAAGACGGATTTGGAGAAGTTTCTTGATGAGAAGTTGCGGACATTTCCAGAATGGATCACCGGACATGCATCTCTCCAGGCTGAGATTAAGAGTACGATTATCCGTGTCAATGATGGAATGTATGACTTAACCAGAATGACGAAATCAGTACACTAGCTGACATCTACCAGGTTTCTCCTCGCAAAACTCTGGATTGATCTTCTTATAAACAAAACCAGCCTTAGGGAAATAAGGCAGGGTCTTGCGGAATTGGAGATCTTACATAAAATACCAACCTCTGACAGACAATTGAGTTTGTTGGGTTCTGCCTATAAGAAAACAATGCAGCAAATTCAAGACCAGGCACCAGAAGGGCGACAGCTTGCCATGAGAGCTTTATCATGGATCACATGCTCCAGACGAGATCTCAAACCATCGGAGCTTCAACACGCTTTAGCCATCGAAGGTAACGAGTGCCACCTAGACGAAGAAAATGTTCGAAATACCCTGACCATAGTGCGGGTTTGTGCTGGCCTCTTGGTCATTGACGAAGAAAGTGATGTCGTCCGCTTATCCCATTATACAACTCGGGAATATCTTGAGCAAACCTGGCAGCACTGGTTCCCGCATGCGCATATTCAAATCACTGAAGCATGTATCACGTATCTTTCTTATGAGGAGCATGCCGATGGCTCTAGCTTGACATATCATCGATTCGCCTCCAAGCTAAGATCATACCCGCTTTATTGCTATGCTGCAGAGTTTTGGGCTTATCACACACAGCTTGCCTCGATGGAGGAGACAGGGCTGGTTCTCAGTTTTCTTCGGGACCAAAATAAGGTGTCCGCCTGTTCTCAGGCTATCTTGTTTCAGGGATGTCACGAATACGAGTTCATGGAATTGCAGGACTTTTCTCAAGCCAAAATGACAGGAATTCACTTTTCGGCATGCTTTGGACTTACCGTGGCTTTGTCCTTACTTCTCAAATCTGCGTTTCAAATCAACTCGAAGGACTTTTTAGGTCAGACCCCACTATTGAGTGCGGCCAAACAAGGCCATGATCAAGTGGTAGAGCTTTTACTGAAACAAGAAGATATTGACGTTGAGGCCAGAGACATCTATGGCCGCACTCCGCTGCTATGGGCAGCTAAATACGGCTATTTGCAGACTGTTAATCTGCTTTTGGACCACAAACCTGCTTTTGACGTCCGAGACGAGCATCGATATAACTCAACATTTCGACCTGAAGAAGTGGTGAAGAAACTCCTCGACAAGGGAGCCAAATTCTCAGACGATGGGCTCGGATCAACACCACTGCTGTTGGCTGCTTCCAGCGGTCATGAGAGGGTGGTTAGCACGCTACTTGATAGAGGCGCTGATTTAAACACGAGGGATTTGTTTGGTAACAGCGCCCTTTTCTTAGCGGCTCAAAAGGGCCACGAGGAATTGGTCAAGTTCCTCCTCGAAAAAGGGATAGACATTGAGGCAAAAAATCAGTACGGCAGAACTGCTCTTTTCGCTGCGACTCTTGGTGGTGAAGGTGAGGTTTTAGAGGAGACCACTAACCAGAAGACCACTATATCACTTCGCATACCTGGTTATGCAAAAGTGGTGAAAGTTCTTCTAGATTTTGGAGCAAATGCCGACACCAAAGATCATAATGATCTGACTGCGCTCAACTATGGAATATATCACAACAATAATAAGATCGTGCGACTTATACTTGCAAGATGTTTTGACACGGAGTCAAAAGGGCGCGCACTCCTGTATGCGATTGAAAAAGGACTTCGTCCAGATATTGCCTTGTTCCTCGACGAAGGGGCCCAGCTTGAGAGCAAGGATTTCAGTGGACGGACTGCACTGTTAACGGCAGTTGCAGAAAGACGTGAAGACATAGTCCGGCTTCTTCTTGATCGGGGAGCTGAAATCGAGGCCACGGATTCTTCTGGTCGAACTGCACTGCTGATTGCTGTTAAGGAAGGTCTTGAAGATATAGTCAAGCTTCTACTTGGTCGTGGGGCTGAAATTGAGGTCAGAGACTCCTCTGGTCGAACTGCACTGTCATATTCTGTTGAAGGAAATTGCGAAGGAATTGCCGGGCTTCTCCTTGAACAAGGGGCTGATACAGAGGCAAAAGACTGCTCTGAAAGGACAGCGCTGTTTTATGCTTTTCCTGACGGCCGTTTGGGTGTAGGTATGCGCTCTCACTGGGCTGACTACTCCGACGCCTCAATTTATGGTGATACTACTGCGCCGATGTATGGAATGAAGAAGCATCATGACGATATCATTCTACTTCTCCTTCACCACAAGGCTGATATCGAAGCTAAAGACTCTTTTGGCCGGACTGTCATTTTCTATGCTGCAGTAACCAGCCATAAGAAGACTGCTATGCTCCTTGACCAAGGAGCTAGTCTCAAGGCTAAAGATAATTCTGGCAGGACCGCCCTGTTACACGCCCTTAACTATCATTATAGATATCAGGGAGTGACAGGGGGGTTTGCCCCGCGTCGCCTTAGTGCCAGAAATTCTTCTGTCAGTGGTACTTCTTCATCTAGCCTTGATGAAGATTCTGAAAATGAAGATGAGGATGAGGATGAGAACTATGTCATGTTCCTTCTTAATCGGGGAGCTGAACTTGAAGCCAAAGATGCTTTTGACCAGACTGCACTTATCTATGCGGTGAAGCATGATCATGTGGCTGGTGTCGGTTACCTGCTCAAACGAGGTGCTGATGTCGAAACCCAAGATTCTTCTGGTATGACTCCGCTGTTACATGCTGTAGAAATGGCCAATGAAAAGATGGTTAAATCACTCTTATCTCGAGGCGCTGGCACAGAGACCAAAGACAAGAGTGGGATATCTCCTCTCTTATCAGCTGCGAAAAGTGGTAATTTGCGAATCGCAAATTTACTGCTTGCTGGTGGGGCTGAAATGGAGGCGACTGACAAGCAAGGTTGGACCCCACTGCACTGGGCAACCAAGCAAAGCCATAAGGAGTTGGTAAAGCTTTTACTGGAGAGCGGCGCAACCAAACACGTCCTCCATGGGCGGCTCAAGGGCGTTCTTAGAAAGAGACCGATTTGAAATTCGTGTCGACCAATTTGTATATCACGCATCTCAAATGCTAGAGTTTTTGTTCCTATACAACGAAAGAAGCCGAGCCTCTTCAAGTTTTTATAAGCATTTATTTAAATCAATTGAGCGGAATGACCTTTTCGAGCTGTTTTCTTCTTTCCTTGGCTCGACATTGTATTTTCATTATTCCTGTTATTGTCCTGATTGGGACTAGTGCGTGCCGTCCTACTTAGGCTTCACCTCTGTAGATCTTCTTCTCCCTTCCTGTCGCTGCTCCAGTATCACACTGCACGCCAGATTCGTGGGCGCTAGGTGACCACTACCTTAGACATGCTATTGTATGTTTTTGCTTTTGGTTATTTTTATTTTCATTTTTTTTTGATGCCAGATTCATGTACTTATAAAATGCTGTTGGAATCACATGACCATTTTGTTTCCAATATTTTCGGTTTTCCTGGTTCTGCTGGCCTTCACCGCCTGGAGTTCTTCATTTTAGCTGGATAGCAGGCTCGTCTCTCTTCTTCCTAGCTCACCACAATCAAAGATTCCATATCCATTCCACTGCTTGTTTCCTTCGCCTCTTCTGTTAGATTCCTGCCTGAAACTGGGTCAGGCTGAACAACTGATTTCACTGCGCAGAACTGAAATTCGTGTTTGAAGTAAAGACTAGAGGGCCGAGGCATATACCTACTGCTATTTTGGAGTTAAGAGATAAGTACATTGCATAGTATAGTAGGGCATTCTTAGGAAAAGCATGTATTTCCTATCTAAGTACCCAGGTTAAGAAACATCAAATCCGTTATTGATAGGAAAAAAGAACAGGCATGTGGGAATTAAGTTGACAGTAGATGATATCAGTCCGGGGTTCTACCATAGCAAAACAACTTCAGTCCAGCTCTTCAATCCCCATACCATGACAGGCCGTACCGTCTCTCTTCCATACCGGCAGCCAGCTTAAGCAGAGAAGTCGCAAGGAAGCGAGCCACAGCAGTAACCGTGGCCAGCGCTGAAAGCACCCTCGAAGTCGATGTTGTGGCAGCCATCGCTAGTACGCCACATGAGAGCATAGAAGTTGTAATCACCGGTGGTTGTCTCGACGAAACTAAAATACTGTATCAGCCTCACTATTCATCACGAGAACAATAGTTTGGCTCGCACAGCTCGTATACTCACTAGATGCTGCACTCCTCGCTGGTGCAGCCGTCGAAGCCTCCTTCCAGAACACCCTCATACATAGAGCCGGTGTTGAGGTCGGTCAAGGTGATATACTGAAGGACCTCACTAACACCAGTTCCGCCTTTAGGAACGCTACTCTCATAATCAGAAGCAGTCATCTTGCCGTAGAAGGCGTGGGCATGGCCGGCAAGGGCGACAGCAGACAGGAGAACGGGGAACTTCATTTTGAAGGATGGAGGTTTTGGTGGCTACTTGATAGCTTCGTATAGGATTGATTTTGATGGTGAGCTGTGGATGAGATGGAGAATGTTTCAAGGGATATTCCTTTCTATTTATGTTCTTTGGAATAGTATGGAGAAGATCAAATCTCCAATTTCGTTGAGCTTCTCGGTTCGGTCGCAACCAACTTTCTCAGCACTAGTTTCTCACCTCATTCTTGCTATCTAGGGTCCAAAAGAGGTTCTCGTGGCATAAAGTCTCCGAACTGGACTAGGCTAAACTGTATACGATGTGCATTTGGAGAGTGGAGCGTGTTTGAGCCAGTAAGCAAGCCTCAGGAAGACATGGAATAACACTAGTCCACACAATCCCCCTTTTCTGAACCCTGGTTCACAAAGAATACTACACCTGTGCAAGTTTTACACCAGTTTTCAAATGTTACTGTGCTCGAAAATTAATTTTCCTCTGTTCTTGGGTCTCTGCCTAGATAATCCGGCCAAAAGTCAATCACTGGTACCCATTCCCCAAATCTTGCCCTAATGCTAAATGTGTGTCTCTGCTGGAATAGATTGCCATGGTCCATCATCAGATGCAAACAAAGAATTAACTAGTGGTAAGGTAAGATTATTAATCTTTAATTAGCTTCAAGATCTCTATGCAAGGATCAAAGTAATATTTGAACCGATTCGATGATAATACCGTAGCGGATCTCCGCGAACCGATCCGCCCGTTCGGCCTCTAATTATAGCGTATCTCATGCATATCGAAGGATTCTGAAGGATTGCTGACCATGGAATCTGACTTATGTAGTTCCCACGAGGTCGTACTCGTACCACGGGCGGTCATGCGGACATAAGCGTAAACGAACATTCCTCTAAGAGTCTTGGCTTGGCGGATCACATTTTGGGAATTAAGATGACCCTCATATCAATGCAACATCCAAAATAATACCAGATAGGTAATTTAGTGAAAATATATTCAATGTTAGAGAATATAGCTCTGCCTTACAATCGAAAATTTTAATTAGGCTATTGATGGCCATGGCCATTGCAGATCTTCAAAGGTCGGGACCGGAAGCCCCAGAACATCTGGCACATGTTGAGATGTCAAGGGTTTTAGCTTGGCAAGTCAGAGCTAGTGGGAATCAGGCTTGTTTAGTATAAGCACTCAAGCAAGCAAAAATAAGCGATTTAATTTGGGGGTAAGCCCCACTTACATGTAGGCCAGCTTGTAGCCAAGTACTAACTTGGGCCAAAATGACCGGATATACATCTATTCCAAGGGCTATTATATGCATTGTATCAATCACCTTCAAATGTTCTGTTGGTAATTTGAGTGCGACCGCTAAATCACAGGAGTTGTGTACAGGCCTGTTCAACACTCTATAGTAAGATTGGAAGAAGGCTTGGCGTTTTTTTATCCGAGATGTAGGAACCGTCGATCGGAAGATCGATACATAGATCAGATTGTGCCATTGATATTGTTGTTCGTGCGCACGTTTCTAGATTATTAGATTGTAGCGTCACATTCGCTTACCCTTATTTCGTTGTTATCACATAAATTTATTGACGTTGTTTGTTATTGACGTTGATCTGAAGAGCGAGTTTTTGCGCTCAAATACTCGATGAATCTCGCACTTTCTGTATAAGTCCCACGAGTCCGAGATTAATTCACAAGCCTGGCAAGAATGTTCAGTTATTTGGGTCTCAAAGGAAGCGCCGGTATACATTGAGGACGGCCTTGAAGCGCCCGTTAAGGGTTTTGAGTCTTGACGCAAGTTGTAAACACGCAGGCGAGATAGATACAGAAATTAATCTAAAAGGCCTTACATTTGTTATGTTAAGAAAGCTACCATTCTTGAAGCATGATGAAGATTCGGAACATTGAAAGTAAAGGGCGGTAGAAATTGATTGATGAAGGATAAATCCTCTCCAACAAAGACCAGGAATCCAGGAGCTCCACCTGTTGGAATCACATGACCATGCCGCTTCTACTGGATGTCTCCGGTTCTGCCGATCTCCGCCGCCTGGTGTGCTTCTTTAAACTTTTGCGTCTCTCTAGTTCTTCTCTTGCGGAACACAATACAATCCATATCCATTACATTGCTTGTTCCTCTCTTCTTTCCATGACCACCGGCAGCGGCGGCAGGCATGGCGGGGTCCTGGTGCGGGTCGCGGGGCCCACGCAGCGCGGTGTACGGAAATCAGAATTGGAATTCGCACTGAGTCATAGTCAATCTACAGACCACAGGCACTACTGACTTCCAACAGTTACGCTAAGCTATGGTGATGAATCCCTTCACATGCCAAAATTATCAAATACCTCGCAGGCGGAGCAAGCTCGCTCTACGGGTCCCAAAAATATGCACAAAAATACTGACCGGTTAAGCACCGGATCCCAACCTTTCATCTCTCAACCGTCGATTTTTCTCTTACCCAACGAGTTGCTTCTGCATGTCGCCGGCTTTCTTTCAGAGGATCGGGATATCGCCTCTCTTCTGCAAGCAAATCAACGTTTGAAATATCTCCTCGAGAATTATATCTTCCAGAACAATCTGGCCACAAATTATGGCACTGCACTACCCCTGTGTGCCAAATATGGTCTGAGGAAGAGTGTGCAGAAAATACTGAGCCTTGGAGCGGACGGAGACGAATCTGACATTGATTCCCGTACAGCGTCGAGTTACGCAGCCGAGAAAGGGGACTTCGAAATGTGGCAAATACTCCTGGATCATGATGCGCTCCTTGGTCACGAGCAAAATCTGTTCAACAAAGGTGACGACAACGAACGCACCCCACTCAGCTGGGCAGCAGAAGGTGACCAGCTCGAATTTGCTCAATATCTCATTAAACACGGTGTAAATGTCGACACGACGTGCTCGGAAAGGCGGACTCCTCTAAGCTATGCAGCTGAAGCAGGACACCTGGCAATGGTTCAATGGTTACTTGAACAAGGGACTAGTCCGGAGGACTCCATTTGCTTAGAGGACAGAGATGGCCTAACGCCTTTACATTATGCCGCCTTTGAAGGGAACGAATGTATCGTGGAATTACTCATATCGTCTGGCGCACATCCAGACCACGAGGGAATGGACTGTATGTATATGGCAGCCCAGACACCAGTAATGGAAGCAGCTCGAGGTGGCCAACTTACAGTCGTGAAGATGCTTCTCGATATGGGCGCTGATGTGGAAAGGTGTGATGTAAGAGGAATGTCACCATTGACATATGCTGCACGAGCAGGTGTTGGCGAGCCTTTGAGAGAAAGCGATTATTATCTCGTCAATTTTATGCATGGCCAGCCAGGTCCTGGGTGGTACTTTGATGGGGCGGGCTTTCAAGCACCTTGCAAATCTGGCAAACTAAGGGACTATCTCGCCGTCGTGAAACTATTGATCGACCGAGGAGCGGATCCCAGAAAATCCCACTGCGACCATAACGGATTGCCAGAGGACAGCCCCCTTTATTGTGCAGCATGGGCGGGTGCGACCGATATCGTTGAATTTCTGATTGATGCGGGAGCCGAAGTGGATGATCTGTCCACCAAGAGAGACAGGACCGCGCTTCATGCCGCGGTGCGAAATGGCCATCTCGACGTGGTCGAGAGATTACTCGCTCATGGCGCCAATGTCAATGCGAGGGATCCAATGCATACACCTTTGGACCGTGCAAAATTCGCTGCCAAACTGGTTGCGCAAGGCAAAGGTTCATTCGAGTATGGAGATATATGGAATACGAGATATATGGTACTCTTCAAAGACAATCTTATGAAGTATCAGCAGGTAGTTGATATGCTCATTGCTCACGGCGGTGAAGTTGGAGTGGAAAGCTTCTCTCCATGGTAGCTGCAGAGATCATTAGCAAGTCCCGAAGAAACATTTCGAGAGAGAATCCACAATCTACATCGACTAAACATGTATTCTTTGAACATAGTAGGCCAGATCAACGTAGTAGCTTAGACAATCCCTAGCTCCTTCATTGCCTCAAGCTCCATCCAGATGTCGTGTTTTGATCCTCTTTTGTAAAAGCCTTTGGGGGTTCCGCGCCAGCTTTACGGACCCAACCCTGGCGCACGTCTGACGATTCCTCCACCTGCTCCCGCTTGACCCATTTTCGGCGACAGAGTTCCCCAACATTCCGTGCTTGGAACTGTTTCAATGATCCATAAATGATCTGAAGCGCCTTGACAAACCTTGTGTGGCACGCCGCTGGGGGCAAAAGATAGGAAACCTGACTTTTGTATAGCGTATACCAAGTAAAGTACAGGTTTGCCTCGCCCAACTCCCCATCCTTTACCCCATAATCATAGGCAAATGGATAAAGGCCAACCGAATCCCAGTCAACAATGCATGCCAAATCATACTAAGTTGTCATGTCATTCATTGTTTTACTCAAGTGCTTGGTCAATTTTTATTTGGCAAAAGGCAGTTCTTAGCAATAAAGTCTAGCTCTTTCTCATGGACAATATCTTTAGTACAGTAGAAAGCTAGCATACATTAGATTAGTCAACTAACCATCCTTTAGGCTGCTCCCAAAGAAGTTGATGATCCTCATCTGCGTATCCTGGGACCTCTTTTCCTCGTGGAATGACAGGGTCAAAGCCTTCGATTGTTTTCAGCATCGGCAGTCTCGCATCCTTATCAGCCACCAGCCTTTCCAGAAGAGTATCGACATCCAGGTCAGGTTGATGATTTCCCAGGTCCAAGGTTGGATCGCCGTCTTCTCCCTTCCCGTAAAGCCGTATGCTTTGCAACGAGGCTGGCAAGGTATGCACAAGAGAGAACGACTTAGCATCGAGCCGATCTGGACCTATTCCCCTTGCCAGAAAACAGAGTGTATGAACACCGAGGCCCAGACTTTTCAGATTTGGGAAATCCGCCAGGGAGATGTTTGCTGGTGGCGTTTCAAGATTCATATCGAGCTCTTCCATCTCTCCTTCCCATAATTCTTCATACTCTGTATCTTCGTCCCTTTCAATCTCCTCAGTAGACTCTAAACCCTCATTGCCATATACTTCAGCCCAAGAGACATTATCTTCAACATCAAGATCAAGCTCCTCTAGATGATGACGGTGTCTCCAAAGGCATCTGACAATGGATGTAAGAGTCACAGATACCTTTCCTCCCTCTGGCTGCGCACGCCCACCGATGGTGTATGTGAACTTGCGCAGCGCCTTAGAGGAATCAATGATGTAGCACATCTCAGACTCATTTCCTGCCAAATTTGAGTGGGTAAAACTAATCTCGCTGTAATTTGCCGATTTTGGCGGAGGAGGCAAGCCAGCCTCATTGTTCCATGAGGCTAAAGAGAAGGACACGGACTTCAGCGCTGGGAGTCGTCGCACCAGGTTCAGTCTATGATGATAATCCTCAGCGATATTGTAATAAAAGCCATCATTACCACTTGAACAGTCGTCAGGAAGGAAAATGATCTGTCTGAGGTGCTGTAGATAAGGAATCGAATCGGGATTTTTGTTTGCACGGCGAAGCATCATGAGGAGAGCGAGATCTTCAGCCTCGGAACTAGGTTCTCCAACATGGAATACAGCAAGAGACTCTAGCTGGGGCGAAATAGCGATCAGCAGCGCTGCAAGGGCCTGTTTGAAGGCCATATGACAAAAGTGAGAGGTGTTCAATCTACTCAGTTTGTTAGCCATCTATTCATCAGGGAACTAGAGAAAGGGAAGATTTTTTCACGCACAAATTTCTCGCGTGGCGTTGTAGCAGCATGTGCAGCACCATTTGTGGCTCATTTCCTTCTGTGAACCCAGCTCTCTCGATGGCAGCCTTCAATCTCTCAAGGTCATCCAGCTCTAGCTCCCGAGACTCATCAGGCGGGGTATTGAAATCAACATCCAGGCCATCCGACACACTTCGGCTTCCATGGACTTCCAAATGGCGAAGATATCCAGCTATTTCTGGATTTTTAATGAGAAACAAGAGGGTTTGAAATCCAGTCTCAAGATCATTCCCAACGCCGAGTTGCAGCCGACGACAATTCTGCCTATTTTCCATTTTGGAGACCATTTGCATATATCGACTCTGTCCCGGGACGTTGTTTATTGATGTCCACAACCTCATTAATACCAGATTTCGCAGTGTTGGCGATTGGGGGAGTGTGCAGCGGCGAATGTTTTGATGAAGCAAGATTGACAAATAACTCGGACCAGAGAAACAATGAAGAGCCATGTCGAATTTTGAGGTGATTTGTTCCTGTGGAGGAAAATAAAAAGGACTGTGTTGGGGGGAAAGAAAAGGTTACAAGGGACATGTGCGCCGGCGGGTACATGTATTGATCCGTCATGTGTACCTTGAGCTAGTAATACTGACCCGTCTTGGCTTGCTCCTGCGGCCAACTATTCAAAACTCCACATCATGTGACCTTTCTTGACTGTCCGCGAATCCTGACTGTTGTAGTATGTTTTTCTTTTTCAATTTTATTATTTCTTTCTTCCATTCGTTTTTCGTTGATTCTGCACTTCGAATCTTTCAAGGATACGTGGTCGCGGTTGGGAAGAAGAGTGTATTCAGTGGATGCAGTGGCTCCAAGGTAGATACGCGCCGCGATAAATTATGCAATCAATATGTGCAGGATTTATGCGGGCAACTCAAAGATATAGAAAGCCTCACGCTCAGCAGTAACAACGTCCACCAATTGCAAACCCGCTTTCTTCGCCGTATCAACCAACTCGTTTTCCTTCCACAATCTTCCCTTAAACTGCACCAAATTCTTCTCCACAACCTCCTCAGTTCCATCAGGCAGGGTTTTGATAACCAGAACCTCGCGATCATCGTGTTGAACGTGGCCTACAGTCTTAGTCTCCAGTTGCGTTGTCTGATAGACAATATCGGGGAAGGTTCGGCTAGCGAGGCGCGGGGGGGTTTTTCCAGGGCGCAATCGCTGCGTCCTTGAGATCTTTAGGCGCAAGATGGTGTGAGATGGAGATGATCACTCGGCCCGTGCCCGGCACGAGAACCTTGGACACTTGGTCAAGGAACTGGGCCGGTTGCTCCGGCTCATGGAGGTGACTGATGCTGCCGACAGCCCACATGAGCATGCTGACCTTGTTGGCACCTCCGTCCAGCGATGGCACACTGATAAGGTCCAGGGCCGTCCCCTGTTCCCAGGCAACGCGGCCGATGTGCTCCATCTGGCTGTGTTTAGCCGCTCGGTCAAGCATATCTTGCGATGGTTCCAGGCCGATGAACTGGGCAGAGGAAAGGTCGTGGTTTTCTTGGGCTGCGTGTGAGGCTAGGCCATGCAAGATTCTTCCGGTTCCTGTTCCCACATCGAGGACAACGAAGGGTTGCTCGGGGGCAGATGATTGGATTTTTTGGAGCTGTGCCCAGTATACAGGCACATCCTTGAGTTGTTCGGTCAGATACTTTTCACAGAAAATATCATAGTGTTCTGCGAGGTACGGCGAATCATAGAAGGTTGAGTCACGTTCCTGGGGTTCGATGATTGCAGGCATGATGAAGATTTGTGGTATAGACTTGGTTATGAGCTCTGGGTAAACAAATGATTGGGGAAGTCAATTGAAGATGAAAAGAATTGCTTCTGGCTGAGGAACTAAATACCTCGGAGACACGAGGGATTTTATCGACAACTCGTGGTCGCGACTCGTAAGAAACCCGTGGCGATCGATTGCAGAATATAGCCTGTGGCGTGCATTGTCTCCACTCGACTACTTCTGCGGCCTGCATGATCAATCATTTTGAATCAGTCGGTAAGGGGTAATCTGTACGTAAGAAGTAGCGAGTAGGTTATACGAAAGATACAGGGCCCCGAGGGGGTCCCTGGTGGGGGACAATTCGCGTGTGTGGATCCCGCTCCACTTTACAATACCAGGTGATGATTGTAAGAGAGCTCGTGTCTTCAGCTACTCATTGCCAAAATTCAAATAATTCTTGGGGCTGCATGTGTTCCCGTTTCGATCCTCCTGGCCAGGTCACCGCTTGTGAATTCAAATACCACTTTACACTACCCTCAAATTCCCATTTCCCGGCGGCTACAAACCGGAAGCTTTATGCAAAGAGAAGACACCACGATCCTGCTTTTCAGAGTACTTATATACTAAGTACTAGCTATTTCAGAATACGGAAAAGAAACAATGCTCGCCTACAAAGCTCTCTCCGCTTATCTCACCTTCCCCAACAAAGATCAGAAGCAATGGTGGGAAGACACGGCACCATTATATGCGGGATTCCTGAATGTGGCTCAATATGATCTTGAGGCCCAGTTCATACACCTGTTATTCCATTTGCGATACGTGCTCCCATCCCTTGGGCCCTTCCCACAACATGGAGAAAAGCGTACCAACACCGTGATGCCGAGCGGTCGATTGTTCGAGATCAGTCTGAATTTCCAGAAGGGTCGGTCCACCGTTCGGTTCGATTTCGAGCCTGTGACATGCACCGCAAATTTAGTGCAAGAAAAGGATCGGTTCAACTTGAGCGCCATGGAGGACCTTCTTTCCGACCTCAAATCCAACCGACTGAGTCCAAATACCATTCTATATGACCGTTTCCAGGGAGAATTTTCTTTGTCGCCCGAAGATCTGTCTCTGGTCAGAACGAAAAATGCCTCGACAAATGCGTCACAAATTCCCACGACCCAATATGTTGTCGCGTGGGATCTCAATGGATCGGATCGGAGAATGAAGATTTACTGGTTCCCAGCAGCCAAAGCATTGGCAGCTGGTCAATCAAGGGGAGAATTCACATTTGATGCCATCCGTCGAGTGGACTTGGAGCGGCGTTATACAGATTCCCTTCTCAAAGTGGAGCAATACCTATCAGCCACGGCGCTGGATAATGATCTTTGGATTCTTTCATGGGACTGCGAGAGCCCGGGGTCTTCTCGACTGAAACTGTACGTCTCCGCAGGGAATATCACGCTAGAGAGTCTGGAGGATGTCTGGACATTAGGTGGCAGAGTGACGACTGCTTCTACTCTGGAAGGATTGGCACTTCTACAAGAACTTTGGAAGGCACTCAGGCAAACCGACAACGATACGGGCATTCGAATGACCATCAGCTATGAGCTCGTCCCGGGCAGTGATACTCCACAGCCAAAGGCGTATATTCCTTTGTTTGATAGGAATGATATGGAGGTGGCCAAGACATTGTCTCGCTTCTTCGAACGACTTGGATGGACGGAGCTAGCTCACTCCTACACAGGGAATCTATCCTCGAACTAGTGAGTTTGTTTTTCGAATCTAACATTTGAATCTGAGAGACGGGATTAACATTTTGGCAGCTCGATGTTGGATTTGAGTAAGACAACCTATGTGCAGGACTGCATCTCGTTTGCTTTTACACCGGAGAAAGGAGCCTACATGTCAATGTATTATTGCTCATCGCTGTCCCACCCTGTTTTGAGCTAAAGATTGCAAATACGGGATTACAGGTGTTGGGTGTTGGTTATTTAGAACAGAAGAGTTTATTTAGGGTGTTATATAACCGAATTTACTATACTTGATGTTCTGGTTCCAATTTCGGTTGTTACTAGTACAACTTGTACCTGTTGAAACACAATTCACTAGATGATTTCTTGATCAATGTATGAGTAAAATAAATTAGTAGGGTCAGGATCTCCAAGGCCAATGAATACCTAAGTGCAGTCAAGATGATGTAGCAACTCTTTTCTCCCGTACGCGTAATTTTAGCTTTAATGGCTGATACTCCGGCGTGGCGTTTTTGACAAGTCGAAAACAACGCGACCGAGATACTCCGTGCTCCTCACTCCGTCCTTATTTTTTGGCGCCAGACTTCAGGGTAGCTTCAGCTCCTCCACGTCGCGGTAGATCATTTCCTAATCGACTTGAGACATTTTCAGCGTCAGTGGAGGTCGTACAGCTGAGATGGGGACTGGGGCTTGCAGTTCTTACTCCGCACGGAATATACATATGGTACATACTCCGTACAGAGTGGATAGTTAGGTGTTCGTGGCAGAGTGACCCACTTTCCAGTTTGGCTACTGATCGGTCGATTCTTTTCTTCAGCTGAGGGGAAATCATGAACGTGAAATCTGGGAAGAAGTCCGGGCGCGGATCGGATCGAACGATTGCCGAATAGGCCCGAGATGAACATTAAGATATCCCGACAGAACCATCCGCATCACTAGCGGTAAACCTAGTGGGTATTGTTTTAGACACATTTCAAACAACCCTTGACAAATTATTATGAAGATTGGGGGAGATCTGAATACTCAGCAGGTACGGCTGTCCTCTAGATCCCTCAATTCCCCGCTTTGCGTTTCTTCCAGTGAATTCATGGGTAGCAGGCCGATCTGGCCGATCTGGCCGATCTTCACTAGTGTGTACTAGTAGTTCTTACAAGTATAAACCTAGTACGAGTAGTCCATGTACTCAAGTACTACGTATAAAAGCCCCAAACCTTAGACTCCACTTTCCCTTATCTTACGACAATCGCTTGTGTTATTGTAGTAAACTTTGGAACTCATGTTCCCCCTTCCGATCGGATTGACCTCAAGTGCTATTCCTCACAAACAAAGAATATTCAGTCATTCGGTTCCACCATCCTTGAATTCAGTGCTTATCGCTGTGGATGGTATACTGACCCGCATCGACCATGGATGATTCTGCGAATCGATCCCTTGAGATTGGTGGTATAGTCGCAGCTCTCACGCTTTTGAGTAGCATTCCATCATGGCTCACCATTTTTCGACGCCGAGGTACTCTGGCCCAGTCCGGATACCGGGATAAAGATGGCGAAGCTCGAGATGAATTTCCAACGGCTGCTTCTCACAGGTGGCAGCGTGCCACAGTCGTTGGCTTCTCCCTAGCTGGCTTGGGCATGGCCCTAGGGGATGCCTTGTTTACCTTTACACAGACAAACTCTCGCTCGATTCTGATCTGGCTCCACGTCGGGGACTGGGTAAGTTTCAAAGGCAATATTAGGTAAATTCTAGATCAAATTACTGACCGGAATGAAATATCATAGACCGTCGCATGCTTTCAAGCGGCGATATTATTTGTTGAGTCTTGCCCCGTTCGGCGATTTGCCTTGAGCAACTATGCTTTTGGAACGAGCGCTATCCTTATTGCATTTCTCGTGACGTCCTCTGGACCACAATCATTTTGGTCTTCGCAATTCAATTCCATCACGATCCTTCGTTCAACAACACTTGGTGTTGCCATCGCTCGGGCGTTATGCTGCATCCTTCTTCCTCGCCGCCCAGATGTGTATTGGAACGGCAAAGTGGTTGATCGGGAGCATACCGTGAGTCTGCTCAGCCGGTTGACTTTCCACTACATCACTCCCACCGTCAACCTCACGGCACAGAAGCAGGGCTGCATGGAGATCGATTGTTTACCCGAGCTGTCCTCCAGCTCACGTTCAAAATCTTTGTTCGAGGATATAAATCAGGCACTGTTAGATCGTCCTCTATGGCGGACAATCGTGGCCGTTCATTATTCGGCATTTCTTCTTCAGACATTCATGACTCTGATGTCGTCCTTATTCAGCTTTGGCCCTCAAATAACCTTGTACGGAATTCTGAAATGCCTTGAGAACGGGTCCACCAGTAATTTTGGTCTTTTGGTGGCAGCAATGGGTGCCACCATATGCTTTTCCTCTACAGTGACTGCGTGGCTGTGGTGGATAAGCTATTCGAAACTCAACATTCCGATTTATTCAGAGCTATTGGCTTTGATTTACGCCAAAACAATCCGACGGAGGGATATCAAAGCGGCCTCTGATGATGAGTGTGGCTCCGAAGACCAGGGCGAGCAAGACATGATCAATTTAGCAACAGTGGACACCATGCGAATTTCAGAGTTTGCAACCCAAAATCATATGATTCTCAACTCTATTTCCAATCTTTTGGTGGCCGGGATTCTACTGATTGGCCTCCTTGGGTGGCAGAGCGTGCTTGCTGGATTTACCGCGGCCCTTTTCGTGCTACCATTGAGTACCTATTTCTCGAATCGCTATATTGAGATCCAACAAGTTTTGATGCAGGCCAAGGACAAGCGAGCTGCAGTCGTCACGGAGGTAGTGCAGAATATCCGACAAATCAAGTTTTCCGCCATCGAACAGGAATGGTATGATCGAGTCACTGAGATTCGACAGGGAGAACTCAAGGCTCTGCTCCAAAATATCAAATGCATGACTGGTGTCGTCGCAGTCTGGACGATGAGCCCTCTGTTGCTCTCGGCAGCCTCATTGTCGGTCTATTCTCTGACTCAAGGCCCGTTGACCGCGTCCGTCGCGTTCACGGCTCTCTCCATTTTTGGACCCCTTGAAGATTCCCTAATGGGCATCCCGTATCTTTTATCACGCGCGATCGAGGCCAAGACTAGCTGTGAGCGAATTGCAAACTTTCTGCGAGAATCGGAGAGAAAACCATCCACGGGGACAGGAGATGAGATCATCTTCCAAGATGCAGACATTGCCTGGCCAGCTCAGGTGGACAAATATGGTAAAGGTCGATTTTACCTGACTCATCTCAATCTGCAATTTCCCTGTAAGGGCCTAAGCGTGATTTGCGGCAAAACTGGATCCGGAAAGGGATTGCTCTTGTCGGCCATTCTGGGTGAATGCGAAATTTTATCCGGCACTGTACATGTTCCATCTTTCCACGGAGAGCGATATGACGATCGAGCCACCCCGGGCAATTGGATCATTGATTCTGCTGTTGCCTACGTCGCCCAAAACCCTTGGACTGAAAATGCGACGATCAAAGATAACATCATATTCGGTCTACCATACGACCACACACGGTATCAGGACGTTCTATATGCTTCTGCGCTGGAAACCGACCTTCAGAGCCTCCCTCATGGGGACCTGACGGACATCGGCGCGAATGGTGTCAACCTCAGTGGTGGCCAGCGATGGCGAGTCTCCTTTGCTCGTGCATTGTATTCCAGAGCGGGACTCTTGGTGTTGGATGATATTTTCAGCGCTCTGGACGCTGACACAGGTCGTCATGTGTACGAACACGGATTGACTGGTCCACTAAGCGAAAACCGCACCCGAGTTTTGGCGACGCATCATGTTGGACTATGCGCACCCAGTATTGACTACTGCGTTCTTCTGGAAAACGGCACAGCATCGCGCGCCGGCACGATGGACCAATTAATGAAAGTTGACGGTGTCGCCGGCATTCTTTTCGGACAGCGTCCGTTGGAAGCCTCCTCTAATGACAATATGGACGAATCCAAGGAAAAACACGAGCAGCTCCCCCCCCGGAAGACTGCTAAAGGTGTTGTCGTAGACCAAAGACCTGAAGTTACCACTTCGCCATCAAAGTTCAGCCCGGATGAGAAAAGAGAAACGGGGGCAGTCGCATTCTCGGCATACAGAGTTTTTATTTCCAGTGGGGGAAACAAACGTCTTTGGGCTTTGGCGTTGCTGACCACGTGCATTTCCACATTTCTTCTATTCAGTCGGGTAAGTCTCCCTGCCCCGTGGGTATTCCCTGTTTGCTAACGTCCTTGAAGTCATGGTGGGTAAGTGTCTGGACCACTGCCTCCGAAAAACAGCACGGGGCTCATTTTCATTCCATGCACGGCCTGGCTGTGAGCCTTGTGACCAACCAATCTCCGACCGGTGAAATCCAAGTAACTGACATGCAAGACGATCTCTTTCTCTACATCGCACTTTATGTCGCCATCTCGCTAGCTGCATCCGCTCTTGAAGTAGCACAATTCTTCTTCCTCAATTATGCGTCTATAAAGTCTTCGAAAGTCTTGTTTCAAGATCTTTTATCGGCTGTTTTGGCAGCACCTCTACGCTGGCTGGATACTACTCCTGTGGGGCGAATTGTCAATCGCTTCACAGCCGATATCTACCAGCTAGACTGCATTCTTGGACCACAGTTAGCGACATTTATGAAATTCATATTCCAGCTTCTAGGAATCCTTATTGCTGGTGTTTTGGTATCGCCTGTTATTTTGATTCCAGCCACAGTTCTCCTTGGAGTATCTCTGAGGGTATCATTGACTTACCTTGCTGCTGCACGGGAAATGAAGCGATTGGAAAGTGTTTCTCGAAGCCCAATCATCGAGCACTTCAATTCTACTCTCCTCGGTCTAGGAACAATCCGCGCTTATGGCAAGGACCAGGACTATCAGAATGCCATGCACAGCTGCATAGATAGTCACTCAAAGGCTTCGTGGAACCTGTGGCTATTTAACTGGTGGGCGCAGATTCGAATCGGAGCTTTGGGTGCAATCTTCGCTGCGATGGTTACAGTCGTCATCGTCAGAATCGGCATATCTGCCTCGCTGGCAGGTTTTGTCATCAGCTTCATCTTACAGTACAACCTCGCCGTGTCAACTTCTCTTCGTCTATACTCCAGTGTGGAAATGGCGATGAATGGCGCTGAGAGAGTCATTGAATATACCAAGATTGAAACTGAAAGCCAAGGTGGTGTTGACCCACCGGCGGCGTGGCCGGTTCAAGGACGCGTTGAAGTCCAAGATTTGGTTGTCGGATATGCTCCAGAGTTGCCTCCTGTATTGAATGGATTGACCTTTCGAATTGAAAGCAACCAACGTGTAGGGGTGGTCGGTCGGACTGGAGCAGGCAAATCGTCCCTCACACTAGCTCTCTTCCGATTCTTGGAGTACAGAGAAGGAAACGTCATCATTGATGGAGTGGACATAAGCAAGATAAAATTGAGTGCCCTTCGAAGTCGGCTGGCGATTGTTCCCCAGCATCCGGTCCTGTTCTCAGGGACCATCCGATCCAACCTTGACCCGTTTGACAAATATTCAGATACTGAACTGCGTGCTGCATTGGAAAGAGTCCATCTGATTCATCCGGACGCTTCAGATGATGATAACAAATCTCAATTTTCATTATCGACTACTGTCGCTCAAGGCGGACTAAGTTTCTCTCAAGGCCAAAGACAACTTCTGTGTCTTGCGCGATCGATTCTCCAGCAGCCCAAAATCATGATTCTCGACGAGGCTACTTCCGCTGTGGACAAGGAGACTGACACTCTCATTCAGCAAGCGATTCGCACTGAATTCGGCCGCAATTCCAGTTCGCTGTTAGTTGTTGCGCATCGTCTCAGCACAGTGGCTGATTTTGATCGGATTCTTGTTATGGATCAAGGGAGAATGGTGGAGTTTGGGACGCCGCAGGAGCTGCTCAGTATAGAGGATGGTGTTTTCAAGGATCTTGTGGAGCAATGTGGCGAAAAGGCTTATGTGGAACAGATCATATACGGGAAGAAGAAGTAGACATGTGAACATTAGAACCCCAAAGGAACCTCTTCAAGTCGACTAGTAGTGTAACAAAGGATCCTAATGAAACCGTATTCAAGTACGTCACGTACCGGAAGGTTCACATTTTACGTACATTGTCAATAGTGTTTGCTTAGTTACGTCCCACTTCCCACCAAGGCGCCCTATATCCAGATGTCCTGATCTTGTCATACAATTTTTCCAGCTCAGCCCAAATATCCCCGTGATCACTTTTGGAATCCCACCAACCCATAAATCAAGAAGAAGCATGACTAATGTCAACATCAACTGTCCCCAAAGTCCCATTATCTTTCTTAAAATGCCCAACAATATCAACAGCGTAGTCCTGGCTATTCAGGTCTCTGGCCGTGACCGAATTTTCGTTGCCTGGACCCGGGGCGTAGGGGGCGTTCCAGTCAATGGAACAAATTTTACCACCACCTGTGTTTTGATCAATTAAATCAAAACTTCCTTGAGATCCTGAGGGAGCATCCTCTCTGCCACATGTCCAGATATCTGCTGGCCCGGAGCTGAATGGTGGAATCACAGTCTCGTCAACTTGTTGTGGACTTATCTCATCATTTTTGTTCCCATCAGCATAGAACTTCCCCCTATAGAGGAGACCATGTTAGAGTAACAATCCTTTTAAATAGCCTTGTATAACACATGTGCAGAATCATAAGATGTATATGTACCATTGAAGTTCGGAATTTTGAACTCGAACGGGTAGCCCGCCCATGGAATCCGTCAAGTGCAGGTCAACCCAATCGTCATCTCCCAACGGTCCAGCTGGCATATTGGATAATGGATATTGATTAACTTGTTTTGAAGTAAAGGCTTATTGGGCCTAGTTAATACATGTGAATTCAAAAAGAAAAGAAATTTTGATATCAAAGACGGAGAAGAGAAACGGTCCAGACTTTTATATTCGCAGGTGGACATCCTGGACGGGAATATGATTTCATCACATACCCACTACCTACTAGGCATTTGAAAATTTGAATCCTACCCTGCCGACACATCCATCCATTATATCATTACATGATATTATACGGGGAGAAAGGAAATATTTGAACTGGAACCCCGGAACCGAGAGTTTTCATCACCATAACAAGTAAGGGATCTATTTGGAACTAACATTTGATTTGAAAGAAATAATGTTCTAGCCTTGCCGAAATCAACGGCAGTCTCATGCACTCAGCTTATCATCATTGATACATTTCTTTCTTCAGGAAAATGCTACATAACATAAGGGGCGGTGACAAAAAGCTCATACGAGGGCTGTGGCAATTCCGTTTGCAGTTTTCTTTTTTCATTTCTTCAACTATTATCTAAGGCGCTTCCAGGAAGTCATTCCTGCCAGTGAGAAATTCATCAATGAGAAAGTATGTGAATGTGGCTTGATTCCCGTATTTGGACCAGTTTGAAGATTGGTCGGATTAACCTCCCGCTTTGTAAAAATCCCATGGTTTAACTCGGGCCGCAAACCGTCAAGGCCTGACCAGTCTAGAGCAAGCCGAATTGATCTTCGACGGGGAGCAACAATATCTGGAGAATACGGGAATGGATAATTAGCCAGTCCAGATCAGTCCATAAAGACAGCAGATCATCCGAAAAATAAAGTCTGGGTTGTCACTGCTGATTGGTCAGATGTGGGGAAGAGGAAAGCGGTTTACTGAGGTTGATTGGCCGAATAACAGAACCGGGGTTACGCTATTGAGACTAGCGTCAGCCTCAAATGAATCTTTACGTCATTTCCGATTAACAAACGCCGACGTGGTGCAGTTGGTTAGCACGCTCACTGCCAGTCATTATGGACAGTCTTGCCTGGCCTGGAATGTACAGAAGTATTATTAACAGATCAGGCTGGGGTCCCGACACATGTGAGAGACGGAGGTTCGACACCTTCCGACTGCACTTCTTTTTTTCTTTTTTTCCTTTTTTTCTTTTTTTCCTTTTTTTCTTTCTTTCTTTCTTTTTTGTCTGACTGCCTCGAGCCTCGAGCCCTCGACCCCAAACTCGATTACTGCACAGCTCCAAGCCTCCAAGCCTCCAACACTGAACTATCATGTTTGTCAACACCTACACATTGAACTTCTCTTTGTTAGATGCAGTTTCTGGTTCGTTCTGCACGCATTATTGCTCTTATAAGACTGGTTACACTCATGGGTCGTTCGGAGATTACGACATGCCCGACCAGAAACCCGACCTTATAAAGTACAAGCCGCTCAGTCGATAAACTGTTCAATAAATTAATACGAGGTTCATACTGAATGCATAGGATAGTTTCCAAGGTTCGTCACCAGTGACCATGGAGATACAATACATGTATACTATGTATGCGCCATGGATAGTATAAACATCCATCGTAACATCTGCTGTTTTCAGCTGCCTTTCATTCAATCTAGAACTTGAATTCGATGAAATAGTCAGATGGGACTTTGGTAAAGCTCAACATTGGTCCCATTGAGGTTGGCGGATCTCTAACTGATATCGTTGGCCGATCTCCACGCCACCCACGGTCCCGGTCCCGATCCCACGCTAAGCATGCCCATAAGGCCCACATTTATCTCCCCTCCGGATCTTTGATGGATAAAGCTGCAGCCGCGTCTTTTATTCCTGCTCATTTATTGATTTAATACATATTGATTTTGAATATGGAGTACTCATTCTGGGGAAAAATAAAAGCTTGTTCAAAATCTCTAAATCGGGTATATGCATATGTTTGGTCCTATTAAGAGCCAATTAGCGCTGTCTTTCTCCAGAAACGGGTTTGTGATGCATCATACATACTAGAGGAACTTGCCAGGGATAAGGCTAATCCCGATCCCGAGAATTCTGGGCCCCTTACTTGGTTCCTGACTAATTGCATATCTCCCGTTAGAATACCTCCACACTCGTGCTGTTTCCCTGATTTGTTTACTATCATTAAATCTCCCCGAATCCTGCATCGTCGTGCAGCACTTGTCTCACTCTGGCGCATGAAAGCTTGGGGACTCTCCAGCCGTCATCAACCAACACTAGTATGGTATGGTCAAGCTCTCAGGGCGAACCAAACGTTCCACAGCGTGCAGTTCGCCACCACTGGCGCTCTTCCGATGGCTTCATCATTAGCACGATGTGCCTGGCTTTGTTCACTGGTACGCCACAATGGTTCCCAAAAACACAGATGGGCACAAGTTGACTAATTGTCATTATTGCACGCACTATTAGACGAGCTGCTCTTCGCGTTCATGGTGCCCTTGCTACCGACCATCCTTGAAGACCGTATCGGTCTAGCCGCGTCTTCCACCCAGCGATATACTTCCATTTTCTTGGCTGAGGGAGCATTCGTGTCAGTTGTTTCCAGTCCATTTATAGGGTCCATTGCCGACGCGACATCCTCGAAGAAATTACTGCTGTTGATTTTGCTGGTACTGGCCCTAGTGAGCGTCGTTTGTCTATCGCTGACTACCACATGTGAGCAATTTTCCTTCCCCTTGCTCTCAAATCCAATACTGACCGGGTTCCCAACATAGTATCATGGCTATTTATCGGGCGCTTTTTTCAATCTATCGCTAGCAACGCATTATGGATTGTTGGAATGGTAACGATGACTGAGAATATTGGATCGGAACACATGGGCAAGATCGCTGGCTTGAGCTCGACCATGACGGCGGTGGGGACTACTACCGGGCCGGTACTGGCAGGAATCTTATTTGGATTAGGCGGATACTGGCTTGCGTGGGCTGGTGCAATCGGTTTCCTAGTGGTGGATATCATCATGCGCTTGCTGATGGTGGAAAGACAGCATACTTCAGAGAACGAGGAGCGCGATCCTCTTCTCAACGATTCCTCAGAGTCACCCTCAACACCCAATGGTATTGACAGCCCCGAAGCTTCTCCTGTTGAAATTCAAGGCTGGCGCTTCTACCTGTGCCTCTTTCGTCAGTCTCGTTTTGCGGCCGGTATCTTTGGCTACTATGTATCCGCTCTTTTGATTGCCTGCTTCGAGTCAACATTGGCGGTGCATGTGCGCGATGCGTTTGGTTGGGGCGTCCTCCCCGTTGGACTACTGATGACTTCGATCCAGGGACCGGGAATGGTCCTGGCCCCGTTTGTAGGGTGGCTTAGGGATCGCATTGGATCACGAACCCCAACGACCATTGGATTCATCGCTCTCATCCCCTTCCTGTTTCTCCTAGGCATTCCCGGAGACGATCGCTTCCCGTGGGCAAATGAGGGAAGTCGAGGAAAGGTCATCTACGCAGTCTCCATGGCCATGCTTGGATGTTTGATGTGTATGTTGGGCGGCGTAGGAACAATGGAAGCAACAGGTGAGGATACCTTAGTCTGATTTTCGGGGGCTGCAGCTGATATTAGTTACAGAAACAATTGATCTACTGGAGACTGACAATCCTGGAATATTTGGCCCTAATGGAGGCTATTCACGCGCCATTGCCATAACTGGTATGAGTTTCATGGCCGGTTTGATGACCGGACCGCTTCTGGCTGGGCTACTAGTCGAGCAGCTCGGGTACTTTGAGCTTCAATGCGTCCTCGGCAAGTCCTCTCCCTGTCTATTGCCTGATGTTTACTGACTGCCATAGCTGCCGTTTGTTTAATTGCGGCTGTCACTAGTTGGCTCTTTCTCAGCTCACATAGACTCTCAACTCCGAATAGCCCAGTAATATAACTTGTACACCATCTCCAGGGGGCTCCCTGGCATCATATTTCTTCCAAGGTTAATGGCGTATTTTTGCCCTTCGTTGACCAGGTGTCTTGTAGAAATTCCCTTTTGATGCCATCAGAAATTACTACCGAGGTCCATAAAGCGATGACCCAATTTCCTAATATTTTGGCACGGCAACCGAAACGGAAGTTTTGATAAACCTTGAAATGTATCCATGGATCTTACCCAAGGATAGAAAAAATGAAAAAATGATGATCAACTGGGCACGTGGATATCCTTAGAAAAGCGGCCCGCTCTTCCATTTGAACACGCAACCTTCAAATGTTAGCGATTGAATTCCAAAATCGCAAGGCCAGAGATTATTCAATGCTGGATGACATATATATGCTACGTATTGCCTATCATGTATGTGTTAGCTCGTGATGTCCAATTTGTATAGGCTATGCACGATTTTAAAGTTGAACGCATTTGAGCGCATTTTTTTGTTCTTTGCCGTGAATGGTATTTCTTAAATCTTGTTTACTTCTTTAAGCTTGTTTGCTTTTTAATAGTTGTTCTAGAAGGTAGATCAGAAAGGCTAAACCGAGTACGGTTTAGGATTGATATAGGCTATGCGCGGTTTAAAGTTGAGCAGATTTTCAATTTTAGCCATGGTTAAAAAAGAAGGCATGCTTCTAGAATATTCAATTTCAATATGGATTCAGGTTCATATAGGCTATGCGCGATTTTAAAGTTGAGCGCATTCTTGAAACGTTGTCCTTAAGGTTAATAGTACATCCTTCTTTAAGCTTGTTTCCTTCTCTAAGGTTATTTGGTTTTTAAGGGGTATTCTAGAAGGTACTAGTAGATCAAGAAGGCTAAATTTAGTATGGTCTCAGGATTGATATAGGCTATGCGCAACCTTAAAGTTGAGCAGATTTTCAACCTTAGGAATGGTTAAAAGAGAAAGGAACTTCTAGATGGAATCTTGAAATCTTGTAGAATATTCAGATGTTCGATTTTCATATGAATTCGGATTCATATAGGGTATGCGCGATATAAAGTTGAGCACATTTTTTAGAGTTCTACAAGATTGTCTGCTTTAAGCACTTGAGAGTTCATAAACCTAGAAAATACACCACCATTCACCAGAACTCTGTCCTCATTTGTTGCGGAGTGTTCGTTGAGCACCTTTTCCAGTCGCCATCTAGATGTCGGGATTTATAATTTTGAATTCCAAGATTGAACCGGACCTTGATAATCCAGTGCAGTGGTGGAAAAACTATTAAACACATCCGTGTGTGGAAAATGAGTCAACGCAATCCTCATTTTCACATGTTCCCAGGAAGCAAGTACGGCACCAGTCCTTCTCAGTGGCATTAATCCCGCACACAAAACACCACAGTGGAAGATTTTGCTGCTCTTCTGCCTCCTTTGAGAGTGCACGTCGATTCACCCTGCCTTGAGGCCCCACCACATACTGCTCCAGCGCCTTGCGGTCCACGGCTCCGCTGTCAAGCTTGGGAAGCCATCGAACCCAATTAGAACGCCTCCGAATAGCTGCCATAACGCAAAATTGCTTCGATATATCTCGATCAACGGCAATGAAAGCGCCAAGCCCACGTGTCGGTATATGGTCCTTTTTGCAATGGGTACCTGCATGATCAGAAATGAAGCTGCGGACTGTTCGTCCAATTTGCAAGCTTCGTGCAGCCCAATCCTCTGCGTCGGCCAAGTTCAAAATCCCCAGAGACTCAATCAGGACAGGCACAGCCACCGGACGGCTGATCAGCGCACGCCAGAATCGGATACTTTGAGTTATTTGTGCTCTTTCCTGGAACTTGAGATGCTTCATCATGAGACCATCAAAGTTCATCGCTATTCCACTGACGCACAATCCTTTGCCGAATACAACCATATCTGGCTCAAGACCGGCCTGGTAGTACTCTTCTCTTTGGCATGCCCATGGTGCTCCACATCGGATGGCTGTCATAGCCTCATCCACTACTAGGAACAGCTTTGCTTGATCGCAGCATTCGCGGAGCAATTTGAAGTTCTCGGGGGAGAATACAGAACCGTCAGAAGTGCTGACCAAATCAACAATTACGGCGATACAGTCGTTCTGCTTGGCCTGAATGAGCTTTGGCAGTAAACGGTCCGGTGCAAAGTCTTCACTACGGATCATCACAGGCTCATCGCCAGTTGCGATAATGTTATACTCCCACTCATGGGAAGCATGCGCCTGCTAATGTAAGTAACTTCCTGCAAAGCCAGAGATATCCGAGAAAAGGCTTACCAAGGGTCCAGATCCACTACCATAAATGCCCTCTACGGTCGCAAATCGGGGCCTCTTTACGTGGCTTTCCGTCCAACCAAGCAGATTCCGTACAAAGATTTGGATTTTTTCAGGCTCTGGGTCGTCATTCAACATAGGTGATAGCTCCGGCGATTCAATGATTAGTGGACACGTCGAAGCCGTGTTGAGAATCAAGGAGGCCATGGTTGTAGGAACCAGAACATCGCTGACGTGGGCATGTAGCGAGATGGGCCAGTAGCCTTTGAAGAAGCTGTGGAACTTCTCTGTATATTCACTCAAAAGCAAGTGGTATTGGCGTTCAACTGCGCCCGGGTTGGTGGCATATAGTTTCCATAGCTCGCGAGCGCGCTCGTCACCTGTGAAACCACGGGTTGAGTAAACAGATCCCCAACTACTGTGGAAATCGTGATCCACGGGGGCTACCAACTCCTCAGGCGCCCTTTCCTGTGCTGCATCCCTGTTGTCCTTCATGATGGTGGTTTTCGTCATGTTGATTTGGTTGTGGGAGGGTTCGGAGGAGGATTCGGAGGAGGGTCACGAATATCGCAAGGATGCGATCTCGGGGTTGATGTATTAAATTACTACTAACAACGAGGCGTGGAGGCGGAGTAGAGAGAATAGTGGAAGTGAAAATGGTGGAAGAGAGGAGAAACCGAGGCAGCAGTGTTCAATGTTGAAACGTACAAGTATTTACCCAGATTCAAAAATCGCACATGAGCCTTTTCTAGCCTTTCTGTACTTGAAAAATCGAAAATGTAGCAAGTACTTGCGTCGGCTGACCTCCCCTCCAATAAGCATCCACTATCCGAACTCAATTCCAGATATGATCTGCAAATCAAGGCTCTTTCCTGAGACAAATGCAGCACATAATCATAATATGCAACCCTGATCACATAGCAATATTGTCGAGGTAGACCGCTCTTTCGTCTGAGCACTAGTATGCATCCCCGGAGAGGGATCCCGAAAATGTCACCACCTTCATTTGAAGTCGATAGTGGGTCCACGGGTCCACTGAACCCCAAGTTTGTACGGATCGAGATCTACGCGGCCCAGGGCCCATTGCGGCTCTCCCCGAGAACCGAGCCGGCCCACTTCTAACTCCACTTTCATATGATACCACAACAAAGTCAGAATTATCTTGTATGGCTCCTGGGGCGATTGCATTCATCATGTGCTCCGAGGATTGGCCATTGATTTTTTGGTTCACAACTGGCTCGAACAAGGGGTGAAAGGGGTAAAAAAGGCAAGCAAGGGTGACAAAGGGCTACGTGACCATCATGGTGTAGAGCCAGTTCTAGTACATGCTGAAAATGTTGTAGTCACAGATTGTGAGTGCTCTCTTACTCGCCAGGGCAAATCTCTCTTGCCACCTGACCTTGTAGTCCATGGCCTGCGCGCATTGAGGCTGCTAGGCTGCGAGCACTGTGGTGTCACGTGCCTGCCTTTTTTTTCGTGAGAGTTTTCTTGGTGGATAATGTTGTTGCTGACAGCTCCATTGAATTTGATCTGTACCCTGCAGTCTCCAGTTAAAATAATAGGTGATACACCTGCATCTTGGAATTTTTTTGACCTGCAGATTCGATCGGCAGATTAATCAGCCAGAAGGGTTTTGCGCCGAAAGCATAGACTGGTGACCATAGTGAGAGCGTGTCGGATCATAGTAGTTGGTGTTTCTGCAACAAATGCAGCTTTTCTCGCCGCTTTCTATGCAAAGTAGCTGGTGGATTAGTCGATTGGGGAATCAAATAGTTAACAAAGGAAAGGGCTGACTTAGCCACGTGCTTCTAATGAACATTGCTAAATTCGATGCACAACAATAACGGCAAGTGAAATCTTAAAAAAAGCTTAGCTCCTTCATCTCAACCGTCGAATCTCAACACTCCTCTCCTTCATCCCCCCGTCCTCGGAAAACAAAGCATCCTTCTGCCTCCTTCACTCTGCGTTTGTCTGCCTTGTTTATCTCCGAAACCGAATCCGTCAGAAGAAAAACACGAAATTAGACGAATTGCTGATCATGGATACACTGCAGGATCCACGTGCCAAAACAATGGACGCAACACTCTCACCTGAATCGCGCATGCTGCGCAAGCTCAACGCCTCCAAGCCCCAGTCGACTCAACATGCTTCAATCCCCGCAGATCCCTTCGAACCCCTGTTCTGTTTTCTCTACGGGACACTGATGGATCCGAAAACACTGTCTGAGGTCTTGAGAATGCTAGACCCCCTTCCTGCTATGCGTCGTGCCAGGCTGACGGGCTATGGCGTCAAACTCTGGGGCTCGTACCCTGCCCTTATCCACAACCCAGTCCAGGTGGTTGATGGTAAGGTGTTCGAAATCATGTCGAAGAAACAGCTTGATCTACTCGCTTCCTATGAAACGGACCGATATCGCGTCCATCACTGCGCGATCGACATTCTCAACGATGACAGTACTGTGAAAAGCACTATTCAAGGTTTCACCTTCCTGTGGAATGACCAACAGGATGATCTCCGGGACGGGAAGTTTGACTTGAAGCAGTGGAAAAGAGAAAAGGAACTTCAGGACATGGATGATGATTGCATGCAGGTGTGGTATTAAAACGGAGTGAACCTACGAAGGGCTTTTTTATGTTTATTGTCTTTCAGAAACTTCGATGCACCGACTTGATTTTTTCCTGAGAGATTCCAAGGTTGCCCTATCAAAATTGTTTCTAATCAGAAATTAACCAAGTCTTTCAGTAACGGTGGGACGATAGTATTGAATACACGCTCATCGAATCGTTTCTCAAGGCACAAGGCAGACCAAGATAGACAGCTATTAACAGCGTCTGCATAGTTTGATCCATTCTCCTTGCACATGTACCATTTCGACAAGTTTTGATGCAGTCTCAAGTTTTGTCACGGGTATATGCTGGCTTTCATCATCCGGGTCTATCAACTTATGAAGAGACTTTCCAAGAGATAGTTCCACCAGCGCAAGTCCCAACGGCAATAACCGATTATGGCCAATATTGCGTGATGGAATATTCTGGGGTGGCGTGCACTCAAATTCCAGAACCACAAGAGTCTTCACCTTCCAATTCAAAGTCACCGGACATCGAAACCAAAGAGAAGGATGCTGATAAGGGCGAGAGGGATGCAGATAAGTTTGATGGCTTGCCTGCACATCCGTCATCGAATCGCCGCGAGGGAGCTGATAGCGATGTCGCCAAGAATGCGGACGTTACTCATCCACCCCGGGACACATTGACCGCTGAACGGCCCTGTGAGCCAATATTTGGAACACAATTAGCTGGGCACAGTGGGAATTCCGCTGGCAACCCAGGAATAAATTGGGCTCCTATGGATGAGCAGGTTGAGATGAAGAAGCGCCAGCTGATGCGTCTCAGAAAGGAAAAGTTTGAATTTGAGGAATCCAACGCACGTGCCGAGCAGCCTCCAGCGAGGCAGACAGAGGCAGAGCCCATCGAGTATATCCAAGGACAGGAACATCTTCCGAAAGAGGGAGAGACAAGAGAGAAGGAGAAGGAAGAGCATATGGAGGAGAAGGAGGCAGTTAGGACACACGACGTGGGTCGGGATTCTACAAAAAGCATGCACATTGAGAAGACCTCCAAGGGGGATCAGAGGCTTCGGGAAATGTTGCAAGAGTGGGGACATGATGATGATTTCATTCAGCAAAGGTTGCAAAAGAGGGATGACATAAGGAAGTTGCTAGAGATGGAAGAGGAGGCGCAGGACAAGAAGGGTACTTGGTTGAAGGTAAGAACAAGCCCATCTTCTTGCCATTGATTTGAGGTAGCTTCGATGTGAGCTGCTGGATACTACTACGTGCTGACTTCCTCTGCACTAGATTCGCCGCGAAGACATACTTTCTGCAACCGTTATTGCACACGAGCTTCCCTGGACTTGGGCGGAGGTAAACGCCCTGTGAAAATAGAACTTTCGATAGTCCACGCTACCACTGACTTCATCTAGGATGACCCGGATTACATTATCATCCAGCGATGGCTTAGCAACGATTTCTTAGCTGAGCTTTACGAACACACTAGGTGCGTCCGCGACGGAGAGGTTCCCGCTGCCCCCTAACCCTAGCCGGAGGTCCACCTAGGCAATTCTGCGATCGAAAACCGTCATCGTTGAGAATGGGACCGAGATTATGAGGACGGGTGTAGGAGAGAGCTAGATTTCAATTCAGTTCCAGTCAATTTCATTCGAGGGGTATGGTGAAAAGGATGACAATTTACCGGATGTGTCAGGCACGTCGTCTGCAGGACAGCCCTCAATTTTGCTCAGGCCTAGCGAAACTATCTTGAAATAATCCAAGCCAGCAAGCAGATAAGGCCAATCAGGACCATCATGTATAGAGAGGGTGCCAAAGACGGTGCCGGAATAGTTGGTTTCACCGACCCAATTGGATGAACTTCGGTCCCTGAACACAAATTTGATTCCCGTGAGCCCTTCTGGTATGAATGCCACCCAGATAGCTCGCAAGGCAGTGGTGTGTGGTACATTTACCAACTTCTGGGAAGATGGGATATGAAAACCAATAGCGCGATCAGTAGCGTTGTTCTCCGGTCCCGGAAACATAATTCCTGCTATGAATTTCCGTCCACTGAGCTGAACGATGGAAATACCGATTGGTTCATTTGCCCCATCCTGGGGCACCAGTGATCGTGCTCTGTGGTAGAGCGCACGACATCCCTCTTGCAAGGGCCCGCAGGTAGGTCTTTCCATGCGAAGGGCGCTTACCGAACCGGAAAAAAGCTTCCTCATTTGCAGACTTGGGGGCACATACTTGTGGTTGAGGCTCAGATCAAGGTGACCTCGAAAACCACCTTGGTTGCTTTCGTCCCCATAGTATACTGATCCGTGGGGCCCGCTTAATTTATTCTCCAGTTGCGCAAGAGCTGCGATGGGTTCCAACCAATTCCAAATTCTGTGTCGAGTTCCCACGTTTGAAGTTCTGTTTTTACAACAAACTTTGATCCACATGAAAAGCCGCGCCCAGTCTTGAGATTTGTTAAATGTCATGCCAATAAAGGCTGCATCTTGACCAATAAAGGCTGCATCTTGGCCAGGGAGGAACCTACTCCGCCAATATGCCCTTGGAAGCGCACCAACGGCAGCGGCGAGAGCGAGGCTACGACATACAAGCCTTAAATTCAAGACTTCTTCGAAGGATAAGTATGAGAATATTTCAAATCTCAGCTCAGCGGATAGCTCATCGAAGATGCAAGGAACAGGAGGTCGCTTTTTCGCTTGGGATCTTTCGGAATTTTTCTGCATAGTGCGGTATCGGGACAAGATTCTGGTAGCCTCGGAGAGAGAAGGTTCCAAAGAATAGGGCTCTAGGCATCCAATTGAGGTGAATTCTAGATCCTTTATGGGTGATATTTTAGAAGGGTCAGCGCGGCGCAGTAGATCCCAATTTGTCGCGCTTGTGTTGAGAGATTGCCCGTAAAATAGACCAACGTCATGACCGAGTTGAGACCATGAACCCCTAGGACAAGGAGTACAATAGAGCTGATAGAAAACAGACCTGAGCTGAAGAGGGTTCAATTGTCCATTTCCCATTCGAAGAGCAAGTAGTTCCCAGCAGACATTGTGGAAGCAAAAGCACCAACCTGCGGTTCGAGAACCGCAAACATCCCATTGCCTCAGCACCCAATGATTCACCATATTAGTAGTCCTAAAGTAGGAATTGTCGCTTTCAAGCGGTGCAAACAAAGTGTGTGTACCGCTTGGGGCCAAACTATCGCCTACTATGAACCCCAAGCCAGTGAGAGAAACAGAGCGGAATGAATCGGATTTGTATAGCCCTCGCGCTTCTGCATACCAAGGGCGGCGCCCAAAACGTAAACCGGGCATATGATCATCTTCATCACTAGGACAGTGTATGGTGTGCCCACATAGGGGACAAGAAGGTTCACGCATCGCTTTCAAGAGTGCTGATATCTCGAAACCCTTTCAACAATGCTTTATTGAGGGGCTCTTTGTTGATGTTTTGAGACGCATCGCCTCTCCCTCGGGATTGAACTCAGTTGATTGAATGTTAGAAGTTGCCAGGTTTGCACGAAGCTCCTGGCAGGAATCTTGGTTTCGCGGGATATCTGTACTGTAGATCCCACGTGGAGACCTCAGATGTGCAAGAAACACGGACCATTGAGACCTCGGTCCTCGCCGCTCCGGGCAAAGTCGCGATAGCGTGAGCTTACTAATCCTTGCATGAGGTTCCAATTCCACCAGCTCTTAGTATTTGGGAACGATTCTATGTCGGCGAAGATTGGGAATGAGCATTGGAATTCTTTTCTCAGATGACTTCCTTTCCAGTCTTAATTACTTAGTAGTATAATGGTTGGTTATTGCCTACAAACATGCACCAAGACCTTGCCCCTGGCCCTCCCCGAGCGTAGCTTCTCAAATGCTTTAACGGCATCTTCAAGCTCATACTCACTATCAACCTGGACCTTCAGCGTCCCCTTCTGTAGCATATCTCCAATCGCAACAACATGCGCCTGCTTGTTAGCAAAAAAGAAAATGGTGTATTGCCTCCGTCCACCACCCAAGAACTTGGGCCATCCAACTCTCCCCACATGAATAGCCATACTATTAGCCCCAACCTGTAGAAACACACCCTCAGGCTTCAGGAAATGATGGCACTGGAAGTAAAGATCGTAAGGCAGGCCAATATGATCAAGAATATGATCAAAAACCACCCCTCTTTCCCTAAGCGTCGCACTCAGATCTTTTTCAGCCGTATAATCAATCACCTCATCCGCCCCGACACTACGACAAAGCTCAACATTCCTCGTCGAGCAAGTCGCCGTAACATGACACCCTAATCCCTTTGCAATCTGAATAGCAAACAAGCCACAGCCTCCGGAACCCCCGTTCACAAATACCTTATCCCCAGCCTTCACATACCCGTCCAACGACTGCAGCGCCGTCTGTCCCGCAATCCCAATCCCCGCCGCCTGCTCCACAGCCACGCCGTCCGGGACCGCCGCAATCAGATCCGCAGAGATACACAAACACTCCGCCAACGAGCCGAACTTCACCGGCCGACTCGCACATCCGAATACGAGCTGTCCGGCCGTGAAGCGGGTCGCGGCGGACCCGGACCCAGTCGCGAGAACGCGTCCGCAAAAGTCCATTCCTGGGGACGCGGGTGTGCCGATCACGAGCTTTGCTGCGAGACCGAATAACATCTCGGGAACTTTGTAGTCTGCTGGATTGAGGGAGGCGACGAGGACTTGGACGAGGACTTCGTTGGGTTTCGGGGGCGGGGGTGTGCGGGCGGAGGTGTTGAGATGCATGTTTTTCTCTAGACCGCCTCCTGTGCCGGTGTATAGCCATGCTTTCATTGTGGGGTTTAAGGTCGTCATTTCGGATTGGGTGTTGAGTGTGACAGGTAAATGCTTGAGTTGCTTTCTTTTTTTCTGCCAGGGGGTTGCTGTGTGTGATTGGGGCCGAATTCTTCGTGTGTAGGGATTGGGTGATGTGATGGGTCTGGCTGGTCTTGGTGTGGCCTTGAGAACTGGAAGGGATCGACAGACCTGCTGTCGCTGTGGAGACCTTTGGATACTTTTGCTCGTGTCGTGAAGTTTCTGTCGGATGTCGATTTTAGGAAATTGGTTCGAGGCTGGAAGAGATCATCGTAATGGTCATAGATGGTCATAGCTTCTAGCCTTGGAAGTTCAGGTTCTGATATGGAACACGTGCTTTGATTGGTTGAGCCACTGTATAGTACCAAGTATGAATGCTTGGTTTTTCCTTGCTTTACCTCCAATCTTGAATATCAGAACAAGCCTGATATACACCATTTCAATGTATACATCTTTCAAAGCGAATAAAAATTGCAAGAAGGCCACCGATAAAAAATACCTTCATTTTCGCAGTGATCTTCTCAAAGTTCATCGATCTGCGCACTGTGCATTGGAACTATCCAATTCCCAGTGTTTTTTTCCCCAGGAGTCGATCGGACCCCGATGGAGAGAATCAGATTTCCGCTCTTACTTATATTTTTTCCGCGATCTTACTAGTAGGTATGCCGACGTTCAAAATCATCGTGGCCAGACTAACTCTGTGGGGCCTCATTGTACCTACACCGCTAGGCCATCAAATCGCAACCCTGGAACCCTTTCCTCCACTATGACGGTCGGCACCAAAACTCAAAACAATGGTAATTGGGCAGACTTGAAGAATCAAAGGGCGATGATTGGTGAAAATCCCACGTTCAGGGAAAACACAGTCTGAACAATTTGCGCCATTTCCACGTTTAGAATATCGTGGTTTTAACTCCACAGCCACCGTCGATCAGCGCCTTGGCGCCCCCAAATTGGCGTCGAACAGATTACCGAAGATGGAATGGTTCAGGCCTCCCCTAGCATCCACTATGGCTTACCTATGGCCCACCCATGGACCGCAGTTACGATGAAGTGCACTCCTGGATTGGACCATGCTCAGTACAGGGCTGAGTTGTCCCCGTTTCAAGTCTTCTACATGGCGTTATCAACGTGCATCTCAGCCCCCAAACCAGGCTGCTGCCATCATTGCTTTGATCGGCAAAGCAGAGAGGTCAAAACAATGCCTCTTCAAACAGGGAATACCAAATGTGGCCTGGCCCCTGCAATATAAAGTCTGGTCTCCCTAAGCAGCCTCTCAGAAATTTCTTAAATCCACCTCAAGTGCTTGATCGCTCCGCACGAGAACCTTGGCGTTTTCAAGGTTATCTTGGCTTTGGCTTAGCATATACCCCAAGTGTTTAATTCGGACTCGATAATTTTACAATCATGGGCTTATTCGGAGCTTCCATCTTCCCTCGGGGAGAATTTACGGAATATTTGATGAGTGACGAATGTCTGGTACCGGCTCATCTCACAGAAGGTGTGTAGCAAATGACAAAATTCACGAGTCAAAAAATCACAGCTAATTATTTCAGTCGAACAACCGTTCATTGGGAACATGACCTTCTACCACTTCAACTTGATTGTCTCTGGCGTATGCACATTAATCACCTTGGTATTAATTCTGAGTCTCATGGTAGAGCATTCTACCCACTGCAGCGTTCCTAGCGAACAAGTCAAGTACGTTTGATGTTGCATAGAGTCATTCTGACAGCTCCAAGGTTGAAACATACTAATGAACGCAGAATTATGAGAATCGTTCACATGCTGCCCGCCTTCTCAACAACCTCTTTTCTGTCCATTGCCTTTCCCAACTCCTACGTTTATTTAGAAGGATTCACCGAATTCTACCAGGCCCTCGCGCTTTACGCATTCCATATGCTCTTGATCGAATTCGTCGCGCCGAGTGAGCGAAAACGCGAGGAGTTCTTTGGAAACCTGAAGGTGAAGAAGATCTTTAGAAAGAATCAGTACAGGGACGGTGTTTCCTGGCTGAAGGTCAGTAGCAATTTTTATCTTCACAAAATACAAATTATACAGTTACTAATAAACAGGCACAAAACAGCTTAGCTACTATAGCACATTGCAATACCCGATCGTCGCCTTATTTGTCGCCATCGCTCAATGTATCACTGCAGCTTTCAATCGGTACTGTCTTGGTTCCAATCAACCAGCTTTCGCCCATCTCTGGGTAAGTGGGATACAAATTTATATGGTGATGAAGACATTGTTTGCTGACTGATTGAACAGCTCGAGCTCATTCAAGAGGTCTCCGTAACCATCGCCATCAACGCCGTCATCCGATTCTACGCAAACACAAAAAACTATATGAAAGAGCACAAGCCATTGATGAAACTCCTATCATTCAAAATGATGGTCGGTCTCATTTTCCTTGAACAGGTCAGTCGAATCCCCCCACCACTGTCAACCAACCACGCAATCAACCATCCTAACCAATAACCAATCCCAGGTCCTCTTCATGGTCCTCGAATCCTCAAAGGTCTTCAAACAAACCCCCAAGCTCAGCTACGCAGATGTCCACACCGGTATTCCCACAATGGTAATCTGCGTCCAAATGGTGCCCTTCGCATTCTTCATCCGCTACGCATTCAACACAAAAGTCTACCGCGTCCAACACTCCCCCAGCGATCCCGAGCAAAAGTACGCACAGATCAACGAGCAAGGTCGGCCCGTCCCACGCGCCTACCAGGGCGGTCCGTTCGGAGTCTACGCGTGGCTCGCGTACTTCAATCCCATGGAGTACATCCGAGAGGTGCAGTCTATGTACCGCACTTTACACCATGTTCATGTGCGCCATCACAAACGCATCTATAAGGAGGAGGTCGAGGGCAACGCTACCAGTGAGGATAGTGAATCTGAGCAGTTGGTCGGTGTCAACCAGCAACAGGCGCTGAGTGCACAGACTAGCCACGAAATGAGCGTGCACAATGAGTCGTTCGAGCAGGTTCGGCTTTCCCAGGCTCAGCCTCTAATGCCGGAGGTGCAGTACCCCGCGCAACCACATTATGGAAATGAGGGATTTGAGCAGCCGCTATATGGGCAGGAGGGGTTTGAGCAGCCGCAATATGGACAGGATGTACCTGCACATGAGCATCCTCAGTATGGACAGCATGTATCTTCACATGAGCATCCGCAGTATGGTCAGTATGGCCAAGCAGATAACGGATATTCACAAGAGTATAGGCGGTCATATAACTAGAGTTATATGCCGCGGGCTGGATCGGGGGGTTGATTGTCTTTTTAAATTTGTTGTTATTGAGCGTTTTGTGAGTTTTGTTAAGATTGTTTAGATAACGCGAAGCTTCGATCAGCTACGGATCATGACGGAATTTTATTTTCTGGCTTTACTATATTACTAATTGGTAACCCGGGTACACAAGAAAGCAACCCTAGGAGACGAAGGAAAGTTCTCGTACAGGTCCAATCAATCCATCTACTAGCATGTACTACGTATGTGCACGAATGCCCAGGTGAAACATTAAAAAATTATCACTAGTATGCGGAGTGAAATGAGCAAGACCAACGCTTACACGATCATTCCAACATTTCATTGATGCACCTGTGAGGAATGATCCAAGTATCGAATAGATAGGCATCTTGTATTGAAGATCGAAATTATAGTGGCTGACATTTAACGTTCAAGTATGCAAGATAAACCCAAATACCGGATGGAAAATGTAGCATCTTACTACAGAGCAGAGTGCTTCCCTGGCTGGTCCGACAACGGCGAAGAGTAGTCTTCATCATCCAAGTCTAACATCTGAATCCGATGGTTAGTCATATGGTCCTCCGTCTGCGTTTCCACCTGTTTCTGCATGCGCGCCTCCTCCCCAAAACCGTCTTGGCTATTGAGCGTTTCGCGGGCAACAGCCGAATCCCGATCTGTCACGCCCGCTTGACGCTCATTATTGGCACGTTCCTCCTCCAGCTTCTTGTCTTCAACAGCCAGTGCCGCTTCCTCGCGTTCCAATTCCTCTATGTCGATATCTTGAAGTCCAATCGACTGCATAATCTTGCCAAGCAAGAACTGGTACCGGAGATGGCCGCTGATCATCTCGCTCACATCGATATTCTCGACGCCTGGGACGTTCTCGACTTTTTGGAGCCCTGCGATTCCAAGCTGCATGCTGCTCGTGCGGTAGAGGAAGGCTAGCACTGAGTCGTTCTCCGAATAGGCGTTGACTACCCGCCCGCTCACGACGCTGCGAATGCGGCTCCAGTATTGGGCATCGGAGGGTGTTGGCGATCCCATCAGGATGACTGATTCCACGAGCCCGTGTTCCCCGTGCTTGGCCAGACTCTGGAGACAGGAAAATATAAGGCGAGATCCCAAGGAGTATCCGATCAGCGTTACTGGACGTTCGCCCTGGACTTTATTGATCAATGCATCGGCCAGAATCTCGCCGGCTTTATCCGCTCGGGACTTGGCAACGCTGAACGGGTTGTCGACTACTCGAGCCACTTTCATCAGACCGAGAGGTAACATTACTGCGCTCATGATGGTCGCGAAAACGGTGTGAGCCAGGACTTGCCCTCCTGCAACTGACCACGCCGCACTCGTTACCAACGAAGAGATGGCATTGCCGAGGTTCATCAAAGACTCCGTCTCCCAGCGCAAGGCAAAGACCTCGGAATCAGCTCCAATGACTTTCCAGGGAATAATGAAGTTGGACTCTTCCGTCACCCAGCCAGTAACACCAATAGTAACCCGCAGCCGATGATCCTGCCGAGCAGCATCGCTCTCTTTGACCGTCTGCTTCCGCGAGCCTCGAATCGGGATGAAGGCAAAGTCTTCAACCTCTCGCGCATACTTGTCCATCATCCGGCCGGTCATCCGCCCTCCATATGCACCGAAAAGCCCACCAACAACCACGCCACTGCTGGCCAACACACCAAGGTATCCAGCAGCGGCAGTGGCTCCTAGTCCAAGCCCACCCATCATGGTCCCTATACCGGCGGCTACCAACGGAGCAGCTAGGCCACCGGTAATACCAATCAGGGCAGCACCAGCAACTGATGCGACGCCTACTTTCCATTTGCGGGAGTTATCGCTTTTCTTAGGCGGCTGGTTGGCTTCTGGGTCTGATAGCGCGAGCGCAGTATCAAGGAGCCCACGTGCCACCTTGACCTCATCGTCATTGAGCACTTTGATGTCTATGCCGAGGCTAGACGTGGTATAAAGCATCAGAACACGCGAGTAGGCATTGTAATGTTCAAGGCTCAGCAAGAGCAAAAGAAGAGAGTGTAGAATGAGTAGTCTCGTGGCTTTGGGAAGCTGCGCCAATGGCGATTCCACGGGAGGATAAATTTCCGCAAGTTTTTCCATGCGTGCAGTATCCTCAGCTAAAGGAAGATCTTCCGATGGAATAACGGGCTCTTTCTCTTTCTCCTTCTCTTGCGGCTTTGCTTGGCTGTCGTCATCCTTGTTGACCACCTCGCCGATCCGCAGCAAGACCGAGTCTCTCCAGTCTTCGAAATGTGAAAGTGCCGTCTTCTTCGCTCGGACCTTTGACGCGTTCTTCTTCATTTCGGATGTGGACATCTGCCGACCCTTATCGCCCACCGGGGAAGAATCACTCCGCCTTGGAGGAAGAGGTGGTCTTGCATCGCCAAGCTCTTTCACTTTCTCATCCTCATCCTGTTCAATTTTAGGCGTAGAAGGGGCTGGGCTTTTTTCAAAGTCCTCATCAGATTTTTCGAAGTTCTCGAGAACCCCAATTCTCATTGATGCGACAATCTCTGCGACGAGTACTGTGAGATCGGCCCGCTGCGACCGGTCCAGTATTGACGTCAGGTCTTGACCGCGTTCGCTAGGAGTGGGCGCATTGGGCTGTTTTGACTCGAAGAAATGCCCATGTTTTTCTTTAAGATTCTTGAACATCACTAATAGAGTATGAAGGCTAATTTGTGATGCAAATAGATGTTGCGGCTGAGATGAAGCCGTGGAGGTTGGCGGAGATGAGGGGGCCCCAGCCTTTAGTATGCTCGGCTTTCGGATCGTTGCCTTAGGCAACTGTCAGCTACAATGTGATCAAGATAAATGTCAACAACGCAGAGGTTAGAAGTCATACGTGTGGTTCAAAATGGAACTGGAATTGATTGGAAGCTGATACTAATTCATATGAAGTGTTATGAAATACATTGCAAGACCCTTCAGACACGAGACCCCTCTTTGCGGCTCTGCGGGGGCGGGACCGCGGGATGTCCACGCGTCCTGATTGGTACGTACTGCGGAACGTACTCAGTACTCAGCCTAATTAAGCTCGAACTCGAGCTTCTAGAACTGACTCGTTTCCGCGAGGTGAGCTCCGAATCTGAACAAGTTCTAGCCCAGCCGCAGTGAGCAAAGTCTCCCACTGAGCTACCGTCCTTTCCAAACCGGCAGTGTGAAGCCACATAAGGATATCCATCTCTGCGGCTCTGAGCTCAGCCCCAGTGTTAGGCAGAACATAATCATCGATAATCAGAGTCGAGTATGTCGGGTCCATGGCTTCGACAATCCGCGACAGAATCTGAGCACTTTTGGCATCCGACCAGTTATGAAACACATTACGCAGGAAGTACAGGCGAGCACCTAGGCAAATGCAAAGTGAGCATCATTTATATGCGGCATTAAAGAAAAAACAGAATACATACCTTTGACAGGCTGAGGAGTAAAAAAGTCATACTCCATCGCCTCAACTCCCTCGGGAAGTTTGTCAATGCGCTTCAGCGTGATTGGAAGATCTTGAAGAATGAATCGCCCTGGAAGCTCGGGATATCGCTCTTTGAACCTTGTCAGCTCTTGTCCGGGACCTCCGCCCACGTCGACAATCAGGGCGCTTTCTAAATCTTCCCGAAGATTGTGTAGCTTGGATTCGATCGGGTAGATTTCGAACCACTGAGGCATCTCCTCCACGCGACGTCCAGCCATGTAATCGTCAAAGGACTTCTTCTGCTCTGCATTCTTCTCGAGAAGACCGAAGATAACGTCAGTCCCGTGTGCATATTTGAACAGCGTGGTCGCATTGGGTTGGTCAGCAAATTGTTGAATGCCAGGTCCACGCATGTACTCCACAAGTCGTCCGCCCTGTAACAGTTAGAATATACATCTAAATATTGCCTTGTTTCATAGTTCAAGCCCCTACCATTCCAAAATCGAGGTCGAAGCTATAAAACTGTTATTCGCATGAACGCCAGGCAAGCCGGATCGAAAGAAACAATTTTCACATACTGGTGCTTCTCAGCTCCAATGGATCCTGGAAGAATCTTGAAGGAAGTCTTGTCATTAGCAGCGTAAAGTTGAGTACCCACTTCATCGCAAAGACCAATGGCCGTCAGCACGCGCATAATCCGAACTGTCAATTTCGTCAGTGATTTTTCCAGCCTCCAAGTTTCCCAAACTTGTGTCACACACTAATCAAGAGCAGATCCGACCCGGTCTCCTGTGCCAGCGTCACAGCGGAAACGGGGCTCCCGTGCTCAACCAAGACATGAAGGAAGCGATACTCGATAGCCACTCGAACGGCAATGTTTTGCAGAATCTACCAGACGAAGAAGGAAATTAGAGGTGACCACTGTCATACTGTATCTTGGAGTTTCATCTCACCTGGAAGTTCAGCCGAGAAGTGGTCTCCAGAGGCGTCTCGGCGGCAAGCTGCAGCTCCCGGATTGCCTTGAGAAGGTCTGCGTGTGCATCTTTGTTTCCCGAAGACTCTTCGGCAGCGAGCTTCTGGACCTTGGAAAGGATCTCTGAGACGGACATGACGGATTTGAGGGAATTGAGTGATTTGAGGATTTTGAGTCGGAGTTGGGGAGGTTTTCTTTGAAATGGTGAAATGGTGAATTGGTGAGGGAAGGTGAAATGATGGGGAAAGCCGTTCGTTCTAATCCCCGCCAGAAGTAGGTACGGTGGTAGGCAATTATGCACGTTGCCGAAGCACTCCACAATGCCAGGAGCCAACACGTAACGTGGCTTTGAATGGCGTTGACGTGGTCGAGTTAAATCATTCACATGGCTAACTGTACGGGCCCTTGCTTTAAGATTGTGCGGCTTTTCACATGATCCTGGCTCTAAAAATTGAGGCCCTTTTATACCGGGGAATTATGTTTCTTCCACTTAACTCTCTTCAGCACCATTCAGTTCACTACATACATGTATCGGGATGCATAGTCCGCTTATTCGCATGAACCTTACAATCTCTAGATGATACATATGCGCAGTTCGGTAGGAAAAATCGAACAAGTCTCCAAGAAGGCCTTTATAGAATGTAGTAATGAACTATGTGTTTATTATTATCTCGCAGACACCGTGTATAAATCAATTCCTATGCCGCAAACCCTTTTTCCATGTTAGCCATTTTGATTAAGCTCCCTCTGAGATGATGGTGGTATTTTTCGTGACCATTATATGCTGCTCATCTGCATCTGCAAGCACCTCTCTTCGCTGCGCATCCGCACTATCGCGGGTCGCGCTTGTAATAGCAGTGCCGCGTGGAACCCAAGAGCCCGGCGTCCGATCATTTAATTCCACCCATGACTGGTGTTGTTCTTGACTATCAGTTAGGTAGCCCTGACCGGTGGAGCGTTTGCCGGAACTCCGGGAGGAAAAACCCGTCGCGCTCTTAAGATCTTGTGTGAATTTGATGAAAAACGGACGGAGGGTTGGAATGGAGCCGAAAATAATAATGAACCACATTTCGGTCAAGACCCACGTATTCAGTTTGTAGATGGCATAAGTTAGATCCTCGGCCTCTGTGATGGATGCGATTGCGATGGTTTTATTAATCCCGGCGATTCCTGCACTGTTGGCCGGTTGGTTGGTGTTGTATCGCAGCTGGGTCAGTGGTCAAACTTACATTAGTCCACCTCCCATTATGAGACAAAGTCCGACTTTTGTCGAGAGCTTCATCACTTGTAATCTTCCAATAATGTATACGGGATACCCGGCCAATAGAAAGTCAGAGAAAGCTCCAATGCCTGTGATTGTTAGTATCAAAAAGGGAAGGAACCTTGTGGGCTGATAGGGTGGAGTTGACACACTGCCTTGAGCAAATCCGACTTGAGAACAGATGACGATCCCATTGCATGTGCCTGGTAGTGCACTGTTCCATAACTTGGCTGTTGGGGTGCATTGTTTGAAGATTAGGCCCACCTCGATCACATTGACAATGGCTTGTGTAGCACCCACGGCGTAGAGAAGGTATCTACCCTTGCTTCTGGTGCCATTCTGGATGGTGAGCAGAAAGGCAATGACAGCAATGCGCGCAAGAACCAAGTCCAGAATAGCCACGACCTGAGCAATCCAGCTCCACAGATTTGTTTTGGCAATTCTGTCGGGCGGGAGTAGATTTTCATGAGTGCCGAGTCCAAATCGGATACTAACAGTCATGATACTCTGGGCAGCCAGAGCAAAGGCCTATGATAGTCAGATTGTAAATCAGGGGACCGAAAAGGGGGAGGACAGCAGGCCAAAATAGAAAAAGAGAGACGAAGAAGGAAAAAGGACTCCCTGTCTCCCTATAAATCACATACAAAAGCAATAATTACCCACACAAAATCCCACCGCAGACCAAACAAGCCGGACGATAGTTGTCGTGAAGGACAGATAGAAGCCGTTTTGGCACGGAGAACAATCAGGACAAAAGCCAAGCCCATTTCTGCCCATGTTACACCTAAGACCACCGGACCTTTTCCTCCATTGGAAAGGGACAAGCCATCCGTCATGATTTGATGCAGAGAAACAGGCCCTGGAAGTGAAGGAGAACAAGGAGAACAAGCATGAGCGCTGGGGGGAGAAGCAAGTATATAGCAATTCCCATATAACCTAATGACTCGGGAGTCTGCCTACTCTGAACAATTGCTCGCAACATTGAATGCTAACATCCTGACCAACATTATCCCTCCCTCAGTCTGTGTTACAATATTACCGGAGTTTACTACTCCCTGGCCAGGCCAAGCCGATGCGCTAAGGGGACTAAACTCAATATAAGATGATCATCCCGATGGTCAGGATCAAACGTTCATGTGGAATGCAAATTTCAGGACAATAATGAGCTTTTTTTTCTTTTTTTCATCTTTTTTGTCTTGAATAGATCTGGTTCAGATCGGAGTCGGGTCATCATCGCTTGTGTATATTACATAAGGTCCTTTCTTTTTCGTTCTCTCTATTCTCAAACATGTCATCACTTAAGGGGTATAGAATAAGAAAGAGAAATAAACCGAATGCACCAGGGCATAAAGTAGAGACTAAGAAGAATTGAGACCTATCACACGCCTGTTTACCTTGGATAGATGGTGGGTCACTCAGAGAATTAAACCTGTTCAACCCTGCAAATGTGGTATTTATGCAACTTCCCGTCAAATAAAATCAAGCATGAGATCTCGAGAGTAGATTGATCTCTGAATTCATTCATTAGATCAAAAATGAGAAAACCAACTTGGCCTAAACTGAACTTGAGTGGTAAAACACGACATCGTGAAGCGTGTCTTCCTGTATCTTCCTGACGCGTACGACATTAAATCGAACCTTCACTTTCCAACCTTGTTTACCTTTCTTTTCTACCTTTCCTTTAACCTCTCAATCATCTTTGCTGTTTGCCATCCCACGAGTCGCTCTTAATTCGTCAATTCAAAATGGCTTCGCGTCCCGCCACCCCATTCGAGAAACCCCTGGAGCCGGCCCTAACCCTCGACGAGGAAGCCGAGGCTCTCAACGGCTATGTGATCGACCCCAGTCGTTATCCAAATAACGCCGCCAGACTCAAGACAAGCTCCGACAATCAATTTGTTCTCATCCCCCAGCCCTTGGACTCCATCGATGATCCCCTCAACTGGGCTGAAACCAAGAAGGGATGGATCATCGCGGTTATCGCGTACATTGCTCTGTTGGCTGATTACACTGGTGGTTCTGCCATCATCTGTGTTATTCCTCAGTCTATGTAAGTCCAAATATAAACCCAATCTGGATTCGTGAACTCCCTCTCCCCCTGCATCTCTGTGACTCTCCTCAAGCTCTCTTTTAGCTAACATATTGTGATCTTCACACAGTCAATGGGGTCTCACTCAGGCCCAAGCTCAGAAAGCTGTCGTGGGAAACCTTTTTACCATTGGTGCTTGTGGACTGATTGTCGTCCCCTTCACAAGCTACTTCGGTCGGTGGCCAATCTTGCTGATATTCCAAGCTGTTATGCTGGGGACTTGTGCCTGGTCAGCTGCGGCCACTAGTTTCCATTCATACCTTGCGGCACGCATCATCAATGGATTTTTCTGCAGTATCGGCCAGGGAGGTGCCCTGATGTGGATTCAAGATATGTTCTTCTTTCACGAGCACCCGAAGGTCATCAACTACGTGGAATTTTCGATTATCCTAAGCCCATACCTTGGCCCCATGTTCACCTCGTTCATTGTTACAGCTGTGAGCTGGCGTTGGGCATTCTGGGTGTGCACAATAGCTTCAGGAATCAGCTTGATTCTCGTCTTCTTGCTTGACGAGACCCTATTCGATAGAAAGAACCCACCTGTTTCTCGGGGTACTTATGTCTCTCGCCTTGTCGGAGCTCATCAGGCTCAGTCCTTCCAGCACAAGAGCTTCATCGATTGTATTTCTCGCCCCGCTGTTGCAATCACCAAACTTCCCGTGTTCACAATCCTGGTCTACTACTTCCTCAATTCGGCTTGGGTCGTCGGCGTGAATACTACCATCAGTATTTGGTTGAGCAACAAGTATGGATTCTCAATTCAAAGCATCGGTAAGTCTTCAATTGCAAAACGGTTGATAATTATCTGACCGCTAACCCTTCAAGGCTTCTTTTACTTTTTCGGTGTAGTCGGTTGCCTTGCCGGTTGGTTCATTGGCCACTTCCTTCACGACGCCATTGGACGATACTACTCCAAGCGACACGACGGTCGTCTTGACCCCGAAGCCCGACTAATCATCACATACCCAGCCACTGGTCTCTGCTGCCTAGGCTTGATCCTTCTCGGTCTGGCCTTTGAACACCACTGGCACTACATGGCTATCGCAGTCTTTGCTACAATCCAACTCGTCGGCTTCATGATCGTCAGCACAGCCATCAATGCTTATCTACTTGACGCTTACCCGGAGGGATCAGGCGAGGTCGGTGCATGGGTCACGGCGAGTCGCAACTGGGCGGGATTCATGGCGACTTATATCCAGATTGACTGGGTGACTAGCATTGGGCCTGCTAAGGCTCTCGGGATCCAAGCTGCCATTACTATTGCGTCGCTTTTCCTCATCGCTTTCTTGCAGGTCTATGGCAAGCGGCTGAGAAAGCGCCAGGGCCGAATGGAGTTCAAGAAACTTCGCGTTTGATAAGAATCTAAGAAATTTCGAGGACGATTTGAGATGAATGATGAATCTGATGACCGATAGACGGTTCGGAAAAAATACAAGATGCTGATTAGGTCTTGTTGTTTTATTACATCTATGACTGTTCCTGTGGGGAACTGAGCTGTGATCGAGTTGCTTCAAATGTTGAGAAAGCCTTTGGCTTGCTAGCTACTAGACTTCAAAGCTGTTGTATCTTACCCAATTCATTCTGAATCTAGAAGCCAATCTCTCTCATCCGTAACACGGTAACAGTATTATGGGGTAGCTATGGTAGATCTGGTAGATAATTCCAAGTTCCTGATCATTGTGGATCGAAAAATAAAATGTATTCAAGTTATAAGCAGGGCGAAAGCTGTGTGCTTGGGGTATAAGTATAGTACAGAGTTTTATGCAAAATTTCGAAAGATTCAAAGGACAAGCCTCAGCTGCTGCCAGTCTCAACAACGAAGTACTTTCCCTTCGTTTTGGAGGCATAGCCAAGCGCATTGCCATCCCAAGCCGATCCATCCGGATGACTATTCCTCTCGCCTTGGACACGTTGAATCCTTCCCCGGCGTCCACTGACTTCTTCCTTGGCCAGTGCATCGCGCAGCTGGTCAAGTCCAATGGCTGTTTCCTTCACGGCCGCAGTGGTCTCGTCTCGGATGCTGCGCAATGGCTCTACTCCGGTTGTATTGACCTCTTGCATCTCCTTCACAAAGTGGATCTGTGACTCCAATGTTTCCAGCATTGACTGCTCTTCTTCTGCGCTTGTTGGCTGTGGTAGGGCTGATAGCCGGAGGAGGTGGTGAAGTTGTTTCGGGGTAATTGATGCTGTGGATGCCTTCGATATTTCGTCTGGAAGTAATGATCGTACGGACCAGGTTGGTTTGGCGAGAATTGACTCAAGCTGAGCAGTTTGGGAGGAATAGCTGCGGAGAATGTTTGTGTTGTGTCGAAGGGACTGGGAGAGTCGCCAGCCTGCGCGGAGGAATGCCATATTTGGGTTATATTTGCCACCAGTGGAATGGAAACTTCCTTTTGTTGTTCTGCCCCCGCGTGAAAGAAAACTGAATTAGAGACAACAAATGAAGGAGTGAGAGCCCTGAAAAGAAGCAATCGACAGTGGGACCGTGAAGGTGGAAACACTAATTAGCTCCGAAATGCGGGCGAAGGCGGTGGGACGCCCGATCGACGCTTCATGCGATAAACCGATTGTACTCGAGCCACAACGACACTTTTGTCCAACAACTCCGATCCGAATCAAATCAAGGCGGAATAGGAATATTCCTCCAAAGATAACCATGGCTCTAGACCCCAGAGTTCTTCTACAGAAGGTGAGTTTACCCCCTTCTCTTCGCCCCTCACCGTCTACCTGAAGCTCAAGCTAGGCAATGACGAAAGAGATAACTGACCAAGTCCACCACCGGGTATCTAGGCCGAGAAAGCACTCTCCGGCGCTTCGGGCGGCTTCAGCTGGTTTGGAGGACGCACTGAGAAATATGAAAATGCCGCCGATCTGTATACTCAGGCTGCAAATGCTTTTCGGGTACAGAAGTTGAGTAAGTCGCCTCTATCCCCCTCTCCCCGCACATGGCCACCTCGTGCTTTGTTTGGGGGTATGCACGTGCTTTGGCTAATGGTTGCTCTTCCTGAATAGATAAGGAAGCCGGACAAGCATTTGAGCGTGCCGCCTCTATTCAGACTCAGAACCTCAACGAACCAGATGACGGTGCCAACACTCTCCAGGAAGCCTTCAAGGTCTACCGCAAATCTGATCCCGAGGATGCGGTCCGGGTGCTGACCGCCGCTATTCAACACTATGTACTAAAGGGGAACCTGCGTCGTGCAGCTACGCAGCAGCAGTACCTGGCTGAGGCTTATGAGGTCGAGCTTGGAGATATGAAGAAGGCGCTGGAGGCATACGAGAAGGCGGCGGAGTGGTTTGAGAGTGATAATGCCGAGGCGTAAGCATTCTTTCCTCGGCGACGAATACTATCTGGCAAGGCATATTGAACTAACTTTCTACCTCGCGATCTAGTCTTGCAAACAAACACTTCCTGAAGGTGGCTGACCTCGCTGCCCTGGAAGGCGATTACTACAAATCCATCAAGCACTACGAGCGCATTGCCCGGCAATCCATGAACAACCACCTCATGAAGTGGTCAGTGAAGGACTACTTCTTGAAGGCCGGAATATGTCATCTCGCTACCAATGTACGTGCAATACGTATCCTGTTTCCATCTCTCGTTCTATATAGTATAACGGAACCTTACTAATACATCTTCATAGGATCTCGTCGAAACCAACCGCGCTTTCGAATCTTACCGTGAAATTAATCCCGCCTTCGTCTCCGAGCGTGAACACCAGCTCCTTGTGGACCTGCTCCAAGCCATCGAGTCGAAAGACCAGGACATGTTTGCGGATAAGCTGTTTTCGTATGACCAGCTCAGCAAGCTGGACAAGTGGAAGACAACCTTGCTTTTGCGTGTCAAGAGCAATATCGAGGAGGAAGAGGAGGACTTCTCCTAGATGGCGATTGTGTTTATTTTGTTCCTGATCCTGATTCCCCCGCCTTCCCTGTGCCAGGAATTTTAGTCTTGAAATTTCCGCTTTGGTGACTGTTTTTACACACTCCTTTATTTCTTATCTGTCTGGCTTGGAAATGAACACAAGCCCTGCAAGTGATGTTCTCAAGTCGATATAATCCTAAAGTTCTGAGCACTGGAGTAGATTGACTGCATTTGAAATGAATATTTAGACGATTTACACCATTTTATCATATACAACGTAGTATGTAGTTTGGTATTTCTGCTCCAAAGTAATGCAAATGCAAGGAAAAATCGTAATTCATTATGAAATGTCTCAAGCCTATCTACTTTTGGGGGGTCTATCATAATACTGATTCCTGAACTTGCAGATACAGGCAAACCAGCTTTCATCCTCTCACATGTGCAAGTACTTGAAATCACAAAATCCACATTATACGCCGAAAAAAGAATTGCACATTTACGCAGAAGCCTCCTCCAAAGTCCGGGCCTTGCGTGGGAAGACACGCTTGTACAGACTGATGCCAACGGAATCCTGGGGGTTGATCTTGGCATCGAAGGTGGCCTTGAAGTAACCGTGCGTACCAAGACTCTCCTTGATGAATCCACTGCGACCACGGCGGGTCCAGAGCTGCAGGGCTTTGAACCAGGCAACATCCTCGTTGTTGAAGAACATATAACGAACAGTGACGACGTTCTTGTGGATCTTGTACGGGTGACCAGCGAGAATGGCACGCTTGGCAACCACGCGGGCTGGGTCGGGCGCAATCACTGTACCAGTACCAATGAGCTCCAGACGATCCAGAGCCAGGGGCTGCTCCTTTTCGTCGGCGGATTCGAGGATCTCGGGGTCTTCCTCGGCCTGCTTGGGCTTGAAGACGAGGCAAGGGACGGCACCCCAGGTCATGGGTCCAATCCATGATGCGATGGCGCTGCGACCGGGGTGCATGAAGCGGTCGAACTTGTGAACATTGTTGGGGGTGTTGTCAGAGGACGAGAAGATGGGGTTCACGACCATGCGGCGAGGACCGCACTGGATGATAAGCTCCTCCTTAGCTCGGATAGGCTCCTCAAGTCTTCCGCTCAGGGTCATGTTGATGTTGACCACGGTGTGCTTGTGCTCATGACGCAACAGAGAGAAGAGCGAGACGGGCTGGGGCTTGTTGCGGAGGGAGCCAGGCACAGCACGGAGGTGAACATCCACGCGGATACCGGGGTTGACACCACCAACCAGGGACTCCCGCAAGACACGGTTCTTGGTGCCCTTGTAGTCGCCAAACTGCAAGAGTCTGCGCCAGTCTTCAGGCTCGAAGGGGCGGTCCTCGGATGTCTCCCAAGGACTAATCTTCATGTTCTTCAAACCACGGAAACGGGCCAGGCGCTCTCTGGCCAGCACGTTGGGGTGCAGTTCGATCTCATCGGGGAATTCAAGATCCTCCTGTGCCTCGTCACGTCGACTGGCGCGGTAGTCTGCAAGCTCTTGTGATTCATCCTCAGGAGATGGGTCAAGGAACATCTCTGACTGGGGGTACTCGGAAGGACCACCCTCGGTCATAGCGTCAGCGTGGTCGGGGAAAATTCCATCCTCTGGGGCGCCAGCTGTGTCCATATCCATATCCATATCCTCGTCTCCATCATCAATGTCAGATCCAGAGTCGGAAACATCAGCAAGGTACCAGGCGGATTGGTACGAAGATGTACCCTTGGGCAATCGCTTGGGGGTAGCGGGAATGTGAGAATCGTCATCGGAGAAGTAGTGGTGGTCATCGAGCAAAACACCCTTGCGCTGCTCGTTATCGGCGGTGGGTAAAACGTCGTCATCTTCCATCTCGATTTCCTCTGGAGCCACAATAGCCATATCGTCCGCGTCCGCTGTAGGGGAATCCAGTATTTGAGAGGTTTCGTTGGTGTCGACATTCATATCATCATCTCTCTTGGTCTTGGTAGCCTGCAGGGGAGCTGCAGTGATAGAGGAGATCTGGAAATCACCCCAGCCAGGGATATGGGTAATCCGGTCAGCCTTCAAGCCCTTGCCACGGACGATACCAGTGACAACGACGTCGTCAACGACTTCGGTGTCAACATCAGGCCACTGGACATTCTCAATGAACATCCAGCTGCGCTCGTCACGCCAGCGAATACCCTTAGGGGTGGCAGTGCAAAGGGAACGGATAGCATTGGAGCACTCCTGGCGCGAATCCAGAGACATGACCTTCTCAACAGCGGGGAAGAAGTGGTTGATATAAGTCTTCAAAGAAGAAGTAACCTGTGTGCGCCTCTTGACTGGGTTGACCTTGTCAAGTCCCTGAACAACAGTCATGACATTGGAAATACCCTGGCTCTCAATGGAGCGCAGCAACAGCTCGCCCTCTTCCTCCACTTCCACCTCTGGAGACATGACCAGCACAACAAAGTCGGCCATACGGCACACATCCATAGCATTCAAAAGGTCATGTTTCGAGGGAACGTAAAGAAGGCTTTGGCGGAAACGATCAATTCGCACACGAGTGATGCTGTCCGCGGAAACCTCGGTGGAAACATCAACACTCTCGTTCAGTGCGGTGATGGCAGAAACGATATCGACGTCGGTGGACAACGGGATGACGGCGATGTGACGGGGAGCACCATTTTGACCGGCGAAGATGCTGTTTGCCTGGGTCTTCTCTTGGTGCTTCAATGCTTGTCTTTGACGGGCGGTATTGCGACGATCGAGTTTCGACTTGAGCTGTTGGTGGGGGGTTTTGCGAGTGCCCCGCTCCACCTCGACTTTGCCTGGGAGGTTGTCAGCGTCCAAAATCAAAAAACCGGGGTATTTCAGCAGCGTTCTTTATTTTCATACCCTTTGCCTGCTCTTTCAGAGCACCCTTGGACGCATGCTTGGTCTTGTAAGGCTTGTTGGCAGACTTGGTGGTGGAACGGTGATGGTGCACCTGGGTGGGCGCCATATTGGCACTGGACCCTTTAAAGCGATATGGGAGGGATTCCAGATTGAAGAAAGAGAAAAATCTCTTCGCAGTTATTCGACAAGTATATCAAGGCGAACGTGTACTTGAACGAGAAAAAAAAATCGCGATAACAAAAATTCGATAGTGGATAGTGGAGCGGTTATGTAAGCGAGGACCGTGTCAGCGAAAATCGATTCGCGAATCACAATCTTGGAACCACATCTATACCAAGACCTCCCAGCTTAATTTCAGTTTTTCTCAGATCAAGTCGATCAGCGAGGGTCAAATTCATGCCTAATCCACTACTTTATACGTGGGGAAATGACGAAGGTTACGTCTCAGGATAATAGGATTCTTGTGCTAACATAGACTAGAGTCGTCACTAGACTCACTGCAGTCGGAGTAAACTAGGGCTGGCCGTTAATAATAAAAACCTCCGTTATTCTCGACACAGAAAGATCCCGCACATGAATCAACAGGATTATTCTGCATCAGTCACCTCACATGGTCCTTAACATATTCTTGATATCGACGATAGCGGCAGCTATGGCCGCCATCTCTCTCTGGGCCGCATCATAGGGCTGACTGTAACCCTCCCCGAGCTCCCTCTCACGAAGTCCAACCTCCCAGGGTGAAATCAGACCTGCATAGTCCTTCGCGGTTTCGATCTCTATGTGCCGACGGGCATCAACAAGATTGTCGGCACTGAAACCCGGTGGTAGGCAGTTGCTGTGGTCTTTCAGGAGTTCATTTTCCAGGAAGACTAATTCATACCACCGGCGATCCCCCCTCCATTGAAGCATCAATCCGCTGAATTCGGCAAGTTGGGTTTTGAAGAGGTTTTCGCGTTCCTCTAGCATTTCAAGAGCTACCTCCGTCAAATACTTCTCACTGTCGTATTCTGGATCAAGAGTGATCACCTTTCGTTGCCAGTCCTTCATACCCAAGGTGAACTCATCGACAACGAAGTTAAAATAGGGCCGGACTGTCTGTGGGCGGAGATAAACCTCTTCCCCTGCTAAAATTATTTTGTCCAAGTCCTGCTCGTGCGATGGACTTCTCTTATGTGTGAAGACGGGTTGAAAATTCCGGGCCATAGTTCCCACTGCCACATAAGGTCCAAGAACTACCTCCCACGTTGGCAAGTCACAGAACGCGGGGGGTGGACAGTAGGCTTCCGATGGATCAACAAGGATTTGGCAGTGCTCAGGTAGCATTCGAATGAATCTTCCAATCACCCAGTTTGAAGTATCTACCGGCTGCTCCTTTTTTAGTTGACCCATAGCGATAAGATCGAGCACCTTGTCCGTAATTTCAACTCGGTACTGTTCCACGACCGTATCCAGAAGTTCTGGGGATATATTAAGGCCTTCAAGTTCCATGGTGGTTAAAAAAAAGGGTGGGAACTGGATTTGTGTGCGTGTTGTAGTTGAATGATGGTGTAGTTAATTGATGGGGGGAAAGAAATTGAAGGATGCTGAAGGCGATGGTCAGAGCAGAGGAGAGTTGATCAAAGCAGAAAACAGATCAATTGATTGATAGAATTGTCAGGTGGGCAGACCTGGAAGCACCTGAGTTACCTACTAGACATCTGGAAGTCTTGAGATAAAAGCACTTCTCCTCTCTAACATGCCTTGTTTAGGAAGTCACCGGGGCACCGGGGCAAACATTGAAGGCTTCAAATGTTAGTTCTGTGTTGGAATTCAACAAAACGGCAACCTGAACAATTCAATGTTAATCTTTTCGCCTTATTGTTCTCGGCTGTGACTTGTTATCTTGTGATATATTTTGAGTGATTTGCTTCCACCAAGGTTGACTGTACTCATCTGGGCATGGATTTTCCCTCAAGTGCTTGTTTCCATAATCCAAAATTGAACCTCCTGAATTAGACGTGCATGGAACTGATCGCTGCATACATATATGTATACCATTGCAATAGATTAGACTATGTATACATACTGCAAATTTGGATATAAGAGTTGATCTAGAAATTTCCAAGGCTTTCACCCTCAGGTTGGAGAACTCAAAGGCATATTAATTTCCATAGCCATCAGTTCAATATTCAGTCATTCCAGCACTGTAGTTACAATGAGTGCATGTGTTGGTCCAGTAGATAGTACTCAAGTGTGCAGTAGTGTGGTTTCACCGCTTAAGCGGACCGCCTTCTGGGGGCAGCAATGAGGCAGGAATTTTTTTTTCTGCCACGAATAACTCAACAGCACGACTTTCACGAATTTTTTTCCACCAACACCCATAACAAAAGCGACGATGGCTGATCCAGCCCCCAAGGCCGTTATGTCGGCCGAAGACCGTGCGGCAAAGTTGAGATTTGCCGAAGCTCAAAAAACCTACGGACGTGGCAAGGCTGCCTCGACAAAGAATGTTCGCGACAAGAAGCTCCGTGCCACACTAATAGCACAGGAAGCCAAACAGAAGCAGGCTATCCTGCAAGCAAAGGATGCCGAAATCCTGTTGGAGCACGAGGCAGGTTTCCTTGAGCCCGAGGGTGAACTCGAAAAGACATACAAAGTACGACAGGATGAGATCCAGGCCAGCGTTGGAATCGAGACGGCGAAGAAGGGCTTTGAGCTCCGGCTCAATGATTTTGGTCCCTACCGAATGGACTACAGCCGAAACGGTCGCCATCTTCTATTGGCGGGACGCAAGGGTCATGTTGCGACCATGGATTGGCGCGATGGCACGCTCGGCTGTGAGCTGAATTTGAATGAGACGGTCCGGGATGCGCGCTGGTTGCACAACAACCAGTTCTTTGCGGTTGCGCAGAAGAAATATGTTTACATCTATGATCACCAAGGTGTTGAATTGCACTGCCTGAACAAGCATTTGGAGCCGCTCTTCCTCGAATTCTTGCCTTACCACTTCTTACTTGCCAGTGCTGTGAGTTTTACACCGCTTGGTTTCCCAAAAAAAAAATCCCTTCTGCACGAGACTGACTTTATTTCCTTCCGCTATAGACAATGGCTGGTTTCCTTAAATACACCGATACTTCCACCGGTCAGTTGGTTGCTGAACTTCCTACTCGCCTTGGAAAGCCGACCGCCCTCTGCCAGAACCCATCCAATGCTATCCTCCACACCGGACACCAGAACGGAACAGTGACTTTATGGTCCCCCAACTCCCAGACTGCTCTCGTCAAGGCTCTTGTGCACCGTGGACCCGTCCGATCTATGGCAATCGACCGCCTGGGTCGCTACATGGTCTCAACTGGCCAAGACCAAAAGATGAACATCTGGGATATTCGCATGTTCCGCGAGGTCCACTCATACTCATGCTACCAGCCTGGTGCATCCGTGTCGATCAGTGACCGCAACCTCGTAGCCGTTGGCTGGGGTACACAAACCAGCGTCTGGCGGGGTCTTTTCGATGCCGCCCAAGCAGACCAAGGCAAGGTGCAGAGTCCCTACATGGCTTGGGGCGGTGACGGCAAGCGCATCGAGAATCTGCGCTGGTGCCCATACGAAGATGTGCTGGGTGTGGGACACGATCAAGGATTCGCTAGTCTTCTCGTTCCCGGTGCCGGAGAGCCCAACTTCGACTCACTGGAAGCCAACCCTTACGAGAACGTCAAGCAACGACAGGAGGCCGAGGTCCACGCGCTGCTCACCAAGTTGCAGCCGGATATGATTTCTCTCGACCCCAATGTCATTGGTCGTCTCGATACCATCAACAACAAGAAGGTGCAAGAGTTCAAGAACTCCGATGCTAAGCCCGAGGATGCCATCGAGAAGATGAAGAACCGTAGCCGCGGTCGCAACAGTGCGCTGCGCAAGTATCTTCGCAAGAAGGGTCGTACCAATGTTATCGATGAGAAGCGGGTTAAGGCTGAGACTTTGCGCAAGGAGCACGCTGAGCGCCACAAGGAGAAGCTTAAGCGGGAGCGCGATGATCTGGGACCTGCTCTGGGTCGCTTTGCCAAGAGGGATTGATCGTGTTTCTTTTGCTGCTTCTTTGCATCTCTTGTTGAGCTGAGAGATACCTTTGTATATCGTGGAAAATTCACCAGATACCCAGCCGTGGCATTTTCTATGAGACTTTGTAACTCATGGGAGGCTCGGTGACCCACTGCATTTCAGGCGTTGGGAACGGAACGAATCATATGTATGTATAGAACTTTTATGGATGGCCAAAAAAAAGCAAGTTTCTTCGTATGAGTCTTGGGAGATTCCAGTAAACGGCCCCAAACATTGAATCATAAAGTAGGATCGTCTACTCAGGCTATATAGTACTAGATACAGTAGTAAACTAATACGTGCTATCTACTCATCAATACTGCCCGAACCACGCGGGGCACCCTCCTTCCAGCGCTGCAGGCTAAGCTCATAAGCACCACTGCCCTTCCAAGCGCTAATAATCAAGTTAATAATATGGTCCATGCCCTTGCCCTCCTTGACAACGGCAAAGACAGTCGGGCCACCCTCGCGCATCTTAGCCGCATCGCGCTCCATAACCTTCAAATCGGCACCGACAGCCTGCGCCAGATCAATCTTATTCACAATCAACAAATCACTACCAGTGATACCGGGTCCACCCTTCCGGGGCACCTTGTCACCACCAGCAACATCAATAACGTAGATGATGAAATCAGCCAGCTCGCGACTGTAGTTGGCAGCGAGGTTGTCACCGCCAGACTCGATCAGGAGCAAATCGGTGGAGAACTGCTTCTGCAGGGTCTGCAGGGCGAGCAGGTTTGCGCTGATGTCCTCGCGGACAGCGGCGTGGGGACAACCGCCGGTTTCGATGGCGCGGATGCGGTTGGGGGCGAGGGCCTTGTGGCGAGTGAGGAACTCGGCGTCTTCGCGGGTGAAGATGTCGTTTGTGACGGCTGCAATGTTGTATTCGTCGCGGAGGGCGCGGGATAGGGCGAGCATGAGAGCTGTTTTACCGGAGCCGACGGGTCTGATCGAGGTGTTGAGTCAGTATCATGGGTGGGTAGGTTTGTTTGAGTATGTATAGCTCTATCTATGTGCATAATTCTGGAGAGGGGAGCTGTAGTTTGCATGGGAAATTGTGTTCTCTTTTTCTTTTATCTTTCTTGTCTTGTTTTATGGTGGGATGTCACATACCCTCCAATACCGATGGTGAAGGCACGATCCTTCCAGTCTCGGCCCTCGATCAGCGGCATCTCGCGGTTGGCGTATGAGCCTGGGCCATCCAGGATATCGTGAGAGTGACCATGACCGTTGAAAGGATCTTCGTGGGAGTGGCTAGCGCCACCTTCGTGAGAGTGAGCCATTATATCGTAAAAATCTGGAGATATTGAGGAATGTTCCGGGGAAAATTTGTGGTTTGCGTGGGTTGGAGGGGCATTTAATGCAAGGAGTGGGGAACTGATATCGATAACCAGAAAAAAAAAAGATGCCGAATTCCCCATATGCAAGAAATTGGCGGAGTTCCCCGATTTTAGCCAATTACTGGCACTGAATACAATGTAGTATAGCTTGTAGATATAACTGTTATTCCCACGAGTGTATACATAATCCTTCGTACTACACTTTCTACAAGAACAATGTTTGAATGGAATATCCAAATGGTCCAAAGTTGTGCACGCAGATTGCTGGGATATATGTGAATTCGTCAAATAACGGCAAAACGATGAGCCCCCGAGGGGGAAAAAGAGTCATTATGATTCTTAACCAGAACCAAAAGGAACCCCCACACAAATGCACGCGGACATATTTCCAGGAAACACAAAAAGCCTGACGCCAGGTGCGATCGCCAACACGGATATCAAGATTTTGGCCATTCATCCAGGAGGCCAGAAGCAAAGGGCAAACGCCCTTGTAAACACACCAGTCCAAAAATCATCAACCCCCGGGTAGGGCAAAGAACATCCCAAGACTCAAGAAAGCACGTGTAAAAAAATCAAAACAATGATTTCCGGGCCAACTGAAAGAAACGCTGAAAAGGGAGATAAAGTACATTAGGGTCGGAGCAGATGTCGATAGTGATGGGGCATATAGGTGCCATCGGCCATTCGATAACACTCAAATGTGTTGAGAATGGGATAGACCAAACGATTAAACCTCATCGGAAGGAGGTGGTGGATTTGATCGTCAGAGTACCGAAAATGGAAAAAGAAAAATCAAAGCAAACTGAGACCAGATGATAGCGGGAGATCAAATGGGCCCAGAGAAACCAAAAAATGGACAGGAAAGACAAGAAGGGGGCGAAGAGAGTATGCCTCGCCCTGGTATCCAATCGTGCGCCGAATTCCCCAACTCTTGGAAATGATGAACCATGAAAAACAAAAATATATAAGCATTCAAATGCCAAATAGCATAGTAGCTGCTCCTTAGGCTGCTGCTCCCTTCTGGCGTTTAGGTACTCGGGAGTTCTTGACCTTGCCGGATCCTGGTGCATTGCCATTCACTTCACCCGAGCCATTGTCATCATTCTCTTGCTTGACAGTGCTAGCACGTCGGCGCTTGTTGGCCCCAACGTTCGGACTATTGTTCACACCAACCGGAGATGACTGAACTTGCATCCCAGGGGGGCCAGCAAGTTGACTCTGAGCAGGACTAGCATGGGCTGACCCACTTAGATGAGGCGAGCCCTGCCCCCCTGGCAGGCCAAGATGAGCCATTGCAGGAGAAGCGAATTGCGAAGGAGGGCCCATATTAGGGCCGCGAGGCATGGGCTGCATTCCGGGGTTCATTTGCGGTGTAAAGGCAACATTGGGGTTGGGATTTTGGTTCAAGTTGATGACAAGGCCTCGAAGCGCATCTGTCGCCGATAACTGGGAGTGTGCCGCAGAAAAGTTGAAGAGAGTTTGCATATGCGACATCGTCTCTGCCAGCTCCAAAAATTGAATGACGTTCGGAGGTAGACCGTTGGAAGTTACCATAGACTCGGGCAACGTTATTGACTGTGCCTGCTTCTGCGCCCTCTTGGCAGCACTTTTAGCTAGTTTGGGGCTTTGCTTTTGCTCCATGGCCTCCACGAGCTGGCTGCGAGGAATGTATTCATTGTGGCTGGAGACATTAATGTCTAGCATTTCAATCTTGTTGTTCGCATCAAAGTGGGCACGTAAGTGGCCCTTGTGGAAGACCTATGAATTTCATCAGTATCACCATCACGAGCATCATCGACTGCCGGAGAGGTTCATACCTGGCTTTCATTCGTGTACCAGTATATGAAAGAAACGCGTTGACATTCAACAATATGCCCACCATTGGGATTGGGAGGTTCGCGCTCGCGGGGACCATCCAAGACCATTTGAATCTGCTCAATGCCGCTTGTAAACTGGGTAAGGTAGTACCGTGCCAGTGCAGGGGTCGAGATTTCAAACTGTTTTGATCCAGTTTGGTTGTTCCAAATTCCCTGGCGCAAGACGCCCACTGGTGAATAAAACCGATCAACAAAGGCGGACCAATATGCGAGGTCGGTAGTTTCATCGCGACTCTGTGAAATCATTAGTAACTTTGCCCGTTGATCCGCCGAAATATCAGTTCAATACATACCTTGAATGAGCTCAAAGTTTCCGCGTAGCTATTGAGGATCATGACTGCGTTATTCAGGTGCCGTTGTTGATTAATTCTTTGCATCATCATGGCATTTTGTTGTGCTTTAAGTTGTGCCTCCATTGCCTGCTGCTGGGTTGGCTGAGGTTGTTGCTGCTGTCCCGGGGTACCCTGCTGAGGTTGTTGCTGGGACTGTGGCAACTGCTGTGGCTGGGGATTGGGGGTAACTTGGGCCTGACCACTGGCCTGCGACTGGGGAGGTTGAGTCGGGGGTGGCTGAGAAGACTGGTTGGGCTGAGGAGTTCCGCTTTGTGGCGGGCCATGTTGAGATTGAGGAGTCCCAGCTTGAACTTCGTGCATGTTTGGAGGTTGTGCAGATGAGCGTTGAGGCGTATGTTGGCCTTGTTGGCCATTATTAGCCTGGGCCTGTTGCTGGGCCTGTTGCTGTGCCTGCTGCTGGGCTTGTTGCTGGGCTTGCTGGGCTTGCTGAGCTTGGGCCTGCTGAATCGCGAATATCTGTTGTTGCTGAAGGTTTTGTGCCTGGCCATGTGGCACCTGTTGGCCCATGTGCATTCCCATGTTGACGGGTCGCATGCCTGGATTGGCCTGCTGCATTGCAGCCATTTGCGCCGCGTTCAGCCCCTGAGTACCATTTGGTAATGATACAGGTAGGCCCCCATGCTGTTGCTGTTGTTGCTGTACCTGCTGTGCTTGTTGCTGCTGCTGAGCCTGTTGTTGCTGTTGCTGCTGAGCCTGCTGCTGCTGTTGCTGATGTTGGTGTTGTATCATCATTCGTTGCCGGATAAACTGCTGTTGCTGTTGCTGCTGCTGCTGGACATTGAATTGGGGATTATTCACAACTAAATGGTGGACGATAGCGTTAGCATGCGCCTTGGCAAGACATTCCGTCATTGAGAACGGCTTTAGGGGGTATGGATTCGGCATCGGGGCGGATTGCGCGCGTTATGGAAGGATCGCGATTGCCTTTTGATCAGGGAATAGCATCTACTCACAATTTTGGGGGAACCCTTGTTGCTGGAAAAGATGCGCCTGCGCAGGGTTCAGATGGGAGAGAGCATGGGCATTCGGCATCGGACCACCTTGACCAGCGTTGCCGCCCGGGGGCATCCCACCCATCATGGGCCCTGCCTGACTCACTTGAGGACCGCCAGGTCCTGATACTCCAGGATGCATTTGCTGCACCATTCCACCAGGGTGTCCAGCATTCGGATGTTGACCGGCCATTGGGTGGTGACCGGGGGGCATACCGTGTTGCGGAATGCCTTGAGCGGGAAACGGTTGCGCCATCATCATTGCTGATAGGCGGAGGTCACCGCCAACGGAGAAACTTCAACGAAGAAGCGCGACGAGGAGGCGGCTCTGTGGGGAGAGGAAGTGGTGGATTTTGGAGATGGGAGGTCGCGCTTGAGATACGGAACGAGATGGTCTTAGCGCTTCGGAGTGGATGCCCAGGCGACCTTTGCAGATGAGAAAAAAGGCTAAAGCGTGAACCGAAAGCCTTTTTAGTCACCTGCCCTCAATGCAGGCCTCGTTCTCCTAAGGGCCAGAGGGTTAGTGGGGAGTTGAAGGTCGGAAATGATAAGAGAGTAGAGTTCTCTTTGGGGGGGAAGAGGCGGGAAGAGAACGGGGCAGGTGGTAATAGCGTACGGTACAGTAATAGGGAGGCGTTGGAGGGGCTGGGGGCAAAAGATATGGGATCAACTCACTATCCTCACGATCCCAAGACCTTAGTGCTCTTCTCTGTGTGTTTAACACAAACAGTAGAAACCAGGGTCTTGTCTCGACCGCCCATACACTGAGTTGAGGATGATCGCCCGGTTGGGAGCGAGAGGGAACTGGGGACGGAGGAACCGGCTCCGAAGAGTGGAGGATGTAACCGAACAAGAACAACGCGATGCGTTCTTAGATAGAACAAAGAGATCACCACCAGATAGTGAAAAAAATCAGGAGAGTAGATGATAGATTCAATCATGAGATTTCTCTTTTGGAGTCCAAATCAATTAATCCATAATTTTTGGCACTTTCCCCCCATTATTCTCTGTTTTTCTGTTCGGTTTTCTTTTTTCCGTCTGAATTTCAATGGCAAAACACGCTAGCCCTAATCAGGGCCATCACGTGCCCGTGTGTATTTCAGCGTTTTTTTTTTCTTCTGCTTCTTTGCTTTCTTCTTCGTGCTTGTCCTTCTTTCTCTCTCTTCATTCTCTTTTCACACTCGCAGGAATTGTCTCAAGACATTATGCGCTTTATCGTTTGAGGTCTTATGGACCGATAGCATCGTTTTAATGTCTTACGATGCTCCGATTTTGCCACTAACACAGGTCACCTCATCCTTGCAGGTGGAGCGAAGGAAAAAAAAAACAATCGACCACAAAAATTCCCGAGGTGAGTTCGACTGCTTGTTTCTGCTATATGTTTTGCTTTTTGTTCAAGGATGTCAAACACTTTTTCACTTCTTTACCTTCCAAATCGACAATGACGAGATAATTCGGATCTTCCTTTCCCGGTTGGTCTGCTACTTGCCAGTAATTTTTACTGAGAACACTTCAATATATATGCAATTGCATCAACATGAATTGCAAGAGACATTGGCTGATTGCATTTTCATTAGGTCTTCATACAAAGTCACCCGAATTTTCGATGTCGATAGTGTTAAGCCTTAGCGATGGAAATTTCATACATTACATTCTCTTCAACTATCTATTGTTCAACTCTCCGTAAGATAACATGAAATCGTAACATTAGAGTTACGATACAGACTACTAGACGAACCTCAATGTTTAAGAAGAGTCGTCAACTGGTTCTGTATTTATTATTTTATGGCGTAACTTTGACTATCAAACCTTGTAATCCTGGCCGAAGATCTGTCCTAGCGTAGCGATTCCAGATGGATCAATGGACAGGTCTAGAGCCGGATGCAGCTTGCCGTCTAAGCTTGGCTCTTTGAAAGTTGACGTTTGTAAGTATCTTGTGTATAGTAATAGCTAACAGGTAGACATGTGTAGATGAGAAATCTGATGCTAAACAGTATCCATACACAGTCGAGACAGCCAAAGCGCATATATCACGTGATGATGTATTTCTCCCGCGGAGGCTGATCAAGGTTGCGTCCGTGTCTCTCGACAGATCGATGTGCCATTCTGCCCCCCCCGTGACTTTGCGCTTTGAAATCTAGTGGCATATTGTGTGCCCTGGATGTTTCCGTCAATGCAACAAGCCCGGCTATCCGTCGTACGCCCCTGCCGCTTAATCGCTCGTCGTCGCTTTCCCGCGCCTTCGTTCTCGCGCCGATTCCATCTGTCGCAACAATGGCGGTCAGCTCCATCCAGCGACCCTCATGACGGCCCATCAACGCCATCAGATACCGTCGATAATCGCCAATCCTCAAAAATCGAAGATGTCCTCGCGAACCAAAGCCAATCACCGATTGAAGGAGACCAGACGGGCAAACCCGCCGCAAAGCCATATGGCTCTGCGCTGCGGAGAGCCATGAGGAATCGTCAAGCAGAACAGGAAAAGCAGAAGGAACCGGCTGCTGCAATTCCTAGCTGGTTCGCGGACCAGAACATTGTCACCCGGGGCTCGGAAGACGCTCAACAAGCCCAACAGGTGGAAATCACAATCTCGAAGCCGGTGCCTACCCAAATGAACGCCCAGAAAAAGGAGATTCCGACTGGAGGTGCTGGAGACGAGCCTGTTCCATCTAGCGAACCTGCCGAATTTGTTGAAGAAAGCAGTTATGCTGTCCCAGAGGAAATATGGGGCGAATTGCGAGCGTCAGTCAAGGCGGGCCTGAGACTACCACCTACGCAGTATGCCAAAGAACCGGCAGCAAAGAAGTCGCACCTCACTCTTCAATATCCCGGTCATGACGGCATTCCGTTCTTGGATGCAGTGGTACGACAGCTGTCAAATGATCTCAAGACTGACTTGATCACTCTGAATGCCCAAGATATTGCCCAGCTATTCAGCGAGCAGGACCTTGCAGAGACCGGCGCAACATCTCCCATTCGATCCCTTGGCTATGATGTTCATCGCCCCCCGGTAGCTACTTGGCCAGAGCCCATCGATGGGGAAGGCGAGGGTGAAGATGACATGGCCGAGCTCGCTGGGCCCCCAGGCGTTCGTACCGAGGTTAGCACCCCTCGATTCATTACCATCGAGGCAAGCAAAGACTCCGGTGATGTACCGCTACCGAATTGGCTTGGCTTGAAGTCAATCGTGGCATCTATAAACGGCCAGGGAGACCCTGAATCTGGCTCTTCGCGACATTTTGGCCAACGCGCAGAGCAGCGCTGGACCCGTCTTTTGAACGAAGTGATTTCTTCTCTTGGTCGGCCCGTTAAACACATTCCCAAGGAAACAGAAGAGTCAGCTGAGCCGGACGTCGCTATTCCTGTCCTTCCTCGGGATACCATCGTTCACATCCAGGATTATCGAGACATTCAAGGCACCAGAGAGGGAGCTAGGGTCATTTCGTTGCTACAAAAGGTTATCCAAGAACGCCGACGAGCTGGTTCCAGGATTGTTCTCATTGGAAGTATATCCCAAGAACTTCGTCATACTCCGTCACAAGACGGTTCCAAAATTCTTCAAAATGTCTTTGATGACGCCTTTTCCAAAACACTGGTCATCACGCCGTCCATGGAGTCAAAGGCTGCTGAAAAGAAGTTCGCTCAGGACCAGAAGCAACGCACCATGGATATCAACATTCGCCACCTGCAAACTATGCTACGCTTCCGACTTAATGAAACTGGTTCGGCTGTGAAAGATGATATTTTCGGTGACCGCGCCTGGACACTTGACCCAACGACAATCAAACAATCCGGGATCAAAGCAAAGTTTTGGTCCTACAACCAGGTACACTGGGTTGCAACCCTGGCACTTGGCAGTATAGAATCGGGTGAATCTTTTGGGTTCGAACATATCCGACGTGGAATCGAGCTTATGGACAAAGGAGATCAGGTCACCAATGATTGGCTGCAGGCAAAGTCTCCTAAGGCCACGGAGTCTAGCAGTGGACAGACCCGGGAGCAGTTAATAAGCTCGCTACGCAAGACGTGCACATCCCACGAGAAAAAACTCCTTAATGGCGTGGTAGACGCGAAAAGTATCCGGACAACTTTCAACGATGTCCAAGTGCCGCCAGAGACTATCGACGCGCTCAAAACCCTTACTTCCCTTTCTCTAGTAAGGCCTGAAGCTTTCACCTATGGTGTGTTGGCCACGGACAAGATCCCCGGCCTTCTGCTATACGGGCCACCCGGCACAGGAAAAACTCTGCTCGCCAAGGCAGTTGCTCGTGAGAGTGGTGCAACCGTTCTTGAAGTCAGCGGCTCAGAAGTATATGATATGTATGTGGGTGAGGGTGAAAAGAACGTGAAAGCCATATTTACGCTTGCCAAAAAACTTAGCCCTTGCGTTGTCTTCATCGACGAAGCGGACGCCATTTTCTGTTCTCGCACAGGCTCTAGCAGTCGAACCTCTCATCGTGAACTCATCAATCAGTTCCTCCGTGAGTGGGATGGAATGAACGACCTTTCTGCATTCATCATGGTTGCCACCAACCGTCCCTTCGACCTCGATGACGCAGTCCTACGACGTCTGCCCCGAAGACTACTTGTCGATCTCCCAACGGAGACAGACCGCCACGCGATTCTAAAGATCCATCTCAAAGAGGAACAACTCGACCCCGCAGTCGACCTGGCTGATCTTGCCAAGCGAACAGAGTTATATTCCGGCTCCGACCTTAAGAATCTCTCAGTTGCCGCAGCTTTGGCCTGCGTACGAGAGGAAAACGATGCCGCAGCAAAACACCAGGGCGATGAGCCCTATGCGTACCCTGCGCGGCGAATTCTCACCGAAGCCCACTTTGAGCGCGGAATGGAGGAGATCAGTGCCTCGATCAGTGAAGACATGTCTTCGCTCACTGCTATCCGCAAGTTCGACGAACAGTACGGCGATCGTAGAAGTCGACGCCCAAAATCTAAGGGTTGGGGCTTTGGGCCTGCTGCCGATGCACCTACTACTGAATCTGTTCGTGTGCGGACGTGATCTTACCTCCAGGGCTGCCAGTGAATGATCTCTTGCTTGTGAATTGGATTCGCCCCCGCCTTATATTTTTTTATGTACTTTTAGTGATACGATAGACATGTACCAATAGCCTCGTTTGTTCTGAGATAGTAGATATACACACTTGTGCAAGATTCCTGCATGTGCAGCCATTATTTCTTTCAGTCTTGTTTCCTTGTCAAACATATAGTATATACATCTCCCTTTTCATTATCATCAAGCTAATCTGTCATCATATTGATATTTTGAACATAAGTATTCACTTTGAGTACTAAGTACATGCTCTTCTCTAACATTGAAGTCAAACTGAGTCGATCAATACTTGTCTCGAGGATAGGCTGGCATCCCAAGTGTTAAACATTGAAGTATAAAGTATGTACTGGCTAGCACTTGAGTACATAGTATCCCGCCCACCCATGAACGGCAAATTCTTCAACGAGTTTGCGGTTGATTGGAGGTTTCGATGATTGTTTGGGATTTCTTCCTCAATGTTTCTTCACTTCTCTTCCTTTCTGCTCTTCTATATGAAAATCAATTTCATCCATCTCTATTGCCTGTCACCGCTTTGTATCAGTCAAAGTACCCAGAAACATTGAAGCATCAAGCTATGAATTATCACGGATCACTTACAAGAGCGACAAGGTCAAATCTCCCCTAATCTTAGCCTTCAACTCAATCTCAACATCAAGATTAAGATCCAGCCTTAGCTTCAAAGCCCCCTTATCCTCGCTGGGCGCACCCACCACAGTTTCAGTCGTCTCCACCATCTCCCCAGCCTGTGCACCCCCCGTCCTCGGAACCATTGCCTGGGACTGGCCGGCACCTCGAGGTCTTAGAGGAGCCGCAACCTCTTGATTTCTTGTCTCAATACTCTGAATTGGCTGCATCATATCCGGACCAGAGAGAGATCTTTGTTCACGCTCGACGACTTGGAATTGTTTTTCATCTGGCTCGGCAGGTTGAACGGACTCCCGGCGAGTTCTTCGTTTTATTGTTGGCTGTTGTTGTGGTTGTGGAGATGATTGTGATTCCGAGGCTATACTCGATGTTTCGTCATAGCTTTGGCTGTCCTGGCTTTGAGACTGGGTGACGCTATTTGGGAGGTACTGTGTTGATTCGGACCCTGTTCGCTCTAAGTGTTGTTCACTTTGTTTGGAACGTTCGTCTTCTGGGGCAGAAGGTCTATTCAGCTTTGGAGGTCTGAGTTTTGGTGGTTTTCTTCTTTGTGAAGGGGTGGCACTGTTTGTGGGATTTCTGTTGGAATCGTCCTGGATTTTGTCCGTTGATGGCTTCATGGAGACTTATAAATAGGATAGAATGAATCAGTAGTAGATAGTCTGAAGAGGAAGGTAATGTTTTAAGATTATTTTGGAGACTGTGTCTATACAAAAGTGACAAGTTGTCAACCCTACTTTATCATATCCGTATGCGGAATGACTTTGCCTCCTTACGTCAAACACATGGCTGACTTGGAATGTTGGAACTCGATGATTCGGGCATACTGTTGTTTCTTTACTCAAAATGTCCCATTTCCCTTCCAATTCCGAGGTTGTTTTCATTCTTCAATAGTCCAACTTGCTGGGGGTGGGTCAGCTTAGCCTTCTATACAAAAAATATTTTAAATTCTAGAATTCTCATGGCAAAGCCAGTTGCATCGAGTCCCCTGCAGATCAATTATAAAACTTGAAAAGTATACAGCTCATTTATCGTCATTTATTGCAAAAAATGGCCATTTCAGGTTTAGCCGAGCTCAATGTAAGTGGCAAAGACGGTCCGGTTCCAGGCCTCGTGATCCGCGGTTAGAATGCATACAATGACGACAAGAGTCGAAATGCTTCAACTAAACCTCTCTAGAGCTGTGTATATTCCTGGAAATTGATCATTTTATCTCAGCCACGCGGCTCATAACTTGTCATTCCAGGTTTCGGTTGTAAATTTCCGAGGCCAGTCTGTTAATCGTTATTGCGAGACTGAGACGTCTGTGGCTTGTGACCTCGAAAAGAGGAGGGGTTGATAATAACTTATTATTATTTCCTTCGTATAAATAGATCAGATGTGGCTAGTGAAACTGTCAGTAAAATTTACGGCTCTTGAATCCTTCATAGTGAATGCAGAAGTAACCAACTCACCTCCTACGAAAGAAATACCACAACAGGCATGGCAGCGCAAGGCACAACTAGACCGATGCTTGGGAAGAAAGCTCCAGGGGCTACAAGTGGTCCTTTGGGGAAAGAATCTATCTCCCAGAACGATCTCCCTGGTCGGAAAAAGCCAGACCTAAAGCCCACCAAATCTGCACCCTCGAAGAAGTTACCTACTACGAAGCCCTTATCAATGTCAACCCACTCTGTAGGTTCTTCTGAGAAGTTGTCCCCATCTCCAGGTCTGAAGAGCCCTATCGAGCGCACACCTGTACAAAAGTCAGTGAAAAAGTCAGTCAAAAAGTCAGTCCCTTCACAAGATGTCGAACCGGAAGAGACAAATGTCGAAAATGAAGAAGAAGTCCCAAGTGAAGCAAGCGCAGAAGACGCCAGTCCTGTCAATTTGGTCGACAATGAGCAGGATGAGGAGCTTGAGCAGAGAAAAGATGTAGTGGGTGATGCAAAAGCGTCGGGATCGACGGAGAAGTCTTATTTTCAACGCGGCAAAGATGCTGCAACTGGTCTTGCAAGTTTCGCTCGAACTGCGAACAAGGCTTATTCTCAGCTACCTGTTTCGGTTCAACAACAGGTTAAAAGTCGCGTGCAAACCGGGGTGGGCAAGGTCAGGGAAACGACCCGCTTTGCTTCCGACGGTGCAGGAAATGAAACTCGGGAGGTCACAGAGATTACAGACGCAGCCCCTGACCTTCCGGCTGATCTGTCTGCTCTGGCTGGTCTCAGCGTTGGAGAAGATGGAAATGTTCTCGATGACAACGGCAAGGAAGTCGGTCAGCTGGTTGAAGGGGAAGCAGAAGATCTTGCTGGGTATACGATCGGCGAGAACGGTGAAATCCTCGACGACGATGGCGATCTGGTCGGGCGCGTGGAGCTCCTTGGTGACCAAAATGAGCAGTCTGATGCATTACCAGAAATCGAAGGTGCCTTTGGCGTGGAAGATCTCGCAAACTTGCCCGTCACAAAATTGGGTGCGGTCAAAGATCAATCCGGACGAGTGGTCGGCAGACTCATTGAGGGGGATGCCGAAGATTTGGTCGGTTCAACCGTGAATGATAAAGGCGAAATATTGGACGATGGTGGAGATTTGATCGGTCGTGTTGAGCCCGTCTCCGTGGACGATATCGGAGAAGACCTGGGAGAAGGAAAGGAATCACAAGGTGTCTCGCTACCTGGCCTTTCAATTCTCAAGGACAAAATTATCAATGAGGAGGGCGAGATACGAGACGAGGATGGTGGTCTCGTTGGTCAAATAAAAGAAGTCCAAGAAGGCAAATCTTTGGTGGGCAAAGTGCCCAATGAACAAGGTCAAGTTCTAGATGAAGATGGGGAAACTATAGGACTTGTCGAGGTTGTCTTTGGGGCGAGCGCTGAAAAGGCAATGCGCAGGCTGGGAGATGAATCGGAAAAGACTGAAGCACCCGACACGTCTATTCTCAATGGCCTTCAAGTCGATGACACAGGCCAAATCGTCGACCAAAGTGGCACTGCTTTTGGCGTGTTAGACAGTGGTGAATTATCGGAAGTCACCGGGATGTCTGTCAACGACAAAGGGCTGATACTAGATGACGATGGCAACATCGTGGGAAAGGCCCGACCGTTGGATGAAGAAGCTATCGAAAAATCGAAAGCCGCCAAAGATACCGACGAGGCGCTGTCACCACTCTCCGAGCTTGAAGGCTTGAAATGCAATAAATTTGGCAAAATCGTCAACGAAAGTGGAAAACCCATTGGTGAACTATTCGAAGGTGATCCAAGAAAGCTCGCTCGATCAGGTGCACAGCTTGATGATCAAGGCCGGTTTTGGGACGACAGGGGCAATGTGATCGGCAAAGTTCATACACTTCCCACGGAAGAAGAAGGAGGACCATTTGCCGACTTTGAGGAGCCTTTTGTCACAGGTGAAGGCGACATCCACGATACATACGGCCAGAAAGTCGGCATTCTTGTGGAAGGCGAGATTCGCAAAGTACTTGGACGAGCTGTGGATGACGATGGTGATATATTGGATAAAAATGGCAATATCTTGGGTCGCGCAGAGCCTTGGGAGGAACCCGAGCCCGAAAGCGAGCCTGAACCAGAGGCGGTCGACCTTTCGGAATTAGAAGGCCTCAATGTGAACAAAATAGGCAATGTGACAGGGCCTGACGGAATACCCATAGCTCGTCTTAGCGAAGGTGATCCAAAGGCAGTGAGAGGCAGGAAAATCGACGCTTATGGACAAATCTGGGGTGATGATGGAGAGGTCCTCGGACGAGTCACACTTATTCCCGAGGAGGAGCGTGAAAACTTGACTCCATTTGGGGATTACCACGATTTGGTAGTTCGGAAAAATGGTCATGTTGAGGATGAAGACGGCAACATTGTTGGAAGGATAATTGAAGGTGATCCTCAAAAATTGCAGGGTCGCGCTGTGGACGAGGATGGAGATATTGTTGACAAGCGAGGCAATGTTGAAGGACGGGCCGAGCCATATACTCCACCTGAAGAGGATGAACAAGAAGAGGAGGAGAGCCTATCGATCCTTGAAGGGATGAAGGTCAACAAAATGGGCAACATAGTTGACGAAAATGGTTCAGTCTGGGGGCGAATTACTTCCGGTAATCCCAAGAAACTTGCCGGGAAGCAAGTTGATGCGGAAGGTCAAATCTGGAGCGACGATGGGCACATTCTGAGCCTCGCTGAACTTGTTCCGGCTAGTGAGCGAGAAGAAGCCGAGGGTATTTTCTATGGCCTTGAAGGCCTGGTGGTCACCAAAGATGGAACAATCGTCGATTCGACAGACCAAGTTGTCGGCAGGCTAGTCGAAGGAGACCTTGTTCGGCTCAAGGGCCGTGCCGTTGATGAAGATGGAGAAATCATCGATAAAGTTGGAAATATTATTGGCCGCTCAGAACGATGGACTCCGGAGGAAATCCCGCGCGATGTTAGTCCAATGAGTGGCAGGAAGGTCACCCGAGAGGGAGAAATTCGCGACGAGGATGGCAATCTGATTGGCCGATTGACCGAGGGCAACTTAAAGGCCCTGGTAGGTAAAGCCGTTGATGATAATGGGTATATTATGGACAACGATGGGAACAAAATCGGAGAATGCACGCTATTGGAGAACATACCTGACGAGCCCGAGGAAGTCGAGGAGCTTGAGGAACCCGAGGAACCAGCCTTGTCTGCTGAAGAAATCGAACAGCAGGAAAAAGAAGAGCATGAACGAGATTTGGCAAAGAAAATGTCTGCGATTGTGCAGCAGACACTAGACTCTGTTGAGCCTCTCTGTAAACAAATCACCGAGGTAAGAGGGAAAATAATTTATATGCCACTTGTTGATATAACTAAACAATTGACTAGCATATTGAGCGAGCCGATCGAACACCACGAGAGGAGCTTGACGAGGAGCAACTCGTGAAGACCGTGAAGCCTCTCATCGAAGACGCTGGAAACATGTTACAGGAATGCAAGGGTGCCCTTCGCGCTCTGGACCCCGACGGTCAAATCGCGGCGTCCGCTAAAGCTCGCAGTGTGTCTCACGAGGCGACATCTGAAGAATACCAATTGGCCGATTTGTTGAAACAACTGTCTCAAACCATTTCCACCACAATTGACAATGGTCGAAAGCGCATTGCCGATATGCCGCATGCGAAGAAAAAGCTCAATCCTCTGTGGTCTTTGCTTTCTGAGCCCCTTTTCCAGATTATTGCAGCCGTAGGCCTGCTTCTCAGTGGAGTGGTTGGTCTTCTTGGGAATCTGCTCAACGGCCTTGGACTTGGAGGTCTTGTCCGTGGACTTTTTGGGGGTTTGGGAATTGATAATCTTCTAGGTGGGCTTGGTCTCAAATAATGTTGATGAGCGACTGTTAGGACTTGATGCATGTGGAGTTAATATTGAGTGTTCCAATTGTTTGCCCCAATCATATTGAAATGTTGGTGGATCACGTTGTTGATGCTTCACGTAAGCATCCAGATGTCAGTGACAGCCTGATAGGAGGCTACGGCCCACTGTCCACATACATGTAAGACCAGTGTCTATGTATTTTCGAGTTACACTCCTGCAGTACATGAAATCTAGATTCTTATTTGCTGAACTATCCTTGATGCGCAGATGCCCTCAAGTGCTTGCTACAGATATTTTTTCTAAAATTTAAATATATTATTTCGTACGAGGTACATACTATATCCACCTGGGCATTTGCCATTAGGTGTATCATGTATGTCACACGATCTCTCGTGATTAAGGTTGAACTGTAAGGCCCTGTACCTCAACACCTATAATTGGAGCACTGAGACATTCCTGGAGTAATCTCAACGTTTGAGTCTCTGGATATCTGGATATTAAAACAATCTTCTAAAACCAGGAAATGGTGAATGTTTTACTTGGAATGTTAGCCCTAAGTGCAGATCTTCTAGGTGGGGAGAGCACGTGCCCTCGATGACATCGCATCCGTCTCCACCCGCCACTTTTCAAGCTCAAATTCTCAAAACCCCGCGAGTGTGAAGGTGGAGGATTATCGCGCCTCAACCCTTTTGCACCGGGTGAAATTCCCGTCCTCAGCGCATCTCCTCTTGAAATAATCTCCACTGGTTTTCCCAAACTCCATCATGGCCGATCGTGACACAGCCCTCCGCGACGTGAAATTATTTATCCGCGAAGTCGTTCGTACCGACTGGGAATTCACCGCTGATCCAAATGGCCCTAACTACATCTCACTACCCTCCGAAGATGATGATTCAATCGGTACCCTCCATGCGAATCGCCCCGTCTTAGAATGGCGGTCCCGAGAATTCGACAGCTCAGGCTCAGAGCTCGAACCACCATCATCCGACGATGAGTCCGAAAGTGATATTCCCACCGCAAACGGTGACCCAGAGATCGATTTGCGACGCAAACGCCGCCGTCAGATGGACGAAGAAATGGCTTGGAACGAAGGATTACGGATGTGGATGGCCAGGCGCGACGTGTGGTCGGGAGCTAGGACACGCCGACAGATTCAAGCCAAAGAGAAGAAGGACACCCTCTTGAAAACCCAGACCAGCGAACCGGCTGAAACTGGTGTCGACAGTCGCGCGGATTCCGGGGTGGACGCGGGTGCTGCATTGCCCCAGCCGCGCTCGGTTTCCCCGCACTCGGATCCTCAAAGTCAAAATGAAGCCACCGTGACCGATGCGCCGGGCCTGGTTGCTAAGATGAACACCTCCATGTCAATCGCGGAGCGGGAAAAAACCGAAGACTGCTCACGTCGACAAGACCAGGACGAGGAGCAATCTACCGCCCCAGAGGACGAAGCGAAGCGCAAGGAGTCCACCCAAACTAGCATCACCGAGCCCGAGTCCTCTGGCGAGGCACCTGATTTTTCCGCCATCGACGATGACGAGGAGGAGTATGATGAAGAACTTGATGAGCCTCTCATTCCTGTCGCTCCGCCTTTCCTCTCACCGGAAAACCCCATTCGCGCCACCATAAACTCATCCATTTACCCCTCCATTTATACCAAAGTGGTAGTACAAGGGATGACCCCTACCGTGCCTGTCAATCTTGCCGATTTGACCAAAGCAATGGTTCAGGGCTGGAAAGCCGATGGGCAATGGCCGCCCAAACCTGCAGTGACGAGCATTGTTCTCGAAGATACCGCGACTGTGAAAAGAAGCTCCGATACTACCGACGCCCCACAATCAAGGCGAAAGAACAGCATCACAAACGCCATGCGCAAGGTATTCCACTTGGGCTCACACCCTTTTCATCGACACGGGTCGACTAGCCAAGATGGTGGAAGTGGCGCTGCGCCTGGTAGCGGGTCCGTTATCTAGGATATCACGCTTTATTGAACCCGAGTTATGATTCCTATTATGATAGGCTTATATTGGGGGATTTTCCTGCATCAATGATCGACGACGACACGGCCATATCTCCATCGCATGGAAGACACATTCTTCCCTGCAAATGCATCTGGTGTTTCTTCATGAGGTTCCTGGGGTTCTGTTTATTGATTAATTTTGATAGGGGTATGGAGGATTTGTATTGAATTATTCCAACGTCATTATGATTGATTCCCATAATTCATGTGCATGCACATAGTACACAGTGGTTTTTTTGTATCTCCTTTTCGCAGAAAAAAACAAGCAGGACTTGATAATTCTTGTTAATGTGATGATTTCTGATTATTCAGTTTCCAGATCTGCTCTCTCGATAACCTTGGAAACTCTTTCTTGTATGCATCCATGGATGATATTCAGCGGTCACTGATTTTCTTTGCGCCATTCAGCTTGGCCCCCAATTTCGCATACTTACAACCAGCCTTGAGAGACTTCGTGCTGACCTAACAACGCTTCATCCCCGTCAGTTCGCAGCTACCCCTCGTCGCACCAAAGGTCACGATCGCAAGCCCCAAAACGGCCGCGGACTCGACCTTCCTGTAAGGAGTGCCGATGTCGCAAGCTGAGATCCGACGGTCAGCAGCCACAGTACAGTATGTACCACGAACTGAAGGTGGTCTACGAGACAACCGAGCGCGGCTCTCGGGGTCCCAAAAAGGGCTACATCAAAGCGCTGGAAGATCGGTTTGTGTACCTTGAAGCTTTGTTGGAGAACCCAGGCTTGAACTCCTAAAAGGAATAAAGCCAGCATCGCAATGTTACCGAATAGTGACGACAAATTTCCCACGTCGCCTGTTGATGCTTTAGATCCAATATCCATGAATGATGCACATAACTGGATGCCAGCAACCTCAACATCCATCTCGAAGCTTGATATGATTCTACCAAATGATCTCTCTAATATCGGTTTGCTTTCCGACACGGCAGTCATTTTTATTACTGTGGCAAAAATCTCATGCAATCACTAGTGGCACCATCTGGAGAAATAGAAGACGAGACAGCTTCTGTAAGATACCAGGGCCGGGCGTTGACTGCAGTCGAGGCCACCATCGACCTGTCACAAATGTTGCCTAACCTGCATTTTGCAAAGACAAGTTACTTCCGAATTTAAGGCTACCCACTTATCCCACCTCCACACGTGCACTGTTCTCTGTTGCCGAGTTTCTGTTCGATAATGGATGAGGGTAGGATCCATTGATTTGGACTCTATCTACGAGATCTGATTGCAGTGCTTACAAATTCAAGAAATTAGATAGTTAATCGTGAGCAGAGCTACATGGAATTGATGTCTCGATGGTGTATATCCAGCACTTGAGGACAAAAGCGTTGCTCAGTGGCGATGCTGTGAAAGAGATTTCGGCATAGAAACTAGTAGGTAGCCAGTCATCGCGACAACTTACATACTGAGAGCCACAGGAGATAATACCATTGGTTGATGTAGAAGTCTCGAGGATATCTGCCTGATTGTGGGTGGAAATGGTCATGGCCACCCGCGAATGTATCTGTGACCATTCCATGTTACACATACATTCCCTGTATAATGAATGTCAGCCGCACCTCAGATATTTACTGTCTCGGGCTTCCGGAGCTCAATGTTCTGTTTCGGATTAATCAAACCATATGTTTGGTATTGAATTGAGGCGTTAAACTGAGAGCCCAGGCTAGATCGGCATCGCAGTGCCGATTTCTAGGCTCCGTGGAACAGCAATCCAAGAGATCTGGTTGATTTGTCAATAAAACTGGAAGAGAGTCTCCTTTCAATTGGATATTTCAAGGAAGAGGCGATCAGTATCCCGCGAGTCGTGATGTTTGTTGTTTAGCCCCTGCACACATTACCCGATGCACAATCTTGGAAGCTAATACTCGAGAAATTTGCATATCAACCAGTCTGACACAAATCTATAAAGCCATGCCAAAGTACTGATAAGATAGCTCTGGTCTTATGAGATAAAGCTTTCTTGAAACCCCAAGATGGATCTCAAGGCTGTGCTTCTCGCACTTCTTCTCGCCGTGACCAACGCTCTAGATCTACCCAATCTTTCAACAAATCCCTTTGAAGTCTATAAAATTGAAGCCGCAAACATCACTGCCAAGTTCATACCATATGGCGCTCGTCTCACATCTCTACTAGTCCCAGACCGCAATGGTAACGAACAAGACGTGGTCCTGGGCTACGACAAACCAGAGCAATATGTGACCGATACCGAAACAGACCACACCTACTTCGGCGCCGTAGTGGGCCGCTACGCAAACCGCATCACCAAGGGCACCTTCAAAATCCACGACGTGGACTACACCGTCTCCATAAACCAGCCAGATGGCGACTACACCCTACACGGAGGCAAGGTGGGATACGATCAACGAAACTGGACCGTATCCGACCACACTCCTTCATCCGTCACATTCGCTCTATACGACGATGCGTTCGAAGGCTTCCCCGGAAAAGTCGTCACCTTTGCCACATACACCGTCTCAACCAGTGCCGAGGGTCTGCCCCAACTGACCACGAAGCTGGTTTCGTTGTCACTCACGCACAAGACACCCATCATGCTCACAAACCACATCTACTGGAACCTGGATGCATTCCTTGCACCCACGGTCGATGATCTCTGGCTCCAGCTCCCACTGTCCCGTCGATTTATTGGTGTGGGTGGTAAAGAACTTCCGACGGGCCGTCTTGTCGACGCAGCGACGTCGTTCGATGGTGCAGTGGACTTCTTAGAGGGAAAGCTTATTGGCAAAGACATCAACAAGACAGAAGGCCTTTGTGGAGATAATTGCGTCGGGTACGATACGTGCATGATTATCGATCGGCCGGATGCGAAGTGCTCAGATGCATTGTTGCCAGTTCTCCGAATGAGATCGAAGCGGACGGGCATTAAGATGGAGGTTTTGAGTGATCAGCCGGCTGTGCAGATTTATACCTGTAACGGGGCTGGTCCGTTCCCTGTTAAGCCTTCACAGATCAAGCGCAATCGGAGGCATGGGGAACATAAGGGCGTTGAGGTTGTTAACAGCCATGGGTGTATTGCGATTGAGCCTCAGGGTTGGGTTGACGGAATTAATCATGACGAGTGGGAGCAGAGATCGAAGCAAATATTTGGACCTATGGATGGGCCTGCTGTTAATTTGGCAGTCTATAAGTTCAGTGTTGTTTCTTGACACTGGCGATGGTGGCCAGTGGCCCGCTTTAGGGGTGAAAGTTGGTAGCATGTCGTGGTTCATTCCACGGCTTCAATTATTCGATCAATTGCTATTCGGAGTTCCATTTTTTCGCCGTTCAACACATGTTACGTACAGTACCCATACTAAAGCAATTCAGTGTAGATCTCAATCGAGATTCCTTCCGTAATATTTTGCCATCCAGGATAGAGCGCCCTGGGAATAATCGAAATCTGGTCGTCCGCTTGAAGCTCTCGCATCCACGGCTGCTCGTCCCTCCGATACACAACCTCATGATGTCTTGTCGTCAAACTTGCATGAACATTGGTCACCGCCCGTCCCAGACCTGTCGAGATATCCTCTCTTCCAGACGGCCTCTGAATCCCGAGATCGAACCAGGTCCAGGAGCCGTTGTATGTGCCATGGTCGTCCGGGTAGCTGCTCCAGCCCTGGTCGTGACTCCATACGTCAATCCTGATCTCTTGAACAGGGAATCGCTCTCCTTTGATAGGCTCAGAGACCAGGTACGGTGTCCTGTCGCGGCAATTGTGTTCTGTGAAACGTTTGCTCTCTTTTCTGGCAGCGCGAGAGCGAAGCCAGTAGCCCGCGTGCGTTAAGATGCTTAGGCCCAGTTCGGACGGCAACCATTGCTGGAGGATGTTGAGGACGGCGACGGCATCCTCTAGGTCCCTTGGGTAGTAGCTGTCGGTTTGATCGACTTGCAAGGCGATGGAGTCTGTGTCGCTGTCACTTATGCTGTCGCTGTCGCTCATCACGGGTAGCTGCCAGTTGGAAGCTATGTGTAGTTTGTGTGATTCGGCTGAGCTATGGGAGAATCAAGATCTGAATGTCCAAAAAGGAAGCAGAGAATAAATCACTTTAAAACACGTGGAGAGAAAAAACAAAGGGTCAGACAGCGCAAAAGCGGGGCGGAAGGGGGCTGAAGTAGGATGTGGAGTTTCTCTTTTCAGGTACAAGCCTTCTGCCTAGTCAAGGCTTATCTGAGTCATGAGAGCTGTCGGCTGCCTATATGTAGTGTAGCTGAATACTCGGCCAAAAAATCACGACTGTTCTACTGACATTGAAATGTTCACTCACCCGTCTTGCCGGCTGCTACTATAGCTTTGTCTTTTACTAGAGGTGGGGTAATGACGCTTGAGTTGAGCCTCGTTTTAGTGGGGTTCGTGTTGGCGTCCAACTTTCTGTCAGGATTTACGGACCAGTTATTAAGATGTATCCAGATGTCCATGGGCATTGAAATTGTTATGTAGTCGTGATCAATTGATAATTCGTCCGAGGGAAGTAGCATCAATTCATTGATATATCACAAGGTGAACGAGTATAATGCAGATAATGCAAAGTGTCTATATCCATTTTCCCAATATTAAAACCAAACCCCGGCAAACGCCAATGCTAAAGATGCACACAATTAGAAAATAAGAAGACATCCCGACTTTCAGCGAATATCAGTACCCAACCCCTCTCCTACTCGAGAAAAAATTCATAATGGTCCACCGAATATGAAAGCTTGGCGCTTGCGTCCTGGAATCTCTTCGCTGCAGCCTCAAATTGAATGGTCGCAAAGACGCCAGGATCCAAAGGCACCTCCTTGGAGTCATGGCCCTGACGAGTGTAGTAGTATTTTCCATTATGAAGAGTCCAGATTCTGAGGTAAGACTGATGATCCTCGAAAGCAACACGTCGCCCTGTGGCAAGATGTTGCGGCAATTCAGCAGCAGAGTCACTCAGGACCTGGTTTGGGTTTGGAATGGCAGCGATACTTGCGTCAGACGCTGTACCTGGCTCAGAATTGTTCAATTCCGATGATACTGCCGTGGAGAGATCGCGGAACCATAGAATGTAGGAGATGAGACCTCTCGCGGCATCAGCGACGCGATCGATATAGTCAACCACAACAAGCGAAGAGGAAATCATCTGAAGGATTTCTGCAAACAAAGACAAGATGACAGGGTCTTTGAACCGTTGTGGATATGTGGCTAAAGGCCGGAGCGCACGGTATGATGCCTGAAAAACAGTATCAAATATTCCCAGCAAAGAAGACACACATGCCGAATCATGGGTATTCAGGTTGAATAGCAAATCTTGGAACAAAAGCGAGGTACTCAATATGATAGGGCGACTCAGAAGCCAAGCGGCAGGAGTACTGAAGGCCAGTTCAATGTATGCTGGGAACACACACTGTAAAAGGACAGCACGGAGAGTAGGTTTGTCAGGCCGCCCGGCCTCATGAGTATTTTTGATAGCAGCGTGCAGCTGGTCAACTAGTTGACTCTGCTGACGCTCGACGGTTGCCCTCTCAACAATACTTTGAATGAAAATATTCAAAGTCTGGACTTCCTTGTGAGAGGAGAGCTTAGGTTCGTAGCGTTTCAACTTTGCAACAATGTACCGCGGGTCGGTGGTTGGCAACGGGAACAAAGTGGGATCCGTGAAGAATGGATCCACAGGTTTGATGTCACTGGTAAGCTCCTGCAGAAATCGAATGATATGATGCACAAATTCAACATATGCACCCTGGGCAGACTCCGCATCACCTCTTCCAAGTTCGCAATAATTGACTTTCATGGCGGTCATTAACCGTTGAAGCAGTTCTGAGTACTCTCGTTTCGTGACAAACAAGTCCTGGCTCTCTGAATCCTCCAATTTCAGCACATGCTCGCGCATATTTGAGAGAAGGCTCGAGAGAAGCGAGACACGTCTTTGGGCGACGTCGTTTAGAGTTATGCTGTACTTCTCACCTTGCTTACTTGTCGTGAATGGAAGGTTTTGAAGCATAGGATCCTGGGGACGTCCATTAAGGACTGCGGCAGTGAGGCGATGTTGGAATTTGAGGATTGACGAGCGCTCGACCAGGGACGAGATCCATGTTTCCATGACAAGGTTTCGACTCTCCATGAGAATCTGTGGGTCTTTCTCGATGCAGACAGCCAGAAAATAGGCCGTATACTTTCGAGTCTGCAATGTTTGCCGAAGCTCCGACCAAGAATGACTTCCAAATGGACTGAGATAATCGTCCCAATGTTGCATCCCACGACGAACAAGCATATGAGCAACTGAGGCCCAGCAATCGACAACGGCCAGAAGAATCGGATCCTCGGGTGACCTTTCTTGGCCAAAGTAGTTGGAAACAACTTGGAAAACAATCGGACGAAGGACCGTTTGAACATGTTTGATCTCTTCTGTCGGTTTCTCTTGAGGGACCAAAACAGCACCAAGATCATCCCAGTCATCAAACCCCTCGAACTCCTGACTGTCATCCTCAAATGAAGCCGTGGCGGCAGGAACGGGGCCAATTGCAAGAGACGAGACATAATCCTTTTCAACATAAGCTGCTATCACTTGTAGGCCTTCGGCAACCGTATCGTTCACACGTTCCCGCTTTCCGTCAAATAGGTGCATGATAACATTGAACGGGGTCTTCGAAATTAATCTGTACGCATGTTTGATAGACGGAGCAAAGTCAACGGCAGAACGTAGCCCCGAGATAGCCATATTCAGCGATATCTCGATCTGTCGCTTGTTTTTGGAGATAATGCTCTCCACCTGTTTCAAAGCGAACTCGTCATTTTGATTTTGCGCCTCGATTTCGTTCCGAACATCTGAATGCTTTTGCGCAAGCTCTGTTATGAAATGGTCGTTCCATTCTGCAAATGACTCCAGGTCTGACAGATCCTCATCCGTAGACAGCTTGAATCGAACGAGCCTCAACCACGACTTGAGGTTGATCTTGCACGTTGCTCGGTGAGACGTTGCAGGATGAACGAGGTTGCGGATTGCCTCCAGCCGAGGTCGACAACCATCCGGGACAGCCCAGTACAGTGTGCACAGAAGATCATGATGATTTCTGAGCGCAGCCAGGTCATCTTCGAGCAGTTCCATATCCATGGGGTAGTCGTAACCATTGTTTGGAAGAAGACGCCAAGCAAAATTGCGAAGCTTTTTCTTGTCGTACTTCACAGACAGGAAGCGAAGGCCACTTGCAATGGTTTTTAGCAGGGTGTGGAAGCATGGCTCTCCTACTCGAATGTCCAAAGATGGTTTCTTGTCGAGGTCATCGAGGAAGCTGGGAGATGTACGGCTTTCCTCGAGCTTCAAATTGTGCAGAAGTTTGCGAGCAAAGAAATCGTAAAGAGTGTCGAGAATGGGCTTGCAGTCTCTCCATCCCCATAAATTGATAAGCCGATGGCACCGCTGAAAGACGGTGCGACAGTACGAGTTGTAAGATATGGGCTGGGTGGCAGAACTCGCTTCACAGCTATCCAAGGCAGGAGACAGAAATTTTTTCACGAGGCTCCAGTTATCATTCTTTGTCTTATACAGGGTTTCACTCCGCGCAATGCCTTGGTCGTTGATCTCGTTCAGTGGCAAAGTCGTGAACAAACTGTACCATGCAAATTCCAGATTCGTGATATCTTTTTGATTCCGAAGAAGGCAATTGGTATAGATCTCAGTTTCTAGGTCAGCAAGTAATCCATTAAAAGACTCCGAGCTGCGCAAAATCTGCACGGTAACAACAAACGTAGTTGCGGATGGAAAGTCATCGAAAATCCCTCTGTCCCGCCGGTCAAGGCTTTTGATCTCTTCCAACAAACGACGAAGCTCTGCGATTCCGGTTTCACTCAAAGTCAGTGAAATCGCATCTTTGGCACAGGCTTTGACCAGATTTAGAGTATCGGTGGCAAGATCGGTGCCAACAAGTGGGTGTGAGGAAACCTGGTGTATTTCATTTGCAAATACAAGATTGTAAGACCCCAACGCCACTAGGCCACTCTTGCTGCACTCCCTAGTAGAGACGAACGCAGCCATTGTTTCCCTGAGTCGAGATACCAGCCCCATCGCTCGCTTGACAAAGCTTTCTCGATCAACGGGATCAATGAAAGACAAGTTGTCGGCCACATATTTGATCAACGACCGAAATGCGATACATTCAGAGGTTAATGAAAGGTCCGTATCCCTTTCTGCGGAGGAGGCAATACATTTCTCGGACTCAATAATCATCATGTCAAAGATAAACCCCATCTGTGAGGCAACTGCATCATTCCAAGCGCCCCAGCGGAATGTCTGGTCCTTGAAGGCGATTGAAGATGGATTTGTCTCACAATCAAGGTCTCGCTTTCTGAGCTGTAGTGATCGAGAGAAAGTACCACTTCCTAGGAAGGAAGATTCATGGAAGAATGTACCAGCTGGCAAGGGCCCTATACCAAAATCTGGTGAGTATGACGATTGCCAGTTGAAGAGTCCCCCTGCACCAAACGACAAATGATGTGATGGTGCGGCAGGCGCAAGGGGAAGAAATTCCACATTATCGGCTGGCTCTTCAAACTGGCGGAATTCATCGGCATCGAGATTGATTCGACGTGGCGTAGACTTCTTTAAGCGATGGCGGTGATTCTGATGCTCAATTATTGTCGGCTGGTAGCTGGCATACTGTTGCACTTGCGTCGTTTGCGCTGGCTTTGGTCGAGTTTTATAAAGGCTGTCCAAAGATCCAGCACTAGAAATGTACCGGTTCAGAGGCAGGTTGGATTTGAAGGGCTGATCCTTGGTTTTTTGCCGATAGTCCCGGTTGAGCAAGGACAATGATCGATTGAATAATGCTGCAGATGTAGCTTGGCTCCCATCAGCTTCTACTAAGCTTGCCGCGTCTGGGCGAGGAGTGTTCCTTCTCAAAGATGAAACCACAACATTTCTGCGGACAATCCAGTGGTTTCCTTGCCTCTCTGGTTGCTTCGGCTGCACAGATGCTTTATTACGTTCCTGCGCAAATGGTGTGGGCCATGGAGCTGTTATCCCTGCTGAGGCATTTTGTTCGCCGGTGGAATCTTCATCGTCTAACATAACAATATCAGGAGGTGCGGTAGGAGTGTGATCTGAAACCCGGGTTCTTGGGACAGATGGCACTGCTCGATGAACTCCAGTCAAAAAGTTTGTGAGTGGTTGCTGCTTGCGAGGCTTAGGTTTGGGTCGAGGGGTCTTGGACTGTCGAATCTTTCCCTTTTTCCATTCCTGTAATGACTGGTTCACATCCAACGTGTCGGTTTTTGAGCCTAGCTGGAAAAACTTGCGAGTTGGGCTTTGTCTTCCTGCATCTCGACGTGAGCGAGCACCCCTCGCGGCAATCCTGAGGAATTGGGGTTGCTCCTGGTGGGGCCGAGAGACAACATCAGGTGCATCAAGGATGCCCAATCTTGTTGATCTCGATGCTGACTTTGATGCTGGTTTTGGCACGGACGTTTTGGATGATTTTTTCTTACGGGTTCCTCCGTATGAAGCGTCAGTGAGTCTGGTTTGCTTTTTTAAACGAGCTCGCTTTGTTTGCCGTTCATTGTGGTTGACCTTTTCTTTCGACTTTGGCCGTTTCAGTCCTTTTTGGCGATTTGAGCTTGAGGCATTGCGTGGAATGGCCGAGAGCATGTAGTCGACCTCGTTGCCCTCCAAGATATCTTGATCATCGCCGCCGAAGGGATTCGTGAATTCCTGAGCAATATCCTTGTCGGCGTTATTTTGCTCGAAAGCTTCGAGATTATCATTTCTCGTCTCGTCGTCACTATCATCAGAGTCCGCCAAATCCTTTAGAAAGTTTCCTATCTCAAACGGTCCCTGTTTTCGAACAATCTTCCTTGCAACCCCTTTACCATCTGTTCGATGGGCAGGTGCATTTTGGTGAGGTTGATTGCGTTGTTTGTTCTTTTCTCGTGTCGATGCATTATGTGTAAGGCGAAAATATGAAGCAGGAAGGACTCCGCGGGTTTTACGTTGATACTTTCGCATCTCACGAGCTTCGATGGATTCATCCAGTTCTCCGGACGAGTGGGATGAGTCCGAATCCTCATTGTTTTCAAAACTGGTATCAGAGTCAATTTCTTCAACAACAGGTTGAACAACAGGTTGAACAACAGGTTGATCGACTTGTGGGGTATCCGGTTTCGATTGGACAGCTGCGTCTGGGTCTATAGGCGACGAACCGAACCCGGGAGGATATCGGAAACGGGGCTTTGGAGTGGTGTCTGAGCCCCCCGCCGCATCTGGTTCTGGGCTTGATGATGAAAATTGCCAGATTGCATCGAGCGCTGATGTATCGGGGCGAGGAGTCGAAGGTGTTCTTATCACCACTTGAAGCATTTGGCGTCCCTCTTTGCCAGCGTCGTGCGACGCGCCAGAAGCTGATTTTCCCCGTTTGGGTGCAGGAGTCTTTGGAGCCATGGTGCGAGGTTTTTTGTGGCTATGTTGTTCGCTCCCTTCTGCTTCTTCATCTTGACGGCGTTTAGATCTTCTTGCAGGAGAGATGTACTCTTCTGGGGGAGGGCTTGAACGAATCGAATCGGGGTTAAACTCATCATGCTCGTTGGTTTGATCTGTGGTTTGCTGAGCACGTTTTGTCCGCTCTTCAACGCGCATTCGTTGTAACTTATAGCCAGCTCCCTTGAGCTGCGCATTATACCTAGCCAGTTCATAGACATAAGGGTGCATTTGAGCGGCATTGCGCTGTCGGAAGCGCCTTTGCGCAGGCCGAGCCTCCATCTGGTTTTCAAGCTCCCGGGTGATTTCAGGCGGGAACCGCTCCAGAGGTTCATGTTGAGGTCCAACATCAATCGTACCAAGCTCTTGTGATGCCTCGAAATCAGGCAATTGCGGTGATGACGGGGCCGACGATAATGGCGAATCAGTGTCAGAGTTTTCTTGCTCCAATGCGGATTCATTCTGAAGCTTATTGATTCTGGACAGTTCGGCGGCAGGTTGTGCCTCTAGGTTTAGCACGCCAGGTGATGAGCTTCGATTTTCACTAAAACCGCTTGGCTCCTGTGAATTGGTTGATACAACTGCGGAGGGTCGAGAAAGATTTGTGCTTGGGGAGGCCTTGGGTGTCGGCTCGCGATCATGGTCCCTTGGTTTGCGTGTAGACACGGGTGGTGACGAATTAGGAATATCATATAAATCGTGTCCATCGTGCACACTGCCAGGATGTAAATTCGTCGATTTCGTAGTTGAAAACCGTTTCCCATACTTTTTCAGTCCTGCCCGGCGTGGTCTGGTTGTGTGATTATCGAAAGAAGGGATGCTTGTCCTTGTCCAATCGTTGAGATTTCCCACCAAGTCCTTGGGTTGCGAATCTAAATTTCCTGTGTAGACTCCTTCGGTCGTAGGGCTAGTCGCTAGCTCCGTTTTCCCAGCTTTTACCGTCTCCGTGTCGGAGATTGTTATCGCATCGATGTCCGTGTCTATAGGGTGTCCGAGTGATGCATGTGACTCGGTTGCATTTGTTGATGTCGGAAGCGGTTGAACTTCATGGAAGGGCTCTGGCAGATACTCGAGATCGACATCGGAATCACTGGCATCGTTCACATCACCAGTATCCCCGGCATTGTTGACCACCTCATCTTTGGTTTCGAGGCTATCGAGTTCGTCCTCGTCGTCTGAATCTGGGACAAACCCTCGTTTCCGCCATGTTTCCATTTGCATTCTTGGCGGGGCTCACCCATGGCTTCAGCAAGCCATCTAAACGGGGATGATGTGAGGCGTCGCGATAGACGCGTTGGCAGGCGTCGTATTCACCAGAATAATGGTCGTGACCAGCAAAGTGGCTTTCATGGAGGAACGCGTTGATAAGCAGTTTTAATTTGGCGACGCGCCGCTAATCAGCTCGATAACGGGCAGACCCGCATTCTCCGACCTCCATCTCCGATCACTCACAACTACTTTTCTCGACCCCAATTGCTTCTACAACTTATTCTTGCTATCACAATGAGTCGGAACTTTATCACCGCTGCTCTCACAATTGGTGTTGGCGTCTTTACAGGTATTTGGAGTTCCTTGAAATTGCTTCTCCTGAGCCGCAGTGTTAACACCACTTTTCTTTATTCTAGGCTATTACACCTTCCAGCCAGCCTTGCAGGAGCTTGCAGTTCAAAAGGCCCATGGCCAGCAGCCTGGCTCCTCCCCGGACACCAAGAAAGATGCCGGCATTCCCGCCAACGATGCCCCGAATGCCACTCCCAACTCCGGAGTCCCCGGGTCCGAAACGAGCAATTAGCATGGATGTCATAATTGGAAACGACGTCCATCCGACAATGTCTGAAACATGACCCGAAATGTCCTCTGGTGGTAACTAGAGCAGATATGCGCATTCAGCAACGCTGGGGCTGTTTAGACGCCTGACTCTACCGGTACTGGGCATTTCAGGAATTCCAAACACCTTAATGGGGCTCACGACCTGTTGTTATATTGATCACATATAATTGTGAGATATATCATTTTGACAAACCTGGTTTTGAAGGTCGGTTCACATGTACAGTCAGTTTTCTCACCTGACAGCCACTCGATGATCATTCAGCCATCCACCAGGTACATGGCAACTGTCATGCAATCGTGTCAATAAATGTATATACTAGGTTTCGTGTGTATACGATACATTCACCAATGCATTTTGATTGTATCGGAGCCACTGGAGGAAGAAACAACGAAAGAAGAAGCGCGAGTGCCTAGATCACTAGTAAGTCATTTTGTAGCGTCGACATCGTACACGGTTGTCAAGTAGACCCCTTCCACATATCAATGGCGAACGTTGGTAGTCGCTGCACATGTGTGAAGCGAACAGTCGAGTTCAAATGTTTATATATACCAGTGTTCCGAAGTTTACCAAAGCGCATCACCTAGGCAAGTTCATCGAAAGAAGATATGGTTCAAAATGATTGCAGAACCTTGCATTCAAAGAGACAGCGCTGTATTCCGCCTAGATAAAAAAATGTTGCAACGCTATGCCTTGAGAAATTTGAAACACCGACAAAAAATCAAAGCCTAACATCGTCGAATGACCCAGGCCAAGCTGAAATGCTTGGTCTTTAAAAGATACATACTCCATGCGCCCCATTTCATGAAAAGCTCGTAATGTGCAGTTACAGTTCCTGCACCATCTTCCCGTTTCCTTTGGCAGGGGGCGGTCCGAACAATCTGCCAGCCTTTGTACCAAGCCATTCCTCTGGCACGCTAAGTGTGCAGCCATTCGCAGTACTGATCCATCGAACCATGGTGTGGTCAGGCTTTTCAACCACCGCGCCTTCTTGATCGGCTGGTGTGGATTCAGCACCCTCGGCCGCAGCTCGGCCGCGACGCTTGGGGGGTTGCTTCCTAAGCAGTCGATTGATTGTATCCATCTGAAAAAAAAAGTCAGTACCCATTGGTCGAATCTATCGAATTGCCAAATTCATCATTTATTCTTTACCTTTTCTTCTTCGTTGCGCTTCTCACTCAAATTCTTTCTGCGTCGAGCCATTTCAGCTCGTCGCATGGCACGCTCTTCGGCAGTCAAGTGCTTCTTGACTTGGGGTTCTGTCCACGAGTAAGCTCAAGCCCTGTACAATGGAGACGAAAACCTGTGCTATTGACTTACCCATCGGGAGTTGAAGGAAATCGTTACCCAGATTGCCACGCTGCCGCTTGGTTTGCTTGCCATTTTCCATGGCAAGTGCATCGCTGTCCATGTCATCATCCAGATCGTCGTCTTCATCTTCCTCGTCTAGATCATCGACATTGACATCGGGAATGGCGGTCTCATCCTGATCATCGGGTTCACCCTCTGCGTCCGAATCGGTATCCGAGAGGACTTCGTCGTCTAGATCCTCCTCCTCCTCCTCTTCTTCCTCTTCCATTTCCATTTCTTTTTCTTCCACGCTCTTGGCGGGCTTGCCACGACTAGGTGGAGCCTGCTTAGCGCCCCGCCTTACCGGCGGTTGTGGGGGAGCATCATCCATATCGAGATCGCCGTCAGCATCGGCATCTTCATCATCCTCTCCGAGTGCGTCTTCATCCTCAACTTCGTCTTCCTCTTGGTCTTCAATATCTTCGTCCGATGTAGCGACCTCCACAAGCTTCTTTTGATTGCGACTGGTTCGTGGGCCGGACACAATGGGGTTTTCTTGGAAGACATTGATGGAGCGCCGGGCGGAGCGGCCCCCAGTCGCCTCGCGCAGTTTCCCCGCAGGCATTCTTAATGTGAGACGGAGAGATCTTCGTCTACTTCCGGCGGAACTTGATCGGGATTGAGATGCAGACACTGGTTCTTGGGCAGCAGTGGAGCGGGTTTGTCTCGTGGATCTGAGGCTGGTATTAGCTTCTGGTTCTGACAGGTCCTTCTCAGCTAGCCGCGAGCGAGCAGAGCGTCGAGGTGGTGCCATGTTGGCGGCGATGGAGAAATGTTTGGAGTTCGCAATGGGATTGAGGTTGAGGTCAAGATTATTGGAAAGGGTAAAGGAAATTAAGTCCCCGAGAAGAAAGCGGGGTGACAAAACGGATTCACAAGGACAAGACGTGTGGCGGTACAATTTATGCCGCTACAAGTTATGCCATGTCTTCGTTTGGGAGGGAGAAAGATAATGATGTCGACCACGGCAGGCACCAATTGCTTTCCAGGTAAGCGTCGTAAAGACGAATCAAACCGGGAAGGCACATATTGAGCTCATCTTTGACGCCACGTTAGGCAAATCGCAACCAGTGCGAACAAAGCGCAGGTTACAGGGGATCTGGAGTGCGCGCGCCTGCCGTGTTCCCCGGGATTCGGCCATTGAGGGAGGAAGTATATGGGGTTGGAGCTGCATGACATGGAGAACAAGAGATTAGAGCCAAAGACTTCACTCACAGGTATTTTTTATCAAGTTTTCCGAAATTCCACAAGTGCACTTGTTGCTGGCGTAGGATGAAATGAATGAAGTCACTTTCATCAATAGCGATTCTCCCGTTTTGTGGGCGGTGAGGCTCATTCTCCATAGTGGGTCCTTTCCCTTAGTGTATACTCCATCGTCTTATGTATATGAAGTCTAGAGGCACATCTATATATATTGATTATAATTACTAGTAGTGTATGAATTTCAAATTGATCCTCGCTAGTCTATATGCAGATAACAAGGAAGGTATTGAGAAGAGAAAAGTAAGCACAGGAAAGGATTTTTCCTCCATTTTTCCTAACATTTGAACCTACTTCAACACGAGTTTATTTTCTTACATTCACCTCCAGATGTCAAGTGCTCTAAATATATGCTCGCACTCCAACAAAGAGATATACACATGTTACTTACGTGAATATAGGGATATATTCACAAGCTACTTAGAGTTATCTATCTTGACCTACTAGCACTGAATGATGATAGAATATTGAAAATAAAAATCTTTCAAATCCTAGGGAATTTTTATGGTATTCATTCGTCAACTGGTACTATTTTACTTATAAATTTACTGGCATTTTTCGTACGTTACCATTTAGTAGCAATTGATCAAACACTACCTGGACGATTCCATATATTCTAGTTATCCGTCACATATTAAAAACATATTAAACAAGGTTGCTCATATATTATCAAAGCAACAAGATTAGACGAATACCCAGCGAATCGTCTGAGCTGACTAGTACAGCCGAGAGGACTGCCCGGTGTGGATAAAGCAATGCGGCACTGGCCATTCGAACTGTGAACAAATTAAGAATCAATTGCAGTTTAGATACAAAATACTTCAAAATGTTCTAAGTTCAATATCCATTAAGCTGAGACCATGAAGTGAAGCTTACTAGTAATCTAGATCATTGAAATAACCAGTTGACCATCAATGCGTCGAGAAAGATCCAACTCTTAGATCGGATGCAACCGAGCGGAACAGCCGAGGTCGGGCTCACATGGCAAGTCCGGGGAAGTTCTGCTCCAACCTCGCTCATCTCTCTTTCTCCACCTGAACGAACACTGATAACCACGTTCCCACATTGTCAGAACCTTCCGGGAAACAATGTCGGACTCAACAAAGCCCCCATCTATCCCCTCTTGGCAGCGGCAGTCTGCCTCGTCAACCGATCAATCTCCGTCCCAGTCACCCTCCCCATCGCCGAGCTCCGACGATGCGCCCGCCTCCACCTCACGAGAAGATCTCGTCAACCAAGCATCCCGATTCCTAGAAGATGAGTCGATCCGTGATTCCTCCACAGATCGAAAAGTCGCTTTCCTTGAATCCAAAGGGCTGAGTTCCGACGAAATTCAACAACTTCTCGGCGTCTCCCGAAACCAAGAGGCGACCAGCAGCACCGCGAGCACAACCGAGGATAACGCGCAAGAAACACCAGAGACCTCCTCCACTTCTAGTGAGACTGAAGCCACACCTTCATCTCCCGTTAATGCACAACCATCATCTCCAACCTCATCGCCATCTCCCACCATGTCTCAACGGCGCCCGCCGACCGCAGCCACCGCCGCCACTTCCTCCCCCTCATTCACAAAGCGCGACGAGCCCCCAATAATTACCTACCCCGAATTCCTCTTTGAGCCTAGCAAGCCTCCACCCCTGGTTACAATGCAAAGCGTTCTGTACACTTTATACGGCGCCGCCGGTCTCGGCGCTAGCATCTACGGTGCAAGCGAGTACCTCGTGAAACCAATGCTCGCGAGCCTTTCCAGCGCGCGCCACGAGCTAGCAGAGACAGCCCAGGAGAACCTAAAAAAGCTAAATGAGAAGCTCGAGAAGACCGTCTCTATGATCCCGCCCCATCTCACAGCCCGCAAGGACTCCGCTGAGGCCGAAGAAGACGCGGACGAGTCCGAGAGTGTGACCTCTGACCCGACGGAGCTTTTCCACCGGGATATGGGGACGCAGACCACACCGGATGTTTCTTCTTCTTCTTCCTCACTGCAGTCTGCTGCGAAGGAAAGCGATGAGAAGGCAGCGGATGCGCCCGCTGTCGCGGTGGCGAACCATATGACCCGGTTGGAATCCATCCAATCGCAGTTGAAGGAGATTGATGAGCTTGAGAAGGGTTCTAGTACATCCGACGATGGGTTGCGCACAAAGCTGAGTGATTTGCACCATTATCTTGATGGGTTGATATATGCGGCTCCTACGTATACCGCTGCCGGGGGCTCGTATGGTCTTTATAGTGGGAAGACTAGTTCTGGGACAGATGGAACCTCGACTGGGGTGCGCAAGGCTGAGGATGATGCGATTGCGAGCTTTAAAGCGGATATTCGCGGCGTTAAGGGTGCGCTGTTGAGTGCGAGGAACTTTCCTGCTAGTCGGGGTGGTAGACTTGGGGGCATTACTGCTGGCGCAAGATGAGGAATTCTCTTTCTTATAATTCTTTCTTTTGCATTGGGGCTTCTAATTTTCCACGTTGGAAGGGCTGGTTGTTCATATATTGTATGGTCGTACATAGTTTAACATAGTTTAAACGGCGGACCTGTGAATTACTGTATCCGGTTAGTTTCGCCTTCTACAAAGTTGGGTTTAGCACCCTAATATGCTGTCACATAACCTCCTTCCCATGCCCTCTGACATAAAAGACCCATCTTCGCTGCTTCCAGCGCTAGAAGCCTTGATTGGTCTGACTAGGTCCCCGCCTTTTCACCTCGCTGCCTGGCATGCCCGGCGGCAACATGTTTCTATCTCTGGACCTTACTGTCTTTCAAGAACTCCCTTTGACTAGAAATCGATAGGCTTTCGGCTTACTTCGATTCCACTACTCTCCAAGACTGAGTCTTCCCATAACTGCCTAGACCCCTGCTTCACCTGTGTTATCTCGAAGATGACGCCTGAGGGGGCTGAAGGCGAGACCGGCCAACACGATTCAAGCCACACAACAACAAGGATTATTTCCGACTCCAGCTTTTTCAGGGAGCATCGGGCGTCTGCGCTCCCTACCCCGGCCGAGGTGAGACTCATCAACAAGGAGTCAGGTAACTTCCGTGGTACAATGTTCAACCGACCTCCGCCTGTCAAGTTTCCATCGTTGGGTTTGATTGTCAAATATGGAGCCGACGCGACCGTTACAGAGGCAGAGACCCAGATTATGGTATACAACCGGCTGAAAGGCAAAGTACCAGTTCCTGAGGTGTATGGGTGGACCAAAGACGGTCGCCAAGTATTTATCTACATGTCTTTGATAAAGGGTGAAACCCTGGAGCAAAGATGGGGTGCTTTGAACAATGACGAGAGAGAGGCTGTCTGCAAAGAGCTCAATGGCATGGTCAAAGCTTGGAGATCGTTAGAACACCCTGACCAAGCTCTTTACGTGGGTAAGTGATTTGAGGTCATTGCGGTAGCTAGGCAGAACTATACTAAAGTACCCCTTAGGTGGCCTAGGTAATCAACCTCTGAATGAGATCTTTCTTTTGAGTCACCGAGACTTGGCTGGCCCATTCCACGGTGCAGACGCCGTCCAGAAATTTCAGAATGGCTGCGATATCGACATTGATGGGGACGTGTCCGTGGTCTTCACACATGACGACCTTGTGCCCCCAAATATCATGTTATCGCCCGGGCCGAATCCAGAAGTAGCTGCCATCATTGATTGGGGCCAGGCAGGGTGGTATCCTGCTTACTGGGAGTATTGCAAGGCGCGTCGCGTCAGGCCAAATCCGGAATACTTTGACGACGACTTGGATGAAGAATGGAATACGAGATACCTGCCAACTATCTTGGACCCGGTCGATGATGAGACGGTATACCACCCTTGGCTATGGTTTGTCTTGTCCAAGGGCATCTAGTTATGCGAATGAGGATGCTCATTGGGACCATACTACAGCCGTGGGCCAATAGAAAATATAGTCGAACTTGAATGAACTTGAGAATTTTCGATATCCCAAACCACGTTGGAACTTTAACAAAGATGGATCTCTTATGCAGCCTTAGTCCTATCTGAAGATTATCTATTCCACCTGAGTTATGAAACCTATCAATCCTAACCTAGTCATCAACATGTAGCATGGGAAGCGTAGGAAATTTTTATCTCACAACACGGGGATTTATCAGACTAGACCCGTAAGGGGGAAACGAGCCGACATTGAAGGAAAACAGACGCATCAATAGTAAAAAATAACACAGAAAAAAATAACATCAAGAGTCCAAACGCTCTATAGCAAGATCAAGGATCCCAACCCGCTTATATTCGGCCAGGAGTACATATTACCATGCCCTAAAGAATCTGGGACTGGGAGGGTGCCTCCTCAGGTCGCCAGGTGGCTGAGCACATCTGAATCAGATACTTCACACCAATCTAGAATCATATTGTTAGTTTGAAAAAGATATAGAGGATTCATGAGCAAATGCTTACCTGCAGGCCGCTAAACTCGTCATTGTTATTGACCAGCAAATCGCTGTGGGTCTTGAGAGCAACGTCGTATCTGCGCGCCTCAACCGCTTGCGCCAAAGCGACTAGCTTCTGCACAGTCTCGGGCTTGAAGGTCTCGCTGTTCAGACGATCAAAGATCTCGTTCAAGCAGTTCGCGGACCTTTGGGTCTGCTTCTTGAACTTCTCCGGGGCACGAGGCTCAAGGTATTGGATTTTGGGGTTGAGGATCTCGTAGATGGGCAAGGCGTTGGGAGGAATGTGAGAACGGTCTCCAACGGCTAAATTTTGTTAATGACAGCTCAATTATTCTAAGGGAAAGCTGACTTACGATACTTGAGTGCCGCAGCTGGTGGAGGAGTGGGTGCCTGGGACTGGGCTGTACCAGGTCGAGAACCTTGAGGTGGAGGAGGAACCGCAGCTCGGGGTGGGGGAGGGACTGCAGCAGCTGGAGGCGGCGGGGCAGATGCATACTGGTTTGGCGGAGGAGCAGATGCATATTGGTTTGGCGGAGGAACGGATGCATATGGGTTAGGCGGCGGGGCCTGAGCCGCCGCTGCGGGTGCATACGGCGATGCGCCAGCCTGGGGAGGAGGCATCGGCCCGCGGTTCTGCAATTGGGGGTTCGCAGCTTGAGCAGCCGGGCTAGGTGCGTACCGGTTTGACGGCGGGGGCATGCTTGGCGGGGCATTGTAAGGCGAGGGACCCCGAGGAATTGATCCAGGAGGGGGGGCCATGTGGCCTACTGGTGGAGACGTGGGCAGAGCTGCATATGGGTTGACTGGGGGTGGCGGAGAGGGAGCAACATTCGACGTCAGGGGCGAGGACACGCGAGGCGGAAGAGTACCAGCCTTGGGTGGAGGGGGAACAGATGGCGCACGCTGGCCAGGCACCATCGGAGGGCCTTGGACAAGAGGGGGGGACTGGTTGGGGAAAGGGGAGCTGATAGCAGCTGGGGCAGCAGGAGTACCACGACGCGATACTGATGCCTTCGTGAAACCCTCTGGCAGATCATTCCACGCAGGGAGTCCGGTGGCCGTTGTGTAGGTAGTGATGGTGTTGGCGGGGGACTGGTTAGTCGCGCGCGGGGGAGGGGGAACACCGGTGGTCGCTGGCTGTCCAAACTGGGATTGCGGGGCGTAGGATACAGGCTTCACACCTTGAGCTGGCTGGTACCCGGCAGGCTGGTAGCCACTGCTACCGGAAAGCGAAGCATAAGGGTTGGCAGGAGCAGCGGCCGGGGGTGCGTAGGGGTTCACTGGTGGCTGCTGCGACTGCTGCGGCTGTTGTTGCGGCGCTCCATACGGTGCCGTTGCTGCTGGGGGAGCATATGGGTTGACAGGCGATTGAGTAGGAGCGTAAGGGTTCTGCGGCGCAGCAACTGCAGGGGCTGCAGGTGTGAAGGGTTGCTGTGGCGGGTAGACATTGGGCTGCTGGGGCAGGGGTTTGAAGTTGCCTCGTGCCGTGGCAGCAGCAGCGGCCTGTGCCTTTTGCGGAACCTGTCTTGTGGCAAGTCTGATGCGGTTGCGAGCCACCTCAGCTTCGGGATGCTTCTCAGGCACAAGGTCGAGATACTTCTGGGCAACTTGAAGACGACCGTGCGTGGCGACGACGTCCGCATACTCAACGTACTTCTCGTACAAGTTGCTGAGGCGCCACCCAGACTCCTTGGTCCGCTCGGTATCCTGGAAGTTGGTGACCTGGCGGAAAATAGTCACCTTTTCGATCAGACCCTGCAAAGCGCGGACGTGAATGGAGAAGCTGGAATTCTCTGCATCGCTCTCGATGCCCTTCTGCTCATTCTCCCGCAACTCCTCAACCCAGATTGCGACAACTTTCTCAAGCTTGGAACCGGCAAGGTAGCAGAATGAGGCATCCTTGCGAGCGCTCTTGTCGTCACTGCTGTCGACAAGCTCCTCAAGACGGTCTCCGAGAGCGTCACAGAGGTCAGGGAAATCCTTCTGATCAGCAAAAGTGCACAACGCAGCCATAACCTCCTTCCAATTAGAAAGGTCGGCATTATATACGACATCCCAAAGGTTCTTGCCCACAATTGAAGCAAGTAGGCGCATGTAGTTAGGTCCACCAGTCTGCTTGGAGAAGTAGTATTCCTGGGCCTTAGCAATGCACTTCTGACCACCACAAATAGCAATCATGAAGGCATCCGACATGCGGTCCTCTTGAAGAGCAACGTCGAGAGCCTTCTCGAATTCTCCAAGGAGCAGAGATCGGGTAATCTTCTGCTCAGCCTCGGTTTCCGAGCCACTGAAGATCTGGAATGGGTTGTTGGTCTGGGCACCCTTTGACGCAGCGAGCTCTGAAAGGAAGTTATCGGTATCCGGGGTACCGTCAAACATAGATTGAAGACGTTTATGTTTCTTGCCCCCAGCCTTCTTCTCGGCAGTGCCGTTGGTCTCCTCGTCGTCCTTCTTACCCAAGCCAAGCTTTGACAGGCTATCGGCAGCTTCGTCAGCTGATTGGTCCTGGAAGCCCAGGTACTCAACCAAGCCCTTTCTGGGGTTCTCGGAAAGCAAAGCTTCAATAACAGTCCAGTCAGCCTTCTCCTCCTCATTTGAAGCACCCGCGATACGAGTCTCGCAAAGGCTGCGGAGATCACCCTCCTTCAAGGCAGCCTCGAAGCTTTCTGTCGCATTGCCGACACTCTCATCGACTTCGAACGGCGTAATCTTAATTTTAGAGGAGCGCGAGCCACTGTCGGAAACACCGATGGAGACTACGCGACCGCCAAAGCCAAAGGAAGCGCCACAGGGACGCTCGAGCCAGCGAGGAGGCTTAGGAAGTGAGAACTTGGAGACTTGAGGCTGGGACTGGGCCTTGGCGAAGAAGTCCTCGCCGTCTAGAGCCTGGTTCTGGTCATCAATGGCTTGTGAGGTATCGGTCCGGGTGTTCTGGAGAGTCTGGACCGAGATCTTGCCGTCAAATGATGCAGTAGCGAAGAAGTTGGGGTTGTGCGGGTTCCAGCGGGTCTGGAAGGTCCAGTTGGTGACAACGGGGAATTCGCCATAGGCCACACCAGTTTGCGGGTTCCAGCAGATGTTGCGGTTATCCTTGCCGGAAGAGAGGAGGAGATCCGGATCATGGGCGCACCAAGAAAGTGAAAGCACACCGGACTCGTGGCCCTTCAATGTCCGCTCGGGAGCATGCGAGTTACGCAGATCCCAAACATAGATCATCGGGTCCGACTCGAGAGGAGTTGAAGTGATCAGCTTGGTAGGCTTCTCGGGATCCCAAGCAACGGCGCTAACAGCCTTCCGGCCCATGTTGTTGAGAGTCAGGCTCTCCTTCTTCGTCTTAACATCCCATACAGTCACGAAACCGGCACTGCTACCAGTGACCAAAATGTGAGCGACCTTCTTATTCCAGTCCAAACACTCAATGTCGTCTGTGCGAGCGGCATTGTTACCCAATCGGAAGGGGTTATCGACGTTGTTCAGATCGGAGAGGAAGAGCTCTCCTTTCGCGCCACCGGTGGCCAGGAGGTTTGAGTGCTTAGGGTTGAATTGAAGGGCCTTGATGGCACCCGAGTGCTTTGTTGTTCGCGACATCAAAGAATCACTAAAAACTGTCAGCCACTTTCATCAGATGCCATTCTAGGCATCATCCACCAACCTCGATCCTGCAAGAAGCTTATCAGCGCTCCACAAATCCAATGCACCATTCTCAAGACCACCCGCAATAACACCGCGCTTGGTATCGTCGTAATCGGACCATGCTAGATCATTGAAACTATAGGATTGTTCCCATTAGCGACTGCAATCATTCTCAAGCTCTGAAAGATTATCATACCCAGCATCGGTATCGATCTTGGCCACCGGGTGTAGCTCCTCGCTGGCATCTTCGCGATCCAGGCCAAGATCCCAAAGCTCAAGGCAAGTCTTGTTGGAGAAATCGACGTCGACAGCACCCGCCCGAGTTCCAGTGGCAATCAATGGAGATGCAGCACCAGGAGACCAGGCAAAGGTGGCCGTCCTTGGGATTTCCCTTAGACGGACCATGACGACGGTAAATGGATGATAGTAGTGGGGGGAGGGAGAGGGAGTGAGGTGAATTAAATTTTTGAAAAAGAAACAAGATCGTAGACGGTCATCCAACAAAGATTATTAAATCCAAATCCCACCCCTGTACATAAATTAGAACAACGGGGGGTGCGATACTCTACTAGTCAACACCAAGTGGCCTCCTGGACTCTTTGGAGGGACCGGGGAACACGCGCTAAACTCAATTGGGCACTCGCCAAAACACCCCCGAGGACGCCCGCACGTGATATCAGTTGCTCTTCTCGTTGCGACCCCGGATATGAACCACACTTGTCCGACTAAAGCAAGCACTCTGACGTCAATTCAATAAACTACAAGCTCTCTAGCTGTACCTGTTCATAACTGCCCAGTAAAGCACGACCATTCGCCCTAGACCGGAACCAGAAAATCTTGCCGACATCATGAGTGAAACCAACCGTCTTAAGAGCACCATCTACGTCGGTGGTCTCGACCAGGCCGTCACAGCTCATACTCTGGCAGAGGCATTCGTGCCTTTCGGTGAAGTTGTCGACATCTCACTTCCAAAGCCAGACCAACCGAAGACGGACGACGTCCACCGAGGCTTCGGATACGTGGAATTCGACCTTCCCCAAGATGCCAAGGAGGCAATCGACAATATGGATGGCAGTGAACTGTACGGGCGTACGATCAAGGTTGCTGCAGCCAAGCCACAGAAGGATGCAAACGAGGGCCTAGGCAGCAAAACTGCTATTTGGGAACAGGTACGTTGGGGTTTACAATATCCGATGGAGTTACTGAAATCGCATCTGTCGCATTCCATACTAATTCACAATTTTCTTACAGGAGGGTTACTTGGCAAAACATGCAGTTAGCGAGGAAGACCGACAAGCAGCTGAGGAAGTCAGAGAGGCAAACAACCGGCCCCAGGACCCAATGCAAGGATTGGAACAACTTGATGTCGCGGGGCCAAAGCCCGAATGATATGCGCAAACTTGATAATGGCCATGACGATTATGAACCACGAACGACAGTACTATTGCCGAAAAACACACCAAATTTCACTGCGAAGCCGAACTATGTACACATGCTCCGGATCCGAGCACGTTTTGATTTTCTCTTCACTATTTTTTCTGGGCTTCCAATTGTTTCAAACAATAAAAGCGACAAAAATTCAAAAGAAATTGGGATCGCATTCACGGAGCTCAAAAAGAGAATGATGATACAGGTACATTTAGTGCTCGCGGCTCTCGGGGCTGTTGCGGTAGAGACGCAGAGTCTTGTCGCTCATGAGCTTCTTGGTGCTCGCGTAGATGGCGGCGCCGACGGCAACACTGAAAGATAATTGGGTTAGTTGAGAAAGCAGAAACGAAACAGAGAGTCGAGAGTGAAAGGTCGACAGCGGGTGAAGGGAAAGTGAGGGGGAACATGAAAAGTTGGGATGTGTATATGTAGGCTTCGTGGGATAGACGAGGCAAGTCGTGTAAGAGATAAACATACCCAAGGACGATACCTGAATGGCAAAAAAGTTAGCAAATTAACTCTCACATCTGTAGATTCAAGGTGTCTTGGCAAAAAACGTACCGAGAGGGATCAGCTCTGGGGGACACTTCTTAATCATGCGGAGGCGCTGGGAGATGGTGTGGGCTAGATGAAATCCAATTAATACAATCGTTCGGGTCAGGAATTCCCCATATAATGCCACCAGTCATTGACCGGTAGCTTCCATGGGGGTGAGGTGATGCGGCATACCGCTGTGAGCCTCCTTCTGCAGACAGGAGTTAGTACTAGCCGAAACCCGATCGTATGATCCCGAGGGAGGAGTAATCAACTTACGGGCGCCGGGTTGAAGAGAGCCCGCGAGGGCTGCATGCGCAGAACCTGAGAGGGGTACATGGTGTATGTGGTGGAGAGGTGGTGGAGTATAACCGGTGAGAAGTGGGAGAAGATGAGGTTGGAGTCGAGCTTTCCAAGAGCGTCGTTCTGAGTGGCTCGGGTGTTTTGGGAAAAGCGAGACTCTCAGTGGCTCTCGCTTGACCGCCCGCGGTCATACCCGGCACTTCACAGCTTCGATCACCCAACGTCCACTCGTCCTTTGCCCTCTCCCACCCTCACTCTCCTCTCTTCACTCCCAATTCACCGTTGATTCTCCCGTGTTCTTCGCCTGAAGCTACACATCGCCAAAATGGGTGCCATTCCTGAGTACGATCCCGAGGAGCCTCAAGAGACCAAGCCCTTCAAGTTCGTGACTGGTAAGTTCAGACCCCCCTCTCTCCCGCGATAACGGGGGAGGCCAATCGTCGAAATTTGGGGTCAATGGCTAATATTTTTGTAGCTGGTGCGTATATTATCGATTTTCTTGCGTTGGGAAACATCCCGGGGATGCTTCGCGATGGGTGTTCCCGATCGGCCGGGGTATCATATGATTGACATTTTCCAATGCGACTACAGGTTACGATGCTCGTTTCCCCCAAATGAACCAGTACGTCACCTATTCTCCTACATTCATCCGAAATTGTTTCAGGTCTAATTTCCGATCTTTCAGGACCAAGCACTGCTGGCAGAACTATGTCGACTACTACAAGTGTGTCAACGCCAAGGGCGAGGACTTCCGTCCCTGCCGTCAGGTACTTTCGACCTCTACACATTCCACGAATATGAGAAACCAAACTCTAACGCTGCTAACAGTTCTACCACGCCTTCCGCGCTCTGTGCCCCAAGGCCTGGACCGACCGCTGGGACGGTCAGCGTGGTACGTCTTCAAAACCCACCCCTGGAAATTTTTTGCTTTGCGCATACTAACAACCTGAAACCACTAACAGAGGCTGGCAACTTCCCCGCCCACCTTGACCGGTAAATCACCAACACCCGCTTTGTGTTGATTACTTGGGCTTTGAATTTTTTTGGTGTATCGACAACTATCAATGTACTCTACCTGGTCATACGGGGATACATTTCCTTTCTTCCTGATGTAAACCTTCTGGATTTCCGAGAAGGGGTGTCTATAAATTCGCCGTTTCGCAAAGATAAATTTGTTTCATTAGCTTGCTGTGCCAACGTAAATTTCCATCTTGCTTCACTAGTAGGCGCTTCACTAGTAGGCTACCTTGGGTTTTGTTGTCTGGAGCAGTAGATAACATTGTATAAAACACTTCTTTCTCAAAGGCTTAATGATACAATCAAACAGTTGAATCCTGGATACCTCGCGGGGAAACGGTCTAGATGCAATTCGAATGTATCTAAGTCTATGACGATTCAGTCCAAAGAAAAACAGCATCCTAACACGCCCTATATACAGGGAATGCGGGTCGAAAAACCAACAGGCTGTGGGGCACAGCCCGTCATGGTGAAAAACATTCGTATCAGAATGCAAGATATGTACAAGCCAAACTCCGCTCGTGTGAGCAACTTGCTGTCGCCCTGTATAAACATCAACGAAATCAACATGACGTATATACAGCGCATGATGAATGACAATCAGGTTAAGATCAGACGATGAAAACACCTAGCAGATAAGATGGCGAAGAAGAAAAGAAAAAAGAAAAAAGAAAAAGAAACATGCAAACCTCTATAGATCCTAGTCTAGATTCCTCGTTTAAATACCCTTTAATTTCCTGTAGAGCTTTTTGTGCTCCTCCAGGAAAATAAAAGTAGCAATGGTATGAGGACCCAGGCGAATGAAGCTAGGCACCCAACCACGGAAAGTCCAAGCCAGACCCTCTTTGCGACAAATATCCCGTAGTAAGCCTGCAATGCTGTGTCCCCGACTCTCGGCAGGGGACGCAGTCATAATGCGAGTCTTGATAACGTCAACAGGACTGCACACGGTAGTTGCGACGAATCCAGCCATGAAGGAGGCCGTGAAATGGGTTCCCAGATTATCTTTCATGCCGACTTTCTCGATGCACATTTTCTTGAAGGTATCATATGAAGCCAGCTGGGAGGCGGTCATGAGTACGGCGCGAGTGGAGTTCGGCCATACACCACGGAACAGAGAACCGAAGCCTTCTGTTTTGGTCATTTGCACCAGTCCGTGGAAGGCATTGCGGTAGTTGCGACGCTTCTCGATTGGCAATGCGGCGTCGGACTGCATGCGCACGTTCATCACGTCGGCCGGGTTGCCTGCAAACCCGCCGATGAAGCCCGAAACAGTGGAAATGCCAATTAGAGTAAGGAAGCCTGGCGATACGGGTGTAGATGTAGGGGAGGTCGGGTCGGGCTTGGAGAGGCGGTTCTTAAGTTCTTCGTAGATACCGAAGCGGGTGGTGGAATAGGTGATCTGGCGCAGGAGAGCAGCCGAGAGCTATATTCATATGAAACCAATTGACTCCTGGTCAGTCTTTTTTTCTTGTGTCGTGCTTGTGTTGGGGGTGGACCTGGTAGGGGTCCTCCGCAATTCAAGGCGTAGCTGCGGAGTTAATACATACACCACTGTATAGACCCGTTACACCATTATTTCTGACGATGTGGCCGAATGTTCCTATCATAGATTTGGGCGCATCGGGCGCACGTGTTTGTAACCGGACCTAGAATGCGACGAGATTCTGCGATCAGCGATGGAGTCCGGGGGTGGCGATCCAGGGTCTGGACCTGAACTTCGGGAGAGAAAAATACCTTGACTAGAAGGAAAAAAAGGGTTAGCCTTTCTCATGGGCATGTCTATGATCGCAGAGACACTTACCTAAATCTAATGGGTGTGTTACTGCCGCCGCAAAACATGAAGCAGAACCTCCAAACCAGAAAGGGTAGTGCACTTTTTGCGACTTGGACTTGGGCGTCGACACAGGCGCCACCCGCGAGTGAGCCGGAGGCTGTAATAGTTTGCTGTCTGCCATGTCTTGTTTCTTTAGTCCCTAAGAAACAAAGACTCCTGGGCAAATGTGGAGCGAAGTGAATATAGGGAGAGGGGTGTTTGAGGAGAGAAAAAAAAAGGAAGCTCATTTACTATAATTTTTGCAAGAAAATCGCCATTTTTGACCGTGACCTTTTTGACGTAATTTTTGGATCGCCAATACGGACACAAATCAGGTCGCCGAATCCATGGCTACCCACGGCGTATCTTGACCAATCAGCTTGTGTGCCTGTGAGGATTCTGGCAATCTCCACCAATCAGGAGCTCGGGTTCGTTCTTACCCCGGTGAACCTCTGTAAGACACTGATTTAAGGATTTGAACATTAACACTTCGGAGGTAAGAAGTAGGTCCCGACAAACCTATTTCATGGCCTAATCGTCATTGTCTGTTTTTTCAATTCATCTAAAATTAACTAAAACCTGATTGGTTTCCAGTTTGCACTGGTCATGTAGCCTGTATACGGGTATCATCGGTGGAATTGCGGACGTTTTGCGGACACAAGGATCGGATCCGTTACCGAGGGACGAGGGGTTCTCCAACTTCAAAGTTTCACCCCTCCATGCGATTATCGGAGGTGGAGAAGTATATATTAGAATTGGGTAATGAATTCGGTTTAGTTTTTTTTCTACTTTGTGAAGCCCACTTATTATCCCGTCCTGCGGTGTACCTTCTAGGCTATTCTTTGGAACGCACTAGTCGCAGATCAAAGATTAGTTTACTAGTATCGACCTTCCAAGGAAGAGACCTTAGCACTGTTTAAAGCCAGAAGCAAAATATGGTTGGAAAAGGCACCGATTTGTGATCTCAAGTCATTCTCTCCACATTCGTGGATTTATTATTCGCTTATGTATGTACTCAATACCTGACAGATAGAGTACAATCCATCTACACCCACAAACATATATTCCCGCTAGCCTTGCTATTGATTGATACGTATACATACTATCAAACATACTCAAGTATGTTCTACATAGTATGTTCTACATAGTATGTTCTACATAGTATGTACCTACTCAGTCCTAGGTATATACTACTATTTACAATCATAGATTTAGAATCATCAAGCCCTCCACCTGAAGACTGAAGTGCTTGCAAGGCTTCTCAACATTTACCACACATGATTTGATGTAAACACCGATCATGAAGAACCACAAGATCCTGTGTGCATAAGCCACTAGGGGCTTTCCGCGAGACATTGATCCGTGAAATTCTCATCGCGCCCATTGAGTCGGTGCCATGCGCAACGGGAACCCTTCAAAGCAGTCCTTCAGTCGGGACACCATCTTCCAATGCAAAATACTCGTATCGTCTGGCGCGAACCCCTCAAGGATCTATCGGTCCAATATTCGGCTCAAGTGATTGACGTACTCTGGTTAGAAAATGGTTTTTGATTGATAATGGGTTTCTTTCAAAAAATGGGTTGCCAAAGAAAATAGTTTGCAGTTTGATGTGCATAGCCTTAACTGGTCAACTGGTACTTATAAACTCAATCTCACTTCATGATGGATGCATACATTGCCCTAAATAACATTAAAGACAACTTAAGCTTCAAGCTTTGTCATCGATATATAAATTCACAGCCTCAAAATATTTCCCACCATCATGTGAATAATTGATTTGACCTCTTCTATAAGTGCTGTGCAAGTACCGCAGCCTATCAACTAGTGTAGTTAAAGTACTACTAAGATTTGATGGTTACCACAGCCAGTTGACTTAGATGCATTCAAAATTCAACATTTGAATGTTCAGTCTCTGGCCTCCATACTAAGACATCGAGAGGTAACATTGGTAAGGCGATGCTAATGTTCTGCACATATGAGAAGCCTCATATTATGTACCTACTAGTAAATATTGGAAAATCAATACCCAATATGCTTACCACCAAACTAGTATTAGGCCATTGAAAACTTGATAGGAAAGAGTAGATTAGTGCATATAGCCATTGAATCTGTACTTCGGAGAAAAAGGCCCACAGCGGAGAAGGTGATAGTTCGGCGGCTTATTTACCCGACCCGGGCATGTTTTCAAGATTCCAACGGCTCATTCAGATTGACGGTACTATCTAACCAAACTCCCAGACATGCGCTTATTTGCGACAGGACGTGCTCTGCGTGCCAGCAGCGGCCGCTGGTCCATTGTTGCAGCCCGCCCCAGAATCCCAATCCCGCGTATCTCCCCGCTCCACGAATCCATCCCAGCTGTCAAAAGAGACTGGAGCTCCACAACAGCTCTCCGGACAACCGACCACAAAGCCAATACTCAAGCACCCGGACAGATCCCGCAAAAAACACAATCTACCCAGACAATTGAGGGCGTGGCCTACCCAACCGACCAATGGACCAACACCCCCGACCAGATTCTCTCCCACGTCGGCCGCCGCCTCTACCTCGATGAGAACCACCCCCTAGCAATCACCCGCAAGCTCATCGAGAGCCAATTCCCCGCCCCGGTCTTCGGCAACCATTTCGAGAAGAACCCAGTCGTATCAACGAGACACAATTTCGACGTCTTGGGCTTCCCGCCGGATCACCCGGGCCGTAGTCGTACAGATACATACTACATCAACGACAAGACTGTCTTGCGCACACACACCAGCGCCCACCAACAAGCCTACTTCCAGCAGCTCAATCGCAACGAGCAGACCCGTCCCGAGGAAGTGGGATATACTGTCATCGCGGACGTCTACCGCCGTGATGCAATTGACCGCAGCCACTACCCCGTCTTCCATCAGATGGAAGGCGCAATGCTCTGGAAGCGGCCCGATACCGACCCCCTTGGACACTCCGCCGAGACAGCCGCAAAGATCATGGCTGACGTGGAGCTGATCCCGCGTCATGATGTCGTGGTTGAGGACCCGAACCCCACGCTCCATGCTCAGCGCAATCCGCTGCAAGCGGAGCACCACAGCGCAGAGGAGGTGGAGGCCATCGCGGCGCATCTGAAGCGCTCGCTGGAGCGCATGGTTATCAAGGTCTTCACAGAAGGCAGCAAGGCCGCTGCTGCTGCGGGCGGTGCCGCCGCTGAGCCTCTGAAGGTGCGCTGGGTCGAGGCCTACTTCCCCTTTACCAGCCCGTCCTGGGAGATGGAGGTATTCTGGCAGGGCGAGTGGCTCGAGATTCTTGGATGCGGTGTCATCAAGCAGGATCTCTTGATCAACTCCGATGTTCCCAATCGAGTGGGCTGGGCGTTTGGATTGGGAATTGAGCGTATTGCTATGCTCCTGTTTAATATTCCTGATATCCGTCTTTTCTGGTCTCGGGATGAGCGGTTCCTCTCCCAGTTCCGCGCTGGCACTATTACGCGCTTTGAGCCTTTCTCCAAGCACCCGGCTTGCTACAAGGATGTTGCTTTCTGGTTGCCTCCTGCCGCTGTTACTGGCGGAAGCAGTGCTGCCGGTGGAGGTGTGCCATTCCACGAGAATGATGTGATGGAAATTGTTCGTGGTATTGGAGGTGATCTTGTGGAGGATGTTTCTTGTATTGACGAGTTTACACACCCCAAGACTGGGCGCAAGAGTATGTGCTATCGCATTAACTACCGCAGCTTGGAGAGAACTTTGACCAACGAGGAGGCCAATGAGATGCATGACAAGGTTCGAGCTAAGCTCGTGGGTGATGTGGGTGTAGAATTGAGGTGATTCTGACTTCCGAGGCGAGTCAACTTGTACTATATGATCCTATATACCTCTCTATTGTACCATTTCTAAAATCTCAAGCTTGTACAACATGTATTCATGGACCTATCCTCCTTTGTTTTTTTTTACTTGCACATGCACAGGCGCAGAGGTGTGTTTTTTTGAGTATCAGATAACCCATTTGAGATCGATCCGAGGTAAATATGAGCCTCGATTGGAATATTCATGGATGGTAGTTTATTATACAAGAAATGAGGATAGAGTTATCAGAGACACAGATTGTGCGAAAACAAGGGACAAACCACCCCAACACGAGACAATCCAGACGCCTCCAGTCACATGCAACAACGGTGTATCATACAGATTCAAGAGACAAGTAGATATTAAGGAAGAAGTTTTTTTCCAGACCCAACAGCCAGCAGAATCCAAATGCCAATCCCTATCGTGATCATGACGTATGATATATGGTACAGAGAGAAGAAAAGAGGTGAAGAAAAAGGGAGATTATGGCGAAGCGAGAATTTAGGCGTTCTTGACGACACCAACCTTGGCGGCCTGTAAGAAAGAAAGAAAAGTCAGTTCCCAAACATATTTCATTCCATGCAATGCAGTTTGGAAACTTACCCGAAGAACCCGTCCGTTCAGGCGGAAGCCCTTGCTCTGGACGTACATCACGTCACCCTCCTCGAGCTCCTTGGATGGGGCCATGAAAGTGGCCTCGTGCAGGTTAGGGTCGAACTTCTGGGCCTTGCCATCAACCTGCTCGGCAGGGTCGAAGCGCTCCAAGCCGTGCTTCTGGAGGGTGTTCATAAGGATGTTCTCAGTCATCTTGAGACCGGTGACGAGGTCAAGAAGATCCTTGTTCTCCTCAGTCGGGGCAGCGCTGAGCTTGTCCGCGGGCACGGCCAGCAGCGCGCGGTCAAAGTTGTCAATGCTGTCCAGGAGGTCCTTGGCGAATCGCTGGATAGCGAAGTTGCGGGCACCGTCCATGTCGCGCTTGGTGCGCTCCTGGAGGTTGCGGAAGTCGGCAACGGATCGCAAGTATTTATCCTAAAGCAAGACACATGTTAGAGACTGATTATAATGATGAGACAAAAAAAAAAGATGGATAGCTAAGCTAAGCTATGCAATCCAATGGGAGCCAGTCAAGTGGATAGATACCTTCAATTCAACGACCTCCTTCTCCTTAGCCTCAAGCTGCTTCTTGACGGGGTCCTCGGCCTCGGCATTTTCGGAAGCTTCGGCCTCCTTGTTCTCGGTGGAGTAGAAGCGGCGGGAGAAAAATGTCTGGGGAGCGAATGGCCGCACGGCAGCGGGCAGACGTGTTTGCAACTGTGATGTTCGGAGAGCCGATGACGCGGAGGATGTGGAAGAGGAAGCGGCTAGGACCGAGCGGGCAGCCTGTGCCTGTCTGAGGAGGGTTCGTTGAAACATTATGAGAAAATTGGAATTGAATTAAAAATGAAAGGTGAAGAGAGCAAGAAGGTGTTCGGAACTGCTTGCGGACTTGCGATCATCGGGCAAATTTGGATCGGGAATCACCTGACCGCGGGAAAATTAAATTGCTGGGCCGATGTCAGGTCTTCTCCTGATTAGGAATGGTTGGCCGCTAATCATTAACGTGATGGGCTCAAGCCGAAGGCAAAACAACCTTCAAGTTAGAATCTCTGATTATTATATATTATAAGGGCAGTTCAGTACGATATAACTAGCAAGAATACAGAAGGAAGGAAATATAAGAAGGAAGAACGGGAACAGGAATCGGGAATAAGGATTCAAGTCATAAGCGGTCACGCGATCAAAGGAACCAGGACCGTGGTGACGACGGCCACCAGCATTGATGTTCTTAGAGTACACTGGCCTGACAAGGTCCGGCAGTTCCTCACGTACAGCCTCCAGATGTCGATCGATCAGTATATCTATAACCTTGCCGACGGCCACTTCCCCATTACCTCTAATGTCGACGGGGCGTTAAGATCGGGTTCCACCACGCATGTGTTCATATGTACGACCGATATCAATGACCCTAGGGCGCAGATAGAAGGATATGAATTCCTATCTAAGTACATCGAGGAGTTCTAGCCCCTAAAGTCTAATCATGTGACTGGTGAATAATAAGGAAGTCGCCCGAGGCTTTCTTGATAGCCACATGGGGGGTGCGATGAGAACGTTGCTTTCCCACTCCGTGTTCATTCTGGTGAAGCTTTCTTGAGCTTCCCATGGAACCAGCCAGCGTCTGTTGTGATAACGAACATCCTCGACCACGTCTAAATCTTCGCGAGTAAGGTTAAGTGGTGCCGCGATGTACCCGGTTTTAATATCGTTATGACCCGGCGCACGGCTGTAGCCAAGCATCCATGGCACATGTTTCGATAATCCATCCCCCTAGGAAGACGTTACTGCCAATCATGTACATCCAGAGAACACCGTGGGCGAAAGCCACCGGCGATTTGCCTCGCGGTACTCGTGATATCTTCATGGCGCCCATTGAGTCCCAGCCCCCCCGAGTATCCTTGCAAGGATCTGGTCCGCAAAAGATGTGGTATAGTAGGCTCGATTCTCTGAGAATGATCTGGCCTTCCGGAAGGAGGATAAGCCACCGTCGGTCAGATGACCTACGTCATCTGCTTAACTATTAACTACATCCATGAATTGGGTAATAACTTACGGGTTATATGCAAATACACCAGATGTAACTCTGATAGATGAGCCCCATGAGCGTGATTCCCATCAATACCATCTGAGGTCCATTCACAAAGTGTGCATGGCCTGTATACATCCTTTTCTGCATAAAGCTTGTCCGACATAACCGAGTTATGATGGGATCGATGTAGCATAAAGATGTTGTTGCTTCATCAGATGCTGCTTTCTTTTTCTCCTCTGGTGTTAAAGATGGTAACTTAGAGGAAACCACAGGCTTTTTCGCTGACAGATAGGGAGTTGATTCAAACCAGCTCGTTCCTTGTTTCTGTCTGTTGCCAATTTCAACACCTCACCCAGGGCTTTGTACTGTTTGCCTGTGATATTGTATGCTTCACACCAGAGTGATAGAGCAAGCTCAAAAGAGCTTAGCCCGGTGCTAGATGACCAATCTGATGTCGCAACATTGGCCCTCCTCCAGATCCCTTGTGCAGTGGGCCATAATTTCCTTGGAAATAGTGCTCGCTATACCACTTGTGCTGGAGTTTGCGTTGTCGTCAAGAACAATGGTCAAACCAGACAAGACTTTTCTCTTCAATGTTTGACACTACCGTCCAGACTAAGTCTGGGAGCTCCTCGCGGAGCTCGGTGCATGCATCATTCCAACCAAGATTTCCGGGGCAGCGCTACGGATTTCTCCGCCAACTTGGTATCCAATCGAAATGTACCACTTGCCCCACAATATATATATAGACTTCTTTGATGACTAGGAACCAAGGCCTTTCCAGTAGAGGATTGGCTCCGGCGACATTGGAACTCTCTCCATTCTAACATCACCCTTTGTCTGAGATGATGACTCGAGGTAACCCGCATCTGGATGTGCACAAGTAGTCTGCCAGGCGCCGGCCCCAAATCATCGCTGGGTCTGTGGATTTCCCAGGAACGAAGCCGTTTCGATTCGAGTTCTTGAAGATTAGTGTGACACAGGTGACTGTCCATGTCATATGGGTATCTGTTATAGCGTTCCGCTGGCGCCAGCAGGCAGTATGCCTAGAGCACCTGAGCTTCATTCAGATGCACGAATGTATCCTTGTTGGTTGGGACATGCGAAGCCATGTCGTAGGCATGATGAATATCGAAATCCAGGATTTGGTCTTGCTTTTTCGCAGCAAGGTCGAGCTTGCCCTTCACCAGCGGCGGGCCTGGCTTGTTTCTATAGGGCATGACTGCTATAGCGCATCGACGGTATATGCGTCAGGATCAAATTCATCGTATAGCAGGGTGAACGTAGCGGACGCCGCAAGCTTTATTCATTGCGATCCTCCGCACCACGCGGCAATATCGGCCTGGGTCCGGCATGTTGCGAGGTCAACATAGTATTTATTCGTAGCTTTGATGTGATCTGGCGGTATTGGTCTGCGTTTGATACCCTCCACGACAATGTGAGGGCTCACCATGAGTGGGCAGTAGGTCGAGGTGGCTCTCCTCAATTTCCATGTGCCCGGACTCCGGAGGCTGGCTCGCGGCTGCTGGTTGAGGAGCCTTGGGCTTGAATTGTTGAGCCACCTCTTCCACCTGCGATACCCACGGCCCAATTCACACGTTGCAGCGTCTCTTACTTGCGGGGAAAGTCAACATGTTGAGAGTTGCGGCCACACAAGAGTGAGAAGGCTTTCTGCACCTTGCTAAGATACGCCTCACTGAAGACGCTCCAAAGTTCCATGTCACTATTCAAAGCCGCGAGCGGGAGAAGCTTATTGGAGTCGTTCTCGATATCGTTCAATCTTCGGCGCTTGTCTGAAGTCCTGATCACATTCGGGTTCGATTCATCATCGCCAGCGTCGACATCGGCGAAATCTGCAGCGTTGGGATTGTCTTCATTCTCATCCTCGTTGGTGTTCATTTTATTGCAATTTGAGGGACTGGCATGTAGAAACTCCTCGTCTTCCCTGTCATTAAATATTTCTGGAATGTGTGCAATGGTTCGGCTCTTAATCTGCGGCTTGTGACTTGTCAAGGCGAACATTTTTTGAATTGAGGTCGATTGTAGGAAGTGGATTTGAGGCCAGGGTGGGAGCCAAGAAAGAAGAAATCAAATGAGAATTCTCATTCTTGTCTCTACGGTGGTGCTAGGTGGAGGAGGATGATGATGATGCCTTTGGAGGAGGCATCAGGGGAGAGGTGGAGGGGCTTACTGACGAGAGAAACTTCCAAGGCTATGCCTTGGTTTCAATGAGATCGATAACAATTGAGCAACGAGTGAGGGAAAAGTGAGAATTAGCGAAGGGAGAAGTGGGCTATTGTGCGTTAACGATAACTTTCCTTCTGGGCAGGGATGGGAACATGATGCCTTTTTCGAAGACCACGAGAGAGGGGGGACTTACTAAAGATTGATATGAAAGATCAATGCCAAGGCTACACCTTGATGTCGGTGGCTCAATCGGAATTGAGCTGTGTTCGAGGAAAGACACGGCCAGTCCATCAATAAGAGGGGACTTGGGTTTTGAGCTCCGCGTTTTCTTTCCAGAAGCCGCAAAGATTGAAATCCAAAACCCATACTCAAGTGGTACGTGGTGGAAGGTGACTAACTTCGACCAGTAGACTTGACAACTGGAGGAGGTTGGTGACTCTCTCCACTGATCGTTTGAAGCCAGTGCTTTCCGAAAAGAATCCATCGTGCGAGCAAAGGTAAGTGTTAGCGCGGAAGGAATGCAACCGCTGCTCAGGGAAAGGAAAGAACGGAGAGAGAAAAGCACTGGATTGGCTATGGACAATCTCTCTCGGGGGGATGGAGAGAAGAGGGAAAAGGAAGGAAGGAAGCAAGCACTGGAATCTAGATATAGAGGGGGTCACCTGACCCCTCTCTAACAGTAAGTAGAAAAGGATTTTCGGTTTCACATCGAGTTCTCGTGAGCACTAAAAAATACCTGCTCGACAGGGCAAAAAAATGAGTCGATAGTCAGGGATGAGCTGGTGATCGGGATTGTACTAGTTTCAGGAGGAAGCCTTTTGTTCATTCCAATCTATAAAAACTTCCACCCCCAGATACTTGCCAAGAGCATACATAGTAGTAAAGAGACTCTGCCGAAGCTACTACACGGCTTTATTTGCTTCTTGTTTGGTATTTGTTGACAAACAGGGCACCACGCATATGCGCATGATGCATCGCAATATCAATACATTGAGTCTTGGAATGTTGTTCATGAAGAACAATCATCCGTGGGGTAACTGGGGTTGGAACATCTGCTTTCTAAAGCTCCTCATGTGCATACATCTCAGATTGTCTCTCAGATTCACAATTTTGCATTACCAATTCGTACGCCGCATAAGCGTAACGCGCTCCACCTTTCAATGCCAACCAATTATCTTGTTCAGAATTACCTCCAATAATCTTGACATGCTCGCCAACACTTTTCTTGATCGCCCTTTTCACGATAGGACGATTGCAGAAATTCCCAAGCATGAAGACTCGATCGATAGGGTTGGATCTTACCCCGTGCTCGTTTTCAACTCCTAGGCCAGTGTAGTCAGCATTTCTATTGCTTATTCCTCTTCTTCTCTCATTCCGTAAAACAAGAAAGATCTGGACTTTCCCTCACCTTGTAGGCAATCCAAAGCCTGGTCCAAGTATTCCGCCAACTCATCAATGTATTCATCTTCAATGGCTTGCATATCTTCCCGGCGCAGAACAGCACCCTCCTCTTCGTCAATCCACCAGTTTTGGAGATCAAGTGGCCATTCTTCATAATGATCTTGACTGTCAGCAACCCAAGAAGTCTCGGTCGTCTGTTCCATTGCAAATTTAGCTCGCCAAAGAGCTTCAAACAGTTGGGGTTTTGATGCTCCCTGCTCAATTTGTCTGCTCAAAGGCCCACCAAGGGACATAACCCTGTAGAAGAGGAGAATTGCAACGCGAGAGCAGCTGTATGAATCCAAAGCAATTTTCATTTGACACCTTTTGCTCTGTGTGTGAAGATGAAGATACGTCATTCCGTAGTCCACTATCATAACTGTTTCCTCCGTCCGTACCGGATCTAATATGGGCATTTTGGTGATTTCGTCATCCAGACATCCCGGATAAACCTTGATCATATCTTGTGGACTTGTGATCATGACACCATTCGGACTCACTCCGGCTGCCTCAGCTGCATCGTTTACAAGCATTCGAATGCGGAGATCGAAAAAGTCTGGGACGAGTACTATGCGAACACTCGCAATTTCGATTTCTGTGTTCTCTCTCGAGATATCCTTGAGGTGTTTAAATGCTTTCACAAAACCTCTCTTGATATACTCTTCAGAAGGAAGTTCGGGCTCGGTCTCAGATTGCGGAGAATATTGAAAATGAGTCAAGATCATAGACACGGTGTTGTAAAATGATTCTCGCACCATCTCGCATTGACGCAAGACCTTCCTGGCCTTTCTAGAACCAGAGATCTCGACCAACGCTGTGACTGTTCCTGACACAAAACTTCTCATTGTTGAGATAGCGTTGATCACTGGTGAGATAATGGGAAGATCCCAACGGTCATATTTCTCTCTTTTGCGCTTGTCCTGAATCCAAAACGCCTGACGGAGTAGCTCTGTGGAATTTTTATACTCCAACAAAGCTTCATTCAAGTTCCCTTGCAGTGGTACTGCTGCTATGGTGCTTATATTGTTTAGGGAATATGCATATGCTGCTATTCTGTGTGCGGAGGAGCATTATGTCAGTTTGTTTCCACCAGAAACTCATGAAGAAGCTATAGGAGACACAAACATGGAGTCCAGGCCAAGATGAATGGCGATAGGCTGCACATGTGGGCAAGGCAAATCGTCATTGAACGCATGCAATGGTCTGCACAGAATCGACACAAGAAATACATGCCGAAAGATGGACATAAGACGCATTTTTCTCTGTATCCCAAAGGATACTCAGTGCCGTTGTTAACTTGAGTGCTTTGGGGATCTTTCGGGTTCCAAGTTTTCAGGGTCTCAATGAGGCTTGATTAGCGCCGAGCCTCACCGGGGTCCAGCCCTTCTCGGACTGGGCCCAATAGTGGAGCCAGGGAAGTCAGCAGTGTACATAGTAGTAGTAAGAGCCAACACTAAGTTAGCTATACTATTGACAGACAATAGGTATAGAGATACTTATAAAGTATTTTGATAGGTCAGGAAAACGGGTAATCATTACTTTCAGGGCTTTTTAAAGCATGCTTTTCTCCTTTTTGATCAGACTTGGCAGTTTGGGACAAATCATCTTGAAAGTGTCTGAGAATTGCCAAATCTGGGATGCATTTTGCAGACGGTTTGGGGATTTCAACTTTTTTGAAGTGAATATCGGCTTGACATTTCATGGTGTAAGTCTTTACCCGACATTCGTAATGATGTGTGATGTGGGGAAGAAACCCATACACAGTACCATCGGGATGTGGGGTTGAATGTAGTCCCCGGATAGATGCCCGCATATCGAGCTCTCTCGACATACTACCACTTGGGCAACTACTACCTTTAAGAAATATCTACTTCCCCGTGAATTTCCCCGGGAAGTATTTCTAATTTAAAGCTCGACACACCCTCGGCACCTGTCACAACAGATTCTACCAAACACCCTATCGAAACATTTGAATTAAACATACAGCTCCGTCCCCACCCCGCAATCCTGGATTCTACAGCAGCAAGGCGCCTTCTCCAGCTCCAACAAACCCTTAAAATGTCGACTCAGACATTATCTGGAAAGGTGGCCATCGTCACAGGGTCAAGCTCGGGCATTGGCGCCGCCATTGTTCGTGAGCTATCCTCCCGTGGAGCAAGCACAGTGGTCAATTACCCTTTTGCCGGGGAGAAAGAAAATGCCGAGAAAGTGACAGCATCTCTCTCAGCCCCCACCATTGCTGTGGAAGCCGATATGTCACAAATTGCATCGCCTCAAAAACTGGTAGATGCGGCAATGGCTAAATGGAACCGCATTGACATCCTCGTCAACTGTGTCGCATTGGCTGTGAATAAGCCCTTGGAAGAACAGACCCTTGACGACTGGGATCTCCTAGTCAACATTAACGGACGCGGCACCTTCCTCTTGACTCAAGCTGTTCTACCCCATATCACTAAGGGCAGCGGGCGGATTGTGAACATTGCTAGTATCTCGGCCCGGGGCCCGCCACCAAATCAAACAATCTATGCTGGAACTAAGGGCATGGTTGATTCGTTTACAAAGTGTTGGTAAGTGGCAATCCGGACCCAGCTCTTTTATGTATATAATTATAGTGTGTTAACTTCGATTCCAGGGCTAAGGAGCTTCCTCCGAAATATGGGTGTACTGTGAATTCTGTCAGCCCTGGTCCAACCATGACAGAAGGCTTTGCTGCTGCTGGAGAGGAACAGATGAAGATCCTTCAGCCGATCATTGACCAGACTCCCGTCGGACCCCGGATGGGACAGCCCGATGAGATCGCTTATGCTGTTGCGTTTCTTTGCGAGGAACGGGCGCGCTGGGTCAATGGAACACACCTCATTGCTTCAGGAGGGTTATTCATTGATTAAGCCAGAAATATTTATACGTTAGGATTACATATCTCAATATACAGCGTTCAATTTTTGGTGTTTCGATCTGTGTCCGTGCGGGATCATGACTGTAGGTATTTACTTCATTGATAGTGCCGTGAACACACCGGATGATCAGGCTTCCCCGAAGGCTTTATCGCCCCTAGGGCCCTAGGGCCATGTACCCGATCCACGTTAAAGGCCCAAGGCCTACCTAGGGCTTGCTTGTAAGTCGGGAAGCCTTGCTAATTTATCAACGGGACACGTTGCAATACGTGGCACTTTATTGAGGCGGGGCTGTTGCATTGCCATGACGTGGGTACGCCTAACATCGGAAGTTGTTATCACCGATGAAGCTTCCCCAGATCGCGTATGCGTAGCTGCTAGGTTGGATAATTGGAAAAAGCTCTCCACAGTTAGCAGTATAAGCGCAAATATAAACAGTGCAGCCTTGCGCTATGCGGCATGCATAGCCGAATATTCCCCCTGGTCGGTTATGTAGGTGGCCGTGACAGCTAACTAACGAAAAGAATACCTTAATGATCAGTCTCCACTGCCCGCAGCGGCACTGCCCGGATAAACCAAGCCCCACGATATGTGTATCCAGGCAGAATAATAAACCAGGGTCAAAAGGGTCCCTTGGAGGTTGAGGCGGAGTGTCTCGGATTCGCCCCAGATCTTTGCGCGGTAGATTAGTTTCCTGCAGGGCGGAGCTCTGGTGGAGGCGGCAAAACCGACGAAACAAAAGCCCAAAGTGCAGACTGTGGCGTGTAAGGTGTGGCGCATAGGAGAAATTTCACCAATGATTTCCTAAGTGAGTTTAGACTGGTGGAAGGGGCTCAGCCAGTACGCGGTGCAGTGGACATGGAGATGTGGGTCATTCCAGGAACGGGAGGTTCGGATTGTCGCTTTCGTTCCAAGTCGGGCTGTGCAGGTGTAGAAATACGCAAACACGCCGATGAACTCCCTTGGCTGCGCCTCGGCGAGTAAAACCCATGGGTGAAAGGTTATGGAAAGAAAATAAATACTCGGCTTTTTTCCACTATACATTTTTTCTCTCTCAAGTTCATCATCAAATCTAGACCTTTTACCTTCTTCAGTGGCAAACCTTGAAATCGCCTCAATCTTTCCCCCTTTATCAACACTCTTATCCGCCCACCGCTTTTCTCTCCCACTTAAACATCCCACCACTCTACACCGCAAAAAAAAAGAAGAACAAGAACAAGATGGCGCAATCAGTATCACTTCCAGTATGCTCTCTGGAGCCTGCTTTTGATGCGACTCACTCCTCCCTATCTCGACCTTCTCTATCTATCGACATGAACAGTCTCCCCGCGCTTTCCCAGCCATCGCCTCCCTCAAACACACTTTTGATCACAGACCTTAACGATCTCATCCTCTTCCAACCCTCCTCTCTCGATGAAATCCGCAACAAGATCCTCGAAGTGGCCGCTCTCTACTCTTTCTCCCCTCTCCCATCCTTCCGCAGAATCGTCTGCTCCTTCTACTCCGACAAAGATGCCATCACCGTCCGCAAGATGCTAGAAGGCAACAACCTGCTCCGCCACACCACCCCCCGGATCTACTTTGGCGAGCCGACCCCCATCCTCAGCGAGGAAGAGATGCAGCGCACAAGACTCCTCTCCGCCCCGCAAAGCGATAAGCTGTTCTTCATCTCCCCACCCCCGAGCCCCCCGCACGGATGGATGATGCGCAACGAGGACCCCCCAAACAAAGAAGTACACGCCCACGATCTCGCCTATGCGCTGGCCATGCTTAAGACCGATCAGCCGGACCCAGAGCCCATGAGCGTTGACCCGGCTACCCCCGTTTCTATCTCTTCCGACCAGAGGACGCCCAGCTGGCCGCTTGCGGCATCGCAGCAGCGCAGTCGCAGCAGCACTATTATCTACAATCCTGAGGATCATGGTCATAGCCCGAACTTGCCGGCTGTCATGGTTGAGGATGTTAGCTTGGCGGCTGATGAGGATATCGATATGGATGATGTTATGTCGCTGCAGAAGATGCCGCCTAAGACTTCCCGCCCGCCGGTTGAACTGATGGGGTAATGGGCTTGAGAAAATTGTTTCTGCGTTCTTTTAGTTATTAGCGGGGATTCTTCATGCATATAGATCATACTGATGATGCTATCGTCTGGCGTTGGGGTATGGATTCTGCATTGCATGGGTTCGGGATATTGGGTATCAACATGTGTGTGCATTTTTACTTGAGATTTCTATATAATACAGCTGCATATCATTTCCAATCTGCACATAAGCAACCTTTGTAATATGTAAATATTTCTTGTAGAACGAGTTCTACCTACTTAATACTAGTATCAAGATTGATATTAGGTCAAAATCCAGAAAGAGTCATTCAACGTCTTGAGGCATCCCGAGGAGGTTATTAGTCCGTAGATGAGACGAAAAGGGCCCAGCGCAAACATCCATACTAGTTCCTCTTTCCGAGCCTGTTTGAAAGAACATTGAAGTACATATCCGGCAATTCATTAAGGAGAGCAGTTTTCAGTCCGAGCTAATCTTCCATCGTTTGGTACATTATAAATACGCTAAAAACATTCACTGTGTTGGACACCCCGGCGGTGGTACATCGTCTGTCTCGTTCTCAGCATCCCGATCCCCCCCATTATCCCCTTCCCCTTCCTGTTGTTGTTGCTGCTGCTGTTGTCGTCGTCGTGCCTCCATATTATTTCTAAATCGCTGCCCGAGCTGAGCAAAATCTATCTCCTGCCCGGGCGGATAATTTAACATTTCCCCCACAACACTCGCCTCGCGATCTGCACCTTGCTGGCGCAAATAAATTTGGAAGTCCTGAAGCATAGCTTGGCGGATTCTCTGATGGGTAGCAGGATCTAGCTCTGGGCCCGAGTGAGGAGTGAAGCCTCGCGCTTGTTCTGGTTCTGATACTGGCTGCGGCGTTTCCGTCGAGGCAGTTGTCGATAAAGGCGTATCTGCACCTGCAGATCCGGATGATGAAGATGTACTCATTCCCATCTTGCGCTTTGCATACTCTATCACCTCTCGTAGGCCAATCCAGCGCGCTGCATTCTGTTTTCTCCATGTGTAGACCTGGAGTGGGGTAGTTGGTCCGACATATACCTGGTTCGGGTGGTCGATTGCCAGGGGCCAGAGGTCTTCTAGTAGTGCCGACTGGGATCTGATAATACCAAAGAGATCACCCCAGATGAGACTTCCTAGAATCCGCATCTGGCCGGTATAGCCAGGAGATTCGTCGGGTCGTTCGATGCCCTCTTCTGGGTCGAAGTCTGGGTCAATGGCAAGGACGAAACCTTTGAAGTCACCGGCCAGAACTAGGGTTGTCGCGGCTCGGTAGGAGTTGGTGGTATAGGAATCGAATGAGGCGGAATCCACAGCAAGGAAGACGTTCTCTTGTATGCGTAGACCTTCATTCTCAGAACTGTCCTCATTTTCCTTGTTGAAGTGGCTAATAGAGTCAAATCATTAGCTAAGTTCTTGTAGGCGCAGAATAGAAACAAAACTAACCGTTTGGCGGCTTCGATATCGCCTTCTGCAATACCATGCTCCTTTCCGTCAACCCATACCAGCTTCAAATGAGGCTTGAGCATATGACAGCCCGTCTGTCCATCTCCCAAGTCGGAAGCATGCGCCTCAAACTTCTGGACAAAATCCGTCCATTGAGCCTCCGACTGCCCATAGGTTAACCGATAGATTGTCAACCCAAACTCAGTCTTTTTATCACCCTTAGAATTCTCCACACCCGAAAGAGCCGAACTCATCCAAGGCTCCCTTGGCAAAGGCCCAGGCGCCCCCCTCATCTCCTCCCTAACCTCTTCCTGAGCCTGAACCTGCTGCATACCCGACTGTCGAAATCCCTCCCCAGAGGTCTGCCCCCGCCCATTCCCATCATCATTCCACGGCATCATACTATCGAACATGATCTGATGACTCCGCGCCTTCACCTTCGCCGCATACGCCTGCCCTCGCCGTTGAGCGTCCCCAGTATGCAGATCACCCGACTTCGCAGCCCGCTCCGGATAAAGCGCCGCATACCCCTTATACCCACCCATAGGAATCATAACCAAGTAATCGGCCTTAACCGCCGTCTCCAGCAGCACATGCAAATGATCCGTAAACCTCCACTGCAGCCGATCCGGCCCGCCCACCGAAAGCACGGTTTGGTGATCCCGTAAACCCTGCAACTGCGGTGCCCGGAGCGCCTCAATATGTCTGCTAACCCACCCATGCGCGCGCTGCGCCATGACCTCAAAATGAACGGACATATACATCGTCCATAATTTCGCGATGCTCACACGCTGGAACTGGCCATTGGCCAGCCTGCGCGCGTTGAGCACCGTATCTGCGCTTGCCCAGTGGTCGTAGATGTAGTTGAAGGTGTCGCGGAGGTACCCGCGGACGATTGGTGTATTTAGGTACTCGAAGACGGCGACCACGGCTGTCAGGTGGTGGATTGCATATTCGAAGTTGCTTGGGTCGTCGAGGCGCTTTTCTTTCCAGCGTTGATCGCTGAGCGGGACTATGCCCTCCCACAGACGGGATTTCAGGGAATGGATGTTCTTGCCGACCAGGCAGAGGCGGCCATTGTCTTCTTCGGAGCCAATGCGGGATGCGACGCGGTGGGCGATGGATTCCCCGCTTGAGCCGGGTGGGAAGTTTGCTTCCAGGATGGGGTATTCGTCGACTGAGAGGCGGACTACGGATGCGTCGGGTTGAGTGCCATCTGGGAGTGGGTTGCCGAGGGCGAAACTTAGAAAGTTGGCTATCGTTTGGGGCTCTAGAATGCGATCAACTGGATTGTCGGGTTGTGCTGGTTAGCTGGGCTTTTTTTTTATGTTATAGGACCGATAGAGGGGCATGCGAACCGATTGCTAGGTCTTCCTGGGCTTTGCAGTGGGCTGCTGTTACCGCGCTGCCACCATACTCAAGATGTGAATACATCTTGGATATATTATTTGTTTGATATTCAAGGAACACTCGTTTACGAGACAGAGAAAAGGGGCGGGGGCCATGATTTTAAAAGCCATGGGGGCAATCGTATGTGCTGGAGCCTCATAAGAGTGAGAGTCTTGATTGGTGATGTTTTGGCCATTGCGGGAATTATAATTAAACTAATGATCTTGGATTTCCAACGCTAGATTGATCTAGGGCCTGGAAGACCCTGATCAGGGTCCGTTGTGATCCACTCGTGGTTTAGCGGCGGTTTAGCGGTGGTTCGGTGCCTGAACCCCCCCCGCACAGTGACATTTCCGATTGGATAACCCAGCCTCGGCTCAAGGCAGCAATTGGTGTTTGCCTAATAACTTTAGTAAACAGCATGGCTGCATGCTAGTTAGTTAGTAGGTAGTAGTTCTTGCATTTCCAAGTTGCTATCTACTCAATCATTCCTTATCCAATCTCCGAACGGCCCACCACCTTGACCCATTGCGTGTCCATTTGGAAGATAGTTTTATATGCTCTCAGTACGGATTTGGGGTGGCTCAAAAGCAAGAGCCACATCTCCCAGCGCCCAGAAAGCCTTGGTATTTTCAACAATGTTGATATTCATGATATCTGATTCGTGGGTGTCTTCATGATTGGCAACATTCAATCCTTGGAGTGATTCTCGAAGCTTCGAAATGATGAAATCCCGATTTTGTCGAAACACCTGGGGCGTAATGCCAACACTCTGCAGGTCTTTGCGTAATTCCCTCCATTCATTTCTCTCATCCGGGGCAAGTGAGCAATCAGGAAAAACCGATCCATCAGGTTGGCTGGACTGGAGCTTTTTTACAAAATTGTCCAATAAACGCTCAACATTTGCTTGTGAAGACCTGTTTGGACTGTTTAACAAATATACTTCCCATGTGTAATTTCTTGACAGCATACCTAGTCAACTCCGTAGCTAGGAGGGTTAACGTCCGAATGAATGTTGTGAGTCTTGGTCCGTTGCAATCAGTCCTGAGAAGAGAATCCGTTTATCTTGGGTCTGACTAGATCATATCACGATTAGAGCGGCTAATATCTTCCGCAGCTGCCCTACCTTTCAGGCCAGTTGACAGAAACATGATTGGCTGACAAAGCGACCCGTCATGTGTGTAAGTTTATTGTTATTTTCCCCACTGACCAGAGTCTTGACATCTCCAGGGCTGAAGAGTATCTTCTTGAAATTCTAATGGAATTCAGGCTGGCTTTCGATAGTGTCATGTAGAATGGAGCACGAATTCCTTGGAAACACAGATTTCTGGGAAACTGGGACCTGATCGTATCCACTGGCTCGGGATTGCGGTCGATCAACTCCGGGGATTATAAATGACGACATTGATTAGAAACCTCGCGAACTTCGGCCAATTATTAGAAATTCATGAGCATCGCAAGTAGTGAATGCTAACATTTAAATGTTATTTAAATAAGACATTGATGTCTATAAACCACTACTATTCTCACTAACTATCTTGTCGTTCACAGCTTGCAAGGCTAACCTCGATGTCCAAAACCATTCTGATCGCCGGCGCCACCGGCAAACAAGGCGGCAGCCTCATTGATGCACTCCTCCAGCAAAATACAGACGTGGAGATCCTAGCTGTCACTCGCGATGCCAATTCCAAAGGAGCCCAGAAGCTCATGAGCAAGTCATCAAAAATTCATCTGATCGAAGGCAACCTCGACCACCCCGAAGGAATCTTTGCAGATGCCCAGGAAATTGCCTCGCAGCCAATCTGGGGTGTTTACAGTGTACAGGTACAGCCAAGCAAGATATCCAATGACCTGCAGAATGCACAAACTAATGCACGTGGGGCGGAACGTACTAGGTGCCGGTCCCAGGCTCATCGGACCAAGAAGCCGAAGAGCGGCAAGGCAAAGCGCTGATCGACACATCACTAAAGCACAACGTCAAATTGTTTGTCTATTCATCCGTCGATCGAGGCGGTGACGCTTCATACGACACCCCTACCCCGGTTCCCCATTTCATAAGCAAGCATCGCATCGAGCATCATCTGGTGGAGCAAACAAAGGGTACGGAGATGGCCTGGACGATCTTGCGACCCGTCGCTTTCCTTGAAAACTTCACTCCCGATTTCTTCGGCAAGGTCTTTGCTACGTCATGGAGAGATGTGGTTCAGGAAAAGCCATTACAAGTCATTTCTGTAGGAGATATTGGGTTCTTTGCGGCTCAAGCTTTCCTGAATCCAGAGGAATGGACGGGCAAATCACTTTCACTGGCTGGAGACGACATCACCTTTGAGGATATGGCTAAGATATACAAGGCGAAGACTGGTCGGGATGTGCCCCTGACCTTCAGTTTTGTTTGTTCAACATTGTGGTGGATGATGAAGGATTTCGGGTACATGTTTCAGTGGTTCTATGACTCGGGCTACGGGGCCGATATCTCCACTTTGAAGGAGATACACCCCGGCTTGAAGGACTTTGAGACATGGCTGGAGACTGAGAGTGGACTCGTGTCCAGATGAGCCTATCGTCACATGTACATTTATCTGTAAAAAATTTATACTAGAATGACTGAGTAATGGAATGGAATTCTGCGACTATACGGCACTCCAGTACTTCCTAACGTACCGTGCCTGTCTCGGTCAAAAGACAAATCGTAACAATCCAACATCAATTGACATCTGGAGCATCATGATATCCATTGAAGCATACCATTGAAATGAACATGCCACGCATCCAGATGTCCACAATAATCCCATCTCACCTTCGGAATCAATCCTATCTACTCCGTACCTGAGAGTCACAGCTGACGAGGCCTTTATGTAATTCAATGGAGTAATTGGAGCAATCTACTGCATCATCTCCATTCAGATAAGAAAAATCGACCAGTTGAGACACACGGAGTACAGTCACAACCTTTGCCCTCATACACGCGCATTAGCTTGCGCGATTTTCAATATGGAAGGTGGCTTTCGGAAAAAGTCTTGGCGGATGACTTGCAGGAAAATTAAAGCCCATGAAAAAAAAGCCCATCGACGGCCCTGTTCAGCCCCTGTTCAGGGGCTCATGGACGCGACGGGCGATAATTGGTTGCAGATCAGTGACCCCAACCGGGCCGGGCGCCCGATGGCTTGGAGCGATATCGGTGCCCTTCCCGGTGCTGGGCACTGGCCATTTATAGGACCGTTCGCCCTTGAGATTTGGAGGCGTGGCCTGTTGGAACTTGGATTCTCTGTGAATTGCATCAGTGGGAGCACTTGGGTCTTTTTGTGCCCGAGATCAACGGGGGCCCGCCCGATGGATCTTTAGTGAAATGGGGGCGTTGATGGCTTTGAATCATGAGGTCACGGCCGGCCTCTTTCCGTGCTATCTCTGGGTATCTTCAAAGTTAGCGATTGGGCAAGGGCTGTCATTCATGCTGTGGCTAACTTTTACCACGCCCGAGCTGAGTGGACTAATTTATCAAATGGGATGTTGGATATACCGGTACCTAAGAGGCGTTGGTAGAACTGGCAGTTTTCTCCTTTAGGAAGGGTATTACGCTTATATAAGTCGGAGGAGGGTTCAACATTGGAAGGGTTTGATGATAAGACTAAACTCTTTCTGATCATATCGACCGCAAAGGGGAAAGTATCCAAACATTGAATCTTGGATGAGGCGCATGAGGCTACGGAGTAGTATCTCTCCCATGGGCCATTTCTGTCATTTCTCCCATCTTGAACAGTTTTTCCCACCAAAGTTCTCATGTCGGACCAGTCCCACTGGATACCGTATAAGGTGAAACCTACACCACGTACATTAGGTTAAGTAGCCGTTGTTTTGCGGGATTTAGAGGGAACGACGTAATTTGGGCTTTTCCCCGCACTCAAAAAAGTGGGTTTCTTTACGTATTAAGGAGCGGTCCATTTGCGGGGAGACGAAAGTAGAGATCTGCCAAAGTGGAAAAAGTGGAAATCTGGGGTTGCGTTTCTGCGGTACAGATGGTACGGATGATACGTTACAGAAATTGAAAACGTTGCAATTGAAGAGATCGAGAGATATAAAGATGTACAATTGGAAAGAAAATAAAAAAAATTAAAAAACACAAGCTTATCCGATGTCGAAAATCCCATAGATAAAAAGCAGGACTTTCTATCTCTTATCTCTCCAGTGGAGACGTTTCACAGATCTAGATGCGATCACCCCCTGGAGCCATAGATAACGCGTGAGTCGTGACAGCTGGTATTCCAATATGGTATGGTAACCTCGTACCTTGAAACCGGTATTGATCCAAAGACTTAAATATTGCCTTGCTTCCCCATGTAACCCTTTCTTCCCCCATTCAAACCTTTTCCCTTTCATGTCTCACGTATCAATTTTACTATCACAATGTCAATGATCGACAAAAAAGTAGAGGAGGGCGCTTTGTCGCCATCTCATTCCAATGTCGGAGAGGTTACCGATGCCTATGCCCACGATGCCGTGTTTGGAGAGATCACAGAAGATGGTCCGAATTATCGCAATGTACGCATTTCCTTCCTCGAATATCCTACTTCCCCTCCACTCAAGTGCTTGCTAACCTTTCATATCTACAGGTCGGATGGCTCGGAACAGCTGTTCTGATGATGAAGACCCAGATCGGTCTGGGTGTTCTTTCGATTCCAGTTGCTTTTGATGCCCTCGGTATCGTACCCGGTGTAATAGTCCTGTGCGCAATCGCTGGTATCACAACGTGGTCAGACTACATCATTGGTGTCTTTAAAATGCGCCATCGTGAAGTTTACGGAATCGACGACGTGGGCGAGTTGTTATTCGGCAAGCCGGGAAGAATCATTCTCGGAACCGCCTTCGTTCTCTGTAAGTTATTGATTTGATTTCCCCCCCAAGATTTGCCTTCAATACCGTACAGCATTTCTGACCTTGCATAGGGTGGATGTTCACTGCGGGCTCTGGAATGCTGGGCATCTCCATTGGCTTGAATGCCGTGTCCGATCACGCCACTTGCACCGCCGTTTATGTCGCCGTTGCCTTTGTGGTGGCATTCATCCTAGGTAGCATCCAGACGCTAGGACGTATCTCATGGATTGCATGGGTTGGCTTGACCTGCATTCTTACCTCGAGTGAGTTTCCATTCTCGGCCCCATTTTAGACCTCGGGCCCCAATCTAATAACCACCACCCCTCTATAGTTCTCATTGTTACCATTGCCGTTGGTCTGCAAGATCGTCCAGCCTCAGCACCCAAGGATGGCGTCTGGGTCTCTGACTACAAGATCATCACCGACGCTTCCTTCTCCACTGCAATCTCAGCTGTAACAACAATCGTATTCGCGTACGCTGGTACACCGGCATTCTTCTCTATCGCATCGGAGATGCGCAATCCCCGTCATTATAATCGATCCCTTATCCTCTGCCAGTCCGTCGTCACTTGCTTTTACATTATAGTCGGCGTGGTAATCTACTACTTCTGCGGATCTTATGTGTCCTCGCCTGCCTTGGGCTCTGCTGGACCGGTCGTGAAGAAAGTCAGCTATGGATTCGCCCTTCCCGGCTTAATAGCCAGTACTCTGCTTTTCGTCCATGTAAGATCGATCCCATTCCCCTCCCCTTTTGCGCCAAACACCCAAGCCCCCAAAGGCCAATCTCAATCCAACCTTGTAATATGTATCCTGATACTAACAACTTACCCAGATCACTGGCAAATACCTCTTTGTTCGAATCCTCCAAGGCTCCCGTCACCTAGTCGCAAACACCATGGTTCACTGGTCCGTCTGGCTCGCATGCACCTTCGGCGTCTCCCTCATCGCCTACATCATCGCAAGCGCCATCCCCGTATTCAGCGACCTCGTCTCTCTCGTAGGTGCCTTGCTCGGTACCCCCATGTGCTTCCAACCCATGGCCGGCATGTGGCTCTACGACAACTGGAGCCGACCCAACCGGGGATGGAAGTGGACCGCGATGGTCTGCTGGTGCGGATTTGTGATCGTCGCTGGAACCTTCCTTATGATTGCCGGCACATACGGATCGGTGATTAGCATCATCGACGACTACAAGGCTTCTGGTGGGTCGGCGGCCTGGTCTTGCGCCGACAACTCTTCATCCTAAATGGGATTTTATGTATACTATGTGTGTTTCTCTAGCGTGGGACCTCAGGGCTGATGATGGCCTATGTTTTTTAACGAACTTGATGGATATTGCTCAGGAATCTTACTATACCACTGCTGCTTTGCAATGATTTTAAATGTCCCATCGCTAAATCTTTTTTGCCTTTATGATTTGGCCAGTCTTCGTGTCTTTGGGATCTTCAGATGGCTTCGATGAGATATGCCCTTGCTATAATACTAAATCAAGAACACTCAAGTTTTCAACTACTATGGTTTTTACATGAGACTGGATTGTTGAATTAGGCAAAAGTAGACATCTGAGTAAGATATCCGTACCCTAAGCAGGATAAATCTCCTCTTTATTTCTTTATTTCTTCATTTCTCCAGTCGAAATAGAGTTATTTCCCCGCATCAGCTTCAGCCTTCTTCAGCCACTTTGCAATTATTACCTAAGTACTAAGCTCATAGACCACAAGTCTAACTCCTTAATAGTTATGGGGTAAAGAGATATGACTTCTTATGTAGGGACCAAGTTTTGACTTGTAGTGTTCACCTCGAATATCGAAGTATAGTCCTGTAAAGTTTGTTTGTTGAACTTTTCGCTGCTAAATTCTCATCTGCACAGCTCTACCTAGTTGGTTTTGGAGACAATACCCAAGCGAGCCTAATCATCCTTGGCTTCTTCGTGGAATCAGTGATATTACAGTACAGTCATACTCTTGGCACCGGCTCATTGCAATGCCTCGGAGTTTAAGTCGATGTAACGTGAGCGTGAAACAAGGAAATTAGCCTGGAAATTCAATACTTGGAAATGTATGCACATGTGTAGTATGGATGGAAGTATGACATTGAAATCGTAAAATAGTCTAGTGCAGGCGGGGACCAGTAAAAGTGTCTACTACTTACTACATATTACTACATATCGCCTAGGTGGAGCGTGCAACGTGCATTGCCTAGGCGTTCATGCGCTACCCACGCCCACTTCGATGTGCCACGTTCATGCGGTGCCACACCATGTAAATTTCGGGACTGGACGAGGCTTAGCGATCTTCTCATAAGCTTCCATAAACCGCAATAAAGTGCTTTCCTCGCCCGCCCTCGCCACCAGGCAGAGCCCGAATGGCCGGCCATTATAACGAAGTTGCCCTACTGGAACCGTGGCGACAGGGTACCCTAGCACTATTCATTAGAAACGGTCCATGGGTGGTCAAACGTACACTAAGCAAAGTTTTACCTGCAGCCGAAGCATGGACGCATAACGAGGAGTCCCCCGGAGCTGCTAGGACATTAATTTTCTCTCTTTCAAAGCAGGCGTCCAGAATATCTCTTGCGGCCTTGCGAAGATCATTTTTCAGTTGGTCTATATGTGTCTTGCTCTCGTTGGCGTTCATTGCCCCTTCCAGGTCATTTTGCTCCACGAATGCTGCAACGTGAAATATCAGTAACTCTTCGCTGTGATACTGTAGGATCATATCCTCGATGTCAAGCTGTCAACGTACGAGCTGGAAGGGCTATGTCGCTGGATTCTTTGTTAAACCTGACGATATCCGCAACGCTTGTCACAGCGCACTCGTCAAAAGAACCAATGAATTCAGGAATGCAGACATTCTTGAAGTCCCAATCTGGTACCAAATGGTTAGTTACCCCTTTCTCAAGCAACTCCAACTCCAACCGATACTGCGACCGCGACAACCTACATGCAATCGGCAATATGGACTTCGGCAGAACCGAGGCATCCTCGCAATGAACCGGGTACCCAAGGGCACAGCCTCCGCTTCGCAGTGCCGCAACCGTCTCTTCATACTCGTCCACCTAGAACCCAACACACCATAAGAGCTCCGGCCATTTTCAAAAGTATCCAAAGAACTGGAGATAAGAGCAACTGACCATCTGCTCCGCCGTCCCCTCCATCTGCGCACAAAGCTGCAGCGACATATTCCATACCCTCGGATCCAGAAACCCCACCGAAAGCCCATCCCAGGACCCCAATTCCATGCCCGGGCTCCTCAACGACCGACCGAGTAATATCTCAGCAAGAACACGCACATCACCTGCCGATTTCGCCATCGGCCCCGGACTATCGAAGAACTCCGTCATGCAATATAGCCCCGTGGTATCCTGCACCCCGGCCGTAGGCTTAAGCGCATACAGCCCCGCGCGTGTTGACGGCGTCACGATCGAGCCCACGGTCTCGGTAGCCATGGCAAGCGGGCTAAAGCCCGCTGCAACGGCGACTGCAGAACCGGTCGATGAGCCGCCGGGCGCCTGCTCGGGTAAAATCCAATTCAATCAGCACGTATAATCAAAGAATCGCCGGCATGGCTCTTGAGTTGTCACTGTACGCACGGAGTGGCCAAGGATCTTCTCGTTCTCCTCTATCTGCCCAACATACGGCGACAGGGTCTGGCCGCCATGCGCAGACCAGCCGGGCATCATCATGGTCATTTTCATGCCGGCGAATTCCTGGGATTGAGCGAGCGACGGTTAGTTACTTAGTTATTTCTGCAGAGTGAGGCTCAGGTGGTATCTAGCGTTCGTTGCTTCGCTCACTGACAGTCATGTTAGCTTTGCCCAGGATTATCAAGCCCGCGTCAATCAGGCGCTGGACAATAGCGCCGTTCTGTGAGGCTTTCGCGCCGAGGAACGCGTATGATCCGGCTGTAGTGCTCATGCCCAGCTCTGAGGCCGTAACGAAGCTATCTTTCAAAACGATCGGGAGGCCATGGAATGGGCTTCGGATCTGCCCTTTCTGGCGCTCTTCGTCTCTGGTCTTTGCGAGGCTGAGGACCTTGGCTCGTGGAGCGGCTGAGATTAGTGCATTGAGTGTAGGCTCGTAGCGGTCGATTTGTGCTAGGTATTGTTGGACGATTTCGGTGCTGGTGGTCTTTTTCTCATTGAGTAGATGCTGCAGGTCAACTGCGTTGGTCGTCAGAACGTTGAAGGACATTTTGATACCGAAGCTTGGAGTTGGGGCGAGGGGTAGGATGGAGTTTCGTAAATTGTACTAGTCCTTTAGTATGTTGATGAAGTTTATTTCAGGCTCCAGGGCTTTAGCGTAGTGCTAGCGCGTCTGATGTTTGTCTGATTACTAGTAAACAATTTGAATATGAATCTTTCTGCCTGGTCTCCTGATCTACAGTATAGGCCTGAGCTGCTAACTTGCTGCACATACGCGCGGTGTGATGATTTCAAGTCATTCATAAACACGTGCAGGCAGCAGGAGCACTGGGGTGCAGAGGGAGCATAGTATCATCGGTAGTATTTAGGGAAAGTCTCCCTCAGACACCTAAAATAGCTTTTATGTATCGCAAATCACGATGTAAGATAATTGGATATCTGGAAAAATGCTGAGATGTCTTGTACGAAAACAACTTGAACGCAGCCAAGTAGTTAAGAGACAGATGGGTTCTCATTAGTAAGTATTCTCATATGGCAAGGGTAGTGCTTGATGATAGCACTTGACGATTCAAGCTTTGAAGCTTGCCAAAAGATATCCTTCATTCATTGCTCACGAGTCACCTCCCACATGCCTTTACGCCCCCATCCTAGCCCCCAGTCCAGGCCCAACTAATCCAATGAGCTGGAGGGGTAACCAATGTAACCGGTATACTGATTGGGCTCGGAGATATCATTTAAGGTCAATGAGGAAATAAGGCGAGCAAAAAGCACGGGGTATTGTTTTATATTAAACTGAAACTCCAAATGACGCCCCCCAACCGCCTAATATGTAAAAAGCTAAGTAATAAAGTTTTGTTTCTGCTCATGCAGTCTACTCTGACCCCTCCTCCTACTCCCCCTCACACCCCCACCAATCTAGTATCCGTAGGCGCTCTGTCCATACGGCGTGGCACCGTATGGAGTCTGTGCACTGGCTCCCCAGGTACTGCCAGCACCGTTGCCATACGAAGTCATGTTTCCATCGATACCCTCCGGGGGCTCGTAACCATCCGCGTCACCACCTCCCATCATGTCGGTGTCGTCGTGACCTCCGACGTGACCATCCTCAGTTTCACCCTGTAGCACAGAGACGGTGGTAGCCAGCTTACGCTGCAAGCAGATGATTCCTTGCTGAACGATAGCGTCTGGTGCAAGATTTCCGATGCTCTCCACGTCAAAGTAGAAGGTGTTTGGCTCGGCATCGTAGTCAAAGGGCTGGTCGGGGTTGGCAGCGGTCTCCCAGGCGGCATTTGCAGAGATGGGCCTGAAGAATGCGAGGTCAGCAAAAAAAAAGTTTCATCTCACATGGAGGATTCACAACAGATACACGTACCACTCCTTAGCAGGATCCTGCTCATACCAGTAATCGACGTGGCGCAAGTTATTGTGGGGATCATATTCGAAGCCGACAGCGGAAGTGGGCGCCCATTTGGCGTGCTCCTTTCCCGTTCCTTTCTTGGCGAGACAAGTCATTTTAATCTCCTGACCTTTGCGAAGCTTGACAATCACCGAACCCTTTCCTTCGGGGTCAGTGATAACGGGGTTTCCAATTGTGTCATTCACACGTTCGCCCTGGACCATGAGATCGCGCGCATAGACTGACATAATGCCATTTGAACACTTCGCGTGGAGAGACAAGGTGACACTGCACCGGACACAGTGGTCCTCGCAGTCGCAGTCACGCGTGTATTCAAGGTCTTGGTCGCAGTTCGTCGAAACGAGGGGAATCATGCCGAGGCGGTGAGCAAGCATTTCATCGGGAAGAACGGAGGTGTTGGCTTCGATTTCGACGAGGTCGAGCGCGACGGTTGGCACTTCGGCGAGCATGACACGGCGGAGGGAGTTAGCAAGCGCGAGGTCAACTGAGCTCAGTCTGAAGTCAACACGGTTGGCTTCCACCTAGAAAGCGAAGGATTAGTCCGCTGTTTGGGTTATCTGCTGAATTGAACAGAACCCACTTCACGAACGGTGACCTGAGGGCCCGTGGGCTCCTCCATGTCGGCCATATCGTACTCCATTGTGTATTGCAGCAGCGTTGATCGCCGCCACTTGGTTTCGAGGCTGAGATGGTATTCGAAAGTCGTTATCAGATAGGTGGGGATGCAAAAAGAATTGAGAGATCAGGAGGGGAAGCGGGGAGAGTTGAAAGTTGGAGATATTTAAGAAGGTCGTGAGGTTGGGTGAATTTCATTGGTGAAGATCGCGGATTTGATCTCTCAGAGCACCATTTGGCGCTTTCCCTAATTGGGAACCGCCCTGAGTGAAGTTGAAATTCACGTTTTCTATTCAAGTGACAGGAGGCGCAAGTGAAATTGAAAGAATGATAATGTGAGTACATGGAAAATACTAGTAGTTTTTAGATATTACTATATTCACTTTTTTTTTGTATTGATGAGTGGAGGGTGTGGTTATTGGCATTTAGATGTTAGCCATCCTCTAGACTAGAGTGTATACAGGAATTCAAGTCATTTAGGACGAGACCCTTTATTTTTCCGATATTGAAAATAGAAGAAAATCAGATTTCCATGCACCTGAGCACTAAAAAAAACAAAGAAAAGAACCCTTCAAGTCCTTCACCTGCTTCTGGTCGTCTATTAGGTGGCAAAAGAAAGCAGCAAACAAAACCGAGGACGGATACTCCGGGGGAAACGAAGTGATCAGGGGCAAAAACACCCTGGCCACGTAGGCAGCATATGCGATGCAAAGTTGAGAATAGGAAAGGGTAGAGTAAGAAAATCAAAAGCAACGACAAGCCGCCGGTCTCTCTCTTTTTTTTTTCTGGGTCGTGTCGAGTCATCATTGGAACAGAGCAAATCACGGTGCACACGAGTGTCCATGTATGAGGGGTAGGGGGGAAGGTGTAGTATTTGCACAATATGTACGAGCGGTCATGAACTACCGCTGTAAGGAGCTGCGGTTTAGAGCTTCCAACAACTCAGGTCGATTGGCCAACGCAGTTGCAGCCTGGGCATAGGTAACCCATTTGCGTTGGCGCTTATGCCTCTCAGGCCAGTCGGCCTCTTCTCTTTCAACCGTGACTTCGAAGAATTGGTAGGAAGCCTTGGGCGCATTGGAAGTTAGGAGGGTGTTTGGTCGCATGTCGGGGATTAGTCCCAGATCCCGCTGCACGGTACAGATGACACCGGCTTCTTCCCAGGCCTCACGACAGGCAGCCTGTGATGCCGTTGACTCATCGGTTTCCCAGCCGCCCTTGGGGAGGACCCAACCACCGGGGCCTTGGGACTGAATCATGAGGACTCTGGACTTGTCATTTGAGAGGGGGACGACACCAGCGACGAGGCGTTCGCCTTTAGAACCGTAGCCTGTGACGCAATGGGATGTCAGCAATCGGAACCCGTTGCCAAGAAAAAAAAAAAGAAAAGATGGGGCGAAATTTGCCCCATGCGGTATGTGGACTAGGGAAGGTACTCACGTTGGTTCTTTCGCCCCGTACGGGCTTCCATAGAACGATTTTGAGCCATTGTAATGCGCAACAATTTCCCGATCCGGTGAACCGAGGATGGAGTGGTTTTTTTTTTCGTTCTTGGTGATGCCGGTGAAGGAACAGCAAAAAAAGAGTGAAATGGACCAAGGAGACACGTAGATGGAGGAGAGAAGGAATTCGGTCCAGGGGGGGCGAGGGGAAATGCTTGGATTGCAAGCTTCAAGCTCCCGCGGAGCCTGGGAGGTCGTCGGGGGAGCGAATTCAAGAGAAGCTTTCCCAATCGTTGAGGCGGGCCGGCGTACAACGGTCCTGAGGGCGGTCGGGGAAGGAAATTTTTATTTTATTTTTTCCCCAAAAAAATGCGGGGGAGAAAGTGAGAGCAGAGTAAAAGAATTAAGTCTTCCCATTCATTCCCGTAGGCGACGGGACCCAAGATAAAGGAGTACAAAGAGGCATGGTCGTTAGAAAAGGGTCTTGAGAGAAATGGGGGGGGGAGAGTTAGAATTAGAAGGGCAAATGAATGGTGAGTGGGCAATGGAGGGGCAGAGGAACCGGCGGCGCAATCCGGAAACTGCTCCTGGACTGACTAATTAGTTACGGTACGACCATTTTACAATTGATTTTCTGTTCAATTGCATTGCCTTTACTAGGTGGATTTGATATCAAATGTTTTCTTTTTTTTTTCTTTGCTTTGGTGGCTTTCTTTTTTCTTTTTTTCTACGTTGCTTTTTTTTTTGTATACTAGCACGTCATGTGATCTGGGGTTCTACTATAGTATAGGCCAACACACTTTTGAATATGACCTCATAAGACTAATAGAACTAGAAGATAGACATGGAAGATATTTCCTGGTTTTGCTTTCACTCCTGGAATCAGGAACCTGAAGAAAAAAAAAAAGCGAAATGCATCAAGAAGCCCTGGGGCTTCATACTTCTCGGGTACCAGACCCTAAACTCCGGTACCGAGTACCAGGCAATTCGGAGCGATTCAATACATCCCCGCCGATCTGGTAACCGGGCACGTTTAACGATCTGAGACTTTAGAAAATCTCATTCGTAACATAAATGAAGTAATTGGATACGTCGCTTTCAATAGATACAAAAATAAGAAATAAACATTTTTAACCTAGAATACCTTCCACTTTGCAGAACATAAGGAGTCAATCACCCACCGCCAAAAATCATCTCTTTGACAACTTCCATTTCCCCTCCCCCTTTCATTCTCTCCTAAGCCTAAGACAACCCACGCATCCTACAGTCCTTTTGCCACGATCCACTTGGGTTTGTTTGCCTGCAGCTTGCATCTTAGATATTTCTTGCTTCCGCCGGGACCGCCAACCAACCCGAAAGCCTAGAAGGACTCTGTACCAAAATGGAGCCCGTTGACGCCGAACGCGCGCGACAGCTGTCGCTCTTTCGGCCCTTAGGTACGTCCCACTTTGCCCCTGGAACGAACCACTGAGGTAGGCCATTGTTACCCCGTGGCGCTTCCACTGGCCCTAAGGACTACGGGTTCGGGGGGAGGCAACATTGGCAGAGGGGCTGTCAATCCCCCTCCATCACACACGTCAAAAAAAATCTACTAATCAGGTAATGACCAGGCTATCAACGAAACTCTTGTGGCTACTGTAAATCAAGTGATGGAAGTAGGTCATTCTCTATTTCTTTTTTTTTTCTTTTAATTAATTTGAATTTCCTGTTTATCCACCACGGCCTGAGTCCTGACACGTCATGTTCCAGGCGCATCATATTACACCAGCTCTGTAGCCGTGCGGCCTGAGCACTATGGGGAACTTATTGATCGAGGATGGAGACGGTATGTCATGGAGATAGCCTTCGGCCCCCTTTTTTATTCATTGCAATGACTCACGATCTCCTAGATCGGGAACCCTTTACTACAAACAGAACCTCCAGCGATCCTGTTGTCCTCACTACACCTTGAGACTGGAAGCATCTGATTTCCGCCCCCGCCGTGATCAGCGCAAGGCGATCAACCGTTGGAACAAATTCATCTTGGGGCCAGAGTATATGCGCAAGATCGCCAATCTGTGCCCCCGTTCTCGAGAGTATGTTTTTGTTTTGTTTTGCTTTTACCTTTTTCTTTTCTTTCCTTTCCTTTCCTCTCTGGTTGGTGCGCATAAAGCATCCTAGCTGATGATCCATACAGGGAGAAGAAACATCGCAAGTGTAACTTTGATTTGCTCTCCGCGGTCCACGAGGCCGAATACAGCAACTTAAAGCGGCCCATTGACCCTGCCACAAAACGGGCGCTAGAGCCCGCCCATCGTTTTGAGGTCAACATCGAGGGCGACTCGGTTTCTCAGGCAAAATTCGATCTGTTCCTCAAGTACCAGACGACGGTCCATCGTGAAGATGTCTCTCGCTGGAAAACGAAAGATTTCAAGAACTTCCTGTGTGCGGGAATCAAACGATCGCCTGCTACCGTCACCAAAAGTAATGAATCGGAAAAGAAACTCGGCTCGTGGCATCAGTGTTATCGCTTGGATGGAAAGTTGATTGCCGTTGCGGTGCTGGACCTTGTTCCGAGCGGCGTGAGCTCAGTCTATGTCTTGTGAGTGATGTTGAACCTTCTCGGCACGGAATGCACTGACCCTCAGTAGCTATGACCCCGAATACGAGCAGTGGGAATTTGGAAAACTGAGCGCTCTGCGGGAAATCGCCTTTTCAATCGAGCATAACTACCCCTACTATTACATGGGTTAGTTCAGTTCCTATAAATATTTTGGTTGCTATTTCTGACAGTGACATCAGGGTACTATATCCACACTTGCCAGAAGATGCGATACAAGGGAAATTATCGCCCACAGTATATTCTTGGTAAGCAATGGATTAATTTGAATGAGGGAACCGACTGGCCGCAATTGCCAGATGACCTATTGCAGTTACTAATATCACTCTTGAGCAGATCCGGAGTCCTACGCTTGGGATCCATTGGACGGTGAACTGACCGAAAAGCTGGACAAGCGTCCTTATGTTTCTCTTTCGCGAGACCGGTCCACCGATACCATCGACGACGCAAAGTCTACCCCTTCGACGGATCCCGACGTCAGCGAAGAAGACCTTTCCCTTTTCGCTCTAAATATGCCAGGCGTCCTCACTCTGGCCGAAACAAAAGCGCTGAAGCTGGAAAACTGGTATCTCCTATACCATGGGACATTTGTGCAGATGAGTGTAAGTCTCGGGCCCCCAACTTGCATTCTACTCGTTATGGTAGAATCGATTCCCTGACTTCTTTTAGGACCTTGTCGGCTGGGAGGACATGCCCATGGATAGCCCCCAATCGCTGAGGGGGATCATCTCCGAATTGGCAGCGGCTCTGGGCCCGTCCATCGTAAAAAACAGCGCAGTGGTGCTATTCGACTAACCCAAAGTCAACCATCAGAGCCGAGGCATGAATTTACCACGCTCAATCACGAGAAATCGCCACGGCCGAAGATCGATCTACTATAGTTGATTATTTTCAACAAAATCTAGAGGCAAAAGTCTCGACCACCGGCGGTAGCTTATAGATCAGCGAGCCTCAGCGCTGAAAGTAAGTCAAGAAATAGAAGAATGAGGAAATCCCTATAAAAAGAAAATCAGGACCAGGGCGACGCAACCTCGGAAGTTGGAACTATTCCTTCCAACCCCAAGCGTGGAGCAAGGATCCCAGCACATGAAACTGGATTTTTCGTATAATTCGTCTGCAGAAACCGCGCTCCCAAACGCTCGATCCCACAGACCATGTAGACGCAGTCGTATTTACCCACTTCCGATCTCATGTATATGTTTTTAGCTCATTTTAGCGCCGATGATTCGTCACAGGCCTAGTGCAGATCCTCAGCCCCCAATCAGAATCCCAATCCGGATCTTGCCGACTCAGGAAGTGGCTCTTTCCAGAAAAATCTAATATTAGGACCAAAAAGGGCAAGGAGCTAACCCCATTCCTGCTCCATTCAAAATGGCTGGTCGTCGAATCAAGAGCTGCGGTCAAAAGAACCAAACCCCCTTCCCAAACGGGAAGGGTTTCAGCAAGCGCCCTGGCTTTTGGGAACGCTACTAAATATTAGTACGTAGAAATCCAAGGCAAGTCTCAACGTTTTCTTTCAAATTAAAATAAAAAGACTTCTCGCTATCCTCGTTATTCTATTTTATCCACTGCTATTTTCCAACATTTGGTTCATCAGCAGAAAAATACCCCACGTTAACATTTGGATCTATCAATCACACCCGGGATTCCCGACAAACCTGGAAAATGTTTGTAGCTGCAGCTTTGCGAATGGTATGTATTATTTACCTACAAAGACGGGTATACCCAGGTATACTTCGGGTTCGATATCGCGGATTTTCAGCACACATTTTACTGGACTGGATGGCTACTAACAACTGCATAGTTCAACCGAGGCAGGCCCGATGACAGGCCTCAGGTCCTTGTCGCTTTCGAATACGAACAATATAACGATGTTGAATTCGACGATGAAACGGACGGTTTAATTAGCGGAGGACCAGGCGAACGCCAACGGAAAGTCCGATATCCGATCGGAAGATCCAGGTCGGAAAGTGGGAATCGGAAGTTTTTCAGACGCCAAAGCTATATTCGAGTTGAGGAGTAGAATTTGCTCATGTTGGGTCGTCTTGACTCTCAAGTGCTTGGAGTAAGGATACTCTCCCAGATGGTGATCATGATGATTTGGAATTTCAATGTTTAATGGCTAATGTTGAGTTTTCTAGATGCAGGAAAGATTCCTGGTTTGTCTGCAGGTCAGGTGATGCTAGGGTTGCATTGGATTTTGGATTATGCATCTGGAGTACATAACTAGTAGTATGGGCATTGATTCTTACAGTCCGACTGGTCGGATTGTTGGGATTTTGAGGGCGATTTATGAATTATGATCATGCAATGCGATTTTGTTTATTTTTTTTTATTTTTTCTCCCTCTCTTTACTGTCAGTTATTTTTTTTTCTTACTTGTGTACACTCGTAGTACTTATGAAATATACAAATGTACAAAGGTAACAAACATCTTTTAGGTGCATTAGTCCAGCTGCTCGGGGGATCATGTAGGCAGCCTTCTTAGGGCCTCGTACTTTTCTTTCCCCATTTTCCAAGCCAATCAAGAGTCAGACAATCAAAAGATAGAAGGCCAGTTATTAAAGATTGGTCATCTGACCGGCCTAGATGGCTGCTAGGGAGTGAATTTGTACGTTTTATGGAGTTGGACTTATGGCTTGGACCAATAAAACGGGATGATATTCAATCCCGGGATTGGGGCTAATGCGAACACCAACGTAATGATTCTGCAGCCCCCATCGAAATAGGCCACTGTCCCGTGTATGTGCGGGGGCTTGGATTCTTCAAGACCTGCAAGACCTGCAAGTCCTGCATAATTCTGATTTGACAGGCACAGTAGCGCCGGATTGGCGGGTCAGACTTTTGTTTCTGTACCGAGTCATGGCGGAACGGCTGGAATGAGCATCCGAGGCCACAACCCGCGAAAAAAAAACGGGATTCTGGGGCCACAATGCTCAATGCCAGCCCCCCGAGGAAATGTTCTTCGAAAATTCCAGAGGGAACTGCTAGTCAATCCTTATCTCTCAACGTCTTTTATAGCTAATCAGCTTTGCGGGAAACCCTGGACAAAGCTAGGAAAAAGTATCCGTCGCGTCATATGGTGGCGGTGTCTCCACTTTGCGCATCTGCCATGTGTACAAGGGCTCGGATCGGCCTGAATAAAAGGGCCCGTACGCTCCACAGCCCCTCATCAAAACAACTTGAGAACTTACTCTACGACTTTCCCCTGACACCTTTTTCTTCTGCAATTCTTCTCCACTGTCGCAGCCATGCATTCAGATACTATTGATATCGTACGTCGGACAGCCGCGAGCGCTCCCGTATAGGGGGAAAAGCCTTTGGAACTGACTTTCAACCGATAGGATCCGGATTTCTATACGATGGAAAAGGCGTATGGGGAGGATGATTGGAAATCGTGAGTGGGCCTCTTCTAGAAAAACCATAACCTTCTTTGATCTGACCACCGTCACCGGGGAAAAAGTGATACCACATCCCTTGCCTCCGAAGTTGCCAGGGGTCGCGTTTCTAATGGTCGAAGGTATGTCTAATCTATTAAACCTATCATATATCGCCCCTGGACGGGTCATCATCCTCAACCTATACAGTTATCTTCCAACATGACCTTACTAACACCACAACCAGATATCAGTCGTTGAAGTCTGAAGACTACTGGTCACCATCCGATGAACTGCAATTTGAAGCCTATGAGACCGGGTATCTTTTATCTCCTTGATTTCCAAATTTGGGCCATTTTGCTGATGGAACATGATCGCAGACATATTATATTCCTTTTGCTCGATTATCATAGGAACAACCCGCTTCACCGAGCCCTGGTTAAGCCTAAACATGTTCTTGATGTCGGGACCGGAAAGGGAAGCTGGGCAATGTAAGCTCCATTACCTCTTATCTCACGAGAATCTTGATTAACGTTATTTCAGCGATATGGCCGACATGTACCCCGATGGTAAGCCCTCATCTCATCTCATGTTGCGGATCTGATTCCTTGGATCCGTCACTAATCCCATATCAGCGACCGTTCGTGGCGTAGATCTCTACCCACCCCCTGATACTTGGATCCCCCCAAATTGCGTCTTCGAGGTGGACGACCTACTTCAACCATGGACATGGACCGATAAGTTTGATCTCATTTATCTGCGCCATATGCTAGGGTCATTTGACTGGGACGGATGGGCTACACTGTATAACAACTGCTACGAGTAAGTTCAAGTTCAAGTTGCAACTTCCTCCTGCCGCCCCCTCACTTCTCAGCTCAACCGGTCTGGCTGATACCACTTTCTTTCTTCCTTCCTTTTAGAAACCTCGAACCGGGCGGCTGGATCGAACAATTCGAGTTCAACATTCAAGTCTTCAGCGACGATAAATCCTTACCGCAGGATACCATTCTCAGCCAATGGGCGGATATCTGGCACCCTGTTAGCGAACGAGCCGGGCGTCCCTTCCAGGTCCAAGATAAGATGCGATCCAGCTTGGAGAGGGCTGGCTTTGTTGAAATCCAGGAGAAGGTTTACAAAGTTCCCGTTGGACCGTGGGCGAGAGATCCGGTCCTCAAGGAGCTCGGTCTTCTTCACAACCAGCATTGGGCCACTGGATTGGAGGGTTATTGTATGTGGCTACTTACCACGTTTGGACTACCTACTCCCTGGTCACCAGAAGAGGTACAAGTATTCTTGGCCAAAACGCGGTCAGAATTAAAGAATCCTGCCTTCCATGGCTATCAATATGGGTGAGTTTTCTTCTCTATGAACCAGGACTAAAACGTCGTTTGTTGTTTGTTTTTGTTGGTGGCTGATTTTATTTCCGTGCTTAGACGACGAATCTGGGCTAGGAAGCCCAGAGAGGATGAGATAAAGAAGCAAGTACTTGACACACCGATCAAACGGGAGCCGTCGCCGTAGAATTGAAGACTTGATGAGGAACGGCTTGGTGGATGGTGGTTTTCTCCGCTGCAGGTCATCGTCGGAGGAAGAATGTGTTGGACAATTTTCCTGAAATTATTTCTGCGTGCACATTTAGTATGTATACGCTATACTCGTATGTAATATTTTGCAATTGTTTTCTAGTATGTACTTTCACCATGGATATATGCAAATCTTGACCGGTTCTTGGAAAACATTGAACAGCAATGTGTGTGATATTCTGACTAGCAAGACTTTCCACCCCTATGCTAACATTTGAATACAAATTGTAAAACCAGGTAGCTATTGATAAGAGGCGTAGAAGAGTTCAGGTATTAAGAGAAGAATCCGGGAAAGAAAAATTTGAAAAAGAAGAAAGCAAAAGGAAAAGAGATGTGAAATCGGTTGGTCACGCGGTCCATTTCAGACACTTGAAGCAATTGTAGGCTTCAAATGTTGCGGGAATGGAATATCTTAGAGAATGGACTGCGCTTTGAGCCCGCCTTCTTGCCGGATCTGGAACTTTCAGCATCCAGCTCTCTGGCCTCAACTTTGATGCAAGCTTCTTTTGCATCGCTTTCTTTTGTGTCACTTTCCTTATCTTGAACCTTTTTATCTTCGACTTTGGGCTTAACCTTGAACTGGACTGTAAAGTAAGCCAGTAACATCAACCCCAGAAACCCTGGTTCGTCACTCTTAAGCATGCGCGTGAAGGATTCCTCCATAGACTTCCTGCACTCGTCGGTGATCTCACCTCCTCTAGCGACATCACAACAAGCACAATAAGACGTGCAATGACCAACGCCAAAGTTTCTCTCTGAGGAAAATTGACGCTTTTCGCAGCACCCACATTCCCGACTACAACATCCACCCTTCTTAACGCAGTAATTGACCAGCTCCGATCTAAGATACCAGCTTGGATCCTTTGTGACTGAACGATACCTGGTTCTGATACTGTGAGGGAAAGCCCATTCCGCCTCGTAAAGTGTTTGTTGGAGAATGGGTAATTTTTCTTGTATCTTTAGGAGCTCTCTTTGCCTCTCGGTGGTAGGAACAGGACTGGGTTCGCTCGATCCCTCTTCTGAGGCTCGAATAGAATGCTTGATATACTCCTCGCGTTGGACGGATGTACGGAGAGCTGTTTCGGCTTCGATTAAAGCAACGTACAACTTTGCATTTTTCAGGAGCATACCACTTTTCTTATCACCTTCATGTCTGAAGCCGATCCAGGGTTCTTTAACGTATGAGTAGTCCTTGTCATACCAAACCTCGCTGGCCATATTGTCGACTTGTTGGCAGTAGTGTTTTATTGGAAGATGATGATGCCGAAAACAACCGCGTATGAACTGGAAGGAAAGGTTTTTGAAGTTGTGATGATAATAATGGAAGATTTAATCATGCAGTAAGAGTCTTTCATCTATGGTACGTAGAACCGCACCGTAATAGGAAACATTTGAACATTATGTATATTTATTCCACGGGTACTCGAAGCATATGTAACATTTGAACCGGTGTCTTCCTCTGTCCTGTACTTTTCCTTTTCAAGATCGGTTCCAAAACTTTGAAGCAGCGTTCCACCTTTTTATACCTGGCTCTCGTCATAATGCTACTTCATAATGCTACTTCGTACCGAACATATCACGTCAACTGGTGGGTACATGTGCAACTAAATAATCTTGGAAAGAATAAGAAAAATATTACTACTAGTATTTTGACATTGTCAGTTCGGGGTCTTTGGATAAGTAACCTGAGTACTATGATTACCAGTATCGCGACAGAACTCGAAACATGATTAGATGACCTCGGCTCTCTCTACTCGGTGATTCGCATTAGGATTTTTCATCCCATTTCTTTTCGCGTGTTGCCTAACACTTTGCACCCTAGCTCTCAAGGCGTGGACTTCGCTTTTTTCGCTACCAGTCTTTACATGTAGGGCTTATACTTGATTTTTGAGGGATTCTTACCATCAGCTTTGACATGCCAGGTCAAACTTAGTATGCCATTCAGCTAGTATAACACCATCAGGATGGATAATCATAGGGTGGCCCAAAAGCGCACGTGTCGCAGCAAATCCCACCCAAATGCATGAACACGTACAATAGAGGGCAGGCTCACCAGGGGTAGATCACGTACTTCAAATATTGCACACGTAGTCTGATAACACAAGATCAGGGTTGATAGGGTGGCCTCAAAGCGCGCGTATCACAGCAAATTCTGCCTAAATACATACTAAACACATACAATAAAGGGCAGGCTCACTAGGGATGGATCACGTACTTCAAATATTATACACGTAGTTCAATATCATAAGATCAGGGTGGATAGGGTGGCCTAAAAGCGCGTGTATCACAGTAAATACCACCTACATGTATACTAAACACGTACAATAAAGGGCAGGCTCACTAGGGATAGATCACGTACTTCAAATATTACACACGTAGTTCAATATCACGAGATCGGGGTGGATAGGGTGGCCTAAAAGCGCGCGTATCACAGTAAATACCACCTACATGTATACTAAACACGTACAATAAAGGGCAGGCTCACTAGGGATAGATCACGTACTTCAAATATTACACACGTAGTTCAATATCACGAGATCAGGGTTGATAGGGTGGCCTCAAAGCGCGCGTATCACAGTAAATACCACCTACATATATACTAAACACGTACAATAAAGGGCAGGCTCACTAGGGATGGATCACGTACTTCAAATATTACACACGTAGTTCAATATCACGAGATCGGGGTGGATAGGGTGGCCTTAAAGCGCGCGTATTATAGCAAATTCCACCTAAATACATACTAAACACGTACTTCAAATTTTGCATACGTAGTACAAGACCGGGGTGGATAGGGTGGTCTTAAAGCGCGCGTATCATAGTAAATTCCACCCAAATGCATGAACACATATAATAAAGGGCAGGCTTACCAGGGATCATATACTTCACGTATTATATGCCTAGTAAGTTCCTCTTAGTATTCCTCTTTCTTTATTCTCTTTCTTTATTCTCTTTTCAGTGCTAGTTGCCTTATTAAATAGACTCTTTCTTCTTGAGTCAACTCATAATGTATGTTAACCAGTTAGTTCATATGTATAAAACTGTTTAAATCTTTCCTATTATTGCGTACAGTCAAGTCCTCAAGTTCCCGAAATATCAAGTTTTCTTTCTTTTTTTTTTTTTTTTTGGTGGCGTTCGTATTCCAAGACATATCGGGTACGAAGGGCAACGCTGGCTTTCTTCAAGTGCCCTTTAAATTGCCCCTTTTTCCTTCCGGATGTCTTGCCCCAAGTCATTTTCCATCAATCATTTCTTTGTAACCAACTAGTTAGTTATGACTTGGCATGCTGAGCACATAAACCCAGTAGGGGTCTCGGGTTTCAGGGTCCAGACTTCAGGGTCTTGTGGCTCCTTGAATAAGTGGGACCTCGTCCCATTAGCTTTAAAAGCTTAGAATCTTCAAAAATTGCCGGGGACTTCCGATTTCCACACAAAACGATCCTGCAGAAGTCGAGCATTATGCAGCTTTTGTGATTCCTGGATATCAAAGGGTCGGCGGTTAATGTCAACCTCAATTTCCTTAGAAGCAAGGCCACCAATTGCATCCACATTTTAGCTAATTTAACCACACATCAAACTTCATTTATTCCACGTGGGTCTTGAGGCTCAAAATCCCCCTGAAAAAGCTCATCTAAATTCCAATGGCCACGGCTCCATATTCCAGATCGGGACTAAGCATGTTGAAAAAACCTCGCTTGTGCCTGAACTTGCGAACTCTAACATGTCTGCTCTGTGTATTTATAGCCTGCCGTCTACCCCGGGTCTGGTAGGTATATTTTCGCCTCTCATTTCTTACTATTGGGAATATTGAATAAATCCCCCTCAACTGTCTTTACTACCCTTTTCAAACTCTCCAAAAAATGGCCTCCGCCTCCATATTTCGCCTCTTGGCCCTGTCCGCTGCGCTGGGCCAGGCTACCGCCTCCTTCAGCCTCGACACCTCCGGCCCCAGCTGGGACTACACAACCAAGGACTTGGCCGACACTACGTCGCAGGCTTGCAAGGATGCCTACAGCGCCGATATCGACTGCGACAACACTCTCCTCGAGCTCGTGGCCTCCATGGACCCCGACTTCGACCCGCAATCCTCCGACTTGCAGGCCATGTGCACCTCAACATGCAGCGATTCCTTGACGGAGTATGTCAAGAATGTCAACGCTGCTTGCGACCAGTCTGGCGATCTAGCCGGGCTTGCGAGCGGGAATAAGTACATCTATCAGGCTTCTGTCGCTACCGTGGGCGAGGTCTTCCAGTATAAGTACGCCCAGGGCTGTGCTACGAGCGGGTGAGCTTTTCTTTTCTTTTCTGTTCTTTTTCGGTTTAGATTACGGTACCTGGTGGTTTGCTCAAGAGCCGGGATATATCATGCATCATGCATGGAGAATGGATGCTGGGTACATTTGCTGATCTTCTCGCAGTTCCGATTACTGTTTCTTGACTTACCCCGCCAGCGAGGACTGGGCTAGGACCGAGTTCCCATGCAGCGACGACTGCGCCATCAAGTTCTTCCAAAACGCTCACGAGCAGCCTGGCTCGGCGTATATCTTTGACTACTTTGCTCTGGGTAACCAGTCGTCTTACTGGGAGGATACGTTTGCCGGCGGTTGGGACACGGTGGTTAAGTGCGGCGACGGTGGAAGCGCCGTGAGCTCTGCTAGCTCCGCTAGTTCGAGCGCGGCTTCGACGAAGACGGAGAACGCTGAGACTACCCCTTCGGCTGGCTCCACTAGCACGGCAGTCGCTGGTGAGTCGACGACCGCAACGTCGACTGCGGCGACAACTGCCTCGCCGGTTCGGTCTACCTCTGGTGCTACTTCGGCGACAGCCTCCAGCCACGCTTCTAGGCTCAGAGCTCCTTTTTTCTTTCTTTAAATTCTCGGACGAACATGTTCGCTTCATATACTCTCACCTAATACATTTATGAAAGATTCGACTCTTTTCAAATTATCTTCTTTTTCGTTCTATTCAGAGACTCAGCCATTTCTTTACGAAAGCCCCTGCCGGCATACCTAGGGCAGTTCAAGATTCGAAGACCGAAGGAAACAAATATCTGGAAGTGGAATTAAACGGAGCTCAATTGCTTTCCTCGAACTTCGTTCACAACTATAATTGAATCATCCGTGCTGGAAGCCAATAAATCTCACATGTTACCAAAAGATACCATTCTTCCAAGCTTTCCTTTCACGCCATATTACCCTCCCTCTAGCTCATCCATTCATCAAAAGTTGAGAACGTCTCTCGTCGTTTCCCTCGTGAACTTCAAACATTGGGCCCTTCATCCTCGGGGAAGAAGCAAAGGGTATTTTGCAATGTCTTGAGCTTAGTGACCGCCGTGACCCTTCTGGGGCTTGTCATCGTGCTTGCGGTCCTCGGCACTCTCTACTTCGCGCTTAGGGTGGTCACCGTGGGGCTTGTCGTCGTGGTGAGGCTTGTCGTCGTGCTTGTGGTCCTCGGTAGTGGAGACCTCACGCTTGGGGTGATCTCCATGGGGCTTGTCGTCGTGGTGAGGCTTATCGTCGTGCTTGTGGTCCTCGGCACTCTCCACTTCGCGCTTGGGGTGATCCCCATGGGGCTTGTCATCGTGGTGAGGCTTATCGTCGTGCTTGTGGTCCTCAGTAGTGGAGACCTCACGCTTAGGGTGGTCACCGTGAGGCTTGTCATCGTGGTGAGGCTTATCGTCGTGCTTGTGGTCCTCAGTAGTGGAGACCTCACGCTTAGGGTGGTCACCATGGGGCTTATCATCGTGGTGAGGCTTGTCATCGTGCTTGTGGTCCTCGGTATTCTTTACTTCACGCTTGGGGTGGTCGCCGTGGGGCTTGTCATCATGACGAGGCTTGTCATCGTGCTTGTGGTCTTCGGAAGTAGTCACCTCACGCTTAGGGTGATCGCCGTGGGGCTTGTCATCGTGGTGAGGCTTATCATCGTGCTTGTGGTCATCAGCAGTGGAGACCTCACGCTTGGGGTGGTCGCCGTGGGGCTTGTCATCGTGATGAGGCTTATCATCGTGCTTGTGGTCCTCAGTAGCGGCCACCTCGCGCTTAGGGTGGTCATTGTGTGGGGACTGAGGAGGCGGGTGAGAGACCTTGGAATCGACCTCGCGCTTGGGACGACCTCCCTGTGGGTGTCCTCCGTCCTGTTGGTGAGGCTGAGTGGGACCAGGCTTTTCGATGCCGTTGGATGCTGTGGGCGTGTCAGTGACAGTTCTCCATGTCATCTGTATAGGGATCTTGAAAAGATTGGGGTCACTTACCAGGCTGGGCGATTGGCGCAGCGCCAACCATACCAGTGACCATCAAGGCCGAGAGGATGACAGAGAACTTCATCTTGCAAATGGAATCAGACAATGATTCTTGAAAGAGGCTTTGGTAGTGAGGATGCTGCTGCTGCTGTTGTTGTTGATGTTGCTGATGCTGGATATCTCTTCTTCCCGCTGGGCATTCAGCACCTTTTATAACTCGCGCACAACCTCGTCGACGCCATGGAGTATATCAAAAATGTCTCAGTCGTCGTCAGCTTCTATAATCGAAGCTCCAAATCTGCAAGCCAGGAAGCCATCGCACGCTAGCTGACGAACGCCCGCAGCTTTGCATGCTGCTGTCATTCCAACCTGTACGCCAAAGCTACTGGATAAATGACCTGGAAAATGTGATCCACCTATCCATCCCCAGCTATACAAAGTCAAATTCTAAGGAATCAGAATCACGCGATGATCGCCACCAGCCCTGGAATTGACTTTTGAGGGCGAGGGGCTTTTTTTTTCTTCTTTTCCTTTCGGCCCCTGATACCTATGAGGGTATATCCAATATTGCTCCAGGCCGCGTATGCTTATTCTTCCTAGGGTTGCGGAAAATTGTGGCGGGATCGTCGAGGGCTAGGATGCAAGGGGTGGGGGCATATGGCGTACATATGGATATCGAGTCGGGTTTTCAACACCGGCTTTGGCGGTCCGGTTTGCTGCATTGCAGCCCGGTAGTTGGTTTAGAGCTGTAATTTCCAGATGTCTGATTCTAATTGAGAGGTATCTCTTGTTTGACTCGGAGGTTTGTTTGTGACATTGCGGCTGACTACACTTTGGCTTTTTTTGTCTACTTGCTGTCTCATCAAGATAGTCTGATGCAAGGATATGTTGTTCTTTCCCCCGCTCGGAGATAATAGGGAATCAAGTCAAGGAGTTCAAAGTTAAAGAACGGATATAACTACCTAGAAAAGCGAAAGTGGCCGAAAAAAGAACATTCCAAGATTCTTTGGCGAGAATCTTTCTGGCTTTCTCCAGAGCTGGTCTGGGGATAACCCGCCCAATCACGACGGCCACAAGAAGCCGTGTCCATTCTATACGGAAGATATTTCTCGTATAGAACCTAGTATCCACGAGAACGACAGTCAGATTCTAAATTTCACTCATAGCCCAAGCCACGTAAGATCATCACTTGCAGCTCGTACCAATCCCATTTCGCCGAGAAGCTTGTTACGCCATTTGCCCCTGAAAGTCGACAACATAGCAAAAATGCAGAATAAGCCAACCGTGAACGTTGAGGGATAAACATCCGCGAAAAGGACGGGGAGTAAGCCTGGGGCAATCCGGGGGATCACCGGATGCTCAACGTTACATATTTCATATTTCACGGTTTCAACTGTCAGCGAAACCTTAGAGCCTTGGAAACATTTCGGACAATTAGAAAGTACCTAGCAATTGATCAAAAGGTAAAGGGCGAAAGGGAAAAAAAAGGCTTTTCCAATTGATTCCTTGATCCATTGCCATACCGTGTGACCATATCCAACTTTGGAATCATGTTGGTTTAGTTGCGTCTGGAATTTTGCCTCCTTGCGATCAAGACTGTCTGGGATGGTGCTTGGACACACCCACCTGGACATATGCGGATGAGATTTTGGCTAGCCGTTGGTTGAATCTTCATACAGAGACGCGATCTTGTTCGCATTCCATCTAGACGTGGGTTCAACAATCCGCACGTGTGAAGATTGGATATTGTTCCGGATGGAACGTTGAAGGGGTAGAATTTAGAACTTTGTGTGAGGGGGGGGCCAATGGGACTGATGTTCCATTGGAAAGCCAGGCAATGTGTAGTAGTATGTACTATGTAATGTTCAAATATTCATTAGGTCGATACTACTGGAGTAGTAGATAACTTCGACAATGGGCAGATGTTTACCTGCACCTTCTTGATTTGAGGGTTAAAAGTTGAAGGTCTAATCTGAACAGCTCAAATTTGGATTTAGTACGTATTTGGTGCATTCCTGATGCTAGCAAAGCCCTATCAAAAGACAACAAGAAGAAGAGAGGAAATAAGGAGAGGAAAAGAAATACAAAAAGCTTAAAGACAATATGTGCCACCATCCGTGTATCTATCCCTTTTGTCTTGCACACGCCTTCCGTCCTCCCGATTCGCCGTAAATATCGTGATTGCGCCGAAAGAGACAGATCAGCGGAGGCCAAGACCGGGAAAACGCCGTAGTTATCCGATTTCATCGTCGCTGCAGAGCACTGGCCATTAGGCGACTCCATAATAATCGACCCAGCGGAAAGGAAAGCCATAAACGCCGAAATACATGTGACAAGAACAAACAAAAATGACACCAGATCCATGCTGAGAACGATCCAAGCCCTTGTTCTGGGGAAAGGGCGAGAATGGAGAGGAAAGTTATTGGGGGGAGTGATAAGTCAGGTGCGTGCTCGAAAGGTAAAAATGGGGGGAGGAGTTTGTTTAGACGAATCTGATCTGAGCTGAGCTGAGCTGAGCTGAGCCGGGTTTGCTCGCTCACTCGCAGGCTGGCTATTGCCCATCAATACCAAGGTCATCCTGTCCATCTACCTCGCCAAACATGGATCGGGACGGCTTTCGGCCAGCGCCATACACCATCTCCATAAGCTTTGCTTTCTGTCGTTCACGGACAGACCGCAGGTAATCGTATGTCCCCTCCAAACCCCGAATCTGGCCTTCAATGACAGATTCAACGGGTCCAAGCATGCGACCTGCAGCACCGGAGCTAGCAGCACCGGCCGAACTGCCGTCCACGCCCATGAAGCTGACAGAGTCGTTGCGGCGCACGAGCGGACTCACCAGCTTCCGCCGCAGAGTCTCCAAGTTGACCTTTAATGTCAGCAGACGACCACGGTGGTCGACGAGGAGATGTTTATTTGCAACGGTTCGGCTGCGAACGTTGGCAAGGAGACGTTTGTTCTTTTCGTATTTGCGGACGGCGACTGCGTCCGGGCCGAGGACGCGGGTCCAGAGGGAACTAAGCATTTCGCCCTCGGCGCGCTCTTGGGCGTCGGACTCGCGCACCACGGTGCGTTGTAAGTTGAGGAATTGGCGGTCGATTGACTCGAAGAGGGCGAAGAGGGCGGTGGAGTGAGTAAGTTCGCTGTTGATGGACTCTTCTAATACGGATAGGAACTCGGTGAATGTGCGCGTGATGGTGGCGCGGGTGCGCTGGGCTGATGTTGGGCCTAGGACCGCCATAACGACGTGACCGAATGCGGTGGTTGTCGTTGTTGCTGAGACACTGCCGTCTGAGACCTCGCCGGTACGTTCCAAGGCACCGAGGCGGGATAACATGTTGTGAACGTTATCGAAGACAATTGTCGGTAGGGTGCTAGGCGGTTGGGCGGAAAGCGTTTCGAGTTCTCGTTTGGCCCAGTCCATTACAATCAGAATTGAGTCGATATCCGAGTCAACATTCGCAAAGAATCGAGTCAGCTCTAGGGAGAGCGACTTGAGGGAATCTGATAGTTCATCGAGCTGGCCCACGATGATAGGCGCGCTGGTCATGTTGGTCCCGCGCACCGACTCGCTCAGATCCCAGACGGCCACACCTGTCTCTTGCAGGGTACCTATTTGCTGAACTCCGTTTTCCGAATAGTAGATCAGCGGCTCAAATGATCGCGCAAATCCAGAAAGTTTCACCAAATCCGGGATGGCCTGTGGCAGACCCGGCAGGAACAAGGCACGCATGAATGCAATGGAAAGCAAGAAGACCACGATCGACAGCGTGGTATTGGATTTGGTGCTGGTAATGCGATCGAACTTGTTGCGCATGTAGCTGCAAAGGGCTGCAATGGGTTCACGATGCTGGACTTCAGCGCGCACTGCAAAACGGATATCTTCAAGACAATGCGCAAAGAACAAGTTAGTCTTTCCATGTCTGTAGATAAGATCATACAACCAAAAAGCATCTGACGCCGAGATCCAGGCAGTGCCTACAATTACTGAGATTCTCCGGTCCAAAGCCCGTCCCCTCCTCCTCGGCATGGGTATGCGCCGCTTTGGTCTGCGGTAGGCAGGGGCTTGGGGATCGTCCGGTCTGTGGGGTTCCTGCACCCACCGGGAGAGGCACGTTGGCTGCGGCCGTGAGATCAGCCGGATCAGTGTTATCATTTGACTTGCCCTTGCTCGGGTCCTCGAGCGCATCCTCATACTGTGGGCTCGCTTCACGCGACAGCGACGGCGATATGCTCAGGCCCATAGTTGGTCGCAGCTCTAGACGCTCATTTAAATTGCTTTTGCGCTGATAGGGTTGATGACGGTACCAGCCACTACTGCGGACATAGTCCTGTCGGCGCACGCCAGGCACGCCGGGTGGCGACCAGCGCTCGGTTGCGCCCGGTCCTTCCTCGACCTCATCGTCGGATTCCTCGGATCGAAAGCCCGAGTGCTGTGAGGGCATGCCGAACAGCGGAGAGCGGTGCGCATTGCTGTGATTCTCAAAGTCTTCGAGCGACGCATCCAACGACGGATGGTCGTCGAAGACATTGTCTAGCTCGTCCAACATGGCGGACGGCGTCCAAGGTGATAGGCGCTTCAAGTCGGGTTTCTGTCGCAAGGACGCAGCGCAAAGCGACGTCCTGCGATTTGTTGTTTACTAGGTGGGATTGCTGGGGGTAGAGAGGTTAGTAGAAGCGCCGGGATCAGATCTCATGCGCTGATACGGAGAGATTGGATCAGAGAGTAAGTTGGAAAAGGCCGAGAGGCAATCGACCCCGCGCGGCAAGCGAGTGCGATGCGACAGAATGCGATGCGGGACAGCGGTAGGTTATTGGAAACGGAAATGTATTGTAGCTGCGGAGAAGATGCAGTAGATATGAGTTAAAATATGAGACAGGATCACGATAAGATGGGAAACACCATGGGATAAAGGTGGTTCACTTCAGGGAAAGAAGAAATGCGCCTCGAAGAGCAATGCGGGAGTGAACTCCTCACCTTTGCAGGGGGAGGCTGGACCAATCCGAGTCAGGTGAAGGCCACAAGGTCGATCAATCGTATCATGATGTCTTGTCAAGTACCGAACAGGTACCAGTTGGCTGATACTCACATGTAAAAACAACCTGGGGAGTACTTGGACTTGTGCCTGACCGCCCATTGCCGCCCAATCGATTTCAGTTCAGAACTCTGAAACATCTCCACCAATACTGTACTGTACCATGACAGCAGGGATGAATTGTAACAAATGTATCATATCAGATCCATATGCGTCCATTCCTTTTTTGGTCCTTTTGGCCACCCCCTTTCTTGATTCAAGAGACTCTCTCCCCGAGTTCTTTCCCCAATATTGCAGATAGTACCTGCAGTACTAGCATGTAGTATATACTAAGCAAGTCACAGCTACAATGCACATGCACAGACGTGAGAAGAGATTTAAATCCAAATCTATTGCGGGTCAACCATGGTAAACTCAGATAAAATTACAAGCCCTATCCCTCGGATGTCCGGAAAATCAGCCCACGGCGCTAAAAAACCAATCACCAGACGTCTATGATTTCCAAGAGACGGGGTGTGAGAGAACGAAATGAAATGGCCGTAAGAATTAAGAAAAGAACGTCAAATCGTTTATGCGGTGGACTCCTTGAGGTAACTGTGACGTGCTTGTTAGTCTCGTGTTGCTCAAACAGATCGAACAGGGTATATAGGGGGCTAAAATGACGTACGTGATGAGGTCGTTGCGTTCCTTGCCCTTCTTCAGGCCACCGAAGGCCATCTTGGTACCGGGAATGAACTTCTTGGGGTTCTCGAGGTACTTGAACTATAGCGCGAGTGTGGTTAGTAAACAGAAATGGTCACAATAACGTCCCAAGAGTTAAGGTCAGACTCACCAGAGTGTCCTCGTTCCAGTGAACACCAGCCTGCTTGTTGGCATCGGTGTAGGAGTAGCCATCGACCTGGCCGGACTGGCGGCCGAAGAGACCGTGGAGCTTGGGGCCGACCTTGTTGGCACCCTCGGCCTCGACGCTGTGGCACTGAGCACAACGAGTCTGGAAAAGCTTGGCACCCTTGGCGGAGTCACCTGAAGACAAGGTATCGTTAGCCTAGGTCTTGTGCTTCGTGTCTTTGGAATAGTTTCCAGCGAGCCCCGGCGATTTCAGTCTCACACATGTACAGTACCGTCGACGTGCAGGGCACATTTTCCAGTCGACATAGCAATACCAAAACGCAACAAGGCATCTGGAATCGGAGGCAGGGTTTGTTGTGGTGCAGTAGCAGCTGTTGCTATGCAGATTGGGAAGTTTTGTTGTTGTCGAGTGAGAGTGTCATGGTAAAGAGGTGAGAGTTGACGGGGTCTCGCAATTGACAATGAAGCGAAGGCCGACGTGTTCTCGTGAAGGACAGGCGTCGCATGCTGGAATTGATATTCGCGAGCCGCTGTTCAATCACTCTCATCCTCTCCCTTTTCGTCCTCTCTCGCGCATAACTTTTTTCCCTTCCCTGATGCAACCGATTCCAGTGCTGGTAGGGATGGAAAGTCAGGGTAGTAGCTTACCGGGAGCGAAAGAAGCTTCCTTGCCCATTTTGAATGATTTTATGTGAAATTAAAGAAAGGGTTGGAAAAGAGGTGTAGCTGTACAAAAAAGAATTGTAAGAAAATCGGGAGAAACAAAAGCAAGATTTTCTTGCGATTTTGTACCTGGAGCCCGTCGGCTCCCGTGATCCGCGCATCCACCAATCAGCGTTTTGCTAATTCAGCGAGACGGGCGCAACCGGGATTGCTCTTCATCGTCTCGGTGAACTCACCACCCTCATCATTTGTCCCCATGGTCCAGTTCCCGGCTCAATGGCAATAACGAACTTCAGGTCTGGTTCAAATATGTCATGGGTTCTTTTGTTGCAATCATTCAACTCTTCTAGAACAAAGACACTGGCTGTGGCTAGAGAATTCCACCCGCCACCTATTTTACCACCATGATCTCATCCCTCATCATCCGCCCCAAAGCCGACCGTTATTTTTGGCTCTTTGAGGCTCTTCATAAAGCGAATTTATCCTAATACTTTGATCATTTACTCCCAGAGAAATTTTGACCTTACTTTCTAGATTATACATACATCCTTGTTGGGGGGAGGCTACATTACTCCTTTCCCTCCCTTGAAAGACTGGGGGATGGCCTTTCTCCCCGGTCCACTGGGGCTGCGAAATGCACCCGCTATTATTCGTCCAGACTCCACGGCACCGAATTTGACCCGGTCACTGTGGAGCTTTGAACAGACACAGGCGTGGGTAAAGTGGGACTGCAGTCGGTTAATCGATTGAGTCGCCCGGCACAACGGAATTCTTGTGGACCGGATACACGTCGAGTCTTGACCACAAGCAAAGCAATGTGGAGAGCCACCCACATCATAGTAACTTGGTACTTTGTACTCCGAGTCAGCATAGTTGCGAAACTTTCACAATACCGAGGCCTGAGACACAAGAAGCATATTAATGTACATGTGCATACAGTAGTACCATGCCCAGAAAATCAAATATGTAGGTCGTAGATCAAACGATTCTTCTTTCTCGGCACAATGTGACCGACCTGCAGGTCCCTCCGGCCCGAAGTGCTGGTACAATGCCTTCCTAACACAGTATTCCAGAAAATCCATAGAAAATATGATTATCATAGGCGGTTACTCACGTGACATGAAAATCTCCCGTTCGGGAAAAAAACACCCGCCAACTTCAACACCCCCGAAGCTATACGCAACCTAGCGCCTAGCTATACACGCCAAATAGCATAATCCATCTGGTGTGCGGCCTCACAATGCCGACTCCAATCCCCCACTTCCTCCTCCCCCGAGGCCTCCCCAGCGCCCGGACCCTCCGCACCCTCCAACACCAGCACCGGAGCCTAAACTCCAATTCCAGCCCCCGCAGCTTCTCCACCACCAGCGCGGTCTCTCGCATGAACAAGAAGCCCGAGACAAGGAAGAGTCGCATCCTCGAAAAGCCGGACAAGTTCCGTCCGCCATCGCACCCCCAGCGTCTGGTTACCCCGGTCGCGCGCACACCGGCCGGACAACCGGTCAACTATGGACCGAGTTTGACGGCCGCGGAGCGCGAGGCGCAGAACAAGAAGCAGTACCCGACTATGTTCCCGCCGGAGGGGACGGTTATGTTCAAGTTCTTGACGAGTCGGTGGATTCATGTCTGGATTGCGATGGTAAGTGGGTTGTTTGTTTGTCTTTGCTTTGGTTTTTATTGCTTGTCTTCCCGGAGCTATAGCTATCGAGCTTGTCTTCCTTGCCCCAATTGAAATCTGCTCCATGAGACAGATGTATTTCGGTGTATTCCAGCTGAACTAACCATGTAAATCGCAGAGCATCCTTACCACCCTCGCCACATTCACCTTCACCACAAACTTCAAAGCTACGTCTCCCTTCGCACATCTTCTTCCCTCCTGGTCGAGTCTTTTCACAAGCCCCTTCGACACCATTTCGCAAGCCCTGAGCATCTACCGCATGCACGTGCAGCACGAGTCTATGCGTGTGCGCGAGAAGCGCCACGCCCGGATCGAGGATGCTGAGAAGCGGAGACAGTACCGCATTGCGCATGGGCTTGAGGAGGCTGCTGAGGAGGAGAAGGAGGGGCAGCAGGCTGCTGTTGTTGATGATCAGAGTCCTATTGCTGTTGATGCTGCCCCTGCGCAGGGCGAGTACGTGGACTTCGAGGGAAACAAGAAGCCTGTTAAGAAGTGGCTTGGAATCTGGTAAGGCTTCTTCTTTTCTATGGCGTAGATTGGAAGGGGTTGGTTAAGGTCTGCTTATCATTCCATCATAATATTATGCTACTATAATATGGTTGCGATGGCCTAGTGGATTGGATGGATGCACTAGCATCAGTCGATGGCACAAATGTACACAATGTATACTAAACGTTTTTGTCTTATCTTTTTTTTCCCGCATGGAGCATGCGGAGAAGTTGAACTCCAATAGATCATGAATCATGAATCGCCTCTCATTATTTTGAAGTGGTATCTTGAATGTAACTTTCTAAACAAGAAAAAGATATCGGTGTACTAGTAAACATCCATGGATAAATTCAACCAACGTGGACACCCTCCAATCCAGAAAGCACTTCCTCACCGACACCACCCTTCTTCAGCACAGTCTTGACCATGCCCGCAATAACACTGCGCTTGATACCACCCCTTCTGGGCCGCCACACACCAGGAATCTCCTCCTCCCCAGTCACAGGGTTCAAAACAGCCGTGCTCTCACCCGGAGCAGTCGCACCAAGCATATTCACATTCTCCGCATTGGGCACACCAGGCTGGGTAAGTCTTGAGGGAGGATCAATGGTCCGAATAGACAGCAATTTCAATCCCTGGCTTTCCGTATCGCGAGTAATGGAGATAGCAAGCACAGCGTCCGCAACGGCAATTTCCTCGCGATTGGGGTCGAAAATGACGTTCTCGCCTACTGAGATCACAAGCAGTGTGACCGGAGGCCGAACCTGTTGTGAGGGGTTGAATTTCATGCCCGCCGAAGCACGCGGGTACAAGTCTTCCGCAACAGCCCAGTCGTCGTCAAAGAAGGGGTCTTCCTCGCCCGTAGATTTGAGTTTCGGAAGCTTAGTGCATAAGAGAGCGAGGTGGGTCGTGAGAGAAAGAAGCGGAAGAGGGTATGACAAAGGCTGCGACAGGAGAAGAACCTAGAGAGCAAAAAAGAAGCAGGCGTTAGTCTGGGTGTAGTCTCGCAGGTTCGGAAAAAGACCAAAGTCCAAAGGGGAAAATAAAGCAAAGCTTGACTTTACTACTCACATCAATGTATAACCTCCAATGCCACCGCTTGTTAATAACCAACCTCCCCTTCAAACCACCCGCCATGCCCCTCTCGACTCCATCCCCATCCTTGCCCCCAACAGAACCCACAAGACTCTCCCGCATCATCTCCGAAAGAAAAACCGGCAGCGCATCATCGTCCCGGAACCCGGGGATCTCAATGCTCATCTGCACCCAGGACCCATGGCCCCCCGTCGCAGCTGAGGATCCCTCCGTTCCCTCGCGCCCGTCCCCGCTCGGTCCCAGATCATTCTGCAGCGACAGCGACCGCGCATCGAGCGTATCAGCCGTAAGAGTCGTCTTCTCCACCTCAGCCTTCACTCCGACAATAGCCTGTGTGCCGTCCGCGAAGCCGATGCGCGCGCTGCCGTTTGTGCCGGGCAGGATGTCGGTTTCGGCGGACAGAGGACGGAATTGTGTTGGTGAGCGGCCGTCGGGGCGGATGGGGTTCTTGGGGAGGGAGAGGGAAGTGTAGAGGTAGGAGAGCTCGGCGGGGGAGAGGAGGGGGGTTTGAGAGGCGGATGAGGCCTGGCGTTGTGCTGTCATTTTGGGCGGATTGTGGCTGGTTTGCTGCTTTTCTTTTATGCTCTTTTGGTGTGAGGCTTGCGGGGCGAAATGAGATAGCTTTTTGCGATTAGAGCCTCGGGGATTCTTGGATTGAGGCTCGTAGAATAGGTAGTGTGGTTCGCCTGGTTGAGGCGGTGTGGGGGAACAGCTTTATAAGATGCTGTGTTGTCTTGTGGAGTAATTAGACAGGTCGTAATCCAGGCCTCGGGACTTGAGGATGCTTGGATATCAATTGCACGAGGTTGAAAAAAAGTGAATATAGAGCATGCTTAATCGGGAAATTCTGATGGGCAGCGGATCATTATTGATCCGATGGCCGGGAGGTCTTGTCCGGGCTCCGTCATGAGTGAATCTCAACCAACAAATGGGAGTCCGAAAACAGTATTGTGTTTACTCTTTTTTAGTTTAGGTTCAATAGATAATCTAAGTTCATCCATGGATCGAATCAAGGATAATCTGACATATCTATGAATTGTATTGGTTTATACTTTTGATGCGATATACGAGGGGAAGGCATTTTTATGTAGAAGTTAAATAAGTAGTATGTAGTATGCATGTTAAGTGTATGTGATTGGCTATAAGCCGCAGGGTTCTATATTACAATAAGTTAATAACTGGAAGCCAGCCAGTCTGATGGGATAGTAAGTAGTACATGAAAGAGCGAACAAGAGGCTGGCATGAAATCCAGAAAGGCTCGGTCAACTGGACCGAGGGAGAGAGTGTGTGTGAGCGGGAGAGAGAGAGGTATGAATGAGGCAAAGGAAAAAAGAGAGAAAAAAGATAGACAGGGTGGTAGGATGGCAGTAGCCAGGCAATGTACAAGAGATGACAAATATATGGACAAAAGAAAGACGGGCGCCATGATCGTAGAAAATGGTTCAAGTGAGATGCAAAATGATGATCGACAAATATAGGGAGTGGTATATAATGCGGCTAGCGCTGGTATCAATGAAGGGTAAAATGGGGGAAATCTGTGCAAACGCCTTCTGCAAACAAATATTCAAAACAGAACTGACAAGTAAATGGCTCCAGGGATATCCGAGGGTGGAAGGATGCAAGGCCGGGTCCATCTATATAAAAGGCCTGCGGGGGTATGAAGATGTAAAACGATGTGAAAAAGAAAGGAAGCCTCCGTAAAGACAAAAAAAAAATGATGCTCTCGCATGGAAAATCAAACCCAGAGAACAACACCTTGGGGAAATAAACAGACCGAAACCCATACGCCGAACTTGATGTATCCGTTTTTGCGCATGTCGCTAGATTTTTTGATTCCTTTTTAGGTTTGTGTTGGAACGGAGAGTATCTTGAGGAGAAGGAAGATCTTTCAAGATGGTGGTAGAGAGTAGGTCGCAGTCATTTAGATATAGTTCGATCCGGAAGGGGTGTAGTGAGAAGATGCCTTGTGATTCCACTCAGACTCCTCGTAGGGAGGTGTGGGCCATTGCCGGTTCGAAGTGATGTTATCAGGCTTGGCGATGTGGCTGTCAGGTGTGTCAAAGTAGCTTTCACGGTGGGCTGCTGTAGGCGAGGGCGTGGGATATGGGCTTGGCAAAGCACGAGGCTGAGAAGTCATGGACTGAGTCTGAGCCAAGCGACGGGCAGCCTTACTGGCCGAGTGCAAGACCTCGTCCAGAAGCTCATCTTCCTCCTCGGGCGTCTCGTAACGATGAACGGGATGGCTAGTCATTTGCAATGCCCGTCGAGTGCGGCTGGAGATGGGCCCAGGGTTGGCGCCAGTAGTCTGAGGCATAGACTGGCGTTTGGTAATGCTACTGGCATCAGAGTTCAAATGCACAGGCACGTTGCTGAGACTAGATGAGTCCAGCGCGTACTTCACCCCCTGAAGCGCCTTATCAAGCTCGCTCAGATCAGAGTGTTGCTGCTTGGCGTCAGCAATGTTGGCACCGTCAATGGCCATGGAAGACCGGTTGGACCATGGAATGCACCCAGCATTGGCCTCGACATCATCAGCGGCAACAGCGGCTTGGTTGCGACCGGAGAGTCTGCGGGCACGCTTGCGCAAGTGCGAGAAGAAGCTCTCCTTGGTAGTAGGTGTAGTGCTTCCAGAACCATTTAGCATCCGCTCGGCCTCCAGGCGGTTTGCATCGGAGTAGTGGTTGCCGTTGGAGTTGACAGACAATTGGCGGCCAATCTTCTTGCTGGCCTTGCTAGCTTCAGACTCAACCTGTAATGTGTCACTGTGCGCGACAGTCGAGTTAGCTTGCGCAGTGACGGAAGCTGAGAGTGGAGAAACAGGGCGGATCGAAGGCAGAATGGGCATCGGAGCACCGTTGGCCCACGTAGCTCGCTTAGCATTGGAAGGGCGAGCCTTAACCGGCTGGATTTCGGGAACGGTGTGGTGAGTGACAACTGGGGGTCTGATGGGACTATCATTTTCGGAAGGAACGGGGCTTTCAGAACGGCCGATCAAAGATCTGCGGAACCACGAGGGCTTGGTAGAGAGAGTAGGAGAGTCGTGGGGGGTAAGGGTCGGGGATTTGAAGCTTCGGTCGGAGGGCTTGCGGCCAAGCAGCCTTGTTGAAGTTGAGGACTTGGGACGCAAAGGATCGACGGCATCGGCAAAGTACTCATGGTTCAACGCTTGGGTTGATGTGGGTCTGTTCTTAGGATCCCACATCAGACACCAGGTCACGAACTCAGCAAAAGCAGCGGGCCATTGAGGCTGTGGAAGGACAGTGTCCATCGCATGGGGCGCCATCTTTGGGAAAGTGAAGCCCAACTTGTGAGCCAATCGCGATCCCTCGCGCCATTCACCACCGCCGATCTTGGCACCAGACTTGCTGTACCAGTTGCCAGGGCTACCCATGATTTCGCAGACACGCCAAACCTGATCAACCTCGTTGCCTCCAGGGAACAGAGGCTTCAGGGTCGCGACCTCCACAGCCATGGCACCCACAGCCCACATATCAACCGGGGCAGAGTACTCTCCTGCGCGGAGAAGGACTTCCGGTGCCCGATACCAGCGAGTTGAAACGTATGTGGTGTAAGGTTGCTTGGAGTGAGTCTCACGGGCGAGACCAAAGTCGGCAATCTTCACGGTGTATGTTGGAGGGGTAGATGGAGGGGTGACAAGGTTGGAGTAGCGGCTGAAAGTCGAGTCGTTAGGGGCGGAGGTTGAGACAAGGATGTTCTCGGGTTTGATATCGCGGTGGAAGAAGTGATGGGCGTGGATGTGGTCCAGTCCGGACAGGATTTGATACAAGATACCCTTGACGTGCTTTCCTTCGAAATACTTGTGGTCGCGGGCCTTCATCAATTGGTACAGGTTACCATCCATGTACTCCATACAGATGTGGAGTTTGCGAGACATGGGGTCGAGGAAGATATCAAGAGCCGGGACCAGGTGTGGGTGCACCGGCAATGTGCGCAAGAAGATGACCTCGCGCAACTCTAGACATGGTTGTAAGGAATCAAATGTCTTCTTCATTGTTTTGATAGCGACCTGTGAGTAGTACGGTCAGTATGGGAAGGTTGTCGATCAACCATCAATACGTCATTCGGTGCATACCATTGTTCCTCGGCGCGCGATATGGGACCCGGCAGTTCGTACGCGTGCAAGCGCCACGCTACCAAAGCTACCATCGCCGACTTCCTTCATCACCTGAAAACGATCTTCGAGGGTGGCCATTGATGTGTTGGTTGTTCCCCGGGAGGGAGAGTCATATGTGACTGTCATGGTTGTAGATGTCTCTTAGATCTGCCCGCAGATAAAAGATATGCTAGGATGATAGTTAGCATCGGTGCCCCGTCATACTTGGTGAGATCAGGTATTGACTCACTATTAGTTCGAGAGGGGGGATTTCGGATTGAATTTCCCACTATTTTAGAGAGAGGGGGTGTGAGGAAAATCAATTGGCGTCAATTCTCATGATCCAAAAGTCGAGGTCGAGTATGTTGAGTAAGGAGTCTTCTCCCATTAAATGTACGGGAGGTTGGATGCCGATTTGCTATATAGCAAAGTAAGGAGTGACGGAGTAGTTGGAAAGGGAGTTTGGAGAGTGATGGAGGGGAAAAAGACGATCTGGGAAGAGCACAAGAAACGGGCGCGATGTAATAAAAAGGAAATGCCGCCAGAATAGGAGAGAACCCGTTGTGGACACCCCAGTCGATCGGAGGCCGAACAGAAAAGCCCCTGACGCGCTGACAGCTTTTGAAGCTCTAAGGACGGGGCCGTGGAGACGGTAAATTAAACCACGTTAAGACGGAGAGTGCAGATCAGTCCACCGGGGGGTTCTGCCTTTCTGTCTTTTTCTTGTCTTTGACAATGTGCTGTTGCAAGGATGTTTTGAAGTGGGATGTATAATGGATTGAAAGTAGATGTGGAATAGAAGAGATTCAAAGAGGAATCAAGGAATCATAAATCTAAGCAGCGAAAGACCATAAAAGAACGCACAAGAGAGGGGCCACTTGAACTATTGGGATAGATGGAATTAGAGTAAATAATGTGTACTCGGTATTGTATGAAGAATCGAATAAGTTACTAGTTGGGGTCGCATAAGTTCCACGCAACGGGGAAATACGGTCTTCCGCCAATAGGAAATCGTCTTTGAGGGAGAAGTGGGACCCCGGTGGATTCAGAGCCCCGTTCCTGATTTCCTGGGTATTAATTATCGTATTGTCATGACGCACTTTCTGATTGGACTCGAGAGGGTTTTTTTTTCTTTTATTCCTTTTTTTTTGTTTTTCTTTAGTTTGTTTTTAGCTTGTTTTATTTTTCTTCTTTTTTTTTTTTTTTTTTTTTGCCTTCGTTTCTGGTTTGATTTTGAGGCAAATAGAAATGGAACTAGTCAGTTTAGATAAATAAAATATAAATGTAGAAAAGAGTAACCAAAAAAAATGTTACGAAGAAATAACCAAAGCAATAATTTACGAGATTATAAACTTCCCACGGGCCCCATCAGTTGATCACGTTGATCATGTTATTTGTGTCCATAGAGTAGACTCGAACTGTGCAGGTTGGGCATACACCTACTTGGTACAGTAGAGGCGGTCACTCCCGTGAACAGTTCATGTTGGGCCGCGTTACCCCGTAATTTAATTTCCCTTTCCATACCCAGGGTCTCTAAGTCAAAGTACGTACATGACGTTAGTGACAAGCCTGGACCAATCTATGAGATCTAACATGAATGTTTAGAACAGGTCACCTCTCTTTTCTCTCTCTCTCATGTAGGTCCAAGATTCTATATGAGTATATATGAGTACATATGCCTTATATGAGCATATATGGATTTCTCGGTGTCAAATTTCAACCGGATCAAATCCATCAAATCGATCAACTCAAGTTCATCCCCACAGCTTCCCTCCATGGGACCAAGGCAAGGGGACTCCTGTCCATGTCTGCTATGTCATGTCCCACATGTGAATCCGACTCGTCTCAAGGCTCGATTCGCTCTCTTCTCAAAATGCCTTTGCCTTTTCTCCATCTCTCTGTAACTCGGTATCTCTTTCTCCACGCTTTATTCCCCTGTTTCACTCGTCATTGGAGGAGCTCTTAAATTGATTTCTCTCGTTGTCCCGGCACCTTGTCTCGCCACCTCAATCTGCATCCGAGCTTTCCTGGAGGGGTACTCTGTTTACAGTCAAGATCTCCGACTGATCCGACTATCTATTTTCTCCATCTTTATTCGCCATAGTGCATGGGAATTTAGGTTCGGCTGGACGGAGGCGTTCGCATCGCAGTACCAGTCTCTCTACGCGGTACTCCGTAAACACTAAACGCTAAAAACAAAAAACAACAAAAAAACACAAAACAAAACATTCCAAAAAACAAAGGTCTTTTTAAGCAGGGACTTTTTGATGCATGGAGGATCATGATCACGCATATGATCCGTATGTGGTCCCATCTTAGAGGACGCCTTGCCTATCACTCCATACCACTTCAGAACCCCAGGCACACCACACTTTCCAGTCACACCCGGAAGTCTCGCTGATTGGGAACAGATGGCGCCCCGTGATTCAGTTTCGGAGCGCGACTCAAGGTAGGCCCGGCGGTTTTTCTTTTTTCTTTTTTTTCTTTTTTCTTTTTTTTCTTTTTTCTTTTTTCTTTTATATTTTCTTCTTTTCTCTTTGTTTCGCGCTCGAACTTAGAGTACACATCCCGTGTGGGAAATTAATGACAGCGGTCGATCAACATCCCTGCACTTCCGCCGGGGGAGGTCATCCGGACAAAGAAAATCATTATCAAAGCTTCTTACATGCGGTAGGGACCATCATATCTCCACTTGAAAAGCTCAGGAACCCGAGCCAGAACCATGGGAAAAGACGATCTGTCCATCGCCTCTTTTTTGCTTTTGTACTTTTTCTGTTTACTTTTTTTTTATGCTCTGTTACCTCGGATTATGATAGGTTGTTGAGAAATTACAAAATTACCATGTTTCATAGGAAAGGGATTATCACGATTACCTGCAGGAATCGCACCTGTCAGACTGCGACGAACACTGGGGCGACCGTTTGGCCCGCAAGGATCCAGGATTACGTCGCCCCCAAAATGGCCCTTAGGACTTTCTTGAATTTGATTTTATTTTTAAATATTACCTCAGTCTTGTGGCTTTCTGCACTGCTACATTCTACATGTATCAACCAAATGTTATATTCGACCTCTCTTAGCCCCTTTTCGCCTTTTTTTCACCGTTTGTTTCCAAGGATTTGGGCCAAGGGCCGTACCGACGGGATACGGAAGTCCCAGAAAGCAGTGGGCCTTTGAGAATTACCAGGAGAGAAAAACTCCCAAAAAAGGAAAGGAGAGACCCATTCGTGAGACTTCTCCACTGATATGGTGTGGTGCGCTACTCTCTAAGTGGGAGAAGCTTGGGCATCATCACAGACGAACAGGGCGTTAGCCAAGACCAAAAAAAAGGCGAATTACCAAAAATACAAAACAACGCGTAACGCACCAATGTACCTAATACCTACGGGGTACCATTAGAAATGCCCTGGGGGCTCGGCCCAGCCACACGTTCTCGCAGTGGACCCGGTACTCCGCGGATACCAGGTACCATCACTTTTTCCATACGGCCAAGTCGGTCTGTACAAGTTGTACGCGCCAACAAAGCCATTGGTGGGAAGGCAACAAACAAAACTTGGGACCCACCATGCTAGAGAACATAACAAAGCACTAAGTGGGCTTAGAGTCCTTTGACTTCCAAAAAGTGGTGTTCACCGCGCCTTTTCATTGCTCCAAGCGCTCCGCCTATGGATCTAGCGCTACACCGTCGATTTCGGGGGTGGACGGAATACCCACCGCGTGGACCTCGTCCAGGCCCGTCCCTCGTCCCCGAGAACAGAACAGCGAGCTTTGCGCAGGAAGGGGGAGGGGGGGAAGGAAGAAGGATCGCCTTTTTCTCGCCACCGGGCCAAGCATCAGGAATGGGACTATTTGGACCGTCGCTACACCATCGGCTTGTTCCGTCATCGCTCGCCTTCCTTCGACCTTCGAGAAGGTCATCGTAATATCGCTCTGGCCTTCCCCGGGATCAATAAACTCGCATTCGCTAAGATTGCATTAAGGCTAACTAACGTTGACAACTTGTTCAAATCTCCCCCCCCTTAATCAAGTGGGCAGATGTGGCCGCACCCAGCACACAGCCACTGCTCGCTCCCTTCCTTTTTTTCCCCCAGGGGGCTCTCGCTCATCCCAGACCGTGCCCCCCTAATCCACACAACAAAATTCTCCGAAATGAAATTCCCTTCCCGCCACCAACGAGGATCAAATGTTGGCAAAAGCACCGCTAGAAGGCGCATCCGTACTCCGTAGAAGGCTAACTCCAACCTAACCGCAAACCAAGTCCCAAGAAAGTTACTCCGACCCACAACAAACCCCGACCATGAAGTAATTGATCCTTACCTACATTAGTGCACCCCTTTACTCTGGTCGCCGGGATCATGGCAACGCACGAGCGGATCATAAGGTCTCAAGGGCACGTTCCTCAACCTCTACCACCGATCCGAAAAAAGGGATGACGATGTAACAAGGTGCCTCCTACGGAGAACGTACTCCGTCATTGTATCCGTACCCACAAAAATCTGCACGAGGGAGGAGCTGGGAGGCGAATTACCCTTCATTTTTGCCCACTTTCCATCGCACATTGACGCAGGTACAATTTGGAATCTACATACATCATTTTACACGGACTACGGAGTACGGAGTACCCTAATGCAAATCCCGACTCCACCGTCACCGAAGTAACGCACGCTCCTTGCCATCCGTTTCGACACTACGCGTTTCTGGAAGGTCATTACCATGCTTCTATGGAGACGGGGAGACTAGCCCGCGCGGCCCCTAGTCGCGAGCTGCTAACCATCTACGGCGTACGGGTTGGATCTTGTATGTCATCTACCGAATTGGTGTTTACAAAGTAATATGGAGCGGGGAGGGGATAAGGGTTGCCTTGGCTAGTTTATTTCTGACCGGAGAGGATTCGAAGGGGATTCTAGCGCGGATTCGTCTGTCATAACTTAATTAATGCCCCTGCCCCTGGTTCCAATGTTTAATGAACTTTCTGGAAACTTTGCTTTGCCGTCTCGGGTTGAGAGAGGGCCAATCAGCTTTTTGATGATCGTTTTAAACCTTGCACTGGGCCGAGGGTGTAATCTGCGCTTAATGTGTATAGGGGATGTACTAGGGTGCTTGTCAGGCTGCGTCGCTTGGAGGCTATCTCCAGGGCTCTCCTATTTTCACTGTTGATAAGAGGCTTTTTTTTAGAATGGTGGACAAAGAAGTTTTATCAAAGAGCTACTAGTATGAATGAAAAGTACCACAGTGTACTTTGAACAAGCCCACGTGGGTTACAAGGGTATACGGAGTACTATGTATCCATCAACCATAGAGGCAAAGCATCGCATAGTGTGCTAACAGTGCTTGTTTCTTATACAGGTTTGGAGTTGGCTGCACTTGAAGATTGCAATCCATGTTTTTCTTCCGCAGCTTGTTTTCTCTCTCTCTCTCTCTCTCTCTCTCTCTCTCTCTCTCTCTCTCTCTCTCTCTCTCTCTCTCTCTCTCTCTCTCTCTCTCTCTCTCTCTCTCTCTCTCTCTCTCTCTCTTTGAATCCATCAATGCTCTGGTGTAGATTTAGATTTACTTAGAGTTCACTCCTCATATGATGCAAGTCTGTTTTTTGACTAGGAGTATGCTTAATGAAACCCGAGCTTGATATTATGTGGTCTCTGTTGGTAGTACTTGGATGCCCTAGATAGTAGTCAACAGTTGACCCTGAATGCCTTGCACATACTACATATGTTCCAGCAAACTAATGGACTGGCTCAAATGCTTACTACTAGTAATGATCATTTCGTTGTTTCAAATCATTGATCTTCAAATATCAGATAATTCACTCGCTAATGGATTGTGCGAACGGTAAGATATTATTTGAATCCCTGGTTGGTCCCTTTTGAGATCACTCCGAGTTGTTTTATTCCAAGGTCGTGTTCCATTGGTAGGATTTCCGGCGTTTGTGATGCCTAGTAAGTACTAGAGTTGCTTGTTGCCTTCAAAGTTGTGGTATATATACTAAGCATCTGAGAGCATACAAAATTAACAGCAAACTTGAATTGATAGGTAAGACCAAACTTTCACTTATAATCCCTAGAAGTCATCACTGCTTTTTTCTCTTCAAGTCCAAAGATTTTACCTTTTCTCATCTTCTTCACTTTCTTACCTTTCCTCCTCAATTCTCTTTACCATTCAACTTCACCAATACCCGTCCTTACTTCACTAACACCCCAGCAGCCATAGTATGTTTGGTGCGCCCTGTCAGCCCGGAGCCATGTTGCCTTACAATTTCAACAGAAAAGGCAGGGGTGAATTGGGGCCCGTTCGGTCAAGCACAGGAAAGTAGGTGAACCATGCTATCCACACCGCTGGCAGATATATTCTGACAAACTCCTCATAGACTGATAGACCCAAACCTCCCAGAGGAGTACGTCCCCAAGCATGTCATGGTCCCAGACTCACATGAGCTTTGTCGCTAACGATGTATGTATTAGGATCGTGTGTTCTATCTGCAAGCAGCTCCATTCGCAAGGCGACTACTCCGATCCCCAGCTGGCTTCCCTCATCGACAAAATCGATCGAGTTGGTCTCTCTGCGCTCGTGAACCAGTCAAGTGCCAAGTGTAATGGATGCTGCGGCTCACCGAACCTCGAGTACAAATGTCGTTTCTGCCGCTGTTGGAAGGCGATCGAATGCTTTGCGCGCAATCAACGTCCTCTCGCCGAACCAGTAAGTGATCAACGATCAATTTATCTCAGCTCACGGTGAATGGGAAGTTGGATTCTACGCTAACTCATGGTTGAATTTATAGGCCTGCAAGGACTGCCAGGACGGCGTCCAGGGATCGGCTCAGCCTTGGCGCAGCAAAGAACAGAAGATGATTGAGGATGCAGCCCGAGCCAAACAGGAGCAGGAGCTATCTCAACGGCTGGGTGAGCTCGCAGCCAACCCGCTACAGCTCGCCGTTGTCCCGCGTGCTCTACAATGGGAGGATCCCTCCGATGTGAAGGACTGGAGCGAGCTTGTCGACCTTCACGGGCTCCTTAAATCGGGAGTTCCCCAAGAAAAAGAGAAGAGTATGATCAGACGAGTCAGGCTGCTTGCTGTGAGTTCTTGATTGACTTGTTGAATGGGACACCACCTTGGAAGTTTATGCCACTAACAAAACCTTTGATACTGCCAGCAACGCCTCCGCCGCAATCAGGCAACAAGAGAAGAGCAGCGTCTTGAAGTGGCCCGCACTAAAGTCGATGTTGAAGATGAAGAAAAGCCTGCCTTCCGCAAAATTCAGGTCAGTATATGTGATGAGTGAAGGTGTCTGGCCGTAAGCACTGATTTGCATCTAGGACTACCGTCCCGAAAGGTCAGGGCACCATCGCCCTCCTTCTGAGTCTCCCCCGCCCAATGACTCAACCAATAATTTGGAGAGCTATGAATGGCTTTGATGAGAGATCGGGTTTTCTGGGTGGTGGGGAATAGTTTGATTTGGGATTTTCCGTGGACTCTGACGTGGACCAAAATCTGGGTTTTTGTCCTCGGGATGCGTGGATTTATCAAATGGGCTTGAGGGTGACCATGTTCCTATTATCTATGGATTCTTTAGCATCATACCAGTGCCTCATACTAGGAAATCTTACTGCTCCTCGTGGGAAAATAAGACCAATAAGAGTCAAGACCGTGGATAATATTGGTGATGCTGCTTACATATGTGTGCGTGAACCATGGTTAACCCAAGCAAAGCCCTTGGTTCCACGGCTTCGAATATGCTAAGTTGTGGGGGATAAACAAACACTGGATTGTTTTGATTTTAGAGGTGGCAATTAACGTAAACATAAAATTTGAACATTCTGAATGTTGAATGTCTTAAAATGAGCCAAAAATATCCAACCTACCGACCCACATAGGGGTCTAGGGCTAAACACATTGAAAACGCCTTCGAATGCTTCCAAATCCTGATGTTCCAAGTCCCCCCACCTGCAATACATTAGTAGGTGTCGGGTTTGACCTTTCATGCACCATGTGCCCTGGTGGACACATGTGTACATTTTGCCTTTCTGGAAGCGCGAGATGATGATATGGTCTGCAAGTCTACTAGCATGTACCATGATCAGTGTCTAAGCGTACATTAGTAACCCGTGGACCTTGATGCGGCATCCATGTTGATTGGACTCGGGGTGGATGCCAACTGTCGGATCAGCAGACTTGCAGTCTCTTGCATGCCTCAGGACATAAAACGGGGCGTTGATTTGTTTTAATAGGCCCACAAAGAAAATCTGAATCGCAATCTCTGCATGGAAAGATGGAGTTAATTAGATTAGTGGTCGATCCATGACGGTCTCCTCCAAAGATAGCAATATGACATCTTTGACGGGGAATTGGACATATCTTCTCGAGTTGTGGTACTTGAATAGATTAAAAATGCGCCACATAAACGTGACCCTAACAGCTTAACCTGCAACTTGTCGCACTGAGCAAGATCCGGTGACGTTTCGGATCGCCACTTTCTCTCGGCTTCCCCACTTACCCCCCATTACAGGAATTTCTCTGCCTTCAATTTTCAACACTTTCTGCCTTGACTTCTACTCTGCTCCTGCCCTAGGTTTGATAATCTTGGCACCAGTAGATAGATAGAGACAAAAGTGTGTGAAAGAATCATACCAAACTCACCTATTGTTCCCATTTGGCCTGTTTCCTCCCCTGACACCCATGGCCTACGATGGGTACCAGTCGCATCCCAATCCGGGCTATCAGACGGGCATGGGCAATATGAATAACGACCCCAACGAAGCACATGGCTATGCCCCATCCCCCCCTTATCCCCAATACTATGAATCCGACCATATCAACATGCCCCATCCACAGATGCCGTCCAGCACATCACCAGCTCCTGTCCAGCAAAACTACGAATACCCAGAACCACCCCGACCGGGCAATACGAACTCTGGCCATATCAACGACGCTGTCAACTCAGCTGTGTATAACAACGCAAACTCCAACTCTTATCTTTCTCCCGAAGTCCTGTCGCAGATCACCTCGACCGTTATCCAGCAGCTCAAGGCATCTGGCATGGGCGACATGCAATCCCCTCAAAACACCCAACAACAATACCCACCCCCACCTCCTCGACCACAGTCATATTCGCAGGCCCAGCAGCCCTCCTGGGCACCCCCACCAGCCGATCTCCCACTACGTCCCCAGTCTGAATCCCCCCCAGTTCCACATGCGCAACGAAGTGGGTCTATCCCGCCTCCAGGTGCAATGCCAAATAGCTTCGACATTCCGCAGCCCTATTCTGGCTATACAAGTGATACCCGAGCTGGCTCCAAGCCGTCACAGGATCCGATGGCGCGCAGAAGCGGCTCGATCTCCAGCCAGGGCAGTGTGAAAACAGAGTCCCGACCCAAACCACCGGATCGAGATGCAACGGTCATGGAGATGACAACACTGGAGAAAGTTTGGGGCAAGCTTTTTGCAGATGATAAGCCGACGAAGAGGCTCGGACAATTTTTGCGCGGAATTGCGATGCATCTGGTACGGGCATTATTCCAGGTCTCTAGCTTGTGGCGCGATAATGTGCATCGCTGATTTAAGTCTGCAGATTGAGGATTACCCTCCCCGGAACACTATTGTTATTGTTCCACAGAAGCTGCAGAAGTTCTACGCAGACACACAGGTGCCAGCTGATGCAAATTATCCATGGAAAGGTGAGTGATCAACCGGCCCTTTCCCGATTTCCTGTACTGATCGCATCGATAGATATTTTCGATGACAACACTTCTTCTATCTCTAGACTGTTCCGAGAAATCAAGGCCGAGCATCACCTCGTCCAGCTGGATGATCTCACGCAGCGACCTGATATTCCTGGCCTGACGCCCAAGGGTTTCGAGATATGGGCTACACTCATGATCCAAGCCCATCCGGACCGTGAGTACGCACGCCTGCAGAAGGCCGTGCTCAACATGCCGATCAACAACCCGGACGACAGGAAAGAGCGATTCCCCAAAGAAATCCCCCGGCGCCTGTTCCCCGAGGTCGCGGATCTGAAGATACGAGAAACCGTAGAGTTGCACATCATGAAGCACTGCGGCGTCGATCTCCCTGCCATCACCGATGAAGAGCGAGCGAAAGCCAACCGCCCAAAGACCTCTCCTGTCAACAGCGGTCGCCGTAGTGGTTTCAACAGCTCGAGAACCTCTTCTGCCGAAAGAAGTCGTTCTTACGAGCGAGGACGACCCCCACCAGCTGCTTCATCGTCCACCGCCGTCCTGGACGATGAAGATGAAACCATCGCCCCAGCCCCCATTGAACGTGAGCGAAAGCCTTACTCTGCCAATCCTGGGGGTGGAAAGGTCTACAATGAATCCGAAAATCCTCGCAGTCACAGGGAGTCTTTCACCGCACGGCCATCAGATATGCCGTCTCTATCCACTCCCAGCCACCGAGCTTCGACCTCCACCATCCAGCGCTCCCCAACTCGGGACTCCCTGTATGCCCAGCGCACTGGTTCCGGTCCGGCCCCTCACTCTCGGCACTCGGGTGGGCGCACTCGCACATCGCGCAGCTCTTCGCGCAGTGTCGATGGGTACAGACACTCGGAAAGTGACTTGCTAAGCCGGGAACATACTCCGCGATACGGTGGCGTGTCAGCGAATGATTTGTATGTGGGTTCTCCGACTTCTATGTCATCTGATGCAGATGATACTGCCCGTCGCCATGCCTCGCACCGCAATAGTCGCACCGATGAAGATTACTACCGTGGTATGCTTGGTGGACAAGGAGGAGGTCCCAAGTATTACTGATAATTGCCAAGTCTTGACCACCTGCATTTTCTTATGATCCCACTATGCAGGTTGGCTCTTTTCTTTTTCTTTCTCTTTATAGTTTCAGTTTTGCGGATCAAATCTGTCAGATTCAGCGCGTGGTTATGCACAGTGATGGAGACTCGGATACTTTCCATTTGGTTTCGGATTCGATCTTTCTTTTTGTCTTTACTCTTTGACTTCCTGTTTCTATCCTATTCAGCTCGGCGTCTCATATGGCATGAAGATACCTCTTGGTTAAGTATGACGACTGACGACTCTCATGTCCAAGTCTTGTTCGAATTTTGCAAGCTTGTCTGCGATGGAATGGAAAATGTGCGATAGAACCCTAATGAATATTATGCATATAAAACCGAATTCGCCTAGCGCCCCCCAATCTTGGACCTAGTATACATCGCATAGTACTAGTAGGTAGTATTTATGACCCTCCCTCACCCTGCAACCTAGACCTCTTCCTCTCCCAAATCTCTCTCATAACCCGAATGCCATCCTCCCTACAAGCGCCCGCATCCTTCTCCCGCTCCCGCTCCTCAGCTTTATACCTCCTCGCAATATGCCTCTCATCCTTCTCCTCCCTCTCCGCCTTCCTCTTAATCTTCCTCAGCGCCTTCTCCCTCTCCTCCACATCCCGCAACGCCGCCTCACGCCCCTCAACACGTAACTCCTCAACCTCCTCCTCACAAAGCACCCACGGCACATTAAGCGTCTCAACAAGGAACTGCAGCCGCTCAAAAACAAACTGCATCTCCGCATTCGTGTCGCGCAGCACCGTAAAACGCTCCAGGTGCAGCTGCATAATCGACCGGAACGAGCCGAGCGTCCCCTTGACCTTGACCGTTACGCCAGGGACCAGAGCCGAGATGTCGAGGATCGTCAGATCCGTCGCGGTCGTATGCACCGGCTCTTTTCGCGCCATCGCCGCTTGAAGGGCGCTGGCGCTGGAATCTCCCGTGATGGTGAACGCGGCCTGATCGGCCTCGTAGTCTTCCATACTGCCGCTGCCGCCGCCCTCTTGGATTGCGGGGCCGCGACCTTGGGCGGCTGTTGGGGCTGGTACAGTTGATGCTGTGTGCTTTGGATCGGTTGAGTGGAGGACTGCCACTTCGATCGTTGCGCCGCTGCTGTCATCTAGGGTGAGGATTGTGCGGCGAAAGACTTCTGTTCTGGATACGATGAGACCTGCCACGGTGACGAAGCGCACTGGGTGGTTTTTGTAGAAGAATACTTTTTGGCCTGTGGTTTTTGTGAGTATGGGCGTTGGGAATCATGTATATACTGCGGGTCCATATGGTATGTTTCGTTCTTTGGAATACTAGGTGAAGAGGGGGACATGGGTTGATTCAAATGGTGAGAGTAACCATCAAGTAGAACGAGCCAATTCAAAAGTGAATAGAATTATAGCTTAAATTGTTGAATACAAGAAAAAGTGCCGGACGAGGGTTGAAAAGCAAAGGTTCACAGATCACTTACCTTCAAAGTTCCTGGGTTTCTTTAGTCGGTGCACATCTGCTATCGCCATCTTCACCCAAGCGAAGTGTGTTGGCGAGGCCTTGAAGCAGTATGCAGGGTATATGATTGGATCCACATCTTCAGCTGTCGCCATTGGATCATTTTCTCGTTGGAGGTTGGAAATTATTTAGTTTTGTCGGATGATGATGCAGAGATGGATGGGCGCGTCACGTGGAGACGCGCCTTCTAAGTTCTATGTATAGGATCTTTGGCGTGTTCTGATTTTACTCACATATTTTCTAATAAAATGTGATTTCATGTTGATCTTAGTTATTGAGATAGGTAGTAGGTAGTATGGTACTCAATTCCTGTAATAAATCACCTGCATGGATTTCCACCTTGGAAGGTTGTCCCTACATACTAGTACTATGTACTAGAGACCTACCTTAACAATTTAAGGTAGATTTTATAGAATTAAACCGCGAGCACCTTCAAATGCAAGCGCATAACCAAATTTCATTTTATCTTCAGGGCCGACATCCATCAACATTACTCATAATTTCATCTAATATATAATATTCTCCCCCTCCATCATCCTCTTCTTCGGATTCCTCGGAGCCTCCTCGGACCCCAGCTCCCCATCCCGACCCTGGGCCTTATCCCCCAAAGCCTCCTTAACCTTCTCCTCCGAATTCTCATGACCAGCCATAGCAACCTTCAAAATCTCCTTCTCAAAGCCCTCAACATACTCCCACTCCACCCCCGCACTATCAAGCATCCGACACCCCTCGCTCTCCCCCACAAAAGTGCCCGGCTCCTTGACGCCAAAATACACCTTATGCACACCCGGGCGACCGCCCTCCCTTGTGCGCGTAATCCGCTGCACACAGGGCGCATTCCCGGAGAGTCGCTTGCCGCACGGCTCCATGGTCACGTACATCACGAGCTTGCGGCCTGCTTCAACCGGGAGCACGGAGGCTACTTCGTCTTCGGGAACGCTGTGGACTGCTGCGAAGTTGGAGAGGCAGCATTGTTCGGCGTGGGTGTTGCCTTGTAGTTCCATTGTGTAGCCTGTTGAGAGGATACGGTCGTCTTGGAAGGTGGGGTCGTTGTCTGCGCGGGAGAGCAGGATTGCGCCGACGCGGAAGTTGGTTGGGCGGGGTGGGGATTGGGAGGCTAGTACTATGCATTTTCGCATGTAGGGTCTGTGGGGGGCGTTGGATGTCATGATGGGTGGTGTGGTGTTGATGAGCTGGGGTGGGGGTTCTTTGGTGGTAGTACTGGTTCAAATTGGTACTTTGTAGCAGTTGTAAGTGATAGATATGGGAGGATTTAGACTGTAGAATGGCGAATAGCAATGTTTGGCGATTTCAAAGGAATCCCTTATTTTAATTGATAGCGTTGGCAGAATGAAGTTCACTTTCTGGCTTGATTGAAGAAAGATGAAGTGAAATTGAAGTGGGGGGATCAACGGGGAAGCTTATTGCCTATGACGGAATAAGGATGGAATGATAATGCGGTAGGCGCGTCAAAATCGCGTCCATTTTCCGCGCCGGGTCTTCTTATCTCAACCACAATTAATCTTCACCAATCAAACTCACCTCTATCTTCCGGTCTTATTTTGTTTCATATCACCAAAAATACACGATGCCGAAGGCTACAGGAACCGAGAGAATCCCAGAGGAACCCCCGGTGGTAGAAGAGGATCTCTACAAGATCCTAGGCGTCGAGTCAACAGCAACCCCAGAAGCAATCAAATCTGCCTACAAGAAAAATGCACTCAAGCACCACCCTGGTAAGCTTCTAAGCCCCAAAGCTGCAAAGCTTCAAAGACACAATATCACCCAAAAAACACGCTAACAAACCCAAAGACAAGGTCAGCGAAGACGCCCGTGATGCAGCCCACACAAAGTTCCAACAGATCGCCCTAGCCTACGGCGTGCTCTCAGACCCACGCCGACGCAACCTATACGACCGCACCGGAAACACCAGCGAAGTCCTCGGCGAGGATGGCGACTTCGACTGGATGGAATTCTACCGCGAGCAGCTCTCCGCAATGCTGGACGTACAAACGATTTCCGACTTCCAGAAGAAATACCAGAACTCCGACGAGGAGAAGCGAGACCTACTGGAAGCGTACGAAAGACACGGAGGCGATCTGGATAAGATTTACCAGTCGGTGATGCTTTGCAATGTCCTCGATGACGACGAGCGCTTCCGAGCTACCATCGACCAAGCTATTGCGGACAAGGAGGTGAAGGACTACAAGAAGTACTCGCAGGAACCGGAGAAGAAGCGGGAACAGCGCAGGAAGCGTGCGGAGAAGGAGGCTAAGGAGGCAGAGAAGCTAGGGAAGGAGGTTGAGGAGAAGAAGAAAAAGAAGGCCGCTGCTGCTTCCAAGGCTTCGAAGGGCTCGGATGCTGGGGAGGATGACTTGCTGGCGCTGATCACCAAACGCCAGCAGCAGCGGGGCCAGGGATTCCTGGCGCAGTTGGAGGAGAAGTACATTCAGCCTAGTCGGCAGAAGCGTGGCCCGGCTGATGAGCCTTCTGAGGAGGCCTTTGCTGCGATGGGGGCGCGGAAGAAGTCAAAGCAGAAGAAGTCTAGGGCATAGGCTATGTCCTGGTTCTTCGTCCCCCGTATGTACTATATCACCCATTGTTACTATGGTCTTTATGTTATGATGTTCATGAGTGCTTCGTTTCAAATGTTTTTTTTTCGGCGAGAACCATCAGCCTCTTGTCTAAACCTCATCCATGGATAGGAATATGAAATAAATTTATCATGTATCATGTGTATTACCTACCTACTAAGAAGCTGCTCTATACTTGCATTTGCATCTAGTGTTGCAGGGTCAAATCCCATATATAGTACAAATTAACAGGAATTATTTACTTTCCACGGCGGGGACCCTCGCCAAAGCTTCCTCTCGCCATCCCCAGCCCAACGCCAGTGCTGCACCGGGGCCAAGTGTGACAGTAGTTCCTACCAAAGCACCCACCGATTTCCACCACGAAACAGGCACTCCAGATTGCTGCAGCTCCCGGAACCTCAGTCCCATCCAATAAAGACCGGCACCAAGAGAGAAGATCTCATCATACTTCAGGAATAGAGCAATGCCCTGGGAAAAAGAAGAAACTGGCTGACTGTGCTCAAACAGGCCAGGTAAAAAGATCCGAGCCAAGGTTGAGCCTGGAGGAGCAGACCACCGTGCGTAAATAAAAGACAGTCCTGAGATCGCAGCCAACGAACCGTAGGTCATGCGAGTCCAGATCATGTTCTTTTTGTGGCTTCGGGGTTTCTTTTCCTTTCGTTCAGTCTTGGAACGGGGTTTTCTCGCCAATAGACAGACAGGAACTTGAAGCAAGGGAACCACCAACGGGAACAATTGCCATATGGCGTTGTAAGATCGGCGGGATTCAACTGTCGGGGCGAAGAACATGGCAAATGTTGGCAAGTAATAGCCGGCGATCATGGCTGGCAGGAATGACTTTAAGGCAATCGTCTTGATGTCGCGATTTTCTTCCTTTGGTGATGAAGGGGTGGATCGGATGTACTCCATTGCGAGATACAAAGGAGCAATCTTTCCAATTCCCTTTAGCTGGAAAGCCATGCCCGCAGTTACAGCCCTGTGCAAAAGAAAGAGAAAACATGTTAGTCCCAATAACAAAAACCACAAACTCGACTTCGTAAAGGAATACTGGCAGACTTACAGGATCATGTCCAGTCCAGCGCTTCCCTGGCGATAGCTCTCAAGTAGCCAGATCGCATAGACTGGGCCAACGTCGGCTAGGAACGAAACCATTTGAGAGTTTGATACTGCATCAGATCCACTGATAGAGGGAAGGAAGCAAGTAATCAGAGCTGAGAAGGTTCGATCAAGGATGGGGATTTTGTACAATGGCGCGGTCAGACTGAGAGTCTCTCCGCCACTGAATGTCCAGGCTCCCTGGCGAAGTATTGAGATCAGATGTGGCATGAAACCTGCCTTTGCAGATCCCATTGTGATATTTGCAGCTGCATACCATCCAAGGAGGGGAGTAGCCCAAAGTCCTCGTTTCCAGAGCGCTCCATTGCTCGAACGCTCTGCGCCAAGATGAAGTGGCATGGTGCAGTCTGATGCTCTGGGCGGTAGTGGGAGATAATTGATTCTTTCTGCTCCGGAAAATGTCTTGGAAGCGCGGTTAAGCAAGTAGTTATCCAGGTATGGGAGCAGGTGCAATGCAATAACTCGATCCTTGAATGTTGCGCAAGCTTCCAGTCGAGTGAGGGCATTCGCTTTGATGCAGACTTCTTTCACCCTCGGTTGTCGTGCTGTCTGCCAATTACTTAAACAGCTTTTGATGTCTTCAAGTGGGATCTTTTCGGTCGATGACTTTTGAAGCAGCTCAGTAAGAGAGTTTGCTAATGCTGCAGCGCTCTCCACCGCGCTGTTGCCGCCTTGTCCCTGGTTAGGAGTCATCTGTGGTGTGTATCACGTTAGAAAACGAGATCGAAAAAAGAAATCAGGTTTGTCCATGGTGAATCATACCTTGTGTGCAGAGTCTCCAATACAAACAATTCGGCCACTACACCAATGGTTGTGGAAACCCTCTTCGAGTGCCAAATAGCTGCTGGATACAGTGTTTTGGCGGATGGCTGAGAAAGGAACAGTATCCGTGATTGGCTTGTCAGAGAATCGATCGAGCTGCGTCTTCATATCCTCTGCAGTGAAGCGAGGAATCTCTGATCCAGAGTAGACCTTGTCGAACTTGGCAAACAAAAACCAGAAGACACGGCCATTTTTGCCTATGATGGTCAAGGCAGAGAAGTCTTCTGCATATGTCCGATGACTGTGTCCAGGAATTAAGCCTGGGGTTGCGGTCGAAATTCCAAATATGCAAGAGTATTCCGATGACAGGACTAGTGCTGATTAGTACTATGTGCCGTGATAGCGAGCTCGAGATGAAGAAACTTGGACATACTGGCTCTTTCCTTCTCCGCCTCTTTTTCCAATCCGATGGATTCCATGTGCTGCCACATCTGCTCTCTCACAGTACTTCTCACTCCGTCTGCCCCCACGACTATATCTCCCTCAAAGACCGATCCATCGGCGCAGTGAACCAAGGCTTTTTCTGGTAAGTGCTCCACCTTGACGACCTTTTTACTTGTGTGGACTCGCTTTTGATTTTCGCCTAATCTGTCGTGTAGAATCCTCAACAAGAACTGGCGATCGAGGAATGAGACAGAATATCCATGCCTACACAATGTTCATTGTTAGTACAGCCCAGTCATATACCTACTAGTATATACCGACAACTGTGAAGAAGGCTCTTACCTTTCTTCGTATGCAAGGGGGGCTTCGGTCTCAACGATGAGTTTGCCCTTGTCGGTCCAGGTGAAGGCCCTCTCCAATGGCCGACATTCATTCAAGATATCATCAAACAGATCTAACTGATCCAAAGTGCGCGCACCATTTGGAAGAATTCCAATTGAAGCACCCACTTCAGGTGCGATATCGCAATGCGATTCCAACACCACATATTCGATATTGCTTTTCTCCAAGCAATGAGCGAGAGTCAGGCCCGCAACCGAACCACCAACGATGATCACGCGGGATTTATTTCCTTCGTTCTCCATCCTGCAGAGCCCTGGACTTGGCAGAAAGATATTCAATGCTCAATGAAGCGATTGACCGCTACAATCTCTAGGATGGGGCGATCGACTCCTTTTATGATCAGCATTGTTCTACTACATATTCGAGTTATTTTTTTTTACCGCCCCCATCTTGGAAATGAAATCCCCTGGGACTCGCGGCACGTTAGCTTAATCTCCACTTGACTGAGGATAACTCGTCGTGCTAAGAAAGAGTCCGCGTTTGAAGGAGCCGGCTAGAGAGGCACTTCAAGCCCAATTTGGTCGTCAAGGTTGTCGATCCTTCGAGACCCACTTGTACTCTTGAAAAAATACCAGAAATCCGTGAAATCCGAGAATCCCGGCCGCGTCCGACAGATCATCATTTCATAATTCTTGATACTACAGACTCCAGAGTATCTACTCTCATCTCCGAGTCCGCCAGTTCTCCCGAGATATCTGCATTTAAGTCAATACCTTTCAATCTCATGGGGACAGGCCAGCTTCCAGCGGGTCTCGGGAAACCTGCCAATGACCGCAAAAGAAGAGATCAAAAGCCACGAGTCATCCAATCATGTTCCTTGTGTCGCCAGAGAAAGTATGTTACCAGTCTAGCGTTTAAAGGAGAGAGATAAGGCCCCATTTTACTAGCCCCGCGTATCATGCGGCATGCCATTGTTACCTAGAATATCTCAGCCTCAACTCAACCTTGGAAGTGCTTATTTATCTCTATAGGCTAAAATGCAACCGAAAATTGCCTTGCGACAATTGTGTAAAGCGGAAGGAGGAGACTTCCTGTCGATACGCTACAAACCTTGCAGATGCAGTGAGGAATGCAGATAGAGGAACCCATCCGCCTGACCGCATCCATCACCTGGAGGAAAGAATAAAACAGCTAGAGAAATTCATCGCTTCGCAAGCGAATCCGACCGCAGGCCTTGGAAATCTTGTTTCTAATACCGAGGGGCTAATGCAAGGCCACAAACGCACCAACCAAAGTAACCACGCAAACGGACTACTTCTGTCTGGGCCAGGCGGCACAAGATACATCAACTCTGCTCATTGGCAAACGATCAGGGATGCTGTAAGCAAACCAAGCCTCCTTACATGTCCCGTTGCATCCCTCTAATTCCATAGCTAGACCAAAGCACTGAAAGGAGGGAGTTCTCATACTAACAATGGAATTAACGATGAATCGCCGCGAACGTCCCATGGATCCTATCTGTTGACAGGGTTGTCAGGGCAGATGTCGATGAATGACCTTCTCGCAGCATTACCTTCTCGAGAAACGGTAGAAAGCCTAGTCGCTACCTATCTCAACTCAAGGGAACCCTCTCAATGTATGAACCTTTCTTTTAAAGAGCCAGTACATGACAGCTGAACCTCGATCTACGCAGGCTTTGTTCATCGTCTTAATTTTATAAGCGAGGTATACTGAAGAGGATAAGCTCCAAGAATACCATTTTGGTCACAAGCTAATCTTAGGCAATCGAAATAGTGCAATGAAATGTGGAACAATCCTACGAAAGTTCCCCCGGCATGGCTGGCGTGTCTATACGGCATAATGTCCTGCGCAGTATGGATTGACCACATAACAAAAAATACCATATCTGAAGTAAAATCCGAATTACCCGAAACCTTTGACTTTTATCGAAAAAGCTGCGCTCTCTGTCTCGCAAGTTCAGATTACACAATTCCTGGTCACTATAAGGTTGAAGCTCTCGGGATTTACTTGGGGGTCGAGTTCTTGTCCAGCAATACTCCGAAAACCAGTGTCTCGGTACTGTTGGGAATATGCATCCGCTTGGCCATAATAATGGGCTACCATCAAGACGCTCAACTATATTCCAATATCTCCGTATTCGAAGCGGAAATGCGTCGACGAACGTGGCTTTTCTTGCAAGTCGCCGATTGCATGGTGTCGTGTCTCATCGGCGTCCCAAGGGTTATCACAGGAAAACTGGGCGATACCGAGTTCCCACGAGATATCATAGACGAAGATTTCGGACCAACAACCGTCGAGCTACCACCATCACAATCTATATCCAAAAGGCCTACCAGCATCACTTACATGGTCGCCCTCAGACGGATCATGACGGTCTACAATGAGATGATGGATACTATATCATCCAAGAAACTAATATACGACGAGACTCTCAAACTAAATAACGACCTTGAAGTCGCCCGGGACCACATCCCACCCCTCTTGCGCATGCATGCTCTCGACTACAACTGTCCGAAGGCAGATAACGATCTCATTATTGAGCGACACATGTTGGAAATCACGTTCCAACGCGCGCGCTGTATCTTGCATAGGCAGTACCTGTTATCAAATCGGGGCGAAAGCATGAATCAGGATCTCCGAAGGACGTGCGCTCATGCCGCACAGCGAATAATCGAACTTCAAATTAAGCTATTCCAGGAGATCATACCGCGGGCTCGCCAATATCGAAGAACTTGGTTTGGCGCTTCCATGTGCATCACAGATTGCTTGACGGCTGCCATGATTATCTGCTTCGAGATCATCAATTTATCGCAGGCTGAAAAGCAATCACACTCCAAGAAAATTGCTGGCTTCATCGAGCTACTGAGGAGCTTGTACAATATCTGGAAGGTTGCTCCAGAGCCGTCGTTTGAGACCTCTCAGGCTGCTGATACGTTGGCCGCGATGTTTAAACTGGTACAGTCGGGCGATGCAAATATTACTCTGCACTCCTCGGGCCCGGTTCTCTCCAATGATCAGGATAGGCAGGCTCTCCCTGGATCTCTCTCGGGGTCTGCAGACGGAAGAGTGGAAATGCAAGATCCCTTAACTTTGGGGTGTTTGCAGGATCTGTTGAATACCGATTGGGCATTTGAGATGTTTGACTGGGTAAGAAATACGTTGTACGTTGCGCCTTGTTTCCAACATTTGCTGATTATACTCGTTTTGCAGGGTTTGTGGGATCATGAAATGCAGGAACTCAGTGGCATCATTTCGAATAATATGTCCGGTTGAAAAAATTGACAAATGCAGTACATGCTAGTATAAACATGATCCATTGAAATGGAACATTTGAATGAGAAGAACTTTGGAATCAAGTTGCCCAGGTGGCCGCAAAGCACCGCGCTCACCTCCATGGATTTGACTGAAAAGATGTCCCCATTGTGCGTTGTCTTTTCACAGTTCCTCTGTCATCACCAGAGCTTTTCCGTCCACCTATCCAGACATGATGTTTCTCGGGTTCATCAAAGCTGAATTGTTGATCGAGAGAAGAAAGAATGTATTTCGAGTCCAAACCAGGCTTTAAGTGAGACAAGAGAAGTTTGGTATATGCTGCAGCGGTCGCGGCAGCATACTTCTGCCACCGGTTGTTTTTATGTGAGTCAGAGTAGTCGCATATGCCGCGAATGATGAGGGAAGGTAAGACGTTCATGACGCCAGCAGCTTCCATCTCAAAACAAAGCACATTGTGCTTTTTTGCCAAAGCATCTCTTATTTTTGCATCTCTCATCACTTGATTTCCTGATCCAATCAAGCCATAATGCACTCTTGGCAGTCTACTTGTTCTTGCCAGTCTTGGCCGAATCATAGACACGTCACATCCGTCACAAGTTTCCATGTCTTCAGGATGAGAATATAAGGATTCGTAGAGATTGTCGGTGGATACATCTGGGCTGCCGTAATCCCCATTCGCATCACTTATGGCCTGCAAATATGGCCCTAAGTTTGGCCTTGAGTGTTTGGGGTCGGACTGCATGACACTCAGCACTGACCTGACGGTCCTGGGAGGTGGTTGCAAGTATCCGTTCATCTGGGAACGGCCGTTCTCCAGGGTCTTGATCATATCATACTGAATCACTCCAATGTCTTTCCCGACTGGCGTGCTCACGACGACATCACCCAGCCGGATATCGTGGCGCGCAGAAGGGGCGCCCCCTCCGATGCCTACGAACAGGCAAATCTGCAGGGAACCGAAGCTTCGTTTCATGTTTGAAGCCACGCTGGCGGCTGAATTGGTTCCATATTCACCGTCCGGAAGACAGGTTGTAACGACATTATGTTGATTTATCGATCCAAAGCGGTAGGAGTTGGGGTCTTTCGATGAGACCGCGACTTCATGGGTGCTATCAAACAGAATTTGAACGGCCATGAGCTCTAGATGAAGGGCGCAGATAATCCCAATAGTATAACTATCGCTCGTCAAGAGTGTAGATGGTTGCCGTAATAACTCTTCACGTCGCTGTACAGGATACTGGCCCTGGCTACCATTCTGAGTCAAACTTGTTGAGTCGTGCCTCTCTCCAACTCCATTTTCATGCGAGACAGAAGGACCATTTTCGTGTTCATGCTTGCAAACCAGCGAGGTAGGTGGTGGAGATGGATCGCCAGTCTCCGGCCAATGCCATAAATTGTTTGGATTCAGCCCGAAGATGTAGGCACCCTCTTCGTTTTCTTCTCTGTGGAGCTTTTGGCCGGGAATTTGAGAGGCCACTGTTGATGGTAGAAGAACTTGGGCGATGTCAGAATGCGGAATCTCCTCTGCGGGAATGCATCGACATTTCGTTGAGGTGTTGTTCGAGGTATGCCAGATTATCTTATCAGTCAACATCCTTGGACTTGAATGCAAATCTCCGCACCAAGAATCGACGATATCTTTAAGATCTTCGTGAGAAATTACAAGGTAAGACTTTCCGCAGGGGACCCGACTCCATTTCGAACAGGCATCAACGGGGTGGATAATGTCACCGAACTCGCGACCGAAGAGAGTGATTGCACGAACAGATCGAATCAGATCAACCCAGGCCATCCCGGCTGAATCCAGCTTTGTTGCTCTTGCAAGAATTGGGTCACGCTCTGTAGCCAGGCTCTCAAAGTCCCAACCTTCTAAATATGATCGAGATGCGCAAAGTTTTGGATGTGCAGCAATTGCAGCTGATTGGTAATCGAATGCCTTCTCTAGTATCTCATAGAATCTGTTCACATGTTCGTGAAATACTACCGGGTCATCGTCTCCATCGTAGATGGGTAGTCTGGTGTTTGAATCATTTCCCAGTACCCAGGACGCAGAGGTTGGTCCATAGGGTGAAGGATAATGCATTTTAGCTGGATCGAAGACCGTTGCCGCAGAAAAGGGACCATGTCTGTCCAATTCGAGAGAAGCGCGCACGAGATGGAGAAGAGCAGTAGCTCCGTTTACCAACCACCCGCGTTTGTGCTTATGGTCCCAAAGAAGAACAACTTTTTTTTCGATCCACTTCAACTTTTGTATGTAATGTCTGCGCATGTCACGAATCCTCGGGTTTTTCTGGCCAAAAGCCATTGCCCCTGCTCCCTCGGTGACATTGAACCCTGGAGATATGGACGCATTTGCGAGGAGGCAATCGACTGAAGCCCTTGGGAGATTGGAAGCTTTGACATCGTAGAATGCGTCATGAGAGCCTATTGAAGTTAGCTGAACGGTTACCCATTTGTTGGCTTCTTTTATGATTGTTTTTGATAGCTCACCTGCAAGGAACTGCATTCTTGAACACCAACCCAGGATATGACGAGAGCTCTGTAAATGAGGAAGTTTTATTTCCTCATTAGCGAGTTGCACACCAGCATCATAGGATATTCGAGTGTCGCTGTCATCGGACGAGATCAAATGCCAAAGTATAAGATTTCTCATGTATTCCGTGGGCATGAGAATCATAGAAAAGCTCTTCAAGAACAGTTTGCCCGAAAATTGATGAACTCGATTTGTTCCCGCTAACAATGCCATCATTGCCAAAGGGATTTCTAAGCCCTTGTTGAAGCCCGGTCTGCGGGATATTGGATATCCTTCCACCACCACGGGGCTTTTGAACAAACCGCGCCAGCATTGGCCAATTCCCGCAGTGTCCCTTCTCATTGCAAAATATGAAAAGTCGATTGCACATTCCAGTTTGTGTGTGTTTGGTCCTGAGATATCCCGCCCTAACCTATAGGTGGTTTTATTCCCAACAGGGACCCAACATTGAGGCGAGCAGAAGGTGAGACGGTCATCAAATGGAGAGGATCTCAAAGCAGACCCCATCCACGAGATAACCTCGCCAACTTCCACAATCCAGCTTGAAAGACCATTTACTGTCACATAAATGGCCCTCTGCGTAGGATTCTCAGGTGCTGTCATGGTACATGTGACGTGTGTATCATTTGGCAATTTGCCTTGAAATGGATATTAATAATATTCCTGGCAGTTCTGGACTAGAGCTGGCTCACATGAAAGCTGAGATGGCCAATTATTGTCGACCCCATCTTGAATAAGCTTTAAAATATCGAGTCCGCTACATGGCCATGTTTGTCTGAGATATTCTGAGCAAGTCTGTGCTTGTGCCATCTCGATCGACCCTGTCAGCACAACAGAGTTCCCGAGTTTATTCTGGGATGACTCAGGATACTCCCGCTGGAGAAAATCGAGTGGATCCCAATCAACCTTGAATGTCATGATGATATTTTCTGGAGGCTCACTCCGGTTGACTTCTGTGAGATCTGATAGCATTCTGTATATTTTTCTAGATACCTTAATCAATGTGTATGGTTCCGTGGAGATCATCGTACATTCTCGGTGGATATCGGATTGTAGCTTGGTGAAGCCTATGTCAGATTGTATTAGAGAGACGCAGGCTTGAATGCCAGGTAAGTACGGGCTCGGCTTGTCATCTTCATTGTCACTGGAGGGTGCTGGGTAATCCATGCCCAGCAGCGGTGGCTCTATGGAGCCATCGGGCTCCTTTGCCAGACCGATACCTTGCGGCCCCTTATTCTTTTCCATCCCAGCCACCCCAGGACTGTCGCGATTGTTCAAAGTGACATTGTCTGTAAAAAGCAAAAGAATCGACCGACAACCTGTGGTTATGTCTCTAGATTATGTAAGTTAGCATGGCGAATGGTTCACAAGATACCGTAGCTGGGTTGTTTGTACCGGCAGTATTTGCGTATGAATAACATAACGGCCATGTGCTCCTCTGAAGAGGGATTCTGCTGGCCAATGCTCATGGACAGCCCTTCCAACAGTCTTGGTAAAGTCTTACAGATTCTGTTCACGGCTTCTTCATCCAAAGATCCAATCGATTCGTATGCGGCGTTTGAAATTTGCTCTGCGATCGCAAAAATCAAGTCGTGTCTGCCAGTATCTGGTATGGTGAGAGACCTAGTAGAACCACTAGCTCGATTTCTTCTAGGCTCAAGAATATAATGAAAATCCGCATCTGACATCGCAATAAATGGGCCACGGGTTTGAGATGACTCTTCTTTGGTCTGTAGGGTATCTGTCTTCGAGTTCAATGGTCTCTGTGATGTACTTCCCGAATTGTAACCTTCACATAGAAAGTCTCCACGAAGGCAATTATTACCTAGCATTCGAAGTTAGCACAATAACCTTGACGAGCCACAATAGCTTCCTCCGCATCACAACTGACGCGAGAGAAGACCATCAGAAACACTTGCAAGCTGGATGCTGTCCATCGCATTTCTTTTTCCTGCGGCGACAAGTCACACAACCGGCCTTGGTTCGGTTGCCGAGAACCCGCTTTCTCTTAGACCCTGGTCCCGATTTTGCCGGCTGCTCCAAGGGGTCCGATGTCCACGAAGGATATTGCACGGGGCTATATTCTATGTCATCAAACATGAACAAATCCCGAGTTCCAGTATGATATTCCCCTATTGAGGCCCATCAGTTGAGGTTGGTGGTCTGGCCAGACGTGTCATATTGACTCACAGTCCGTGTTGCCTCCGAGATAAGTATCCAATACCCTCAAATGCTCAGATATGTCTATTGCCGTCAAAGATTCGCCTCCCGATTGAACATGACGGGCTAGCAAATTGATGCGACCGGGCTCAGGGAATATAGCGGGTTGGTTTGCTATAAGAGCTATGGAAGAAGATGTGGTAAGCATATCATCATTCCACGATGGCCAACCATGCGAACCTTCTTGTAAAGAATGCTCAAGTTCCGGGGTCCAATCAATGCGTTCGCGGATGCCCGCTTTTTTATACTGTTGATATTGTGGTGAGTTCAGGTAACCCTTAATCAGGTACGGTTCGTCTTGTGTGTTCGAGGGTCTCTTGGCCCAAGCGCCTATTTTGTCTATCTGCTCGCTCAAAGACTCGGTGCTATTAGCAGTCGAAGCGTCCTTAATCAGGTACGGTTCGTCTTGTGTGTTCGAGGGTCTCTTGGCCCAAGCGCCTATTTGGCCTATCTGCTCGCTCAAAGACTCGGTGCTATGAGCAGTCGAAGCGTGGGGGCGGCGAGAATCCCTCAGTGTTGGTTTGTTTTCAGAAGTAGTCTCCATACTCGCGTCGGAGTAATACCTAAGGATATTTTGAGATCATTCAGGTGTGAAAGACCGTCTTAGTTCAAGGATGTAAGATTTGATCATGGTAGCGGGGAAAACATCGGGAAGGAGAGAGGGGTATGTTCCGCATTATGTGCCAGCGCGATGACCTGCATATTCATTAATAAACACACGAACACTGCTCCCAGAGAACCAGGGTAGTTCCACAAATTTCACGGCCTGGAAATCGCTGATTTTTACCAAAGCCAAAACTTGTCTTGCAGCTCTCTTCCAGGGCTAGGTCGATCATCTGTCTCAGAGATATATCATATACTGATATGGGAGTATGGATCAAAGTGGGTCCGCACAACCTTCTAGGCTTCTTGGCATTTCCGTCAACTGACGAATCTCCCAAACCGCCGAATTCTACCGAATCACCGACATGTGGAACGCCCTCGGCGAGTTAGATCTCCACCTTGATGCCACCCGAGAGATTCATGCGAGTGCTTTGATGGGATTGGAGGACAAACGACTCAAACCGGGAATTAGTGGGGGTCATCGGCCTGTCCCGCAGAACAATTTTGTGCCGTGCCGAGTTCCCGGTTTCAATGTTTCAATTGTTGCATTTTGATATTGATCTTGACATTCCACACCTTCTCTTGGAATGTTCCGATGATCTTAACTTACATCTGTGAATTTTGATTGTTTCTTTTCCTTTCTGTTAAACTACTTTGTGAGGCTGGACCTCCAAGAAACCCTTATATCGGTCCATCATGATCACGGACCACAGTGAAGATGTCAAGGAACTTGAATATCAGAGCTATATCCCATTTTGGCGTTTATTGATCGATCAGCAAATAATCACGAAAGAGGTGCTGGATCATAAATATGATGGCTCGGGAACTGAAGACGACCCATATGTCGTCCGTTGGCTTACAGTCGATCCCCGCAATCCCATGGAATTCAGTATGGCTAGAAAAGCCGTCATCACATTCGCTACTGCTATTGCAACCTTTGTCATATCCTTGACTTCTTCCGCCTACAGCGGTAGTATTCAAGGTGTTATCGATGAGTTCGATATTGGCAGAGAGGTCGCTACGCTTGGTCTGTCTCTGTTCGTCTTTGGATTTGCCGTGGGACCTTTAATATGGGCACCGCTGAGTGAGACAGTGGGACGGCAAATTCCATTCTTCGTATCCTTTCTGGCTCTCTCTGCCTTTTCAGCAGGATGTGCAGGTGCCCAAGATATTCATACCTTATTGATTCTTCGGTTCTTCGGAGGAGCTTTTGGCTCTGCACCTCTTACGAATGCTGGTGGCGTGATTTCAGACATGTTTGTCGCTAGACAACGCGGGCTGGCAATGCTATTATTTGCTTCAACACCTTATCTGGGTATATATCCAACTCTAACAAAAAACACCCGTCTGGAATACCTGTGCTAATTGAATCTTAGGCCCCGCCCTCGGCCCCATTATCGGTGGCTTTCTTGAAATGAACGCAGGGTGGAGAGTGGTGGAGGGTTTTCTTGCCGCTTGTGCAGGAATAGCTTGGATCTTTATGGCGCTTTTAGTACCCGAGACTTATGCACCGGTACTGCTCCGTAAACGAGCAGCAAAGCTATCGCTCCTTACAGGGAAGTGCTACCAGAGCAAACTCGACATTGAAAAAGGGAAAATCCCCATTTCCAAAAAGTTGAAAACAGCATTCTCCCGGCCTTGGGTGCTTCTCTTCCGTGAGCCCATTGTACTTCTTCTGACCTTCTACGCCGCATTGATCTATGGCGTGCTGTACATGCTTTTTGAAGCTATCCCGATTGTCTACGAGGATATTCGAGGATGGAATGCGGGTGTTGGAGGTCTTCCTTTCCTGGGCGTCATGATCGGCGTCTTATTCGGTGTAGCCTACACAGTATGGGATAATAAACGATACATTCGGACACAAGAAAGACACAATGGGTTTGCTCCACCGGAAGCTCGTCTACCCCCTTGTATGTCCTCCGCCGTGGCAATTCCCATCGGTCTATTCTGGTTCGCGTGGACCAATTCCCCATCCATCCACTGGGCCTGCAGTGTTGCAGCTCTCATTCCGTTCGGATTTGGGCTACTCCTCATCTACATGGGAATCGTCAACTACCTCATCGACTCTTACACCATCTACTCAGCATCTGTTTTAGCAGGCATGTCTATTTTCAGATACGCATTTGGAGCCATATTCCCCTTATTCAGCTCATATATGTATGCTGCTCTGGGTATTCACTGGGCCTCGTCGATTCCAGCTTTTGTGTCAGTTTTGTGCATGCCGCTGCCATTTTTCTTCTATAAGTATGGTGCACAGATACGACAGCGCTGCAAGTATGCTGCATTGTCACAGATGCGCCTTGAGGCATTGCGGAAATCGTCCGTATCGGAAAATCCGCCACTGCAAGTTTCGGAGGAAGGGACAGAGACCCAGCGAGGACTAGTGACGAGCCCCTAGAGTTTTCCAAAAAGAGTGTTGTTACCTTGTGTCCGATGCATTTGATACTATTTTGCATATAAAACCTACCCATTCTTATAGATTAGATATCCATGTATTCTCGGCGACAAAATCCGCATTTATATCACCATCTACATACACATTTGCAGTTCAGTCTCGTAGTGGCCGCCGCCGGATAAGGGCATCAACATTGATTACCCTATATGGCCCCGGGTCAACTCCGCCAAACAGCATTTCTAAACAGGCTTAGTACATATGTAGTTCTTTCCTTTTTACTATGGCCGAGCGGTTTATCATTCTCTTTCTGGTTTAGTAATAACTGCTGCTGAGTACATATCTACTCTGGGATTCCCTACTTGGTTTAGTAGTTCCCGTTAGTTTTTTTGGCGAGAGTTAACTTCTTGGGTATAAATACCACCTTTTCTCTCCATTTCTTTTTTCTTTTCTTCTTTTTTCCCCATCTCTCCATCCTTTCGCCTATATAGTTAGACCCTGATATGTAAGTCTCATTTTTTTTTAATTCAGTTCCATCAAACTTGTTGTTGTGTCCTCCATCCTTCAACATATTGTCTCACCCTTGTTGACTTAATCCATCAACAAAACAACATGCTGTCCCTTCCATCAAGCGCATTGTTGTTTCATCCAACTTTGATGATTCTATTCATCAACATCAAGCACTAATGACTTCATCCATCAACACAGTGCGTTATTTATATTGATCAATCAACACGTCGACTACACTCGTCAACAAGTAAAAATCGATCACATCAATCTGATCAATCATTGATGATTTGATCCATCAATGCAATAACAGTATGTTGCTTTATCTGATTTGGTGGTCTCACATTATGTATTATAGTATCTGGCCATATCGTCGCCTCTTTGGCGACATTCCAGCAATACAACAAAAACCAACTTTCAATTTCGGTCTTCGGGTTGGTCCGCGTCCTTTCTGAACAGGCATCACTTGGCTACACGCTGGGTTTCAGGACACATTCAGTCAATATGTGGAATTTGTCCACGTCAACAAAAAAATCGTCAGCTCCGATAGCTCGCCGAACCACCACTTCGATCTTCAGATTGGTCCCCATTTCTTACTGAACAGGCATCACTCGGCCACACGCTGGGTGTCAGGACAAATTCAGCAGAAGACTTGGCAAGACCATGAGCTGGCAGCGATTATTTTCGATCTACGTTGTGAGTTTACATCGTCTTTCTCATGGACTATGTACTAATAGCCTTATGGGTGTTCTCTATTCAGGCCTTCCCTTATTAGGTCATGTCAACAAGAAATTCGATAGCTCCGGTCGCCTACCAAAACACCACCTCGACCTTCAGATTGGTCTCCAGCTTTTACTGAACAGGCATCACTCGGCCACACGCTGGGTGTCAGGACAAATTCAGCTAAGGGTTGCTGGCCATGAGCTGGCAGTGATGACCGTCGATCTACGTGGTGAGTCTACTCTATTTTCTTATCAGTGTTTGTGCTAACAGTCTCTACCCACAAAACACCACCGCGCACAATATCTTGCGAATAAAGGGATGAAACAGAACCAAAGCACCCCCGCCTCCCTTATACCTCAAAGAAGATTTGGAAGCCAGAAAGAAGGGTCCAAGAACCACCACACTTTTCAAAACATAAATGTAGACCATTCTTGTCGATACTTTTTTTCGATTCAAGGAGCTTACTTAGTATTTCAAAAAGCTGGACTGTCCATGAAAATTACATATTAAATCCGACAAGGCTCATTGTTCCACTTGCTAGTGCCAATAGTGTGCGGCGGCCGATAGAGGCCACCCCTAGGTCAAATCCCAATTTCAACTTTCCGACCGGCAGAAAGTAAATTACGAGTAATTCCAAATTCATATTAGTTTTTGAACTCGTTACTCCATTATGTTCAGGCAGTTCAGCGCTGCATTATACATTAAATCCTTGAACTCTATTATATATTACTAGTAATGCTATATTATATTAGTTAACTACTGATGTCTCTTTCTCTAGGTAAATTATCACAACAACTGGCAAGAAAGAGAGGCTGAGATCCTAGTCATATAATCCATTCTTAAGTCCCTTCTCAAGACTACTCTCAAGTCTATTCTCAAGTCTACTCTCAAGTCTATTCTCAAGTCTATTCTCAAGTCTATTCTCAAGTCTATTCTCAAGTCTATTCTCAAGTCTATTCTACAAGTGACCCGTATAATGTATTTAGATCAAATCCCTTAAGATATTCCTATATATGATAAATACAATACAGGCGGGAAACAGGGCGGTGAAGTTAGAAACTGAAATTGGGATATGACCTAGGGGTGGCCTCTATCGGCCGCCATAAATAGTGCTACTTTGTTATGTATTAATGTTCTCATTAGCGCCCGTTGGGCGTGAATAATTCAATGGCTGACAATCCCCCTTTTATGGGTCCCAGACATACTTGATATGGGGCCATTGCCATGATCTGGACAGAATAGTAGGTACGGATTATCGATATACCATCTGCCAAGGATAGGAAGCTGCGCCTCAAAGTAGTGAGGCACTGGGCATCGCTCCAGGGCGGCTTCCAGTTTTCAATAGCTCAATGAAAACGTATGATAATTTCTTTCCATTCTAATGTTTCTTTTCTCACTCCTTTATATACCACCGATTTGATATTCAACGAGTTAAAGCTATCGCTGTATTATTTATGTGAGCCTATATTTGAGATCGTCGGCTACCCCATCACTCCGGGGTGTTTTTGTTGTCGTCTCGTTGCTGATAAACATGCATGTCAAGATTTGCGGAGTGCATGCTCGTCATAAGGTAGACGATCGCTCCACATTCCATTCAGTGGTTCGACATTTTCGTTGGTCGAACCGCAAACCGAGTTCCCCACAACAGGAATCATCTCCGCCGCAGGCGGACTCACACGAGATGTCGTACCACCCTGGACGTGCCTCCCCCTTACCACCAGAGAATGCCTCAGGGGAACAACAACTCCCTCCAAACCAACGATCACCTTCTTCCAAGCCAAAACCTTCACGCAAGGAACAGAAAAGGCTTAGTCGCGCCGTCCAGCTCTTGCTTAGCACCCCGCAGTCTGCAAGGGGTGCGGGCACCACCGTCAGCGGGGCAGTCCAACCTTCACGAGATCGTGGGAGTCGCAGCCCAGTCGAACCTCTCGTTTCATCTCCACTTCGCATCAGTTCTATCGTGATGGCATCCGCTCCAAGCTCCCCCGAGAGGCACAGGGCCGACCCTGACGATCTGCCGCGCAGATTATCCGACCAATTTACCAGAGATATAGACCAGCCCCCGAGAGTTGATGCAGGACAAATTGAGGACTCGAGACCGGCGACTGCACCAACGACCCCAGAGCACGGGGTGTCCAAGAAACATAAATTACAAGGACGGAGTGCGATGGCCGCAATGATGTCGGGCTTGGAGTCACGGTTGTTCCCCAAGAGTTTCACTCGTGGAAGAGATTCAAGCCGGGGATCAAGTCGACGTGGCTCTTCTGTGGACTCTCCCTCCCCCTCGGCGGGCTCGAGATTTAGTAGATCTCTTTCCCCAGGTACCCGAGTCTCACAGCTTGGGCAGCCCGAGGTGCCCGCTGAGCGAAAGCCGACGGAGGCCAATTACGATTCAGGGCACAGCAAATCAGAGGAGGTTTTATCTAAACTATCCGGCAGTCCTAGTCTTCCCGACTACGTCAAGCCGACAGATGAAGAGCCAGGCGAGCGACTTGCAAAGGATGTGTTTGACAGTGACAAAAATCTCATTGAAAGCAGTGATGATGACGATGATGCCTCGAGTGATGATGAGGATATTGATATTCCCGGGGCCCAGGTCGTTCACTCGCGGGGTCGTAAGAAAAGACCTGCAGGTATCAGCTCCATCAGTCCAAGCGACTTCAAACCCAAAGAGGACAAGCCCCAAGACAAAGAAGAACGTATGTCATTAAGCTCTCTGTGTCGTTTAGACATCGAATGGTATATACTAATCCGCTGTATTAGAAAACTACACTTCCAAACCCGGCGATACCAGGGAAAAGAAGCCAAGGAAGTCGGCATTGAAGGCCGTGATTCATCCGCAAACAAGCTTCGACATCCCGACTCCGGCTACTCAATCAGTGGCTGGTACACCCTATGGATCGGAGGATGAGGCAGAGCGACATGATATTCACCGTGCCCAGCAACTCGGTATTTCGATGTCCGCCATTGACAATCGTGTCCCCAATCGATCCATTCGCACGATAATCCGAGGTGACTTTGCGAGTCTTCAAGAAGAGGCCGATGGCGGACGCCGTCGCCAACGCAAGTATCTAATTGCTACGGACTTGAGTGAAGAATCGGTCTACGCTCTGGAGTGGACTATCGGAGCCGTGTTGAGAGACGGGGATACCGTGTATGCATTATACGCGGTACATGAAGACGCCAATCTCTCCTCTGTGCAGGTTGGTGAGGGGGCCAAGGCCATGCAAGATGCTGCTGCCGTCGTGGGTAGTCAGACGAAGGAAGCTACTCTAAACTCTGGCCGCTATATTCTGGGACGGCTAGGTCCAGGGGGCACTAGCAAATCGAGCTCTGTGGATGCTCGTGCTTCATCCCTCGCAGAAGCAGAGCGAGTCAAAGCGGTCGAAATAGTGTCTAATACTTGTGTCAAGTTTCTGCGGAAGACGCTTTTGCAAGTTCGCATCGCAGTGGAGGTTATTCACTGCAAGAGCCCAAAGCTTATGATTACCGAGGCTGTAGGTCTTCCTGAAAAGTTTTAGGATTACGATCAAGTCACTGACATTTCTCTAGATTGACGAGCTTGAGCCCACTCTTGTAATTGTCGGCGCCCGCGGCCAGAGCGCCCTGAAGGGGTCAGTTAACCCCTTGTATCAAGTCATTTCAACGCAAAACTAACAATCCAACCAAACAGTGTACTCCTCGGTTCATTCTCCAACTATTTACTGTCTAACTCATCGTCTCCTGTGATGGTTGCCCGTCGCAAGCTCAAAAGGCATCCTTCAAAAGGCAGGCTTAGCAAAGACCTGCGCCTGACCAATAATCTCAAACCTCCAAAGAGCCTCACGCAAGCGACGGTGGATTGAGCATATCCTTTGCATTTATTTTTACCCATTCTTCCGAGTCCTCTTTGTTATTTGTTCTTCTTCACTCTTGCATTTCCATGGGGCACGCATAATGGGCATTGTTGGATCTTGATATCCTTAAACCACTCTTCCGGGTCTCCTCTTATCCCCTATTGATACCCTTTGCTTTATCTTCACGACCTGATGACACTGGCTTGCTTTGCCAAATCTACCGCTCATGAATTATCTAGAACAAAATTCAAATTGTTCAAGAATCAATTACTACTCCATACGGTTGATCAATGATCATCTTCTGTTTCTTGTAGATCTGGGCTTGTGGATAAAAACTGCCCTAATTGTTTTTTTACACCAGCTCAACTAAATGATTCCTTAGAAGCAACTTGAAGGATCGATCATAAACAGAAAAAAAAGTGAGATTGATTTATCGCTAAACTCCTCAGCTAGTCCGAATACTGTCCGATCCACTGTCGTCAGCCATCACGTGACACGTCACCGCCCGAGCTGTCGACAGCTTGGCCAACCTTCGAATCGAGGCCCTCCACCTATCCCCGGAAAGCTACACCCCACCTGCTTTCGCACCCATTCTCCTTCTTGTGTTTGTTGCTGTGTCTGTGGAGGATCCGATTCGCCCACCATGGCCGATTTTGTTGACCCCCGGATGTCCTCCATCAAGCCCCGCATCCGCTACAACACCATTGGAGGTATTAATGGACCGCTGGTCGTCCTTGATAACGTGAGTCGGCATATCCGAACCTGGCGATTGGATATTGTAAGAGACATATATACTAACCAATGCTGGTCTGCAAAATAGGTCAAGTTCCCTCGTTACAATGAAATTGTGTCCCTCACTCTTCCCGATGGCACAGAGCGTTCCGGTCAGGTGCTGGAGGCCAGAGGTAAGCTCGTTTCCACTCCCTCATTCGCGGAGACACCCAGGATAGTCATACGGAACATGTGCTGATTTTTCGCCCTACTTGCTACAGGATCCCGAGCCGTTGTGCAGGTGCGCGCCAATATCCAACTCCCCCCGAGCCCCCTAACGAGCTAGTATTAACGGGTTGATTCGCCAGGTGTTCGAAGGTACTTCCGGTGTCGATGTGAAGAAGGTACAGCTTTATGAAAACTACCACCAGGGAATATTATTGGCTAACCTATCCTAAGACTAAAGTCGAATTCACTGGCCACAGCTTGAAGCTGGGTGTGTCCGAGGACATGCTGGGTCGAGTGTTTGATGGTTCCGGACGTGCTATTGATAAGGGACCTAAGGTGTTGGCCGAGGACTACCTTGATATTAACGGCCAGCCTATTAATCCCTACTCTCGAGTATGTACCGCCGAACCCATTATCAGAAATGTCCCAGAAGCTGATACAATCGCCATAGGTGTACCCCGAGGAGATGATCTCCACCGGTATCTCCGCCATTGATACCATGAACTCCATCGCCCGTGGACAGAAGATCCCCATTTTCTCCGCCGCCGGTCTCCCCCACAACGAAATCGCTGCTCAGATTTGTCGTCAAGCCAGTCTGGTCAACCGGCCAACCAAGGGCGTCCACGATGGACACGACGACAACTTCTCGATCGTTTTCGCTGCTATGGGTGTTAACATGGAGACTGCTCGTTTCTTCACTCGCGATTTCGAGGAGAACGGCTCTATGGAGCGTGTCACTCTGTTCCTTAACTTGGCCAACGATCCCACCATTGAGCGTATTATTACTCCTCGTCTGGCCCTGACCACTGCCGAATACTACGCCTACCAGCTCGAGAAGCACGTCCTTGTCATCATGACTGATCTTTCCGCATACTGTGATGCCCTGCGTGAGGTTTCCGCTGCCCGAGAAGAAGTGCCCGGTCGTCGTGGTTACCCCGGTTACATGTACACTGATTTGTCGACCATCTACGAGCGTGCTGGACGTGTTGAGGGTCGTAATGGATCTATTACTCAGATCCCCATTCTGACCATGCCTAACGATGGTAGGAGACTCTTCTCTTCGCTTTTGCTGATACGAAAATACTAATTTGCTCTTCCCAGATATCACTCACCCCATTCCCGATTTGACTGGTTACATTACCGAGGGTCAGATCTTCATTGATCGTCAACTTTACAACAAGGGTGTTTGGCCACCCATTAACGTGCTCCCCTCTCTATCTCGTCTGATGAAGTCCGCTATCGGTGAGGGCCGTACCCGCAAGGATCACGGTGATGTTTCCAACCAGCTTTACGCCAAGTACGCCATTGGTCGTGACGCCGGTAAGTTTTCCCCCGCTGTTTGCAAGGAAATTCCATACCAATTTCAGTACTAACAAACCGAAAACAGCCGCCATGAAGGCCGTCGTCGGTGAGGAGGCCCTTTCCCCCGAAGATAAGCTCTCCCTTGAGTTCCTCGAGAAGTTCGAGCGCACCTTCATCAGCCAGTCCCCATACGAGTCTCGCACCATCTACGAGTCTCTCGACATCGCCTGGAACCTGCTCCGCATTTACCCCAAGGAGCTGCTTAACCGTGTCCCCAAGCGTGTCCTGGACGAGTTCTACGCCCGCTCGGCCCGCAAGCTCGCGGCTAAGGATACCCGTGACAACTCTACCGAGAACCAGCTCGTCGACGATGCTTGATTGTACAGCAGAAAGCGTGCGTTCTGAATTCTCGGCTTTTGTTTCTTGTTTCGCGCTGAGGGTGAATGAAAGAAGCGCGTGGGTTGGTTTGCTGGCTAGACTCGCTATTTTGGGTCTGGGCTAGCCCCGACCCTGCATGATCTCTGACCTTTGTCCTATTGCATATACTCTTCTGTGCGGCTGTATCTGATGTTATATCTTTTTTTCCCTTTTTTGATCCTGATCCCGATCCTGTGGTTTCGCGTCTTCTGGTCATCCCTCAAATCTACCTCCTTTTGGTATCTACTAGAGTATAAAATGTTTCTCAAGTACTAAGTTTGTGTTATCATTAATTACTGGGGTTGTACATAATCTCCCTGAGTACCAGGTACATACCCATCTCAAGTGCTGTGTATGTACCCTTCTCAAGTAGTCACTAGATACCACGGGTAGGTACTGCTTATAGTACTACTACCTATGAACGCGCTGTCGCTACGAATCAGTTCAAACCTTGTTCAGATGACCTACTACCTACTACTAGTAGTAAGTGCTTGTTGTCTCCTAAGAACTTCACTTCAGCTCACTCTCTCCAACACCTTTCCTCTTTATATGCCAGACAAATGGAGCCCACACAAGTGCCCATCTGATAAGATTTCAAATGCATGTTTTTAAATCCACCATAGTTAAGCCAAACGCTTTTTATATACTTTTTTAATAAAAACGCATCTCGAAAGCATCCCATATATTATTTTAATATGAAGATCTGAATTTATATGTTTTTTATTGCAACGTCATTTTTATATACATTCGGTCATGAAGATGAGGCTGCAGCCTGAGGCCTGGGGATGGATCACATGCCTAGTACACACTTACGTTCTCTCTTGCTGTTCTCCTCTCTTACTCCTCTCGTCTCTTCTCAAGCTTCTCTTGATTGCGATATAGGACGCTACATTATATAAAAGTTTGTCCTTATCCACGGATTTTGCCCCGATGGTCAGTCCAGATGTCCATGGTCTATTGATGGAAGGATGTCTCGAGTGTCAAGTCTAGGCGGATGTCAACATTTGAATGAAATGCTACTGTGTTTGTTTAATCAAGGACAGGTTCAAGGCAGCACAGATAGGAAACGAAAATTCACAATGAAGAAATTATTGATGGAGTGGAGTTGAACATTGTTGTAGACATGGATAATATAGTAATACAAACAGATCAGCGTCGCAAAAGAACCGAGTCAAGTGGACGTAAATTGAGATGAAAATGCACACCATTAGCGCTTGGCCTTCTTACGGGGAGCGACAACCTTGAACGCAGCGCTGCTAGCTTCCTCCTCGCGCTGAGTAACAGCGGCGGCAGCAATGCTAGCAGTGGAACCCTTCTTGGCGACCTCGCTCCAACCACCAGAGCCACTCTGCTCGGTGGCATATGCGCTGGGAGAGATGGGGTCAATGACACCCTTGTCAGCAAGCTTGCGGCGGCGGATGAACTCGTCAGCAAAGCGACGACCGTCCAGAGTCTGGGAGTTGGCGTAGACGGAGTCGGAGATGATCTCGGCCTCGGCAGGCAGGAACAGAAGCTGCTGAACGAAGTCGTCAACGTTGATGTTGATGTTCAAGCCCTTGCCCAGAGCTAGCTTAGCCCACTTGGTGAACTCCTCAACGGCCCGGTTGGAGTTGGAGGATTGCGGAACACTGCCCAAAGTCACGGTACGGGTAGTGGTGACGGGGCGAGGCTTGGCAACAGCAACAGGGGTAAGAGGGCTGGTGGCGCTGGTCGAGCGAGGACCGAGAGGAGCGGAAAGAGGGGCCTTGGCCTTGCCGCTAGCGCCAACGGTGGTCCAGGCACTGGAGCCAACGGGAGCAGTAGCGGAAGCAGCAACGGAAGGAGCAGGGGCCTTGCTGGCAAGATCGGCATAGCGCTTGCTGGCGGAGGCAGGGGGGCTGGGAGTCGCTGTCAGGGCAGCAGCGGCCGCGGCAACAGCCAGACGCTGCTTGCGAGCCTCCTCTTCCTTCTGAATCTGGGCGAGAGTCTTCTTGGCGGCAGGGTTGGTAGGAGCAGGTTGAGTCTTTGTGTTCCAGGCGGAACCAGCGGAGGTAGGAGTGGCGGGGGATCCGCTGCTGGCCCAGTTAGCCGAAGAGGGAAGACCAGGAACAATCTGAGCCTGAGCTTGGCTGAGACGTTCTTGTTCCGCCATGAGCTGAGCGCGGCGAGTGGCCGCGGCAACTTCCTCACGCTGCGCAGCATTGCGAGCTTCCGCTTCTTGGATTTCTCTCAGGGAGGGTCCCTTAGGCAATTCATTGGCATCCTTAGCCCAGGGAGCAACAGAGGTGGGTGCAGCATCAATTGGGGTTTGAGTCTGGGAACGGGACCCGGCAGCGAGGGCATCGGCAACGTTCTGGCGGCGCTGAGCAGCCGGGGCAGGCAAAGGCGATGCGGATGGTGGTGGCGGGAAAGGCTGGGGCATAGCACTATCCAACTTCCACACAGATTCCGGCTGCTCTTGCTCTTCTTGCTGCTGACGCTGGGCAGAAGCAGCCTTATGGACTTGCTGAGACAAGGTCAGAGCAGGCTCCTCAACTGTCATCTCAGGCTCCGATGCGCTTTCCAAGGCGGCGGCAACAGCAGCGGCCTCGGCTTCAAGCTGCTGAGAGACGGCAGCAGGGTGAGTGGGAAGACCTTCAGCGGTACGCATGCCCAATTCGCCCTCCTGGGCCCGCAGAGCGTGGAATTGACGCAGTCGCTCTTCACGCGCCTCCTGGTCGAACGGATCGTTGGCATTGGCCTTATCGAACTGCTCCTGCTCATGTTGAAGCTGGGCACGATCCTGAAGCATCGATGCTACCTGTTGGGAGTGCAAAAGGCTGTCAGGTTGGCGACCACCGAATGCAAATGGATCTTGACGGATGTTCAACCGATCAAGAAGGGCAGGAAGGTGATCCTGACCGCTACCACCGAGATCAGTGCCGAGCATACCGGGTCCAATGTTGGGCAAGCCACCCTGTCTCAGTTGAGCCGCACTGTCAAAGAAGCCAGGGACTCCCTGAGACGGTTGCTGCAATGGGGCTTGGATGGGAGAAGGCTGGTAGGCTCCAGGGGATGCAATGCTGCCAAAGCTAGGCTGGCTATGAAGGCTGTGGGCACTAGACTGATGCTGAAGCTGGGGCTGCATGGATGAACTGGCTGATCCTCCCATCTGCTTCATGATAGCTTGTTGCTGAGCGAGGTGTTCCTTCTGGCGGGCCATCAGGTATTGCTCCTCTTGCTTTCGTCGCTCAAGAGCATTCTGCTGTTCGGCGGTCAAAGTAGTACCAAAGCTGGGGAAGCTGCCAGGGAACGGAGGCTGAGCGGAGCCCTGAGTGGTAGTGCCAGTGCCAGCGCCAGTCCATGGAGTGGCATTGGGTTCAGGGCCATGAGGGATGCCAATTTGAGGGACAAGGAACGGCTCTCGTGAGTTCCCAATCCGGCGCACCAACTGTGCCAGGGGCTCAAATTCGACATCTTCAAGCTTCTTGATTTGCAGGTCGGGGCTGAAGAACCCAGCCTTGAACCAATCGTGCATTTCAAGTCCAGTCCATGGGCCCTGGATATTGCCTTGCGGGTCGCGGTAGATCCAGCGCATCCGGTCTGGCATGACCATGGTTCGCTGCTGGGATGCAGGTACACTTCCTCCGGGAGTCTGTCCCAAGGTAGAGTCTTGGCCAAAGTTGACTGGAAGAGAACCAACAGCCGACACGGGTGTCTGAGATGCAGAATTCGATCCAGGCTTGCTTACAAGGGCAGGATCAATCTGACCAGAACCGTCACCTAGACCAACAGATTCCGGGCGTCCTTGGTCATCCTGCATGGTTGACGAGAAGAGAGCACCCAGCTTGCTCCCCCGGCCGATGCTTGCAGTTCCTGCAATTCCTGCATGTGGGCTAAAGAGGCCACCACCTCCCAGGGTGGACAAGCTTGGAGACTGTAGGTCTCCCATGTTCCCAAAGATAGGATCACCAAATCCACCACCAAATGCAGAACGTTCACGGGTCGGGGTACCGATGGCGCCGCCGGAGGGCCAGGCGGACGCTCCACCGAGAGATGGAAGGCCACCTAAGCTACCCAGACCAGAGAAAGGGCGATTGGCATTGACACTCGAGTTCTGACTGCGATCAACACTGGGAAGATCCATGCCTGAACCAACGCGTCTCATCGAGCCAAAGGGGTTGGAAGGGTCACGGAGTCCACTGAGTCCAGGGTGCTGGGCATGCTGAATGTCCGATCCATCAGTATCCACATCCTCTCCTTCAATTCCGCGCTCGCCATGGGGGCTTTGGTAAGGGTTTGTATTAGTCGGGCTGGTCGGTTCGTGTCCCTGGAGCAGACTTGGGGTAGGGTTCCTCGAATTCTCCTGACTCTGCATCAACTCCCGGAAACCGGGGATGCTCGAGGTCATGCCGAATGCGCCGAATCCAGTATCCTGGCCGGGCGCCTCAACATCCTGGGAACCACCGAGGGCGGCACTGCCACTGCGAGGTTCATCAAATGGATTAGTTTCGCTCCGACCAACTCGGTTCCTCACCGCATCTCCCCATGGCGACTGCGCACGCTTGCCGCCATCATCTTCCATGAGTCGTTCAAGACCACTAATGTTTTTCTCTTTGACAGAGCCCCCGATATCCTCCGAGCTATCCTTTGAAAGCAGGCCCTTGAACCTGCTCTCACCCCGAAGACTTCCATATCCGGGCTTTTTCTCTGCCGTAGGGGTTGTGGCAGAAACTGAGCCTGAACCCAAGGAGAAAGCTCCGAAAGCCCCCATCGGCGAGAAATTAGCATTTGCCGAAGCCGATGCCGGGCCCCATGGCGAGCTCGGGCCGACCGCAGTATTCAACGGGTTGGGATTCATCGGGTTGGTCGTGCTCCGCTTCAAAGAACCGAAAGGAGAGGCAGCATCCGAACCATCCTTCGATTTTTCGTCCGCTTTCGCGCCCGGCTCTCGGAAATCGGTCTTACGACGCAGAAGTGCGGGAGGAGGGGTAGAGGTGTTCGCTTCATCGCGGAAAAAGCGAGAGTTGGAGGTGGTAGGAGACATAGGGTTACCCACAGAATCACCCGTCTCTCGGCGTCTCACACCTGGGCGGTTGGTAGTGGGGGAAGAGGTATTGTAGTTATTAATGTGGCCCTGGGTGTATGAAATTGACCCTTTGCGGCCTCCAGTCGCCGGCCCAACGTTTTCCTTCTGGGCGTTGGTTGGCGGGGGTTTGAGAGGGGAATTGACGGACGCGGTAAAGAACTAGAAAAGTTTTTTTTTGTTAGTTTGAAGTTCTCCCACAACACCCCCCAAACAAATAAAACCGTGGAGAGGACCCACATCTTTCTCGCTCTCCGTCATATCATTCAGGCCTAGAGGTTCAGCTTGACCACCGTGGTCCCAGCACACCTCGGGCCCCGCAGAGGTCTTGTGGTCATCCCGCTTCCCCCACGCCCCGTTCACGGGGGTCGGCACCATGTGAGGGTCCCAGTCGGCCACAAAGTAGTCCTCCACATTTTTGCCCAAGGATCCCGAGTCCCGCTGTGCCTTATACAAGTCAATCAGTTGGTCCTTGGAGTATCGAGCGTCACCGTTGCGCAGAGGATTTGAGCTCATGTGGGGAGGGATGTAAGCTCCAGAGGTAGGGGTCGAAACGGATGCTGCGTGGCTGCTCTCCCGAGTGTGCGAAGGGTTGGTAGCAACAGAAGGGCGACGGAAGGTCTGAGTGGCTCCGTTGATGCGGGACCGAGACCTAAAGCCAAAGTTAGCATCGGATATCTCGCTTGTGGCGAATTGAGGTTCCGCCAGATGACCGGTGTATTGAGAGACGGGATTTCTCATTCCATAGTGACGCTGGGGGGTATGGGGATGGGGGTGTGGGAGGAAACCGCCTGGGGCATGAAAAGGGCAAGACTGCATACCATTCTCCACCAGCATTTCCATCCCCTCTCCGACTAGGGTCCTGGGTGTTGCCGGCGGCGGCGGAAGCGAAACTCGATGGAAGTGGTGTAGGCATTATGGAAAGGTTGTTTTGGTTGGATAGATGATCCCCCACAAAACGGCCGGTTCTAGAAAAAGTTCGTCGCGAGACTTGCTGTGGCGGATGGTGCGAAGAGTAGTGATGCGAACGGGAATAGGACGCAAAACACGAGTGGATTATCGAAAAGTTGGGGTTGAGATAACTTCGAGAAGCTAGTCAATCGACGGAACTGAAGGGTTGCGAGGGAGGGAATGCAGTATGCGAGCGCCTGTAACGAGGTTGAAGGTCAAGATCAAGAAACAGAGATCGAGTTTCGACTTCGCTTGCTAGAACAAAAATGATTTTAGCGGGAGCGCGTGGCACTAAGTTACGCCCACTAAACAGTAAATACACGGTAATGAACAACGTGGAGTCGCGTGCTTATGGCCCATTTCAGTGCCTGAAACTTGGTATTATCTGTTACCTAAAATTACCACTTTGGCTGCAGCCAGCCACTTGTCTGCAGGTATTCAATACACACACCACACACACCACTTTACTCCCCACAATTGACGTACGCTGTACTCTGTACACCCTGTCCACACCAGAGTGTTTGACTTGGAAAGACAAAGGAATTTTTTTCCTATGTTCTTATATCAGACATATGACTTTTATTAGAAAAAAAAAGACAAATACCCTTTATGTGCTAGACTCTTTAGAGGGGGTGTGTCTTTGTGTGTTTCATATCTTCTTGTTTCGTGGTGACGCAAATTGTCCCAAAAATGTCTGTGGCATCTACGCAGTATGCATGCGGTGGCTTAGAACGAGGGGTTGTGGTAATAACAAGTATAGACGTGTATGTTGAGTTGATGCCACGCCCCACATACGATTGGGCAGAGCTGCTTTCAAACAGTTAAGGTTGGATTGGATTGGCACTTTGGCCTTTTTTTTCTTTTCTTTTTCTGTTCTTCATGTCACCCTTTCGCTAATACAAAGTCGTTTGGTTGCTTCTTTTCTTTTTCTTCCCTTTTGTCTACCACACCAAAAGGATACTTGCATACCTAGGCCTAGCCCGTGGACCACTCCCTATCCCTTTCTTTATGCGGCTGTACAATTCCAGCCACCCCGCGTGCTATGTAGGTCCTGGATTTCGCCCGTTAAAGAATTCAGCCGGCATAGCTTCAGTTTAAATTCAGACTAGTCTTCGGCTGATTTGTAAATACCATTCTTTTCTTCTTCTATCGGGTTTTTGATACATAGGGTGCCTTTGTTCGACGTATAGATACCCAGTCGACGTGGGTTTGTGCCACCTGCACGGCAGGCAAGGCCTTTCACCGACTGCATCTGCAGCTTTGGCTGTCTCAACAAATCTCATAAGAATCTTTACTAACAAGACAACTCATCATGAAAATTTCAAATTGACAAAGACTACTAACCACTGCTCCAGATTATGGCTTTTGGTAGGGAGGAGATAAACTCACAATATATTAAACCATTATCTGCCCGCATCAGTCTATTCTTTACTACAACAAGACACTCTACTCACCTCAATATCTTGCAACTTTGAAAACATTCAAAGGCAACTCAACATATCTCAGTTTATCCAACTCCCAAAGGCCATAGTATGTTTGCCGCCAACTCTCGACACCGACCCAGAATGAGATACATTATCAAGGCCGACGCCCCCTATGAATGGTACTGGCAAGGGAAGCCTCTTAGCAGAGGCATGATTCGAGGCGAACACATCTTGCCTCAGCCTGTTGGAACTACTACTCGACGTGCATCGACACGCGATCCTTCTCCTCAAACCCCCAGACATATTTGTCCCCGATGCGGATGTGAGTACGAGCAACCCAGACCCCCAACACCCAGCAACAGTGGGGATACCGAGCGCAACACGATACATAACACTCGCTCCTGTGCCTGTCACACTGTGATAGATGATCCAGAGCCCCCACAAACAGTGAGAAGGTGCAACTGCGACACATGCAGGGCTGCCACCTCTGCTGCCTCCGTTCGGCATGCATTTGTGCCTCCGACTCCGGCTCTGACCAGGACCGTGACCCCGGGTCCAGGGCCTTATCACCATGACTCGGCAAGTCCACATGTACCAATGATATACTGTTTGTACTGCCAAGAGTATCACCATGTATGTCAGCACAACGATATCCCTTTTCCGAATGCCCAGCCGCCGGTGGAGGCCCCAGTTCCCGCTCCCGCCCCAACCCCAGCCCCAACTCCAACCCCAACTACCCGCGCTCGACCTGCTCAGTCGAGGTGCAGATGTCCGCAATGTGTGGCTTTAGCTGCAGCTGCAGTTGCCGCTGCAGCAGAGGCTGAGGCTGAGGCTGAGGCTCGTCGCCATGACCATCATTTTACTGAGGGTCGATTTGAGAACTACGTTTCTCCCAACGTTACCGATGACACTGCTTCACTGTATTCGGTAGATATGGCACCCAGGAGCGACAGGAGTACAGAAGAGGGTCGGTCCGGGCATCTTATTCTTGCTATTCCTGTGGAGTACACGGAGTGATTCCGGTTGTTTTTTTCTTTCCTTCTGGGTTTCCTGCGACCGATAACCGCGGACCTTTTCTAACCGAGTCCTACTATCCCAATCTTTGCCGACAATTTGGAAGCCGAATATTATAAAAACAGTTATAGACTATGTTATCAATGTTATTTCATACTACACCTGAGTGAAGCATATACGCGATGCCTAGTTAAAGTTCCAGCCTGCCAGGTATATTAAGTATCTCTAGACCCTAGTAGCCCTGGATGTATCCAACCTCGAAGTGTACATACTACGTGCTTAATACATGAAATGGACATATACTCAGTACTTAAGACAGTGGACATCTACTTGAGATCAATAGAATGTATCTTTCATCTCCTACTTTTCAACTACCAACTGGGAAAATTGTGTGACAAAAAAAACACAGGCACTCATGTATTGGCTCTCAGGCTTCTACTTGAAATTCTCCGAATGATCTACCATATAAATACATACCTTAGTCTAGAAATGACTAGGCAACATGTACTCCAATTTGGAGAAAGCAGAATGTGATCCTTAGATAATCAGTACTATATAAGACGGACCGAGGTCTGCCCACATCCAAGGAAAACCTGCACCATCTTAAATCTTTCGTCATCAATTGATCTATCGTATAAGTTGACATCTTTGACCACATATTCTCCATAAACCCAGAGCATTTGCATATTCCCAGTGAAGACTTAAGAATTTTCACTCAAAACACCATCTGTGTGCTGAATTAGCACAAGTGACAAGCTCTTGTGTAAAGAGCTGAATTGCTCCTCGGTTATCGTATTATCGATAAGAGCCATCCCCGCACGGACCCCCCGTACAATCATTGAATTCAGTGCTTCAACTGACAAGTAACCGAACTCCAACAAGAACCCAATCACCTCAGCAAACTTCTTCCAATATGTCAAAAGCAGTATTCATCGCTCCAATCGATGGCAAACCTGGAAAACCCGGCCAAGTGTATTACCCACTCGTCGTAAGAACTCTGCCCCAACCGACCCCGCAGAGCAACGAGTTGCTTATCAAGCTCACTGCCGCGTCACTCAATCACCGTGACTTGTTCCTTCGACAACATCTCTACCCGGGTCTGTCCTTCGATGTGCCCCTCCTAGCCGATGGTGTTGGTATCGTTGTCAGTGCCGGATCCAGTGTCTCGGGCGCTGATAAATGGCAAGGCAAGAGAGTCATTTTGAACCCCGGTCTGGGCTGGAAAGACTCGCCCGATGGGCCCGAGGATCCAACCGGCTATCGTATTATGGGTGGAACCAAAGTATACCAAACAGGTACTTTGCAAGAATATATCACCATTGATGAGTCGGAGGTTGAAGAAGCACCCGCGCATCTTTCAGATGCTGAAGCTGCCGCGCTGCCGTTGACTGGACTGACTGCCTGGCGAGCTCTGGTGTCAAAGGCCGGTGAGAGGAACTCTAAGGACGGTGCAGCCGTTTTGATCACTGGTATTGGAGGTGGTGTTGCTTTGATGGCACTGCGTTTTGCCGTGGCTCGGGGGGCGCATGTCTTCGTGACCAGCTCAAGTGAGGAGAAAATCCAGAAGGCTGTTGAGCTGGGCGCCACTGGAGGTGTGAGCTATAAGGAGGACGGATGGGATAAGAAGCTTTTGGGCATGCTTCCGTCCGGAAAGAAGAATTTCGATGCTGTTATTGACGGTGCAGGAGGTGATTCCATTGAGAAGGCTGTCAAATTGCTGAAGGTAAGTATCTGCCCATATGTTGCTAACCGTTGAACAAGTTGTCATGATCTTGCGCACGGGTACTTACATTAATGCTAGGCTGGCGGTGTTCTCTCCATTTATGGCATGACCGTTTCGCCCAAAATGCCATACTTGATGCAGGCGGTCCTGAAGAATATCAATGTGTGTGGCTCCACTATGGGCTCTCGCAAGGAGTTCCAAGAGATGGTGGACTATGTCAAAGCCCAGAACATCCACCCTATCGTGTCGCGAACGCTGAAGACTGAAATTGACGACGTGCCTGCTATCGATGAACTTTTTGAGGATATGAAGCAAGGCAAGCAATTTGGTAAACTGGTGATTGATTTCGCAAAGCCCTCGAACAGCAAATTGTAAATATCCGAAGGCAGACTCGATTTATCTAACAAATTTCACGAGCAACATCTGTTCAATTTTGATGAACAGCTCCGGCATACATGATATTATGTGTCTGGGCGCTGTGTTTCGCCGAGCGTGCCTGCCCCAGTGCTACATAATTTCGACCGCCGTATCACCGCCACTAGACGACTAAATTATATAGGCTCATTCAACATTCCGACGACTAATCGACCACCACCGACTGGCATCAGCTCTGTTTTTGTTTTGTTTCCAACTTTTATTCTCTCAACTTGTATTCTCAACTTTCCTTTCTTTCGCTCTTTTTCCCCACCCAAACTCCCACCATCCTTCTTCAAATTTGATCATACCTGGTCATTTCCTCGGAACGAGCCTTCCACTGTTCATCCTCTTCACTGTTTCTTGATCCATTACTCCTTGTCTTTCATTATGCCTGCCGAGGGTAACGACCCTGCCCGGCTTCGGGTAAGTATCACCATGACTATTGAAGCTGACGCAGGCGGAGACCCTGTGCCCGCGCCTGCGTCCGACCTTGTGCCCGAACCAGCTGCCAGCCATTCGAGGGAAGGTAGTGTCGACGTCTTGGTATGAACACTGTCCCCAATCATGCATAGATCATAAAGTCGTATGAAACTGATAATCATCCAGCGCCAGGCTACCCTAGCCAGACAGGCTAGACTTCGAGAATTTCACGATCAACAAATTATCATTCAACACCGGGAAAGCCAAGACAGACAAGCCGAACTCCTGGAGGAGTCCGGTCAACTAATGATCGACAGCTTGGACGATTTGCAAAACATGGTGGATACTATGAATCATAACATGGACGTGCAAGATGAGGATGATCAGATTGTCAGGGACATCAACGACCCGCAGATACGCAACTGGGAGGCTGACATGTTAACTCGTCTCATCGAAATTGCTTATTACAAGCAATTGTCCAATGTGCCCGCCGGCAGCATTCGGTCCGGCCGCAGCGTATTGATCCTTGACAACAACCTCAACTTTAATGCTATGACAGTTCGGTACAGACATGCTTCTCGAAGCATTGGTCTCGGGACTCTCGAGCGGCTTGGTCTTAACTCGAGTCACCACCGCCTGCTAAGACGGTACGGCGAGGTATGTGTGGAGTCGAGGCCGTTCGGTATGGAGGTCGGCGGTTTTGCTGACATTCTTTTTTGTATAGTTTGCCCGTTACCGTAGTGACAACCCGTTCTCGACAGAGCCGTACTTTGCCCGCTGGCTCGACCACAGCCAGCATGTCAATCGCCAGAAGTACGGTTTCTGGGGTTCGCTGTTTTTCGTCTGCTACGGTCGAACCATCCGCCAGAGTGCTGATCTCGTCCCGGTTAGACGACCAGATTGAGACCGCAGCTTCGATCCGATTGCCGAGGGCTTAGGCAAGTGGCGAGAGAAGTTTAAGGGATACCATTTCGGGGGTTTTCTGATCAGCTCATTTGTTATTATTGTTTTCATTATCCGCGCTTCCTTTTGCGGTCACTGTTTCGACATGTTCGTTGGGTTTGCGTCATCGGCCTTATCTTATTAGGCCACCTACTATCTTCGGAATTGTTTTGTATGATTAGGATGCGTCGAGACCGGCTTACACGCCCCTCACTGTTAGTTCATGCCTTTGTCAAAGCCTCGAGAGATCAACGTTCGGGAGACCATCATACTTACCACATCAGCTTTTAACCAAATTGTGAGATGGTCACCCAGGAAATCTGACTTGTTGGGCTTCGGCCCCATACCGCTATCTGCAGTCCCCTATCCAAAACGGTAACCCGCATAGAATCTTACCCAGCAGCCCTCACCACCGGGGCAATTCAGACAGCGTCCAAATAATAAGCTGCAACCGTAACATCTCGAGAGTCGAGAGATTCATCACAAAAAGAAAAATCATAGATTGTAGACTACCATCAATCCCCTATTACACAGCCATTATCGCAGCATCTATTCCCCCCAATATCTCATTTGCGGATCAATATGTAGATCAGGCCGCTGCGGCAGCCACTAGTGCACACATGGCTGGCTGAACTCGACGGGAGCCCCAAAATAGGTCATGCACACGCAAAAAGTGACGTCTCCCGTACCTTTTGAGTCGTTATGTTTGAGCCTAAACTTTTTCCTCCCTTGAGCTTTTTTCGAGTCCCATTGGTTTCTTCGTTTAAGCATTAAGCTTCAACCCGGCCACGTTAGTGGACTATCAGATTGTTACCGTTACAGGCGATCCTTTTTTAATCCTCCACTCTCGGTACAGAGTATAGGTACCTACTGAACTCAAATACTCAAAATCAAGTTGTCTCTGATCGGTAAAAATAGGAATGAAGATCTGAATACGAACACGTCTTTGTTTGTTTGTTTTTTTTTGGGTTTCTTTCTTTTTTTTTAGGGAGGTTTTTTTTTAGTGAGACAAATCCTCGACATTCCCACACCGTGGCCAATGGATGATCGATATGCATTGCCCTTTATGGAGTTTGATGAGCTGGCGGGAAAAGATAGATACATGTGTAGTTTGGAGAGAATGATGGAATCCTCTTATGGATCCGATTCAGGGTCCCCAATTCGTCCTTGTTCGGCTGGGTTCCGACCTGGTGAAGGCCGGTGATGTCGATAGTACATTGTCTAGCTACTTTGGTGATGGCGTAGATTTAACTCCCAGTATGCATGTAACCATCTGCATTAGGGATTTGATGTCGGGAGAAGCAAATGGAATCGTTTTTTTTTGGCCTTTTTCTTCTTTTTTCCTTTTTTCCCCTACTTTCTTCTTTTCTTCTTTTTTTCTCGTATCTTTTCCTGTTCTTGAACCTCGGTAAGCACAGCAGTACACTTTGACTAAATTTGCAATCTCCTTACCTAAACTGAACTTCTTCTAGAAGGATGAAAGATGGACCTACAAGGGAAAAATGCTTTTTGGGATTAGTGTACCTGCCAAATTGGTTTATCGGTTATCGCATCGTAGCACCCAGTGTGGATTACATATTCAATTGAGTTATGATAAATGGTGGGCCAAGCTCTCAATGCCGAGGTTGAAAATTCCCAAGGTCAATTGGCTGCTGCCTACACCTTGGCAGAGCTTGGATACCGGTACTTGGCACATCTATGCTTTCCCAAGCACGGAAATAAGGGAAGGAGGGAACGAGGAACGACGAACAAGGGTGGATTCCTCCTCCACTTTTACGGAGAAGATAAAGTCGATGGTTTGGGTTTTGAGGGTCTGTGGCGGCAGTTCCATAGATGGGCGGATAATTCTTCTCTGCTTCTTACTGGATCCCGGGAAAAGAGAAAGGGAAAAAAAAAATCGTAGACGTCAAAGATCCCAAAGACCGAAAAGGAAAAGAGAAAAAGCTTGGAAGGGAAAAGGAAAAAGTGGGTAAACAACAGTTCGGCTCCGACATGGTAAAAATGGAGAACATTTGAATGGAGAGAGACGGAGACTAGAGAACTCTAATTGGAGAACGAGAATAGCACGCACCTCTCCTTCTCTCCGCGGAACTCGATCTGGTTAGGACACGGGCACAAGTTGTTTAGAAAAAAAAAAAAAAAAAGAATAAAACAAGTGCCCTAGATATTGACGGATACAAAAACCGAGCCAAAGAGCAAAAAGAACGGATAGGTCCCGAGATCCCGAGCTTCCCCCCGAAATAACTATTTGGCGTTGGGATTTGTGGCTTTGCTAAAGCTCCACTCGGTTAACGGAGGATCGCTTTTAGCGCAGCTTGAATGATGGATCCACTCCGATTTGGCTTGCAGAGGCACTGATGTTATGAGAAAAGATGTGGAAAAACACACGTGCGGGAGAAATTCAATTTCGAGGGGAGAGGCATCATTGCCCCATCAAGATCTCAATCCTTGGGCAATGAGGTCAGATGCCTGGATACTGATCGAGATCGCGCCGATTTCGGGTTTTGCTCGCTCCATATCAAACAAATCCTGCATGCAGGATTTGTCGGTGATTGATTGAGGGATCATCGGGGTTCTACAGTATCTTGAATTTTTATTTTTATTTTTATTTTTCGTTTGATCAAGGTTGAATGGGTTCGCTTTAAAGGGGTTTCAGATTCTTGCCATGTGAAATGGGGCATTTGCGTGCTCCGTGTTAGTGTGTTAGTACGGAGTACTCCGCACTCTGTCTGAGTGAACGGATATTCTTGCAGAGTTTGGGGTTCGCGTGGATCAACTTGAAACGGTTGTAGTTCGGCGGAGGTTTCAAGGTTGGACGATCAGGAGACGCGGGATGACCAGTTGACCTCATCCAGGGATGTTTGTTTTGTTTTTGTTCTAGTCTTTTTTTTTTCACTGTAAGTTTGTCTTGAGTAACAGGAGTATGTAACTACTGATACCAGTTTGATCAGACGTAATCAACGGGTAAACATTTGAAAGTTGTCGGGTAATTAATTCAGTGACTGATTTCTGGGTTTCTCGATATATTTCTGCGAGATGTCGATCGCTTGCCATATCGGACGGCTCGTGCTGTGTACGACACATGTACATATATCAACACCCGTCAAATATATATGTGCATGCACGTTAAGCTTGCATGAGTAGATACATAGTACATATATATGTTTAAGCTGGGTATGTCAACTGTAGGTAATTCAGCTTTGTTCCTTAAGATGATAAAAAAAGGCTGAAAAGTGAAACTGTCTAAAAATCTAAATAATTACTACACACCTTGGCAACACACCTGGGCACCCATAACTATAGCTGAACCTTACAAGCCCTGTAGGTTCGACAGCCCTGAAGTAAGATTTGAAATAACGAGCTATTTGAGAATCTGTCTCAAAACCCCTGAAGCCACCAAAAAAGCCATATGCCATAAAGACAAAGGCTAAATATTTCAAACTTTGAAAAAAAATAGATATCACATCAACTCCCGGAAGTTTACTCAACAGAACTTTCCAAGGCTCTAAATCATATCCCGGCTGAATACCATTCAAAGGAAGACTTGACCGTACAAGGAAGGTCCTTATGCACCAGGCACCAACAAGATCCATCCATAAAAGTTAAACTTAGGCTTCCAATTAGACCATGCTTGGTACTCATGGCAAGAGCCAAGATCTACAAAAAGCTCCATATGTGGGTGGATCAATCGATGCGTCTACTTGAGTGGAGGTGATTTACCTGTAGGTAGTTGATACTGTGTACGGAGTACTCTGTAGCAGGTTCAGTTTCTTTCTTTCTTTCTTTTTTTTAGTGTGCGCAGTTGGTTTTGCTGGTACACTATTCGCACTAAAATATGCTTCGCACACCAGGCCATGCCTATGTGAGATATGATCTTCGGCGAGAAGAGCGGGTGGGTACTGTCTACTGTAGCTGAAGAAACTGAATCAACAAAAATAACCCTCCAGGATCTGGTAAGCCATATGTGAAACCTTTCCTATGATCTTCGACACGGTGAAACACCTGGGCAGAGGACGGGAGGAGCGGTCATTGGGACGAGAGAGAGGGCGGGCGCAGCGGTGTTCTGAGGGGCGAAAGTTCTTTGTCGTATATGTGCGTGTCCGTATCTTGTCGTATCGTGATCTGGAGAACGGGAAACCTTGGAAGGCCAACTGAGGGAATACATTGGGAACGGGCCGATGATCTCATCTGGGCACGATCCAGACTCTACATTGGATTGGAAGGCTTGTCTACCGGTGTTTCTAACATTGAATGCCGTTTAACGTTTCTGGAAATATTTGTTCAATTAACATCAATTGATTCAATTTTTTTTTTGATATGAGCTGTTTTTAGTAGGTATTAATATACACATGTACTTTGAACATATATATGCGGCTAAGTCTACATATTGGTTCCAATATCATTCCAGTTCTTTCACTAAAGCTGATTTGGTATTGATTGATGTAAACTAATATATAGTGTGTAGTATATTAGATTAAAAGCCAAAGTCAGCCCATACTCAATCTAAGCCTGACCGCTGTTCTACCATTCAAATGTTCGACGCTAGCAGCCGTCTCCCCGACCCGAAGACAAGGAACCAAGAGGCTACTACAGAAGTACATACATATTCACCGGGAAAGAACCGGACAGGGGCCGATGAATGGGTCCGATGATGTCTGGCGTGCAGATAGTCTCTCTTCCCAGGCAATAGAGTGGCTTGTCCACGGGCGCTAAGGTGAACTAACCAGTGCTAATAACCCCAAAGTACAGTTCAGCTCCGTACTCTGATTCTTTGGACCCATAGATTATATTATATTTCAAGACTAGCAGATGAGGTAATGCGGACTCCGTACAGGAAAGTTCAAAACCTACCTAAAGCTACCATACTTTCTTAGCAGAAGTTCGGAATCCTAAAGCGACAAGGGCAAGCTCCTTAGTGGCTGTCCGGTACTTAGCGCCCCGGAGGGAGAACCATGTCCCCAG